TGAACACATCGACGCATGGTCACATGAACTGGAAGTTGTTTTCCACCTTGTCTATCCCTTGCAAGCGTCACTGGAATTCTAATATCCTGTGCGAAATCACTGACGGCTTCTCAGACCTTGAAGGGTGGTTGGGGGCGGTGGGCCATGCTGACGAGTTGAAAGTTGATGAGGTCCTCGCCGTCTGTGGCAGAGTTTTTATCATGTTTTTCGGGACATATGGCGCCTGCCATGTCGTGTATCGCAGACCACACTAAAACTTCCCGTGTTAATCACTGGCTCCAACAGGCTGCCCTGTATAGTTGTCTCACGCTAGCGACACAGCAAGCTACCCCACTGGTCCTGTCGATAGGAGGTAGTCCCCGTTTTGGCAAGTGTCTGTTATGTACTGGAGCACCAGACGAGGTCAGGCCCCGAATCGTATCTCCAACCTAAGAGCCGAGGTACATTACAAGCGAAGAACGGGAATCTGCCCCACAAGTATCATTCTAGTGGTCAGTGACTGGAGTGCTGGTGGCGAGGAAAGCAGAGTGCACGTGAACATCTTCTGCTTGCAAGCGGCGGCCATTTTGGTACAGCCGTGACGAACGGTTGTAACCGTGCAACGGGTGCCCTCGATACCTCCAGACACGACTCGGAATCTGAAAGAATTCTTCAAGTCTACGGTTCCAACAGGATTCCGCCTGTCCAAAATACCATGCTTCAAGCTCATCCGAGTAGAAACGCAGTGCGAGCAGGTGAGTGCCACAACCACCGCCGAATCAACCCGGTCGTGTGATTATCACATGGGTGGTGAGTGTCCTTGACATCGCATGAGCCCCGTGGGATGGTGCTGGTGGTGATGATGATCCACGCGTTCCGCTGGAATCGTGTTTACGATAACAAAGGTCCGCCGACGCGCTAGCACGTAAGTGCCCACGAGGTACGGTCAGGTGATTGTTATCTCGGGATGACGTCTCTGCCAGTTGAGATCAGAAATCACGCACAGTTATCGAATGGGTCTTCTACGTTGGTCATGACTCTACGTACTTGTGCGGTACTTGTCAGTAGTGGCTTAGCGAGGCTGTGAGAAGAATTTAGTAAGCCTGTGCCTCCTTGGGGTCGCTATGCGTGGCGATGGAAGGGGGTGTCTGGTTGACTGCATCACTTGCCCCCTCCCCGTAACAACAGTCGCACCGTACACCGCTGTTCAGCATCTCTTAGGACACACACAGCACCACAGGGCATAACAAACAATTGGCAATTGGGGTCCCGGCACTACAAACAACAGCATACTACAGCGTCAATATGGAAAGAGGAAACTACGAGAAAAGCGACGCGAGGACGAGGTTAATGCACTTGTCGTCCTGGTGTTCTCCGTGCTTGTTCAACGCGTAACCGTATGCCTCGTCGTGGGTAAGGGGGTCCTCTGTCGGGGGAGGAAAGTGGATGTCGGCAATGGAGCCATTGTCAAACGCTGTCGTTAGTGGATGGAACATCCGGCCACTTGCGTGCTACGACGGTCTCCAACCAGGAATCAGGATGGGCCTGGGCCTGCCATCGGCCTTTGTGACTGTAATGTAGTCAAATGCTTGGGACTGGATTGTCAGGGGGAATTACAAGGGCCTGAACATACCTTGATGGTCCGCTCGATTGATGGCTTGGCCGCTGTCACATCAAAGCCCAATTCGACCACATGGTGCTCGGCTGGGGTGAGGGAAGGGGCGGACGCACAGGCGAGTCCTCACGGTCCAGTAGGCGGTGACCAGGCCACCCATCATCAAAGTCTCAAAACGGTACCCCGCCTCGTTACGATACCGATCTGAGCAGACAACACCACCCATGTTGAGGCGCGGCGGTGTAGTGTCGGGAACCGTACCAGGCGGCACAAGTGGAGGACCAATGGAGACGAGACGAGGATCCCCCAGGACAAACTCATTATATGACGTCGCCACTCGGTCTCGTGATTTGAACCTCCACTCTCCACAACCGAGTCCCATTCCTCTGCCTGACGCGTCTCGATTTCCATTCCACAGCTTCTACATCGTTCAACCCTCAACTCGCATTCCCACATCCATCGTTACTCTTCTCAACCAGAAACAGATATCCAGAAACACAACAGAAAACAGAGAGAGAACCAGAAACAGAGAGAAGTAGAGTCCATGAACGCCCTCCGACGTATCCTCCCGTCGGCCCACCGACGCGCCGCTAGCACCATGACGATCGAGACGTCCAAGCTTAGTGGTGCGTTCTAGAGGCTGGCTAGGTGCATCCTCTCGCTCGAGCGGTGGACCGGTTGCTGCCAGCCATTCGTCAGTCTTGGCGAGAGGAGACACATTCCCAGTGGAGCTTCGCATACACGATCCGTAGCAACAAGCCACTGACTCCAGTCCTGCACGGCCCCCTCCAGCCCAACACCCGCGCGGGGGACGCGTCCCACCCGACAGGGTTCTACCGCGACGGCTACTGCTGGGGCTCAGAAGACGACGATGGCAAGCACTTTGTCGCCGGTGTGGTGACCAAGGAGTTTCTCGACTTTAGCAAGGCCAGGGGTGAGTCTCCAATGTGGACGGAATGTGGTTGCTGTGGAGCTGCTGGGCTTCCGTGTTCGCTCCGCTCGTCTGCACTCGGTGAATGCCGGAATTCCAGGACTGGGGAACACTGCAAAGGAACAGGCCGCGAGGGACTCGCTCACTGGCGACCTGATACCCATGCCCTGGTGCGGTGGTACTGTGCTGCCGCGAGTCCCGTACCGGTCACGCGACCCGGCAACCAAAACCAAAAGCTTGCTGCAATCTGACATTCAGGCAACGACCTCTCGTCTCCACGCCCAGGGTTCGAGGGGCTAAAGGAGGGCTGCCGGTGGTGTCTCTGTGTTGAGCGGTACGTCGACGTTCAACAAAGCTGACAGAAAAAGGTGGAAGGAGGCGCTCGTCGCGAGTGAACGTCTCGGAGAGCGCGTCGTCCCCCGGTGAGTGTTTACCACCTTTTCAATTCTGACGATCCAAGAGTCGACCTCGCGGCAACGGCGATGGATACCCTGCGATACATAAACATGGACGACCTGCTGCGCTTCAAGTGGCGTCCCGCCGAGCCCGAGGCAGCCGCGCCCGAGAGAGCGGGTGAGGGAGAGGGAGAGGGAGAGGGGGACGACGGCGCGCCCCCCGGCGGAGGAAACTGGGGATACCGCCGCGGATACGGGTTCCGCAACATGCTGTAGAGAACTGGCTATGCATGTATCATGTCGTATCGGTATCGTCTGTTGACCATCTCGCGAGCGAATAATGTCGATTTGTCGGACATCGGAGCAACTTGGATGGAGGCAACGACAGACCACACTTTCTTTGCTGTCAACGTGGTTGGCTGCAGCAGTATAGTTATTAACGTACCTCCGTACGCGCTTGAGCTAGCATCAGATGCAGTGGAAGTGGAACGCGTGCTGATGTCCCATCGCGCACGGCATGGACGGGTCACCCCCAGACAACATCGACGGGGTGTTACGCACAGAAAACTCTAGCATCATGGGTGGCGGCCCGATTAGCAAAAGCATTAGCAAAAGCTAATGCGCCCCCTTGGGCCCCCATTTGCTCTTGTCGAACCCTAGCAGTCGAGTTCCTCACGGGCGGTCTTTTGTTTAATGACTCTGGCCTGGCTAGTGACGCTACAGGCTCTGCCCTCTGTTGGAATCGAACCCCGGCAGGTGCCGGGGAGATTTATTAAGTGCAACCCTTATAGCAGTGTTAACGACACACGCAGCGACTTGGTGATTGTTTAGAAATTAACGCCCGTTATGAACCGCGTCGCGGAGGCCAAAACTTTTGAGATTACGTAACCACTTGCGCCACTGCAGTGTGGCACCGAGCTGACCGGAGAACGAGGGTACCGCACCAATGCTGCTCTTTCTGCTTCTTCATTGTCCTCATGCTTCTCTGTAGTGCTCGGGCCTCCCTTCTGTGTGCATATAAGCAGCTCTGTAGACGTCTATGCATCCCCATCCTCTTCTGAAAGACAAACTGCCAGCTTAAGACCATCGGTCTCGGGCGCTAAACGGCATCAAATCCCAACACAAAACAGGAAAGTTTACAGAATTCCGACGTTGATATCGGGCTCAAGGCGACGTTCATTGGGACCCAAAAATATGCGTCATCCATGTTGGCGGGAGGAGTGTGGCCTGTGGACATGAGTCAAAGGCTACTACGCGACATCCTGTGTACTTGCCACAACTGAGCGGGGCGCATGTACAGAATGAAGCGGCCGCGAGAGGAAGAGGCACAGGCAGCGAGCGAGTGAGTCGTGAAGGGCGGCGCTGCCAAACAGCCGCCATTTCCATCCACCGAACGCAAAGCCCTCTCACCACCTCGAACCTCCCGCAGCCGCCACATCCAGCCGACACTAGTATAGCTCTATACGTGTGCAAGTGCATGTAACAGTACCAATCATTGTAGATAGACCAGACTCTAGCCTACATAGTGAGCGTCTTGCCCTTGAGCCCGCTCGGCTTGGGTGCCAGCTTTGGCGCACTGGCCACGGGGGATGTGGCCGTACCTGTACCCGTGCCCGTGGCCGTTGGGCTGGTGGGCGACAGCGCAGCCGGCTTGGCGGGCACGATGGGCCTGGCTGGGGGCTTGGCTGGCGACGTCGCCGTCGACGTGGTGGCGGCCGATGACGTCGTTGTGTTTATGCTTGTTGTCGACGACGACGACGTAACAGGCCCTGATACCGCCGCCGACGACGCTGACGTCGCGTTGACGCTGCTGCTCGGGCTAGTGGGCTTCGGCTTGAGGGGAGGAGGAGGGTGTTTGGCCGACGCGGGCGCGGTAGTCGTCGCTGCAGCGGGTGCAGGTACGGACGCGGGTGCAGGCGCAGGGACACTGGCCGATGGAGTTGCCGCCGCAGTGGCACCGACGGGCGCCGGCTTGTTCAAGCGGTTGGGCACTGCGGGCTTGACGTTATCGGGCTGGGCGGGGATCCAGAGGCCCGAAGGAGGGGGGCGCGTCCATGTCCAGCGTGCCCTGCCTGCTGGGCTTGCGCGGCGGCAGCGTCGGGCGCGGTGCCGTGGGCAGCGGCGGGGTGGGGCTGAGACTGGGGCGCGCGGGAAGCGCAGGCGGCGCCGAGTGGGTGGACATGAAGCTCGAGCCTGACTGCTGGCGCATGGGGAGGAGCGGGGCGGCTACCCGCTTTGGCGAGGGGACGAGGACAAAGTCGCCTGTCGCGACTGGGGTGATTTCAGGACTGGCATCCTGAGGAAGACCAATCTTGCCAAAGTCGGTGGGACGTGGGGGAGGTGGTTTCCTGCGCGTCTCATAAGGCGTGGCCTGTTGCGGTGACGCCGGGGTGGTGGTGATGGTAGCGCTGGCGGCGCCATTCCTAGCGGGCAATGGTGGCGGTACACCCAGACGTGCGTACGCCGAGTTGAGAGCGTTGAGGGTCGCGTCTGTTGATGACGCTTTGGGCTTGCCAGGCTTCGAGTCCCTCGAGACCAGTGGTGGGACAGGCCTCGGCGACGGTGTCGGTGTAGGGTGCAAGGAAACAGAGGTAAACTCCTTGACGAGCGACTTGACGCCGCCCTGCGCGGCCTGTTCGACCCTAGCGTCCAACTTTGCACTGCCCGTCCTGCTCCGCGCCTTGCGAGTGAGCTCGTCTGCGATTCGCGCCTTTTGGGCCTCGTCGACCTCGGCAATGGTTACTTCCAGCACGGCATACACAGGGCGATGGTCGGACGTGCGCAGATCCGCACAGCTGTAGGCCCTAAGATGAACCTGGGGAGTGTCAGTACCAACAGAACACGGGTTTACACCGCAACCGCGCGGTGCCACTTACGCCAGCACCCTTGTATAGAACGCGGTCTACGTCGGTCAGCGTCTTCTGCGGCCTGCGCGGATTGGTTCATTGGTGACTCACCTGTCCAGGAGGGGATGCGCTGCTTTTCAGACGAATCGTACACGTCGGTTCCGTTATCGCTGTTGCGTCAGCACTGCAAAAAGGGTGTTGCGGGACTTTGGCAGCTCAGGGGGAGAGAATAGGGGCAGCGCTCAAAGACGTCATTCGAACACGACGAGGGTGATGACGACGACGATGACGACGGCGACGACCGCAACAACAACAAGCGAGACCCCACTGCTGCCAGTGTGGAGGGACTCTGGAACTCACTATTTGTACGTCGGGCGGAAGGTGAGCGGGCCCTCGGAGTAGCCGTTGAACACCTCGCCCTCGTCCCGCGCAAACGTGAGCTGGTCGGCAGAGACGAGCGCGTCCAGCTGGTCCGTCGTCGCGAGCTCGCGCGCCTCCTCGTTGGAGAGGTCGATGCGGTAGTTCTGGGGTCAGCTGGAATTCGGCGACGACCAACTAACAAAGTCTGCGGCCCACACAACGATACTGGCATGTCAGCTAATGTAGCGCTACCCAGCCGACTCACTCGTGGCTGTCGATAGTCTTGCCGCGGAGGAAATGCAGGCCATTGTCGATAGTCCTGTAATCCGCATTGCGGTCGGCATAGTTGCTCTGCCCCGCTGCCAAATGACAGGTCATGAGGCAGATGGTCGAGTCGAAGCAGTTGAAGCGGACGCCGACGCCGCCCTTGTTGCCGCTGAGACCTTGGAGACCCGTCTTCTTGTCTGCATACTCTACGTTGCGGATGGCAGGGAGGAGGGCCGACTTGACGACGACCATGAGCGCCGTGCCGACGAGCTGCTCGCTGCGCATGAGAATGTACTCTTGCGGCGCGCTGTTCTGGGCAAACGTGTCCATGATGTATCCCTCCCATGCGCGCCTGGAGCAGTCAGCTAAGCGTCTGTACGCGCCCTAGCTCACTTCTTGGCCGGGTCGGTGACGACGATCTGCTGAGGCGTCAACTCGACAATCTCCTGGAACGCAATGGCGTAAATGTCGGCCTTTGGCGTGCCATGCGGGAAGAGCCACGGGTCGAGGGGTTCGTTGGCGGCCTTGCCGTTGACGTTCCACGTGCCCGAGAAGATGACCAGGTTGCGGGGCACGGAATACTCGCTCTTGCGCGCGACGAGGGCCGAGTGGATCGAGTCGCCGACGGGGTCGAAGAGAATGACGGGCCGCTGGCCGGCCATGAGGCCCAGCAGCATGTCAATGGCCGTCTGCTTGCCCTTGTCCTGGAAATTGTTAATGTACGCGCGGCCGACACTCTTGGTCGCGTCGCTGAGCAGGCCGGCAAACGTTTTGCGGCCCGTGCGCGTGGCGCTCGTGTTGAGCGCGCCGGTGCCGGCATACGTCTTGCTGAGACGGTCGCCGTTGTCGGCCCACAGCTCGCGGTGCGCCGACCACAGCGTGGGCGAGTTGAGCAGCACGCTCCCATGTGCGGACAGGAAGCGGCGGAGGGAAATGGTCGACATGACTTCCTGTACATAGTTTGTCCTGTCGAGGCAGTCGAGGCAGTTGGTGCGGAACACGCCGTGCTGGTACTCGACGACCTCGCCCGTCGTCGCGTCAATGGCGGTGATGTCAAACTTGTCGACGGAGCGGTTGACGGCGTGCATGACCGCCAGGTCCTGGCGGACGGCATCGTGTCCGCCGAGACGGACGACGGCGTGGAAATCGTACGAGGTGTACACGAGGTCGTCGGCCGTCGGGTGCGTGTCGGGCGGGGCGCTGCCGGCGATAGCCTTGAGCGACGAGCGGAGCGCGCCAAAGTGGTCCGAATACGCCGACGACAGCATCGCCTCGGCGTCCTTGGTGCCCAGGAGGTTGATGGCGTGGACCGCCTCGTACTGCTCCAGCAGGCCCATAAAGTGCTTGTCAAACGCCGGCTGCGTCGCCTGCGGCGGGCGCGTAAGCTCCACTTTTTGCTGGAGCGTGCCGAGCCCCTGCTGCGGCTGCTGCCAGAACAGCGGCACACTCCCGCGCACCTGCGTGTACGACACGCACATTGCGCCGACGGTCAGGATGGTCTCGGTCTCGACAAAGTTGGCCACGTTGCCGTCGTCGTCTATCCCGCGCGTCCGGAACCGCGCGCCGGCGCGTTTACAGCTCAGGCGCGAGATGAGCGCCAGCGCGCCCGGGTCGGGCTGGCCGTCTGTCCACGACCCCATTGCGAGCGGCGTCGAGCCGACATAACCTTGGATGACCGGGAGGAGGAGGGCGTGCGCGTCCAGCTCGTCGCGGACCGAGGGGACCAGTCCGCGCCGGAACGCGAGGAAGGGGGCGAGCAGGGACGCGTTCCACACGAACCGCTCGTCAAACTCTTCCAGCGGCGAGTGGTGGTGGTCGCCCAGCGGACTACGGCCGTGCTCGGCCGCGATAAAGTTGTTGGTCCCGTCCGACCCCAGGCGCTTGGAGATGTCCCACCGACACGCCTCGGCATGGAAGAACCCCCCGTTCTCGAGATACTTCTTCATCCCCGCCGTGGGGTTCTCGATACCCTCTGCAGCGGCCTGCGAGAGCTGCTTGCCCGTCACGCGGTACGGCGAGTCATAGTCTTCTTCCTGCACGTCGGGGACCAGTCCCGGCGCGTCCCAGTACGCAGACGTGAGCGAGTAAAAGTCCACCTGCACGACGCGCGACGGCCGTAATGGCGAGTTGGGGAGGAGCGGGGGCAGCGGCGTCGAGGCCGAGAGGACGAGCAGGAAAACGTCCGGGATAGGTGAGCGGTCTGCGCGCGGAGCGTTGTCAGCAAAAGGGTGTTGCACACGACCACCGTACCCGTACTCACCACTCGGCACGCTCGTCACGCCCAGAACGCCCGCGACGCTGCGTCCGCGACACACATCAATGAGCCCGACCCTGTCCACCTCGCCAATGGGCAGAAACTCGGCCACGACAACGGACCGCGACGCCTTGCCGCCTTCCTCGGCGCCGGGTTGGCGAAACACCAGCGCATGCGTCTCGCTTAGCAGGAAGAAGGCGCGCGGCTGGGCGCGCAGGTACAGTTGTACAGGCATGGGGGTAGGTGGGGTGGGGGTAGGGGTGGTGAGGAGGAGGCGAAGATCGTGGAGAGCGGCGAGGGGGGGAGGGGGTGGGGTAGGGGAGGGAGGGAGAGGGAGAGATTGAGGATTCAATATGGGATGGATGGAGGCGGGAAAAGGCGGTGGCCGGTGGTGGACAAGAGGGGGCATTTGGTTGCGTCACCGAGTCTCAGGAGCACTGTCTCACTGTGTGGGGCACCAAAATGCAGCACACGAGGGTGCTGCACTTTATTCGCCACTGCACACTGCTTCTGGCCTCTGGCCCACGGCCGAATGGACTATGATAGAGTTTTGCATATGTGACTTTTGTACAAGGCAGGTGAATCTATCACCCTCGACATCCCAATCTCCCAAGTTGATCTCTCTCTCGTTGAAAAAAAAAAAAAAAGGCGGGAATCTCTATTATTGTTGGTTTGGGTTGTGTGTGGTGGTGGTGGAATGAGTGTGAGTATGGTTACAGCCGCTGCTTGATTGCACGGCTGATCTGGCGGGCGTACAAGAGACAGAACCCAGTAGCGATTGGGAGCGCGGTGACAAGTAACCAAAAGCCGACGAAGAGGAGGACGGGGAGCCAGAACAGGTACAGCATGCGGTCCTGCTTGACTTGACGGACCACTTCGCTGGCGCTGAGACGGCCCGAAGACGACTGCGAGTCGCTGCTGGAACGACGACGGGCGGGGCGCGCCTTGGTGGGCGTGCGTGGGGAAGCGGTGGTCTTCATGTGCGACGTGGTGGCGCCAGACTGGACGACGGCGTTGAACGCCGCAGCGGCCATGGCCTGGGTGAAGAGCTTGACCTCCTCGGGGCTGGTCATCTTCTGCAGCGTGTCCCACGACGGCGCCGGGAATGCGACCCAGCCAGGAGGAGCCTTCTCGCCGATAAGCGAGTGGATGCCGTGCCAGTCGGGGATGGGGTGCGGAATGTTGGACAGGGTGCGCGACATCCATGACTGGTGGTCCGAGGGAGCGTAGGGAGGCGGGTCGTCGGCTGGCGCCATGACACCACCTTCGAGCGAGAGACGGCGAGCCACATGCCGCGGGCTGGTGGTACGCTTCTCCACTGCGGCTGGGCGCTCTTTGCCCTTGCCCTTGGGGCGACGGGGGACACGACGGGGTTGCTGCAGCAGCACGCGGCTGGCGTTGCTGATGCTCTCGCCGTCGTCGTTGTCGTCGTGGTCAGAGTCAGAGCTGGGATTGTCGTCGTCAATCTCGCTTGACGACTCCATTCCTGAAGCAACGGACGGGGCATCGCGGTCGGCAGCCTCGTCGGGAGTGGTGGACCAAACGGCAGACAGCAGGATCGTCTCCACCTCGCGCTGGTCGTCGATCTTGGCCAGGTCAAGGGGCATCTCGCCAAAGTTGGTGGCAATGTCGTAGGACGCACCAGCCTCAAGGAGGACGCGAGCGGCAGCCGTCTGGCCGCACAGCGCCGCAAATGCCAGCGGTGTGAAACCGTTAATGTCCTGCAAGTCGAGGTGGGCGCCCACAAGAATCAGGCGGCGCAAAAGACTGTTGAAACCCATGACGGTGGCAATGTGGAGCAGGGACTGCTGTGCCTTGTTGCGATGGTTCACAACGCCCGACCGGCGCAGAGAACCCGGTGAAGACTGGTCCAGAGACTCGAGGAACGCAATGAGCGTCGTCTGCAGATCCGTCTCTGCCGGTGGCGTCGACGAACGAGACACTGGCGCCGAGCCCGCGGCGTCGAACGGAGACGAGCCATTGCCGCCGGCGGGACTCATGCTTGACCGGTCGCTCAGGTCCGAGTTGTGGTTGGAGCGCGCAATGTGGTCCACAAGGCGCACAGCGGGGTCAGACGACTGGTGCAACTGTCTCACTTCGAGCATGAGGCGCATCCTATAGGGTTCAGTCAGCTTATGATGTCACAGAAGAGAGTTTCGTTTCGGGGAAAGCTTGGGTGACGTACATTTCCTTGTCCATGCCAGTGTACTTGAACATCATGGCAGGAGCGGTCAAGTCGCGAGGCATGCTCTGGACCGTCACCTCGACCTCTCCGGGGTGAGGGCTGGGCGGAAGAGTGCACTGCAAGAACGAGTCGGAAACAAAGGAGGTGACGGCAGGGCGACCACCAAAGCAGATGACCGTCTCGGGAGTGAACAGACGACCGGCAATGGCAATTGGCGTGCCGCCGGCCATGTCGCCTTCGGCAGGAATGACGTGCGAAACAACCGGCACAGGCTGCTGGCGCTGCTGGCGTTGTTGGTGCTGTTGCGCTTGCTGGTGTGCCTGCTGTTGCGCCAAGAGGGCGAGGAGCGCCCTCGTCTGCGCGTCCGCGTCGGGCTGTTGCTGCTGTGTTTGCTGCGGTTGCGGGAGGCCGTTTGGGCCGAGACCGTTCGGGAGTCCGTTCTGGAGAGCCTGCGGCATACCGTTGTTCTGTGTGAACGGCAGCGGCGAGTGACCCACGCCGGCAAGGTCGAGCTGGCCCATGCCGACGGTAGGAGACAGGTTGAGGTGCTGCATGGGGCTGAGCGCACCCGTGCTCTCGCCGCCAGAGTAGTCGATCATGTCGTCCAGAGTGTTGTCGGGGGGCAAGCCGCTGTCGCTGAACAGACTGCTCTGCTGGAAGCCCGAGAAGACTGACGAGTCCTCGTGGAACGACGAGGCGACGGAAGCATGGCTGGAACCGCCAAACAGCATGTTCTCCAGTTCGCTCGCAACGCTAGCAACGTTGGACATGTCAACGTCCTCGCGTGGCTCGTTGCCAAACATCATCTGGTGGTTCATGCCGCCGTTGAGCGCGGACAGGTCGAGGGTTCCGTGCGACAGGTCGCCGTTGTAGAGGTCGTTGGCAGAGTCCAGCGTGCCGTTGCTGGCACCGATACCGTTGGACATGCCGTTCATGTTGAGACCGGCAAACTGCTGGGCCGGGCTGGGTGCGACCGACGAGTTGGCCGACAGCGCACTGAGGTTGTTGAGCGCGTTCGTCATGCCGCCAAAGTTGGGTCGACGAAGCGCGTCAGGGCTGACGGTCGACGAGCCTACGGGGTCGTTCCAGTTGCTAATGTCGGGCTGCGACGTGTACGATGACGTGGACTGCTGGCGGGAGAGACGAGGACGTTCGCCCGCGTTGCCGCTCATAAAGTCAAACGGCAGGTTGGCGGTAGACACTGCAGGCGACTGCGACGGGGGACGGTCGTATGGCTTGCCCTGGCGAACCTGTGGGGTCTGTTTCTGGACCACTGCTCCGACCTCGGAGGTGACGCTCATCTCGCTCTCTGAAGGAGCGGGCGACTGGCGCTGCGACGAGGCCGTGCTCATGCGGCCCTTGCGGGGACGAGGCTGGGGAGTGTTGGTAGACGTGAAGCGGTCGATACGCGGCTTTGCCTTTGCGTCGGTCTTGTGGTCGTCTGTAATCTTGATCGGGTGGGTCATCTCCGTGGCAATGATCTGGCCATCAAACGTGCGGAGGGTAAACTTGATCCGGAACCCAACCTTTTCGCCGTGACACTTGCAGTAGCAGATGACACGGAATGGCAGCCAGAAGCAACTGCCCTCCTTGCAAGGAACGTCCGGGGGCGAGTTGAAGAGGACAATCTCGTGACGCCAGTCGGGCAGTGTCGGGTCCCAAGGAGGCTCCTCGACGACCTGGCCCATGCGGTGTGGGTCATACTGGGCCGGGTTCTCGCCCGTAACATAGTCCTCGGTCGCAGGTCGCAGGCCCTGCCTGGGTGAAGGCGTTGCCGACGGCTCAGTGTCCGACGCAATCTGTTTTTTGCGGGCAGCGTCCTTGTTTTGACGGCGGCGTTCTTCACGGTTGCGGCAACGCTTGCAGGCATACACTCGCTTGCCGTTTTCGCCGCTCGTGTACACTGCCGTCTCCACGTAGGCAAGCTGGTGCTGGGGGATGGCGCCGGCCGCGAGCTGTTTTTTCGAGCTCGTCTTGGTCGTGGTGCCAGCCTGCAAACGCAGACCCTTAAAGTTGGCAATACGCTCAAACGACGCGAGAATGTTGCCCGCCGCGTCGTGTGGTGCCAAGCCGATGCAGCTGGAAGGAAGAGGGTTGGAAGGGGAAGGGGGGATGGTGCGCAGAATGTCAATGATGACTCGGATGGCAGTCTCGACGCGCTGCTTGTGGATGACCTGTGGGTCGCCTTGCAGCATCAATTTCATGCGACCACTGCGGGTGTCACGTCAGCGCATGTTGACGGTTTGCAGTATAGAGTTGCGCTCTACTCACTTTTGGTACGACATGTGCAGCTCGTCGAGAGAGGGAGTGGACGAGGTCAGGTCATCAGTGTCGTAGCTGCGCTTTGGTGGATCCGTTCGCGACCCGCCGTGGCCTCCGGCACTTCCACTGGTGGACGTTGCCGGACGCGACGCCTGCGCGACCTGCTGGAGCGCCAGCGGCTTTACATCAGCCGCTGGGACGGCGGGCTTGACATCTGGGGGAGAAGTGGGTTGGCGAAGAAAGTCGGTGTTGTTGAAGCCTTGTGCGAACGACGAGCTGGAGTGGGTTAGAAAAAACGAGAGAACAGTTGGTCCAGCGCGCGCGCCGCGGGCTTTGTCATCGTGTGTACTCACGCTCCGAGGTTGTTAAGAAGGGCCTGCATCCCCTGCATGAGGTGACCCGACGTGGGGTTGAATGCAGTATGGCCGCGCTGGGCGGTGGAAGGCGGCTTGTCGCCGCTGGAACGTTCAGGTGAAGAGGGGATAGTTGAGCGAGTGGAAAATGGAGAGGATGTCGACGATGACTCCATGCCTGCCTGCCTGGGCGGGGGCGGGGGCCGGGGGACAGGTGACGATGACGGTTTAGGCGAATGTATGCACGGAGGAGGGATGGAGATGTCCAGGTGGTGGGAATGGGAAGATGTCGCTTCGGTAGATCAGAGAGACCTGGGCGGAGATGGGTTGCTTCGCACCGTGCTGCGGGAGGAGCTGGAACGGACAAGGGACAGCGGGTGGAAAGGCTGTGGCGACACTCGGTGACGGTTGGAGTGGAGGTCGCAGCGGGGGGAGACGAGGCCGCGAGGGCGGTCTAGTAACGAGGCCGCGGCGGGGGGAGAGGTGACAGAAGAGATGTCGGGGGAGAGGAGTGGGGTGGTGCGAACACGCTGGAATGCAAAGGATGTACCAGGAATAGTGTGATGGAGAGAGGATGAGGAGAGCGCGCGCGCACGCGTGAAGGTCTCGGCCTCGGTGCGGTCTGTCGGCGTGGCCCCAGGGTCCAAAAAATGAGCACGGGCAGACGAGGGGGGTGGGTGGGCAGCTGTGCGGGCTGGAGGAGGGGGGCGGTGGCGGGTGTGGGTTGTGGAGAGAGGACGAGATGTGGTGGATATGGATGTGCGATGGAAGAGGAGGGATGAAGGACGGATGGAATGGATATGCAAATGGGAAGGGAGCAAACGTCAGTCATATGCACACAGGCAGTAGCCGGACGGAGGGGGGGGAGAGGGGGGGGGGGGTTTGTCTGTCCCAGCAATGAGAACACGAGCGTATGAGCAGCGGGGCAGCCAGGCGCGCGGGCGGGGGCGGCGGGCGGCGGGCGCGGGGCGGGAATGGTTTGGCCCAGCCAGGCAAATGGCTCTCTGTCTGCCGGCTGCCAGCCAGAGCGAGAACGCATGGTAGTGCGTATGGCACACAGCGACGACGGCCTCTCTCTCTCTCTCTCTCTCTCTCTCTGCCCCTTCCCCTCCCCCCGGTGCGCTATATGCCGTACCCCCGATCTCGTCCTCCGACTTGCTCTCACACACCCCGCTCTCCCTGGACCGGGCAAGTGCGTACATCCCACATGCATATGCACAACTGTGCGAAACGCCAACGTCGACCAGTGGCCAGTGGGTCCTTGCTGCTCTCGTCGTCGTCGTCGGTGTCTAGTCTTGCTGCTCGTGCCACCAGCTCTCTCTCTCTCTCTCCTGACATTATATCCTGGACGCCCCCCCGGGTCTCTCCCTGCATGTCGGTAGCTCGGATCTGGCCACAGGCCACAGTCTCTCTCAGGAGCAGTGCGCACGATGGGTACACGCTGGGTACTCTCTCTCTCTCTCTCCTGCCTGTATCGGTTAGTTGCGGGCACAATGCATATGTCAGCTTGGGCAGCGAGAAGAGAACGAGAAAGACTACGGGGCGCCGGGGGGTGGCGGAGTGGGGCGCGGCCGGCGCGGCGTGTGGTGGCGCAGCGGCGGCGGGCAGGTGTGGGAACGAGGAAGGAAAAAAAAAAACAGAGTTGGAAACGGCCGCCCAAAAAAGGCCCATACAGAACAGACATGAGAGAGCCATGAGAGAACCAGGCCACGGCCAGCCAGCAACGGCCCGTTTGAAATCACACCGTTGCTGCTGCGGCTAATGCCTTCCAGCAAGGCACCCAGCCAGGCAAGAAAAGGACAGCTCAGAGCCACCCCTGTGTTCGGCCTGGTTCCTTTTAGCAACATTGTCTCTCTATAACGTATCTGCCCAAACGCATTAGGTGGGAGGCAAACAGGCACAAGAGTCACGTTTCACACCACACACACATGGCTTCTCTCTCAGTCTTTTCTTTTTTGAGACTCGTTTGTCTCTGTTTTTGCCTTGGCCGTCTGCAAGAGATACATGCAGCATGCAGCATTTCGGCACCCACATGGCCCATTTGTGCACACGCGTCAAAAGAAAAACGAGTTGCAAGAATGCGCGGCGTTGAGAATCCGCCATCGGGAGCGAGGGAGAGCCTGGAAGCCACGCACTGACGCCGTTACGCCACACCGACGGCGCGACTGCCGGGCAGAGAGAGCGTGTCGCCACCACATGCAGCCTTTTTAAGCCTTTGCCGCGCCTCTCCAGCTTTGAGCCTTTCCTGGCGCCCATGGGGCCAACCGGCAGCAGCAGCGGGCAAGCAGGCAAGCAGCAGGCCTCTGGCGTCTGGGTAACGCCGCGTCGCATTCAATCGCGCAGACGGTCCAGCCAGGCAGCCAGGCCCTGCCTCGTCTGCCAATGGGTTCGGAGTGCCAAGACCCAGCGCGCTTGTGCACACCCATAACTGCGAGGTTTATCCCTCCCAGGCTTTCCCACCTTTCAGGCCCCGCAGTGGGTTTCTGCATTCCGCCACACACTCACAGGCGCATCTGTAGGCACGCACACCGTACAGACGTACTGAACCGTCGAGGCAGCAGTGCCGCCTGCCGCCGACCCAATGTTCCTCCTTTCCTTGTCCTGGCCGTGTGGGAGGCGTTTCCAAAATGCGCAGCTTGCGTGGCAGACGACGAGAGATACCGAGATATCACGATACCACAGATCCCAGACACATGTCTCGCAACACGCGGCGCACAGCAGGCGCGCACTGGGCAGAGGGCCAGAGGCCAGAGGGCCAGAGGCCAGAGGGCCAAGAGGGGGAGGGAGCACGAGGCCACGAGGCCACCATCGCCGCGGCTCACTGGTCCCATTCTGAATTCTGCGGCGCTGCCAACAACACAACAGAAGAGACGTATCAAACGTAAACAATCCAACGCCCATAATGCCCATTTTGAAAGCCCTCTTTTCATCACCCGTAATTGATGCCTTTGGGACGTTGCAACGTTGGAATCTCACCCGCATGAGGAAATAGGCGTGATCCGCTGGAATCCGCGCACACACGCACATGATGTTTGTGTCAATGACGCACCTGGCAATTTGATCTCCGTGTGGTGGGATGTGCGAGACCAAACAACGCCCACAACGATATGCGTGTGCGTATAATAAAACTGGAGCCGGTCTTGGTCACACATCCCGTCTTTGTTCTGTTTTCACACACTTGTCAAACCCCACTCACACATCCTTGTTCTCCCAAGCTGGCCTTGGCGGTCGCTCGCTCTTTACGACCACACAAACCACACGAACCGTGTCGCGCCAGGCCCACGATTAACGACCCAAACTAGTCCATTCTTTTCCTTTTGCCATCCGCAGCGTCCAGCCGCGGTCGACACAACACACACCCGCACATGGTTGGCGTAAACACATCCCCAAACGGCGACGACGCTAGCGCTGTGCACCCTCTGCACATGTCCCACGCCACGATCGACGAGGCGGCCCATGTCGCGTCCTCGGACGAGGACCAGACGCCAACGCCGCCCAGTACGTGCGGCCCGCATACGCCGGCCCGCTCTCGCACGCGTGCCGTCCCCCGTTCCCCACTCAAGCTCCTCACCTGGGACGAATACCGCGCGTATCGCCACTTCAACCAAGAGGACATGGACCACGGGGACGACGGGGACGGTGCGGACGATGCAGACGACACTGCATCGAGCTGCACACAGGACACCACCCCGTCGCACCCGGCGCGTCGTTGCGTGAGCATGGGTGCTGTTTTGCACGACCCCGTTTGGTCAGGCGCGTCGGATGACAGCGACGAAAGTGACCAGGAGGAGGAGTACCACACCGAGGAGGACGCGGTCGTCCCTGCTGCCCTTCGCGAGGCGACCGATAGCCCGACTTTTATCGTTCCTCGCCTTACCCCCTACCCAGGCCCGGACCAGTTACCATCGACTGCGCGGAGCCTTCACGCCGCCATCAACGTGCCGATGTTTGCCCTCGTGCCCACCAAGGCTTATCGCGTGTACCAGGAGGACTCGAGCACAAACAACAACAACAACAAGCCGGCCGCCGGCCCCTCCACGCGATCACGCATCGTGTCCGCGCCAGTGGTGGCGTCTTCCTCGTCCAAAAAGGCCGTGGTTGGCGTTGGCTCGGTCACCCCTGTTGCAGGCCACAAGCACAAACGCAATGACACGCCGGCGACCCCACGTACGCAGCACCACCAGAAACGCCGTCGTCCTCTCCTACAAACCAAGGACCAGAACGCGGCCTGAGAGGCCGAGCCCGTCGTCTCCAGAGCAGGCCAGCTGCAATGCTCGAGACGTATGTCGCTCAGAATCCGTGTCGCCAGGTCCCAAGTTTCGTCTTGAATCCAACATCCATCAACCCAACCCCAGCACCCCCTCAACCTCTGAAGCAACAGCGCTCCGGTGCCAAACCCTCCTCGGTGCCAAACTCTCCCTCCGTCCCCCTCTCAACCAGCGATCGAGCGTCGTGCCGGCAGCTGGGCATGACAGCAGACAGCAAATGCAGCACGCAAAAACTTTGAATTTCTGCAATTGCCTTGCCCGCAGATTGGCGCAAAAAAAAAACGTTGTCGTCGTCGCCCAAAAGAACACTCCCACCAACCCAACCTTGTCCTTGTGCTGCCACGTAAGCTCTGGAACCGGAGCCACGCCCCCGCCGCTATTCACGTGTACCATAACCGTCTCCCGCCTGCCCGCCCCTCCGCGTCTTGCAGCACCTCTTGCCTCATTCCCAATCCATGCACCCACCCATGCGCATGGTTGACGACCCCCCTGTGCCTCGCCTGGTCCCCCGCTCCAGCCGAGCGCCATGTACCCAAAAGAAAAGAAACAACCAAAACAATCCCCTCGGCACCACGGTCCACTGCCCAGGCCACACTCGTTCTTTAATGACTCGTTGTATTCGGTTTCTCCTCCCCACGTCACGCCCTACGCCGTACGCCTGTCCTCTTGTCCACCTATGCAGAAAATATTGTATTGTATCGTATTGCACCACACTGTACACTGGGCTTTCATCTGGAGCCACCACGAGCAGGCGGAAACTGACGCTGGAACGATGGCGTCGTTCGCCGCACATGCACATGCACTTGCATGCTATATCTGTGACCGAGGCACCTTCCGAGGTACACCCCCCCCCCCCCCCCTCCCTCGCTCGTCGCAGCACCTTGGGCGGCCGATGGGACGTGCACTGCACCGACACCCGACCTCCAGCGGCGGTTGCGGCGGTTGCTCTCCACGGCCTGATGTGCCAATGACGTCGGTCTCGTGTGCCGAGTGCCACAGCCCAACAAGTGAACACGGGCTCAGTCGCGGTCAGTCGTCCAGTAGTGGCCAATCTGTAGTAAGGACCCACGTCTGTCGATTGCGTGGCGGCTCCCGGCACCCGTTGCTTTGGCGCGTTCATAGTCGTCCACACGGGGGATATCGTACTTCCTGGACGAGGGTGGGTGGTACGTGGTGGGTGGTGGGTGTGTCTATGTCTGTGTCTGCCCCGCACTCCCGCCGCCGGTCGTCGGAGCGAGCGAGCACCGTCATGAACGTTTCAGGTTCGCGATTGTCTGCCGGCCGCTGGCCGCTGGCGGGCTCGTATCCTGATGTGGGGGGAGCAAGCGAACAGGACCCGTGCCGCGTACATTGTCCATGTCCATGTCGCCTCTGATCCCTCTCAGCCTTGGGCCAGTACGCCGCGTACATCCTGTACTCTTGTCCGCTTCTCTTTGTGGCAGTGACAGGGAGGAAGGCAGAGAAGAGAAAGAGAGGAAGACGCCAGACGGAAGAGCCACAGCCAACGCCCAAGAATACACACGGCACCGGCGTGTGTACGTGTTGCGTGTGCTCTGAACTGTGTGTGCTGGGGGACAACGGGGGTCCGCAACGCGGCTGGCGGCTGTGGCCGCTGCGGCCGCTGCGGCCGCTGCCAGGACAGGCACACTGCAGGACCGTTCGGAGCAACCAATGCCGCCGCCCCCGGCCCAGAAAAGTACACGTTGGGATTTCCTGCAATTTCCTGACACGATACCTACTTACATACGTGCTGGCGGGCGGTAGGTAGTGGAGCTGGAGCCACGAGAGGCCAAGCCAATGCGCACCTAGGTCCAAGCCAAGGACGCCGAGGAAGCAACAGCCCAATACGCTATGATGACGATGACGACAGCCGCGGTGAGACGAGACGGCTGGCCGCTGGTTGGTGGCACATCCATTGCGGCCCTCTAGGAAACCATCCAGGCGCGGCCTGGACCTCGGCGCAGCGGTGTCTGTGTTTATGTCTGTGTCTGTCTGTGACATGTGCTCTGTGTGGCGTTGACCGGCCCGTGTTGCTTTGGCCCAGCCTTCACATGTGGCGCCTGACCAGGTCGCTGTGTTGTGTGTTGTCGGCACTGTCTCTCGCTGTGCCTCCATCGGCCCCATCGGCCCCATCCCCACCCCCATCCCCATGCCCGTCACCACACGTGCGCCGCCGAGCCAGTGTTCGCCAGTGTTCGCCAGTGTTTGCCAGTGTTGCCAAGTGGGAACTGAGCGGACTAATGAGGGGCGCCTCCCCCCACCCCGCTCTCACCCTCGGACCTGTGTTCTCGTCCTCGGCGGTGCCCTCGCTGCCACTCGGCGTCAATAGCGCAGTACCGGTCCTCCCGGTCGACGCCAATTGCCACGCCACCAGCACTCCTGGGAATCCCGTGAGACACACAGAGTTGTGGACGGCGCGGACCGGAGCGCCGGAGCGTCGGAGCGATACCGGAGCGATAAGAAAACGCACACATCCTCCGCACGGCATCTCACACGCACTGTCGTGCTCTGGCCACAGCGCTCTGCCACAGTGCTCTGCCTCCCGTGTCCATGCGGCCCTCTATCCACATTCCTGCTACAAACTCATTGTGCTTCACGGCACGCGGAGACGGTGCACATGCAGCCCCCATTAAAAAAGCAGCGTGTAAACTGTGGGTTTCCGCCGAGGCACGCCCACGTTTGTCGCTGCCAAGCACCCAAAATGCACAACATGGTGGTCTGTTGAAATCAAACGCAGCGGTAAAACGATCGCGCGATATGCAAAGCAAGTACGTACGTAAGTACATGCCCTTACGTTGCGCTCTCGGAAGCTCTGGGCTCTGCATTCTGCACTAGCTCTACTGTACTGTAACTGTAACTGCAGCTCCTGGCCACGCCATTTCGCCGTCGGCACAACTCTTGCCCTCTTGCTGCGTCCCCCCATGTTCTGCGCACCGTCCCGTCCCGACACCCGTGCTGTGGATTCTATTCGCGTGTCTCTAGATCTCTGGATCTGATCTCTGGATATCTGGACCCATTTGCTATGGACGAGGGTCAGCGCGTGTGCCTCGCCCAGTGTCTACTGCGCCGCGCGGGGTCAAGGGTCCCCCCCGATGTGAGTGAGTGAGTGGCACATTCCCACGAACTCAGGTATCCTTCGGCTGGTGTGTGGTGCCCGACACCACAGTGCCCAGGAGCAGTACCAGTGGCCAGCGGCCAGAGTACCAGAGTGGCAGTGTGTGCGCAGCGCACGCGAGTGGACGGAGGGGAGGGCACGGCCGGCCGCCGGTCCTCCGAGACAGCATCTGCAGACAGTCGTACATCAAACGTGCCTTTACGGTTCTTCGGACCCCAGATACGGCGGCGGTGGGCCAGGGAGGATAGATATGGGGGGGGACAGACAGGGGGGACACTTTTGGTGGCTAGATACGATATGCGGCAACCTGCGATCCTGCGATAACACCCAGTGCGCACTGGCGCGCTGGACCCCATCGCGGCTGTAGACTGCCACAGGCCACAGGCGACAGGGCTACAGGGCCACAGAGTCGAGGCCGAGAGTGGGGGCCGGTGGGGGTGGGGGTGGTGTTGCAGGGAGGGTTGGGTGGGTGGACGCCGACGCCGGCTCGAGGCGTTCGTTGGGGGTACCTGGGAATTGGGGAATTGGGAACGTGGGTGGGGAGGGGCAAAGGGTGTGGTTGATGGACATGTGCGCAGTGGCCATGCCGAGAGAGTGAAGCACGAGGACGAGCACGACGACAAGCACGAGGGTGGACGGCCTTGGCCTTGGCCTTGGTCCTGGTCTTGGCTGCGAGGGATATCAAAGGGAACGAGGAGATAGGCTAGCGGCGTCGCGGTTGGCATGTGGCAGGTGCGCGCCGCCAGCCAGTGGGATGAGCGGCAGTGAACACCATTTCGGCCAACTATGGTGGTGGTGGGTAGGAACGTGGGTGAGGCGGTCAGAGTCACACGAGGGACGTACATGTGCCAGAGATAGTCCACTAGCCACGATCAATAGAAGGCGTGTGGTGCACGCTACGAGGAATGTAGACGGCGGCGTAGCTATCATATCACGTTGCCTCCAACCACGTCCGTACGTACGTCCACCAGCGACACATTTCACTCCTTTAATGGCGAGTTAATGGCGACCACTTGTGTTTACAAACGCCATCGCTGCCGAGGTCTAGACACTGCAGGATGCAGGAAACGACACTGAAAGTACAGACCGCCCGTCTCGGAGTATCCCCGCTTGACCTGGGCTGCCATCATCCTGACTGTGCCGCCGAACTGGTTCCCGGTTCCCAAGCCTCCGCCACCTCTCGCTACATACGATAAATACGATAAGACGGCTCACGAAACCGCGTTTTGACGCCACTGTCCAGACTGCAAACCATTGTCTCTGCGCCTGGAATTGGAATTGAACTCAGGAGTGGTAATGATTCAGACTGCGTCGGCGTTGGGATTGTTTAGCTGCGCTGGTATCCGGCGGCATACGATTGATTGGGCCGCGGCGACCTTGGCGACAAAAGGCCATAGTGAATCGTGGCTCGCTTGCTGAGGACTGGTCACTTTGTGTTGAACGTTCATTCCAACGACTGATCTCTGAGTGCTGTCTTTGCACGTTGCAGCTATACTTGACACGTTGCTTTCGGTTCCCAGCAGAGGGTTGGCCAGTGCCGCGGCACCGTGCCCACGCGGTGATGTACGACGACACGTAGCAGATGGCGTTGGATCGCGACTAAGAATGGATGGGGACCAGATCAATCAGATCTGTAGATCTGCAACATGGACTAACACAAACATACGCGTCCTTTGGGGTCACATACATACACTAAACATACGGTTGAGCACATGCCTCAGACACGTGGTTGCATATCTCTAGGAATTTCGCTGCACTGTGGCCATTAAAGGGGAATCCTGTGTGCTACGCGGCTGTATCGACGGCGATGGCGTCGATTAACAATGGGTAAATGTTGGAGTTGTGGTGGGTTCCGAGGGTGGTGTTGGGTATCGGTCCATGGTGCTTCGGCTGTCCATATGACTAGGTGTTGCCAAGCAGTGTCGCACTTTGGCACCCCGGTTCCTAAGACGAGATTCTAGCGCACTGCTGTGGTATCTTGCCAAAGTACCGGGATTACGACGAGCGCTCTATGCGTTGAAACGTGTTGCGTCCCAAGACGTCTCGCCAGTGTACGAGTAGCTAGTTGGTCAGCATTTTGGGTCGTCCGGAGTGCTGTTGGTGTCTCGGTGCGAACGTGCAGAACGCAGACGTGCGGGGACACGCGACGTGCAGACTGCTGGCTTGCGCGTGAAGAGTCTTGTTGCACGTTTGATCACACACGGTCACGCATACACGTACTTGAACGTCTGGTGCTGCAGGTTGTAGGTGGCAATTCGCCTCAACGGGTTCGGGTCCGGTGCGGGGACACCGCGGTCCACGGAAAGGTCGAGCGTGAGGTCGTAAGAACGCGCATTGTTGACCTTGAACCGAACCGATCCGACAACGAGCTCGCCACGGTTGACGGCCAGAGGCTCTGGAAGGAGGAGACGGGCTTGCCTGTGAAAGGTAAGTGGTGTACAGGTGCAACGACAGGTGTAGACTTACTGCCAGTGGGTGCGGGTCGCTGCGTTGTCAGCTTCAGCGATGTGGAATAAGCTCACCGTTGGGGCCCGTCGACAGTGTCACCTTGACACCCTTGCGAGGAGCGTCGGGAGCAGCACCCGGGTTGAGAGGCTGCTCAGCGCCGAGCCACGGGTATCCGGCAGTGGGGACGGGGAATGCCCATTGCGCCTGCTCAAGGTCGTCGGCCTCAGTGTCCTCGTCGGTAGGCTTGGTGGACTCGTGGGCGTCAAAGTCGAGGTCAAACCAGGAGGCGAGACCGTGCATGATAGCCGTGCGCGACGCCACAAAGTTGATGGGCACAGAAAAGTCGAGCAGGTCCTTGATGGCGCAAGTGTAAAAGTCAAACGTCGTCGGCTGGCATGGCGCCGACATGAGTGTTGTGGGAGGGAAGATGCCAACAACGGGCTGAGCAAACGCCTCCTCACGAGCTGCCTTGAACAACGCGTGGAAGTCGGTGCCGAACAGGGTCTGGTTGAAGAACGCTGCCTGGATCATGTTAGGACAAAGACAGCAGCTAAGCGGTGCAGCACCTACCTTTTGCTCGGTCTCGTTGTACAGCCCTTCGTCGGAGAATGGGCAAAAGTGGATTTGACCAGACGAAGGCAGAATGCTGCCGCCTGGCTTGAGGAACAGGTCGCGTGCGAGGAGGAATGACTCGACCATGCGTTCGTGCAGGAGCATAACACCAATGGGCTCGGACACGATCGTGTCCACCTTGCCATTCTTGAGCACTGCTTCCTGGACGTACTTGTCCTCGACCATACCGCGCACAATTCGCACCTTGTTGGCGAGATGCGGGTTACCCTCGCCGCGGTTCGCCTGGTCAACGAGCTGAACGTTAGTTAAGCATACGGCCGTGCCAACTCACGATCTGCATCTTGTCCGCCATCGATGACGCCTCGAGCGCGACCACTTCTTTTGCGCCCGCCTGTGCCGCCATGTACGACAGGATGCCTGAGCCTGTGACGCGTGTTAGTTGGGATGGCCACGGGCCAACTGATGCAGCACGACATACCCGCGCCGACGTCCAAGACGACCTTGTCCTTGATTGCCACGGCGGCATTGCCCAGAATTGCCTTGCGGTATGTGCCTGTCCTCGACACATCTCCAATCATGTTGGCCCTGTGAACAGCGTCAGTACGCACAGCCGTGTACATCACGACGGAACGCAATCGTCGTAACGTACTGGTTCTGGAGGTTGGAGTAGAACGAGAAGTAGAACGAGTCCTGCAGTGTGTCAGTCCAGTACACCAGTACGGTGAGGTTCATCCGTCTGCTACCTCGTCTGGCAGGATCGCACCTTGTCATTGTCGGCCATGCTCTTTTGCTCCCTGTACGATCAGTTACACTGTCCTCGGACATCCGCCATCACTTGTCGACAACGTACTTGGGCTTCTCCTCTGCGGGCATCTGGACATCTTGCTGTGGTGTAGACATGGTTGTTTTGTCAATGAACGAATCGAGGGGATAGGGGAGAAGATACGAGGTTGCGTCTCCCTTTGCTATAGCAGAACGAGAGCGATGCGATGGAGAAGTGTGTAGGACAAGCAGATCTTGGCACCACTGGGAGTTCCAAACACGCCCGTCCACGCGAGTGGCCCTTGCGGGGTCCCACAGTCGTCATACCTTCGTTGGGGTTTAACCACCAGAAGGGCACTTCATATTGAGTGCGGTGGTGTGCAAGCCGTGGACAATGCTATGCATGTGCTATACTTCTCATATTCACAGACGCTTGCTCAATCCATGGGGAATGTCGTGAAGTACCCATGTAGCTGTCTGTCGCCGCCGTATGGAGTGTCAGAAAAGCGCGCTTGGAAGCCCGGTTTACCGGCCGCAGCCGTCATGACGACATTGCCCACACCTCTGCCGTTTCATAGCCTCACCTTCCTACACATCCACTCTCCACCTCATACCCGCCATGGTCGTCACCGAGCAGCACACTGCGTACAGCTACAACACATTCAACATGTCCACCCAGGATCCCACTACATCGCCGCCGCCAATCCATGTCGCGACAGTGAACGTGTGCGTACACCGTGCCATACGGCCTTCCTCCCACGACTACCTGCGCAGTTCCGTGCTTCCCACCCAGCCTTTCTCCTCCTTCCTCCCACACCATCCCCTGCATTCACTGACACTGTCCAGGCGATACGATGGCCGTCGTAACAACCCAGTCCCTATCCCACCGTTGGGGGCTGTGGATGCTCCCCGCCGTAGGCCCGGAGAGAGCCCCTACCGCGAGCAGCCGTGGGCGGTGCGCCGCAGCAGGCTGGTCGACGCACTCTTGTCGACCGGCGAGCTCGACATTGTCGGCTTCCAGGTGCGTGGGAGGCCCTTGGAGTCTTGCTGACCCGCCAGGAGGTGTACTACTCTCAACTGCTCGACCTCGGTGCTCTCCTCGGACCCAGGTTTGCCAATGTCGGCGTTGGCCGCGATGACGGCAAGCGTGCCGGCGAGTACAGCCCCATCTTCTATGACAAGTGAGGTTGCCTCCCCATCGCAGAATGAACCTGACGTCCAGGGACCGGTTTGAACTCGTCGACTGGAAGACGGTGTGGTTGTCCAAGACACCAGATGTCCCCGGCTCGGTCGGCTGGGATGCAGTACGTTTCAGACCTCGCTTTTCCCTAACACCCCCCCGTTTGTTGACCCTTGTCAGAGCCAGACACGTATCGCAACTTTGCTCAGTCTCAAGGACCGTCGCGGTGGCACATTTGTCCACGCCGTGTGCACCCATTATGATGATCAAGGTGTTCGTGCTCGTGGCGAGAGCAGTCTGCTCATCCGCCGTGCCATTCGTGAATGGGTGGACGGTGTCGAGGCCAACGCCGGTCTGGCGTCCATGAAGCTGGCCCCGGTTATTCTGTTTGGAGACTTTAGTGCGCCTTGTTGAACTGGTTGTTTCCACGTCCACAAAGCTGACTGTCCAGACTCGCCTGCTGAAGAGGACGGATACAAGAACATCACTGCTGACAAGCCTCTCGCTGGTGGTGTTTCGTCGTTCACATTCCTCGACGCCTACGTCAATCTCCGGGCTCGCGGACCCAACCAACTTGGCGTCCAGTCTCGGCCGTATGGTCCGAACAAGACGTACACTGGATTTGACGCTCCTGGCCGAACGACAACGACGCGCATTGACTTTATCATGCTGGCCGCAGAGGACAATCCATCTTTGGCAGAGGCAGCACCTTCTTCCTCCACCCGGTCGGCTCCGGCTGAAGGCCGTGGAGGTTGGCGTTTTACTCAGTACGCTGTGCTTGATAATTGGGTGGAGGAAAGCGATGCGGACGGCTGGGAAGGCAGGTGGAGCGACCACCGCGCTGTCAAAGTCACCGTGGAGCGTGACTAAGGTCTCGGTGGAGGGCTCGTATCTTGCTGGCAGGGTCCTTGACAACTCGCTAGGACGTACCGCGTACAGAATGATATGGACACGTGTGAGCACCATGGCCGCCGGCCGCCGGCCCCCTCGCCAGCCGCTTTGTCACCTGTAAATTCATGGAAGGGACTGACCTGACCACATGCGCAGCACCCAGTTTAACCAGTTTCTTCATTCTCGCTGCAAAAGCTGGTGCAGGGGGGTTGACCCTGGGTTTATCCGAATGACGTACCGGTCCCTCCGCTTACCTCCTTCTAGATGCCGGCCGGCCTTGTGCGATACAATATTTTTGCACTCTCGCGTCTCACTCTCTTACACCACAGTGGATCGCAGGATAGTCCACCACGGAATGACGCTCTAAACCCCTGTCGCGGGCGGGATATCCTGCACGACCTTGAAATGGCCGTAGGGCTGCAGATGGAGGGCCTGCGAATGCTCAGCTTTGCGCGATTGACAGGGGAAGAGGATAAGCGATACCTCCACCGGGACTCAGCAATCCTGTTTTTGCACCTCCACTTCGTTGCGTCCCGACAAGATAAAAACACCATGCCGCCATTCTCAGTTTTGTTCTTCATCACCCACTCCCTCCTTTCATCGTCGTCACTGTCAAGGACTGCTCCTGCACCCCCAGTGAACACACTACTCTCTCAGACCTCCATTTTCAATCACCCATAATGTCTGCCACCATCCCCACCCAGTTCACCGGCCAGGCCGCCATGTCGAAGCAGAACGAGGAGAAGTTCGACCTCAAGGAGCACTCGTACACCCCTCGCGCCTTCAACGAGGACGACGTCATTATCAAGATCGAGTGCTGCGGCGTGTGCGGCTCCGACCTCCACACCATCACCTGCGGCTGGCAGGCGCACGACAACTTCCCCGCCATCGTCGGCCACGAGATTATCGGCACTGTCGAGCGTGCCGGCGCCAACACCACCCACAAGGTTGGCGACCGCGTTGGCTTTGGCGCTCAGTGCTCCAGCTGTGGCGAGTGCTCCAGCTGCAAGGCCGGCCAGGAGAACTACTGCCTGAAGGGTATGGGCGTGAGTACTGTTTCCATGACATGGAACTAGCAGCTGACAATGATAGGGCACCTACCAGGGCAAGACTGGTGACAAGGTCCAGCCTTACACCCAGGGCGGCTACGCCGACTACTACCAGGTAAGTACACGCTGCACGAGCAAAAGTCCAAGTCGGCATTCACAGGTGCTAACTGGTGTCGCAGGGCCCCGGCCACTTTGCCGTCCCCATCCCCGCCGAGCTCGAGTCGGCCGTTGCCGCCCCTATGCTCTGCGCCGGCGGCACCGTGTACGCGCCCCTCGTCCGCTACGGCGCTGGTCCCGGCAAGAAGGTCGGCATCATCGGCATTGGCGGTCTTGGCCACCTCGGTGTTCAGTTCTCGGCCGCTCTCGGCGCTGACACTTTCGCCATCTCGCACTCGGACAGCAAGCGCGCCGACGCTGAGAAGCTCGGTGCCAAGGGCTTTGGTGAGTAATAATATGCAGCACGCCAGACACAGCAGCTGACCTCTCCAGTTGCCACCAAGGACGCCAAGACCGCCCTCGCTGAGCACGCCGCGACTTTCGACCTCATCGTCTGCACTTCCTTCCAGGAGGGCATGCCTCTCCAGGAGCTCTACCTCCCCCTGCTCAAGCCTTTCGGCAACATGGTGATTGTGGGCATTCCGAACAGCGGGATCCCAGCACCTGGTTGGGCTGTTCTTGGCAAGAGCATCACTGGTTCGCTCATCGCCTCGCCCAGCGAGCTCACCGAGATGTACGCCCTCGCCGTCGCCAAGGGTGTCCGCACCTGGGTCGAGACCCGTCCCATGTCGGAGGCTACCCAGACCCTGCAGGACATGCACGAGGGCAAGGCCAAGTTCCGCTACGTCCTTGTCAACTAGAATGTGGACAGTGCTGCGTATAGAGGCGAGCTTGCTGTAAGAGACAATTTTTAGATGTACTCATATTTTTTGTCCGACTGGTTTTCATTCCGCCACACTCCGATGCCTCCTTTCTGGCCTCTGGCTACACTGACGGACACCAACAGAGACAGTCTACCTCTGGTTCTGACTTTTTCCCTTTCTAATTCTCTTGCATTGCGTCCAGGCAATGACAAAGCACGCGTCCATTCAGTGGACCTCAAACATCTGCTTCCTCGCTTCGACGCGTCGGTGGCTGGCTTTCTCCGACAATAAAATCAATAAAAGCCCAGGCGTCAAACAAACCCATAATCGCGATCGTTGTCATTACATGGCATAATAAAGTCCAATGCAACATATATCTGAGCTAAGCTTCTCCACAACATACGACCTAATCTAATGAACATCGGCGACGAGGGAGTGGCTTGCATGCCCGTGATCTCCGTCGGCAAGTCGATAACGCGGCCTTCGAGGAAGATTGTGTACAAAGAGCCGGAGTCCAGCGCCGTACCAATCATCTGTCGAATAACAAAAATGTCCACCGAGAACTGCTCCGAGTTGTAGAGGCCGTTGCACAAGTCCGCGAATATACTCCCATTGGCCTTTTGGTGACCGTGGCGCGTGTCCTTGATTCTGTCGACGGAATCGAGCACGAGGAATTCGTCGCCATCGTCCAGCAGGCGCTGGAGGACAGTGGGTAGGGCAGAAAGCGGAAGAACAGCAGCCGCCGTGGCCATCCACACACGCTTGGTATAGCGGGAGCCCCAGCTCACCACCGTGCCGCGCTGACGGTATGTACAGTGGGTGTGCGTCCCCCGAAAGGTCCTCGATGTCGACAGTGGACTCCTCGTCTTTCTGGGACTTGACATTCGGGGGAGACTTCATGTCGGGAGGGGATGGGGGTCTGGGGATCTTCTCTCCCGGGTTGCCCCAACCTGGTGGTGGAGGCGGAAGTGGTTGAATCCTACCAAGTTGGTGCTGGGGATCCCTGGGAGCGATGCCTGCCAGGCCAACCGCGTCTTCTCCGTTTCGGCCCGGACCCAACATGCATTCTCCGAGATCCGCAAAGCGGTCAAGTGGAGCACCGTTGTTGCTTTGGCGTACATCAGCCTCCCGGTCGACTAGCGCGTCGAGCACCTTCTGCGGGAGAACGAGGTTGCGGCGGCGAACGGAGGAAGGGAGAGGAGGGATCGCGATCGCCACGGCGGTGAATTCGTCCTGGACGTCATCTTCGTCACCATCCATGCAGAGACCGCCGTGCCGGACGAGCTCGTGGTTCTTGGGGTCATAAACCAGGAGGCGTGCGCGAGCAATGGGGTCGATGACGTCCACTCTTGAGGTAGCTGAGGTCGAAGTGCTCGAGGATGTGGCTGTGGTTTTAAGTCAACCTGGGTGTACCATTTTCGTCATGTGGTGTAATGTATGCCTACTGGGTTGCATGATGTGACGGATGGAGAAAGAGAGGGAAATAGAAAAGGAGGAGAGAGAGCTTGTCTGTTGTATTCGTTCAAGAGAAGCCGATGCAGGTCAACGGATTGTGTGCGTATGCTAAACGGGATGAGCCGATCAAGTATGGGTGTTTGTAATAGAAGCAAACCCCCGAGGTTCCCTGTAGGCTGCTGCAGTCTACATGCAGCTGTGAGGTTGCCAGGAGGCGCACGGGGCAATGGCGAAGGGAGCTGGGCTACAGCGGTGACATGGGGAAAAGAATGGTGGACAGGAAAAAGAAAACAAATCAAGCCAAAGTCAGTCGCGAACCACATAGACGGAATCAGTTTCTACGACGCGTGCAGAGTGCACCACTGTTCTTGCATCTTAGCCGTTGGACCTACGTTGCACAGAAACGAACCTGTTTCCTCAATTCCTCATGGCCTCATCGGTGCTCACCACATTACGCGCCGAGTCATTCTCAGAGAACAACGCCAGGGCGGTCCAGACTCCGGCGGGCGGTCGCGACCAGACAACACCCCAACTCAAGGGTCCAGTGCCATCATCACCAACAACAACAACAACAAGACTCAACTGCCTAGCGGAGCAACTGAGATCCTCGGCTCGACTCGGCTCACTTGGACCACCGCATCCAGCGCGAGCAGCATTGTTGCCGTTCAAGCTCTCTCAACCCCCGCTTCCTCCGCTGAGCATCACGATGACGGCAGCTGTTCAGCCCAACAGCAGCGCGAGCTCAACATCTGCGACAGCTGTCCCTCGCGGCGTCCCTTCTACGAGCTACGATGACAACGCCAATCTCAAGGGACTGGCTTGATTCCCAGACAAACTCGCCAGTTCTTTGACCCCAAACGGACACTCCATAGACCTTGAGAAGGTTGATTTCGGCAACAGCATCCCTGTGGGTGCCATTCGTTCCCTCTCGACTTCGTTCTGGTGCGCGATTAAAGATTTGCCGAACAAGCCATGGAGTATTGGAACTAAAGCAACGTCGTCCAGCGAAGGCCGCGCGAGGCAAATGAACACCCTTCTTCCAGCGTGTCGAGCAGTCAAGAGGCTGCTCACTGAGTCTAAGCAAACCGGCGATCCCGTCAAGTTTCACGTCGGTGGCGGCCGTGAAGCTCGACCGGGAACGATCATTGCTGCCGGCTCAATCGTGAGTCATTTTTATTCAAAATCGCTCTGCTCTGCTCACACATACAGCTGCGGTCGGCCACAGATGCTGTCAGCTTACGCGGAGGATATCGCTTGCGGTGTCTATGCCGCCTACGCCCACTTTCGCCTCATCCCCATCTCGACCTTCAGGCGCAATGTTCCAGTACCTCCCGCTTGCACAAGTCCAAAGGGACGCTTGCGCACCTCGTTGGCCTCGTGCGACTGTGCCAATCGCAATGCTGAATTGCTCGGGACCTACCTGTCGCGCCGTCACCCACACGGCAAGGTCGTATGGAGGGTAAGTCCTTCGCAAGCAAACCCCAGCTAACTGAACCGCAGTCTGTTATCGTCTGCTTCCGAACGGTGCGACGTGATTTTGGTCAACCAGCTCAGGAAGTCAAAGCGACTCCCTGCCTTGCTTGAGCTGCCACAGCCCCGGAGGCCTCTTGCACCCTGTTCGAGGGGCGAGCAGAACTTGGAGTGAGTCGCTGCGGCGTCCTCAGTTGACAGAGGTGACGTTCCCTCCAGCGCCTACCGCTTTGTGCGCGAAGTAATATATTCCCCCTGACAGCAACGGACGTTGTGGTGGCCGTGGACGAGGTGCACGAGCATAGCGTGGACCAGGACGTGGTCCTTTGACTTCTGAAGGAGGTAGGTGGGCCAAATATCACAGACACATGTGGTTGACTGTTCTCGAGCTCTTCCGGCGCCGCCGTGATTTGGTCATCTGCATGTACGCCACTCGCGACTTGACGGCACTCAGCACCTACTCCGAGCTTGGACCCGAGACTGTGGAACTTCCAGGAAGCCCGCAGGCAATTTGTGCAGAGTCACCTTAAAGGACGCCGAGTGCTGCTACCAGGCGCTCTTTCCAGGCATGGTCGCCTGGTTATACGTAGATTGTTCCATGTCAGCGAATTCCGACATTGTTTCCTCCTACTGGGCGCTGGTGGCTGTCATCTACCCGATTCATTACGCAGAGGCGGCTCTGCTCGCTTGCAACAGTCCACTCACTCCACTGAGGCAATGCTGAAGGTATCCATACTAGAAATGGGGCAAGAGGCCGAGGGTTGCAGGAGGTCAAGAAGAACATGGATGTGGTTTCCGTCTAGACTGCCGCGGCACATCTTTCTGCCGAGGAGCCCTGCTCACTGGGCACCCCATCAACCAACTATTGCTCCCCGACATTCAGTCCCCGTGACCGCTTCGCACCCGGCAACAAGGACTTGAGCGGTGTTCTTCTGGGGTGGTTCCTAGGTATGAGGCGAGGACTGGCCGGTTGCCCGTTGCTTCTCTCGGTCGCTTACTGCTGCCGGGCTGGGTTGGCTTCCTTTTGGTGAGTAACCGACGAGGCGGAGTTAGCCTGGAATTGGCCACTGCCCGCTGATCCGGTGATCCGCACGCTGTGGAGCAAACGGACATCGGACTTGCAGAGTTGATGGCCTCCTGGACGCTTTATCGAGTGTACAAGTACACAAGCTCGATGGGCACATGCACGTCCGTATGATTCTGGTCGTGCGAGCACACTGGTGGCAGAGAGATTACCGGGGGGTGACCGGGCTGGCCCGATTAAAGTGCGGATTCCCGAGATCCCGACCATCTCCGATCGCCGTTGGTGGGGGTGGATCGCCTACTGGTGAACGGGAGAAGGGCCAGACTGTGGAGATTCCAAGTCGATATTCCATCTCTTGTGACAACCCTCCCTCCACCTGTCTCTTGACACCGTCTCTCTTGACCCTCCCCACAAACAGTCCTCTCCAGCCCAGGTCGCCTTCGCCAGCCTCCCTCCTCGCCACCTCGTCTGCTCAACAGCGCCCGCGCGCGCCAGACTCCGCCCGAGGTACGGGCCTGCGGCATGAACCCCGTCCCCATCCCCTCCACTTGTCGATGCACTTTAACGTCTCAACGGCCGAGGCCCCCAGCACGAGGTTGAGCGAAGCCGCCGCCGCTGCTGGTGTGCCCACTACCGAACTCGCCGCCGCCGCCGCTGCAGCTGTACCAGCCCCCTTGTCCGCCGTGGCCATGAGCGTCGCCGCCAACCCTGCCCCCGTGGCCAGCGCTGCCGGGCACGCCGCACATCAAGTCGCCCACGCCGCTGTCAACATCCACCATCATCCGCAGCACACCTCAGTACCGACCACTGCACTCCCCCTGCATCCTGCCGTCCCCGCACCGCAGTATGAAGAGGCATACTATGAGGACATTGAGCGGGAGCCCGCGCTCACGTTTAGAGAGCGCGTGAGCGACTTTGTGCAGGACAACCAGACCGTCATCAACACGTTCTGTGCTGGTGGTCTGGCCGGCGCGGCTAGCCGAACGGCAGTCGCACCGCTGGAGAGGTTGAAGATTATCTTGTGAGTACACCACCACTCCTCCATGGCGGACTGTCGAGGGCCATGAGCCTGCGGCGACATCGTCGGTGTCGTTTGTCGGAGCAACCCCACGCCGGCGGAGCCGTAACCCCAGAGGCAATGGCAATGTCGTGCCTCGGACCCACCGGTCCGAACACGATGTCCGCGACGACGGATAACCGAACGAGCGAGCAGCATCAATCTGCCGACATGCCACCTACGAGAGAGAGAGAACAAGCACTGACTCTGCAAACAGGCAAGTTCAGAGCTCCACGCCTGGAGGCTCGGGACAGGCATATGGTGGCATCGGGCCGAGTTTGGTGCGGATGTGGAAGGCTGAGGGCTTTGCGGGATTCATGAAGGGCAATGGCATCAACGTCGTGAGAGTGAGTACCTTACAGTGGCACTTGCACGCGCAAGGCCTCGGCTCTGGGCACCCTGCGCTGGTCGTGTGCACCGCAGCCCTCGGATGAGGGTCACACGACCAGTTGGCATGCCCGCCCATCTATAGCGCAAGGCTAACGGCCAGATCCTGCCCTATTCGGCGTTGCAGTTCAGCTCGTACGGCGTATTCAAGACGTTGTTACGAACATGGAGCGGTGAGGAGACGCTCTCGGCACCCCTGCGACTCAGCGCCGGAGCAGGTGCTGGTATCGTCGCTGTTGGTGAGTCACGGCTGGACACCGCTCGCAATGACATCCGGCAAGATCTGCATTACTGACCCACCAGTCGCCACATACCCGCTTGACTTGGTGCGGGCTCGTCTGTCAATTGCGACAGCAAACATGGCCCAAACGGGCGCTGCTGCTGCGGCGTTTACAAGCGAGGATGCCAAGCTCGGTATGGTCGGTATGACCAAGAAGGTGTACCGCACCGAGGGCGGAGTGAGGGGTCTCTAGTGAGTACAGTTGCTTGATAGCCTTAGGAAGACCTAACTGTGCTAACTCTTCAGTCGTGGAGTGTTGGCAACAGCGGTCGGCGTGGCACCGTACGTGTCACTCAACTTTTACATGTACGAGAACCTCAAGAACCTCGTGTTGCCGGCCGACCTCGAGATGGGCGACGCAGAGTTTGCCGCGCGCAAGCTGCTATGCGGTGGCCTCGCGGGAGCCATCTCGCTCATCTTCACACACCCTATGGACGTGGTGCGCCGCAAAATGCAGGTCGCAGGCCTCGCGGCTCTGTCGCCGCAATACAGCGGCGCGATCGACTGTATCGCCAAGACGATCAAGTCGGACGGGTTCTGGAAGGGCATGTACCGCGGACTGGTGCCCAACTTTGTCAAGATTGTGCCGTCCATGGCCGTGTCGTTCTACACCTTTGACACGGTGATGGATCTCCTCCAGGACTGGCAGGCGCGGGATGACGACGATGACGACGACGTCGTATAAGTGTAAACAAGTATCGCATCGCAGGCCCCATTACCAGAACATAACCATCTGCTCAACCATCTGCTCGAGAGAGGATCGCCCGAGAAGTATATCCGCCATCTATCAACCCATCTACCCCCCTGGTCCCACACATTCGGCCGAACCCCGGTTGTCTCCCCACCCGCCCCCACCCAGGATCTTGTCACCATTATTCATCGCATCGTGACTGCACATGCATGGCATAAAGAAAAGAGAAAGAGAAAGAGCAGATAATGCACAATGAAAATAAGAAGTTAAAAAACAGGGGCTACTAAAAACGACTACTATGTGTTTACTCGACGACGGCGGGGTCCATCAAGAACCTCGCGGTCAGTCTCGTTTGTCTACAACTCTACTATGGGTTTTCTGACTCCGTGGTCACTCCACTGCCTCTCCCCTCTCCCCTCCCACCCCTCCCACTCCCACTCCCACTCCCACCTTGTCGACCCTCTGCGCTCGGTCCCTCCCCTCCCCAGGCAAACGCCAACGCGATCCTAGATCGGTCCGTGACTAAGGCTGAGGCTGAGGGGCTAAGGCTGGAGCAAAAGCACAGGTCGCCGCTGGCGCTGTCCCTCGCCCATCGCTTCTCACCCTGGCCGGCCCAGTTCCCATCCTAGTCTTCTTTGCCTCGCTTCCTGGGTGCTTTCGATAAGAAACGAACCTTTTTTTGTTTGTTTCGTCGTCGTTGTCGTCCGCTCGCTCTGGCCACGTCGGTTGGTGCCTGCACCAAAAAACGCGCGTAACGCCTCCCGCTGGCTGGCGCGCCCGCCGCGCCACCATGTCGACATCGCTTCCCTTCGTCCTTCAGCTTATCTGTGCAAGCGAAGTGATTCGCGTCGCCATATAGGAACGCTTATCGCCGTTCGAGGAGCGAGGGCCTGCTCAGATCCTGTCACCGATTCGGCGATGGCCAGATGCTCGGCCCGGGTATCAGTGCTTAGCGGCCGGGACGCCGTTGCCGTTGGCATGGCCGTTGGTGTGACCGTTGGCGTGGCCGTTGGAGAAGCCATTGGAGTGGTGGTGTGCGTGGCCGTTCACGTGGCCGTTGGCGTGGCCATTCTTGAGGCCATTGGCGTGATTGGTGTGACCGTTCGCGTGGCGGTGGCCGTTCGAGTGCGAGTGCGAGTGCGAGTGCGAGTGCGAGTGGCGGACACGAGTGGCCTTGACCACCACGGGGATCATCTCACCCGTTGACAGCGGGTACGGCTGGTGTCCGAGCACGGCGAGGAGGTTGCGGAAAATGGCGCCATGGCCCGTGATGCTCACGTCTGTCGTCGAGTCAGCACAGCACAGCGCACATGTTGGCCGCAGTCACGGAGAGTCTACGAGTGTGTGGCGGTCCGTGCAGCCGCAGTCACGATAATAGACCACGAAAATGAGCCGGCCGGACCGTGAGGTCGCCGTGGAATGGGACGCGTCACGGCAGTGGGCAGACAAGGCCGCAGGCGATTGCCGCGCCTTGCTTGCGCACAGGATAAGGGGTGTGGAGGTATCGCGAGCAACATTGCAAAGGTCCATTCTGGCGTCCGGACCAGAACGAGCCGAAGCAGCCTCCAGAGGCTTTTGGGGGGCTTTGGGGACATTTACTCACATGTCTCGGGAGCGGCGCCGTCGAACACGCGGTCCAATGCACGGCGCATGCGCTTCTGCATGGAGGTATCCGACTCGCGCTGGTCTGGGAACCACAGCAGGTCGTCCTCCTCGAAGCCTTCTTCAATGATAATGTTGGGGAACCGAGTGGCGATCGTAGACTGGTAAATTAGCATCAAATGTCTTGGAAACACAATGTAATAAGAGGGGCCGGGTTGCGCCACACATTGTGGCGTTCACGCCGTCGCGTGCCGTTTCAACGCGCTGGCGTGCGTTTGAGCGTGCTGGGCGCGCACTTGGCGCAAGCCTCAACGTATACGACCCGGCACCCACTGCCATGGTACCACTGGCACCACCCGGTTTAGCGCGAGTTCTGCTCACCTTTGTGCTGCGCTTGTCACACGTGTGCAAACCGACGATCTCGCGCCAGTCCTGTGGGTTCAGCCTTGTTGCCCCAACGCGCCATCTGGGCACCATTCGCCGTCGACTCCCCCCCCCCCCCCTTCTCCACAATATTGTGTGGAGCAGACGGGCCGCGTCGGCCTGTTGGGTCGCCGGTCACACCGCAGACGAGGACCACCGCGAGGAAGCGGCGTTGACCGCGACACGGTGAGCGACCAACGTCAGCGGCCCCAACCATGCCTGCGGCGCGTGACTGGGTACGTGGGGCGTGTACCACCTGCCGCCACTGGTACTGAATACAAGGGGAGACGAGGAGGACCGAGGGGGTTACGAGGCGCACGACTCTCAGTACCCGCCGCGGATGTGGCCGCCGGATGGCGGTGTGTACTCCGCCACGGCGCGACCTGTGCACGGTGGTATACTTCCATCGGGGAGAATGGAGGCGTGAACACATCCGGCGAGGCAGAGTGAATGTGTGGCCATGCGGCCAAGCAAGTCATGCACACTCGTGCACCGGCCACATCCGTTTTGGCAACAACAGACAGACGTCTCCCCTGGTAACCCCATTCACCCTCTCTCTCCGACTTGGCTCACGGCTCGTCACACTGAGACAGGGGTCTCAATGCGAGTAACCGTTTGCGGACGGGTCGCTACTGCGTCGACGCGGTCGCGGACAAGCTCGGGGCTGTGCCCATGCTCGCGGGGGCCGAGCACGTTTCCCCATGTGTAGCAAAAGCAAAGACTAGGAAATGCGACTCACCTCCCAAATTTCCGGTGTGGCACTGATCATTTCACCCCAGCTGTTGTACATGGTCTGGCAAGTGCGTTGCAGCGGCGAGACGAACCAGCGGATTTCTCCAGGGTTGATGGGCGCGCCGTGGGGACGCTCCTTTTGCCATGTCTCGTAGATTGCACGTGTCTGCTTGTGGCCCAGAGGGGTGAGCTCGGGGTCGGGACCCCATACCAAGTTGCCGTCGCCGTTCTGGCACGTCCAGTACGTCTCCCAAGACTGGAGAAGACGAGCCTGTCAGCAAGCCTGGTCCTTGTTTCTATCTGCGACGCCTCTGTTCCACCAGGCTCAATGAATCAATGAACGGGGCCTGGAGAGCACGGTCGCGACCGACCCAAAGACCCATGGCCCCTGGGTGGCCGCCACGGTACGGCTTGGTCGGCGGTCACCGGTACAGACCGAGAGGGTCCCGTTTCACAACCCGCGGCGGCCGCCCTGGCTACCCAGATGACATTCCACCCAACTTTTGGCGCACAAAGCCACCTCCTTGTGCTCCAGACAGACAGAAGAAACGCGTGCTCACCTCGACACCATAGCGCTCCGCACCATAGTTGTGCCAGCCCTGGCCGTGGCGGCCGAGGAAGAAGACCTTGTAGTGGACTCCCGCCGGCGCCTCGGCCTGGAGACGCGCGACGTCGGCACGCAGGTTGTGCCAGCGGTCGGGGGAGGTGTCCATGAGACCAAACGACTTGTCGAGCTGTGTGGGAGGGTGCCAAGCATTCAAGAGGGACACGGTGCGAGGTGTAGAGTGGGAAGAGGGGAAGAGGGGTTGCGTCAGCGTGCAAGGTCCGTGGAGCCACCGTAGCGTTACTCACAAGGTCCTCAAAGTCGTTGTGCTTGGGCTTGGGGCCAGTCTGGACGAAGAAGCCCTGCACCGACTCAAAGGTGAACTTGTGCGCGGGCTCGAGGAGGCCAGGCGACCTGAGGGGACCGCCGTCCTCAGTGTCGGCCACAGCCGGGAAGTCCGGGTGGGGGTTGATCTTCGGTACTTGGAGGGGGGCGACGAAGACCATTGTTGTTGGGAGTTGAAAAAGGGGTGAATTGGCCGATGTATGAGGATGGGATAAAGCAAAAGACAAGTTGCCTGGGGGGGGAGGGGAGAGGGGGGTTGCTGTTATAGCTGAATTCGTGTGTGCTGATGGGGCTCGCTGTGGGACGTGGTGGGTGATGAGGACGTAGTGCGAGTGTGAGAGGTGGGCCTGGGGATGATATGTGATGCGGAATGGGCAAGACTAGGGGGCCATTGAGCGGTGGATTCTTAGCACATTTATTGACTCGCTCTGTCCGTTGCTCTGGGCGACTGCGCGGCTCGCGACCGGGAACGTGGGTAAACGTGTGGGGCACCTGATATGCGCGCTTCCTGCAGTCAATGCCGTTTTTAGGCCCTACAACAAGGATGTCGCGGGCAGAGTCTGCCGTACGCCGTCCTGCAGGACCCAATGCATGGAGACACGCTCCGCTCCACCACGCGTGCCACCAGCGCGCGTGGCGTGCGCGGCGCTGTGGCATGTCGAAAACATACTGAGCACGGAGCAGGGCACGGACGCTTTGCGCCACAACGTCGCGCGCGTTACCCACAGCCAAATGGGCCATGACCTCGAGATCCCCCAAACTCCCCCCCCCCCCCCCCCAACCAGTCGGCTAATCACTCATGTATGGGCTGCGCATTGTGTGCTATCACAAGACATGTGCGTTTCAGGCTATTGTATAGCCCGTCGCGCAGTGCACATGACAAAGGGAATGGGGCAATGGAGCGATGCATAGGCCGCATTGGCTCTCGGCACATTTCTACGCCCACACGCTCTGCCTATCGTTGGACGACGACGACGTCGACAGGTTGCGCATGGCATCCGAAAAGTCCTTGTTGGTGGGCACATTCTGGCAGCGGTCCTCGCGGAGCTTTGTTGCCTGTGTCAAGGTGTTAGCACTACTAGGAGGGGGGTCTTTCTTTCTTTCTTCTCTGGGCGCGCGTGGAAGCAGGGTTGCGTACCTCGGGCTGTTCCTTCATAAGGGCCTGGTAATTAGCACGCAGCACAGCACAGTACACCATGCGCCATCGACGCTATCGTTGACGTACCTTGATCCGCTTGGCGTTGGCCGGATGAGTCGACATAAAGTCCAGGTTGCCACCGCCGCCGTCTGCGGCCGACATGCGCTCCCACATCCTGCCCCCATTAGCAAGTAACAAGGCAACGACACGACACCGTGCTCACTTTGGCGCCTCAGATGGGTGATAACACGCCTTGGCCATGAGGTTCAACCCGATAGTGTCGGCCTCGCTCTCGTTGGTACGAGAGTTGGGCAACCTGACAGTCAGTCCTGATTTCGTGATCGGCGGCCTTCAAGACAGGCTAAGCCATTGTTGTGTCGGCTGGTATGTAATGTAATGAACACGTACTGGAGTAGAAATGTCACCAGCAGCCTAGTGAGCCCCACATCGAGTCCAAGTGACTCGAACAAGAAGCTAATTCCAAAGAGCACCTTCATGGAGCTCATCCGTTCGGCGCCATGGCGTGCCACTGTCGTCAGTCGTGTCTCGGACCGAAGGATCCACTCACCGACGTGCGCAATTTCATGACCCATGACGGTGGCTAGGCCATCGTCGTTGGCAGACACCGGCAGGATGCCGGTAAAGACAAAGATCTTGCCTCCTGGAATCACAAACGCGTTCTTGGTCTTGGGGTCGTCGACCACAAACACTTCCCATTCGTTCTTGGTGCTGTTCTGGTCGTCGGCCCTGTCCCCGCTATAGATGTTGCCGTTCTCGTCGATGCCCCATTGGGACATTCGGGCCTCGACAGCACCGAGACCGGGGGCCGACTTCATGTGGCCAAGAGCGTTGCCCTCGACAATGCGAGTCGCGATTTCACGGACGCGCCTGGTGATGGGGTGGTTGGGTGGCAAGCACTTCATGCCAAACTGATCCATGGTCTCGACAAAGGACGCCTTGCCAATCTCCTGCTCCTGCTCTGGGGAGCAGTCCATGAACCGCAGACGGCCAGTCTCAGGAACACGTTCGAGGCTGGTGTGGCGGGCAGTTAGTCACAGTCTCAATTGACACAAACAAAAAAGCCACCACCCAAACGTCGTCAGTGGCACGCGCGGAAGACTCACTGTGCAATGTAGTAGATTACGCCAAACCCAGTAGCGACTCCAAAGACGATCATGCCGCGGTCTCCCCCCAAGCGCCGGCGCAGAAAGTTGGTGACATTGTTGCTTCCACCAGGCTGCCCTGAAGACGGAAAGTCGAAGCGTTCATAACGAGCGCTCTTTGGTGGGCTAGTCGTGAAACCACGCCGAGGGAGCTGCTTGAGGACGGCTGGACGCACTGTGCGTGCCGCAGGGATCGATGCCAGCGACTTGGCGGCGGGGCGGGCGATACGCGTGGCGGTCAGAAGGGGCCTCATGGTGAGATGAGTGAGAGGAAGAGTGGGAAGCACAGAGAAGCAGATGGAATCGGCGGGCTCTGCGATCTGGAGTGATGGCAGCGAATGTCGAGCGATCAAGCGAGAGGCCGAGAGGGCCGCCGATGACGACGCTGATGCGGGGCACTCGGCCCAGGCAGCGAGAGCGATAGCAACCGGCCCATCCAGCGCGCCTTTTTGATTTCAGCTCGCCTATTAATTTTTGGGTGCCCCGCACGCCTACCAAAACACACCCCGCCGGCTGCTAGGCGCGCACAGCCTGCCTCTGCCAGCCGCCGCTGTCCCCTCCCTGAGCCCGCTGTGACGCACGAGCGATGGCCGTCCTCTCCGTGTCGACGCCTCTATCAACAGTATCGTCAGTCGAGCATCGCAACACTGGCATTCATCCAAACATGCCGTCTGATCTCTCTTTCTGGATCGTATCGGTCCCCCTCCCCGACGGCGACCCCAACAGCGTCGTCGAAGACGTCCGCAAGGCTACTGGCGGCACCGTCCCCGTCGGAGGCTGGGAGATTCCCGAGCTCAAGGTGTGTCCTTCTTCTCCTCCTTGACGTGCGCCTTGACATGTCGTTGGCGTCCATGTCTCGGGAGGCCAGCTGCAACTGTTCTTACCACAGCTGGGCCACATGGACCTCGCATTATTACTGTCCCAAAGACTAGATGCTGACCTCTGCCAGGCCGGCACTCTCTCGTCGCTCATCACGCTCTCGGACTCGCTGCCCAAGACGGACGCTCAGTTCACGCAGACCGTCTCCAAGCTCCTCGACACCCTGCGCTCCCTCGTCAGCGAAGACAAGACCCGTCTTGCGCAACATGCCCGTGTCAATGACCGCGCAACAGAGGCCTACGTCCTCCCGGACCCCACTGGATCTGGCGGCTGGCGCTGGGACAAGGGACGCTGGGGCGACGGCGGCAAGGTCGGCGATGTCGTGACTGCCCTCACCGAGGTACGTGTATTGAGGTTGACGTGAGAGACAGAGAGATAATCGTGGACACTTCACGATGAAAGCAGTCGTGGCTGTGGCAAGGTGCCTGTTGGGCAGGACCTTTGGGTATGGTGGTGGTGAAGACCACGTTTCTTCCGTGGTCGCTGTCAGATTGTCTCCTCAAACCTGCCGGCCATCGTCTATCTCACTCAGCATCCACTTGACGCCTTGTCACTGACAAATTGCAGGAGATGACCACCATCGAGACCTCGCAGAAGCAGAAGACCCAGACGTACAACCTCGCCAAGGGCGCCCTTACTTCCCTGCAGAGGAAACGGACGTGGGTGGTAGTATGTCGATCGGCGCTGACCCACCAGTGGAAACCTCTCGCAGCGCTCGCTCGTCGATGTCGTCAAGAAGGAGGACATTGTTGAGAACTCCGAGTTCCTCGAGACCCTTCTCGTTGCCGTGCCCAAGTGGGTTCCCCTGTCTTGGATAGTGCTGACCCGCCAGGACCCTTGTCAAGGACTGGGAGTCCAAGTATGAGCGCCTCACCTCCATGGTTGTTCCCAGGAGCTCCCAGTGCGTATTGTTGAGCACGTTGAATGAGACACAGCTGACAGCGTTTTCTTATCCGCTTGCGTTTCGCCTATCTATCATCGGTTGCTGTCGTCGTCGACCTCGACCCAACCCCAATAATATCGGCCGCGCTTTACTGCACACGTTTCCTGTTTAATTCAACCCTTCAGCCAAGTTGCCGTGGACGACGAGTTTGCGCTCATGTCCGTTACCCTCTTCAGGAAGGTTCGCGACGACTTCATCCACAAGGCCCGTGAGAACAAGTGAGCTCCACCATTGACCCCGCCGCAGAGCGATTCTGACAAAGCAGGTTCATTGTCCGCGACTTCAAGTGGGACGACGCTGGTCTCGATAACCAGAAGAAGGAGCTTGCCCAGCTTGAGAAGGAGGAGAAGGAGCTCTGGGTGAGCTAGCGCGAACCGATTTTGAGCTGACACGTTAGACCGAGCTGCTCCGCCTGTCGAGGATAAACTTCTCCGAGGCGTTCCAGCTCCTCGCACACCTGAAGACCGTCCGCCTCTTTGTTGAGAGCGTGCTGAGGTACGGTCTCCCCGCCGAGTACGCCGGTGTCATTGTCAAGGTGAGTAGCAGGAAGGACTCTTTTCATTGGCCCATGATACCAATAGCTGACAACCTGCAGCCCGACCCCAAGACTGCCGTCAAGACCATCAAGCAGCTTGCTGCGCGCTACAACTACCTGGGGTCCGGCAAGAGCAAGGACACCAAGGCGGCCGCCAACGACGATGTGGTTGGCGAGTGGGCCAACGTTATGGAGCAGGAATACTACGACTTTGTGCTGTTTGAGATACCCAAGGTGGAGTTTTAGAGTAAGAGAAAGGCGATGCATGTTGTCCGTGATTTTTACAGATACACCGAGATACCCGCTATCGCTGTGATGTGGAGCGTTGCGACCATGAGCACGCGAGGGCAGGCCGTTGAGACTAGCATGTGTGGACGGCATATTCCTGCCACTCACCCGAATCTCGCCCGCAAGCGCAGACAACCGCCAGTTGCCGAGGTGGGCCGGCATTAGTCCACTCGGATACCGGGCCGACGTCCCGCCGGCCGTCCACATGAGGCCTACAACAGCAATGGAGTACGCTGTTTTCTGCTTGCGTTTCTCCCCACCCTCACGACTCTCTACTTGGACATAGACACCTCGCCGTACCCGCCATTCACAATGTCGCGTTATCACCAGCTCACAACCGAACAGCCCGCGAGCGTCGTGGACCTGAACCTGGCCCCCAACACGTCGTGTGTCCTCGTCAAGAAGCAGACCATCGAGGTCCGCCCTACCCCTCTGCCCATCCTTCAGCCCGATGGCATTCTCGTCAAGGTCATGGCATCGGGAATCTGTGGCTCAGATCTCCACAACTACCTCGCTGGCGGCGTCGGTGGGCGTCCTGTGACTGAGCCACTGGTCATGGGCCACGAGAGCTCTGGCGAGGTCATTGCCGTGGGCGAGTTTGTGACCACACACAAGGTCGGAGACCGCGTTGCTAGTGAGTGATATGTGCGCCATGGGCTGCAGGGAAGGTGTGCTTGTTCGCGACCCCGCCTACTTTGGGGGAGCCAGGGTAACGACAACTACGCCATGCCCCGCATTGTGGCCTTTAAACCCAAACTGCCTGAAAGCTGACCATATCTCAGTCGAACCGGGACTCCCATGCCGCAGGTGTGCCAACTGCAAGGCTGGCCGCATGAACATCTGCCTGGACGTCAAGTACTGTGGCGCCCCCGGCTCGGTCGGCAGCTTGATGCGTTATTTCGCCTTGCCAGCGGACATGGCCCCGCACCTCCCAGAGAGTCTGTCGTGGGAGGAGGCTGGTTCGCTCCAGCCTCTGGCTATTGGTGTCGCAATCGGTATCCGTGCCGACCTGCGCGCCCACCAGACCCTGGCCATCATGGGCTGTGGCCCTATTGGTCTCATCACCGCTGCCGTCGCGCACGCAAACTCGGCCAAGCTCATTATCGGCTTTGACATCAACCCCAAGCGCTGCGAGTTTGCCAGGAAGTACATCAGTCCCATTACTGGTCGTCCTATCTTTGACCGCGTCTTCCAAGTCGACAGCCTCCCGACGACTAGGAAGAGCGCCAACGGCGCCAATGGCCACGACGCGCACGACGAGAACGTCGGCGACGTCAAGTACGACGCGGCCAAGGAGCGTGCCAAGGAGTACCTTGCCATTATGAACGTCGAGGCAGATGGCGTGGACCGTGTCGTCGAGGCGAGCGGTGCCGAGGACGCCGGTCTCTTGGGTATTGCCATTGCCAAGCAGGGTGCTACTTGTGAGTCCCCTTTCCGTCTCCGTCCTGGCTAGGGACCTCCCCCTGCACAGCTGTTGTCACATTCACCATGCTCACACCCTCCCCAGACCTCGCTGTCGGCCTCGGCCACCACCAGACCAACATCTTCCCCACTCTGGCCGTCACAAATAAGGAAATCGATGTCAAGGGCATCACGCGCTACACGTCCACTTGCTTCCCCAACGCCATCGACCTGGTCCGCCGCGGTCAGGTCGACCTCAAGCAGCTCATCACCCTCGTCCTCCCGCTTACGGAGAGCAAGAGGGCTTTTGACGCCGTGGCGAGTGGCGAGGAGATTAAGGTTATCATCAAGAACCAGGAGTGTTGAGCAACGAGTTGAGAAGTCGACGAGATCCGGAGGGGGGAGGGGGCAACAGCACCAGCACACGCAGCTGGGGCGCTGCCGCAGACACGCATAGTAGGGATTCGGCTTTGTAACGCATATGAACTACTTGAGACAACCCGACAAGCGGCCATGACACCGACCTCGTGGACGATAAGCTCGAGATAAGATGCACAGACGCCACATGGTTGAGAGTGGCACAGCACCAAAACACTGGCTGACATGGCTGTTTTAGTTGCCGATCTGACCACGTCAGTCTACGTGCCTCGTCACCTACTTCTCACACTCCCCTTCCTCTCTCCTTCTCAACCGGCCGACGAGGTCACTCTTCACCCTGTCTCACTTGGCGTCACCTCGCGCCTTTACCAGCAAGGCCAAGAGCGGGTGTAATCGGTCTTTGGTCTTTGGTACGGTTTGTTCTTGGCGACTCGAGTTCCTCTGCTTGCAGCCTGCCACCTTCACACGTGCCTCCATCCCACGTTTGCCGTGTCCCGGCCGCCGTCGTATCCACCTACACCCGCCATCCTTCACTACTGGTCCCGGTTGCTAGTCTTATGATGTCAAGAATGATGTCACTGGGGTCTTGTTGTTCCCATATCGAGACAGATCCGGCTGGGCCGAAGGCCCCCTTCGTTGGGGAGGGGAGGGGGGGGGGCGTTGCACTACCACCTTCTTTGCGACTCTCACGGTCCACACCGCCGGTGCACATGTACAGACGGTGCTGCGTTGCCACTCTCACCGTCTCTCTGTTCACCAGTGCACGTCTCATTAGCTAGACCACAACTGTCAAACCGTCTTAACTCGCCCTTTCCCGTACACCTCACAAGCTCCCCATTCATAACAGCAAACATGTTCGCTGCTCGCGCCGCTCGTCCTGCCCGCCTCGCTGTTCGCGTACGTCCAGTTGCTCCCTTGGCGACAGACACATACGAGGTCGCTGCACACAGTGCTGTACTGACCTGACCCACAGCGCTACGCCACCGGTCCCGGTGCTCCCCCTCCCCCCGCGGGTGGCGTCGGCGGTGCCGCCAGTGGCGAGAAGAAGCCTGACAGTGGGTACTGATTGTCGCCTTCGACGCAGGTCGGCATTGGCAGCACGAGCTCCCTCGTCGGCAGGCCTCCTCATGTGCTTCCCTGCAGCTAACCGCCCTCCCCCACAGACACGCCCCTCCTCATCGCTGCTGGTCTCGCGGCGGCCGTCGGAGGCTACTACTTTATCAACAAGAAGGACGACAAGTCGGACGCCGAGAAGCTCAAGTCCCAGGCCAAGGACCTCACCGGCACGGCCCAGGACGTCGCCGCCAAGAAGGTGGGCGAGATCTCCAACCAGGTGCGTGTGGTTGCGGTGGCTCTAGCAGCATGTGGACGCGGGAATCCTCCCAGTCAAGTATTAACACAGCTTCAAGGTCCAGGCTGCCGTCAAGAAGTGAAGTCCCCACCAAGCGTCGTGCAGGGCTGGCTCCATCTGAAGAGACACGGGCCGCAAGTTGAGGAAAATAAAGAACCAAAAGTCGACCAAAAACAGAGAAGAGCGTGCAAGCTACTTGTGCATCATACTGTACATGTGATTGTCCGTGTCTCCAAATTCAAAGGGATCCTGCCCGTGAGGAGTGCTGCGGCACTCTGACAAAGTGGTGGTGGTGATGATGATGTGCGGTCGTTGTCGTGGGAAGCTCATTAAAGTGGGGGAGGATCCTGTACATCCTCCAGTGCTCATGGTGCCCGCATAGGGAGAGGCGATGTCTCCGGGTCGAGCTGGCTGAGCAGCTTGCTGAGCTTCTGCACATCCTCGGCGAACGGGACGTTGCTACCTCCTGTCGAGTGCGGTGACAAGGTACCATTGCCGTTGGTCGCGTTCAGGTCCTCCATCGCGAGCCAGCTGGTACAGTTAGACTCATCCAGGCTCGTATTCACTCACTGATCCAAGTCGCGCCTGAGATTCTTCGCCTTCAGCCTAAAATGGCTAAACATGGCCTGCTCGTCTGGTAGAGGTCAGTTGCAGGCCAACGATCCCGAAACTCACAAGGGAAAGGAGGCTTGGCCTTGTCTCCACCCTGCAACTCCTGCAGGCGCTCAAACATAAACTCCTTCTCGTCCTTGTCCTGCTCAATCTTCTGTCGCAAGCCCTGGATCTCCATCTCAAGCTTGCTTATCCTCTTGCCCTCGGGAGATGTCGGAGAGCCCGTGAGGTTGGACGGGATACCGCCACTAATGCTCAGGCTGCCGCTGTTGTGTCGCCGGGACGGCGTGAGCGGGGCCGTGTCAAGACGGCGGAGCTGGTCGGTCATGTCGCGACCGAGAGCTTCGTGTGACTGTTGCAATCCGCGGAGGAGCTCGGCACGCGAAGTCTGACCCTTGATGGTAGGCCCTCCGCGAGTGAGACCCCTTTGGCCTGCACCCAGCTCAGCTGCGAGGCGCTCATTCTCGGTGAGGAGCTTGTCCTGGGCCTTCTGGAGACGGGTGATCTCGTCCATGGCCCGAATGAGCTTGCCATCAGACGACCCTGAGACGGTGCGCTTGGGGCTGAGAACAGCAGTGGACATGCGGCGGCGGTGGTCCTGGAGGTCACGTTCGAGAGACGCGACCTTGGCCTCGGCAGCCATGCGGGCCTTGCGCTCGTCCTCGAGGGCCATGATGGCCGTCTTGTCCTCGGTGCTAAGCGATGCGCGAGCGGTACGCGCCTCCTTGCCCTTGGTCTTCTTGAGCAGGTCGTGGGACCGTTGGAGGTCATCCAGGTCGCCCTGGAGACGGTGGCGGTGGGTCTCGAGCGACTTGAGAATCTGGTTGAGACGCTTGTTCTCGGCGACTTGCTCGGCGAGCTGGCGGTCTGTCATCTTCTTGGCAGACTCGAGGACGTGGACGTGCTCCACAATTGTCTTGTTCTCGCGGCTGCGGAGAAGCGCCACTTCGTCGTCGCGAGCCTTGATGTCACCAGCAGCAGAGGCGAGCTCACGCTCAAGCTCCTGCATGTCATTGCGGTAGCAAGCGAGCTGCTCCTTGGCGTCGAGAATGTCGCGCTCCATGCGCTGGCGAGTGGCAATCTCATCCGAGAGCTGCTTGGTGGTCTGCTCCAGGCGCTTGCGAAGCACCTCGCGCTCTTGCTCGAGAGGGAGAAGGGCGTCCTCGAGGTCGGCAAACCGCTCCTCGTTCTCGGCGACCTGGCGGTTGAGACCTTCGCAGGTGGCAGTCATGTCCTGAAGCTTGCGCTCGGTCGTCTTGAGCTGGTTGACGATCGAATCGTGCTCGGCCTGGACCTGCTTCCTGGACTTGTCGGCATCGGCGGCAGCAGCCTCGAGTTTGACAACCTCGGAAGCCTTTGCCTTGAGCGTCTGGTTGGCGGTAGCCAGGTCCTTCTCTGCCGACGAGTGACGGCTGCGAAGAGCATCAATGTCGACACGAAGCTTGTTGGCGAGCTGTACTGCGCTCTCGCGTTGCTTCTCCGACGAGGCCTGCAGGTTCTCGACCTTCTTGCGGAGGTTGGTCATCTCGTCATCGCGGTTCTTCTCCACCTCGCGACGCTTAATGTCTTCTGAAGTCTTGGCGTCCAAGGTCTTGCGCAGCTCGTCGAGCGACTGTTGCAACTTGGTGCCCTCGGCAGTGCTCTGCTGGAGCTCCTTGTTACGCGCAGTAATGTCGGCAGTGAGACCGTCAATCTTGGACTGGAGGCGAGCCTTTTCGGCTTGAACTGCCTCATTGGCCTTGATAGAGGCGGAGCCCTTGGTTTCGAGCTCAGCAATGACCATCTGCTTGGCTGTGATGGTCGTCTCATGGGCCTTAATCATCTCCTTGAGGTCCGAGAGCTCGCTCTCCCGACGTCTGAGGTCCTTGGTAAGAGAAGCGACCTGGGTGTTGCTATCCTCGCTGACGGGTTAGCCCAACAACTTTTCCGTTTGTTCACCCACCTCTTCTTCTTCTCCTCCTGGATGAGCTTTTGGAGATCAACAACCTCGCCGTCCTTCTTTTCCTTGCTGCGACGTGTCTGCTCCTCCTTCTTGGTCATGTCCCGACGGAAGTCGTCGAGCTGACGAGACAGCTCCATCTTCTCATTCTCGAGCTTGGAGTGGGTAGCGGATTTATCCTTGGACTGGCGCAGAAGGTCGGCCTCACGCTCACGCCAAGCGGCGTTGTCCTTTTCAAACATGCGCACCTGCTCGGCGAGCTGGTCGTGCTTGTGCTGGAGCTTGGCGAGGTTGTCGCGGTGGCCCTCGGCAGTGGCGGCAGCCTCGTCGCGCGCCGCTTCGAGCCTTTCGAGCTCCGCCTCGAGCTCGGTGACGCGCTCCTGGAGCGTGGACTCGGCCTCCTTGGAGCGAGTCAGGAGCTGCTCCTTCTCGAGGGCCAGGTCACGCTCAGACAAGAGGTCTTTCTCGACCTTCTCCTTCTCGGCCAAGAGAGTGGCACGAAGCTCCTCCAGGCGCTTCTTCTCCTTTTCATCGCGCTCAGCACGCTCTTTGGCGATGGCCAGCTCGGCCGCCTTGCGTGCAAGCTCGTTATCGGAGCGGGTGGCGGCAAGCAAGGGGCGGACCTTGACGTAGAGCGACCACCAAGGCCAGTCACGAAGCTCATTGTAGGCACGAGCGTTGCGCTGGATGGTGCGGACGGCCTGGGCGCGGTTGATGAGCTTGTTGATTCTGCGGCGGCAGATGTGCATGCGCGCCGCCGCCTGGAAGCGACGGAAAATGTCCGTGAGGAGGCTGTCGCGGCGCTCCTCGAGCTCTGCGAGGATGCCGGCCTTGAAGAAGATCTTGGTGGCTCCGATAGCGTAGAACTCAGAGTCGAGCTCGAGCGCTTCGGCAATCAGGCCGGCAGCCTTGCGGCCATCCATGTAGCCCTGCGGGATGACACCAGGGGCCAGCACTTCGTAGCGCTGGCGGAATTCGGCAAACGACAGGCGGTTGGGGAAGCCAAGACGGGCAATACGGATACCTTCAATGACACCGTTGCAGCGGAGCTGGTCGAGGACAAGGTTGACGTTGACCTTGCCAGGTTTCTTCTCCGAGTTGGGGACGATGCAGCGCACAAAGTGGGGCTGAGTGGCAGCGAGTTGGGTCATGAGCTGACCCAACTGCTCTTTGTGGCGCTGACCGACAGTGCGGAAGGCACCGCGCTTGATACGCTTGCCACCGACCGGGGCGTTGACGTCCTCTGCGTAGTCGGCAAACATGATCTTAATCTTAGGAACCGAGGACGCGGAGAGGAGGCGAGCGACGGCATCGTTGATGGGGTCCTTGTTCTTCTGGAGCCAGCCCTCGGTAACATACTCGACGTCGCCGGCGTAGTGCTTGATAACGAACCCACGGCTGAAGCGGGTGGCACGGAACTTGGCAGAACCGGCGTGGACCTGCCGGTTTGAACCCTTGGGGGGTTCCCAGATACCTTGCACCTTGTCGGTGAACGTGACGTCGGTGGCCTTGGGCATGATACACTCTTCATCGAGTAAGGAGAGAATGCCCACAGGCTGGGTCGCCTCGATGAGGTCGATAGTGGGTTGGAGGTCGAGACCAAAGTTGACATAGTCCCACTTGATGCCCTCGCGGGTGTACTCTTCCTGCTCGAGGGTGAACATGTGGAAGTTGAAGAACTGCTGAAGCTTTTCGTTGGTAAAGTTGATGAGCATCTGTTCGTAGCTGTTCTCTTCAAAGATTTCAAAGCCAGCGATATCGAGGACACCAATGGAGAGCCTGTCGGTCAGCTCACAACTCATTGCCTAGCGTACTTACGACTTGGTGCTGGGGCGATCGAGAGCCTTGTTGATACGGTCAACCATCCAGCCAAACGTCTTCTCAAACATGAACTTGGACAGAGCGGCGAGCTCGTCCTCTGCCTGCTTCTTTGACCTGGCGTGGGTAACCCACTCGCGACCGGCGCGGACCTTTGGTGAAAGGACCGACTTCATAAAGTCTTTGACGGGGATACCAAGGAGGTGGCAGACCTTCTCGGCCGTTGGCTGCGACTCCGGGGGCATGAAACACTGGTCGGCCGAGCCGCCAACCAGGACAATGTTACCAATGTGAAGGATGGTGGCGACGACACGGAAGAGCTCAAACTGCTCGTCCTTGGTGAAACCGACAACGCCAAGAGCCTCCTTGAGCAAGCGCCACTCGCTGAGGTCGTCCACACCGTCAATCTGCTGCCTGGTCTTGTTGAGGACGTTGTAGTCTTCAGGGCCGCCTTCGATAAGGAGAGGTTCGCTCAGACCGGCCTCTTTGGCACCCTTGAGCAGCTGGTAGAAGACGTGGAAGGACCGCTCGCCAGAGGCCCGGGCAGTCACCCTGCTCTTCTCAAGAAGGTACCAGTCAATGTTGGCACCGGCAATGGCACCGGCAGGCGAGAAGAAGATGCGAACAAACTTGCCGAAACGCGAAGAGTTGTTGTTGCGCATGGTCTGAGCGTTACCAAACGCCTCGAGGATGGGGTTTGCCTGGAGGATCTGGCGCTCAAGGAGACCAAGCTCGGCATCCTGTGTTGCGAGAGATGCCAAGTCGATCTCTTCGGCGTCCCTGCCCTTGTAACTTGATGAGCGGGGAAGGCCAGTGATGGGTGCTGACGCGGTGGAGGTCGAGGGGTCGGACGCGCTCGCGATAGCGGCGAGGTATTGGATGACCTTCTTTGTGTTCTCTGTCTTGCCGGCACCGGATTCACCGCTGGTACAGGGTCAGCGCCGCCACAGTTCCCAAAGCTCGTTTGACATACGTGATCAAGATGCTCTGGCTCTCACGCTCCTCGCCAATCTGCTGCCATGCGCGTTCTGCAATGGCAAATATGTGTGGAGCGTTCTCTTCTCGCCTCTTTGTGCGGTATTGCGAGATGATCTTGGGGGTGTAGATGGGGAGCGGACGGTATGGGTTGAGCGAGATGAGGAATAAGCTGTAGCGTTAGGACACTGAAAGAGGCGACGTCACGAACCCTGAATAGGTCTAACCCGTCAGCTCCAGCACGAACGACAGACACTGCTTGGCAAATCATCTCAAGAGAGAGACGGAGATGGCCTAGCAGTAGGAAAGGTGAGCACTCACATAGATGCTTCCAGATCCGTAGCGTTGACGAAGGTCGTTCACCACGCTGGCCTCGTTGAGGTGGGTGAGCTCGGCAATGTCTTCAACGTTGTCAAACTGTGGAGGATTCATGGGCGAAAGCGTGTCCACTGGCACTGTGCGCATCTCGTTGGTGGTCGTGATGACCACTTCGGCAGTGGCATCTGGGCCAGTCGAGCGCTGCGCAGGCTCCGTCTTGATCCATCCCGGAAGGAAGCCCTCGACGGTGTCGGGGATCCAAACGCGCCTGTGCGTGTCCGAATTTCAAGTGGAGCCAAGCGAGCGGGCCATGAGTTGACGGGGAGATGGTTGGTAGTTGTGAGAGTCACAAACAAGGTTTTGGTCGAGAGGGAAGCGTGCGATGAGAGACAAGGAAGGACGTCGTCAGCACAGACCACGATCAACAACAACAAACAACTCACTTCTTCTCACTGAACTCTGCCTGCGCTGCAGCGTCGACCGCCGAGTCCTTAGAGGTCTTGGTCAAGAGCTTTGAGGGGTCCATGGTAGCGTCTGAGCGCCAGGGCTCGAGATGCGAGGTCGCTCGGGCGTGTCAAGGTGGCGGCCTGGCCAGTGTTTGCTGCTGTCTGGGACGACGGTCTGGGAGTTGGGCCCGGATGTGCCGTCGGGTTGAGCGTGTCGAACTGAATGGGTGGTGTCGCAGGAGCGTCTGCGTGAAGTGTGGTGTGATTCAAAAACACGACTCAGAAGATGAGTCCCAGAGATGGTGTAGTGGGATGTTGGGAAGTATGAGGGGGTCGATGAGAGGAGGGTGTGTGGTGTTGGTGTCGCTGGCTGATCCCAGGGGCGCGCGGCGCGGGGGGGTTGGTGGCTTGGTGTTGTTGACCCCGGACGCGTTACGTAAGATGGAAAGAAATCAGGCTCCACCCTTTGTTTATATGTGTGGCACTGCTAAGCGCGGCTAGCGCGGTGTTTGTGATAACAAGAGAGGCCATGTGGATTCTGATATACACGTCATACACGCGGCGACAGCGAAAGGCGGTAAACCGGGATTAGAATACTGGAGAGAGAGAGCCACAGTGCCCCCGTGAGCGCCCGCGCTTGTGCAACCTGGCCTGCGCCAACCGCCTCGAGAACGCCGTCACCCAACCACCATCATTCCCTCCCTCTCCCTCCTCATCACCTCAATCTCCACCTCTTCCTCAACCCCCCCCATCTCCCACCCCTCACCACCAACATCCCCATTTCTGCATCTCTAGAGGGGCCTCCCACCACAACAGTACTCTGTATCGGGGCCATCTCGCAACACCGCAGCAATTCCAAACCAACATAAACTCGAATACAACGTCACACAACCCACGCACCCACCGTAACCTCAACCCCCCCACTCCCCCCCTTCTTCCTTCCCATCACCATGGCGTCCACATCAACGTGAGTGCACCTTCTCTCTCTCTCTCTCGCAATTTGCCTTGTGCTAACCCTATGCAAGGCCCCAACAGGGCGACTACCGTGTCGGCCTCGTTCGTCCTCCAAAGGACATGCGTCCTCAGACCGAGGTAAGTTTCGATCGAGAGAGGATGCGCCTGCTTCTCGCAACAAAGGACCGAGCTCACCGCGCGCCCAGGACGTCACTGCCACCCAAGGGTCTTCCTTTGACGACTTTGGCCTGAGCCGCGAGCTGCTCATGGGCATTTGGGAGGCTGGCTTTGAGAGGCCATCTCCTATTCAGGAGGAGGCAATCCCCATGGCCATAACCGGCCGTGACATTCTTGCGCGTGCCAAGAATGGAACGGGCAAGACTGGGTCGTTCGTCATCCCCACCCTCAACCGCGTCAACCCCAGCATCAACCACATCCAGGCCGTCATTCTCGTCCCCACTCGTGAGCTCGCGCTCCAAACATCACAGGTGTGCAAGACCCTTGGCGCGCACATTCCCGGTCTCCAGGTCATGGTCACCACTGGCGGCACCACATTGCGAGACGACATTCTCCGTCTCCAGGAGCCCGTCCACATCCTCGTCGGTACCCCCGGCCGTATTCTCGACCTCGGCGGCAAGCGCATCGCCGACCTGAGCCGGTCCGGCATCTTCGTCATGGACGAGGCCGACAAGCTCCTTTCCGAGGAGTTCACCCCCGTGGTCGAGCAGCTGCTCGCCCTCTGCCCCCAGGAGAGGCAGGTCATGCTCTTCTCCGCCACCTTCCCTGTCCACGTCAAGGACTTCCGCAACCGCAACATGGTCCAGCCCTACGAGATCAACCTCATGGACGAGCTCACTCTCAAGGGTGTGACCCAATACTACGCCTATGTCGAGGAGAGGCAAAAGGTGCACTGTCTCAACACTCTCTTCTCCAAGCTCCAGATCAACCAGTCTATCATTTTCTGCAACTCCACCAACCGTGTCGAGCTCCTCGCCAAGAAGATCACCGAGCTTGGCTACTCGTGTTTCTACTCCCATGCCAAGATGCTCCAGTCCCACCGTAACCGTGTCTTCCACGACTTCCGCCAGGGTATGACCCGTAACCTTGTGTGCTCTGGTAAGTCGTATAGCTGTATTTGCCTGGAACATAGCTGACCGTTTAGATCTCCTTACCCGTGGTATCGACATCCAGGCGGTCAACGTGGTCATCAACTTTGACTTCCCCCGCACCGCCGAGTCGTATCTCCATCGCATTGGTCGTTCGGGCCGTTTCGGCCACCTGGGTCTCGCCATTTCGCTCCTCACCTACGAGGACCGCCAGAACCTGTACCGTATCGAGACCGAGCTCGGTACTGAGATCCAGCCCATCCCCGCCGTCATCGACCCCGTCCTCTACGTCGCCCCCGCGGCCATCGAGGAGCCCGCTCCCCCAGCCCGCTCCGCCCCCGTTTCCCGCCCCCCTCAGCAGCAGCAGCAGCAGCAGCAAGCCCCCGCACCGGCTCAGCCTGCCCCGAACGCTCCTGTGCATGCCCCCATTGCCCAGCCCGCCGCCCACCCGCCACCTGCCGTCCTTGCCGCTCAGCAGCAGCAGCAGCAGGGCTCGGGCTCTGCCACTCCGCAGGATGGCCAGGCCCGTTCGCAGAACAACTCGCGCCCCAACAGCAGCAACCGCACTCGCGGCGGCCAGCCTCGTCGTGAGGGTGGTGTCGGTGGCCAAGGTGGCCAGCAGCAGCGTCGTGGAGGTGCGAACGGCGGCGGCAACCGCGGTGGTCGCCAGCAGGGTCAACAGCAGCCCGGCGGTACGGGCACCGCCCCTGCTGCGCCGACTGCGGCTGCTCGTGCGGCCTAGACGCCGAGAGAGAAGTAGATCTCGAAGACTATCAAGACTGCGAGAGAACACCACAAGAAGACCGAGAGAGAGAGAGAGGTGGACGACGACGAAGACTGTCAAAGAGTGGAGTCAGAAGTCGCGCTTGAAGGGCCTAGGCTTTCTGCGCAAGTGACGGACGCGATTCAACTCGCCCGTTACCATAAGAGACACGAGGGCGCGAGGAGTGCGTGTGGCGGTGGATGTTGAGAGATAGGGGGGCGACTTTTCTTTTTTTTTTTTCTTTTTCGTTTTTTTTTTGGAGACCGACAGTAGACGCGTAGATTGCTCTGGAACCACTCGAGTGATGCATGACGTTTGTTGGTTGAATGCAAAGGGGCCAAAGGCGTGTGGGCAGCGAGTATACCTGATTACCTGAGCAATCAGCGCCTGGCCTGTGGGGGGGAGGTTCGTGTTCCCTGCAAACGGGGCTGGCTGGGGATGGCACGGTCACCGCCAGCAAATGAAAAGTGAGGTCTGATCGGGGGTCTGGAGCGATAAAGGCGCGGCGTGTAAGTGGCCATTAGGGGGTCCAGAATAGGGGAAAAGGTTCCGCTAATGAATTTTACTAATGTGACTGACCCACCCGTGAGTCGGATCTGAATCTGCGCGCTGGCCTTGGGTGAATCCCATATTGTTGTGCGAGCACGCTAGCCCCGGGGTGGATTGACGCCACCAGCGAGCGGTCGCAGTGTCCCGGGACTCCGCGAGTCACAACGGGCGAGTGAGCGAGTGGACTGATTGCCCTCGTCGGTCCAGTCAGTCCCCCCGTGCTTCTCTCTTGTCGTCGTCGTCGTCGTCGGTCTCCTCCTACTACCAAGTACACAACACAGTACACAACACACAGGCAATATCCCTCCCTCCCACCCCCATCCACCTTGTGCATTTCCCCTTTTCCTTCCCTTCCCATCTTCCCCTTACTTCCACGCGTCATCGTCCACACTCGCCCCATCCCGTCCCCCCCTTTCCAGTCCACCGCGACTCGAGCAAAGTACCCCAGCCTTCATCCTCGTCACCTCCCCGCGCGCGACACCACGCATACCGCGTCCTTTGCGTTCCACCATCACACCATCGCTCATTCACGCTGTTGTCGTAAAGCACGAACAACCCCGGGGACACTGTCCTCCTGATACCAGCACCAGCACCACCACCAGCACCACCACCAGCACCACCACCCCACCATCCACCCGAGACACACGCGTCCAATCGGAACTGCGGCCCCGCAATGAGTGTCCCCGCCACCTCGCCTTCGCCGCTGCCCAGCGATGCGGCGAACGCAAAGCCCATCCCAGCGACACGCGCCCGCCCGACTCCAATCGCCGGCGCCGCCGACTCGCCGCGCGGCGCGTCGCCGTCCGGCTCGTCGTTTCGCCGTGCTGGCCGCAGCGTGACCGGTGTCAGCCTCGGCATCGACGCCAACGGCCACAGCGCCGCTGAAGGCGACTCCAACTGGCGCACACGCGGCAGCGAGGTTGGATCGCTGCCCAAGGGCCGGTCTGCCGGCCCGGAACGTACAGTGGGCGGCTTTGAGAAGCGTGAAGTCCGTGGCGCCGCTGCGGCAGCCAGCGCGCTCTCGGGATCCAAGGAGAAAGGTGAGTGTACACGCGTTTGGATGGGTGGCGACGGGACGAGCAGTGCTCGTCGTCGCCGTCGTCGCCGCCGTCCACTTGCTCCGACGAGAGAAGCATCTGACACTCCACGCAGCCGCGGCGCTCAGCCACGTCCCTTGCCGCTTCTTCAAGGCCGGCGCATGCACTGCTGGATCTAGCTGCCCATTCTCCCATGACCGTGAGTGTTGAGATCTACACACAGAAAGAAGCCACACATCCAAGCGATCTCTGCTAACCATTCCTCCCTTTGCAGTCGGTGGCAAGCGTGAAGTGTGCCAGTGGTTCCTCAAGGGCGATTGCAAGTTCGGTCACAAGTGTGAGTGCAAGGCGGCTGGCAGATTGCGTGCGATTCCAGGCTGCGGCGTTTCTGGAATGGGGTCTCGCTCGGTCAATGGGGGCGTCGTTCGCTAACGCCCGCCTGCAGGTGCTCTCGCTCATGTCCGCCCTGGTGAGCCCATGTCGATGGACAGACGGAACAAGAAGGACCAGCAGCGCGAGGCTCGCGAACGCCATGGCGATTCGCTGGGCCGCTCGATGGGTGACGATCTCGGAACGTCCCCGGCAACCAGCTTTGGTGCCCGCGCATCGCCGATCCCTACCCCCATCTCGCACCCGGTCCCTATCAAGTCGGCCATCTCACAGTCGCTGCAGTCGGGATCGATCCAATCGCCGAGCCGCTTTGCCTCGTCGCCGTTGCGCGAGCCGTACGGGCCTCCTGCGGCGGTGGTCGCAGGGTCGCCATCGGCTGGGTTCAACCAGAACTCGCGACCCCTCAGTGGCGCCGCTGGCTTTGCGTCGTCGCCGTCGCGTCCGTCGCCCCTCTCGTCGTCGTTCAACGCCCGTGCCACCTCGGGCATGTCGCTCAAGGGCAGCTCGTTGGTTGCAGCCCACTCGCCGCTTCGCCCGCCCGCTACATCGGGCACGTTCTCGAGCTCATTCTCGCACACGTCCGCGTCGGTCGACAAGTCGAGCGGCCAGCTTTCGGCGTCGTTTGCCGGCGGTGCGCGCAGCATCTGGTCGCGTTCCGACACTCCCGACGAGCCCCTCCATCCTGGCGGTACCAGCGCTCGCCGTGGCGTCCCTTCCGTCTCTGCCCGTCTCATTACCGACGTGTTTGACGAGCACGATGACCATGGCGAGGACCTCTTGCCCTCTAGCCTCTCGGAACTCCTCACTCCCAAGGAGCGCGCCCGCCGCATGTCCCGCAACGACAGCCACGACTCGTACGTTGGTTCGCCGGGTCGACAGAACTTTATCAACCCGCACCAGTATGTCGGTGCCGAGCGTCTTGCCCAGTCGGCCAACGCCGCTATCCCTGCCGGTGGCTTCTTGCAGGCCTTGTGGAAGGAGGACGGCGGAGACGCCCGTGCCGGTGCCGATGGCGAGACCGTCACTCCCCCTCCTGAGAGCGTCAGCACGCCGACCGGCACCACCCCTTCGGACCCGCTCTCGTTCGCCCCTTCGCAGCCCCAGCCTCAGCCGGCACTCCGCCAGTCCCTCCTGTCGCAGCAGCGCACGACGCCTGGCTCGCCCGGCGTCCAGATCCGCCAGGTGGCCCCCGCTGTCGACGCGCCCTTCCTCATCCGCGGCACCGACCCCAGCTCGCCCACTGCCCGTGTCCTTTCCGAGCACGCTCCGGGTCAGTCATTGCCCGGTGGCCTCGCCGCGGCCCTCAGCCGCATGCACATGCAGCCCCGCGTTCCCTCGGGTCTCAGCGGGTCGGGTGCCCACGTCGCCACCCCGCCAGGCTTCAACTCGGCCGCTGCGCGCCGCGAGGACCACGACGAGGAGGCCCTGTTCCACATGGACGGTTAAGTTTGAGAGAGCATCCCACACTTGCACGCCGACACTACCGGCCAAAATCCACCACCACCACCACCGCCACCCACCTCTCCACCGCCACCCAGCATTTTCACTGTAACGCGATTCGACCGAACAAGGACCGAATAATGGCCACGACGAAGGGATCTACACAGAGAGAGATGAGAGAGAGAGAGGAAGAAGTCAAACAGAAGAAGAGACCAAAAAAAAGACGGTTCACGTTCATTTTCAGAGAAAGATAAAGAGAGAGAGAGAGAGAGAGACACTGCCATTTGAGTTTTTTTTGAATCCCCACCCCAAAAGAGAGTCTGTACTGTCGTCTTTCTGTACATCGCGAGCGACTATTAGGCTATACCCCCTCACCTTGATTTAGCAAGGCTTAAAAAACAAGTATGAATTGCAATGTCGTACCCACCCACCCACCCCAACGAAACAGCGGACACGGTACTGTGGCAATAACATCCTTGAAGCACCACTAATAGGCGCCTTGCGTCCTCGTCTATCAACAAGCCCCACCCCTTCTCCTCTCTCTGCTCTCTCCCCCGCCCAAGAAACGCCCTTGTCCGCGTTTACTCGTCGTTGACCCAGCGCTCGGCCACCTCGCCAATGTACGGCAGCCAGTACCTGCCCAGCCCTTCCTGTGCGTCCTTGTATGCGCGGTAGGCCGCGTACAGCGTGACGCCGATGCCGCCCAGGACGATGATCGTCTTGAGGAACGCGGGGAAGGGCAGGAGGAGGTTGGTCAGGAGGATAAACGTCACGAGCGGCGTGGTGAGCAGCGCCGACTGGTATGCTGGAAAACAGAAACGCGAGCTGTCAGCTGAGACTGCAGAGGACTGGTTAGCAGACACCACGTACCGTGGAAGCGGACGTAGTCGTTCTGCGTCTCGAGAATGAGGAACAGGAGAGCTGTGGAGTGTCAATACGGAAGCACACAGTCGCCATGCCGACGCCAGCGCCAACGCCAGACCCGACGCGCCTCCCTCCCCTCCGTTCCACTTACCAGTCACAGGGCCACCCAGATACGTTGCGGCGGCCATGAGGTCGATGCGCCACCCAAACCTGCTCTCCCAGGCATTCACGCGGCCCTCGTCGCTGCTGCCGCCCTCGATGCCCTGGCTGCCGCCGCCGCCGCCGCCGTACGCGTACGCGCCATTTGATGGGCCCGCGCCGCCCGACGACGACGAGTACGAGTACGCGTTGCCGCCGTACCCGCCGCCGCCGCCGGAACCGGAACCGTACGCGTCCGCCTCGGGGTCGTTGGTGAACGCCGTGCCGGCCACGGACGGGTCGCTGGCGCTGCCGCCGGCCTGGTAGCCCGACTGGTGGGACGCGTCGCGCGCAAACCACGGCCGGCCCTTGCCCTTTGTGTTCTTGGCCGCTGGGGGCTCCTCGAGGGGAACGTCGGGCGGTGGCTGGTCTGGACGATGAGTGTGAGTAGCGAAGAGGTGCAGGCCGACTGGGGAACAGAGGGGAGGGAGGGGGTGGAGGGAGGTTGGGGGATGTAGAGTGCAGAGGGAGAGCCCGGGGAGGGAGGACGTACAAGGAGAAAAGTTCATGTCTGGTGGGCGGATAGTGAGTGGTAACAGCAACAGCAAACGAGCCGACGACAACAGCAACAACGTATACCACACCACGGCGTAGACGATTGCGAGGCGAGCGTCACGGTGAGGACGGAAGCAATTTCTGGGACGGGAGTGACGTAGGGAGCTGGGGGGTTCCTGGGTGGAAGCGAGCGTCGATCACTGCCACTTTGGTGGTGGTACTTGTGTGAGCTCTCGACAAGGCGCGTTTTGGGGCTGGGATTGCTTGGAAGAAGAGTCCGTGTGCTGTAACCCATAGGACCATTAGCCATGAAGGAGGGGGAAGGTGCAGGACGAGCTCCGCCTATGGTCCATTGAGGCGGGTGGGAAACACCCTTTGTGTTCTCAGCCTCGCTGCTCCCCGCCCAGCATTTATGCAACGGCAATAAACGCGCCACCCCTTTGTCCGATAGATTCTGTGTCGTACAGTTGGATAGTTGGCAGCAGGTGCTAGGGCGGCGCAGGTAGCTATGACATGAGCCAGCTTCTCGTCTCCATACATACACGACGTTGTTTCTCTCTCTCCAGCCGTAAGCAAATACCCTCCGGTCAGAGGCTGTGGCGCCACACCGACGCTCAACATGCCAACAGGCCCCACTGGAGTCCGTTTTGCAGCGTCTCAACACATTAAGCTGCCATAAACGCTTGTTCGTCGTTTGTTGGGAACTCTTCTGAGGCTGTGCATGTGCTCAGTACGATTGTATTGGGCAGAAAAGACCGCAGCGTGGATTCGCCTAAAACGAGCCATGTCCAATATTACGTAACCCCGAATATGGGTGCGTGCGTGAGCGGCCTGCGAGGCGATGACGGCGATGACTGACAGCTGCGCATCACCGGCCAAGACAACTCTCTCTTCTCACTCTCGATCTCCTTCCAAACACCACACCGTCACACAGAGAACGCGCAATCGTCCTTTCTCTCTCCATCTCACTCATATATCGCTATTGGACCATCTCTAGCCCCTGCTTCAACTCGAGCAGCAGGTTACCGACAAGCGGATTACAGCGGACCCAGTGCCGCTTCACTCGATCACTGTTGCCTCGGCGCACCGACCCACACGAGTGAACATTCATCATGAACGCGGCTCTTATGCAACAAATCCAAGGTAAGCTGGGATTACCTGGGGCATCAGCTTACAATACAGCGGGAAAGGGCCTTAAGAAGACCCAGACCAACGACCGCTCGGGCCCGACCGTCGCCGGTAGTGCTGGTGGAAGCAGCGGGGGAGGAGGTGGGGGAGGAGGAGGTGGTGGTGGTGGTGGGGGCGGTGGTGGTCGTGCCGCTGGACACACTGCTTCGACCCCCATGTCGGGCTCTGACGGACCTGCTCAGCAACTTGCGGGAATGTTTGCTGGAGGGATGCCAACACTGAGGAAGACGGGTGGACCAGGACGTACGTCACCCCCAATGACTTCTCGGACTCGGACTACTGCTGACAATCTGTGCAGACGCACCTGCGGCCAACCTGGCCAAGCCGCCGCCCATCCCGGGACTCAAGAAGCCTACAGTTGCTCCACCTGCTCCTCCTGCACCGAGTGCGCCGAACCGTGCTCCTCCTCGCCCGCCTGCGCCGCCTCCTGCACCCCCTTCGGCGCCGAGCCGCACAGTCCCTGCCCCTCCCGGACGTGTACCCCCGGCTCCTCCAGCTCCTCCCCCTCCTCCGCCTGCACCAAGTGCGCCGGCGCGCGCAGTTCCCGCGCCGCCTGGTCGTATGCCGCCTGCCCCGCCAAGCGTTCCCACTCGCAATGTGCCGACGCCGCCTGGCCGTGTGCCCCCCGCACCCCCCGCACCTCCTCCACCTCCCCCACCCTCTGCTGCACCTGTTCGTGCTCCTCCTGCACCTCCTCGTCCTCCTCCCGCCGCACCCCCAGCGCCCCCTCGTGCTCCCCCAGCACCTCCTCGCCCAACGCCGGCGCCGCCTGGTCGTGCGGTCCCTCCGCCGCCGCCGCGCCCCGTCCCATCGGCGCCGAGCCCCCCAGCTCGTGCCGTGCCCACGCCCCCCGCGCCCCCTGCTCGCCCGACGCCTGCTATTCCCGCTCGCCCGACTGGTGCTCCCCCACCACCTCCTCCCCCAGCACCACCTGCACCTAGTCGTCTGCCGCCAGCTCTGCCAGGTCGCGCGCCACCCGCTTTGCCCGGCCGCGCACCTCCCGCTCTTCCTGGCCGTGCGCCGCCGGCTCTGCCAGGCCGCAGTGTGCCGACTCCTCCCCCGGCGTACGGCAACGCTTCATCTCCAAGCCGTAGCGTGCCACCACCCCCATCGCACAGTGCGGCCCCTCCGCGTGCTCCTCCCCCTCCTCCTCGTCCGACTGGCCCACCGTCGCTTCCCCAGCGAGCCGTGCCGGCGACTCCTGTGCGCTCCGTCCCGGCTTCACCGTCGACGCCTGAACCACCAGCGCCGGTCATTCCTCGCAGGCCAACGCACGCGTCGCCGGCCGCTCCCCCGCCGCCACCTCCCCCTCCCCCTCCTGCTCCACCAGCCCCTCCTGCGGCTCATGCGCCTGCTCCTAGACGCGCTTTGCCTCCGACAGCGCCAAGCGCACCCCCTGCTCCTCCCCCGGCGCCTCCTCGTCAGACTCCCAAGTGGACGGTCACCAATGCGGACGAAGGAGACAACGGCGACGCTCCCCCACCTCTTCCCTCGGGAATGAGCCCTGCTGCTCGTGCCATGCAGGCTGCTGGACGTGCCCGTGCGCCTAGCAACCCCCCTCCACCCATCCCGTCGGACGACGATGACGGACCCCCTCCTCCTCCTCCTGGAATGAGCCCCGCCACACTCGCGATGCTGGGCCGCTCGAGGTCGGGAAGCAACCCCCCGCCATCGCGCATGACCCCGCCCCCGCCTCCCATCAGCGCAAGCCGCACCCCGCCCACGTCGCGTCCCCAGTCGTTCGCTCCCCCGCCTCCTCCTCCGGGTCTCTCGCCCGCGGCCAAGTCCCGTCCCACCTCGATGGTGTCGCCTGGCACCCTCAACGGCGGCCACTCGATGGATGCCGACGACCACGACCGGTCCGGCACGCCCGAACCCCCTGCCAACGTCGGTAACTGGACGTTTGCGATGAAGGGCATGTTCCCCGCGCCGCGTCCTTGGAACGGCGGACACAAGACGTACGCGAGTGGCAACGAGACTGGCGGCGGGATCGGATACAAGGTGTAAACAGGATGAGAGAGACAGTTGCGTGCGATTAGGAGATAGGACCGGTGTTTTCTGTGATATCGATATGGCGCTTGTGTCTGGCTGTGCTGGGCAACTGAAAGCTGGAATGAAAAGCAACCTGGAATGAACCCGCGTGTGAACGTGATTGATCCGTGACTGAACCGAGCTGCAGTTGGGAATGAATAGGTTAATCACGCGAGCACACCTCCTCAATGAGGGCATTATTCGGGAGCGTGCCATGACGAGAGGGAGATGCATGCCGAGAGTAGCGACGGGAAGTGAGTGTGTATACGTGTATGGTGCATGTGGTTTGCCGGAGGAAAGCAGTCGCCGTCGCTCTCGGCGTGCGGGCCGTGTGGGGTCTCCACCCCCGTCCGATTTTGGGAATTGTTTGCCAAAACGCAGTGGCGTGATGACGACCAAAGATCAAAAGAGAGAGAACCAGTCGCCTGCTCCGTGATTGAACTTTTCCCGCGCGCATCTAGGCCTCTTTACCCCACTCTCCCATTGCATTTACCCCAACAACCTCGCACCTGCTCTCTCTTTCTCTCATCAACCATGGCTACCAACATCACCTTCCACCCTGGTGAGTCTTTCCCGCCTTTTGTTGCCCAGCTGGCCTCGGCTCGGACGCTTCGTCGGCTGACTTTATCCAGGCGCGGTCACCCTCGAGGAGCGTTCCGAATTCATCGGCCAGAAGGGCGCTACTGTCTGGTTCACCGGTCTCTCGGCTTCGGGCAAGGTGAGCACCGGTGTCGGGGGAGGGAGGAGTGAAGAGGTTCTGCTGGTCGAGGCCGAGCTGCGGTGTGGTCGTTTGTCCATGGGCGGCCGTCAATTGCCATGTGCTGGGTGGCACCATGCCTGGCCTGTATGGCGACGTCAGCCACCAACAGAACGTCTACAGCCACTGCCACTGCCAAGCAAAGCAGCCACTGGACTTGCTCTTCCCTTCCTAAACAACAGACTGTGGCACTGCTGACACACCCCAGTCGACCATTGCCACTGCCCTCGAGCAGCACCTCCTCCACAAGGGCCTCCACTCGTTCCGCCTCGACGGTGATAACATCCGCTTTGGCCTGAACAAGGACCTCGGCTTCGACCCCAACTCGCGTGTCGAGAACGTGAGTAGCAGAGCGACAGGCCAGCTGTATTATTTGCCCCCTCTGGTGGGAGTGTAGCTGGATCTAGCTGCCTTCTCCCGTCGAGCTTAGCTAACCTCCCACCCCAGATCCGCCGCATCGGTGAGGTCTCGCTCCTCTTCGCCTCGTCGTGCTCGCTCGCCCTCACCGCCTTCATCTCGCCCTACATCTCGGACCGTGACCTCGCGCGCGACCTGCACAACAAGGCCGGCCTCCCCTTCATCGAGGTCTTTGTTGACGCGCCCCTCGCCGTCGTCGAGTCGCGCGACCCCAAGGGCCTGTACAAGAAGGCCCGCGCCGGCGAGATCAAGGAGTTCACCGGCATCTCGGCCCCTTACGAGGCCCCCGTCAAGCCCGAGATCCACATCAAGACCGACGAGGTCGACGTCGAGGGCGCCGTTGCCATTGTCACCCAGTACCTCATTGACAACGAGATCATCAAGGCCTAAGCTGCGCGGGTTTCTTGGGTGTTGGGAGTAGGACACTTTTAAAACAAAAACGCAACAAAAACGCTCAACCTTGCGTCGTAAAGTGGGGTTAGAGATAGAGCATATGCATATGGTACAGTGCTAGCAGTCGGGCTCGGTGACTACAGCGATGCCGCTTCCTTGGTGTACTTGATTGACCTCCCTTTCCCGCGACGGCCCCATCCATCTTCACTCTTCCTCGCCCCACGCACACGCCGCGGCCTTGACGCGCCCGGCCATCTCGACAATCTGGCTCATGGACGCCAGAGCGTGCTGGTCTTGCCGGACAATCCGGCCAAACGTCTTGTCCATGCAGTTCATGGCCTCGTCCTCTGCTGCCTCCTCGTACTGTTCCTCGTCGGCCCACAGCCAAAAGTCGGCGCGCTCGGGACGAGCCGCCTCGGCCGCGCGCTGGCGACGGCGCTCAAGCACGCCCTCGAGCCATTGGAGAGTTGCCTTGGCGAGGTGGGTGGTGTTGGTGTCTGGGAGCGGGGTCTCGAGGACGCGCAGCGAGTCGCCGATGGACTGGTACAGCTGGCCAACGCCGGACGCCTCGAGCTCGTGTGGGATCGCGTTGATTAGTGTGCGGAACATGCTCTCGAGGTTGGATGCGTCGGCAATCCAGATCTTGGCGTCCTTGGCAGCCTGTAACAGGCCCGGGATGAGGTAGCAGGCCGACTGAGAGTTAACAAACCGCCGTCTAGCTGCAACTCACCTCGCGCACGCCGTCAGACCACTGGTACTGGATCGCGTCAAGGGCCACGCGCATAGTGTCGGCGAGGTATGGTGCGTAGGCAGCACGCATCTCGTGGACGTAGACTGTGAGCTGGCCAAAGGCCTCCTCCTTCTCCTGCGCCTCGGCAGACGTCGCTTGGTCGTAGCCATTCTCCTCGGGCTCGTCTTCCAGAATATCTGCAGCGTCAGTTAATTGCGTTCCCTGCCAACTCACTGGTAGGCGTCTGCGTCGGGGTGTAGCTTGCCGCCTTGATCACAGGTGGGACAACAAACTGGAGGAAGGGGGCAAAGTCACGACCCAGGACCTCGGCAATGACGATCCACGCTGATGTCAGCTACAATAGACAGGGGACATGCAACGCACCATCTGCAAGGTACCCCTTGCGAACGTCCTCGGGCGTTGTTATTTGGTTCTGGATAACCAACAGCGCCTGGCTGAGGGGGATAGCGTCTTTGAAGAAGGTCTGCGTGGTTAGTTGCTATCGCGAATGATGCTGTCGGCAGCTACTCACCTCCTTGCCCACCGCCTGTCCTATCAAGCTTGCACACCGCATGCTACGTCCCACCACTTTTTGCTCCTTCTCTGTCGTGTTCGTCGCCGTCAGGATCTTGAGGTTGATGTCCATAATGTCTCGGTAATAGGGGAGGAATACCTCGTGCGAGTGCGTCGCGATCGTGGCTGTGCGTGTTAGCAGTGTCGACTGCGGTCGAAGGAATCGTGAAGCCGACTTACAGATGGCAGAAAGCACCTGCTCCTGGATATACAGCGGTCCGCGCTGGAGGAAGGCAGTGACAAGGGCGGTGAGGATGGCCTTGAGCTTGTCCTCGAACAATGGGGTATCTGGGTACTCGAAGAAGTGCACGATGGCTGCAGCCGCAGCTTCACGCACTCGGGCAGCATCATCGCCCAGCAGCTGAAGGGCAATGTTGAGTACCGCGTCGGCGTACTCGGTCTGGATCACGCCCTCGAGGTTGGAGGACATGCGGCTGATGCAGTAGAGGAAGCCGTACCGCACTCGGGGGTGGGCATCGACCGCCGCGGGCGAAATGAGTCTGAAAAGTCAACGAAGTGTCCGCGGTGGTCCAGTACTCACTCGAGCAGTCCTCTTGCCTCGGGCTTCATCACCTGGTAGCAGCCTACCGAGACGCAGGCCAGCGCTGTCAAGCTGCAGTACTTTGCCCTCCATTCTGGGCGCTTCATGAGCGCGGTGGCCACTCCGCCCACGGCATGGATCACATAGTGATCCTCTGTTGGGTCAGAATAAAGTAGTGCAGGCCTATACCCACTGAGGATCTGTGACAGGCGGCCAAGCATCTCCTCGGCGTATGCCGGGTACGAATCGTCTTCCTCCTCGAGCTGATGATGTCAGTTTAACGACTTGGCAGGAAGGACAAACTCACATCTGTCTCCTCGAGCCATTCCTGGCAGTGGTCGTCCTCCAGCGCAAAGGAAGCCACTTGACGGCCGATGAGCGACCCCACAACGTCGCTCACAAAGTACCCGCCCTCCCAGCGCACGACGTCACTTGGGTCGGCAATGACGAGCGAGAACAGTACCTCAAAGGCCATGTTGCCCATATCGCACCAGCTGTTCCACTCCATTTCGCGGTGAGCGTAGCGGGTGAACGTGTGGCCCTCGAGTGTTGCGGGTGGGGCGATACAGCTGAGTAGATAAGGGACGACGGCATGGAGGGAGGGACGGAAGAGGTCGGGGAAGGACGATGCAATGTCGATCATTGGCTCGAGAGCGTGCTCCAGGACATCAAGAGGTAACACTGGAATAACCTGGTGGGTGAGCGAAGAGTACATGTCAACTACCCACCTCAAAGGCCGCGCCGACCAGACCCGAGCCGAACGCTGCGCGGTCGTCGGCCGTCATGCCGTCGTGCAGCACACCACGGGTCGCCTTGAGCGCCTCGATGCGGACGTCGACACTTGGGTCGTTGATGCCGCCCAGAAGCAGCTCGGCGGCCTTGCGCGCACCCACGGGCTGTCCCGAGTGCTTGTCACTCAAGAGAGAAGGTGCGGCGTCGAGGATCTGGAAGGGGGTGAAGCGATGGAATGGGCGGGGCGAAGCAGCGAGCTTGAGGAGAACGTCGGGGAGCGACACGGAGGGACCTGGACGTTAGCTGTGCGCTACCCATGATAGGACAGCTCGCAGGTGCGCGAGGTCGTTCACATGCCCGCCACCCGACTCACGTTGCCTGCGCTCGCTCGCATTGACCCACTCGCCAACACACACGCCAAGCCCCTTTCGGAGGCGGGTGTCCATCTCGTCTTCGAGACCCGCATCCAGCACACGTTCAATACGCTCTCGTGTGTTCTCTGGGATGACATCGAACGGGGCTGTCGGCGACGGGGCAGCTGGGTCGAGCGCGATGCCCGGGTGTTCCCGGAATGCGATGCGTCGAAGGAGGATGAGCGAGAGGAGTCGTTGCTGTTTGTGAGCTCATGCCCGCGCGGAGGGGAATAGGAAGCTCACATCGACCTGAAAGCCGCCTACACCTTGTGCACCGACTTGTGCAAAGAGGAGGAGGAGCTCAGCGGGGACGCGCACCGTGAGCTCGGAGAGTCGCGCCTCGGCACTGGAGGTGGTCAGCGTGTGGTCATTTGTTGGTGCGTGCTTGTGTCGTCGCGTGGGTGCGACTGAGACACTTACGCATGTCGGGGAGCGTTCTCTGTGCCTATGAGGGCGTCGAGGATGACACTGATGTCTCCAAGCAGGTGCTCGGTGGACATTGTAAAGGGGGAGCGGGATGGAGGATGTTGTGGACGTGTCTTGATGGACTCTTGAACTCTGAAATTGGATTCCATTCATGTCATTTCGTCACCCATCCCATCCATCGCCGCTCCGCTGATCCGCGCCCGTTCTGGCAACCTCCACACACAAATGTTTGCGCAGTTCACAGCCGTCACAGGCCTGTCAAGACGGGACACTCGTGTCCATTGACTCTATGAGTTCTTACAAGAGCGTCTTGTGGTCCTTACCTTACACCCCCCATGCATGTGTATACATACAGGCGGAAGCTCTCAACGATAGCAGACGACCAGGAACCGCCCTTCGCTCTCAAAGTGCTCACTGCCACGACCGCCGCCACCCCGCCAGACCAAGCCACGTCGATGGGGCAAGATCCTGCTTCTGTGTGAGGCGACTGGGCCTGTGCAGCTTGACCCCAGCATAACTGTGTGGTGCAACATGCACTCGCAAGTGTCGCGGCCAACTCGTCCAGCAGCTTTTGGTAGCTGTCAAGAGTGCTGGCGGAACCCTCTTCTCAAGCCTCCACTGGGGACCCGAGGCTTTACGACAGCGAGCCCTCCGTATCATACAACGCTACGGTATCTTCTTCACCCACATGACCTCATATGTGCGTTCTCTGATCTCTGACCGTCTTACCTGGCGACACGTGAAGACGACGGACAACGTCTCGGACATCTGCCACACATCGCCGCCAGGCACGTGATCCTCCACCAATGTCGGATGTCCGACGATGAATTCCGCGTCTTTGTCGATCCCAACTTGATTTCAACAACAAACCCACCACCACCCCTCCCATGCTCCTCACTCAGCTCCCCCGGGCCGTGGCGGGCTCCAGCCGCGCGGTGTGGGCCACTCGTGCCGTCCCCCGCATGACGACGCCGGTTTTCCGTGCGCAGGCGGTTCCCCTCGCAAGGCGGTTCCAGTCCACCAAGCGTGAGTCAAAACGTCGAGCTATCGTGCGACCCCTGTTGGGCAGACTTGTAGCTCGTGCTCACGATTCACAGCCGAGGTGACCATCTTGGGCAAGACGTACCCGCGCGACGAGTGGAGCAACACGCCCGCTGCGATCCAGGAGAAGCTGGGGCGGAACCTGCACTTGACGCAGGGCCACCCGCTGTCGACTCTGCGCGAGATCATCGAGGGCCACTTTGCGGGCTACACGGCCGTCCGCCCCGACTCGCCAGTGGTGACGGTGCACCAGAACTTTGACGAGCTGGGGTTCCCGCCCGACCACCCGGGCCGCTCCAAGACGGACACGTACTATGTGAACGGCACGCACATGCTGCGCACACACACGTCGGCGCACGAGGTCGAGGCGTACAAGACGGGCGCGGACGCGTTCCTCATCGCTGCAGACGTGTACCGCCGCGACGAGATTGACTCGTCGCACTACCCCGTCTTCCACCAGATGGAGGGCATGCGCCACTGGACGCAGGACCAGCTTCCGGGGCTCATTGAGGAGAACAAGCGGCTGGAGAAGGAGCTGTCGCAGATCCCGATTGTCATCGAGGACACGTCCACCATCGGCCCCGAGAACCCGCTGCAGGACTGCCATGACCCCGTCATCGCGACTGAGATGGCCAAGAACCTCAAGCACTCGCTCAACGGCATGATCTTCAAGCTCTTTGGCGACGCGGCCGCCCGGTCCGGCGAGCCGCTCAAGGTGCGCTGGATCGACGCGTATTTCCCGTGGACGACCCCGTCGTTCGAGGTCGAGGTGTGGTACAACGGCGAGTGGCTCGAGATCCTCGGCTGCGGTGTCGTCATCCAGAAGACGCTCGAGCGCGGCGGCGTCGGCCACAAGAGTGGCTGGGCGTTTGGTCTGGGTCTCGAGCGCATCGCCATGGTCCTCTTTGGCATCCCCGACATCCGGCTGTTCTGGTCCACCGACCCGCGCTTCCTGGACCAGTTCGCCACCGGCGACATCACCACGTTCAAGCCGTACTCGCGCTACCCGCCTTGCTACAAGGACATGAGCTTCTGGCTGCCCGACTCGGTCAAGCAGGCCTCGGCGGCGGAGATTCTGCCCTGGCACGAGAACGACTACTGTGAGATTGTGCGCGACGTCGCTGGCGACCTCGTCGAGAACGTGTCCCTCATCGACGATTTTACCCACCCCAAGTCGGGCCGCCGCTCGCTCTGCTACCGCCTCAACTACCGCAGCATGGACCGGTGAGTTGAAGTTGGCCGATGCCAAAGCTGGAAACTCGCACTGACACAAAACAGCAACCTCACCAACGAAGAGGTCAACGTCCTGCAGGACCAGGTCCAGAAGCGCGTCATCCAGGACATGGGTATTGAGATGCGTTGAGAAGGGATGTTGAGAGGAACATAGAGGAGACAATAAAAGGGATAGGCAGAGCAGCATGCAATCTTCACTCAGCAAAGGTGAGAGGGAGGTAAACCAGAGGCTTGGGTATCAACACAAGGCCGTTGAAGCCCGGTGCTCTGTGGCACAGCAAGGTCGCACAACAGTGTAGCTGGTAGGGACCTGCTTACACGGGCCCACAGCCGTTGTCGTACCGTAGAACCTCGCGACGCCGGAAAACACAAAGAGAGCCGAGAAAAGTGTGCATCTACGTCTAAGCCATGTATCCCTTCCGTCTGGTGTCATGGACTCTAACCCTGGCGCTGAGATCGTTAGCTAGCCGCCATCAAGAGACAACTTGTAGCTCACCTGCTTGTGCTTGGGGTCCTTGGAGCAGACGATATAGATCCTTCCCTTGCTGTGGAAAGCGTCAGCACAATGTTGAGTTGACGGTGGGACGCCGGACATTTCGGTTTCCTCCTCCGCCTGCCTGCCTGCCGCCTGTCTTCCCCTCTGTTCTCGTCCGCAATCGCCAGCACCCATCACACTCTGGGCGCTCGGGCACGGGTTCCTCTGGGTCGCCCACTGTCTCTGTGTCCCGTTCACACGTTCACGGTCTCGTCGTCGGCCCTCCTCTCCATCCACCCGTCTCTCCGCCTTCCCGTCTCTCCTCCGCTCTCCAGAACCCGAACCACGACCACGACTCACCGCCTAACGACCGAACAGCCATCACAAAACTTCTTGACGCTCGAACGGACCTTCATGCCGCGCACCTGGCCCAGCATGCGGAGGGCCTGGGACGAGGCGCCGACGGCCGCGCCGCGCGGGGCAGCGGCAAACGACAGGGCGGCGCTGGGCGCGGCGGCAGCGGTGCGCGCCACGCCGGCGGAGGGGCGCACGAGGGCGCGCGCGTGCGTCGAGCACATGCGCGACGGGCCTGCGATGAAGCGCAGGACGTTGGGGAACATGGTCGTCGCGGTGGGTGGTGGGGGTGGTGGGTCGTTGGTGGTTTTGTGGACAAAGTCGGGACTTGGACGAGAAAGATGGGAGATGAGAGGATGGGGTGAGCCTGAAATGCTCCCGCTGGAACGGGGTGAGCCTGACAAAAACGGCGAGATCTCCATTCAGCCAACGTTTCCCAGCGTTTCCCACTGTTTGTGGTCAGTGTCCCGACGGGGTGGACGCTGCCAGTGTCCATGTTCTGCATATCTACGCTTTGCTTGCATCAATCACTCGGTCTTTACGATCGTATGCTCCTCTTTACTACTACTAGGGTGGGGGGTTTGGGGTGGGACGAGTCCGCATATCCGCATGTAAGGTGAAAAAAAAAGGAATAAACCCGCCGTCACCGCCATACTGGGCCAAGGGGGTTGGAGACAAGGACGGGGGGTGGGATGGTACAGAGAGCCCGACCCACGCCACAGTGCCAAGCTGCTACAAGGTGCAGTTCATGGCACAAGGATGGCCGGGTCAACAGTGGCGGGCGGGGAGGCAGGTATCGGGGGACGTATCGGGGAACGCGGGGCGCTTAGGCCACGGCAGCAGCGACGGCCTGCTCGCCGGTCACGGGGCCCTCGGCGTCCTGTTGGGTCATGTCGCCGAGGTTGTGGAAGTCGAGAATGTCAGAGTACATCATGACCTTCCAGGTGTCGACGGGCAGGTCCGCGTCGTTGAACGACCAGTCAAAGACCTCGGCAGCGACGGGCTCGTCGGTGGGGTCGTGGTACGGCGCCAGGTACTCGTGCGCCAGGCCCTCCGTTGCGGAGATACGTGTGCGCGGGTCAAAGACGAGCATCTTCTCAAGCAGGTCGAGCGAAAGCGGGTCCGCGCTCGGGAACTTGGTCGCAAACGGCACCTTCTCCCTCTTGGGCAAGCTCTGCACGAAGCGGAGAGTCTGCAAAGGGTCAGTACGCGTGGCTAAAACTTGAGCACACTCACGTTCTCGCTAGCGATGGTTTGGATGACGTCGTCGGGGGGAGTGCCAAGCAGTTCGGTGATGATCGAGAACTGGTTGACGTCTGGCAAGGAGGTCAACAACACAGGTCACATGGACAAACACTGCGGTCAACTCACGGTCCTTCCCTGGGAACAGCGGCTTGCCCTCGAGCATCTCGGCAAAGATACAACCCGTACTCCAAATGTCCACTGCGGAAGTGTGAGCTGTGTCCCATGGCTGCCTAGTTACTCACCTGCAACGTCGTACTTTTGCCAAGTCAACATGATCTCGGGCGCACGGTAGTAACGCGTCGAGACGTATCCGGTCATCTGGGGGTCCTGGATGCGCGCAAGGCCAAAGTCACAGATCTTGAGGTCACAGTTCTCGTTGACGAGAATGTTGGACGGCTTGAGGTCACGGTGGACGACGCCGGCCGAGTGCACATACTTGAGGCCACGGAGGATCTGGTACAGGAAGTACTGGATGAACTGCTTCTCAAGTGGCCGCGACGTCAAGAGACGGTGCAGGTCGGTACCGAGGAGCTCGGTGACAAAGTAAATGTCCTCGAGAGGCGAGATGAAGATGTCGCTGAGAGAGATGATCTGTGTGTGTGACGGTGGGTCAGCGCTCAGTACAGATAGACAGACGGATGGTGCCTACGTTTTCATGGCGAAGGTGCTTGAGAAGCTTGAGCTCGCGGTACGTCCTCTTGCTCAGAACCGGGGTCGAGAAGGGCTTCATAATCTTCTTGATCGCCACCGACGTGCCAGACAACTGGTCCTTTGCGGAACTGCAGAGGGAGAAGCGTGTGAGCTGTGAATACCACGATGGGGGGGACGGCGGCGGCCGAGCCCGCGACGGACGGGGAGAGGGCGCGCAGGCAAGAAAGACCACAGCCTTGGACTCCCCGTTGAGAAAAACACGTACCAGACAAGGCCAAAGGCGCCCATGCCCACAGGCTGGAGGTCGACATAACGCGTCGTCACCTCAAAGACGGTTCCGAAGATTGAGAGCTTGACAAAGTCCGCCATGGTTGTGGGCTGAAAAGGACACGGCGATGGATGGGTGGAGCGAGGCAAGAGGGAGAGGGAGAGAGAGAGAGAGAGAAGCACCAAGAATAGGGAACGCGAGCCGGTAACGATGGCGGCGGGGTGGCGGCGGCGGCGCGGCGTTGGTGGGTGGGGCGGCGGGATGGGTGGTAATGTGGGTTGTTCAATTCAGATAGCAAGGGAAAACGACGTGTCAGCCGGGGGGTGCAATGTCTTTGAGAAACCGAGGCGGCGTGGTGGGCCGTAGAGAACGAGTCCTTACCTTGTCGAGGATGCGGGGGGGCGGCTAGCCAGAGGAGTGGGAGAGCGGGGATGCAAGGAATGAAGCGACTCGCACGCGGGTGGAGGAGAATGAGATAGTGTCCGGATGGATAGATGGGACGGGGGGGATGGCTATAGGGGACAACGGTCGTTGGCGGGTGACGGGGTAGAGGAAAAGGGTGGAGAGGGGTGGGAGCTGGTATGTGTGTGTGTGTGTGGAGTGCAGACGTGGGCGGCGGCGTTGGCGGCGTCGGCGTCGGTGTGGTTGGGAGGCTAGGAGGGGGGTGGGGGGCCAAGGCGGGGGGGGGAACGCTTGGATGGGGTGTGTGGGTGACGAGTGGTGTGGCTTGTGTTGAGGGATGTGTTTTGAGGGATGGATGCCAGTGCAGATGGATGGAAGGAAGAGAGAGGTAACGATTAATGAGGATGGACGATGGACGATGGTGGGATGGTGGGATGGTGGGATGGGATATGGGGCTACTGGGAATCAAACCCGAGAGAGACCAGAGAGGACAGGACCGGAGACCCGGGGGACTTGCGACTGCGCACACACTCGCTCGCTCTCACTCAACAGTCCCCCGATAGAATTGGGTGCATTTTGGCGTTGCTTTTCCCTCTGGCCTCTTGGGGGGTGGGGCAGCCCCACAGGCTATCACAGGCTCTGGACGCTACCAAGGTGTTCTGACCTCTCTCTGTCTCTCTCCCCCTCTCCCCCACACACACCGTGGCCTTGCATGCATTGCTCGAATATCGTAGCGCTCAAAAAGTAGACAACACAAGCCACCCAGGTCATCTCAGCTTGTCCGGCGGGGAGTGGCCCGGTGGTGCAGGAAAAAAAAAAGAGAAAGTCCCCGAATCTGAACCATATGGGCCGGCAGAGCCACGGCAAGCAGTGGGTGGTGGTCGCTTGTCTCTGTCTGTCTCCTACCCGGAGCGCGCGCCGAGGGGTGGGTGCGGATTGAAATGCGCGGTTTCCGGCCTCCGGCCTGTGGGGTGTTGTTTGGAATTGTTGCTGTGTCCCCCCGCGGCCCCCTTCCTGTTGTGCCCCTTTCGTACCCACCGACACGCAGGAATAACAACGGGCAGCTCTCCTGTCCCTCGCAAAACACACAACGCAGGAACAACAGAACCCCCCACATGACGTACGTGGCGTGCCCACACGCGCTCCAATCGTCCAAGAAGGTCCCAATGGATTACTGTATATCCCTCTCGACTTGGCCAGCTCGGACGCTTCGATACGTTGGCTCCAAGATAGCCATCCCGCATTCCACGACCCCAATGGGCCATGTTGCGTTAGACATGGAAAAAAGTTGCTGCGATTACTGAGTTGCTGAGCAAAAACGCGTCCAAAACATGCTGATGCATCTGTACTGTAGTATGTGTGCTTAGTGCCGTGTCTGGACCCCCCCTGTCTGCCATACACACCTGAACAGACACACAGGACCCACCCAACCCACCCGCACCCACGCACCCCCCCCCCCCCCCACCTTGCTCCGCCCCGCGCCCATGGGTACACCCTGCATCTGTACTCATGGGCCATGGGCCGTGGTCTCGGCCGCAGCGGACGACCCCGCAGGCCCGCTCGACACTTCAGGCACATCCACATGGCCCACATCCAGACCCAGACCCATGGGCAGCTCGTCGGTGGCCAGAGACGACGACGACAACGAATTATCGCTGCCGTCGGCGGCGCGCAGGGCTAGTGGTTGGCCGGGCAGCTGGCCAAGCAGGCGCAGCACTTCGCTGTCGTCATGCCCGAGCGACATCCAGCCTGCCCGCAGCCCGTTGTCCACCACCGTCTTGAGGGCCCGTTCCAAGCCAATGCTCCTGTGTGTTGGGAAAGAAAGAACCAGAAAGAAAGAGAAGACAAAAAAAAGGATCACCAGGGAGATCAGGACGGTTACACACCCCATGACGCGAGTGGCGGACGGGACGGGAAGTTGGGACCAGGGGACATCCAAGGTTTGTTCCAAGACAAAAAGAGGAATGGACACAATTGAACCCGACGACCCACCGATGTGAAGGAGTACGTGGTGCCAGGAATTGCCGGTGCACCGAGGGAGTGGAGTAAAAACGAGCCACACGTTCCATGTTTTGCAAGGTGGGAGGGCAAGAGAAAGCGAGGACGGGACACGTCAGCCTCAGTTCCGGACCCCACGAGAGTGCAAAACACCTAGAACGCGCAATCGACAACAGGGACAACAGCAAACCGCACCAGTTCGATTGCCCCGACTGCGCGAGCTCGGTGGGTGACTCACCGTTCTTGGAGCGCCTTGACCTGCTCGCTCTCCATTCCACGCAGTTGGTGGATCTCCTCCTCGAGGCTGTCCAGGCGGTCGGCCACCTGGTCTCGGCGCTTCTCATTCTTCCGCGACGTGCGGTATGTCTCGCCGAGGACAAGTCCCGCGCCGACCACGAACAGGAACGTTTCGGCCAGGTTGGACGCGCCGTTCTGCACAGCTCTGCACGTGTCAGTGACGAGCGGCGCGAAATGGGGGGGGGGGGGGGGGCAGAATGTAGGGACATGCAGGGCGCGCATGGCCCAGCACTAGAGTGATGGCCATGTGTCGAGAAGATTGGAGCATCGATGATAGGGCGGTGGTGGATATCTGGAACACAGGGACGAACAACTGTACAGCCTCGTGGTGCGTCCACCATGGATCTCTTGATCTCTTACTCACTTTGCGTCATTGAGAGGCTTGATGTTTTTCGCCTCCTCATTTAGCAGCCCCATGCGCATGCGCGCCTCGGCACGGTGGACACGCTGTTATCGAGAGGTATCAGCTACACTCCATCTCCCCCGCTGCATGGTCCTGGCAAAAATGACGTACCTGTGCGATACCAATACAGAGGTTGCGGAAGCTCTCGTGTCTGTGATACGCCAGTAGGAGGTGGGGGGGGGAAGAGGGGCACACGATCACAACAGGACGAGAAGAAAGACACAACGTCAGCGCCCTCGTTCTCACTTGCTCGCCACCACATACACAGGCCACTTACTCTGCTGCCTGCGCCTTGATCTGGTTGGCAATGGGTTTGGCGAGGGTCTGCCCGGGTCAGCTACTGCGTCCTCGTGTGTGATGTCAGAGGAGGGAAGGGAGGGGTGATGGTGGATGTCGGGGCGAAACGGTGGGAAGGGAGGGGAGAGGAAGGCGCACCTTGACGGCCAAGCTAAAGATCTTGATGGACGCCATCGTGTCTATGCTCGAGTGGTGATGACGAGGCGAGAGTGGAAGAGGTCGAGCAATGCAGTGTGTGTGTTGTGTTGTCAACAATGTCTGGTCGCTTGACCTGCGGCAAGGACGAGGTGTGCAAGATCGCCGCTCGCGCGTCACTTCGGCGCGCGGAATCAAAACGGCCGTAATCAGCAACCTGGGTTTCGGCTGGCTCCGGCAGCGTACGCGCTGTCAGTGTTACTCCGTTCATGATAGACAGCAGCGAGCGGACACTGCGGACTGGGGGCATGCTGCGTAGCGCTCTCTAGGACGACGCATATACGCTTGCAAGACCATGCAGGGAGGTGAAACCGCGGTGGAAGGTGTGAAGAGAAACGTGCACCAGCGTCTCTTCCCTCAGCCGCCGCCACCTCGCTTAGACCAGTACACACCATCTCGCCTTTCAGTCACTGCTGCATAAAACTGTGAGATGAACGCTCCCGCTGCTGCTGTACTGCTGTCCCTCTCAAGGATGTTGTTGTCAAACTACAATTTCCACATGGCCGCGCATACACTCTAGTATTTGCGGCTCGTTATCTTATCGAGTAATCTAGAAGCCATTGCCGCAAATAGTACCCCCAAGCAAATGCCACAGCTCTCATGATGTCACCGCTAATGGGAGGCACTGTTGGGCCTAACATCCGTTCTAGTGGGTGAGAACTGGCTCATCCAACTTCTCTCACCTTCTCGAACATCTCACCTTCTCGAACATCTCTCCTTCTCTACTCGGCCCATCCACAACCATGTCGACCCGGGCTGGGCTCCTCGTCCATTACACCGCACGCCAGATTGGCGCCACCCGCATCCGGACCTTGCCACCCGCCCACCGCCTGCTCAAGACAGCGACATGGCCTTCGACGCACTCGCGTTCTCCCTTGCCCTCCGCCGCCTACCCGTATCCACGAGCTCTCCACGTCTCTGTATGCGTAACCGACTCCAACGTTACACCGCCTGGCTCAACTGCCAAGCACCACGCCGAAACACAGGCGCCCGTGACGACGACGCTGCGGCCTGGACTCGCCGGCAACCCGGACAACCAAGCTGGCGTGGGCATCGCCGGGCATGGTGCGGAAGGCGCACATCCCGGCGACTCCCTCACGCGCGGCGCCATTGTCCCGGCGCCTGACCATGCGTACATGCCCACCTACACGCCCGAGGAACTGGATGTTGTCAAGGTCGTCGTCCGTCCGCCAGAGGGATTGGGAGACAAGACGGTTGTGGGCTTTGTCACGCTTGTTCGGTATGTACACATGTGCTAGCGACAGGACCCCACCTACATGAACTGACTGGTTCCAGTAAGACATTCGACTGGTTCTCGGGGTACAAGGCAGAGGTGATTCCCGCCTCGGCACTGGAAACCACCACGGTTGAGCAGCTCCGTAACGACAGCCGGCTGCTGAGTGACAAGCAATGGCTCTTTCGCATCATCTTGCTCGAGTCCATCGCCGGCGTGCCAGGTATGGTTGGCGGAGCGATGCGGCACCTCAAGAGCCTGCGGGCACTGCGCCGCGACGGCGGGTGGATCCACACGTTGCTGGAGGAGGCTGAGAATGAACGCATGCACTTGCTGTGAGCAGTCGCCCCACGTCGCTCCTCGCCTCTGACCTCGTGCACAGCACCTTCCTCGCCATCCGTCAACCGGGCATCATTCTCCGTTCCTTTGTCCTCGCCGGACAGGGCGTGTTCGGTACCTTTTTCCTCGCGACCTACATTGTCAGTCCGAAATCTGCCCATCGGTTCGTCGCCACGCTGGAGGAGGAGGCGGTGAGGACATAGTGAGCTGCCCCTGTCCTACGTACGTGCGTGGCCAGCCGAACTCACACACTCCCTACAGCACACACTGTGTACATGACGTCCAGTCAGGCCTGGTGCCCGAATGGACCAGTCTCGACGCCCCGGCCATTGCCAAGGACTATTGGCGCCTGGCGCCGGACGCGGTCATGCTCGACGTCCTCAAGGCCGTGCGTGCCGACGAGGCCACACACCGGTTCGTCAACCACACCCTCGCAGACTTGGACCAAGCCAAGGATTTTAACCCCTTTGCGCTCGCCGAGCCGGCGCCAGAGGTGCGCGGTACCAAGTGGGGTTTCACGCGCGACGAGAGCCGCGAGTTTGTGCAGGAGATTGGCAAGCAGCTGGAGCAGCAGGAAAGGCACAGCAAAGTGCATGGGATGAAGGGGCTTGAGGTGCCAGATGAGAAGGGTCGCGGTGCAGGGTAGAGAAGGAAGGGGTGGGGGTATGTAGCTGCTCTCAGAACAGTTCATGGATGGCAATGACGGTGGGGCTTTGGGTGCAACAGATAACAAAGTCGTTGAGGTTGGGACCGAAATAATTCGACATTGTGGTGTTGCGTTGCAAGGCGAATGCCGAGATGAAATCTGCATCAAAGGCTTCTCTTACCTTGTGGCTTGCATGCTGCACCTTGGCACATTGACAAGGGAGGAAAGAGATGATTGTCGAGTGCTGATTGTATATCGCGATAACACAGACTGGGGCGGGGGGTGCACACGCGACGGCCAAGAACCGGTGCCTGGGCCTGACATTCCGTTGCCCCGCATTTCGCACACCGTCAACCATCTGCCGACAACAACCGCAAGCGGGGGTGGTTGCTTCTTGCATCACATCCATGTCATCCGTACATATATCAGCACATACAACCCGTCCTCACTCCATACCACTACATCGTTGTTCCCCTTGAAGGGCTCAGTAGATAGAATAGCTCCAGGCCCCACACCGCCCGCCAAGGCACAGCGCAGGTATCACCAACCTCCCCACTACCACGCACAGGCCCAGTACCCCGTCCGCGCCCGCCCCAGGCCGTTCCGTTCCCCTCGTGTTGTTCGTCCTCTTTGCTTTAAACGACATACACGCGTCTGGAAACCTCGATGATCCCCCTTGTCCCAAACGTCTGAGTGTCGCGACCGGAATCACTCATGCCAGCCATATCCTACTACGCCGGCGACGCTCGCACCATTGAGGATGCGGTACGTCTCAGACTCTTCTCATCCCAACCCGCCCTCGCCATAGTGTGGTCACTGACAAAGTGGATCAGTACCGTGTCCTCATTCACGATCTCCGCATTCCCCTCTGCCTGCCGCAGGAGCGCGCCACGACGGCTCTCGCAAGTACCTCGCGTCAGGTGCATGCGGACCTCAAGTGTTTGCTGGACGAGTTCCCAGCCGAGCTCAAGGCGTTCATTGGGTCTGAGCCCGACGCCAGGCGGGTCTCGGCGGCTACCCAAGCGGGACCAAGGCTTCTGTGCTGTGGGAGTTCTCTCAGAGGTTGAAAGACTTCATCCAGGACAAGCAGCGCCATCAGGAGCGGCTCACGAGCGTGAGCGATCCCGACCTCCTCACCATGTCCCAGAACTCGCGGTCCACAGAGGCGACGTTGATCGAGGACGAGAAACCAGACGCCAAATGGCTGGAGAAGAAGCTCCTCGTTCGGCCAGGCTCAACAGGCCTGCAAGGCAGCACAGTCATCGACTTGGATGACCTCGACTCCCTAGCGTCCGAGTCTGACGATGACGACCCCAAGCGCGGTAGGTATTATCGGCCATGACGACTCTGACGTCGCAGAACCCTCGCCCACACCCGGCCGCTCCAGGGCCATATCGTCTCCCAAGCGCCCGGCGAGTGAGAGCAACCTGCCCTTGCACAACATGTTGGATCAGAGCCCCAGCAAGCGCCGCGTGATTGACCTCGGGCGGTGTGCGAGCGACGACCCTTCCGCCCAACGGCGCATCGCCCCTTTCCGGCACTCTGGCAGTGACGACACTAGCGAGCAGATGTCGCGAAGCCCATCCATCGAGTTCACTGGCGGCACCCAGCCAACGACACCCCAAAGGCGACCAGCGACCGGGGAAACAGGGATGACTGGTCCACTGGGGCGTCTTGAGCTCAAGACGCCAAAGCTTGGCCAGGTTGCCCCCTCTCCCTTCTCTATCGCCAAGGCCGCGCCCGAGGTCGATCTAAGCGGCTATGACCCAGCACACCCGTTGGTCGCCCCCGGTCTGGACGAGAGGTATCTCGAGGTCATCCCGCGCAACCCGTACCAGGCGCAGATGAACAGGAAGGGTATCAACTATTACGTCCAGTGGGGATTGTCGCTCCAGATGGAGTCACACGAGGCGGTCGACTGGCGGGACATTAACGTCAGCGACCTCGACTTGTTGATCGGCACGCCCAGCAAGATCTTGCCCAGGATCAGCCACGTCCTCGACGCAGTCGCTGCGCGCAAACGCGGCGAATGTGCTTCCGATGGCCAACTGCATCCAGACTTCCCTTCCGAGACGTCGTCCAGTCGCATGTTGGCGGAGATGGATATGGAAGAGGTGTCTATCAACGATGTCGACCTCCGTGGTGTCGGCAACGACAGTCAGACGTGGCCCTACGGAGGAAGCCTCGTCTTTGCCGTGGCAGTTCGGCGCGATAACGTGGGCATACGTCCAATGCAAGTCACTGCCGTTGACCAAGAAGCGGCCGACAACCCCTACCGCCGCTCTCCGACAAAGGCGATGGACCCTCCCAGCAACCCCTTCGGCGCTCGTGCTGCAGCCAAAAGCGCTCCCTTCCCTTTCCGCTTCCAGCTCCTGCCATTCGAGCCGCCAAGAAGGTCGACACGCCTCGCCCGTCGCTTTGGGTCACGTCGCGTCCTTACCATCCGCTTCTCCGATGTCCCGCGGGACCAACGCCCAAGACTTTTTCGCATGCTCCTCGGTCGCGCACTGGTTCTCTTTGGCCGCGTGTTTCGAGTCATTCATGCGCCGGCTGATGCCGACCATGCCACTGCCATACAGACGAACGAGGCTGTGCCGAACACCCCGTCGGCGGTCGTAGAGTCGGGCACCATGTCCTTCTTGGAACTACTGTCTGGTACGTCCAACAAGTCGATAAAGCTGACTGTGCAGCGTTCAATGGGCTGGAGGCAAAGCCCAACCAGGCCATGGCGAAGTGGGCCTCTCGCATGCAGCTTCTCCTCTCCGACTCGGTCCCGGCTGTCCGGGTCGACCCTGCGCGCATCACCACTATCCCGGACATTGTGTGCGACAGCGCCAAAGATCCAGATAACCCGGCGACTACTGAGATCTTGACCGATGGATGTGGTCTGATGTGTGAGTAGACAACTCTCTAAAGCACCTATGCTTACCTTCCAGCCGAGGACCTGGCACGCCAAATCGCCCTCCACCCCAACTTTTCCCAGCGACTCACTGGCCGACCGTACGTCGTCCAGATGCGTTGCGGTGGTGCCAAGGGTCTCCTCGCCGTCATGAGCCCCGAGCAGCGTCTCCAGTACCCAAACATGGATGTCGTCTTGCGCGACTCGATGGTCAAGTCGTACCCAGATGACAAGTCCAAGGCACACCTCGACCCGGCCCTGTGCACGCTCGACGTGTGCCGTGTCGACGGCCTCAAGATCGGCACCAACATCTCGTCGGAGCCAATCATCATCATGGAACACAACGGCGTCCCATCTGACTTACTGCTCGCCATGGCTGAGGAGAGTATCGACATGATCCGTAGGGCCTTCATCCCGAAGATCTGCGCAGATGTTGGTGAGGACGAGCGCGGCATGCGGGATAGGCTCATTGCCGCCATCTGGCGGTTCGGTGGTGTTGGGCAACAACGCAAAAGGAGAGAGTGCATCGCGCAAGGCCTCTCAACCAAGGTCGCCGGACTTTCGATCGAATCGACCTCGGTGTCTGTCTCGGGCTCGTCGGATGTCTTTGAGTTTGGTGACCCGGATGTGTCCAAGGAGGAGCAGTGAGTTTTGCGGTACAATTACAGTACTGACGGTCTCAGACTCTACAACACTTTGCTCGCGGGCTACACGCCGACGCCAATGGGTGCATCCTGGGCTGCGGGCATGCTGCGGTGTGTGGTGAAGTCCTTGGCCGACAACGCCGTCACAGACATCAGGATTTCCGTCGACCAGAGTGCTACCGCCATGATCGTGCCGGACACGTTGGGCGTCCTGGCCCCGGACGAGATCTTTGTGTCGTTCTCGGCCGATCAGCCCGTCGACCCTGTCACCTTGCGCCGCATCAACTTCCTCGAGGGCGACGTCCTCATTTACCGCTCGCCATGCAAGCTGCCAACCGACGTCCGCAAGCTCAAGGCCGTCGTGCGGCCCGAGCTCTTCCACCTCCGCGACTGCATTGTGCTGTCCGCAAGCAGCAAGCTGTGCACTGCCTCCCCTGCCAGCTTCCTCGGCGGCGGAGACTATGACGGCGACACAGCGACGGTGATCTGGGACGAACGCCTTGTGACGCCCTTCACCAACGCGCCCGATGAGATGGCGTTCCCGCCAGAGACGTTTGAGCAGGACAACTTCGTGAAGAAGACTGTCAGCGTTCGTGAGATCCTCGATGCGGTCGGCACCGAGGACGAAGCCGCCAAGATCATGAACGTCCAGTACTTTTTGCTCGCCAACATGCTGGACCAGCACTTGACGGGAATCTGTAGGTTCTTTGGATCTGTGCACGATCACTGACCTGTACAGATTCTGGACTCCATGACAAGGCCGTGTACCATCTCGGATGTGCCCATCCCGACACGATCCGTCTCGCGCACATGTTCTGCCACGTCCTCGACGCTCGTAAAAGTGGTCTCACCTTGCTTCCTGACCTGTTCAGCAAGGACTCGCGTGCCATTCGCGGCACGGTGTGGTGGCGTTGGACCAAAAAGGGCATTGACAAGACCTGTCAGGATAACGTCATCTTCGTCGAGCGTGCAGGTCCCAGAGCGTTCATTGTGAGTGCTTAACGCAGTGCTTGTCGGCCTTCAATACGGCGTTGACATGGTTAGATGGACAGGCTCCTCGAGTCGGGCCGCACCAAGACAACGGAGATTATGAGCGACTTTCCGGATCCCGCGAAAGGCTTCGTCGGCGACAACGACCTTGTTGGCTTGTCAAGCGACTTTACGCGCATACTGGAATTTGCCAAAGCGGACCAGGCACGACGACCGCAAGACGACCAGCACGACGCCGAGCTCAATAAACACATCAATAACCTGGTCGGCCACGTTCTCGCGTGCATCAAGCTGTGGCAACGCGTCATGTCAAACGATACCACGCCCATGTTCGAGAGCTACCGGCGGTTGCGGCTCAACCTGAACGACCCACAGCCGACCGGCGGCAAGAAGGGCGAGGTGCCCAACAGCGTCGTGGCGGCGCGCAAGCGCGAGCTCGCTGCAGTGTGGCGCACCTTCCCCGACATGGCCGACGTGGCGCGCATCGTGCCGTTTGGTGACCCCGACGCGTTGGCCACCCTCAAGCTGGCGTGTCTTGTCCACTACGAGCGCCATGGAGTCGGGAGTGGGCCGGTGCGCCCTGTCAAAGTCGCGTGAGTGCCGCCTGACATTTGGGTTGGAGGCCGTCCTAGATAGACGCTGGCTGGCTGGGCTGACGCTGACGCTTCCAGGTTTGAAGTCGATCTCGCGGGCGTGTGCGCCATGAAGGCCAGGAGCCTCGGCGCAACGACCATCTTGCCTGCCAGAGCTGCTGCGCGTCTCAAGCCGACCTGGAGCTATGACCCGGCAGTACGCGGTGGCGGTGCGTGAATGGTGGGTGGTAGGAGGGACTATCGGAAGCATTATGTCATTGTCATTACATTACAGCATGTTACTAGCTTGTGGTCAGCGCAGCGTGTGCAGGTGGACAGTAGGTGGACAGGGCAGGGCTTGGGAGGGAATGTTCGTGCCGTGTAGGCGGTGACGGACCAAAGGGAGGGAGCAAATGAGATTTGGTCAGTGAGGCGGTGAGGCGGTGAGTGAGGCCAGATAAGTCAATGAGTGCGGTGGGGAGACATGGCTCGATGACGTGTAGCAGGGTCACCCTAGTGTGCTTCTTCTTCATATCCTCTACTATCTTATCCTACTGTCGTGAAAAAGCGTCGTGAATAAAAGGCGTCGGAAAACTACATTACTGTCAGTATCAGTAGCCATACAGTGCCACGTACCTTAGAAGCGCTTCTCGACCTCGTAGAGGGCAAAGTCCTCGGCGGCCTTGACCTCGTTGCCCTCCATGGCGTTCATGACAGCTTGGCCCTCCATGCCCTGGGCGCCGCCCTGCATGAAGTTGCCCGCGAGACCGGCGAGGCCACCGCCAGACTGCTGCTGCTGCTGCTGGTTGTTGTTGTTACCGCCGCCCATGAATTCGCCAATGAGGCTGGCAGCGCCGCCAGACTGCTGCTGCTGCTGGTTGTTGTTGTTGCCGCCGCCAAGGAACTCCTGCTCGAGAGCCTGCATGATGTGTAGGTTGGTTTTGGGGGGTTGGGGGGGGGGGGGGGGGGGGTCGTTAAAGCTAGTCGAGAAGTCGAGAGTTGGGCGAGGACGTCGGGATACCGACCTTGACCTGCGCTCTTTATACGCGTGTGAGGCTCGCCCAGTTAATGCCACGATACACGATATCCCGCAATGTCGATCACCGTTCCAGAACGACCACCGCCACGACCCTCGGCCCTCGGTTGGCGACAGCCCATATCCCGCGCCTCGCACACCAGGCAGGTGGCTGAGTCTATTCTCGACCACACCTTGCCCACTGCCCACTGCCAGCACCAAGCTGCAATTCGCGCGATTGGTGTTTCAGTAGGATCAGTTCTAAACGAAGCGCAAATGATGTCATTCAGGCCACGCCAAAATCCGGCTTCGAGGGGATGGTTGTCGGTTCGCCCACACGTCCTGCCCAGGATCGCCAGGACCCCATACCGCATACCGGTCGCTAGGAGAGCCTTGATCAGGATCCGGAGTGTAACGGTCGCACGTCCCACATGGCTCGCAACGCCGCGCAAGGATACGACAGACAGCCTGAAAGAATCCTTGCTGGCCAAGACGCGACGCGTTTAATCCTGACCCTCGCCGCCAGGCGGCACCCCACCTCAACCCATCACACAGTCCTGTTCGGATACTGAGCGTTAATTAAACTGGTTACACTGGGGGGCCTGCGTTAATATGCTAAAAATCACTCCATGTGTCACGCTGGCGTTGGCTAGTTGGCTGAAGCCATGGCTTGCGGATGGGGACGGCCAGTCCCGAAATAGACGGCCACCCCCGTGTTTTCTTGTGCTGGATGTGACTGGCAAGACATGCAGACGACGGCCACATGGGGTATCATTTCGCTGCGACCGGGACAGTATCCAGTGGTCCCTGTCCAAACTAGTGACTTACTGCCAAGGCATGGGATTGTGATGCGAGATGCTTGTCAGTCGAACAGTGGTGAGCGTCAGTGGCGCCGTAGAGATATTTACTCTGCCGGGCCTTGTCGACTGGTAAGGACAGGTTTCGGTGGTGAGGCAGGGGAGAGTCGGGTGGAAGTCGGTTGCAGTTAGAGTTCATGTAAGCGGTAGCGTGTGTCACAGGATGTACACGAAGTCAAGAGATGGTCAATGGGGAGCGAGACATGTGAGAGCAGGTCTGTGAGTAGTTGTCAGGCAGGGGGGAGGAGTGCTCAATGACGGCATCAGCCCACCACCTCCCTCCGACTGACGACACGACCACCGTCTAGAGATGCAGCTTTCACCAGCAACTCAGTATGTACATGTCCTAGTCACACCCATGGTACTTCTCACTCTCTCACTCTCTCACTCTCTCACTCTCTCACTCTCTCACTCTCTCACTCTCTCACTCTCTCACTCTCTCACTCTCTCACATGGTACTTGAATCTCTCCGGCGGGACGTATCTGAACCCTTACTTGCTGGACTCCAACTCGGTCTACTTGAAAACAATGTTGAGAGTGACGCCAGTGCACAGCCTGACGGTGCCTCTGCTGTCAGGGAGCTTGTCGATCTTCTTCTGCACCGCATTGCCGATACACAGGCAAACGTGGAAGTCGCAGCAGTGTTCGTGAGCCCACTGCTGACCTTTGTCGTTGAGTGCTAAAATCGTCGACGTCTCGAATTCAGGTCCGCGTCCGCACTGCGGCCAGCAGCGATCTATGGCAGCAGCCATTGGTACCTGCTGGGGGAAACGAGCGAGTTCGAGTCTAGCCTCACCGCCGCCTCCCTTGTCAACATGGTACTGTCATCAAAGACTTACGATTCCAGGCTCTGGCGAGGGTGCGATAAGACACGTAGCGCATGCTACCAATGATTTCGGCAGCGCTCCAGGCAATTCCGAACGCGTGGTGAGAGTCGGGGAGCAAGTGGCGGCCAATCTTGAGAGCGGTGACAGAAATGTTACTCCACAGTGCACCCTCACTGCTTGTCAGGTTTTAAAACTCGCATTGTCGCTTACAGTTGAGCAATACCATACTTGACCGCATCGGTCGAGGTGAAGAGCAGAGCGGTGGCATTCCACGGGTACATCTGGACGAGTGCGTCGCGGTACATTTGCATTGCCGCCATCAACTTGCCTTCGCCATAGCTTACACTGTGCTTAGCTTTATACGGCCAAAGGAGGCGGATCCGGGGTACACGGTACCGAGAGTCAAATACACTTACAGCTTATTGGCGGTATCTTTCATGATCCCGAGACGTTCGATCAGGTCGGGGAGGGCCTCAATAGCAAGGCCGGTCTTGCGTGCTTTGAGTCCCGCCCAGTCCAAGCCGGGAGTGGCCTTGCCACCGATACGGTCGAGCACTCGGTCGAGCTGGAGAAGAAACCCGAGTTGCTGAGCATGATGTGCATAGTGGAGGTCGGTGAAAGTCGAGATGAGGCGAGGGCGATCAAATGTCTCTTCGTCGGTACTGGTGGGACAGATGAGTACATAAGTGTTTGTTGCGGGTAGGTCAATGATTGCACGATTACTTACAAGAGAGCCACAGACATCGCAAGCATTGAGGAAAAGGCGGCTTCAATCTCGGATGGACCGAAGATGGGGAATAGTTCCCAGATCTTGCTGTTCATGCTGGTGTCTTGTTGGGTGTAGTGCACCTCGGTGAGGGCTAGGCGGGGGACGGGAAGGGAGTCGCCGCCAGACGTGAATCCGGTCTCCATCAGCAGGCAGGCGGGTGGTTCATACTTGCGATTCTTGAGCACCAGGGTGACGGTATGGTCTGACATGGTGCAAAAGAATGGATGGTGGTGGTGAAGTGAATGGAATGCAAGAAGGCGGAGGAAGACAAAATGACGATGGGGGGAAGACGTTTTGGCCTTTTGGCAGGGTGTGGACGTTGGGTGGCGGACAGTCCAGTCACTCGCCGTCAACCCGAGGAAAGATCGGCGAGACACCACACTGCAGATCCACAGACCACACCCATCGTATACATTCAATTTACACTACAGGTCCAAGCATAAAGTGGTGACCAGAGGTCCTCCGGCCTCCATGGCGCTCACGCAACTCAGACTCGCAGACTCCCCTGTCAAGCAGCATGTTTGGTGACCATTTTCTGCACAATTAATAACATTTCGCTTTGCTACTACGCTATGCGCCTACAGTACCATGCAGAACGCTAGCAGAACTCCAGGCCTCCCACTCGAGCTTTTGGTTGCCCACTCCTCCCTTAGATTGGCTGGCACTCTGGATCTACCTGAAGCTGATCTTGAGAGTCACGCCAGTATAGAGTTGGATGACGGCGCCTCTATCGGGGAGGGCCGCAATCTTCTTCTGGGCGCGAGCAGTGGACTCGCAGATGTGAAGGTCGAAGCAGTCCTTGTGCACCCACTCTTGATCGCCACCATCGCCCAGAGCGAGCAGATTCGAGAGCTCGATTTCGGGACCGACACCGAGCCTCCAGTTGCAACTGTCGAAGAGCCTCAGGTCAGGGCGGAATTGCCCGATTTCGTGCGTAATCTCGGCCACGCCTGTTACTCAGCACAATGTCTCGACGGCTGGTGGCTGAAAGGTATGGCTATGGCTACTGCTACTCACGAGCTAAAGCGCGTGCCAGGGTACGAGACGAGACGTAACGCATGTCGGTGACGACTTCGGCGCAGCTTTTGGCGGTAGTGAACCAGTCGGAAAATCCGCCTTCCAGGCGACCGAGTTTGAGTGCCGTGGTCGCCATGTTGCTCCAGAGAGCGCTTTCGCTGCCTGTTAACCTCGAGAAGAACAGTGTAAACTTACAGTTGAGCAATCCCGTACTTGAATGCATTGGTAGAGTTGAACAGAATTGCAGAGCCAGTCCATGGGTACAGGGCGTACACTGCGTCACGGTACATCTGCATCGCGGCTCTCAGCCTGCCTTCGGAGAACCTGGACGCGGGTGAGTTGATTGTTTTGAGAAAAAGGAACAAACTCCAATGTTCAATGCTTGATTCCGCATCAACTCACAGGTTGTTGGCTTTGTTCTTCATCACCTCGAGACGCTCGACCAGTTCGGGGAGAGGCTCAACGGTGAGGTTTGCCTTGCGGATGCGGAGGTCCCCCAAGACCTGGGGAGCAATCACATGTCCAAGCCTGCGAAGGCCACTGTCGACATTGGTCAGACACATCAGGGTTTGCACCTGGTGTGCGCTGTCGAGTCCCAGGAACTCAGAAGCGAGGGCTTGGCGGTTGTAGGCCAACGACATACCACTACTGTAACAGATAACGTGTAAATGGCAGTCCCGAGTCAGCCGCTGATACAGTACTCACAACTGCGAGAATTTGAGTGTCTTCTGGGCATGGTTCATAGCGTTGTAACCTGTAGGGGTTACCTCCCCCTTCGGGCCCAGAGGGATGACGTTCCAGATTTCGTGGTTCAGGCTCTTGTCCTCTTGGGTATAGTGGGCATCTGTCAAGGGGAGACGGTTGACAGGGAGGGAATCGCCACCAACGGTGAAGGGTGTCTGGACACTTATCGGGCCGAAAAGGGAACGCAGTTCGGAGCCCGGTTTGACAGTAAGCTTGCGGTCGTGAAGCACCATGTTGATGACGGGGCCCGGCATGCTGAATGAAGTGCGTTGACAAGATTGAGGACGGAGAGGACATTGCTAGGGGCGCGCCAATTGTTCTTGTAAAAGGGGCGAGCTTTTCATGATGCACTGGTGCGGGCGTGAGAGGCAAAGCAGAGGCGCGAGCTGATGGAGTGCAGTGTCAGACTCTAGGGTGACTCACATCGCGTCCAACCCAGCTTCTCTACTTCCCATAATGTGCAAGCCTTGCATGGCAGGGGAAGCCAGTCGGCGCGTCACCGCTGCCATTTTCAGATATTTTCGTTCATTTATTAACGGGACGCTCACCAGTTGCAAGTTGGTGGCGTGCATCCATGCGGTGTTGGTCATATTATTTACATTGAAATCACATTGCAATCACAGAGACGCAGTCCTCGTCTACTATGTGGCTGTCCGCACAAAGGTCTGCTGTTGCACAACGCCTTTTCCCGGCTGCTCGCCCCTCGCCCTTCATTGCCGGAAGTCGCCACATCCCATCCCCGATTGCACCGTCCAATGTACACCTGCCATCTACTAGGGCGTGCATGGGTGCATCTGCTCACGATGTAGTTGCCATGGACACACTTGCCGCCTTCCAACACCATGCCATCCCGGTTGGGGGTTCAGAGGCTAAAGGTTCTCACGAGATTTTCAACCGGCCCAAGTGGACGTAAAACTTCTTGCGTGGCCGCACCGCTGGACTACCATGTTGTGTGTGATTCTCTGCCCTCGCCCCAACTCCCGCAACCCTTCAGCTATCACTATAACACTGGAGCACAGTGCATGTGTTCAGCGAGCCTATGCCACCTAGGCACTCGCAAGACGTTAGGGTGCCTTCCACCACGTGATATTACGTAATTTATTCATTTGTTGCTTGGCGCCTCCACCCGTGTGTTTCGAGGTCGGAACTGGGCACGCACCTTGTTCCTTCTGTTCCGTTGACCTTGCACTGCGCGCGTCCTTGGACGTGTTCACTTACCGCCTCTCAACGCTGCCAACGGAACTTCACCGACACTCAGGACCACGCCATTCCCTGGCCACAACATGCTGCCCACTTGGATCCAGAATGGACGACCAGTGGTACGTTTCATATCTCTGCAACCCATGCCCAGACTACATGGAGCTGGTGGTTCACTCGACCGTGTCGCTAGCTCGCTGACGTTGTCGCAGACGGTTCGCGTCGCCGGTCGCCCAATTACGATCCACGCCCTTCCTCTTGTTCTCATCGTCCTCGGACTGGTATACCTCGTGTACCCCTCAAAAGCCCCATCGTACGGCTATCTGCCTCGACAGAACACAGACGATACATTATGGGGTCTGCATCGCACCAAGTCGCCGTTCCTCGTGCCGCCACGCGACATCTTGCCCTTCCATCACAAGCTCCCCCAAATACCTGACAACTTCCCCGAGCCTGTCAAGCCCAAAACGTCGGGAATGCGCGTGCCCAACTCGGTCCACTATGTGTTCGGCTTCAAGGATGTGGCAGAGGGCCAGAGCCCCGACGAGCTGCCGTACTATGCCTACCTCGGCATGCGCAGTGCCCTGCTCAACCTCCGCCCTACCAAGATGTACTTGTGAGGATCTCGTGGGCAGGAAAAGTAAATATGACGGTGCTGACCGTCAGCCACTACAAGCACCTCCCCACCGGACCGTGGTGGGAGCTCATCAAGCCCCATCTGACTTTGCGAGAGATGGACCCGCCCGAGGAGATCTTTGGGCACAAGATCCACAAGTTTGCTCACAAGGCCGATGTCGCGCGCATGTACGCCATGAAGCGCTCGGGCGGCATCTACCTGGACATTGACATGTTTGTGTAAGTGTCAGCTGTCTCCGCACGCTTCAAGCTGACGCGCACCAGCGTCAAGCCATTTGACGACTTGCTGTACTACCCTACTACGCTGGGTATGGAGCTTGCGACCGACTCGAGCCGGTCCCCCTTGGACCCACAGGGTCTTTGCGTAAGCTTTCTGTCGCAGGGTTGAGCTGACGCCAGAACGCGGTGATCATCGCCGAGCCCGACTCGCCGTTTGTCGACCGCTGGATTGCGGCGTACGAGTCGTTTGACCCCGATGACTGGGCGTACCACAGTGTCGCCAAGCCGTGGCAGCTTGCGCGCGAGCACCCCGAGGAGATCCAGGTGCTGAACGCGACCGCCTTCTTCTGGCCCATGTGGCACGGTAACGAGGTCGAGAAGGTCCACGAGCGCGACGAGTACGACTTTATCCGCAGCGGCCAGTACGCGTGAGTTACCGGCTGGAAGCCTTCCTCCCGCAAACTTTGCAAACTAACTCCATGCCACAGTTACCACGCCTGGGAGTCGCTGGCGATGAAGTACCTCCGCGAGCTGTCGCCTCATTCCATCCGCACCGAGGACACGAGTTTCCACCGCCTTGTGCGGCCATTCATCGGTCCCGAGGACGACGAGACGTACCGCAAGTGGAAGCAGGGTGAGAAGTAGACACACCATCGCATGTACCATCACTATATTCTAGCCACATCGTTTTCTACACTAGGGATACCAGATGAAACCGTCGTATCATTAAGACGCCCTGTGGCATTTCAGTGGCCGCTATCAAGACAAGCTACCGCTAATTAAGAGTTTTGTTTTCTACGCGCACCACTCCTCGGTCATCACACGTGCCATACGACGGATACCCTCCTCCTGGAGGTCCTTGGGCTCAAACGAGAATGCGAGACGGAAGGCGCCGACGCCAGGCTGGCCATAGCTTGAGACGCCCTCGCCTTCAAAGGCGGTAAAGTACCATCCGGGGGTGAGGAGCACCAATGCCTCGACGAGACGGACCCAGAACTTGGCCTCAAACGCCTGGGTCGCGTCGCCGTCCTCTGGGTGCTCGGGCTTGTAGCTGGCCGCAAAGGACGCGAACTGCGGGTGCGTGCGGTAGTACATGCGGCACCACACGAACATGCCGCCGGTGGGGGGAACAAACGACATGAGCGCAGGGCCGGTGTGGGCCTGGCCCTTGGGGTAGGCGACCAGGCCGATGGCACCGGCGACATTGGTGCTCTCGGCGGGCACGAGGTCAAAGGACGCAGAGAGGGCGTCCAGCATCCAGTCCCTTCGCACGCGGTACTGCTCGCGCAGGTTGGTGATCCAGAGGAGGTAGCCGTCGAGACCCCACTTGTTGAGCAGCTCGCCAATGACAACCTAAGCGATAGTGTTAGCAGTGGAGGGGAAAACGCCTGAGACAGTCCAGCTCACAGAGGAGATACCCGAGGGCATCTGTGTTTGAACCTCGGTACCACGGAGCAGACGCTCAATGAACATCTTGCTGCCTGTGAACCAACCCAGGCGTGCACCGGGAGCGAGCGTCTTGGAGAAGGTGTCCAGACGAATCACGCGACCCTGCACGTCAATGGTCAAGAAACTCTTGACCATGCTGTCCAGGAAGGCGGCGACATCCTCGTTGGTCTTGGCCGGGACTGGCGGGTGGCTCTTGGAGCCCACCACCCATGGCTCAAACTGGAGAACAGTGTACGGGTCATCCTCAATGATCACGACATCTGTGAGAACAGTGAGTATTGAATCAGTAGCTGATAGGCAAGCACTAACCGTACTTGACGCAGACGTCGTAGATGGCCTGGCGACGCTGAGCGCCCATTGTCGTGCCCAGTGGGTTCTGGCCAACGGGAACAAGGTACATGACACGGGGACGGCGGCCGCGCGACTCGTCCCAGCCTGCAAGAGCCGCCTCCAGTGCGTCGGCACGCATGCCCTCTCCATCATCTTCAATGGGGAACGCAGTCACACCCATGGGAATGAAGCTCGCCTGAGCAGAGGGATACACCTGCGTTTCGGTGATGACATACTCGCCGCGTTCCAGGAGCATTGTAATGACCTTTGTCCACGCGTCGGTACCACCCGAGTTGACAAGAATGTCCCAGTCCGAGTACACGGGCTCCCACATGCGTTCCGTCAGGTCCTTGCACAGCTCGGCAAACTTGGCCAGACCACTGCCACCGGTGTACTGCAGGCCGCCTGCGATATCAAACGCCGTGTCAGACGTCTTGTGGCGGGGGATCACGACCTCGACCGAGTCGGCCGGCGGGGTTCCTGTCTCGGGGTCGAGGACCGTCGAGGCTGGGTACGCCGACGCCGACACCGAGTGGAAGGGAAAGTACGCGGCGGGAGGAAGACCGCCAGCCAGCGAAATGATGCCCGGCACCGCCATGTACCGGATAATGTCCTTGAGCGGGGACGCACGGCGCGAGCGTGCAAGCAAGGACAGGTGGTGGCTCAGGTCGAGGGCGGTGGGACGTTCATCTGTGCTGGTGCTGGTGCCGTTGGTGGCCGTGGCCTTGGAGCTGTGGCCGTGGCCGTTGCTCACGATCGCGTCGGTGGAGGCGGTCATGGCCGAAGTGGGCATGGAAGGTGTAGATAGAGGTGTTGACTTTGGAAGATGGTTGAGCCGAAAGGTAGCTCACAGCCTCAATGTTGGCAGAAGGGTACGACGTTGATAGTGCTGCTGTGTGTTGTCTTGAGCCCCAAGAGTGATGAGTAACAGTCAAGAGTGAAAAGATGAAAGCAAGCGATATTTAAACGACAGCACAGATCCACCCCTGTGTACCTGCGTGTTGCTGACGAAGGCCCCTCGACTCGAGGGCTATCGGCTGCGATGAGATGCGGGGTCTCCATCGGCTACAAGCGCCAGGCACGCACCACCAAAATATGAACACATGCTCTCGGACCCGAAAGCCCCCGCCACGGCGCAGCCGTGGCGGCTACGCGCGGCGGCAAGCGCCAAAGCGTCGGATTATGTAAGCCTAAAACGTTAGGTAATCTTTCCTTTTATGTAATCTTTATTGTTATGTAATCCTTTCCAATTACGTAGGCACTTTGCGCCCCGCGCGCCCGTTACCACTTTCTACGTTGTTCCTGGGGGGCTGAGCCATTTGATTCCGAAGGTTCGATGCGCACACGCCGCCTTCCTTTTTGTAACGGGATTTGTGCATTTGTGTCCCTCCCCTCGTTGCGGCGTGTCGGACCCTCGGAGCAACCCAGTGCTTATTTCCCGCCAAGCAGACGCTAGTATACGCTAGCACTGTGAGTATGCAAACGCAACACCGGTGTGGCCGCAGCCCAGCAAGAAGCCACCACCGGCCATACGCCACAAAGCACAGGCGGCACAGCGAACCGAAAGAGGTCGTGCAGGGCACGTCTCAAACGCAGCAGTGGTCGGGCCGGGGTATCACAGGCTGTGGGCGGTGCAGATTGACAAAAGGGGGATTTATGCTTCTCATTGAACCATGATACATTGATGCCTGAGGCATGAGAGGCGATGTCATGTACAGAAAACGGACCAGCGGGGCTGGGCAACGGCAAGGCTGGAGAGCTGTGCGTCTTTCTGATCGCGAGTGACTGACCTGGCGCGCTGGGGCGGAGGGGGCTGTGGACCTGTGGACTTGTGGACCTTGGGGTCTGGTGCTGGCCGCTGGAGGTGAAAACGTGCTGCTGGTGGCGTGTGGTGGCCGTGGGTGGGCGCCGTGTTGGGCTGTGATCGTTTGTTGAGTCTCCGTCGGCTGTGTGTGTGTGTGTCAAGCCACAACGTTCTCGGTGGGTCCCCAGTGCCAGCAATCCACATCCTGCATCTTGGAACGGCCATCCTGCGCGGCTTGTGCGGGAGGTGTCAGGACCAGCTCAGGATCGATAGGGGGGGGGGGGGAAGGCGACGCACCTCCATAACCAAGGGATCCCGCGTCATGTCACTGTCACTCTGTCCCAGCCAGCACCACATACAGCCAGAGACGGGGAGAGACGGCGACGGCTTGCCGCCGCTGGCTCTAGCTTCCTCTCTCTCTCTCATACCGCCAGTCCTGGCTCGGCCCCCATTGACTCAAAGGGCAAGCTGTGCCTATTGCCGGCTGTCTCATACCGTTCTTCATTCACTTCCACCGAGGTACCGGAGGTCGTGGTTAGGTACTCCTGTCAGCGTCAATATTCGTAGGTTTATTGAACAGGGGTTGCAGCCTGTATATCTGTCTCTGATCCTCTGAAAACTGGGTGGTGTGTGAGTTGAAGCAACGTAATCCTAGTTGATTGCTTGACGTTGAGCGCGGAACGGGGATGTGCTTGAGGGGACCCGCCACGGGCCACGGGTGCCTTCGGGTGCTGGCCCTTTGGGCGTCATGGCCTGCCGCTTCTGTTGCATTCCGCAAATGAGCGGCGTACATGGCACAGCCGGGGGACAACACCCAACCGATAGAGGCGGCAATAATGTATCGAGGGACGGCCTGGACAAAAGCTCAGAACCTAATGATGCGTAAAATGCGTGTTGAGACGGCAGCAGCGGGGCAGCGCAGCCCAGGCAAAACAGGTCTACCGCGGATGGCGCGGACGCCAAAACGTTTGAGCCTGGGAGAGCCTGTTGAGCCTTTTGGGCCTTTTGCTCCGCGGTGTTGCTGTTCTGCCGTTCTCGCGCCGCCCGCATCCGTCTGTCGCACCGCATATCACCGTCCTGAACAGTCGTTGCTCGCTCCAGAGCGCTCCAGAGCGCCAGAGCCCAAGAGCTCCACTGCCTGTGTGATGTGGAGGATTGGGAGCTGGCTGGGGCAGTGCGCGGCTTGCTCGCCTCGCCTCTGTGCCTATCAGTGCAAGAATCACACCTGTGGTGTGTGTGTTCCTCGTTCATTGTGTGTTGGGTGCAGGGCGTGCACCGACTGTCGTAGATATGCAAGAAGCCAGCCTGATGGATCGTCTTCTCCCCTTCCATTTCCCTCATCCCCCTTTTGTGAACGCACACTCGCACACTAGCACACTCTTCCTTCACGACCACACCTCTTGACGGCCTCACGGCGACACATCAAGCAACACCCCCAAACCCCTCTGAGCCCCACAACATGCTGCACGGGCTGGCCAAAGCCGCGGCGTTGGCGGCGCTCTCGCTCACCCCCACGGCGCTTGCCGCGTTCACCCCCAACGCCTATTTCAATGTCAGTTTGAACGCAGACTCTCCAGCAATCCAGTACGGCCCGGATGCCCTTGACCAACGCTTCAACGGGTCGTACTGGTACATGCAGTACACCAATTCGTCATGGGACTCGTACCAGATCAATGAGGTTGGCCAAGGTACGGCTCAGGCCGTCGCCAACCCCCCTGGAAACACCAGCGTGAACCAGTATCCAATCGTTGCCATCCCCTTCACTGGTACTGCCATTTACCTGTGGGGAACCGCCATCCCGGACTCGACAACTGTCAAGGCGCCACTGTTGTTCTGGGTCGACAACCAGTCGCCGACCAACGTCCCCGGCAATGGCGTCAACGAATCAATCTTTACATACCAAGAAGGCTTGGACTGGGGCAACCACATCGCCTACCTTGGGATCGTCGCCGGAACATTGCTGTTCGAAGGAGTCACCTACACAACGGCCGCGTTGACCACTGTGTAAGCTCAGACCAGAGGTGAACAGTGCTAATGGAGAGCTCTGATGCCGAGCAAGTCTTCGGAGACATTCACCCACTCATCGTCGGCAACTCGCTCAACACGGACATCTTTGCCTACGCTGGCAACTGGACCGTTCAGACTGAGGTCGGAGGCGGAGGTGGGTGGTCGAGCCTGGCATCACGGGCGCAGCTCCGCACCGCACAGCACAGCACGGCACTGACAGCTCGTTTCAGGTGATCAGACCGCCTACCCCTACAGCACGGCCATTGGCACAAACGGCGCCATTCTGCGGTTCAACGTGCCCCTCAATACCTCGTACATTATGATCAACGGCACCGTCGGGCCTGACCTCGGACTCATCGACTTCAAGGTGGAGCCCACGCCTGTTTATTCTCAGGTCTCCGTCATGAACCAGTACGACCCGTGGATCCAATCCGCCAGGCTGTACTACGTTCCCCTCGACCCCACGCTCGAGTACAACGTGACAATCTTCTCCGACACCGTTGGCTCTGGCTTGACGGCGATGAACAATGACAAGATTAGTCTCTACTCGGTCGATTTTTTCAACTATAACCAGTAAGTTGGCCCGGTCCTAAACCAGCTGACAGCCAGGGGTGGTCGCTCGGACAACAGCAACAACGGTACCTCGACTGGAGGTTTGGGCATTAGCAGTGGCACCAACGGAACCGATGCTACTGGTAACAGCACTACGACCGGAGGAGACGCAGCGTCATCGACCGCTGCCGTTACCAAGAAGAGCAGCAACACGGGCGCCATTGCTGGCGGTGTTGTAAGTTGTTTCTGGCGTTCTTTGAGAGACAGCTGACGAGTTCCAGGTTGGCGGTGTCGTTGCCCTCGCGGCAATCGCGGCAGCCCTCTTCTTCTTCTGCCGTCGTCGCTCGAAGAGCCGCGAGCAGGGGCCTGCTACTTTCGAGATTGACGAGTCGGCCGTCACGTCTCCTTATGTGCAACAGAACATGTCGGCGAAGCGTGAGCCCCAAAAACACCCTATCGTTTGTGGCGTTTTTGCTGACCATACTTAGCTATGACCCAGCAAGTGTCCAACAACAACCCTGGCGGATACTTCCCTCAGCAGGACTATGCCGGCGCGCCCCTTCTCGTCGGCAATGCTGGTCCGATGGCCAACCGCGGCTCGGTCGGCCAGGTCTCGTCGTCCGCCGGCTACCCCACGTCCTCTGGATACGCCTCCAGCGACATCATGGCCAGCAGCGCTGTTGGCGGCATCACCCCCTCCATGCTCAGCCCCGGTCGCGAGAGCAATGGCTCGCACTACGCCGCTGCTGGCGCTGCAGGCGCTGCCGGAGCCGCTGCTGCTGGCGTGTATGGTAACGAAAAGTCGCAGCCGATGCGTGAAATGGGCCAGACGCAGGTCGCTGCTCCGGGCGGCCCTTCGTCTGTGGGAGCCTCGCGCGCGCCCGCCCCCATTGCCGCGGCCATCCCGTCGCGCGTGTTCGCCCAGGAGGAGGACGCCGGAGGCGTGGAGCTCATCCCGCCTTCGTACCGCCCCGAATGGGCTGGCTCCTCTGCTGCGGGATCGAGCTCGGCTGGTGTTGGTGCTGGTGCTGGTGCTGGTGCCGCTGGTGCCGCTGCTGGCGAGGTCGACGACCGCCGCCCCTCGTACGCGACCAGCACAGGCACGGGTAATGAGGACTGGGCCACGCCTCGCGGAAGCCTGGAAAAGCGCTAGGTTCGTTCTGGACCCCCAACCGTTGCGGTGAACCGAGAGTGGAGCAAGTTGGGGAGAGGACGATGGGCGCGTGTGTGTGTGAGACAGAGAGAGAGAGAGAGCTTTGTAGTCGACATCCGTGATAATGCCGCTGTGGCGTGCCACGCTATAGGGTTTAGGGCAACTTTGTCCATCTACGTAAATGTTTTATGAATGTTAGTATGTGCCTCTGGTCGGCAGACGGACTCTGACAGGAGGACCACGGAGAGGGGTATTTTACCGTATTTTCCTAGATTTATCGGGCTCGTAGTCGGGGTACCGTACCTAGGTACAGTACAGTACTGCGGATTTCACTCGGTTTCACTCTCGCCCCAGCATTCCTTGCCCTTTTGCCTAGAATCAGCCCGCAGCAGTGCTGTGGATGTGGACAGGGCCAAGACAATGGTGGACGTAACCGCCGACATGCATGAACGGTGGCTTTGAGGGTGAAACATAGCACACACCCGCCCGCGTTCAGCCGCAGTTTGCATGTTGGAGACCCGTCAGGCTGTCAACCGCCAGCCCAGAGGCCAGTGGGTATGCTCAGCGCGTGGCCCACTGGGATACACCTTCAGCCATCTCGGAGAATCTGTATCGACATGGAAGAGCACTGCACATGCGCTGGCGAGCCGACCGAGCCTCGAGGAAGGTCGTTGCCGTTGTCGAGTTTGGTCAAACTTGGGGGTCTGACAGGGCCTTACTGCCCTCCAAACCAACTTTTCTGCTTCTCAGCCATCCCTGCTACTCGGTAGACGTGTTAATGCCTTTGATATCAAAAGGAAAGACCTCTGGCGAGCTCAGAAGAGGCCAGGATACACCGTAAGGGAGTCGAACCCCTGCCGCGTCGAGGGTTGCACTTGGCAACGACGCATGATACCGTTTCACCAACGGTGTTTTGATGTTGCTCGCCATTGCCCTGTCGCCGCTCGCCGGCCTTGGGAGCCTCAGGGAAAGCGTAGAGGCAGAGAAGGTGTAGCAGGTGTAAAGAGGGCAAAAAACTAGGTCGGAATGTGGAGAAGAAACTTGAAAGTGGCACTCGGCGATTTTCGTGTCCTCCTCCGTCAACAGCTCATATTCACCTTCTCAAACGACTGTCCGCGAGTTGGGTGAGTTAGGAACGCCTTCCACACCTTCCCAGGTGTCATAGATGTGTCCAGAGTAGCAAAAACTGGAGATGCGGTGAATCGAACACCGGTTACAGACAGTCTCATGGCCTCACCATCCGTCCAAGGACGAGGGGAGGAGATGCGAAGTCTGTGTCTTACCACTAGACGACATCCCCGTTTTGGGGATAGTGGACTGACTGTTCGCGCGCCGGGTGACTTTATAAAGGGTTGAGAGGTATAGTTTATAGATATGGGAGGTTCTGGGACACTTATTACGAAGGAGGTTAGTTGTGGCGGCTGTGGCGGAACCCTAATCCCTGGCTTGACGCACGCTCCTTCTCTCAGACCGGCTGCTGCTGCATCTCCAACACAATGTGGGAGTAACTTTGGCATGTATGTGGAAGGGCAGGCACTAATGTGTGGACTACTCTAGAGCACAAAGACGAGTGCCATTGCCACAACCGTAGGGACAATCATGTGCCCGTTCCATCCTGTTCTCCCGGCGGAGCTTCGCTGGTAAGTACGGAGGGGTTTCGTGCCAACCGGCTCGATAGAGAACAGGTCGGATACCGCTAGAACGTTGGACGTGACTGCATGTCAGTGTGCTGTACAGTAAGAGTCTCCTCACCGCAATTGACGTCGTTTTCACCACTGCCGTATCTGTCACACTCTGTTTCCCGAACCATCACGTAGTAGGTTTGACCCATGGCCAGGTAAGGTGCGGAGTAATACGGCCTGTGAGAAGCAATCAGTCGTCGTTACTTGTAGTTATGTTTTGGGACGCACATGTAAGGAATGGGAAAGACTGTGCTCGTGGCGTTCCCGGCTACTGTCAGCAGAGGAGGACATGAGTTACTTACTAAGGTTGTGGCCTGACACTCCTATGCCATTGAGGGTCAAAGTTGACGACATGTTCAGGTTGTATAGTTGATACGCCAAGGTCTTGTTGTCCAAGGGAGTGTTGGCAACAACGTTGTATTCACCCACCACCCCTAGTTCTGTCAGTACCACAGGATTATGCGCACACTCACAGTAATCTCCAGCGACAGGGAAAGTAATCTCCATTCCTGAGGAGGAGGCATTGGCCTTGGCAGCTTCGTACGTCGCGTAGCGTGGCTGAGCGGTAGCGTTGACGCTAACTGTTGTAGTCGGCTGGGAAGGGGGGCTATAAGTGGAAGTGGGTTCCGAAGGGGAGTACGACTCGCTGTCATCGCCCGCTTTGATCTCGAACAAGTCGGAGACGGCGTAGATGCCTGGCGTCAGTCGCGACAGCTGTACCTGTAGACTCACAGCGATCAAGCGAGGTACAGTTTCCAGAGGTGGACAACATAAAGTAGTGTCCAGTGCTGGGTCCGAGGCTGAGGTCAGCCACGCGACGACGGGAATACTCACTCGTGCGGGAAGGAGCTGTAGCTGAAGCTAATTGTGGACGTTCCGTTGGGAACTAGTTGTCAGCTCATACAAAACAGCCGGCTTACTAGAGCTGTTGAGCGTAACGGTCGGCGTCGTGGAAGAAATTAACATGAGAGTGGTCATGTCGTCCACCGGCTCCACTTGTACCTCGTGCGATCCGTTCAAGGTGACTGTAAAGTGTTACAATGGCCGCACGGTTCGGAAACACTCACTGTAGTCGCCTGATTTGGGGAACATGAACGAAGACCCATGGGCAATGCCCATATACGTGTTGTGATTATCGAGGAAGATCTGAGTGTAATTGGTTGTCGCAGCCGAGCTGCTCGCCGCTGGTGCAACTGTCGAACTGATCGCCGAAGCTACACTTGTGGCGGAAGTTGAGGAGGACTCCGAGGTGCTGTTCTGAGCAAACGTCCCAACGGCAGAGACCGCGAGGAATCCTAGTGCCAGCCTCATGATCGCGGGAGTGAGTATAGTGAGTATAGTGGACCAAGAACCGGACCCCTTCCATGACTTTATACAATGTGTCACGAGCCAAATCGAAATCGGGTGCTCTTCTTCAAGGCTTGGCAGAGGCGATGCGAAACCACTATCGAGGGGTGCTCAGGTGTTGAGGTGGGGTGCCTGGACACTGGAGAGCCGGGGGCGATGTATCAGCTTCCCGAGATATGCTACTGACGTGACAGTAGAGTCATGTACGGCAAGTTGGGAGACAGGGTGTTCACCCCAGCGGTCTGTGGGGTGCCTCAAGATGCACTTCCAACGGACATGTGCCTGAGCTTACCCCAGCCTGCTTAGACCACCATCCCCGCTTGTCGGCACTCCCTCCCCTCTCAGCCACAGAGATGAGGCCCCTCTCGGCTCCATCTGTGATACAAGGTCCATAGAATACGATTGCATTGGTTCTCTTGTTCACCTGGTCTGACTCCACGAGCCACCAGTTTGATTGCTGAGGTAAGATTGGAGTCAGGACACCTCGGTTGACCGGTGACCGCCACAATCGAGCAGGGAGCAGGCCATCGCCTCTGGCATAGTGGTGAGGAAAGCTGCATGACCCAGTACCAGTATACCAACAGCTATCCTTCCTCGCCGTGCTGGTCATCTGACTACGCGGGCATGAGTCGTTCTGTTTGAATTTTTCAATGGTGATGCGTTTCTTCCCTAACGGCGCCTCTAGATGTTGTCGGCGCCACATGTCGTTGTGGTACTTCAGCATGGCTTTTTATGGGTTCTTTTACAGCGGTACCAATAAACATAGCTCATGCCATGACGTCCAAGGCTAAAGAGAAAAAGAAAGAGGAAGATATGGCAAGATATGACAAGAAGGTGAGTTTGTTGCGGGCATCCGTCGCATCTCCGTCAAATGAGCGGGACCAAATTGCCACTCGCGGCGCCGCGTGCGGGGCGTGAGGTGTGCCATCATCATCCATTCGAGTCGCCCGTTCCAGCCAACTCCCAACACCTTTCTACCAACCTCCCACCTACCCCTCTTCCTACCCCCGCCGCTGGCCGTGCGAAGCGCCTACCAGTACTTCCAGTCCTTTATCTGTGATACCCGCCCGCCCGCGATATCCTCACAGCATCGCAAGCAGGCACAGGCATTGTCTCAACATTACACACGCGTCCACCAACGTTTCTCATAGCACATCCAACAAATACATCCCAACGAATCAAGTTCTCTTCATCCCTTGTGCTTGTAACGCTATTGTAGCTACTGTCCATCATGGGTGAGTGTCCGCTGCATTGAACAGAGCTGACAACGCAGGTGTCCCTAAGGTTGGTCTTTCGCCGCTGGGACGCGTCCCAAATGCTAATGTTTCTAGTTCTTCAGGTGGATCTCTGAGAGGTACCCCCTCACCTCTCAATTGATCACCCCCAACTCGATCCCAACATTTGACAACCTCTAGTGAGTAGCGTGCTTGTTGGCAAGGATTGCCCGCTGATATGACCCCAGCCTGGATATGGTGCGCTCATTCAACAGTTGATACCCGCTGGCACCAACTGATTTGCGCAGAACGGTATCATCCACAACTGTTCGCATCCCCCTTCGTCCGAGAACGACCCCCATTTCCGCATCACCGAGGAGCAAATGATCCTCGCCATTTTTGCGTACATTGATTTCCTGTTTACCAAGATCAAGCCTAAGAAGATCTTTTACATGGCCATTGACGGTGTCGCCCCGCGCGCCAAGATGAACCAACAACGCTCCCGTCGTTTCCGTACGGCCCGTGACGCTCGCGAGCAGCGTGAAGCCGCCGAGCGCAAGGGAGAGAAGCTCCCCGACGAGAAGGCGTTCGACTCCAACTGTATCACGCCTGGTATGTCTCCAACGTTCTGCAAGTTCACATGTTGACAATACACAGGAACACCATTTATGGCTCGTCTTTCCGAGCACCTCAAGTACTATGTGCGCAAGCGTATCTCCGAAGACGCCGAGTGGCGCAACGTCAAGGTCATCTTCAGCGGCCATGACGTTCCCGGAGAAGGCGAGCACAAGATCCAAGAATTCATCCGCATGAGCAAGGCTCAGCCGGACTACAACCCCAACACTCGCCACTGCCTCTACGGCCTCGATGCCGATTTGATGATGCTGGGTCTGCTCAGCCATGACCCCCACTTCTGCCTCCTCCGCGAGGAAGTGACTTTTGGCAGGAAGTCGAAGAAGTCCACTGGGTGAGTCAATTTACCAACTGCACTCCAGGAAGCTGATGGGTACAGTCTTGCCAACCAGAACATGTTCCTACTCCACCTGTCTCTCATGCGCGAGTACCTCGACCTCGAGTTCTCGTCCGTCGCCCACACTCTTCCATTCGAGTACGACCTCGAGCGAATCATCGACGACTTTATCCTTATGTCGATCTTTGTCGGAAACGACTTCCTTCCCAACCTCCCAGGACTTCACATCAACGAGGGTGCCCTTGAACTGATTTGGAAGATCTACAAGGAGAACCTCGCTGAAATGGGTATGTTTACATGTGAAAGCAACACCAAGGCTGACGTCAGGCGGCTACCTCAACGAGCACGGCACCATTTCGCTGCCGCGTCTCCAGATTATGCTCAACAAGCTTGCCGACTTTGAGAGGGACAACTTTGAGCAGGAGTTTGCCGATGCCAACTGGCACAAGGGCAAGCAGGAGAAGGAGATTGCTGCCCTCGAGAAGGCCCGCAAGCGTGGCAAGCTTAGTGAGTCATGGGACCCAATGCGGTAGCTGACAAGTCACAGTCATTACCAAGGACCAGAAGAAGCTCCTTGACCAGATCAAGACCTTTGTGACCAAGCACCAGTCTCGCCCCAAGGCCGAGGACCGTTTGGCCATTGTCAACACCTTCCCTGCCCGCGACAGGCGGTTCATCCAGGAGCTTGCCGACTCGCTCCACCTGCTTTGCACCTGGGACGAAGTCGACGACTACGGGCAGCCCCTCATTGTCCTCAGCTTCAACATGGACGGTGTCAGCGAGGACAGCCATGGCGAGGACGAGGAGGATGAGGGCGAATGGGAGTCTGAAGAGGACCCCGAGGGGAACATTGCCATTCAGCGCGTGTTTGGCAAATACGACAAGGCCAAGGTTGTCGACAATGCGCTCGAGGACTTTGAGGAGTCGTTCGAAGAGAAGGTTGCGCAGAAGATGGCCGAATGGAAGCGCTCCTACTACAAGGAGAAGATGGACATCAACTGGGACGTCCCCGAGGAGATGCACCCTCTCATCTACCGCTACGTCGAGGGTCTCCAGTGGGTCCTCAACTACTACTACAAGGGTGTATCGTCGTGGGGCTGGTTCTATGACTACCACTACGCCCCCAAGATCTCGGACATTAAGGACTTCGCGGCCTGGAAGTTCCCCTTCGAGCTTGGCAAGCCTTTCCTGCCCTTCCAGCAGCTCATGGGTGTCCTTCCTGCCGACTCCATGGAGCACGTCCCTTCCACATACCGGGACCTCATGACCCAAGAGACCTCGCCAATCATCGACTTCTACCCCAAGAACTTCGACCTCGACATGAACGGCAAGAAGGCTGACTGGGAGGCTGTCGTCAAGATTCCGTTCATCAACGAGGAGCGCCTGCTCCGTACAATGGCCACACGTGAAAACGGGTTGACCCCCGAGGAGAAGAAGCGCAACTCGTCAGGCAACCTGCCCGTCCAATTTGTGTACGACGAGTCCAACGAGACCAGTTACCCGTCGTCGCTGGCCGGCTTCTTCCCCGACCTTGTCGCCTGCCACTGCGACGCAAGCCCGTTCATCATGCCTACCCTCAAGGACGGCATGGAGCTGGTTCTTGGCCTCATGGACGGCGTCCACCTCGGTGCCGCGGCGCTTGCCGGCTTCCCTTCGCTGGCCACTTTGCCATACCACGGCACTCTGGGTTTCCACAGCGTCAATGTCTTCCAGCAGGACAGCAAGAACCAGTCGATGGTCATCACTGTCGATGCCAAGCACGACAAGAACAGCACCGCTGAGGTTGCCAAGCGCCTCGTCGGCCAGCGCACCTTCCATTCGTGGCCTTACCTGCACGAGGGTATTGTTGTTGCCGTTTCGGACGACATGTTCAGGTACGAGCTTCAACGTGTGGGCAACTCGACCAAGATCGTGTCCAACCCTCACGGTGACGGGTTTGCCGCCATCAGGTGGAAGAAGGAGGCCGACAGGCTCGAGCACCACTACTCGAAACGTTACGGTGTCCAGATCGGCAACGTGGACGTTGTCGTTCACATTCTGCCTCTCAAGGGTGAGCTTGGAGTAGGACGACCTTTTGCTGACAACCATAGGCCTCAAGCGTCTCGACACTGGTGCTCTTGTCAAGGACTACGAGGGACCGGACAAGGAGCTTACCCAAGCCTTGCAAATGTCCGTTCACCAGGTCACGTTCGAGGACGAGCGCTTCCTTGAAAAGGATGCGCCTCCCATGGAGCAGGAGTTCCCCCAGGGCGAAAAGGTCTTCTTCCTCGGTAGCATGGCCTACGGTGTTGCCGCCCAGGTTACCGCCACCACCGAGAAGACGCTCAACATCAGCCTCGCCTACTTCCCTGGCGAGGTCAACGAGACTCGCGAGTTTACGCGCCTTGTCCAGACCCGCCCTGCGGGCCACTACTACGCTTCCCACGCCCTCGCTAGGCGCCTGGGTATCTCGCCGCTTGGGCTCTCGCGCATCACCTCGTCGCTCATGGTCGCCTTCACCAGTGGTGGCCAGAAGACCAACATTGGCCTGTCGCTCAAGTTTGAGTCCAAGGGTCTGAAGGTTCTCGGTTATTCTCGCAAGGCCGACCGTAACTGGGAGTTCTCCGAGAAGTGTGCCCAGCTGCTTGAGCAGTACAAGGCTGCCTTCCCTGAGCCGTTTAGGCACCTCGACTCGCGCGGCGGCGACATTGTCTCGTCGGCTGAACTGTGCCCGAACGCCGAGAACCCCGACCAGGTTATCAAGGACATGCACAAGTGGCTCAAGACCAACGGTGTCACCGACCTCGAGCCCGTCTCCCTGTTTGCCGAGCAGCTCGAGAAGGAGACGGTTGGCCAGATCGAGTTGATGGCCAACCACATCCGTGAGAGGAAGACGCAAGAGTCCATCAAGCGCGCCGTCATCAACGGCATTCCCCGCCAGGCTGTCCTCAAGCCCTCGCACGCCATCTACCGCCTGCAGGGCCAAAAGTTCTTCCTCGGCGACCGTGTCATCATGGTCCAGGACGCCGCTGCCGGTGGTGTTCCCCTTTCGATGAAGGGTGTCGTTGTCGGTCTCGGCACTCGTGACATTGACGTCGTCTGGGACGTCCCCTTCATGGGTGGCGAGACCCTCTCTGGCCGCTGCTCCGACTACCGTGGCTCGACTGTGCCGTTCTCGTCGTGTCTGAACCTCACCCGCCCGCAGTTTGCTGTTGGCGCTGAGACTGCACCCAAGCCTCTCGGCCAAGCCCAACCGTTCCGTCCTCAGATCGGTCCTCGTCCCGTCGTTGCGCCCAACAACTACCGTCCGTCCATCCCAAGCAACAAGCCCGTGCAGATTATGCAGAACCCTCAGCGCCAGCGCTACCCTGCCCAGCAAGCCGGTGCCATGCAGTACGGCAACGCCGCCAAGGGTATCCGCCCCCAGGCTGCACCGGCGCCGAACCTCAACCACCGCGATCGTCTTGCCACCGCCCTCGTGGGCCAGCAGCAGCAGGCCCTTCCCAGGCAACACGTTGCCAAGACCCCGCACATTAAGCCCGTGTCGCCGACGCAGGCCCACCGCGCTCTGCCGCCCCAGAACGGACACGCCAACGGTGGACACGTTAACGGTGCCCCCGCTGGTCGCGGCCGCGGAGGACGGGGTGGTCGTGGCGGGCGGGGTGGACGGGGACGTGGCGGCGCGGCTCAAGGAGGAGCTGCCGCCGGTTCCGCTGGCGCTGCCCCCGCCGCTGCTCCTGCTCCTGCTCCTGCTCCTGCCCCAGCTCAGGCATAAACACCACTTTTTTTTTCTTAACAAAAGACAGGTCGACAGTGTTCACAAGTGTGTAAGAAGAAGAAGAGAGAGCGGGGCGGAACGGGCATCTTGCGAATATTACAGGCATTGTGAAGAAGCTAGCTGCACTACAGTAGTAAATGTATGCAACGCCACGAGCATCATGTAGCTGTGAATCGTGTCGAGTTGTGTGTGGTACATATGTGGTACATGAGTCTCTCTACTAACCACTACAACTACAGGACCCGTCAAGGGGTTGTTTTGGCGCTCTCCGCAGTAGTAGACATGTTGTTGTCCTGCTCGCGCACTCGTGGCGGCACGTTTAGGTGCAGTGCCATCTGCAGCATGTCGGTCCGCAGCATCTCGGTGCGGTGGTCAATTTTGGTGTCGAGGCGTCTGAACTTGTCGTCAATCTTGGCCGTCAGCCGCCACAGCAGCAGCGTGAGTGGGGGAGGGGGCCAGTATACAGCCTCGTCTGGGAATTTCCTCACCTCTTGCTTCAGGTCCTTGAGCTCTCCGTCCAGCCAGAAGAGCACGCCGGCGGTAAACGTCAGGATTGCACCGACCGCCGCCGCCACGGTTGGCGCGTGGAGGACAAAGTGGACCTGTTGCGGGTCCACTTCGTCCACGACGTCCGATGCTGGCTCAACCCACCCCTTGGGTCCCGGGGGTGATGAGAACGAGGTGGAAGAGGTGGAGGAAGACGGTGAGGCTCGAGGAAGGGACAGTGGCGACGATGCTGCAACGGGGACGGGAACGCTGGGCCTCAGTGCCCGCGTCGGCTGTGTGGTGGTCATGCGCCTGCTGGCCTGGACGCGGTACATGGAGGCACGTCCAGGTGCTGTAGGTGAAGCGAGAACGCGCTTCATGGATCATGGATGTTTCAAGTGTTGGAGAGACGCAACACGTCTCGGCTCGCCATGGTGTGTTGTGACAGGCGAGAGGTCGAGAGAGAGACTGGAGTCTAAACACACACACACACACACACACACACGGTTGCGGTAGACGTGCCGAGTGCATTACGTCACACAGAGCCGGATCGACAACGGCGGTGGGCGATCGACGCGTGTGAAGGGTGTGCCACTCTGGCGGAAATAGCGGGAATATGGAGCGCGCGTGGGGTCTGGTGTGGTGTGGTGCGTGCGATCGCCAGCGGCTGGGCGCTGGCGCTGGTGGTGAGAGGCCGTTCCAGGCATTTTGCTCCCGCTCTGCCCACAACCCACCGCCGCGCGCGCTCGCTCACCCACCACACACCGCCAGCCCCGCCAGCCAACGCCCCGGGACGGGAGACTGCCAGCACAGTTGTTCTCTTGGTCACCTCCTCTCCATCACACACCTAGAGACGGGTATAGACTCCCCACCACCACCACTGCCTCAATCCCCCCCCCCCCCCCCCCCCCCCTTACACCTGCCGGTCATCGCCTTTTCTGCGCACACAGCGTAGAACACGCATAACGAACACGGCGTAGAGAGAAAAGGAACGCGCCAGTACCCAACGGATCCGTTTACTCAATTACCTTCGCTCCCCTTATCCCCCCCTACCCCCTTCACTTCCACCACACACACTCCCGCATCCGCGTCGTGTCGGCCCAACATGTCTTCCAACGACGAGGTCGACGGCTGGGTTGCCCAGCTCATGCAGTGCAAGCCCCTCAGTGAAACCGAGGTCAAGAAGCTCTGCGACAAGGTGCGTCAGCTTGGGGTTGCACCAGGCGGGGAGGCGGGTTGGTAGGACAACAACTGCAACGCGCGTCACCAGTGTCGTCTATCTGCCAAATGACAAAGGACGGGTGCTGGTTGCGCGACGCGAGTTGATATCGCGAGCGCGCACCGCGCTGCTGTGATTGTCATCACCATGCCAGTTACGCGCTCGCGTCCCGTGCCAACGGTGCCATCTCCCCTCGCCCCCACCTGCTCTTCAACCGTCATCTATGTCCGAGTTCTCTCGCTAACACTTTCACAGGCCCGCGAGGTCCTTATGGAGGAGTCCAACGTGCAGCCCGTCCGCTGCCCCGTGACGGTGTGCGGTGACATTCACGGCCAGTTTGTGAGTGGCGTGGTTTGGATTGGCCTTGGGTGGAGCGAGCAGAGAGCCAAACTTGTCGCGCACGCACGCGCACTGAGCCTCCATGCATGCCGCGCGTGTGCAGATATGCGCTCCACGGTGTACCCTTGGCGCTAATCTATGTGTCTTGACTGTTCCAATGTTGACGCGATCAGCACGACCTGTCCGAGCTGTTCCGCATCGGTGGCAACTCGCCCGACACCAACTACCTGTTCATGGGTGACTACGTTGACCGTGGCTACTACTCGGTGGAGACGGTGACGCTTCTTGTGGCACTCAAGCTGCGTTACCGTGACCGTGTGACTATTCTGCGTGGTAACCACGAGTCGCGCCAGATCACCCAGGTGTACGGTTTCTACGACGAGTGTCTCCGCAAGTACGGCAACGCCAACGTGTGGAAGTACTTCACCGACCTGTTCGACTACCTCCCCCTCACCGCTCTTATCGACAACCAGATCTTCTGTCTCCACGGTGGTCTTTCGCCGTCGATTGACACCCTCGACCACATTCGCTCGATCGACCGTATCCAGGAGGTGCCCCACGAGGGTCCTATGTGTGACCTTCTTTGGTCCGACCCCGATGACCGTTGCGGTTGGGGTATCTCCCCCCGAGGCGCGGGTTACACTTTCGGCCAGGACATTTCCGAGGCGTTCAACCACAACAACGGCCTCACTCTTGTTGCCCGTGCACACCAGCTTGTCATGGAGGGCTTCTCGTGGTCGCAGGAGCGCAACGTTGTCACCATCTTCTCGGCTCCCAACTACTGCTACCGCTGTGGTAACCAGGCAGCCATCCTCGAGGTCGACGATGCGCTCAAGTACACCTTCCTCCAGTTCGACCCTGCGCCGCGCGCTGGCGAGCCCCTCGTCTCGCGCAGGCCGCCAGACTACGTGAGTTCTACACAGTGTTGTTGACACAACAAAAGTGCTGACCCATAATCCCAAAGTTCCTGTAAACTGCATCTCGCATCACTTAGAATACGAGTCAAACAAGCAAGATCCCTTTCCGACCAGTCTCTGTTTCTCCCCCCCCCCCCCCCCCCCGCCCCCTCCCCGCCCGTTATTCTCTATCTCGACCAGCCTCGACCATCATTCCATTAGTTTACCGAGTCTCGGTCTGTGGACGGACCGTAGAGGCTGTACCGGGGCTCGTGTACCAGGTTTCCCGTCCATGAAGAAGAAGAAAAAAAAGACAGTGATGCCCCCGTAGACTTGGCCGTCCTCCATGCCGTGCATATGTGCGCACAGTGTTTTGAAACGGCCTCTATACCCCGATTACAGTAGTCTGCATAAGAGATGTAGTCAATGGCAGCAGCATTATTTTTTACGTAATATGATTTTGTGGATGCGCGATTGCCTCCGGCTCCAAAAGTCGGGGGACGGCGAGCGAGATCGTCTTCGCTAGATGGCCGTTTGTCTTTGGACTCGCATTCCGACTCCACACACATATACCCAATAATGTCTTTCCGCCCGGGCCTGCTGGCCAGCACGTCGCGCTTCGTGGCGACCCCCTTCCACCCCGCGGTCGCGCCTGCTGCCTTTGTTCGCTTTGCCAGCACCTCCGCGAAGACGAAGAAGCCGTCCCAGAAGGGCTCGTTCCAGGCCGCCACGGAGGAGGCAAAGAAAGTATCGCAGCAGGAGGCCGAACGTTCTAGCACGCGCATGCCCGTCAACATGGACACGTCAACCTTGTACACCGACTTCGTGTTTGGTAAGTCTTGCACTCGCCTATGAGGCCCGACATGTCGGTGGCTAACACCATCGCCTCTCACAGACTCCCACATCGAACCCCCATTCCAATACAAATGGCTGCTTCCCAAGTACTGGACCACTGTTCTCAAGTTGCGGCTGCAGCGCCATGCTACGTCTGGCGACTCGTGAGTCGTATGGCCGGTGGTTTGACCAAGGGAGTGTGCTAATTCCCCGCTCCCAGGCTGTACCATGCCCTTGTTAACCCGTGGATGGCGACTGGCATGGTCCACGGCCGCATGAAGCAATACATGACGCAACTCAAGTGGAGGCAGGCAGCTGCCCAGTACCTCACCGAGTTTCCCGGCCTTTACAGCTCTTTCCAGCGTGCCCAGGCGGAGGGCGACGTCGCCGAGCTGAAGCGTATCGCCATCGGTCCCGCGCTCGCCGAGGGCCTCAACATCACCCGGAATGTCCGTGACGCACAGTGGTCGCTCGTCAAGACCCTCACCGCGCCCGAGTTCATCTCAGTCCGTTACGCTCCCGCCGAGCAGCTTCTTCCTGCGCCCATCTGCCAGGTCCTTGTGCGCTTCCACACCATCCAGTCGCTCACGACCATGACTCGCGGAAAGCCGAACAAGCGTCTGGTCGAGCTCAAGGAGGCCATTGTCTTTCAGCGCACCATGAGCTTTACCGGCAAGTGGCAGGTCAAGGCCAAGGTCAACCCCGAGGCAGCCAAGGAGGAGGTGAAGGTGGAGGCCAAGGAGGAGACCAAGTAGGAGCTTGGCCTAGCAAAATAGATTGGGTTATCACATTCATAGCATGCAACCTCTCCGTGTGTGTCACTTTGAGGCCGGAGCGAGCACACCAAGAGTGTCGTGTTCCCTCGTCCGTCCGGCATTTTCGTGACATTGCCGTGAGGCTGTGCGTGACTGGGCATGTGCTTGTGCTCTGCTCTGTACCAATGTGCGAGGATGTTGTGCATACGCAGCCCTCGAGAACAGAACTCAGTGCGCACCGAGCGGCAACTCTCCACAGCTTACGTAATGCTAAAAGGTCCATGTCTTCGTTATTGATTTCCCTCTCGCGTCGGTGACAAAGTGACGCGTTTCAACAACAAACCTCACTCACCACCAACAATGGCCGTCACACCGCGTCGTTCGACGCGTGGGCAGGTATTCACGCCCGTCTCTACGCCGTCGGTGTCCGTTGTCGGCGGCGGCGGCGGGCCCAACGTCAACATCCGCTACAGCTGGACGTCGTCGGCCAAGAACATTGCGTCGTCGAGCAACGACAAGCGCGTCTACTACAACTCGTTTGCACGGATCAAGAGCGCCAACGCGCCTGGCACCCCGTTCAGTCTCAGCGGGTCGGTGACGCCGTTGGGGGCTCTGACGCCCAAGAAGAAGAAGGTCAAGCCCGACGAAGAGGCGCGCTTCGCCCTCGGAGACGGTGTGGTGGTCACTGTCGAAGGCGGGAGTGATGGCATCGGCATGCTCACTGCGCTGTGGGACGAGCCCGTGGAGAGGGACGAGGACGCGAGCGAGAGCGGGGGTGAGAGTGGACACGGGGACGACGAGGTGCCTGCCATGCGCAAGATGGCACAGGTGCACTGGTTTCTACGTCGACAGGACTTGCCTGGCGTCATGCGCAACCTCAAGCTCGAGGACGTGAGTTGGCTAGTGAGCTAGAGTAAACTGACATCAGAACGAGGTGCTCCTCGCCGCCTCCCCCAACAGGCCCGTCACGACCGACCTGCCCCTGGAGCTACTTGTCAAGACGATTCCGATCTACTCCAAGGCCGTGTTCCGCGAGCAGTTCCCGGAGGAAGAACGCAAGACGAAATGGAAGGGCTGGGCTGTGCCCCTCGACAATGTCTTTTGGTGCTCGCGCGCATACGACAAGGGAGCCCGGGGTGGACGCGTGTGGAAGATTGACGTTGACGCGTGGAAGGGCCGTGGACGCGCCGGCGAAGGCTGGATCGTGCCCACCGAGCCCGACATGGACGACAGCGAGGCGCCCGACAGCGACGACGAGGGTAGCGGTAGCGAGGCCGAAGTGAGCGAGGGGGAGGACGAGGACGCCAGCAGTGGCGAGGACGAGGGCGAGGACGAGGACAAGGAGGAGGAGGAGCAAGTCGAAGCCACACCCAGGAAGCGCGGACGGCCCAAGGGATCCAAGAACAAACCCAAGGTCCCAGGCCAACAGCCTCCTCCCCGTAAACGCCAAAAGAAGGGCAAGGCAGACAAGGCGGACGCGACTCACCGCCGCCGCCGCCAACCGCACGTCAAGGCCTCGGCTTCCCACCTGCCCGGTATCGTGAAGATTGAGGACCTGCCCGCCGACCCATACGAGCGCGCCCTGCGACTCTTGCACGTCGGCGCCACGCCCGAGAGTCTGCCGTGTCGCGAGGAAGAGTTTGTCGACGTCCTCGCCCGCGTCGAGGAGGGTGTCGAAAGTGGCGGTGGAGGTTGCCTGTGTACGTCCGCTAGACACCGCGCGATTTTCATGCCAAAGCTGACAGACACAGATATTGCAGGTGTCCCCGGTACAGGCAAGACGGCAACTGTCCACGCCGTGGTCAAGGAGCTCAAGCGCAAGGCTGAGGACGGCGAGATTGCCCCCTTTTCCTATGTCGAGATCAACGGCCTCAAGATTCCTTCTCCACAGCATGCGTACTCGGTGCTTTGGGAGACCATCTCGGGCCAAAGCGGTACGAGCGCCAAGACGGCGCTGCGCGGTCTCGAGGCGCATTTTGGCCGCAAGACGACAGCGGGCGGCGTGCATGGTGTTCGCGGACCGAGAGGACATACTTTGTGAGTGTCAGCTGCAGGGTCACGGCTGCAGCAGCTGGACTTTGTCCTCCTCCACGTCGTCGTACTTACGCCCAGCGTCGTTCTCATGGACGAACTCGACCAGCTCCTCACGGCCAAGCAGGACGTGGTGTACAACTTTTTCAACTGGCCGACCATGCGTGACTCGCAGCTCTTTGTCATTGCTATTGCCAACCGCATGGACCTGCCACAGCACCTCGCTGCCAAGATCAAGTCTCGTCTTGGTAAGTTGGAACCATAAAGGCCCAAGCTAACCGCGCGCAGGCCTCCAGACACTCCTCTTCCAGCCGTATGACCGCGCCAACCTTATCGAGATTGTGCAGTCGCGCCTCGTGGCCCACCCGCTGTCGACGGCAGACCACAAGGTCCTGCTTCCCGACGCCATCGCGCTCGCCGCGACAAAAATGGCCGGAACGAACGGCGACGCGCGCCGCGTGCTCGACGCGTGCCGCCGCGCCGTCGAAGTGGGCCTCACACACACCCCGCCGCGGGCCGTGACGGCGCGCGACATGGTCGCGGTGCTCAACGCCATGTCGTCGTCCCCCGTCGCCATGTTCATCCGCCAGTGCTCGCCACAGCAAAAGATGCTGCTTGCCGCGCTCGTCCGTTGTGTCCGGCGCGAGGGTCTGCCCGAGATTGCGTGGCGCGCGGTCCGCGCCGACCACGATGCGCTCACGCGCAGCCTGCTCGAGAGCAACGACCTGCTCAGTGACGCAGAGCTCAACCTCGTCCGGTCGAGCCTGCTCGCGACGCACGCGCTGACGGCTGCTCCGGACGTGTACAAGGCGCCAGACGAGAGGCGGTTGGCGCTCGGCATGGAGATTGGAGAGGTGGGGCGCGTCCTCATGAACGAAGGCGAGGAGTGGTGCCGTGCACTGGCCGGCACGTAGGTGGATTTTTTTTTCTTAATGCAACACCCATGTACATGCAGACGAGAGCAAGACAGTGTGCGCAAAGGTCATTAGGGTCGTCACATTCAAGCAGACAGTACAGTACTACTGGCTACTGAGGAGTAGGGGAGGGAGGGAGAACGAACAGGGTGGCGGCGGGAGGGGGAAACATGTATGTGTGGGAGGGAAACAGGGTACGAGATCAGATGCGGTGTCCGTGTGTGTTGCGCGCCAAAGTACAGTTCCGAGTCTAGCAAGAAGAGAAGCCTCGTTTGAAGGGGGGCAAGGCAACTCTGTCTAGAAGATGGTGGCGAGAGGCTCGCCCTCGGGCTTGAGCTGGTTGCGCGACTGCTGCTGCTGGGGGCCAGCGTTGCGACCGAAAGTGAACCCGACCCAGTTGTTACGGTTACCCAGTCCCTTCTCCTCGACGGCCTCGACGTCACGCTGCTTCTTGAACACCTCGGCGTACTTGGCCATGTCCTCGGGGTTGGTGAACGAGTCAAAGTAACCGACATCAGTCTCGCCGTCGAGGACGGGGACGAAGGGTGCTGGGATCTGGCGCAGCTGGCCGAACGGCAGAGACGAGAAGAACGGCAGCGACTGGACGTCGGCGAGCGTCTGGATACGGTCCTTGGGGTGCGCAATGAGGCGGGTGACGGCGTCCCATGCAGTGTCGGTGAGGTTGAAGATGAGGTCCTCTGGACGGTCGTAGACCGGGCGACGGAGGACACGAGTCCAGTTCTTGAGGTTGGCCCAGGTCTCCTCTGGGGTTGAGCCCGAGAAGGGAGGGAAACCACAGAGGAACTCGAAGAGGATACATCCGAGCGACCAGTAGTCGGCCGAGAACGTGTACGTCTTGCCGCGCAGGACCTCGGGGGGCATGTAGTCGGGCGAACCAACGACCGAGTCGGCGTAGCGGGGCTCGGCCATGCGGATGGAGCGGTAGATGGTACGGCGCTCGAGGGTGGAACGGAAGACGAGGTCGTCGTCCGAGACCTGGTCAAGCTTCTGCTTCATCTGTTCAATCTTCTGCGGGTTGAGCGCACCGGTGGCGAGACCAAAGTCGGTGAGCTTGACGTGGCCAGTGCCGTCGACGAGGAAGTTTTCGGGCTTGAGGTCACGGTGGATGTAGCCGAGCTTGTGGAGCTCGTTGACACCGGCAAACATTTCGGCGGCGTAGAAGCGCGCGTGCTCCTCCTTGAGGACACCCGAGTTGTTGAGGAGGGTACGGAAGTCACCGCCGGGAACATACTCCATGGCGAGGTACACATGCTCCTGATCCTGGAAGGCGTAGAGCAGACGCACAAGCCAGGGGGTCTTGACAGCGGTGAGAATGTCACGCTCGACGAGAACGTGCTTGACCTCGTCCATCTTGGCAAGGGTGCCCTTGCGCATCTTCTTGAGAGCGCACACCTCGTTGGTGTCGACCTTGCGGGCGAGGAAGACGGAACCGTAGCCGCCCTGGCCAACCTGTGCAATCATGCGGAACTGGTCCACACGGAGCTTGGTGCGGCGCTTGCGAAGAATGACACGCTCACGGCCGTTGTAGCTGGAAAGCTCCTTGGCGTGTGCGTCACCGGTCACCTGCGCGTCGTCAACAATTGAACCCTAAAAGGGGGGTGGGTGGGTGGGTGGGTGGGTGGGTGTCGTGTTTACATACGTTACGGCGGACAGTGTCCTGCTTGAAGTTGTCGAGACGGCGCTTGCGGTCAGAAATGTAACCGAGCAGGTCAAAGTAGTAGTCGAGGAAGTCTGGGTGATGGGTCAGCCCATGTGTCCTTGTTGTCGTGGCGACAGTAAACACTCACAGATCTGAGCGACAGTTGCCTTGCGCCTGACCTCGGGCGACTCGAGGAGCTCGCGCTCCCAGAGCTCGAGGCCACGCTCCTTGGTGGTCTCGGCCTTGGCGGTGCGCATGCGGACGTCCTCTTCGTTGAAGCGGGCGCCGGGGACACCAAGACGCTGCTGCTGGGCCGGCTGAATGTAGTGGTACTGGTGGGGCTTGTCTGCCTTGTCGGCAGTTGCGAGGGGCTTGAGGCCGCTGGCGCCCTTGTACGTGGGCATGGGGACGTCCTCGGTAGCTGCGGGAGTGGCTGCGGCACCCTTGTCCTGCCAGAGGAAGGAGAGGTAGCTCGAGCGGTCGGTCTCGCTGGGAGCAGCATTCTCCTTGGTGGCGGACCCACCGGCTGGGCGGGGGATCTTTGAGGGGGAGGGGGGGATGGCCGTGTTGGGCATGCTGGAGGCGGACGAGGAGGGGTAGTCTGCCTGGGACGACTTTGCGGGAGACTGGGTGGCTGTCGACGCTGACGAGGACTGTGACTGGGTTGACTTGAGGACTCTTGCAAGCATGGTGGTAGAAAGCAAAAGAAGGAGAAAAGGAAAGAGGAAAAGGAAAGGCTAAGAGACAAGGGGGGGCTGGCCGCTGTGACTCTGTGATGTGGATGTTTGTGTCAAACAACGCTCGCTGGCGCCAACTCCTGACTGCCCCGGTTGTCCCGTCTCTCCCGCGCGCGCCTGCGGTCTGTGCGCTCCAGCCACTCCACAGACCCCAAAGGCAGTCGCGCATCACAGTCATTTTTGCTCCCGTTGTTGTGTGTGCAGAGAAAAGTCACTCTCCCACGGTCACGCCATGCCTCCCCTGCTCTCCTGCGCGTCGAGCCAAACAACCCACACGGTGGACAGCAATAACACACATCCCTTTTCCATCCCACATCACACATCACACATCCATCACCATGCCACCAGCACTCCTCCCAACACAGAAGGTGTCGCTTCACGACCTAATTGACCAGGCGAGGACACGCAGCCAGGAACCAGGCTACAATGCCGAGCATGGCGTGCTCGACCTTGGCTGGGAAGACTTCCACGGCCATGTCGACCGCTTCCTCAAGGCCGTGAGTTGGCTGTTTGCGACACATTTGGAGACACACTCACACCCTCGTTTTTCAGATTGACGAATACACCTTGCGCGCAAAGAAGGAGATTGCCGCCCGTGCGTCCGACCACACGGCCTCGGTCCGCGAGTTGGCGGCCAAAAAGGACGAGACGGAACGCCAGATCCAGCTCGAGCAGCAGCGCGAGCGTGACATGCTTATGAGTGGGTTTTTTGTTCCACCCACGGACGGAAGACTAACTCCCTCCAGCCATTGAGGTCGAACGGCGCACGATGACGGACATTACATCGTCTCTCTCGCGCCTGAACGCCGCTCTCGGACGCGTGAGGGACCAAGGCGCCGCGCTCGACAGTGACATTTCGGGCGTTCGTAAAGAGTCGCGTGCTGAGCGCGCGACAAAGGACCGCCAGGCCAAGGTCCTCGCCGAGATGCGTGCCCAAGACGAGCGTCAGCTCCAAGTCATCGAGGACGCGCTAGGTTTGACCATTACTGGTGTTGGAGGTGGGTAGACTTCGTCTGGGGTGCTTGCTAACCCACCAGCCAACCGCCTGTTACTCATGTTCACCCTCATCGACCCGGCCGCGCCCATGCGCGAGTTTAGCTTTGTCATTGACGTCTCGGGACAGGACTACAGCGTGCCGCAGTGCGACCCGCCCGTCGCCTCCATGCCCGACCTCGTCGCGCAGCTCAACGCCGACCGCGACCTGCACACGTTCATTAAGCGAGGTGAGTGCACAGTTGCCTGGTATGTCTGTTTGGGCTGCAGCTGACATCTCCAGTACGCAAGGCGTTTGTGGCCCTTGTTGGCCCCCCACCGGGCAAGTTTGACGACCTCTCTGGACCCTCCAGCCGAACACCACCTATTCCCGCAGCTGAATCCTCCACCCCGCCGTCCGCCGCCTCTCGTGCACCAGAGGCCACCCTCATCGACATTTAGCAAAAACGGTGAAGCGTTGTGAGGGTGGAGCTTGGAGGTCTGGGGACGTAGGCGGAAAGGAGAGTTGTCTTGGGTTGTCCTACACTTGTTGTATCCGTGTATTGTCGATAGAGAGCATGCGACGCGCATATAATGAGTCAAACGGCGTTGTGAGTGATTACATTCCCGGATGGGGCCTGGTAGAGCTTGAACTGGTCAGTCTCGGGTGGCCGGGCGGGATTAAGTTAAGCTCGATCCGATCAGTCAAATGAATTGGGCCAAAGTAAAGTGGATGGACGGGACGAGCCACTTCCCACAGCGAAACACCCTTTTACCTCGAGAGACATGCTGAATGGGGATGCAAATGTTCATAAATACAAGGACAGGGCGCGGAAGAGGGCGAAGGGAGTGATGTGGGGGCAGTGCTTCTCTGCTTCTGCCTCTGCCTTTTGGATAACGCATAGAGGACCTGGGACCTAGGTCGGCTAGGGAGCGTACTCGATGTCGCCGTTCATGTCGACACGGCCCTTTGTGATCTCCTCGCCCTTGGCGCGCATGAGGTCCTCGATGGTACGCAGCTTGCCGTCCTCGGTGCTCTCCTGTACCCAGCGTCAGCGGTGAATCCCAGACGCAGGATATGGATGTATTCGGTCCACATGGGCGGCTGAGGGCCCGAGTAGGGTGCGACCTCCCAGCCACACACGGGGGGGTACTCACGTTGAACCAGCCCAGCTGGTCGGCAATCAAGTGACGCGCCTCGCACTTGGGACACTGGACGATAACAACACCCTTCTCATAGCTGCGCTTCTTGAACTCGTGCGTGCTCCTGTGCCCGCACGTGGGGTTGCCCTTTTCGGCGCCGGCGGTGCACGTAAAGGTCATGGCGAGCATGGGCTCGATCTGGCCGATCTGCTGGCGCTGGGGCGCGCCCTCGGCGGGAGCCTCGATGGCGCTCGCGTCCGACGCGGGTGAAGAGGAAGATGACTCGGGGGTAGCTGGGGTAGAGGACGACGACGACGACGAAGACGCCGATGACGACCAGCGCAGCGACATGGCAGGCATGGCGCGGGGGACGGGGCGAGCGAGCGCCAGAACGGCCGGGCGCGCAGCCACGGGCCGCGGGCGTGCAGCGATAGCGAGGAGACGGAGGGACCTCATCGACATGGTTGTGGGTGTTTGACAAGAGAGATGACGATGGGAAAGGAAAGGAATCGGATTAAAAATCGATGACGAGCGACGGTGGCCGGTGGAACTTCTGTCGTCAAGTGGACCGCCAGTGTGTCGCCACCCAAAAGAACGGGTTGCCGCGCGGTGCCTGAGCGGTGAGTAATGACTTGGGTGGGATTCGGAACCGCTGTGACTTTGAGCGATGGGCTTCAGTGCGGACCGGCCCGATGTTGAGACTTTCTCCATCGTCCACCACTCCCTCTCGTCCATCTCTTTGTCGCCATGCACGCCCCGCTCGGAGTCCCAGAACGTCAGCTGGGTAAGTCACGCATGTCCCCTTCCATGCGGCTGCAGCGGCGCAAGCCGCGACTGTGCGGGTGTCATCCGTCGAGCTCTCGGTAGTGCTCCTCTGCATACTTCCGCCATGCCAACTCGTCAACTCCACTGTCCAGCTGCAGAACCCACTGACACCACCCGCAGCCTGCGCCGACCTCATCAAGGCCCTTCACGAGTGCCACAACGCATCGGTCTGGAACCGCTTCATCGGAGGATGCAACGACCAGAAGCAGGCGCTCAACATGTGTCTCCGCCAGGAGGTGAGTTGCGAGTTGGCAACGGGAGGCAGACAGGCGGTACTGCAACTTGTGTTGCTATGCACCACTACTGCTGGCATTGCGCAGTACAGTGAACACGCATATGTGTCGGTGTCGGACGGTGCAGCTGCCCGCATCTTTGGCAACGAGCTGCGCCGTCCCTCAACGCCAGCGTTCCTCTCTCACTTCGCTCCCCAGTTGTGCCAGCACGATCCCAATCCTAACGCCTCCAGCGCGTCGACCGCACCACGCGTAACCGTGAAGACTCCAAGGACCGTAACAAGAAGAAGTACGACGCGTGGGACAAGCTCAAGGAGGAGACGACCGCTCCCGACGCTGCTCCAGCAGCCGAGCCCAAGGCTGAGGCCTAGGGCTCTGGAAGAAGACGAGACCATAGACGAGGCAGGGGGCCTGGGGAACACTACTCTACTACTGTGCATTGCATTGATTACATTGTTTTTCTTTTCATCCTAAAATGTCGCATACCAACCAGACTCCAGCTGGCTGGCCTGGGACGGCGCTCGTTGCTCTATGCCCTTCCTGTGTACCTGGCCTCTGCGAGCTGCCCGGCCACCGCGCTCGGGGTACTCAGCGCCGCGGCCGTGCTGAAGTCATACTCGGCGCGAACCATGTCGTGGAACTGGCGGTACACGTCCACAATAGCCGCCTGCGCTGGGGGGATGAGCACGCGCACCGTCTCCTCGTCCTGGAGGTACAGCATGAGCTCGCGCTTCCACTTCTGGACGGCGTGTTCGGCCGTCTGGCGGAACTCGTCGTGGACGGCAGCGACAGCCTGCGGGCTGGCCCATTCCTGCGCCGGCAGATCGCCGCCGCCGCCACCACTGGCGCGGCTCGAGAGGTGCGCGCTGCACCGGTCGAGGAAGGCACGCAGAGGCTGCGTGGCCTTGGAGGTACATTGCGCGATGAGGTCCTCGCACGCGTCCTTGAGCTCGCGGTCGAGGTCGGCCTTGGCGTCTGGTGCAAGGTCACGCGCCGCGCCGCCACGGCCGTATCCGAGGAGCAAGGTCGCGTTCTCGAGGAGAGAGCGGAGGAAATCGGTGACGCCCGCCCAGTCGCGGTGCTTGCTCGCGCGCCCAAAGTCCAGTCCGGCAGTCGTCTCCTTGAGAATGAGCAGGTGGCGGACGAGGAAGAGCTTGGCGTCGGCCTGCTTTTCCTTGTTTGCGCCAATGAGGCCCGAGGCTGACGACAGCGACCGGCGACACGTGAGCACGGCCTCTTGTGCCAGGTCGGCAAAGACCGTGTTGTCAATGTACGTGTACAGACACGAGAGGACCCAGAGGGTGACGCGAAGTGTGGGGTACCACGTCTCTTGGGAGTCGAGGGGCGGGAGGGTAAGGAGCGCAGGCTCGTCATCCTCGTAGTCCAGCGAGATGGTAGCGCCGCGCTTGACAAGGGGTTGACCGGCCGCTGAATTGTTAGTTGAAGCAGCCCACTACTCCCAACTCACCTCCTTCGTTGAGCTTCTCGGGATAGTCGAGGTCTCCGGGCCTCGGGGCATAGTACTGAACGTCGGCCTGGATGAGGGCCTGTGCACGGAAGACGAGACGCGTCTGCGCGTCCTGGAGCACCATCTTGAGAAGGAGCTCGGTATGGAGGCGCGAGAGCGGCTTGCGTCCGCGCTGTCTCCTGCCAACGCCAGATGCGTTTGAGTTTTGGCGGTACATTGACGATGTTGCGCTTCCAGGACGCAGCAGCGGCGAGTTGCCACCAGAAAAGAAATAGTCGTTGCGGTCGCCAAAGGGTGACACGCTGAGTGTCGACTCGGGCGAGAACACGAGGGCCTCGTCGGGGTCGTCGTCGTCTGAGATTTCATGCACCATGAGCGCCTGGAGGACAGTGCACACCTCTTGCAAGACGGTGAGAGACGGTTCGTGCAGGATCCGTGGGCGGATATGGTCATACAAGTGGTCGCAGAGGCTCTCAAGGAAGCCGTACAGTTGGGTCTCGCCCGAGAGGAAGAATTGCTTGAACAGGTTGAACTCGTCCAAGCACGTCTGCTTGAGGTAGCTGCACCCGGCACGCGTGAGGTCGACGAGGTCACCCCGGCTGGGGTTAAGACGAGCAATCTCCTCGGCAACACGGGGACCCATAAGAGCCTGACGGGATGTGACCCAGGCGATGTGGCAATCCATAAGAATCTGGGGCAGCTCGTCCTTGTTCGACGGGATGCGCTGCTCCAGCTCGGCAAGAAGCGGCCGCAAGGAGGCAGAGAGCGACGAGAAGCGGTTGTACAGCAGACCACGGGTGGTCATTTCAGACAATGACTGTATGGGTTAGGACCTCCTGCGGGGCTCCCAGTACCTACCTTATCCGCCAGTCTCCTGCCGACCTCGACGGCGAGCGCCTTGACTGTGGCCACAAAGTGCAGACGAATCAGGGTCATACTACGGGTCATGCACTGCTGGTAGCGAAGACGGTACAGCTCAGCATCCCTAAAGTCGCGCTTATTGTCAGCTCCGATCGTCTGGCCGATAGCTCACATGTTCTCCCAGATAGCTGATACACTCGTCCAGGCGTCGAACCATCGGTAAGAAGTCTGGGCTGAGGACCAACTCGCCTCCGGGATTGTTGAGGATGCGCTGGGCCGTCTCGAGGAACGTAAAGTAGCTCAAACGGTGTGCCAGTTGCGCCGTATGCGTAAGCAGGTGCGTCTGAGAGGTTAGCACGAGGCATCCAAATGCGACCTCACCTGTTCTTCCAAGAGATCCTCGCAGGCGCCTCGCAAGCTCTCACTCCTCTCCTCGACATACTCGAGTGCCTTGAGCATCTCGCCAACCTCGCCCTCACCCTGTTCGAGCAGCTCAATGAGGCCATCACACTTCTCGCGCAAGCCCGAGATCTCGGCCAAGTGCTCGCGATACAGGCTGTCCTGCTCGTGTTCAGCCGAGAGCGCCAAAGCGGCAAAGTGGTCGTGGAACTGCTGCGGCGTCACAATGCTCGTGGGGTGCAGAGGGTCGGGGCGGCTGAGACCCGACAAGCCGGGCTGAGGAGATCCTGGGACGCTGGGCATGCCGCTTGCCGAACCTGTACGCGAGTGGACGTTGGGGAAGCGCATTCGGATGGGTGTGGTGGGACGCGAGCCTTGGGCCTGGGCGGATGACTCGGCATCGGTAAACTAGACGTGAGCTAGTTGCACAGGACATATAGCTCTTACCTTTTCAGGAAGTGGACGCTCGCCAAAGCGCTCCTTGACCACTGCAATGCTCTGGACCTGCTCGTCGGAGAGAGGCGACTTGGACTCCCATTCCTCGAGGGAGACGACCTGCCTTGGTTGGATGGGGGTGTTGGCACGGGAGGCGGTGGCGCTGCCCGATGTTATGGGCGCCCGTCTGAGGTTGAACCCTCCCGGGGTTGCCGGCCTAGACATGGTGGGGTGAGGAGGACGAGATGGATGAGTTGGCTGGTGGTTTGGATGGTGTATCGCTCGCTCTGGCTGTGCCTCCACAGCAGCCATGACACGCGTTGGACCACCAATCTAGCCATGTGCTAAAGTGGGGGCCATGAACAAACATGCACACGTGGCTCTGGTGGGCCCGCGCTGAGCGACGCGCTCTGATCCCCCCTTGCACCCTCCTCTCGCTCGCGTCTCGTGCGTGTGTCGTGTAAGGGGGTGCAGCGCAGAGAGGGCCCTTCCCGCGTTTCCCTTGCGACACCATCCACCCACACCCCCACCATCGTCCATTCGTCCCTCCTCTCACCACCTCTCTCCACCACCACCATCCCCCCTCCCCACCTCTCACCACCAACCCCCCACTCGCCATCCAGCGAACACTCTCCTTTGCGCCGTATCGCGCACTCACTCAACTCCCGTTAAACCGCACCACCTCGACCTTGACCCGTCGGACCGTGCACTCGAACTCTTCCACCACCACCACCCACACTCCACGCGTCTCCAACATCCGCCATGGTGTACCGCGCGTCTAGGGGAAGGAAGCAGGCCAAGAAGGGCGTCCAGCTCACCATCATGGTGGTCGGTGAGTATCATCTGTCCTGCAAAACACACGCGCGGATGCACACTACGCAACTGGGAGCTCCCTCAAGTTGGTGGACAAGACGAAGCGCGCGCGCACTGTACCACTGGTGCACAGACCCGCACCCAGCGCGGGGGCCGCGGGACGTGGAGGGCCCGATGGGTGGCCAGTTTGCAGAGTTTCCCGTCCCGCTGGCGAGCACATGCAGCGCACTGCTGGCATCGGCATGCACACACGGCGCGTGATGGGCGCGAGGAGCGAAAGCGGTGTGCGAAGCAGGATTCTGGATGTGTGCATGGGACTCGGAGAGAACTGACACTACAATTCCGCAGGCTCGTCTGGTACCGGTCGCACCACTTTCGTCAACACGCTCATTGAGCAGCCCCTCCTCCCGCACAGGTCTCAGCAGCTCCTCCGTGACCCCGAGAACCCTCGCTCCGAGGTCGACCCCACTCTCGCCCAGCAGGCCGCGGCCGACGCGCACATTGAGCGCAAGGTTGAGATCAAGCAGCACAATGTCGAGCTTGACGAGGATGGGATGCGCATTGCCCTCACCGTCGTCGACACCCCGGGCTTTGGCGACGGCATCGACAACGAGAACTGGTGAGCCTGGTCCTGTTAAATACACATCTCTCGGGTGAATGCTAACAGACAACCTCAGCTTCCAGGAGATTTCGTCCTACCTCGAGCGCCAGTACGATGACATTCTCGCCGAGGAGTCGCGTATCAAGCGTAACCCGCGTTTCCGTGACAACCGTGTTCACGCGCTCCTCTACTTTATCCAGCCCACTGGCCACGCCCTGCGCGAGATGGACATTGAGCTCATGCGCCGTCTTTCGCCCCGTGTCAACGTCATCCCCGTCATTGGCAAGGCCGACTCGCTTACTCCCTCGGAGCTCAAGTCGTTCAAGAAGCGTATCATGGAGGACATTGAGTACTACGGTATCCCCGTCTACAACTTCCCTTACGACCCCGAGGAGGATGACGAGGACACCATTGCCGACAACCGCGAGCTCCGTGGTCTCCTTCCCTTCGCCATTGTTGGTGCCGAGGAGGAGATTATGATCAACGGCGAGGCCGTCCGTGGCCGCCGCTACCCTTGGGGTATTGTCGAGGTCGACAACGAGGACCACTCGGACTTTACCCCTCTCCGTCGTGCGCTCCTTGCCTCGCACCTCACCGACCTCAAGGAGATCACCCACGACTTCCTGTACGAAAACTACCGTACCGAGAAACTCTCGCGCTCGGTCACTGGCGGCGACCAGAACGACCAGGTCCTGCCCGAGGACATGGCCACCCAGTCTGTCCGCCTCAAGGAGGAGCAGCTCCGCCGGGAGGAGGAGAAGCTCCGCGAGATCGAGCTCAAGGTCCAGCGCGAGATCCAGCTCAAGCGCCAGGAGCTCCTCGCCAAGGAGGACTCGCTCAAGGTCCTCGAGGCCCGTCTCGCCGCCCAGGGCCAGAACCACGAGTACTGAGTCGTCGGTACAAACAACGACACCTACTAGTCGTCGACCACCACCCACCTATTCGCCTTCGTCCCTCCCTTCCTGCGAGAAACCCGTGCGCCTCCCGTCGCGCGCGCGTTTATCGCAGGCTGCTATCTCTGAAAGCTCCAAGGAAATGTCCTTAATGTCCTCATGTCCCCCCCATGCCGCTCCTCAAAGTCGGACAGACCCCTCCACATCCCCTTTTAAACTATTTTTCTTTGCTCCCTTTCCTCTCTCTCTCTCTCTCTCGCTCTACTCGTACCCAACCCCCTCTCCGGTGTGCCGGCTGTCTCGGGCGCGCGTTTGCAACGCACGTCTCTCCCGGTACCTTCTATACCAAAGATGAATGCAAACGGCTGTTCCTAGTGCTCGTGCTCTACAGGGTCGCATACTTGACAGACTCGACTCGCAAGGCATGCTCGGTGGTTCAAAAAACACACAACGGGTGTTCAACGATATCGTTGAAACCTCCGGTAGTCTGTTTTCACCTCCGAACACACCGGTACGTGGTACACCGGGCCAGACCCATCCAAAGTCGAAAAACACATCACTGCAAGCAGCGGCTCCTCTGAAGGGGCGTAGTGTTTCTCGATAAAAGCCACAGTCAAGCGTGCAAGGGATCTGTGCAATACCATCCAGACAAGTCGTCTAGCCAGACTGGGCACTGTGTGCAAAAAGGAAACGAGCGCCATCACAGAATCGCACCTTTCATATCCAGTGGCCAGTGGCCAGTGGCCAGTGTGAAACCACCCAACACGTCCAAACCCAAACACGTTAGCACGTTCCGCAGGGCGCACCAACGGGTCGGGCCGTCCGGGATCCGGGAGGTCTCCTGGTCGCACCGAGCCGGGCGGAGGCATGAGCTTAAACCGGCAATGGAGCAAAAGGGGAAGCAAAGGCAGGCTCGCAGGCGCTAAGCGGGAGAAAAGTGCCACGAGGAGAGCGCTTTCTCATATTCTCATAATATCCTGTGATGGAAGAAATGTACTGTACTGCGTCTCGCGTCTGGTTCCCCTGCAGGTCAATCATGAATCAACAAGCAATGGCAACAGCCCTCGAATCGACTGGTCGACGTGCCGAGGTCTCTGGGTATATGAACTCCAACCGCATCAAGGATCGATCGAGAAGAGGTAAACAGTCGTAAACTAGGGCGAGTCATGAAAGAGTTCTGGGCTCACGAACAACGACAACAAAATGGCTGCCGACTTGACGAGCTCTCGAGAGACAAGCGAAAGACACGCGTGACAAGCTCGGTAGCGGCGTGGTCGGCACGAGGAGCACCTTGAGCAGCTCGGGGCTCGAGACGACGGCACCGCGCGTTGGTGGGCCAGACAGCACGGCATTTCGTATCAGACGCCCACCAGCTGGCCAGCTGCCAGCGCGCTTCTCCCCGTGGCCCGTTGCCGTTGGCCTGTGAGTTTTGAGGCACACAGGTGACGACGTTCCACACTGGCCACACTGCCACAATGGCACGCCGCCGGATGTCCGCTGACACTGACGGGGGCGACCTCCAGGTCACTCACTCCAGCCTCCAGGTCCATGGGCCATGGGGGCCTGACCTGGAACTCGTACGCAAGCGTTTCGGTGGATCGGTGGGTTTCTGTATTTTGCGTTATTTGGGCCACTGGCCACTGGCCACTGGCGTTCCTCGGTGTCCCGCCATTTGTGGACTGGGTTGCCTCTGAACTCGCTCACGTGCGTGCATGTGCATGTGGTCGTCATCGGTATGACCCATAGTCCCATGACAGTTGCTAGGAGAGGAGGAGTGGCGAATGGCGAGTCTGCTCAGTTTCACTGCCGTCCTGCTGGCCTGGCACTCGTGCTCGCCTCCTTGCTGGCCATTGCTACCCATACTATATACTGGGATGCGAGCGTGGCGTTTCTGGTTTCTGACTCACACATGCGTACCGTGTGGACACGTATCCCGCCGGGCGCTGCGCGCTGTGCAGAGGTATAGATGTGCACAATATGCGTAATGTGCGTAATGTGACGTTTGACGTGGGAGCCACGCGGCGGCGCGGCGAGGTGCCATCAAATATCAAAAGATATAGCCTCCAGCTTCCAGCACTGCTGGTTCGCGCTGAATGCCACCGCTGTGGCAGAGTGCCGACGAATCCTTGATCGTTGATGACGCTTGGCCTGGTGGGTTTGTACTACCTGGTGTATCGCTCGTCTTCGCTGGCAGTGGAGCAGTGGCAGTAGCAGGAGTGGACACGTGGTGCTCCAATGCACAACTTGTAAAACACATACAGCACTCGCTACAATGCACAATTTATAAACCTCTACACGTATCGGGTGGCGGCGGGGCTAACCCATCGCGGACACTTGAGGTACCGAGGCCATCCACCCCGCCGGCGGCAGTGGCCTTCTCCGCGGCAGTGGTCGTGTGCCCCATGTCGCGTGCCCCCCCCCCCCCCCCCCCCCCAGTCGTGTGTATCCTTGTTTGCGCATATACAATGCATACACTACGCGCAGTCCTCGGCACCCTCCGTTTTCTTCCTACAGATCCTGCAATGTTGCGGCGCCCGATCAAGCGGGGCTCGGTACAACGACAGCGCGGCTGCCTTACTGGCTCCTCGTCAGGGGAACTGGTATCTACAAGTGGGCATCTCGTCATCATCGCCTGCGTCCCCTTTGCTGTTCTTTTTGGGATTTTGGGATTTCGTGGTGTTCTGTCTCTCGACCTACGCCGCCACGCCTACTCCCTCTGGACTCCTTGATTGTGGTGGGGTGGATTGTTGCTACTGGTTGCGCCGCCGCGCCCGTTTCGTTTCGACTGCGCTGTTCTCGTCTTCCTTCTGATTCTCGCTTCTGACTTGTTGGTGACAACTTGTTGAGGGGCACTTCTGACAGCTTCACTGCTGCAAACGACCGGATAAAACGCCTAGAATGTGTTGTGATTGGGTGCGGTTGTGGTTGGTTGGTTGGTTGGTTGGTTGGTGTGGTGTGTGTGGTGTGTGTGGTGTTGTGTTGGTGTGATTGGATGTGGAAAGTGTTGCGCGGCTTGCTTGTGGTTGATGTGATGAGGATGGATTGGGGGTGTGCGATAGACGTGGTCACGGCCGTGTGCGTGACACATGATGACACAGGTGCATCGCACTGGCGCACTGGGAATCGGTGGTGGGTGGAAGGGTCGCTCGTTTCGATGGTGCGGATCGCTGACCGAGATCGCTGACTGGATCGCGGCCACTGTGGGGTTGCTTAGAAGTGGACCTGGTCACGCAGGATACGCTCGCCCATCTGTTTCGCTGTCAGTACTAGCCTCAATGAAGTAGCGTAGCACATGCTGATGACTTACGGGGCTGACACCGCGCCTGCGTGCGGTCGACTCGGAGTAGCGGCGACGGCCGCCACCGACGGTACCGGCACGGTGAACGTCCGCGGCGGGCGGGTGGGCGGCGAGGCCCTCCTGCGGCGCCATGGAGCCGATTGGCGTCGGGTTAGGCGGGCCCGGAACGGGAGGAGGCACTGCGGGCTGAGAATGTCAGTAAGGGCTGATCAAGGAGAGGCAAGGGGTGGATGGAGAAGGAGGTCGCCCTCGCGACAATCACTCACCCTCGAGAAGCCGCTGGTGAACGAGAGACGGCGGAGCACACCCTGGCCACGGGCCATCTTGTCGCCGAGGACACCGGTGAACTGGGGCGGGGAGACGCCAGCCTGGTTGTTGAAGCCGCCAGTCAGAGTCTGGCCGGGGCTCATGCTCATGGAGACGGCGCGTCGCTGGCCACGGGCGGCGGCGGCGGCAGCCCATCCGCGGTTCTTGAGGTCAGAAATGTCTCCAAACTCGAGGCTGTCGTGGTCAAAGTGGTCATCCTCGTGGTGGTGGGGGATGTCAATCTTAGGGGCTGGCGGGGAGCCTGCGGTCTGGCCGCCAGCGGGCTTGGCTGGGCTGGTGGTGGAGAAGGCGTTCCATTTGCCAAAGAGGCTGCCAGGAGTGGAAGTGCTCAGGCCGACGGCAGAGCCGGCAAAGGGGGTCTGGGGCGAGCCCGCGCCGTTGACCTGGGCGCCAGAGGTGGCGATGGTGATGGGCTCGGCAGGCATGCTAGGTCCCAGAGGCATAGGAGGTTGTTGCTGCAGTTGGTGGTTGGAGGGGAGCGCGTGTGCTGTGGTGGGCGGGGAGAAAGAGGTCACGGGGGGGTTACGTGGATCGTGTGGGCTTGCTTTGGCTGGGAGGCTAGTGGTGGGAGCGTGGAGTTGTTGTGGTGCCGGTGGTGGAAGGGGCGTGGGGTGGAGGTGGTGGTGGTGGTGGTTGTGTGGGAGTGAATGTGATGGGGGCAGGTGGATGAAGATGTTTGTGGTGGTGGTGGTGGGTGGTGTGTGTGGAGTGTGAGTGTGTGAGAGCGAGAGATACACGTAACGGGGGAGGGAAGGAGAGAAGCCCGGTCGATAGAAGGTATCCGGGGGATTTATACCACAATGGCCGCGCTGCTGCTGGAGCTGCTGAGCTGCTGACTGTGTCTGCCAGCTGCTGGGTGGCGGCGGCACTGCTGTGTGGGCCCTCCCTCTGGTGGAGTGCCCCGTCTGCCGCACACCGCACACTCACAGACGCTGACTGTGCCCATACGTCACATCTCTGCCGTTTACCCCGCAAGCGCCATCGCCGGCGGGTGGGGGGGGGGGGAAGAAGGGAAGTAGCGGCCAGGTTTTTGGGCCTGCTTTTTTTTTCGAATAGTCGTTGGGGCCTTCCCTCTGTGATTCGCCCACAAACCACACCCCACCACCCACTTTTTAAATGCGTCCAGATTGTACCTCATTCCAGACCCAGGTCCAGCGTTGCTCAGCCAGTAGAAGCGCGGGGTAAACAGCGGGGCCACAGCGGGGCACAACATCACCTCCTCATAGGACAGACCCAGCTGCTCGCCCCTCATGCAACAGGGTCGTGCTGCTCATCCCTCGAGGCCGGGAACAAGGTCAACACCGGACCTCAGTCCCAACCAGCGAGTAGCCTGTCGAGAACAGCAGACAACCTCTGGGAGCTATAGCCGACGGGCGACATCCGTGGCCGAGAGCCACCACAGCCGAGTCCCTGCAAACACAAAGTGACGAGAAAGCACACCGAGGCGGCGGCGCGACCGGGACACACGCTCCTCGCTACCGAGCTACCGACACATCGCTGGCACATGTGGTTCGGTCCGCCGCCGGTCCCGGTCCGGCCGGGACTTGCTGATACACATCAAATGCGAGGACGGTGGGTTCAATCTCGCAGCAGAGGGCCTGCGGCCTGCGCCGGCGAGCAGCACGACAATCAACGAACATATGGGCCGCCGCGAGGTCTGGTGACACGCCTCGCAGTCCGACAGCGCCATTGTCGCATGGTACACCGCTGCATGAGCGCAGGCAACCGGGCGTCTCAGGCCTGAGATATTTGGGCATGGCCGACACGCTCGGGCCGTGGCGGCGGCATGTGTCTAAGACCTATTCTACAAAGCGTTGCCTCGGGCGTGCACGACAAGACCGAAACGACGGTACCACGGGGGGGGAGACGCGCGAGTGCTCAACAAAGGTTCGTGGCGTGCGGATAGGTGGCGGCAGCGGGCACCAAAAGGCGTCTGTGTGAGGCATGCCACTGGCCACTGGGCAAATGGGCAATGGGTGAGTCTTGCGAGTGTTGGGAGCAACTGCAACAGAGAAAAGGGGCCGGCCGTTGCCGAGCTGGCCGAGTGGCGGTCGTGGCAGCGGCCAGCAGACAGCAGCCACTTGCACTTGGCGTTGTTGGGCGTTGGCCGCATTGCCGCAATTTGCTTCTGTTGATCGGGGGCGGGTCGAGCATGTGCACAGTGGGGCAAAGTCATGTGGCGTCCGGGGAAGATAGTGCAGGCGTCGGCAACGACGCGTATGCCTGCGGTCTCGTGATATCCGTCTCACGCTAAATGCCTGCGGGATATATCTTCGTTAGCTGTGGACGTTAACACGAATCAGTTCTTCAATCCCACTTTGCGAGTCGTATTTGCGACCTATACATCTACCTCCATGTCCAGCGACCTCGACTGAGTATGACTGAGCCACTGATGACCCGCCCACTCACTTGATTATCCCAGCTGCCTTATATGGGACCTTCTACTTCACGCCACATTCACCATTTCTGCCGACTACCAGCCGTCAACGTCCACCGTATTGGCGTCTCCGGCTGTGACAGAGGTCTCCTCAGGCTCCAGTGAAGCAGTTGTGTACCCCTTGCAGGAACTGAGGGAACTGCCTTCACACTATGCTCCCTTTGACGTTCCGAGCAGCCGAAGTGGGTGCTATGCTCCGGTAGGAATCGAGCGCCACTGGGACTACTCGCTTTGACCGCACCAGATAAACACTGTGGTACAATCCGTTACGAGTCGGCAGAGAGTACTGGTCCCGATAGATGCCGGCCAAGCTGATAGCGATCAGTGCGCACAATGGGACAGCGGCTGAGGTGTGGACCGGGTGTGGGAAGTCAGCTGCGCAGTTGCTCGGCGTGTAGGAAGTCGGATACGTTGGCCGTTATGGTTGCTATTTAGAGGCGCCACTAAGCCTGACATCTCTGGTGCATAACGATAAGCAGCCTCAATGCTGGGTGCTCTCTGTACCTCTGTAGATGTTGCTACATGGTCTCTCCCCAGTGGCACCGTCCAGTCAACTTGCCAAGTGGCGATTATTCCCTCCGCGATGCTTTCAGCCGTCTCGACACTGCAACACCGTGCATCTACCCACTCAACTAATCTAACCCCACGCATGGCCCAAAGTTGACCGAGATCCTTGCATTCGTCGTGGAGATGCCCTGGAACACACGCCATCGTCATTGAGTGGGGAAATGGCGATGGTGACTAACCACGCCGGCCGAGCCCGAACACAATGGCGTTCATTGTCTCAAATCCCCAACCGACCTCGTCAACGACCTGGCAACTTACGACTCAGTTTTGTCCATTGCACCAACAGCACTCTATGCGCAGCAGGGCACGGCTGGTCTGGTCGTGTGTTGTCCTCGTCATCGCATTCATGTTGTGCACAAACTACTCTCCTCTCACAAGGACCCACCTGTCCCTCTTTTCCACCTCGCTCCGATCAGCAACTACACGATACTTCATGTCCCCAGCCATCCAGCCCACTGTCATCGTAGTCGGTTCGGGCCTCGCAGGCCTCTCGGCAGCCTATGCGGCCCTCCAGTCCGGTGCGCGCGTGCACCTGCTCGACCGCAGCCCCAAGCTGGGCGGGAACAGCATCAAGGCCTCGTCCGGCATCAATGGGGCCGGGACACCCGCACAAGAGGCAGCAGGGGTCAAGGACACCCAAACTCAGTTTTACAACGACACGGCCCGGTCTGGCGGTGCGCGCTTCAAGACGGCCAGCACCATCCCCGGGTTTGACCGGGAAGCGCTCGTGACGCGTCTCTCGACCGAGTCGGCCGACGCGGTCCGCTGGCTCAGCGACGAGATTGGCGTCGACCTCAGCGTCGTCGCCCAGCTGGGCGGGCACGGCGTGGCGCGCACCCACCGCGGCAAGGGCAAGCCTCCCGGAGCATCCATCGTCCTCACGCTCCTGGACAGACTCAAGGCGTCGGACAACTTTACGCTCTTGTCCAGTGCAGACGTCACGTCGCTGCTGCAGCACGACGGCGCCGTCACAGGCGTGGCGTACACCCAGGACGACACGGAACACACTCTTGCGGGAAGGGTGGTCGTCGCCAGCGGCGGGTTCGCAGGCGACGCGTCCATGCTCGCGACGTACACCCCGGCGCTGGCCGGCCTGCCCTCGACCAACGACCCGCGCCCGGGCTCACACGCGCTGCTCACCGCTGTCGGCGCCCAGCTTCTGGATATGGACAGCGTCCAGATCCACCCTACGGGCTTTGTCGACCCGGCCACACCGGGCGCCCGGCTCAAGTTCCTCGCGGGCGAGATGCTCCGCGGCGAAGGCGGCATCCTTCTCTCTCCCTCTGGCTCGCGCTTTGTCAACGAACTCGACACACGCGCGGCAGTCTCCAAGGCCATCATGGACGCCTTCCCCAGCGTAGACGAGGACGGCACACGGCAGTGGGACATCACCCTCCTCCTCGACCCAGGCGCGGCAGCCGCGGCCGCCTCCCATATCGGGTTCTACGAATGGAAGGGTCTCCTGCGCAAAGTCAAGCTCGCGACCCTCAGCCCAGAGGTCGTCGCCAGCGTGCAGGCGTACGCTGCCGCCGTGGATGCGGGCTCTACCGACCCCTTCAGCCGCCCAGCGTACGGACACTGGAAGCTGAAGCCCGACGCCGAGTCGCTCGCACAGGCTGAAGTGTACATTGGCCGCATCACCCCCGTGGTGCACTACACCATGGGCGGGGCGGCGATCGACACCGGTGGCAGAGTACTCCGCGCCGCTGGCGGCGGCGTGGTGCCCGGTCTCTGGGCCGCGGGCGAGGTGACCGGCGGCGTGCATGGCGATAACCGTCTGGGAGGTAACAGTCTGCTCGAGTGTGTGGTGTTTGGCCTGGCGGCAGGTAATGGCGCGGCAAGGGGCGACTAGCACGTTGGGACGGGAGCATGTGGATGTATTTATTGTTGACTGTTGCGAGCGAGCCTGTGTCCACTAACCATTTGGTGGTTGTGCAGGCATCACTGTTTTCTCGTATGTCTCAGTTCGTACATGGCTCAGTCCGCAAGAACTGATGGTTGAGGGAAAGACGGAAATGGAGTGTGATTGAGGGCAGAGTGGCAGTTTAGTTTAACGAGGTGAACTCCTCGCATAAAAGACTATTTTAGTTGAGTTGAATTCCGCTATGGTCATCAGCCGCAAGGACATACATGGCCCACACGCCTTCCGAGCCGATGAGGACAACATATATGAGGACACACGGCCCATGGAAGGCGTGGTTGGAAGACGACTGGAGTAGGGCAAGGGAAACGAGGACAACCAGTGCACGCATAAATATGGCGACTGAGGCTTCATAGGCGAGAACCGGATGTTGAGGATCCGTTCCATGCAATGCATATGAGTGTTTGGCTCTGCCTAGTTGGATAATTACAGTGCTTCGTCCTGAGAGTTATGCAACCACTACGGGCTGGAAACAATCATGGGCAAGAACGGACCACAACAATTTCCACATCCTTTTATTTGCGCAACTCAAAAACAACTTATTTCTGTCTGGCAGTGGTCTAGCTTAACACCAACATCCTGAGACAGGACAGTCCTCGATACAGGTCGAATATCGCGTACAAACTAACCTGCGGGCAAACCTTGCGTGCGCATAACCCTCGAGACAGCTGCTTCTTTGTGGCAGTTTGGGTCGCTGTAAAACCATGGCGGCGAGAAAGCGGACATACAATTGCTTCAGTTGTTATCACCTGTCACACCCCAATCCCTTCTTCAACGGCTGTTCTACATCGGCCACGTCCTGTTCCTTTCAGTCCTATCGCATGCATGCATGTGTTGTGTGCCCGTGAGGAGGCGGATATAACTGCCTAATTAACGAATTGCTGCTGCTCTCTCCAGGGTCCTCGAGCTCGGATCGCCGTCGAGCAGAAAATTGTGATTGCGTTGGGTAGTGGTGTTGTTGGCATTTGCGTCTGCGCCAAGGCAGTGGGGTTGGTAGGGGTTTTGGATTTGGGCTAGGTAGTGCGTGAGTCGAACGCGGTGTCGAGATGAGGGAGTCGAGGAAGGCGAAAAAGGCGACCACGCACAGCCCACAGGCGTTGCAGCAGATCGTCTCCCTTGGCCTCCTGTCGACCTTCGTTTATTCGGGCTCTGTCCGAGGGAAGGACCAGCTTAACGGCCTCCGCCCATCATCTTCATCATAGAAGCCATGTCGGGCATGCCGCCGCCGCCGCCGCCGCCCATCATCTTCATGGCCTCTGTTGCTGCGTCAGCTTGCTCTACCTCGTTTACAGTCATGGACAGTCGGTATGATTCACGAAATTGACTGCCCATCGCTGTAGCTGTTGGTTATCCCAGTACTCACCCTGCATTTGGGCCATCGAGGGCATACCACCACCACCGGGAGCACCGCCGGCACCGCCGGCACCACCCATCATACCTTGCATCATGGATCCAAAGTCCATGCCACCAGGTGCTCCGGCGCCGCCCATACCGGGCATGCCGGGCATACCACCGCCCATCATCTCAGCCATCATCTTCTGGGCGCCTTGGGGGCCGGCAGCGCGGAGCTTGCGCATCATCTCTGGGGGCATGGCCTTCTACGCGGGTTAGCTAACGCAATATGATAACGGTACTCACCCTCATGGCCTCAATCTGCTGCTGGGAGGGCATGCCGTTGGCGCCAAGGGGCTTGCCGCCTGCAGCGGCCTGCATCTTCTGCATGGCCGACATCCAGCCGTTCTTGCCTCCGGCCTGGCGCGCCATACCGGCCATCATACGGGCCTGGGCGAGGAGCTCCTCGACCTCGCGCACACTGGTGCCCGAGCCCTGGGCAACACGGCGGGCACGCTTGTTGAGTCCCGTGGGGTTACCGGCCTTGTCGAAGCTGAAGAAGATGAGGCCGTCCGAGTCGAGCTCGTCGGTGCGCATCGCGTCGGTAATGAAGATCATGCGCTTGAGCTTGGCGGCGGCCTCGTCCTCGCCACCCTCCATCATACCCTGAGGCATGCCGGGGATCATGGACGCAATCTTGGACAGCGAACCCATGCCCATGATGTTGGACAGCTGCTCGCGCCAGTCGCGGATAGAGAACTTGCCCTGCTCGAGCTTCTTGGCGAGGTTCTTTTGGCGGTCCGGGTCGGCCATGGCCATGTCCTGCATGTGCTCCATGAGGCCCTGGATGTCACCCATTCCCAAAAGCTTGGAGATGAAGGGCTGGGGGGTAAACTTCTCGAGGTCGTTCAGGTGCTCTCCGGTACCGAGGAAGATGATCGGGGTCTTGGTCGCAGCGACGGCCGAGATTGCACCACCACCCTTGGCGTGGCCGTCGAGCTTGGTGACAATGATGGCACCAAAGTCGGCGCTGTCCTTGAACGCGCGCGACTGGCCCTCGGCAGCCTGACCGATAGAGGCGTCAAGAACCATAATGGTCATGTCGGGCTTGACGGCGTTGCTGATAGACACCATCTCCTCAAAGAGCTCGCTCTCCTGCTTGTGACGACCCGAAGTGTCGACAATGATCACGTCGAAGCGCTCCTTGCGGAACTTCTCCACACCCAGCGACGCAATGGCGACGGGGTCGGTCTCGGTGTAAGAGCCGTAGAAGGGAATCTTGGCCTTGGTCGCGTTCTGCTTGAGCTGGTCAAACGCACCAGCACGGAACGTGTCCGCGCACACGAGACAGGTGCGGAATCCTCGCCTCTGGTAGTGGACCGCGAGCTTTGTACACGTCGTCGTTTTACCGGCACCCTGTAGAGAGTTTGTCAGTGCTGTTTCCAGAGCAATTCAAGCAGCACGAGCAGCACGCGACTCACCTGAATACCAACGGCCATGAGGACGTTGACCTTGCCCTTGACCGGCTTGTATGGCTCAGTTCCGGGGTCCACAAGTGCGACGAGCTCGTCGTAGACAGCCTAATGGTTAACGATATCCAAAGGGTCTTAACCTACCTTTTGCACAACATTCTTCTTGTTCACTTCACGGCCGCTCGCCTTCTCGGCCTCCTCGAGGCTCTTCTTAACCTGTCATGTCAGCTACCAACCTTCCCAGTTCACGCAGCTACACACCTTGGCCTTGACCTTTGCCCTAAGCTGAGCAACGAGCTTGACATTGACATCGGATTCGAGAAGAGCGGCACAGAGCTCCTTGAGGAGTGCGTCAATAGCCTAAGGAAAGGTGTCAGATTACCGTCTAGGTCTTCTTCTCCATCGGGGTCACAAAGGTCCGTGCTGGCAAGTGGGGGCCCTTCGGACCCGACAAAAGGTCAACGTACAGCGTCGTCGATGGACGATGACTTGGAGAACTGGTTGAGAGCGCCGTGCAGGCGCGCGCCGAGGTCGGCAAGCACCATGGCGCTGATTCGTTTGTTGGTGGGGGAGTGAAGGTGTAAGGTGGCGAGGACAGAGACACACGACACGAGCTCCGTCGAGGCCGGCGCCGTTGGTCCATGTCGATGCACTCCAGTGGGTTCCGTGCCTGACGCCGATGACAAGGGTTTTAGGCCCGCAAGACAGATGGCCCGCCTACCATACATGTGGCCGCCAACTTACCAACGTGCCAACCCCGGCCTTCTTTCAGTGTCTATGCAGCTATGCATGCCGAACATACTAGCACTGTGTACTGTGTACAACTGGGACTGAAATTCCAGTCGGAACCGCTTGGTAATCGCGTTGGTGGCAAAGTCTAGTTTGGTGGGTGCAGATTTCTAGACCGTGATCGGACCTCTCGGGGCGTGGCCCACACGACACACGACAGTGACAATCACCACATCACTCTCACTGATTCTCTTTCATCTTGCAACTTTCAATATACCCCTCCAAAACAGGCAGACCTCACCCTCTGCGCGCTCGTTATATCCAGCGACACCCACTCCACTTCGATATTACCTGTCGCACCCCGCCGACCGCCACGCGTTCAGGCACACCACAAGAGCTGCATTCCGCGCTTGACGAGCCGGCGAGTGTGTTGACTCGAGTACTCTCAACACCCTCTCTACCTGATCTTCACACTCCCCTCCCCCCTTCCGACTCCAGACGCCACCGGCTCGTCCATGGATGGCACCCTTCGACCTCGATGCGTGCATCGACCGGCTGCGGGACAAGCAGCTGCTCGGCGAGGCGCTGCTGAGGGAGATCTGCGAGAAGACCAAGGAGGTGCTCATGCGCGAGTCCAATGTCGTGCACGTATCCTCACCCGTCACTGTCGTAGGCGACATTCATGGCCAGTTTCACGACCTGATTGAGATCTTCCGCATCGGCGGCGATGCGCCAAACACAAACTACCTCTTCCTCGGTGAGCTACTGGGAGCTGGACATTGTCAGGTGGCCGGTGACGACGCCGGCGTGTCCTTTCGCCAAATCATTGAACATGTGCTGACACCGCAGGCGACTATGTGGACCGCGGGTTGCACTCTGTCGAGACCATTTCCCTCCTCACGTGCCTCAAGCTGCGATATCCAGAGCGCATCCAGCTCATCCGCGGCAACCACGAATCGCGCGCGGTCACTCAGGTGAGGATTCCCCCCTTGGAGCTCGAGCTCGGTCGGTCGGCGGCGCAGCGATGATAAATTCAAAAGAGGACTCTGAGAGACTGAGAAAATCGGTCATGAAGTCCAGCGCTGGCTGGTGTACACTGCACAACGCAGGAACCCGCAGTGTTGATGAGAGAACGGATGTCTGAGCGCAGCAAACTTAAAACCCATCACGTTCCAATGTCGCACGCTGGATGCTGACTCTACACTTCAGACATACGGCTTCTACCTCGAGTGCACACGAAAGTACGGCTCGCCAACAGTGTGGCAATACTTTACCGACATGTTCGACTTTCTCACCTTGTCGGTGGTGATTGACGACGCCATCTTTTGCGTGCACGGCGGCCTGTCGCCGTCGATTCACCATATTGACCAAGTCAAGGTCATTGACCGGTTCCGCGAGATCCCCCATGAGGGGCCGATGGCCGACCTCGTGTGGTCAGATCCAGACCCCGAAAAGGAGGACTTTGCCATCAGCCCAAGAGGAGCAGGATACACGTTTGGCGCATCGATTGTCAAGAAGTTCCTCCACCTCAACGGCATGAACCATGTACTCCGTGCACACCAGCTGTGTATGGAGGGATACTCGGTTCTTTACGACGACCAGCTCAGTACGGTGTGGAGTGCACCAAACTACTGCTATAGGTGAGCTTGACAGCCGATTCTCCGAGCTGACGGTCAGATGTGGAAATATGGCGAGCATTCTCGAAGTGTCCCCCGGAGGACGACGATTCTTCAACGTATTTGACGCAGCACCAGAGAACGAGGTGTGTATGAGCCAAGGTTCCAATGGCTGCACAACTGACATTATCAGCGTGACGGCCCAGCACAGCAGCAAAATCAAGCAAAGGTGAGCTCTGAGACTTTTGAAATGCAATTACATAGCGCTGACCTTTACAACAGGCGATAGAGTACTTTTTGTAGAGAGGCAGACCAGAAGACAGACAGAGAGTTCAACCCAGCATTGTAACGTCCCAATCCGTATGTAATACCCATGCGCGACCATTATTATAACCCTCTACTTGCTAGTCCCACTCCAGTGCGGAGAAGAGCGACTCTACGAGCCCAAAGCTGCGGCCCTTGACCACACCGGGTGCTCCGCCCATGACCATGTTGAGGGATGGCAGCCGCCACTCGTCAGTCACCCGCCACCGGCGGCAGATGAAGAGTTTGACTTCGGCGTCCCACTTGCCGTCCGTCACGGGCTCTTGGCGGAAGTAGTGGGCAAACGAGTCAAAGAAGGACTCTTCAAGGTTAAGCGAGCGCGACTTCCCTGTCGGATTAGCTAAGTCGCCGGTGGGGGTGAGTTACAGCTACCCACATGCAATGATGATTTCTGGACCAAAGACGTCCGTGTCCACGGGGCCAGACGGGTCGGTGACCTCGAGTAGAGTCCGGAGCAGTGGCGGGTAGAGGTGGGGGAAGTAGACCTGGATGTGTGAGTCATGTCGCCATGTAGCCATTTGTGTGTGCAGCTCACTAGATCGCACAGAATAATGTGTGTGAATGGGCCATACTTTGCCAAATGACTTGCGTCCTCGCCCCAAGCCAGCGGCTGCGCGACAACGTTGGCATGCTCGGCCTGCTGGCTGCCCTCTCCCTCGGTCGCCCAAGTGTCGATGCTCTGTTGGCAGAGTGGCACGACGTTGGGGAGGTCCGTGAGCACCACCGTGTCCTCGGCCCTGAGGCGAGCCGCGAGGTGGAGACTGGCCAACGCCTGTCCGCTGCCGAGCTCGAGAACACGGTGTGGTCCCAGTGTAGTGAACAGCGTACAGGCCGGATCACCAGCACCGCCGGGAGTGAGATACTCGAGCAAGGGACCCGACGCTTCCCATACGCGTCCGGCGATGCCGTACCGCCCAATAGCCTCAGCCTGGTTGTGTGCGTCGGCGCCGTCGGTCGCCGCCGTGCCGAGGAGGTGGAGGGGGTGGATGTTGAGGTTGGCGGGGAAGTTGGGGTCTGCCGACGGCGCGACCATGGTGGCCGTCGCCATGACGTGTGTTGCGGGCGGGGTACGCGGGGTGGTGGTGAGCTTGCCGGCGGCGGCGACGGTGGTGGTGACGTCGTTTAGCGTCTCGGTGGCCATTCCGAGACAGCGGACATGATCGACGCCGCGGTCTCATTTTGGTTCCGTCCGACCACGCGACAAATGTGCCACATTCACCGGCGTTACACTGCACCTCCCGGCGAAATTAATTTGGCGGGTCGCCCAAACCGCCAACTGGATGCCCGCGCCGCCCAGGTAGATGGATGAACAGCTCGGCACCAGGACTCCTCTCAACCGTCAACATCACTAAAGTGCGTAGCCAGCACCCACACCCGTGCGCCAGCAAACGTCTTGCTAACCCATACTCCAGATGGCTCGCTCCGCCCCCATCTCGCGCAACGTCGGCCGTCTCTCGCGCTCGCAGGTCGCTGCCAAGCGTGGCCTCTTCAAGGGTGAGCCCGAGATCTGAACAGCGGGTCTCGGCGCGGGCACAAGCTACAATTTGAACACGCATCTTTAAAGAGTCCTCGAGGGATGGCTATCATGGTCGTCCATCGGACCCGTTTGGAAGTCATGGGGGTTGAAATTTCATGACTGGGAACGGGGCAAGAGATTGCTTTGCGCGTTTGTTGGATCTCGTCCTTGGGTGCTGCGTCGAATTTTGTCAAATGACAGACCCCTCCTGTGGTCTCGAGACATCTTTTGCCAGCAATAGCCCGAGACGTTTTCTCAGCAACGTGCAACACTCTTGTCCGCAAGACACTCTCCAGTGTCCTCTGCAAGAAAGTGCAAAGAGCCTGCCTGCGCCGTGCCAAGCCATTGTTCCCACAAAAATGTCATGTTCTAACTTTTTCCTACAGGCAAGAAGACCGCCAAGGTCTCGCCCAAGGCTGAGGTCGCCACCACCGTCGAGAAGCAGATCGGCGGCAAGGCCAACGGCGAGAAGCGCGTCATCCCCACCCAGAAGGCTTCGAAGTTCTACCCCACCGAGGACGTCCGTGTCCCCAAGGTCTCGCGCAAGCAGGCCGGCAAGACCAAGCTCCGTGCTTCGATCACCCCCGGCACTGTCCTGATCCTCCTCGCTGGCCGCTTCGCTGGTCGCCGTGTTGTCTTCCTTAAGCAGCTCGACTCGGGTCTCCTCCTTGTCACCGGCCCCTTCAAGCTCAACGGTGTCCCCCTCCGTCGCGTCTCGCAGGCTTACGTTATCGCCACCTCGACCAAGGTTGAGATCGCCGACGTCAAGGTCCCCGAGACCGTCAACGACGCCTACTTCGTCAAGTCCAAGGCCGCCAAGGCTACCAAGGAGGGCGAGTTCTTCGGCGAGGGTGCCGAGAAGAAGACCTTCCCCGAGGAGAAGAAGTCGGAGCAGAAGGCCGTCGACGCCCCCGTTCTTGCCGCTGTCAAGAAGGTCGACAACCTCTCGAAGTACCTCAAGGCTTCGTGGGGTCTCTCGAAGGGCGACCGCTTCCACGAGCTCAAGTTCTAAGCTCGTTACTACAGACCTTGGTTCGCGGGCTTGCCGGGCATGGTGATGCATGTACTATCTCCCTGCTACCTATTCCGCGCATGACACACACACATTTGCATAATTGCCCAGACCGAGCATAGTGAACTAACAAGAACTGACTGCTGGATGCTGAGGGCTGTCACATCCAGCGTTGCCAAGTGCAGTGCGCATGTCGCAGACGTTGCTGCATAAATTGAACTCCGAATTATGTACAAACACGCTACTGCTGCTACTACTAAAACTACAGCCATGGAGCCCAGCCGATATACATGCGCGACAAGTGGTCCGGCGACACTGCGTCCTTGATGAGCACCTCGACTTGTTTGGAAACAGTCATCTCCGTGTCGTTCATGAGACCGCGAAGCTTCTTATTGATCGGGTCGAGGTATTTTTTGCCTGCCGAGGACTTCACGTCCTTGTCCGACCTGCCAACCCGGTTCCGACTCGTTTTGGTCCACTCGACCAAGGGGTCGTGAACGAACGCCTGGAGCACAGACATGAGCGAGTCTCCGTTGGAACGAAGAATCTCCATTGTGATCTCGGCAGCTTTGCGGAAGGAACCTGTAGTTGTTAGATTAGACGCAATCACTTTGGTGGCGCAATTTGTGACTTACCGTCAACACCTGTCACACCTAGCGCGTCAACCATGTTTTGCGTAAGGCGGAACGGCACGCGCTCGGGCACCTCAAACGTTCTGGCCTTGTCGAACAGGCAGTTGAGGTCGACGTGCACCGTGTCGCCAGCGATACCGTCAAAGAGAATGTTCTCGCCGTGGCGATCGCCGAGACCCAGCACAAAACCGATCATGGACATGACAGCCAATGTACGCGCATAGTTGGTCCGGGCCGTGAGCCACTCCGAAGGTTCGGGCCAGTTGGTGAGGAACCATTCGTGAAACACGGTGGGGCGATACATGGGCAAAACCTTGTTGACGAACACGCTGGGGAGTTGGTGATATTCCTGCTTGCGCGCGGCTTCAAGATACTGGTGCACCTCGCTGGACTGATGGGTCAACATGGGCGCAGCAGATAGGCAAACGTACGTAAACTTTCTTCTTGTAGCGGTCGTATCCTTTTTCTAGAATGCTCTTCAGAGCGTTCGTGTTGCTGACCCACTCGATGAGTCCACACTCCTCATTGAGCGGCATCACCGCATATGTGCGAATGTACAGGTGGCGACGACGGGCAGTTGACGCCGCGTTGAGGAACTTGTTAATCATCGAGTTGAAGTCCATGAGTCTTGCGTCCTTGCGCAGGTCGTCGTGTGGCTTGCACAGGAACGGGTATCGCTTGCCATCTGTGCCCTTGAAGACGAGCTTCTTGGGCTGCTGGAGAGACGGCATAATCTCGACACGGTCGCTGACGTCTGAATGGGTTAGCCTTCTTGTATCAGAGTCCAGTTTTCACTTACCATTGATAGAAACTGCCATGGACGGGAACGCCAAGTGTCCCTTGAGAGGTGATCCGGGCGGTGGAAGCACGCAGGTGAGAGCGTCTTGGAGGGGCATGATCATGCTAGACGGGAACGCAGTCGTGACGTATTTGTACTTGGTCGCAATGGACACTTCGCGAGGCTTACCCTCCGGCTTGTCCTCGGCAAGCCTGAGCAACACGCCGGAAAGTTTGCGCGCGTCGTTGATACGGGCTTGAAGGTCTGCCCTAACGTCTTTTTGCTTTACGCCCTGCGGTAAGCTCCTGTTCGTGTTGCAACAACGTACCATCGCCTTTTGTAGGATAGTCTCGGCAATGTCTCGCCTGTCCTTGCGCGTTGACTGCATGGCACCAATGGTTGGCCAGAGAGCCTGGGCCGGGTAGTCGCGAATGACATGGTAGACGAGCCTGACGAGCACCTCACGGACCTCGAGGTTCGAGTGGGTGATGCGCGAGATCATCTGCGGGAACGCTGTAAGGAACTGGTACGTCATAATCTTTCCAACAGCGCGCTCCATGAGCCTGGTGATCTGTTGGACTTTGAGTTGGACGATGCTGTTCTTCTTGGTGATCTCGTTGAACTCGCCAAGGTCGAGCCATACAGTGAGGAGGCGGGGCATCGTCTGGTAGATATACTTGACGCCACGTTGGAGAGCTTCAACATAGTTGACACAGGTGAAGTGGTTGTGCGTCGCTATTGCCTCCGCCGCCTCCGCCGCTGCCTTCGCCACGTCCGCCGGCGACATCGTCTTCGTATCCTTGTTGGCTGCGGCTGTGGCTATGCTTGATGCCAGCGTATCATAGTATCGTCCGAGGTGGAAGAACGGTGCTTCTAGGGTCGCGCCGAGCTCGGTAGCCTTCTTAAACTTGCGAATGACGTCGTTCTGCTCAAAGCGGTCGGCTTCGTGTGTCCAGCGAGCTTCGAGCAGCAAAGCCTTTGCCAAGTTGCGTTCCATGCGGAAGTCTTCCTCTGTCTTGGGTCCATCGTGGTTGCCACCATTGCCTGTTAGGTCGATAACACCATCGCTGCCCGACTTTTTGTTTTCCGACTCGACGAGCTCTTCAATGGGGTGCGCGAGCTCACGCAATGCCTTGAGGATACCGCCGTGCATGTGAACGAGTTTGGCTTGCTGAATAAAGGCGAAGGGCGCGTTCCACTGTTGAGACTGCAGGGCAGCGCTGTACGCTGTCTGCTCGTAGCCAGCCTTGCGGGCAATCTTGGCACTCTGGATCCACCCTTGGCCCAGTTCGCCACGTAGGCGCTCAAAGTCAACAAGACTGAATGCAGCTCGGCGCTTGCTGAGAATCTCCTCGCTGACGCGGAAGGAGGGCAGGGCAGTGTTGAATCGGTCCGACAGGTTATCAATGAGGGTGTCGGCGTTACGGCGCATGATGGCCTCGCTGTTGGCTGAGCGGACGCTGTTGTTGGGAGGCAACATGATGGCGGCGTTCGTATTGTAGATCATTTCCACTTCACGAAGCATATGCAGCTGCAGGACCGTCTCATATGCGCGAGGATATTCGCGTGTCGTGAGACCGCTGCCGATCTGCTTGCGAGCCACCGTGAGGGCTTCGTTGACGCCCTTGCCAGAACGCATGGCCAGGAAAACGTTGGCGATGGGTGGGGGGTCACGGACCGCCTGGAGGGTCTCCCAGTCTCTAATGGTCCAAGCAGCTTCGGCCTGGAAGGCAGACAGCTCTTCGGCCCATTCAGGGTGACGGCTGAGAGCACCACGGATGTGAGTGCGCAGAGTGTCTGAGGAGTTTAGCTCTCGTGGCACAGAATACTCCCAACTCACCATAATGACCCAGGTTCTTGAGACACTTGAGCAGGCCCACATGATGTTTGACGTTCTCGGGTTCCTGCTGCAGGTTTACTTCCCAACAGCTCTGTGCCGATGTCCATCGACCGGTACTCTCGTGCTCGCGGATCTGGAGCTCTAGTGAGGGCGACACGACAAACGCCGAAACACCTTCCATGCCGTCAGGATCGTCGAGCTCGGCGTAGATCCGGTGCATGTTCTCAAAGTAGCCCTGGGCTTTGGGACTATTCTTCTCGCCGAGTTGGACAACACATTCTTCAATGTTGCGAAGAGAACGGGCGAATGCACCCGACATGAGCGCTGCCTTGCCAGCCAGCTCAGTGTCAATGTCTGAGAGTAGTTGGTCGACTGGACGGGTGGTCGAACTGCGTTCGTTGCGGTTGGCATTGCGGGTGAGGCGAAGCCATTTACCCAAGTGGTCCATGAGGTCAAAGACCACCTGGGCACTGAGCATGCGCTTCTCGGGCGCGCTCTGATGGCTTGAGCTGACCTGATCTTTCAGCACGACTTCGATCTCGGCTTTGATCCGGTGGTGGGCATCCGCGTCGCCCGATAGGAGAACGTGGAGTACGAGGTGAGGGAGAAGGTGGTGGGCGACGGCCACGTCCTGGTTCTTGGCCTCGCTGTTGAAGACACCAAAGATCCGTTGGGCGTCACCGGGTACGCCGGCCTGATGGACCTCCATGACGCGGCCAATGAGGTCGACAGTCCATGCCTGCACCCACTCGCGGTAGGTGTTCATTTGCGGGTAGATCGTATCGTCGAACTTTGTTGTCTTGACCTGGTTTTGCTGGAACTGTGCGTCGAGCAGCGGCGTGACAGTCTCAAGGACGTCCTTTGGCAAGGTCTCCCAGCGCTGACGCACTTTAAGATTGACGCCAGCACCTTGGCGGTTGACCAGTCGCTGATCAAACCCGCAAAACTTGAGAAGCTCCTGAATGGAAAAGGACAGATTCTTCTGGTGCTTGGTGTCGTTTGTCGAGCGGAAAGCGCTAACAAGAAGGTCACGAACAAGGTGCAGCGCGAAGTTGACAGACTCATCGTGGTCGTTGAAGTTGGACATGATGGTCATTGAAGCCTCCTCCTTTGCAGTGACGAAGCGATCGGGGTCCAGAGCACCAATGATGCCAAAGCACTCATAAGCCAGATCGCGCAGCTCATCGCATTCGCCGTCGCGCGTGACAGCGCCAAGGAGCGAGCGAACGAGACGGCCAACGATCGGATCGAAAGTGTCACCTCGAGCGAGCTGCATGATGTCGCTAGTCTTCTGCACGAGCAAGTTGCGCAGCTCGCGCATGGTTTCCGTTGAAATAGCAATATTCTTGTTGTCAATGCGCTCAATAAGCTTGCCGAGATACACTTTGGTCGTCCAAGAGTTGCGATAGTTGAGAAGCGGGCCGCACAGAGACTTGAGCTGTTGGATATGGTCAAAGCGCACAATGTCGTCATGGAACGCCTGGAGGTGGGCAGCGTTGCCAGATATGAGAGCGACAATGTTCCTTGCGGCGTCCTTTTCCTCAGACGAGAAGGTTTCCCAGCCGGCCACCAGCGCTGCGATTGTTGCGCCGATAAATGGACCCACATCGGCAAACTTGAGCAGCTCGACAAAGATAAACCATGTGCCGAGAGTCTGGAGTCTCAAGGCGGGCACATCCAGGGTGCTTTGCAAGCTGGCAATGATTTGAGGAGAGAATGAAGCCATCGAGTCGCCGACCAGAGAAATGAGCTTGCCGATGCTGCGGATGACCTTGCGCTTGTTGGCGTCGGGTGTGCGAGGCGTCATGAGCTGCTCCGTCATCGCTGCGAGAACACCGAGCATATGAGGTTTGAGGAAGGTTCCCAGATCGCCATGGCTGTCACCCGTGTGTTCAGCCAACTGAACAGCGTGAAGGGCTTGTCTCGCCACGTCTTGAACGCTTTCATCCTCATCACCAAGCTCAATGACGATCGTGACAACTAGCGGAACAATGGAAGCACGAATGTACTTGTCGAGAGTTGCTTTCGGCGGTGCTGTTGAGCTGTTGATGAGCTCGTTGAGCAGGGATCCTACGAAATTGAGAGCGGACACTGTGGTCGCGCGCGGAGACATAAAGATCTGGGCCAGGATAGGGGCACCTTCATCAATAAGAATCAGACCAAGACGCTGGCCCAAAATGTTTGACAGTGTCTCCAGTGCCGGGCGGTTCTGGCGAACAACAAGCGTCGGAATGACGGCTTTGCGAGCAGCCTCGAGTGTGAAGAAGGCCTGTCGATTGTATCCGATAAACTGCATTGTCTCGGCCACGACTTGCGGGTTCGGGACAAGCGATTCGGCTAGGAGCACACTGATGCGTTCGACGTAGGGTGATAGCAAGTTGTAAGGCTGCTTGTTGCGGTACGCTGCAATGTCGACAAGCTGCGTATACGCCAAACTGCGAAGAGGACTGCTTTTGGAACCGAGCTGCTTGATAAGGATTTCGAGGATCTCACCCAGGTGGTTGTCGGGGGCGATTTGTCCCAGGTCGCCCAACAGCAACATGGCTGTCTCCTGGATTGGGTAGCCGAGTCGTAGAAGGGTGTTTGGAATCTTGGCTATGATCTCCCGCTGAGCGCGTTGTGTGGAAGCCGGGCTGGCTGCAACACACAGTATCCGGTAGAGAGCAGACACAAGGTGGCTGGCTAGGTCAGCGATGGAGTTTCGAATGAGGACCTACCCAGCAGCCAGCCTGGTGCGACGATCTGGTGATTTTAGAGCCCTCCATGCACGCCACAGTGGCTTGGCCCATGTTGATGAGACGGAGACCTTCTCACTTGTGTGTGCCAACAAAACACCAAGTCCGCGCATGAGTGTGAGATCATTGGACAGCGAGTCCCATCCTGCAAACCACTTTGCACCAGCGTCCTCATTCAGGGGGTGATGTGGCAGGTAGTCCTCTCCAGTACAGTGAGCCAATGCGCAAAGAAGGTTCGGCGTGGACTCGATCAGCTCGAACTTGACAGTCGGGTCGAGTCTACAGTAAGCCATCAGACAACGGGAAATGACTCACTTGGCAATAGTCTCGGGAAGCTCTTCCATGATCGTTTCTTCGTCACCCTCGAGCTCGGGTAGCTTGCTTTGAAGGAGAGCCACAACCTTCTGCGCGGCACCATTCTCCTCACGCTTGCGCTTAATGGACGTAGGGGCGGGGAGCTTGATGTACTGCTTCAGACGGTCGCGCAGGTCGTTGGCGCCAGCACCTGTCGCCTCCGCCGCCCAGGCCTTTAGTGTCTTCGCGGACACAATCGTGGAGATGGTGCTGGACGGAATGTGAGGCGCGACTGGGGAGAGGAGGTAGAGTGCCTTCTGTCGTCCGACGGGTGTCAACACATCCAAGGCCTCGGCCTGGCCCCTTATCGCCCACCACACGTCACGGCGCAGAGCATCGTCTCCGTCCTTTTCGATCGCAACAATGACACTCTTGACGGACTCTTGCCAGCGAGCATTGTCGACCTCGGGCCAAGAGACAACGGCCGTGCAGGCGCGAGAGAGCGCGTGGCGGACGGGGACGGTGGGCACGGCAGCGGCGACGACAGACGCGTACCGGGCCTGTCTTGGCACGGATAATTGTGCGACACGTTGAGCAAGGTCCGACAGGACAATGGCGGACGATGTGTGGGTATCGCTGGCAAGGGGGGCTGGCGTTTGGAGGACAATGTGCAGGGCGAACAGTTGGGGGAGGTAGTCGAGGTTGGTTGGCATGTCTGGGTAACCAAACAGAGGCTGCGACTTGGAATCGAAAGAGTCTGTTTGTCAGAGACACTTCAAACACATGGCACTCACCTCTGGCAAACTTCCTCAATTCCCGCATAATGTTGACGACCCGTTGTGGCCCGCGCAGATACGCCGTGCCGACTTCGTTGAGGTCGCGGCCCAGGACAACGAGTACACCGACGGCGCCTTCACACAGCGATTCGACGAGAGGCGCTGCGCCGGGTTGGTCCTCATACCTTGACGCGGCAATAAGCAGACGCGAGATGAGCCACGCGAACACCGTGAAAGGCTCCTCTGCCTCTGTCGAGTTTGCGTGTAGGACCTCCACATGGGTGGCGGTCTGGCGCGCAACGATGGATAGGGTGAGCTGCGCACGTTCAAGGTCGACCTGGGATGGGGGAAGTGATTTCAATGGTCGCATGATGCACGCGTTGAACAAGACCTCGAGGAGCTTGCGAGCACGCGCCAGGATCTCCTCGTCGGCTGTCGCACCAGCATCCTGGTCGATGGCGAGACCTTCGCGAAGCAGCTGGTCGAGGAGCTCGTGTTCGGCTGCACTGGCGTCATGATCTGGTGGAATCACGTCCTCTGGTATGAGAGGATGTGTCATGGCCATGTCGGTGGTGTTGTTGGTGTCATGAACGGGGGAAGGTGAGAGTGAGTGTATGGTTCTTATTGACAGCAGTACAGTCAACCAGGAAAACACTGTTGAACGCGCCGCCAGGAGCCCCGCGCGCTCGCCACTCAATCTGCTCCCGTCGACGAATGGAACCCTCACTTTGGTCCCGCGCCCCTCCAACCGCCGTCGCCGGCGCTTGTGATGGTCATGTTTCCTCGCTCAACGAGGTGCATATAGACCAACAACAGTGTATCTACAGCGTCCACTGTGTAATCCAGTCGCCCACCATGTCGAAAAAGTCATCGTAGGTCCACCCCTCCATCAGAATGGCCCCAGCTGATTCCTCAGAAAACTCGATCTCCTCGTCCGCGTCCGCTTTGAGAACCCCATTCCCGAGCCACCCTTCCCGCCCAAGCTCCTCAATGTCTCCACCAACATTGCGCGTCTCGGCGAGCCGAGCTACCTTACCCAGCTCGCTAGCAGTGCTCCTCTCCCCATGCTCCTCGACTCGGAGATGGGCATGCCCATCGACCTGAACGAGTACGACGGCGTGTGGGACGGCAACGATGCGGCCCTCAACCCCGTGGCCGACTCGGCATACATTGAGCCAGCAGACCAGGAGCTCCTCGGTCCTCTGAGGATCTTTGGTGCCGTCAATGGCGCCAATGCGGCCAACGCAAAGCCTACCGAGGTCTCGTGGATGCGCAACACGTCGTACATGCAGAAGAAGGACCAAGGTGTGCGCAGGCGGCAAGCCGCCGAGTCGCGCGCCGAGGTGGTGGATGCGTCCGAGACGGCGCAGATTATCGCCATTGAGAAGACGTTTACGGACGTGCGTGCGCAGGACGCCACGGAGATGAAGCACCCCGACGCCAAGCGCAAGCACCTCAAGGTGGTGGAGACGTACGACATTTTGCCCGACGACGACGCGTGGGCCAACTCGTACATTATGATCAAGTTCCCCGAGCGACCAAGTGCAGCGACGGCAGTGAACCCTGGTGCGACCGCATCCAAGGACCGGTTGGAGCGCGCGGTCCTCCGTCCAGTCATGGAGGACGACCAGCAGGTCATGGAGTACTTCCTCCCCAAGGAGGACGACCTGTCGCGTCTCGGAGAGCTCGAGGGCCGCCCTCTGGACGGAGAGGCTATCGAGAGGCTCCGTGTGTTCACGGAGGGAGAGCAGGGCGAGGACGAGAAGATCGATGACATCTTCCCCGTGGGTTTCCCTTCACTCGTGACATTGTCGCTTACCCATCCAGAACGTTACCTACGAGCGGATACGCACGTACGAGGTGGTCATGCAGGCGCAGCCCCGGAAGGAGTTGCTCCTCACCTTCCACGAGGAAGAGGACGAGGACGAGGACATGTTCGGCGGCGACGACGACGACGAGGCACCTGCTCGCAAGAAGCGCAAGGGCGTGTACTTCAAGGACATTACCATGCGCACCCAGCTTCGCAAGACGCGCGCAAAGGGCCGTGGCGAGGTCGAGGCCCGTGCCGACCTCTGGGACAAGGTGCGCGTGGCCTTCCGTGAGCCGTACGCAGAGGAGATGGATGAGCGTGCGGAGCGTGCGCGTGGCGTGACTGAGCCAGCATGGACCAGGGAGCAGCTTGACACGCTTCGGGGAGAGACCACGCAGGGCGCGCACGACGAGGATGACTAGATATTTGTTTTATGCAGCATTAGAAGAAGACAGTCACACGGCTAACGCTGGACTGCGGTCCAAAAAAGTTGACGTTACCATCAAAGACAAAAGATCATGTGTTGAATATTAAAAGAGACACGACTATGCTAAAGGAGCCAGACAATGTCAACAATGGAGGGGTCATCTATCCGCAAAGCGAGCTGATGCTGTTGGTGTGGCTGGTGGGGTTGGAGGGAATCCAACCGCCAGCGATACCGGCCTGGTAACTCCATTCGGCACTGCCAGTTTCGGTCTTCCAGGCCCAGAAGATCCATCCTGCACTGTTAGCTGCATGTGTTGGCCTGTCGAGCTCACCTTGGCCGTTGTTTTCGAAGACCTGGGTCTGAACATCCCAGTAGCGCCTGAGGAAGGTCTTGTACGAGCTACTGATCAGCAACGACCCTCATCCACTCAATCGAGCCATTTACGTACCTGCTGAATGTGGAGCCAGCGCCCGAGAAACCGTCACAGCTGCCGACCCTCGTGGAGCCGGGATAGGTGCCGTCGTAGCGAGCGCCAATACCACGGCCGTTGAGCCATTTAGCGCAGTCGGTGCGGGCGAGAGACCACTCGCCAACGACGAGCCAGAGAGGCGCGGCGGCGTAGCTGCTCTGCTTGTCGCATACAGCGGCGATGTGCTGTGCCTCCGTCATCTGGTTCTCTGCCTGCGAAAAGACCTGATGACCGTCAGCGATCGTGCTCCTGTGCAATATTGACTTACGCTGTAGAAATGAGTGTCAAGTGCAACGGACTCGAAGTTCGGCTCGCTCATGTAGTTGGACCAGTACGAAAGAGGCTGGAAACCGTCGTGAATGACAATGAGGAGGCCAGACTTGGAGGCGGAGCTAGGAAGCCACGGCCAGCGAGTAGCGCCGTAGCCGTCGTAGTAGAACTGATGCGTGGTCGACAGCAGCTGGTCGTTGAGGTACGTGGCGGGCTCGTTGAGGAGGCTGAGGGCGGTCACGGTGCCATAGTAGCTGGGGTCACTGTAGGTCTTTGAAAGCTGTCCCAGAACGTTCTTGGTGCGCAAAACGTTGCTGCTGTTGGTTGCCCAGAGCGCGCTTCCCAGCTTGCCCGAGTTGTCGTATCCATTCTGGGAACCGGGAGCGCCGTGCAGGTCGATGAGAACCTTGAGACCATACGTCTTGGCCCATCCAATTGCCTTGTCGAGGTAAGGAGCCTGACCTTGGATGTAGGGCTCGCCATTGGAGATGTCGTAGGCCCACTGCGCCCGTTAGCAAGCATGGCCGGTACTGTGGCGCAGATTATTATTCCACTCACGTAGCCGATCGGAATGCGGACGTGGTTGAGACCAGCGGCTGTCCGCGTTAGTAAACCGTTCAAACCTCGCTATTCATGGGTAGCGACGCGACTCACCTGCGATCTGTCTGAAGTCGTCCTCGGTGATCCAAGAGTCCCAGTGACTCTGGAGAGCCGCCTGAGCGACGCTCTTGGACTGGAGCTGGCCAAACGTCCACTCGTCAATGATCTTATCATTGTTGGTGGCCGTGAAGAGCGAAGGGGTGATCCAAGACTCAAGGACAAGCCACTGTGCATTGGGTCAGCGCGTGAACTGTAAAAGACAACCTTGGCGCCATCAAAAAGACCACATGTGTCCAAGTGGCTTCTCGTCTGTGCTCCGCAGCACGGATGATGAACTCACGCCACCGATGTTGACACCCCTGATCTTGCTCGATCCATAAGGCCAGCCGACATTGACGCCGCGGGCCTCGTTCATGCGAAGCTTGGCATCGCGGGCGTCGGCGGTGGTGAACACGGAGAGAAGGAGGGTCAACAGCCCAAGGCTGCGGACGAGCGGGACCATCATGGTTGGTTGCTGGACCTCTGGCAAGCGGCGAGCGGAGAGAGTGGCAAAGAGCACAGTCGGGATGGAAAGTCTACAGACACAGCTTCAAAGGGCGGTCAACTGCACGATGATGGCAAGAGAGTGTAGGGGTATGGGTGTGAGGTGTGAAGCCGAAGGGGGGCAAAACACTACGTCGATGATGGCTTCGTAGCAAGGCGTTGGGTGTCGTGAGGTGTAGTTACCAGTGAGCAGTGCACGAAAGAGTGTGTCTACAATGAGAGTCTGGGGGAGGAGGGACGGTATTAATGGATGATGGATGAGAAGAGAAGGGGGGAGGGGAGGAATGGAAGGAGGAGAATGAGAGACAGAACTCGCAACTTGAGAAGGCTCAAATACTCAAACCCACTTCCTCAACCTCATGCGCGGCTGTAACAGCTAGCAGTACTGCCAGCCTGGGCAGCTGCCAACAAAGGGTCTCTCGGTGTCTGGCCGACCAGGCGTACGACAGACTACACAACCTTCGTACCTTTCCGCGGCGCGTGCTGAGCATGTGCGTGTGGCCCCCATGGGCCCATGGCGCGTCTGGGGCACGGCGGATGTCTTCTGTCGCGGCGGTGCCGTGCCACTCGCTCACACGCGATCACACGCCGGCCGCGACGCGACTTTGGTCGAGGACCCCGCTGGGCCGCTATATGCCGCTGTGGCCTTGCCCCGCATATGCAGGGGGCCCTGGATGTTTTGTGGGCTGAATCTTGACTGCGGGGGGTTGTGGAGAGGGCTGCGAGGACGCCCACATGCTCAAGCAGGAGTGCACTCGCGCGCTTGTTGTGATGGGCCGGGGGTGTGAGCAATTTAATTTGGCTCTAGGCTCAGGTCCAAGTGGGGGAGAGGGGTGAAGGTGGCATTTGGGGTCGACAAGAGAAGAATGAAACACGATAGTTTGTACCTCGCCCGCATCGCAGCATGGACACATGGCTGTCGCGTACCGATTGGGACATGTGGTCGGCAACCAAACATTCCTATGCGCATGCAATGGAGACTTGTAAAGTTAAACGTCAAGGCAACGGGACGTGAGACGCGACAATGTGCTGCTTCAGAGTACGCGTCTGCGTGTCACGTCACGTCTCTCTCTCTCTCCGCCGCCGCGGGCGCAGCCGCCGCCGCCGGCACACCCACTTTTGCCGCGCCAGGTACTCGGAAGATCAGAAGTCAGTCGCGTCTGCACGTGACCGACGAACGGGGCTCTGCCAGGGCTGGCGCCTCGCGCATGGGCCAGAGCGTCGACACTCGACACTCGGCGCTCACCGGCTGTTCTCCGATGTCGTTGCGACGAGTAAGGCGACCTCATGTTGTGCATGTGAGCTTGGAATTGGGACCGATACACCCATTTCCAACAGCGCAAGCTTTTTGTTTTCCAAGGCCAGACACCCTTATCATTCCAACACGGCCTTGACACGATGCCCACATGCCCACTCGGCCGACGACGCGCGCGTCCACCAGGGAACTAGGCAAGACGTTCGCTATATCCCCTTGCCACGCAGGCGGAGGACGCCGACAAGGAAACGGGGGGCACCGACAAGGAAACGGGGGGCAACGTCATGGGATCCGGAAATCAACCTCCAACACCATCGTGCCCACTCGCCCAGACCCCCCGCCCCCAGCTCCCACACCTCCTATTTAAAGCCCACTCAATGGCACGCGATCCGCTCCCCGCCGACGTCCGTCTCCTCATACGCAACAACATGGCATCTGCGCATCCACAAGTCCCAACGATCGATGGGCTCGACAGCAAGACGCAGAACGACGTCTTTACAGCGATCGACGCTATCAACAATGACATGCGGGACCTAAGCCTCGCAATTCATGGTGCGTAATCGTGTGCACTGGGGGGATCTATCCAACTGACTTGTTTATCAGAAAACCCAGAGCTCGGTTTCAAGGAAGTGTGAGTCTAACTATGAAACCGGTGTTGTGCACTGAAAGAGCTCCCTCACTGACCCCCCTCCCCGCAGCAAAGCGCATGCCAACCTCGTCAAGGCGCTGTCCAAACTCGGGTTCACGATCACCAACCCCACCTCGCTCGAGACCGCCTTTGTTGCTACTTGGTCGAACGGATCTGGCGGCAGGACGTTTGGCTTCAACGCCGAGTACGATGCGCTCCCCGGTATCGGCCATGCCTGTGGACACAACCTCATCGCCATTGTAGCCGTCGCCTCGGCCGTGGGCTGCAAGGCGGCCATGGAGAAGCAAGGTATCTCGGGCACCATCAAGGTCATCGGCAGTCCCGCCGAGGAAGGCGGCGGCGGCAAGATCATCCTGTTCAATGAGGGTGTGTACGACGGCCTCGACGCGTGTGCCATGGCCCATCCCGGTGGTGGCATGCCCGCCGACGGGTATGACGGCCAGGCCCCCGCCGAAGGCAAGCCCGCCTCGCTCGCCCGTGCAGGCTTCATTGTCGATTTCGTCGGCAAGCCTGCCCATGCGGGCGCTGCGCCGTGGATGGGCGTCAACGCTGTCGACGCGGCTGTCCTGGGCTACAACGGCGTCTCCATGCTCCGCCAGCAGCTCGAGCCCACCGTCCGTGTCCACGGCGTCATCAGGGGTCCCAACGACTGGGTCAACAACATCATCCCAGCCTCCTCGCACGTCGAATACGACGTACGCGCACCAGACGTCAAGCAGGCCATGGCGGTCCGTAACAAGGCCATCGCCTGCTTTGAGAGCGCCGCCCACGCGACTGGCTGCTCGCACACCACCCAGTCGAAGGACAAGGACATTTACGCCGAGCTACGCAACAGTATCCGCATGGCAGGCGTCTACGCCGACATTATGGAGGAGGTCTTCGACCAGCATATCCAGCGCGATGGCATGACGACCGCGTCCACTGATTTCGGTAACATCACCATCTCAGCATGCCCAGCCGTGCACCCGATGTATCTCATCGAGACAGACGGCGTCAACCACACCCCCGAGTTCACCGCCGGTGCGGCCACCATGGATTCACACGAGCGCTCGATCAAGGTCGCCAAGGGACTTGCTCTCCTCGGCTTCAAGGTCCTCACAGACGACGTGTTTGCCAAGAAGATCAAGGACGAGTTTGAGGAGCAGAAGAAGAGGCTTGGTGCTTAAATTTAGGTGGCGGGATGACCCGTGGGCGGGGAGCGGTCGCCCTTAGTGGCCAGTGGTTGGATAAAAAGGACTCCTGTAGCGCTGGCTTGCAGGTTAAGTAGATATCGGGAAATCACATGATAGACAGCGTTGCGCCTTCGTATATGCAAAATCCGGACGTATGTATCTTGTTATTCAAAGCTCAGCATCGCGCGGCACCTAAGTACTATGAGGTTTGCTGGGAGGTGCCACTGTGATTCTTGGGAGGTATGCTCGGGGATGTGCTCTGTGGCTGCTGGTTGGTGGGTGTTGACGGCATCAAGTTAGCACCAAAGAATGCCAGGAGTCCGCCAAAACACCATCCTTGGCTATATCGTTTCCCAGGAGTCACACCCATTGGTAACCTAGACCTATGGCGGCCAAGACAACTCGTGAACGTCTAATGTGACTCTAGACGGCGCGTGAAGAAACGGCCGAAAAACCAACTACGCGGCATAAAGCTCTTAATATGCCGGACTGTGAACTCGATAGTGCGTTATCCGCCCAGCGAAATAACCAACTACGCCGCCTAAAGCTCTTGATGTGCAGCACTGTAAAGTCGATAGTGCGTTGTGGCCACCGGCGGAAACCAACCTGCAACATGCGTTTGTGCTTGAAAAACAACCGTCTCGAGGCATAAAAACGTGCATTCCATTACTCATTTCTCTCCATCGCTTTCTAATGCCTTTCATAAGGTCCATCTCGGGGTGCCTTTCCTTCATGGTGGAACGAAAGTAAGAGTTCCAAGACCGTGGGGGTCTGAATGGAAGTTCCACGACATCATATGCATCAACTTCGCCCGCATACAAATGTAATTTCTGCCCATTTTCCCCATTTTCCCCATCCATCTCCTGTGTACCTGTGTCCAGCAAAGTCCGTCCCCTCATCAAGCGCGAGGAACAAACCTGATCTGGCCAGCCTACATACATCAGCTCGATATGTGTACATTACACTCACAGTACCAGTGAAGGGCGAGTTGGGCATGCCGCCGGGGTTGGCGTGCGGGTCCGTGCCGAACAGGTTAAACGGGAACCCGGGGTCGAACGCGGCCGACTGGTCCAAGGCGGCCATCTGCGCGTTGCTGAGGGTGATCTTGAGAGCGTCAATGTTCTCCTTGAGGTGCGTGGCGTTGTGGCCGCCGATGATGGGGAAGACGTAAGAGGCCTTCTGGCGAATCCATGCGATAAGCACTGAGGAATCAGCTTGTGGCACGTATATGCGGGGGGGCTATTGGCAGCTCACCTGAACTGACGGAAACACCGCCGAGCTCTTTCGCGATCTCTGCAAGCTTTGCGACAGCGCCACTGTCGTTGGGGAGTGGTGGGACGTTCATGTTCCTCTCCTCGCCGGTGTGGGCTGCCTGGAGGCGGCCCTGGGTGAGGACGCCCCACGGAGCTGGCCGGTCAGTTTGGAGACTCTTGAGTGCGCCAACTCACCAATGCCCATCTTGTAGTGCTGGCACATGGGGATGATCTCGCGCTCCATGTCTCGTTCACCCAGGTTCCATTTACCTTGGTAGATGACAAACTGGGCCATGCCGTGCGCTGCGGCATAGTCGTTGGCGGCCGCGACAATCCATGCGGGCGTGTCGCTGATCCCGAGGTAGTGGACCGAGCCGGAACGCACCACGTCGTTGAGGGACTGCATCATCTCGGGGATCGAGGTGGTGTAGTCCCAGTAGTGGACGTAGAGAATGTCCAGGTACGAAGTCTGCAGTGCCGCGAGCGACTTTTTGAGCTGCACAAAGTCAGATTGTTGTCTGCCATTCAAGCGCGTACCGAAAGCATGAGGCTCTTCTTCTGGTTGCCCGTGTAGTTGATCCCAATACCCTGGTAGAAGCCTTCCTTGCGAATCATATAGTTGGAGGTATATTTGGTGGAAATGACCATGTCGTCGCGATTACCACGGCGCTTCATCCATTCACCGACGATGTACTCGCTCTGGCCATCCTGGTAGTTGCTGGCGACGTCGACCCAGTTACCTCCACTGTCGTAGTAGGTGTCGAGGTACTTGCACGCACCGTCGAGGTCGAGCGTCTTGCCTGCAAACAGACCCGTCCACTGGGTACCGAGGTTCATGGCGCCAAGGCACAGGGGCGACACACGGACTTGGGAGCGTTGTCAGCACTTTCTTGAGTGGCAGGTGTGGATGTTGTGTGCTCACTTCCAGCGCTCGGGGAGAGCAGACGGTACACGCCCAGCTCGGTCTTGGGCTCGGGCGGGGGTTGGATGAGTGCGAAAAACGAGGTACGTTCCTTGGGGTCTGACGGGGTGTAGTCGTGGACACTGGTCTCGTGGAAGGGAGACCCAGCGGTAGTGTTGCGCGCTTTGAAGTCGTTGGTGGGAACGTTGGCCTCGGCGGGGTGGTCGTTGATAAAGGGCGACATGGCTGTACTGTACTGTCACTGAGTTGTTGTTCAAGCTGCTTGGGATGAAGGGGGCGAGTTGGGAAGCCGTGGGAGCAAGTTGAGCGATAGACTCCCTCTGGAACCGTTTTATACCATTTCCTCGACTGTCGATCCCAAGTTTGTCGCAACGTCAATGTCAATCGTCCCAGGTCCTTCACAACCAACAACCTAGGCCTCTCTGGCATACCTCGCCGATCCCCGCCTTCAAATCTAAGCGAGGCCCAGGCAGTCCAGAAGCACTGCACGCTCGTCCATGTGATGCCATAGCGGTATGCGGGCATTGTGTCTGGTGGTGGAATGGCAAGGAGCAAGTCTGGCAAGGGTCTATATCGAGCGTCGGGAGCTCCGCGGCAGGTACTATTATCTGACCGTGTGGTTGTTCCTTGCAGCCACACCATTCTCCGTGCCGTACTCTGTTTCTACATCAGATCTCAGATCTGGCATCTCTCCGTGTATCGCGGATCACACGCGTAATTCCAATTCCCGCGTCCACCTGGATACTACTGGGTGTGGATCACCCGTCCACAAATAGAGCAGTGGAAGCAAAGCGTCGAGGAGTGGTGGCGGCGGTAAGGCAAGATGAGAGTTCTGGATCGCATCCGCAGTCGCTTCCGAACTACATCCTTCTCTGCCTTCTATCCACACGAGCTACGATATGATGACCGCCCGCCAAAGTCGGAAATCCAGAGACCACCTCTCAGACTCCGACCCACCGCTTCTCCTCCCCGTCCTCCTCCACCCACGCGCCGCCATAGTCCGCCCAGCTCTTCATGACGTACACGATCTCCTCTCGGGCCTCGCGCATAGTGTCCATCTCGTGCTCTGTGAGCTCGTGGCTGGGTACGCGGATGACCATGAAGTCGCGAGACGGGACCGCGAGGCGCACAAAATGCTGTTCTGGACCTTGCACCGCGTGGTCTTCGCAATCGCGCCCGTTCCACGCTGCACTGATCTGGTTGACGAGCGACTGCATGATGACGCGGAGATGCAGCTCGCTTGGGTGTAGTGGCTTGGCCGGGGTGTTGGCCTCGTGGTACGCTGCCGAGGTCGTTGGGTATGGGAAGGGCGACATCCGGGACAACAGGGAGGGGAACGGGTCGTTGGTTGTATACTTTGGCGATGGAAACCTGCAGCTGTCAGCAATGTCGAGCCAGGCTCACGACTGGAACGTACATTGCACTAAAGTGGTTGACCACCACACGACGCGCCCCGATAGTGTTGGCAAACTCGCCGACATCGTCCGGCGTCGAGTGGCCTCGTGACTGGGCCTTCTTGCGCACCTGGATCCGCTTGGCCTCAAACTCGTCCTCGGCGGCAACGGCAGCAGCAAGCGTGTCATGCCTGCCGTGAAAGACCCATGGTTCACGGGCGACACCACGGTCCTTTGCGGCGAGTTCAAATTCTTTATCACGCTTCTTCTCCAAGCTCTGTTCCAAGCCCGAGGCGCGCACCGCCCGCCCCTTGTCTCCCTTTTGCACGGATTCGGGAATGGCGGCGTTGGTGCACTCGTGGATGAGCAGAGAGGCATTGCTGCAAAGTGCTTGCAGCGCCTTGTTCGGCGTTCCACCTGAACAGTCGCCAAAGATGACGAGCTTTCGGCCCTGCTCGCCAGTCGGCTCTGGTGGGTGGAGTACCTCTCCAGACGGAAGAGTGAAGGGTGGTGGTCGGGGAAGGGAAGTGAGGTGAGAGAGGACAGAGAGTGGGTGCTTGATGGGTGGATCCATTGCGGCGAGGGCCTTGGAGTTGGCCTGGAGTAGTGGGATAAGACGCTGGTGGTCCAGCGGATGCGTAGGATCGGGCTCCTTGAGCACGTAACCGATTGAGGGGACTGCCTGGTCAGCAGAGCACAGCGTGGCAAGACCAACCTCGATGCACCAAAGGCCCAGCATTCACACTCCAGCCCTTGTTGCCTTTGAAAAGCGCCTCGTCGACAATAGTTTCCCAGACACCCTCGGCGTTGGCGTAGATGTCCCTGCCAACAGCTTCATTGACGTGAAGCTCCTCGGGAGAGCAACCGGCAGAAGGTTGACTGCCCTCGGGAATGAGCTCGTGGACAGCAAACGCTCCTGTGAGCGTCGCAGTCGTGATGCGGAAGATGTTACGGATGAATTCGCGAAGACCGACGGGGCCGTAAATGTTGATATCGGCCTGGTGTGAGCTCCAACAATTGCTCATTATAACCCACCTTCTTGTTCACGCCCTGCTTGCGGAGCCTCTCCAGTCCTTCAGGCGTCTGTCCCACACCACTCATGACCACGGCCAGAATGGCCACGATGCCCAGCACATGGTCGGCATGCATGTGTGTGACGAAAATGCGAGAAATGTTGACCATGCGCAACGAGGACTGGTGAAGGCGGTTGTTTGTGCCATCGGCCGCATCGAACACTGGGGAGCGTCAGCGGAATGTGCATGGCGGAGGCTGCGAGATGAGACATACACCAAATGTTGTTGCCAAAGTCGACTGCCAAAGATGAGCAGTGTCGTGAGACGATGGGACCACCACCTTAATGTGAGCTTCAGTCCGCCACCAGAAACAGCTCACCACTACATGTTCCAAGCTGCGGGCGTGGTCAGCGTTTGTCACTGTTCGACTCAAGTGGAGCTTACAAAGTGCACGGACACGGGGGTCGGTGCCTTCTTGACTTTGGGCTGGGCAGGATTTGGCGACATTCTCTCCTCGTGAGAGGGCATGAACGGCGAGTGTGTCCTCTCGACCATGGTATGGGTGAGTAACTGATGTGTTGTGTACAGATGAGAGAGCGGTTGCATGTCACCCGACCTGCCGTCTATGGTCGTCGCAGTCTCGCCGGCCGGTCCCAGTCATCGCTGCGTTGCCGATATATATGACGTGCGGGGTCTCCACAGCTGCAACAAGAGGACGTTGCACGTGACCTGGCGCGGGATAAAATGCGGAGGAAATGTCGGGCAGAAAAATAATTCTTCGACGATTTTGGGCTGGTGCGGCCGGCGGGGGTGAATCTCTGCTGGTGGGACAGAGACTGGGTGAGGATTCAAGGTCTGCTCGCCGTCTCTGACCCGTTCCATACCATCCACCAAGAGGTTCATCTCTTGACACAAAAGCTTGAGCGACTATCCGCAAGCGCTCACCTCGCCCCGCTCAGCAAACCCCCATCCCGCGTCGCCAACCATGTCGGGATCCCTCACCCACGTCCTCTACGAGGGCGCTTCGGGCTACGCCCTCTTCACTGTCTCGCTGCAGGAGGAGATCGCCGCTCGCTCCAAGCAGCTCCAGGATGCCATCAACGACTACAACACCTTCAGCCGCATGGTCCAGCTTGCCTCGTTCATGCCCTTCACGTCGGCTGCTCAGGCTCTCGAGAACGCCAACGACGTCTCGGAGGGTGTCATGAACGACCACCTCAAGAACGCTCTTACCCTCATTATCCCCTCGCAGGGCTCCAAGGGCAACAAGAAGCAGTCGGCTGTCCTCCTCGGTGTCTCTGAGCGTGGTCTTGCCGGTGCTATCCAGGGCGAGCTTGCCATCCCCTGTGACACCGGAGAGCGTGCTCTTGAGCTCATCCGTGGCATCCGTCTCCACCAGGAGAAGTTCCTCGCCAAGGAGGGTCTCCAGGCCGGCGACGTCAAGATCGCCCAGCTCGGTCTCGGTCACTCGTACTCGCGTGGCAAGGTGAAGGTGTGTATTAGAAAGGCAGTGGGGGTGGTGGATTCTCTTGGGATATCGGTGCTCACTCTGTGCTCCAGTTCAACGTCAACCGTTCGGACAACATGATCATCCAGGCTATTGCCCTTTCGGACCAGCTCGACAAGGACCTCAACACCTTCTCGATGCGCTGCCGCGAGTGGTACGGCTGGCACTTCCCCGAGCTCTACAAGCTCGTCCCCGACGCCCACCAGTACGCCCAGCTCGCCGTCCTCATTGGCGACAAGTCGACCCTCACCGACGACTCCATCGCCGACATGCAGGAGATCCTCGATGACGACGAGACCCGCGCCAAGAACGTCCTTGACGCTTCGCGCGCCTCGATGGGTTCTGACATCTCCGAGGTCGACCTCCTCAACATCTCGAACTTTGCCGAGCGTGTTGTCAAGCTCGCCGAGTACCGCAAGTCGCTCCGTCGCTACCTCGTCGAGAAGATGTCGATCGTTGCCCCCAACCTTTCGGCTCTCATTGGCGAGACCATTGCTGCCCGTCTCATCTCGCACGCTGGTTCGCTCACCAACCTTGCCAAGTACCCCGCCTCGACTGTCCAGATCCTTGGTGCCGAGAAGGCTCTCTTCCGTGCCCTCAAGACCAAGGGCAACACCCCCAAGTACGGTCTCATCTACCACTCGACCTTCATTGGCCGTGCCGGTGCCAAGCACAAGGGCCGCATCTCGCGTTTCCTCGCCAACAAGTGCTCGATCGCGTGCCGTATCGACTGCTTCTCGGACGTCCCCACCAACAAGTTTGGTGAGGCTCTCCGCGCCCAGGTTGAGGAGCGCCTGAACTTCTTCGAGACTGGTGCCCCCGTCTCCAAGAACGCCGACGCTATCCAGAAGGCCCTCACCGCCATCGCCGCCGACCTCGACGACGAGGAGGAGGACGACAACGAGGAGATTGACGACGTCGAGATCTCCGAGGCTGTCAAGCAGGTCGAGAAGGACCAGGCCGAGGCCGCCAAGAACCGTGGCCCCATGGACGCCGAGTTGGCAACCATTGTCGCCACCCAGGGTGCCACCCCTTCCAAGAAGGAGAAGAAGGACAAGTCGGACAAGAAGGAGAAGAAGGACAAGTCCGACAAGAAGGCCAAGAAGGAGAAGCGCAAGGCCGACTCCGACTCCGAGTCCGAGGACGAGGAGGAGCGCAAGCGGCGAAAGGCCGAGAAGAAGGCGAAGAAGGCCGAGAAGAAGGCTCGCAAGTCTGACGTTTAAAACAACCGTCTAGACAATTGTGTGGTTGTTTTCTCCTCTCTTTGATGGTCTTCTCACTTTCGGATGGTCGATCGATCTTGCGCCCCGTGGATGGGGGCGATGGCGCAGGGATGTGGCGCTTGTCCATGATGTACTACTGGCTTCAATTCTTTTACCCCTTCATGCATGCGCATCGGATAGAACAGAACACGGAGGTACGGAGAAGAGCAAAGCTGGGAGGTCGAGCAGACCCACTGCTGACGTCACTGGCTTTATAATTTATGGAGAGCAAAAAAAATGTGTTCAGGCGTCGTGTGGCGCGTGTGGTCCATTTGGCCATTTGCGCTGTAAGCCTATTCGCCTCTAATGAACGGGACCGGAGTCAATTGCTTGCGACGGGAGCAATCTCGGACAACTCACGTGACCATTGTCACCCACCACTGATCACTGACTGACCAAAACCGTTGATGGGGACGTCAGTGTGCCCTAGCTGTCAAAGACGGTCACAGACATCTTCCAGCACTGTCCCGACGTCTACCCCTCTACAGTCTTCTCTAGCAGTTCCAATAATGGGGCGTCGTCTCATGCCCCATACTTGGAAACCATCTCGCCCGCCCGCCAGGTATTAGTTAACGCTTACAGCAAACCCAAATGAATTTCGCCGGTATTATCCGAAATTGATTAGGGAAATCCGTAATCAGAGCCTTTGCGGACCCGCAGAGTGTGGACCACAGTTTGAGCACAACCATCATCAGCCGGGCGTGCATTGCTGAGTCAGGGGGCATAGCTACATTGGCGTGCCAAGCATCAGCTCGTATGCCTCACATACAGCTAACATACAGACCTCTATTGGTCTTGACACTAGGCCATATGACCGATGCCGTTAGGACGGTATGCCACGGACCCGCCGACGTAGCCTCCGCTCGCCTAATCCGTCCTACATCGACTGGGCGTGACCCACGCGTATTGCTGAGCAGCTGACACGAGTGGTCTGCGCTCCGGCACCCTCTTACGGTTCAGGCATCGTGCACCTGCATGTATGCGTCGGCATGGGCAAGCATAATCCGGCATTAGGGCAATGCGACGGCAGGAATGTGGCATCAACCCTACACGTGTTCTTAGCTGGAGCTTGGTTATCGCCATTGCGGTGATAGCAAGTCAACCCAAACACTTCCGTCGGAAGGTCATCTGTTGATTCCTGGGACCGTCGTCGCCATGGATATCAGGTATGGTTCGGACAAGCCACTAGTGTTTAACGGTGTTGGCTGAGCCTGAGTCAGCACCAGCAGGATGGGCTCCGACTCGGTGCCAACACTTGCAGCTGGTACCATGTGGGATCGCCGTATTCCGGAATGGCAGAACAATGGAATGGTCAGCTCTACCCATTGTCCTCATGGATATGACCAGAAGATGGAAAGATCGCATAGACCTGGGGGAGCATCCACAACGCGTCATGGCGGCCTGTCTGTGTATGGAGCTGCACGACCCGGTCGGTCGCCGAGCACCACGGTTCGGTCTGACTAACTGGGGAGTTTCACGCTGGACACAGCTCGACACCACCTTACTCCTTTTCCAGGAGTACCACCTACACAGATATATAAGCACGTCTGTACACAATGTCGTCTTGAACCATCCCATGCCCCTCACCTCCATCTCTCTCCAGCCAGCATGACTTCACTTCAACCAAACCGCCACAATGACTCCAGACCATCCCCTGTGGCTGATCCTCCTCCATCCATGGCCTCCCCAGCGGACACGTCCGTCGAGCTGCCTGCCTACAAGGAGAAGTCACTCAATCGCAGAGCCAGCGACAACTCGCCACCCCCACCTTCCTCTCACAGTACCAGCTTCGAGGCCGCCCCCACCCAGGTTGTAGAACCCGACAAACCTTTATTCTCTCGTGGTCGAAAGAACGTCCTCCTCACAGTTTTTGCCCTGTCCATGTTTATCGATATGTGAGGATGTCCCTTGATTGTCGTTCCAGTACATACATATCTGACTCGTATTTTAGTTTATTTTATTCCGCCTTTTTTGTCCTGACCGACTCGGTCGCCAAGGACCTCAAAATACTGTTTGCTCAGCAGTCATGGGTCATCACATCATACTCTGTGACGTTTTCGGCCTTTCTCCTCTTTTGGGGCCGCGTCGCAGACTTGTACTCTGCCAAACCGGTCTTCACCTATGGATTCGTCTGGTTGGGTATTCTTAGTCTCATCATTTCGTTCCTCAAGGACAAGTATTCGTTCTTCGTCCTCCGCGCACTGGCGGGTATTGCCGGGTCGTGCTTGGTGCCCTCGGCATACCGCCTCATCACGCATGTTTTTGAACCACAGGAGCTGGCGTACGCGTTTACCGTCTATGGTATTTCTGGCAGTCTTGCGAGCGTATCTGGTATGATCGTCGCAGGGTTTATTGGATATATCGTGAGCCTCTCGTCGCCGTTCCCTCGACCTAAACCTGACTCCCTAGCCTGACGATGTCGGACAGCAAAACCAGGCTTGGCGCTGGTTCTTCCGTCTCATGGCCATTTGCATTCTCCCACTCGCTGCCTTGTCACTCTTGATCGTTCCCGAGGGCAGAGGTCATGAGGCCAGCAGTGCCAAAAACAAGTGGCGCCGCCTCGACCTCGTCGGTGCCCTGCTCATGCTCTCGTTTGTCGTCCTACTCATCCTTGGCCTCACCCTCGGGGCGTCATACGGCTGGAGGAAGCCCGGGTTTCTTGTCCCGTTCCTCCTCGCCTGGGTCCTCCTACCGGCCTTCTTCGTGTGGGAGAACTCGCTCTTGGACACACACGCGCTCATTCCGTCCAAGACATGGAGGATCCCCAACTTTACGCTGTGGATCGTCTTTTCCCTCGAGATCTATGCCTGGTGGAGCTGCAACTTGCTGCCCATGACAGAAATCTACCTCACGGTTCGAGGCGAACGTCCCATCGTCGCTGCGGTCCGCATGCTGCCATAGGGTCTCAGTTCCCTCGCGCTGGCCGTTGTCCTCATCGTCTTCCCCAAACTCTCCGCCAACCCCGCTGGCCCGTCACGATCGGCATGCTCTTCGCCATGGTCGGTTACGCACTCTTTGCTCAACCACGTCACTGGTCCAACGAAGAGTACTGGAGATACATCTTCCCGGGCATGGTCGTTGGTTCGGCCGGAGACATGGCAGTCATGACGGGCGCCAACGTTGGCGTCATGATGAGCGTGCCGCCTGAAATGTCCGGCGTCGCCGGCGCCATGCTTCAAGTGGGCTTTCAGGTCGGCGTCGCTATCGGTTTGGTAAGTTGCACCATCTGTAGCAGCAGAACTGAGCAGAACTGAGCAGAACTGACATGTCTCCAGTCCATCCAAGCGGGTCTCCTCACCGTCCAACCGGGCGGACTCTCCAACACGGCCAACATCCACGCCGCGTTCTACTTTCAGATGGGCTGGGTTATCCTCTGGCTCCTCATGTTCCTCACGTTCTTCCGTATGCCCAAGCAAAGCGTCAGCTCAGAGGAGGACGGTGCTGAGCAGGGCCCACCGACCGTAGTCGCCGAGATACCCAAGTAGAGTGGAGTGGTCTGAAACGTTTCCACCCTACCATGTTCTGCTCGGACAGGGCGCGACTTGATGTATATGAAGTGATGCAGTCACACGATCGGACCGCAGCAAGCAGCGTGGTCCCCATCACATGCCCGCTCACAGCATGGACTTGTACGGCATAGCTGTGTAGCCGCCACAACCCCTCCGATACCGGCACTGATACCAGTACTCTGGCACTCCGGTTTTTGGCCTCTGGGTAGGAGTTGATGTGACCCGTTGCTGGGAAACCTGGCGCATCTGGTCGGCGCCGGTGACATCTGCGGCGTCGCAGCCACCGTAACACCGCCAAGCGCTCCCCACTCCTTGGTGGTACCGCTTGCATGCTGATACCTGGAGCCGACTGGCCTGAACAAACATTGTACCCCTGATCTTGACCTCTGACCTCATCGTTATGATCGCGAGACAGTTTGGGTTCCCACCCGACGTCCAGGGGTCTGACATGGATGTTGCTTCCTGCACTGTTCACGGTCTTGGTGCATGGTAGTTCCCGCGGGGAGCTGGAGTTGATAATAAGGCCGACTCGGCGGTGCTGTCGCCGACAGAGGCTGTAATGTAGAGCAGCCCGCAGTGTCCATGTCAATGGCCATGTCCATACACATGCAACGCGCCTGGGCGTCGGGCATCAGAGATCCGACGACTTGAGGGATATGACAGGTGGCGGCGATGAAAAAGGCATTTCCGGAACGACGCGTCGGCCGTGTGGCGTTCGTGTTCGTGATCTCATGTTGATCTGGACGCGACAATCGTGCAACACGCTCTCTAGTTTTTCATGTCCTTGAATGCAAACATTGACAGGGACCCGAAGGGAGATTAATAAAGGTCCGATAAGACAGTGTACAGTGTGCTTGTGCTCTCTTGTCCCCTCAGACACCGGTCCCATCGGCCGACACTGGTAGACTGGCACGCGCGACGCGAACACAGTCTCGATCCTCGACGCGCGCGCGCGCGCCGGGGTCACGCCATGAGTTCAGGAGCTGTGACGCGCGCCTGACTTTTACGCGACGCGCGGATGTTTATTCTAATGTTTTGCGAGGTAAACATTGCTTCATTACAAACACACGTCATTGTTTAGCCAGGGAACCAAGCGTGCAAGCTGACTGTACGCGTCGCTGGCGGCGCCAGTGTGTCGATGCGTCCCCCCGCTGTGGGCCATAAAATCACTTTGGTCGCGTTCCCTTCTCCCTTCTTCTTCCATCTCTCCATCACCACCCACCCACCACCCACCCACACCACCACCACTCGGGCCCTCTGCTCCCACTCTCCATAGAGGACATCTATTCTCCTCTCCAGCCGCGTCGTCTCCTGTACCTGGCCACCGGTCCACAGCAACGCCCTCGCCCCTCTTTCACGGCGCGCCCCTCTTAACCACACCTTCCTACTCCCCTTCCACCCCCCTCCTCACAATGTGGGTTTACAAGCGTAGCGGTACCAGGGAAAAGGTGGCCTTTGACAAGGTGAGTAGCCACATCAGCAAAACAGACGGTGGTCGCATGACTAACAATTCCATAGATCACTGCCCGTCTTGCCAAGCTCGCCTACGGTCTGGACCAGAACTATGTCGACCCCGTCCGCGTCACCCAGAAGGTCGTGGCTGGTATCCACCCCGGTGTGACCACCGTTGAGCTCGACGTGAGTACCGTCATGACTACACAAGGAGACTCTGGCCAAATGGCCCCGGCTGAGAGGTGGACACTCTACGCTGGGGGTTGAAAAAGCAGCACCGCGAACCCTGTGATGGGAGCAAACATCGCAACGCGTCGTTGCACCCTCATGAGGTTGGCGAGACTATCCGACCAGACGTCCTTACATCCATTCCACCTGCAATGAACTTTGCCACTGACACTCCCAGACTCTCGCCGCGGAGACTGCTGCTTTCCTCTCATCCCTCCACCCCGACTACTCCATCCTCGCTGCCCGCATGTGAGTATTACGTCAGCTGCATATCGCACATTTGAGCTGACCCAACCAGTGTTGTTTCCAACCTCCACAAGGAGACCAAGAAGGCGTTCTCGGTGGTTGTTGAGGACCTCTACAAGTGGTGCAACCCCAAGACTGGCAAGCACAGCCCCATGATCAGCGAGGAGGTTTACGAGGTCGTCCAGAAGCACAAGGATGTTCTCGACTCGGCCATTATCTACGACCGTGACTTTTCGTACAACTACTTTGGCTTCAAGACCCTCGAGCGCTCGTACCTCCTCCGCATCGACGGCAAGGTCGCCGAGCGTCCCCAGCACATGATTATGCGTGTCGCCATCGGTATCCACGGTGACAACATTGACAAGGTCCTCGAGACCTACAACCTCATGTCGGAGCGTTACTTTACGCACGCCTCGCCCACCCTCTTCAACGCCGGTACCCCTCACCCCCAGATGTCGTCGTGCTTCCTTGTCGCCATGAAGGACGACTCCATTGACGGTATCTACGACACCCTCAAGACCTGCGCCCAGATCTCCAAGACTGCTGGCGGTATCGGTCTCCACATCCACAACATTCGCGCCAAGGGCTCGTACATTGCCGGTACCAACGGTTACTCCAACGGTATCGTCCCCATGCTCCGCGCCTACGATGCCACCGCTCGCTACGTCGACCAGGGTGGTAACAAGCGCCCCGGTGCCTTTGCCATCTACCTCGAGCCCTGGCACGCGGACGTCTTTGACTTCCTTGACCTGCGCAAGAACCACGGCAAGGAGGAGGTTCGTGCCCGTGACCTGTTCTACGCCCTCTGGATCCCCGACCTCTTCATGAAGCGTGTCGAGGCCGACGGTGACTGGACCCTCATGTGCCCCGCCGAGTGCCCCGGCCTCGCCGACGTCCACTCGGAGGAGTTTGAGACCCTCTACGAGAGCTACGAGCGTGCTGGCAAGGGTCGCAAGACAATCAAGGCCCAGAAGCTCTGGTTCGCCATCCTCGAGGCCCAGACCGAGACTGGTGGCCCCTTCATGCTCTACAAGGACGCCGCCAACTCCAAGTCGAACCAGCAGCACCTCGGTACCATCAAGTCGTCCAACCTCTGCACTGAGATTATCGAGTACTCGTCGCCCGACGAGGTTGCCGTCTGCAACCTTGCCTCGATTGCCCTCCCTGCCTTTGTCGACATTGAGAACCAGTCGTACGACTTTAAGAAGCTCCACGACATTTGCAAGGTCGTCACCAAGAACCTCGACCAGGTCATTACCAAGAACTACTACCCCGTCCAGGAGGCTCGCAACTCGAACATGCGCCACCGCCCCGTCGGTCTTGGTGTCCAGGGTCTCGCCGACGCCTTCATGGCTCTCCGCCTGCCCTTCGACTCGCCCGCTGCTCGTGAGCTCAACCTCAAGATCTTCGAGACCATCTACCACGCTGCTCTCGAGGCTTCGTGTGAGATGGCCCAGGAGAAGGGCAAGTACCCCTCGTACGAGGGCTCGCCCATCTCGCAGGGCAAGCTCCAGCCCGACATGTGGAACCGTGTCCCCACCGACCTCTGGGACTGGACCGAGCTCCGTGCCAACATTGCCCAGCACGGTGTCCGCAACTCGCTGCTCGTCGCGCCCATGCCCACTGCCTCGACCTCGCAGATTCTTGGCTGGAACGAGTGCTTTGAGCCCTACACCTCGATGCTTTACGCCCGTCGTGTGCTCTCGGGTGACTTCCAGGTCGTCTGCCCCTGGCTCCTCCGTGACCTCATCAACCTCGGCATCTGGGACGAGGAGATGAAGAACCTCATCATTGCCTCGGGTGGTTCCATCCAGCACATTCCCAACATTCCCGACGAGCTCAAGGCCATCTACAAGACTGTCTGGGAGGTTTCGCAGAAGGCTGTCATTGACCTCGCCGCCGACCGTGGCGCGTTCATCGACCAGTCGCAGTCGCTCAACATCCACCTGTCCAACCCCTCGTTCTCGCAGCTCACCTCGATGCACTTCTACGGCTGGAAGCGCGGTCTCAAGACTGGTGCCTACTACCTCCGCACCCGTCCTGCTGCCAACGCCATCCAGTTCACCATCGACGCCTCGACGCTCAAGAAGGCCAAGAGCCTCCAGGAGGCTGGTATCGCTCCTACCAAGACGGCTGCTCTGTCAGCCGCCACTGCCGCCAGCCTCGTCGAGCCCCTGCGCAAGGTCTCGATCTCGACCACTGCTGCCACCACCGCTGTCCCTCCCGAGGTCACTGCCGCCTCGCAGGCCCGCCGCAGCGAGTCGCCTGCTCCCCCATCTGAGAACGAGGAGATCACCTACGAGGAGGCCAAGCGTCGCGCAGATGAGCTGGCTGCCGCTGCCCTGCAGTGCAGCATTGACAACAAGGATGCCTGCCTCATGTGTTCGGGATAGGCAGTAGTGTTAACAGTAGTGACACAACGTGTTGTACATATGGACTGTTTCGCCTCGTAGTTCTTCTTCCTTACATGCATTGATTATTAGAACTTGGTACTTGGATGGGTGGATCGGCCCCGATGAGAGTGACTAGGGTTGGGACAATCGAGCGAGAACCGAGCCTGGTCAACCACCCTAAAACACGCGTAGATATTGCGTTGCGAAAGGTGGTGAGCGGCAGTGCCCCTGTCAACAACGGCGTCGACACAGAATGCACAGAACAGGCAGTACAGTATAATAACGACGACGCGGGTTTGGCTCCCCTTGGAGCATGGGATGGTTGCCGCCGTTTGATAGCACCGAGCGTCTTTTCAATCACCGAACCTGATAAGCAACACACACAATTATTAGGTTACGTAAGATAATGCCTGCACTTTGCTTGTGCAACGCTAGATCAAAACAAGCATGGACCGCTCCGGTTCACTCCTCAGCAACCATTCATCAACAATGACAAGACCGGTGGGCGATAGGCAGGTCGTGGCCGACCTTCTAAAACACATCACTCTACTGCCCACCCTCGACCTTCTTGCCCCACAGACTTCCGCTCGAGACGCTCCTCGCTACTCATCCTCCTCTTACCTCCCTTCCTCGGACCAACTGGACATGATCAAGTCGATCCCGTATGCCCTCGACTTCAAGGCGGACAATTTTAAAGCTCACTTGAACGCTGTTCTGGACAGATCTCTCTCCTCCATTGCCGCAGTCGCGGACGCCGCCATCCCGGTCCTCGACGCATCGCGTACCGAGGCAGCAATCTATGCCACGAGACCCAAGTCAGGAGAGTTGGGAGTCACCGACTTCTTCTGTCGATTCGTTCTTGGACCCATCAACCACATCCTGTTCCTCATGCTCAAGGGCACTGGCCAAGACCTTTACTGGGATATTGTTGGAAATGGTCCAACGGGCAAGCCAGATGTACAACTGCTGTGGCGTGCTTCTCGTTCTGCCCGGCCGACTCCGGTGGTCGTAGTGGAGTTCAAGACCAAACATGCCTTTCCGAATGCGGCGATGGACGATCTCCTAGATGCTGTTGCCGACCGTAGCCTCGTCATTTTAACAGACGGCAGCACAGCACTTCGGTTGGATCTACAGACGGCCAGAGACCGCAGGCCCAAGTATTGCCGCGTCGTCGATCAAGTAAGATTGTGGTTATTCCCACCTGAAGAACCGTTCTGATGGCAGATGCGCGTACAACAGTTTGCACGAGACGCGGACTGCGTCTTTCTTACAAACTACGATCGCATACTGCCATGTTCTCTGAATCGTGGCACTCGCACGCTTGAGTTGCAGCATGTCATTAACATCAGCGCGCCGGTGTTGACGACGCACCTTGCTTCATCTCCAGCGGGCATGTTGCTCGGTGTAAGCCTTGCGGCGATTTTGGATCGTAGTCCGTCTCTTCGCAGCGTCCTCCAGCCAGCAGCTCCAGGCCCAAGCAACACATCTGTGGTCACCCCACACCCGTCCTCAGATTCTGGACCATCCTCTTCCATGCCCCCACCAGCACTTCCCACACGCACTTCAAAGCGCCCCAGAACACAGGGTTCAGTGGCAACGTCGACCACCACCTCGGCAGCTACCTATCTTACAAAGGCCCCAACACCTCCAATGGCGGAGCTAACCGTTCTCAAGCAAGACCACACCAAACCTCAGCCTCTGTCACCGACTCCGCCACGCGAGTCATTGCAGCTGCTAGGCACTCTCCGCATGTGTGGAATGCCAGATCAAGATGAATATACACTACACATGTCAGTGTACAAGACATTCGTCCAACATGATGAACACGACTGCCCCAACAACGCCGTTGTCATTGACCGAGATTTGTTAGGTCAAGGCACTTTGTGGAGGGTGTATACTGCAACTATACACGCCGCGGGGTCACCGCCGCGCCGTTGTATGGCCAAGCTCCTGCACACCCACGACGTCAATGGCTATCCGGAAACCGACCGCCGTTCGAGCACGTACCCTACGGCCAAGGAAGCGCTCACAGCTGCTGCACGCGAGGTCGGAGTCCTCCAGCGCGTCGCGGCCACTGTGCCAGCAGTGGCGCCACGCGTTTTCGGACACGGCCAGCTGTCCAATGCCTACTGCGTGATCATGGACGACGCTGGGGACCAACTGCCGCTAAGCTATGCGACTGACCTGGACTATCAGTGCGTGACGGTCCAAGTCGAACGACCATGGAAGATGTCTGTATTCTGTTTGTTTGCTGACAAACACGCCCGCAGGGACCGTATCCGCAACATGTATGGCAGCCTCCACGCCGTTGGTGTTGTCCATGGCGACGTTGAGTGGAGGCACATTCTACGCAAGGACGACAGACTGTTCATCATCGACTATGACAGAGCGCTGGTTCAAGAGGAATCCGAGGAGGATGGGGTGTGGGACCGGTGGAAAGCTCGCGAGCTGGCCGATGTCCAGACCATGTTCAGATACATGTCGGAGCTGGCTGCTGATGGGTACGACCAATTGCTGTAGATGGTGGCAGCTGTTGTACACAATATAGCCTTTATGTTCGTAAAACGTTGTGATGTGATGATACAGAGCTCCTCTCGCAGTTGCCTGTTTGGGCTTGGGCAATCACTGGGCAAAAATGACAGTGTCACCTGGGGGATCCCTTTTGCAGGGCATTTGTTTGGGCCCCGCCTTTGCAGCCAGGGCGAAACGCGTCCAGCGTCAACACAAACGATCCCTCAACAACTCCATTCCTCCACCTTATTCCAACACCCAGCCCCCATGCTCCAGGCGACGGTCCTGGGCTCTGGCCTCTCCCCAGGCCATGTCCTGCATGCGCGTGCAAGCACGCGCGCGCGGGACGACCCGTTCCCTACCTTACATTCTGCGCCCGTCCACCTCCTCGCCCAGCCGCGATACCTCCTCCCTTCATCGGCTGCAGGACCCTCCAGCTCAAACACCAGCTCGTCTTCCTCCTCCCGCGTACCACTCAGCACCTCCAAGCTGCACTCTTCCGCCCTCGATGGTGACGAGGCGCTGACATGGTGCGCCAGCGAGGTGACTTGGTCGCGCGGCGCCGAGGTGGTCCGCCGGTTCACCTACGAGCATGAGCGGACTGGGGTCGACTGTGCGGCCTTTGCGTGGTTTGACGACGTCGAGTTGACGGGAAAGACTGGCGGCCGGCCATCGTCGCCCGTGTCACCTGCGGGATCGAGCTCGAGCGGATCAACACCAGCTCTGAACGGACCACCACAACTACCATCAGCGTCCTCTTCGGATCCCACATTCGGCCCGTTCCACACATCCCAGAACGCGTCGTGGTCGCCACAGCCCTGCCCCCGCGAGAGGCAGCATGGGATGTCTCGTGCCATTGTCGTCTTCCTCCGTGGCAGTGCGCGCATCTACTTTGCTACTGGCGAAGAGTTTGTCGTTCACCTCCCCTTTGTGGTGGATGGCTGCTGGGCCTTGCCAACTGGCGGCCTGCTCATCCAGCGCGCTCTCGAGGCGAGGGAGAAGCTCTCGTCAAGAAGAAACCGCCAGTCGTCCATGTTTGACCGTACGGCCATGAGCGTCCTCGACGACTTGGACGAGGAGCCCGACATGCCCCTTCCCCGCCTGTACACTATTACGGACCGGTACGGCGACCTCAACGCCGTGGTCCAGGCGCCAGTTCGACACTTGGGCGATGTTCCGCGTCTGGCTCCCAACGCGCCCACAAGCTCCATTCCGCCTTCCCAGACCGTTCTGTACGTTGCGCCAGACCCGTACCCCTTCGTCGTCGTGTACGACCGTCAGGACGGCCAGATCATCTTTTACCGTCGCAACATTGTCCCCCTCGAGTCTGAGGATACCCCGGCTCCCCCACCACCCGTGACCTCTCTTCGCCCCGACGAGCTCCTTCGGCAAGCGGACGTCTCACTCGCGGCGTCTACGCGGCGCAGCGGGCGCGCATCCCTCAACCGCACCACGGCCGCTGAACGCCGTATCTCGATTGTCGGACCGGACCCGCTCGACCGTACACGTCGACGGACATCACGCCTCTCCGCCGCCAACGATGAAGAGTTTGGCTTGCCAGCATTTGTGCTTCCCAACACTACTGTCGAGGGCGCACGACTGTCCCGTGGCAGTGGAGGACCCGAGGGTGGTGCCAAGGGCCGCCGCGTCAGCGGGACCAGCATGCGTGAGGACCCCTTCGAATTTGGCAAGACGGCTCTCGCTGTCGTAGCGGAGGACCTGCGTGAGACAACCATGATGATGGGTCTTGATCGCGAAGAGGTTCGGCGTTCAGAGATTGTCTTGGAAAGGATTTGGACATGGCGTCCGCCAGGGTGAGCTGGTGATCTCGCAGGTGTATGCAAGGCTGACATTTACCCAGTCCCATCGACCCTTCCTCCGCCCACATCTTTCTGTCCGAGAACCGCTCACCTGAGTTCATCCTCCTCAACCTCGTCCTCAACGTTGACGGGTACTCGACCACCCTGTACACTTTCCACGTGGCAAAGTCCAACTGGCGCTACGTCTTCCACGAGCTCCGCGAGGTGCCATGTCTCGCCGCACAGCCTATCATTGCCACTCGCTCGGACGTGCTCGACACGCTCGTCCTCACTGTTGAGGGTGCACGCCTCCTCTCTGCTTCGGGACACGAGACTCCAATCGACATTCCACGCGTGCCAACTATTGACGGAAGGGACGAAGTGGCGCGTCAGCTCGCGTCGAGTCTCAGCATGGTGCTTGACGGCGACGGCGCGACGTTGTCACGCAGGAGTGTAGTCGACCTTGTTGACCCCTCTGGATCCCGCGTGACCGTGGTATACAACGACGGAGAGCGCGTCCGTGTCTCATTTGATTTTACGCTACAGCCTGGTCTCCCGCGTCGTGCGCTGGAGGCGCTCTCGTATGCTCTCTCGCCTGAAGAGTACGCCGAGCTCTCAGAGACATACCTCCAAGAGCTGCAAGCACGTCCTGCCCCCGAGCGCCTGGATCTGGGATGCCAGTGGGAGACGTTTGCCGAGGTCTTGTGCACCAAATGTGGACTGGCACCTGCCACCCCAACCGATAGCCGTAGCAAGATGCTTTCCGCCTGGACAACCCAATCTGACCCCATTCTTCGCCTCCTCGCCCAGCGAGTCCAGGCTTCCAGCTCTCGCGCGCCTGAGCCATCTTCTGTCATCACCCCTGCGACTTGCACACCGAGTGCTCTCCTTGCCCTTCATTTCGTAGCACAAGATTGTCGACTGTCGTGCACATCGGAGCCAGAGCTCAGCCTCATCGCCCCCGTCATCGCCCGTCTGGCGGCTGCCGTTGGCCGCATGGACTGGGTCGACTATTGGCGTCGCCTGATGCCCTCGGCTCTTGCGGGGGTGGTGCTCACACAACCTGCAGTAACTGTTGACACGTCGGTCCTCGACGCATACAACGAGCCCGCCGATGTGCTCTTGTATCTCGGCCGTCGACTGGTGTGGCCCACCAAGCCATTTCCTTGTCCCCAAACGGCATTTGGTCAGCCCTCGCCCCTTGGCTCACCGTCGCCGTGCAGCCAGACAGAGCTGCTCTCGGCAATCTACGCGCGCATGACCCCACCAACCGACAAGCGTTCACCTAGTAGCACCGAGAAGCGTGCGCTCGCGGTGGTGTCGTTCATTGTCGACAGCGGACTAGACGCCAGCTGGCTTGCGGACCTTCCACCGTCTGTCGGCGTGCCCATTCTCGAAATGATCCGCGTGTGCCAGCTCAAACCGCCCAAGGACGGTTCCGAGGCCATTTTCACATTTATTGGCCGCGAGGACCTGGCCGCAATGTACACGGAACGGGTCACGGTCGACTTGCCAATGGGCGCCGAGGATGGTCCTGACGATCCACCGACAGTAGCCCAGCTCATGAACGCCGACGCGTCCAACAAGCACTCCCACTTTGCCGCCCTGCCTCATGTGCGGTTTGGTCTCGACAAGCGACTGGACGAGGTGGACCGCATCATGCAGACTACGCGACAGAGGACGATCACTGTCGACGCACCCAAGGGTTCAAGCGAGGGAGACGTACAAAACTACCATCAGAGTGTCGTCAACACGATTGCCCACCGCACATTGGCGGTTACTGTCGGCCAGGGCATGTTCATGTATGGCTCGCGTACAGCCCCCATCACCGACGCCTGGCAGATTCCTCTCATCGAGCTTGCTGTCAAGGTCATTCCCGGTAACAATGTGCTCAAGGCCCAGCTGCCCGACGGTGCCGAGTGGCCGTGCTTCCACAACGGCGTCAGTGCCGCCCTCTCCATCTCGCCAGAGTGCACTGGCATCACCGCCAGCTGGATCTCCTTCAACCGCCCCAACCCGCTCAGCGCCGAGCACGGCGGTTTCCTCCTCGGTTTGGGTCTAATGGGTCACCTACGTCTCATCAACTCGACCCAGGCGTTCAGCTACCTCGAGCCCCGGCACGACATTACCTCTGTCGGTCTCTTGCTCGGTATTGGTTCAAGCTTTGCTGGCTCGCGCGATCAGATGGTCACCAAGCTCCTGAGTCTGCACACGCACGCTCTCTTGCCTATGGGCGCCATGGAGCTCAGCCAATCAGCCATTGTTCAATCGGCAGCGCTGGTGGCCCTTGGCCTCGTTTATGTCGGCTCCAAGAACCTTCGCATGGCCGAGATGGCGCTGGGTGAGATTTCTCGCAGCGACATGCACGGTGTGGAAGGGTTTTACGACCATCGCGAGGCATACAGCTTTTCGTCTGCCATGGCGTTTGGTCTCATCATGCTCGGCCGCGGAGGGCAGGAGACGAGCGAGGTGGAGCGCAAGATGCTCGCGCAGCTCAACCTCCTCATCCACGGTGACGCGCCAGATGTCCTTGGCATGCCCGGCAAACGCAGGACGAGCAATATCGACCCGACCATTACGTCGCCTGGTGCCACGCTGGCCCTCGGACTCATGTATCTCAAGAGTGGACGCAAGGATATTGCCGATATGCTCGAGATCCCGCAGACTGAACTGGAACTGGAAAGCGTCCGCCCCGACCAGCTGCTCGTCCGTACGTTTGCGCGCGCGCTCATCATGTGGAACGACGTCAAGGGTACCACTGAGTGGGTCGACGCCCAGCTCCCGCCGTTTATCCGGGAACTGCACAACGACCACAAGCGGAATGGCATGGAGCTCAACACCGAGCTTGCCTACCTGAACATTATCGCTGGTGCATGTCTGGGTCTCGGAATCCGGTACGCCAGTGCGGCCAACGAGGCCGTCCACCATGTCATCATCAAATTCTTCAGCGTGGTGGGCAAGGCGGTTGGCGGCCAGAGCATGACCTACGAAGCCAAGATTCGCCGCAATGCAGCGCGGCAGGCGCTCAACGTCGTGACCATTGCCGCTGCTGTTCAGATGAGTGGCACGGGTGAGCTCAACGTGACGAGGCGACTGCGCGTGAGTCACGGTCAAGAAGGTGCGTCGGTCAACTATGGCTCGCATATGGCCATGCACATGGCTCTGGGTCTCCTCTTCCTCGGCCGCGGATACTTTACACTTGGCAACTCCAACCTCGCGATTGCGGCCATGAGTATCGCCTTTTTCCCGCGCTTCCTCTCGTCACCAGGCGACAACAGGGCCTACCCCCAGGCCTTTAGACACTTGTGGGCTCTGGCCGTCGAACCCCGCTGCCTGATTGCGCGCGACGTGGACACTCGCAAGTCCATCTTCCTCCCCATCAAGGTCAAGGTGCGCGGCAAGCCGGGAGACAACAGCTTGATATCGCCGACGCTTGTTGCGCCCTTTGAGAGCGTCGAGTGCATCACCGTCGACTCGCCGCGCTACTGGCCCGTCGTGTACAACCTCAACAACCCGCGCGACCGCAACAGTCTGGTCCGCACGCGTACTATCTGGGTTAAGCGCAAGACGGGTTTCCTGGACTATTCAGCCGACCCGCGAGGCTACCGCTCCATGTTCGTGCGTGCTGGGACCATGAGTGGGTTCGATATGCACTACGACCTCATCTCGCCCGCCGCCCCCCTGGCTTTACCGCCCGCCGAGGGCATTGATCTCATCTCGAGTCACACGGACGACCCCGTCTTTGTGGCTCTCGCCGAGCGTTTCTCGGGCGATACGTGGTTTGAGAGTTTTGTCCGCTGTGTGCTCTTTGAGTGTCTCTCCCTCGACAAGCCCAACATGCTCAGCATGTACCTCGGCCTCGGGTTGGGCCTGCAAGCGCGCGACGACCTCAGTCTCGAGCGCGTTGCCCAGGCCGCCTTCCTCAACAAGTTCTACCGGCCGGGCGTCTACGACAAGCTCTACGTCTCGAGCACGACGAGTTCAGACAAGCGCCACCCGATCGTGCGCCAGACGTTCATCCAGGCCATCACTCGTCGACTCGCTGCGCTCGGCACTGGTGCTGGTTCTGGTTCAGGCTCCGGGTTCCTCGGGATGGGCTCGACCGACGCCCCGCCCTCGCGCGCAGAGTACTTTGCCGGCCTCCCGCTTGCTCTCCACCCAACTGAGGCGGCGGCGCTCGCGGCCTACCTGGCGCGCAACAATGTCCCACCTCTGCGTCTCCTCGAGGCGCTCCGTGACCGTGTCAGCCTCGTCGCGGATGACCCCGTGCAGATGGGTCTGCTCGAGGTCAAGGCCCGTGCGGCAGCTGAGCGTTATTGGTCGGCCGTGATGGACCAGTATGACGAAGTGGAGGAGGGGCCGACGGAAAGTGGGCTGTGGAAGTTGGATAGTCTGCACGAGGCGTTGGAGGTGTGGACTAGTGGTGGTGTTGCCTAGTCAGCTGTAGCATGGTCGTAGACCCCTTGGATATATCATTTAGTGAGATCAAGCAGTGCTTCAGTGGGCCACGCGGCACACAGCGTCAAAGGCGAAAGCAGATACAGTGCATACAAACATTACACAAACCAGGACTCGTAGCGTCGTATCCTCGTGTACGCCGCTGGGAAACTAGAACGCCAGCGTGTCTTCGCGCTCAGCCTCGCCGTCGCTGACGCGCAGCACCTTGGCCCACTCGATGTAGTTGAAGCGGCCTTGGCGGTCCGTGAACGGGCCCTTGAACAGACGGTCAATCTGGAACCCCGCAGTTAGCATCGTCACAGCGGCCCGTCTTTTCGCCGTTTCTCTTTCCACCCACCTCGTCCTCGTCCATGCGGTCACCCATTTCGGCGAGGTACTTCCTGACCTCCTTGACGTCGACCCATCCCTTGTCTCCGTCGTCAAAGCAGGCAAAGGCCTCGAGGAGGTCGTGTTCCGGGTCGAGGTGCAGAAGACGCTCGCCCATCATGGCGAGGAACTGGGTGAAGTTGATGCCGCCGTCCGCGGGGCCGGTGGTGCGGCCGGGGCGCGAGGTGAGGAGCTGGTCGAGGAGGGGGGCCGTCGGGGTCTGGCCTGGACGGTGTCAGCCTGGTTACCATGATGCATTGGACCGAGAACCAGCCTCGCCCAGCTGCTTGCAAAGTTGGAGTCGCTTGCAGCCGGGCAAGTACCCTCCCCAAATGTGCTCACCAAGGTTGGACAGCATGGCACGCAGGTCCGGCTCTGTGACCTGTCCGTCGCCGTCCTGGTCAATCATGTTGAACGCCTCCTTGAACTGCTTGACTTGCTGCGGAGTGAACATGGTGTACGCGCCGCCCGAGACTTCGCGGAACGCAGGGCGGGACACGGTCGACGGGAGACCGCGGCCAAGGGGGTTTGGCTTGGACTGTGGGAGAGCATGTTAGCTGGTGTGAGAGGAGGTGGAGAGAGGAAAGGTGTGGTGGCAAGTGCAGCTGTGCCCATTCAACGTGGCGACCAGCTGTTGCTACGGTGCACAGTGTATTGTATTGGAGAGTCTCAAACATCTTGTCGTAACTCATGCGCACGAGCGCATAGATGCTGCACTCACCATTGCTTGAGAATGACGTTGAGGATGTTGTGGATGTTGATCTTGGGTCTGTCAACAACAAGACGCCTTGGAAGAGCAGTCGCGGTGTTTTGATCCCGCCAATTTGATCCCGCTACCGTCGTCCGCTGGTAGAGTGGTGGTACCAGTGGAGTGTAGGTTGTGATCGTTGCTGGACATGATGAGCAGGCATGCATGCATCGCCGACACCCATGCTGACTACTCGCCATCTTCGGCGAGTCCCAACAAACAATTTATTAAACAATCCACCAAAACTACTGTCTACAACTTGCCATTCAACCTGCCCTTGAGCACCAACGCGCCGCCACTGTCCTCGTCGTACTCGCGGCCCTTGGCCCACCCCAGCCACGCCTCGAGCACCCCCTCACCACCAGCACCAGGACTGAGCGGAAATCCCGTGTACCCATCACCCTGTACACCGTCGCCCTGGCCAACAGCGGGGCCAACACTCTGGTTGGCACCTCGCTTGAGCGCAAACATGGGCGTGTCGGCGAGAGTGATGGCCGGGCGCTGGTCGCCCTCACGCTGCTTGTCCGCCTCGAGCTCGGGATACGTGAGAATGGGCGTGACACACGCGTCTGTGCCGTCAAACACCTTCTCCCACTCGGCACGCGTCTTGGAACCAAACTTGTCGGTAAAGATCCTGCGCAGTTCAGGCCAGTTGGCTGGGTCGAGGCGGCGTGTGGCCCATGTCCCGGGATCCACACCGAGACCGCGGAGCATGGCAGCAAAGAACTGCGGTTCGAGGCATCCAACAGCAACATGCTTGCCATCGGATGTCGCGTACGTGTCATAGTAAGGACAGCCGCCGTCGAGGATGTTGGTGCCACGCGGCTGGGAGCCGAGCGGAGTCTTGATCGCTTGGCGCGGAAAGGTGGCGAGGTAGTTTACTCCGTCGACCATGTTGGCCTCGACGACTTGGCCCCTGCCACTTACACTCCTGTCAAGGAGTGCAAGGAGAATTCCCTGCACGAGCATTGCGCCGCCGCCTGCAAAGTCGGCCAAGAGGTTGATGGGCGGGTGTGGCTTGTCGCCTGCTCTGCCCAGCATGGAGAGCACGCCCGACACGGCTAGGTAGTTGATGTCGTGGCCGGCCATGTCGGCGTACTTGCCATCGCGTCGGAATCCCGTCATGCGAGCGTACACGAGTCGTGGGTTGAGCTTGCACAGCTCCTGTGGTCCGAGGCCGAGCTTCTCGAGCACACCGGGGCGGAAGGGGTCGATGAGCACGTCGGCCTGTGCACCGAGTTTCTTGACCAAGGCGACACCGCCGGCCGACTTGAGGTCCACAACGATCGAGGCCTTGTGCCGGGTCAACATGTCGCTGGTGGGCACTGCCTTGGCCCCAGCAACAGCGCGGTCGATGCGAAGGACAGATGCGCCCGAGTCGGCCAACACCATGCCTGCATATGGGCCTGAGTGTGTTAGCTGGAAAGTGCGTAGCCCGTCAACATACCTGGTGCAAGGCCGGCAAACTCGAGTACCTTGAGGCCAGTGAGTGGTGGTGGTCGATACGCCATGGTGGTGGGCAGTGGGAAGATGTTACATCGTTGGCATCGTTGTTGAGAGCGTTTGACCGTCGACGGAATACGGACATGAGCGATGCCGAGTAACCGGAAGACAGTCTGTCGGCTCACATCTCGGGCGATCAATTAACCGACGTGCCGACCGTGTTCATAATCACGGCTCCTCATCGTTGCCAGCTTCCTAGCCATGCTTACATGCCACCGGGGACGAGCCATTGCAGTACGTATACGCAGGATTCACCGGTTGTTCCAAGCCAGTTGCAGCTTCTGGCTTGTGCTGCTGTATGGCCATGCGGTGGTAGCCACTGCTCGACCAATGTTGCGGCGCTCTTCCGCCACAAATGGCCTGGTTGACGCTGCCACTGCATCGTCCCCGACACACTCGTATGCACCCATCCATGCCATGCCAGCATCCCCATTCACAACCTGCCTGTCCTCATTATCTCCTGCTTGAGGCGACGACGTTGCCATGGCCGAAAAGCTTGGCGCCATCCCCCGCCTCTTCCAACCTCCCACGCCGCCACCCGCCGCTGACGTTTGCACGTGACTGTGATTTGCTGCAATCGAATGACGGAAGTGGCCGCCGCATGCCTCTTTGTTCGCCATCGCTCTCTGTCTCTCCGTCGCTCCCATCGCCACCCGCAACCACCACCGCTCACCCCTCCCCATCCAGGCCAATGCCGTTCGCGACGTCCACTCGGTCGCTCGGCGCCAGGGCGGTGCCCCTCGCCACGGCCGCGGCACTCTCATTCACCATCTACGCCACCCACTCGTTCTCCCACCCGGCTCGCAATGACGACACTCCCGTCGAGACGACAGTTCTGCACGCCAACGCAAAGGCAGGCAGTGTGCCCACGGTCAAGGGCAAGATCCTGCTGTCTGGTGCGTCCGCCCCGCTCACTCCTCTCGGGTGGGGGTCTAACACGTACCTCACCGTTCTCCCGGATGTGGCCCGCAAGACGATCAAGCGTCCCACGGCCATGAGCCAGCTTGGCGCGACGCCGTACCGGGACCTGGCGATTCACGAGAAGTATGGTGCAGTCATTGACGCGCGTGGTGATCTCTGGATGTGGGGTGCTGGCTACGACCCCGAGGGCGAGGTCGGTCGCTCCCTCCGCGGCAAGGTGAGCTTGAGACGGTAGAGTGCCAAGCTAACCTTGACAGAGACTCCGCAAGCTCGCCCCAGGCCCGGGCAAGCTGTTCTCCCTCAGCAAGGACGGACGGCTGTACGTCGTCTCTGCCGATCGCGCGTTCCAGGATGCCCACAAGAAGTCCCGCAGCTGGTGGAAGAAGCTCGTCACCCGCGACCCCATTGTCGACTTTGTTGAGCTGCACGCCAAGGCGCTGAACTGGGGCGAGCACTTTGCCGGCGTGGCCGTGGGCCAGCACCACCTCTTGGCCGTGACCAACCACGGACGTACCTTCTCCCTGCCGCTGTCGCCGGCGGCCAACACCCACCGCCAGCTGGGCACGAAGCAGACGTTCCCCGTGGCGGACACGCCCAAGGAGGCCCTCGCCCAGTCGCCCGACCTCCCGCCCGCGAGCGACCCGCGCTTCGCAACGACGCTCACTGAGATCCCGGCCCTGTCGGGTATCCAGATTGCAGAGGTTGCCGCGTCAGAGCGCTCGTCGTTTGTGCGCACGACCGAGGGCCGCGTCCTCGGCTTTGGCGCAAACGACTATGGCCAGATCGGTCTCGGCCCCACCACCACCGTCTCCACCGTCCCCACCCCCGTCGAGATCTCGCTCGGCAAGGCATACCCCAACGGCGCATCTGTGCGGTGTACAGGTATCACGGCCGGTGGCCAGACTACGCTGTTCACTGTCGAGTCGACGCTTCCCGGCGCCTCTACTACGCTCGTGGACGTCCTGTCGTGCGGCAACGGCCAGAACGGCTCCCTCGGATCGGGTATGTGGTCGTCTGCGTCGTACGCTCCGGCGCGCATCAAGGCCATCTCGAGCCTCCAGGAGTACTCGGAGAAGGAGGGCAAGACAATCCCCATCGGCATCTACTCCCTCTCCATGTCTCCCTCGCCCATGTGCCACGCCTTTGCCGTCCTCGACACGGTCCGCAACGCCGACGCCAAGGGAGCCGGCGAAGGCCTGTTCGGCAAGGATGTGCTCGTCTGGGGCGGCAACAGCGACTACCAGCTGGGCACGGGCAAGCGGTCTGCCCAGGCCACGCCCCAGCACCTCGCCTCGGTCATCCCGCATGCCATCGACACGCTCGTGGCTGACATTGGCACCGAGGAGGTCGAGGGCAGCCCCATCCCCGTCACCCGCCTGCAGTTGCACACGGGCAAGGCGGACGCCTATGACCCCATGGGCAAGCTCATCAAGCGCGGTGTCAAGGTTGAGGAGACGCTGGTGGCTGGATACAACTGTTCGGTGCTGTACAGCAAGATTGTCAGCTGAGTGCGAGTTCAGAAGCAAGCAGCAGCAGTAGTGGTGCGGACATCATTTTGTACAAAGGGTGTGATGCAGGGGTTTTTGGTTTTACAGGAGACGTTGCTACACAGAGAGTGGTTGTGAGAGTGGTTGTCGGTCAAGTGCGCGTGCGGTTACGGCCTCACAAGTCCATTGGGCCACGCCTCGTGCGCCGTCTCGTGCGCCATGACCTCGGGGATGGGGACGTTGACAAGGGGTACCTGCTCGGCATGGTGCGCCGCCTCATCGCCACCCACGTTCCAGTCGTCGTCCCAGATCGTCGGCCGCTCCTGTCCCAGAGTCTCCACCAGCTCTGCCTGAGCGGCGGCAACTCGCGGGTCCACTTCGTATCCGTCAAAGAAGCCCAAATTGTTGATCACGATCCTGTGCTCGGCATACAGCCATTTCCGTACCACCTCGTGGCTCCAGGCTTGCTGTTCCATCAAGCTCGAGTCTGCGGGAACAGGCGGCTTGTCGTCGAACAGGTTGCGTGCGTTGGTGATGAGGCGCATGAACTCGTCCACGTCCGGCACGCGTTCAGCAATCTCAGGCTCGTTTTCAAGTATACCCTCGATAGAGCCGTGGGCCTTGATCAGCTTGAAGGCGCGTACGGCGCCAACGTTGTGGATTCGTGGCGAGGCGTCGGTACCCATCAAGACGCATAGATCGCGGAACGAGGTCGCGGACAGACCTGTGGCTTCGCGTAGGGCCGCAGATTCGAGGACTACGAGCGGTTTGCGCGCGTCGGTAATGTTGCGCAAGAGTGTTCCCTAATCTCTGTCAGTTGTGCGGTACCGTTATCAACGATTCAACTCACGCCATAGGCAATCACGTCCGAGTCCTCTGTTCCGACATAGTCCACAATACCGGCGGTTGCAAGACTCGACGCGAGCCCCTCAGCCTCGTACGGCACATTTGCCCAGATGATGGGCACACCCATCATCCGGAGGAGCTCGCGGCACTGCTCGTGGTCCCCTTCGAGGGGCACGTTCAGCGCGCTGTCATACGTCTTGAAGATGGCTTGGAGCTGTGTATCGATGCTGTCGAGAATTTCCATCCCCTCCTTGATCGCAAAGCCATCCAAGTCAAACTCGCACTGCTCGTCAAATACGAGGTCGTAGACCTGTCCCTCTGAGTCGGAGAGCTCCTTCTGTCGCGGAGACTCGCGATACACCGTCGCTGGCTCCAGGGCAGCCAGGCGCGCATCGAGGTAGGGCATGTTGTTGGGCTCGGAGAGCCACAGGGCTGTCGCAACGATCTTGTCGGCTGCGCCCGACGCCGTGTCGAGCTCGAGGTCCGTCTCCTCTGCGCGTTCATAGCCGGTGATTCGGCGAATGTCGAGCTCTTCCTGCTCAAACGCTTCCAGCAGCGTCTCCTCGGGACCCTCGTGGAGTTCGGGGTTGCTGTCAAACTGGTACGCCTCGACAATACGCGTCAGGCGGGTGAGATGGATTGCGAAGCGGGACACTACGATGGCGCTGGCAATCGTCGTTGGAGCATCCGCCACCGGAGGTGGCAGCCGTGCAGACGAGGCAACGTCAAGAGCGCTGATGTCACCTTCCTCGATAGCCTCGCGGTGCTTCCACCACAGACGTATTGCTGACTGCTCCACAGGGGTCATTGTGGAGAACGTTGTCAACTCGCGGCGGAGCTGGACGAGGCGCATCTGTCGTCGTTCCTCGTGCATCTTGCGTGCCATGTTCATTGCGCGTGCCGCAAGACGCTTGCGAGCCTGGTGGCTTAGTTACCACTACACCATGCCACGTACCCACCTCTGGTGCCTTCCATTGACGCTCCCCTCGCTCATCCCATACGGCAATAGGCTGAACGTTATGTTCCTTCATTTGTTTGATGAGGCTGGATGGGTCAGGAGGGACGTACAAGCCACGGATCCACGGACACCCACGAATACCATCCTCTGACTGCTGGACTGGTGCGTCCATCTCGTGCCCGGTCTCCCAGGTGGAACCGGTGGGTTAAGAGTGTACCGTCTCTGTGCGTGCGTTAGAGCAGAACGACGCCGCTACAGCGAGCCGTACGTACAGAGCTACGCGCTTGTTCTTGAGAGCCTTCCACCGTTGATCGTAGGGGACGTTCAAGTGTGGGCTGAAAGGTTAGAAGACAATGTCCACATGCAAAGCTCACTGTACTTGGCGTACCCAGTGCAGAAGGCCCTTTATGCCCATTGCGACGACGACGAGGTGGGTGGAACAACAACAACAACAACAGCAGCAGCAGCATTGAAAGCACTTCACAAGGGGTGGTGACTGGACTTTGGGTCGTGTGGAGACCCCACCCAACCCCTTCTGCCATTTCCAATTCCCAATTCCCAGCCGCCGTCTTCGTGCTCGCGAGATTATGAGAGACCTTCCCTGGCCGGTGCATCGACCGCATCGCGCGACTTTCAACACTGCTTCCTCTCGCTCTTGCTTGCACGCGACACCCCATCACCCGTCAAAGGACATTGCCCACCATCAAATGGAGGGGGACCCGCTACTCCCCAAGATGCCTAGCATTCGCGCACTCTCCGGCGCTCACCGCTACATCGTCGGAGTCGGCCTGCTCTTGACCGTCGTTCTCGTACGTTTGGGGTTGAGTTGCTTCTTCTTCCCCGATTTCAGCCTCCCACCGACCCATGAGGTGCCGCCAGTCATGCTGACATACAACAGCTCTGGACCGCGTCCAACTTTATCACTGCCGACCTCGAGACGGGCGACGATGGGTGGAACAAGCCGTTCTTGTGCGTACAACATCCCGGGGAGTCAGGATCGTCCGTTGAACTGACACGATAATACAGGATAACTTATCTGAACACTTCGAGCTTTGCCTTTTACCTCCTCCCAGGCCTGTACCGGTACTGGAAGAAGGGAACGTTTGCACGCGACCACCCTCATGACATGTGGGTTTACATCCGCTTGCCTATCAACGCTAACCCTCAGCTCCTCGCCAGAATACGAGCCTCTGGCAATGGACGACGACGAGCCCCCTGCCCGATCGTCATTCAGCCTCAACCGCTCAGTGTCGCCATGCTCGCCACGCGCTCCCCTTCCCCCAGTCGAGGACGTGCAGCCCGATGACCCGCAGGGCCTCCCAAAGCTCACTGTCCGTGAGACGGCCGAGGTTGCCGCGTGGTGGAGCGCCGTGTGGTTCCTCGCCAACTGGAGTCTGAACACTGCGCTGGCTTGGGCAAGTGTCGCGAGCGTCACCATCCTGAGTAGCACGACTAGTGAGTCTACAAGCGCAGCTTGGGCCAGGACCAACGCGCAATGTACCAGCCCAGCGCTGACCAGCTTAGGCTTCTTCACTCTTACACTTGGAAGGATATGCGGCGTCGAGGACGTGACGCGCGGCAAGGTGTTCTCTGCGCTTGCTAGGTGGGTTGCATCTGGCTTGCTCTGTGCTAACCCAATTAGCTTTATCGGTGTCGTCCTTGTGACACGTTCCGACATGTCAATCCAGCCCTCCGAGGCCACCATCCAGCCCTTGAACCCCATCTGGGGCGACCTGCTGTCTCTTCTCTCGGCCGCCTTCTACTCGGTCTATGTCATCCTCCTCAAGGTGCGACTGGGCGACGAGTCGCGCGCCGACACGCAGTTGATGCTCGGCTTTGCCGGCCTGTTCAACATTGTCTGCCTCATCCCCGTCTTCCCCCTCCTCCACTACATGGGCTGGGAGACGTTCGAGTTGCCCCCCACACGACAGGCATGGACCATCTGCATCGTCAACATGTTCATCACCCTTTCATCTGATTATCTCTACGTGCTGGCCATGCTCAAGACCACCCCAATGCGTTAGTTCAAATATAGCCTTGCCAGAACCTCAGAGCTAAGCTAACTTTGGTTTCAGTGGTAACGATTGGTCTCTCCCTCACCATCCCCTTTGCGCTCCTCGGCTCACTCCTCATCCCCTCGGCGAGCACGGACAGCATCACCTTCATGTCCCTCACCGGCGCCGCGCTCGTGGTGGCATCATTCCTTGTGCTCGGCTGGCAAGGGTGGACAGAGAGCAACAACGAGCACCAGCACCAGGTGGCTCGTCAGGGCGACAGTTCCGTGCTCCACCACCGCCACCACGACGACGACGCTTGAGAGAGGAGCGACGGTAGCACTATCTTTGGCTTGGATTAGACAACAATATCTTTAGATACCCCGACCCCACCTCAACGGTGCATGTTCTAGATTTTAACAGCGGATGTAACAACTATTTTTCTATACAGGTACCTGTTTGTTTGGTTGCAGAGAGGGGGCCAGAGGGGTCGATCGAGTTGTGCTGGCTGGAAATATCTCATCTCAGTGGCAACGGTGGCAAAATCTCCCTCGGTGGCACCCCTGACTTCCCTCAACTTTTCGACCCTCAACTCGCTTTCCAGCCGGCCCAGGCTCCAACGACCTCTGCCATGCATGCGAGAACAGGCTGACGGCCATCCTGGACATCGGCCCATCGCCATAGGACCACATGCATCCCCCTGAGAGCGCTCAGGCGCGAGAAAACACGACTTGTCCCCGAACCGCCCCGTGTCCGCCAGTGCTCTTTCATCAGCTACACCGTTGGTGAAACGGTATCATGCGTCGTTGCCATCGACGCGGCAGGGGTTCGACTCCCTTACGGTGTAGACATCAGGCTGTGCAGACAGGTATCCACCTTGTCTGCGCGAGTTTTTAAGAAGACAACCCACAGGGGAGACATGATGAACCAATCTTATATTTGCTACTTCAGAGGCTGTGTGCCCATGAGATGTATTTCCACCAAGATCTCTGATCCCTCTTCTTTTGTTATTGCTATTGCTGTCGCGCGCAGCGTCCTCATATCCCATGTCTCATTGTGCATTCTGCTGACTTCTACGGACATCTAGTAGTAGCTTCCCTTGCCGGCATACGTCGCCTGCTCGACGGGCGGCGCGCTGTCCTCGGCTCTCTCGTCGTCAAACCCCGGGCCACCGCCGAGGTCGTCGTCCCGCCGCATAGGCGCGAACTTGGGCTCGGGAGGCGAGAACGCCTTGGCAGCGAAGATGGGCCGGCCGGGTGGGAGCGTGAGGGTACCGGCTGCGGGAACTGGCTGGAACGCGACCTGTGAAAGATGTCAGCTGAGCACTCCGTTTTCCCGTTTTCCGTCAGCTCACCGTATCGTTCAGCTTGGTGTATGACTGCACCCAAGCAGCCGTGTCGTTGACCTCCCTCTCGATGCGGCCCTGTCGCGCGCGCCTGGCCTCCTTCCTCCTCTCAACGTTGCGTCCGATCGCCAGGCCCTTCATCTTGTCGGCGACCTTGCCATCTTCCAACTCGGACAGGCGCGCGGATGCCTCCTTGACCCACGCGAGCGCCTCGCCAACCTTGCCGTCGCCCTTGGTGTTCTCGCCGGCATCAATGCCGAGCCATTTATAGCCCAGCGCGCTGGCCAAAAGCGACTCCTTGCGGAGATACCGCCGCAGCTCGGGGACGACGTCGCTGTCGACCGCGTCCGTGTCGGGGGCGCCTGATGAGGTCTTTTCCTTGCGGCCAAACAGCTTCTTGCTTCCAGAGGCAGTGTTCCCGCCGCTCGCCGGGTCATGGACGCGCAGCAAGGCCGAGGCGGCAGTGTACAGGCTCGCGACGTGCAAGTAGAGCTTGGCGAGGAGGGCCGCGCTGGGATGGTTGCTGGGGAGCGGTGGGCCTGGCGGCGCAAACAGCGCGTGGCCCAGGACAGGGAGAAGGAGCCTGCGAATGGCCGTGACGTGCGCGTCGGCGAGGAGGAGCATCGACAGGGCCCTAAATGCCTCTGAACCCGTCTCGACCGGCCATTTGGCGCGTCCGACCCGTCCGCCGGCGGCGGTGCGCGGCGCCTCAAGCTGCGGAGTCGCGTTCACGCTTGCCCACTCAGCCACGCCCGCGGCCTGCGAGAGGAGGTCGACGGCGCGCGCGAGTCCCGCGCTCGTCTTCTTCTCGTCCTCGGCGGTGATGTTGGGCACGCCCGAGCCGCCGTTGGTCTCGAATGTCGGCAGCCCTGCGAGGATCGAGTGCGCATAGTTGGACAGCGCGAACGTGTATGTCAAGAGCACAAAGTAGTGCTCTGCGTGGATGGAAGGCATGGGAAGAAGAGGCGCCGAGACGGCGTAGTGCGTCAGAGACGGCCGCCAAGGGAAGACTGCAGTACAGTCAGTGGGCCAACTTCAGTAAGGATACGAAACCTACCTGGGTCGCCCTTGAAGAGCAAGTCGTCGGTGTCAATGCACGTGATGATACTGCGCAGAAACGGGTAGTACACCTGCACAGCCTATATTGTCAGCTATGTATAACGCACTGTAGCTCACCTCCAACACGGCCAGCGCACTGCCGCCGGGCTCTCCCCCAGCGGCGGCCTTGAGGGCTACTTGGAGCCGAGTCCGCGCGACGGTCGCATCGGCCAGTTCGGTCGTGTATGCCTGCGACCTGTCGAGGAGGATGTTGGAGAATGCCACGGGACCCGTGATGGGGTATGGGAAGAGGTATGGGGCCATGGCGAGGATGATGTGGAAGATGGGATGTGAGAGATGGTGCCAAGAGTCGGCCAAGACTGACCCCCGCAGAGTGAGATTGCGTGCGGTTGGCTCCAGGCACCCAAAGTGGAGGTGGGTCAACCAACATCGGCTTTCGGGTTGTCTGGACACCCCCCCAAGAGCTGGCTGCAGGCGCGACACCGCGACGGAGACCAGCTGGCTGGCTGAATGTGTGACTGATGCATGGTATGTACGGTTGGATCTACTGCTTGCCCTTCTTAAAGTTCTTCTGGGCATCGTCGAAACGACGCACAAGAACCGAACACTGGGTGACGGCACAGAGCTGGCGCGACTTGGTCTTGAGGTCCTCGTTGAAGAGCACAACGCCCGCAAGGCGCTCAACGGTCTCGACTGGGTATTGTCAGCTCGACAAACACGGAGTAGTAGCTCACCAGGTGCGATGAACGAGCGCAGGTCGGCTCCGTCGGGAATCTCCTTGTTGGGGAGGATGAAGGCGCCCATGGCAATCTCCTTCATGGTCTGGCTCGAGGTGACGGTCTTGTCGCTGGGGTTGGGCTTCTGGGGGTAGGCAAAGTCGGGACGCGACGCAAGGATAACCTTGGCAAAGTGCGTAGGGACCGAGACGTTGGGAGGGTTACCGATAACCTCGTAGGTCTGAACGAGTCAGCTTAAGAGGGCGGGACGCCATCCAAGCTGTCCACTTACCACACGCCACTTGCCGTCAGGCTGCTGGGTAGGCATGTACAGGGGAATACTGGCAGGTTAACAGACGTCGTGCTTTCCGTCACCTACGTGAAAACGTAGACATCCTCAAAGTTGGAGGTAAGACGGCGGCAGAAGTCCTCGACGTAGGCCCAGTCTGTCGGTTAGCGGGATCACTATACCGGTAACGTACAGTGACGGTTGAAGCCATCGCCGACCTGGGGGGCAATGTTCGACAGGTAGAAGGTCTCGTCCATGGCCTGCTGCGAGATCTTGGCATCGGCAGCGGGCACCCTGTCTGTCAGCTGAGGACCGATGACGGTACAACTGGTCATACGTACATGTGACCGCGATCGTAGCCGGAACGGAAGTCTGGGGGGTCAGCCTGTATGTCATAGCGTCTGCACCCACAGTCAGAAAGCTTAGCACGGAAGATCTCGGGAACGGTGGTGTCCTCCTGGAAGGTCGACTTGGAGCGGTCGACCTTGGTCTGGGGGGCGTCGGCGGCACGGGCGGTCTCGAGGGGGACGGGGTGGGCACCGGGGGCAGAGGGGGGAGGAGTACGCGAGAGCGACTGAGCGGTGAGGTGCTCGGCAGTCTGGACGTTAGCTGCAGTGCAAGACGACGGAGGGAAGACGGCGAGGGAAGACATACCCATGCGGGGTGCTTCATGCGACGGTCGTAGGCGGCGGTGTAGGCCTGGCGGCGGATAATGTCAAAGGTAGGACCTGGAGACGTCAGTTGAAGCACTGCGGCATCCTTGTACACGCTCTACATACCGGGGAAGCCGCCGGCGAGGACGACACTGCCCATGGGTGTCGGGAGAGCGACGCGCTTCTCGGCCTCGCCAGCATGGTCAGGCGAGACGACAAAGGGGACGTTTGCCGGGACCTTGACGGGAGTGGCCTCCTTGCGAGGGATCCAGAATCCACCGGCGACGCCGACGGTGAGGCCGACTGCAAAGAGCAGCGAGGGGCCGAGGGTTGGCATGGTAAGTGGGGTTGTGATGTGATGGAGCGAGCGTCAACAGCAGCGGCGACGACGTGCATTTGAACGGCGGCCACCTCCACTTTCGTGAAATCGAAATCTTTGTAGGCCGTGTGCCCTAATTTGCCCGCCAGGGAGTGAAAAGGGTGTGTGGTGGTGACTGCCCGCGTTCTGTCTAATGTCGAGGCTGCTGATGGCGTCGTGAGCCATCTGTCGGACAACTCTGTTGCCAGAAGTGGACAAGCTGAGCATCAAGGTATTCTCTGTGCTACTCAAGAGGGGATCGAGAGCGCTGTGCATGGTGAGGGAACGGGCAATGGGGCACAAGGGAGGTGGGCGCGCCAAAGACTCGTACCCCGCTGTTTCGTGTGCCCTTCCTTTCGATCCTTTCCTTGCTTCTCTTCGTTTGCACACCAAGTTGACAAACGTTTGATTACACAACCACCACCTGTTGGTACCTCTGACACTGATCCACTGAGCGCATGCCCGTCGAACCACGCCGCGTGCTTGCACAGCCGCTCCCACAGCTCTAGCAGTCACTCTCACATTTGCCCACATGGGCCAGCTTGGCGCCCCACGGAGCCCACATGCGACATCGAGAGCACAAGACCGAGATGCTCACGGCGTCGGCCGTGGCGCCAGGAAACCCACCAGCACTAGAGCAAAAGGGCATTTGGCACCCTCAACGCCGGCCGAGAGACGACGGGCGACGCAGGCATCGTAAGCAACATGTTGGTATAAACCTTTTCTCCATCCCACCTCTTGCCCCTCGTCGCACACCTCCAGCCACCACCACCACCAGCACCTCCCCATCGTGAGTCCCTCGCTGTCGTCACTGTTGCGTGGCGTTGCTGACAAGACAAAATAGCCATCGCAGGATATACCCATTCAACGCGCGCTGAGACAACCCATTTGCCGGGCCGGGCCGAAAGGAACGCCCACTTCATTCCACATCTCGACCGAGTGCCTCGATTCCTGCTGCAACGGGCAGACGTCGCTTCCAACGCCGCCGCCGTCGCCGCCGTGATATACCGCCTTTCGCTTCCACTTCGCGCCTCCCCCCACAAGCCCACAACTCGACGCATGTCGGGTTCCGCGATCACTCCATCTGCGACCACTCGCACCTGTTGTTCGCCACTGCCTGCTCTCCTCGGGAACCGCCTGTGACTAGACATTGACAACGGCAACCCGGACGGCGACGACATGTCAGGCAACAGCAGCACTGTGGCCACGCCCACATCTTCGGCCGGCGGGTTTGCGGCCTCGTCGAGCGATGCGTCGACCTCATTAGGAACGTCCCTTGTCGGCCGGTGAGTCTCCAGCTGGACATGGCCGTACTCACTGTCCACGACCCAGCTGCTGACACCCCGCAGCCAAAGCGTGTACTTGTACGGCTTCATGGCGACGGTCGGCCTCTTGGCGGCAATCGCACTCGGTCTCGTTGTCCGGGCCTACATGGTAAGGCGCCGGTACAGACAGCGCATGATCGTTGCCATCGCCAATGGCGAGGTAGTACCACAATATCACAGTCCGTGGTATGTGCGGTACAACGATCCCACGCCGCCAGCGAAGAAGCTGCCAGACTTTGGGCCCATGCCGAACATGTGGGAGAACGAGATGCGGCTGCTGGACGGTACCGTGACTGTCAACGAAAAGGAGGCTTTGGAAAGAGCCAGAGTTGCCCAGAGCGAGGACTGGAGCTGGTTGACAGTGAGTTGATTTGCGATGGGGGGAACGCACAGCTGACATGCGCAGCCCATTTCTGTCAACCACATTCACCCTTACGTTGAACCACCTCCACCCCCACCACGCGTTGTCCCCCAGATCCCAACTGTTCGCGCCGAGATGCTCGAGGTCCTCTACGACCTCTTTCCCACGCCAAGGCGGCGGAGGGCTGCGGCGGCCGCGGCGGCCATGCCCCGTCCAGAACGGCCCCCTCCGGCGCCGACAACAATGTCCCCGCCCACGGTCGCCGAAGTGCCTCCACCAGGCTCGGACGTGCGCGTCGGCGTGCTCATCGCCCTCCCATGTGAAGGAATGGGCAAGGCGTGGGCACCGCTGGATCCCGAGGAAGCAGAGGTGCCCGAGGTGTGTCTGGGTGTGATGGAGGCGTATGTCGTCGAGGAAGGTGGAGCTGTGGGCGATCAGTCCAGTGGTGGGGATATCTGGAGGTCATCATGATGAGCTGCGCTTAGATTAGACATTTGTAGAGAGTTCAGAAGTGGCCGCTATGCAGGCAGGCATCGTATCCCAGGATGCTGACGACATGATTGACGATGGCTGATGGCATTGCGTAACAGCTGTGTGGCTTCTGATGACTTCGCCCCGTGTGCACTACTTTCACAGCTGATGTTAATAAACGCGCAATCCCCCCTTCTGTTCTTTCTTCTCGTTCTCACGTTCACTCTTCGCTACTCACACCCACACCCACTTCTACTATGCCTCCAGCTGCTCCAACATCCAACAAGCGCAAGCGCGAGCACGAGCGGCATGCGGCCGAGAAGACGGAGCGCATCTGGGGTCGGATGAAGGGCGCGACAACGACTTGCGCAATCACGTCACTCCGGCGCACCACCGTCAAGAACGGCCTTACCCCCAACGGCCTTGCCGTGGAAGTGGGCGACCTCGTTCAGTTCTCTGGACGAGACGGTGCACCTCGGGAGGGCCTCGTTCGCCGCATCTTCAAGGCCGAGTGGGAAGCCAGAGGCGAGCTCGAGCGGCGGGCCGTCTACTGCCACCTCCACTTGGTCCAGAAGTCGCTGGTAGCGAACGAATGGGACTTGGTCCAAGGACGCTGCGCCAATGTTAACCGCGGTCTCCTCAAGCGAAAAGTCCCGGGCCTTGTTCGATATGTTGCCAACAATGCTGGCGTGTGGCGGGAGCCGCGTCCATCCGGTCGGTCACCACGGGATGCCAAGGACACCGAGTCGGACCCCTTCAGGACGACCAGCTGCGACTCGTGCATCTCGCGACACCTGTCTGACCTCCGCAGACCTGTCCTGCACATGAATGGTGCTTTCGACTACAATGGCGAAAGCTTCCACAGGGGTGACTTGGTGTTTGTGGCTAGCAAGGACGACGACGGCGTCCACACCCTTGGTGTGATGACGAGGGCAGCGATACAAGCGGACGTGGTTACGATCGACCAGGTCCTTCCCTCGAATGTCAAGACGACGTTCGTCATGCAGCGCTGCGAGAGGACACAGAGGTTGGCCGGTGACACCAACAACTCTGAGGTAAGTAGAACATGACAGAGTTTGGCTGACGTGACAATAGCGCTCAATATATCTGACCAACGACTTTGAGCGCCGTTTTGTCTCGGACATACAAGGCAAAGGAGTTGTAAACGTTCCCGGCCATTACCTCAACTTCGACCTCACCAAAGTCCTGCCTCGCGGTGCCACCAAGGACGTCGCCGCCCTCCTCGACGCGGATGTCCAGAGGTTCTGCGCCACTTGCCACGACCAGGCGGCCGCGGACGTCCAGTTCACGGACGTGCGCCTTCCCTCTCAAGACCTGTATGCCGGTGGCGGAGGCAGTGTGCAAGGCGCAAAGGGCCACTTCGACGTTCAGTTCGTCGTCGACTCCGACCCGGTCAGTTGCCAGACAATACAGGCCAACCACCCATCTACAAAGGTTAGCCAGGCACCAGTGGCAATTTTCTCAAACGGAGCGGCACGATACAGGTCGAAACGGGGCACGATGGCACTGGTCTTCGCAGGCCCTCCGTGGTGGGTATCCAATATGGGTTCCTTGAGAGCTGCTAACCCGTCCAGCCAGGGCCACTCGCGCGCCAATCACGCCCGGAACGGCCAAGATCCCCACGCCGACCCGCGCAACGGGGAAGTCTTTGTCGCTCTGGCGGAAATCGAGCGCGTGCAGCCCGACGTGGCGGTGCTGGAAAACGTGCCAGGTATGATGGACGAGCGCGAGGCGGCCCACGGCGGCCGGGTCAACTTCTGCGAGGAGACCATCAAGCGCGCGCTGTACATGGGGTACCAGGTGCGCGTCGGCCTCCTCAACGCGCGCGAGTATGGCAGCCCGCAGGACCGCGTTCGTCTCATCATCATCCTGGCCCGGAAAGGGATCCCCCTTCCTGATTTCCCTCCTGCCACTCATGCTGCCGCCCCCCGCTCCACGGTCCTTCCCTTCTGCAGTGATCGAATATTCGACCCTCTCAAGCGGACCTACCTCGGTTCGGCGCCGTTCGCAGCCATCACTTGCGGCGACGCAATCGGTGACCTCGACGGCAAGTGTTTCCGCGGTTTGCCTGTGGGGTGGATGCGACTAACCTGACCACAGCGTGGAGTTACAACCTCCGCGACCCCGGCTCTGTATTCGCGCCGGGCCACTCAACTGTCGTGGGTGAGGAACGCTCTCGATACGCCCGGCCTCCCATGAACGATTTTCAAAGGTCCATGAGGTCGGGCAGGGAGTACGTGAGTTACCACATCACCCACGACCCGTCTCCGAGAGAGATGGAGGTGTGAGTTTGCTCCGTGGAAAACAAAGATATCTTGGCCGGTTAGCTGACGAGACGAGCATCATGGCCTGTGACGCCGCCCACCGCCGAGGCCAAGGACGCCAAGGAGAAGCGCGCCCACATGAACCAGGGCGTGTACACACTCCTGACCTCGTCCAAAGTCGGCGGCAAGTCGAGCTACCCGATCCATCCAACGGTGAGCTCCCGCCGCCACCAACCACCAGAGTACCCAGTGTGGAGTTGTTTTGACCACTTCTTCCAGGCATTCCGCACGTTCACGCAGGCTGAACGAAAGCGGTTCCAAGGATTCCCGGACGCGTACAAGTTCGCGGGAGACGTCGGGGACGTGAGTAGGCCGCCCCTGCAGCTGACAGACGTCTAACCTGCTGACATGAGAACCAGATTGACCGCGTGATCGGCAACGCCGTCTGCGTCAACATGGCCAGCGCGATCTGTCGGCAGATCAAAGCCGACGTGTATCAGGCCTTCTGGGAGGCGCACGGTAGGCCGGACACGGCGCGGTTCTGGCGACTGTGGCGCGAAGCTCACCCCGTGCCACACGCCACACCGGCTCCCGCCAACGTCATCGCCAACAACGCCGACCGCCAGCGCCGACAACCGCGCCCTGCCACTGGCGTCGAAGTCATCGACCTCACCCACCTATAGACACATCTTGTACTTATAGGCCGCCTCTTCATGCAATGGTCTAGAATGAGTGCATAGATTGCTGTGCTAAATTTAAACTGCGGTGGGGTGGTTGGGTATGTCATTCCGGGGTATCAGACGGTTCCGGTATGGCGGCAGATGCGGAAGACGTGGGCGTGGTGTCATCTTTTGGTGGTGGGGGAGGGCCTGGAGATGGCGATGAAGAGGGAGGAGCATTTGCCTCGGGCTCAAGCTCAGGGGTTGCTGGGGTCTCCTTGTCGGTGGTCTCGGTCGTCTCCTCAATGGCCGGAGGAGCCTCAACCGCAGCCTCAGGTTCAGGCTTGGTCTCGGTCACAGTTTCAGTCTCGGCCGCGGCATTGGGCTCCTCGGGCTCGAGGGCAACAGCCTCCTTGGCAGGCGTAGCGGGGGCGACATCTTCCTGGGCAGGCGTTTCAGGTGTTGGTTCGGTGGGCTTGACTTCCTCGGCCTCCTCGACCTCCTTTACGGGCTCCACGGGCGCCGGCTCCACATCCTTCTCTGGCTCCTCGCCCCGGACCTCGTAGCCCCAGGACGCCTTCTTGGTGGGGAATGGGCGTACAACAGGAGACTTGGCGGGCGACCTAAACGGTGAGGGAGGGTTGGAGAGGCTGGACCCGAGCACTGGTGTAGTGGGCATGACGATTGGGGCAGGAACCGGCACAGGCGCGGGGGCAGGCCCTGGGGTGGTGGGGCGGGAGGCTGATGGGGATGCAGGCTTTGTGGGCGATCCGAGGGCGAGGGCGGCAGGCCGACTAGGGGAGGCGACCTTGACAGGCGATGAGAGCTTGGTGGGGGAAGACGGGCCACCGAGGCGCGGTGTCGACGGACCAGGTGACATGGGGTTGCCGTCCTGTGGAAGAGGGCTTGCGGGCGGAGCATCCTCGGTGACCAAACCGCCGCCTTCCTCGTCAATCTCTTCTTCCTCTGGCACGTCGCCGGGGGCAAGCGGCGTGTCCTTGTCGGCAGTGCCGTTGCGGCGTAATAAGCCGCGCATGGCTGCTGCGACGGCCTTGCGCGGGGTAGGCTTATCGCGGACAAGCTTTTCGAGTCCAGAGATGGAGGTCGATGTCTCGGAAAGCGGGGTAAGACGGGTCGCAATGAGCGCAACGTCCTGTAGCATGCGCTGCTTCGCCTCGTCGCTCTTGAACTCGACCTTGGTGTACTCTTCACCCAGGCGGTGAACGCTCGCAGCGAGGACCTGGGACATGACCACCTCGACAGTCTGGGGAGCGAGGTACTTGGACAGCACCTTGTGCAGCGTCGCAGTCTCCTTGACAAGCATGAGGGCGTACCCACGGGGTCCTTCCTTGTCTGGAGTCGCCTCCCAGTCGATTTCTCTCAGCTCGCCGCAGTGCACGGCTAAACGATCGGCCATGATGGCGACGAGCTTGGCATGGATCTCGTTCTGGTGCTCCTGGTAGTCGCGCTTGATCCTGTCAAACTCGACAAGCATGACCGCTTGCCTTGGGTTGAGGTGACGGCGGATAAATTCGCGAATATACGGGATGAGGGCGACGACGACGGAAAGGGATTGTGAGGCGAGGGCGAGGTGCTTGGCAGTGATGTTCTTGAGACCTGCCGAGCGCATGGCGCCAGCTCCCAAAACGACCTGACACGTCCTCGAGTTGAACGACTTGAGGAATTCGACAATGCGCGACATGACGTCGGTGACGACCAGTTCCAAGTTGACGACAATCCACAGATAGTCGCCTAGGAGAGTGAGCGACTCGGCAGTGGCCTTGACCACAAAGAAGGTCTTGTCTTCGACCGAGATAAACTTTTGCACAGAGCGTGGTGCCTCGCCGTTGGTCGTGCCGTTGGGCCTGGGCGGGATGAAGCACTCGTCCGGATCCTGAACTGCCGCAGCTACGAGGAGGTCGACCATGTGCTGTGTGCGTGGCGAGACGTCAATCTGGACCCAAGTCTCCTCCTCGACAAACTTGGCCGACTTGGTGAGTCTCTCGGCGTGGTACTGGACGAGGAACGACTTGGCCTGCGATGACAAGACACCGCGGAGCGAGACGATCATGCGCCTTGCCAGGCTCTCAGTGGCGACAACAAACGACCACGACTCGTTGAAGATGGCGACAAACTGGTCGAGGGGCAATTCGGCGTGCTGCTCGGAACGGACCGAGATGATCTTGGACGCGCGCGTGTTGGCCAACTCGCACGCAGAAGTGAGGACCTCGGATGGCTCGAACTGCGCCTTGGACGTGGTGGGTGGGGTCGTAGCACCGCGGGCCGTGATCGATAATGTGGGAATGTCGCTGTGCTCGGACAACATGGTGGCCATCTCCTCGCCCATCTGCTGAACAAGATGAAGACGGGCCAGCATGGACGCGTACATGACTTCGGAAAGTGTGAGGAAGGCGTGGTGGTCCATAGTCTGCAGCGACTGTGCCAGGCTCTGGCCCGATTGTTGCAAGCCACCAGTCTGCCTTGTCTCGATATCGTCCTCGTCGACTATTGGGAGGTGTTGTCTCAAACCTTGTCGGATGGCGTTTGTCACCTCATTGCGCCACACACCGGCAAGGGCGTCCACGCATCCACATCGGACCAAGCCGATGAGCATTGGGCCGACTGCATTGCGGAACGTATCCTTGTCAAAGTCGCTGGTTGTGCTGAGGAGAGACAGGAGCGCGGCGGACAGAGAAGTCTCGACCTGAGACGCAACGTTGGACGTGAGTGCCGCTATTGATGTGGGCAGGTTGGCGAACGCCGGGAGAGTCGTGAGCGGGAGAGACTCGTCGTCCCCGTTGCGTTCCCACCACTTGACAACATCCTCAACACAGCTCAGTGCGCCTGCCCAGTCGCCACCATCGGCCATTCCCTTGGCAATGCGGAGGCAGTCGTGCAGCTCGGCAACACGCTTGATGCCTCCTTCTGTCACTCTCAAGGAGCGGAGACGGGACTGGGCGTCGATGATCTCCAGACCCTTGCGAGCCTGCTTGCCGCCTACATCGGCCAACGACCCCTTGAGGTCGGCGATTCGAGTGAGACAGGATGACGACTCGGAGTTGAGGTCTTGGAGGTTGGCGAGGGCGGAGAAGAAGGAGGACGAACGCAGGGTAATCTCGTGCACCAGGTGGCGTTCGAGGTTGTCGAGGCAGGTCGAGAGCGAGTCCTGGATCGCCGCGTCGCCTGGTTTGGAGCTACTCTCAGCCATGTCCATGACTTGTGTCCAGTTGTTAGGGTTGGCGATGTCAAAGTTGGAGTCGAAGAACATGGACGGGATAGAGTTGAGGGAAGGCAGGTCGGCGGCCTTGCTCGCTTGCAAGTCGAGCTCGGACACTGGCGTTGATGACGACGCTGCAGCGGCAGCTTGACTCTGGACAAAGGTCTCGTACAGAGGGGCAATCTGCTTGAGGTAGCCGTCATAATGAGAGGTCGGAAACGGTTTGGGGAGAATGGGGGCGGGCTGAGCGAGGGCAGGGAGTGGCTTGCGGCTCGCGCGCAATGGGTTGGCCTTCCTCGTCGGGTGGTTGAGCACGGTCGAGATAGCTGGCGTGTAAGCTTGCGGATGAGATTAGTAGCTCACCATTGAATCCACGCTTGTCGACACCATCGGTGACTTGGGCATCGACACCGAGCTTCCAGCTGACAATGTTGAGGGCACTAGCGTCTGCTGGTGGCTCCCATCCGTCGCCGAATGTCGTATCGAGGACGCTACCGGCTGTGCCGTCAAAGTCTGAGAAGAATGATTCGGATGGCGGAGGCGACGACAGCACTGGCGTGCCCGCCGCTGCTGAGGCGGGCCTGGACATTGTAGCCTGAGTGCTGGCGCGTTGGCGCTGGGAGGGGGGGAGTGTTGTGTTGTGGGTGTGTTGTTGGTGACTATGGATGAGCGTCGGTTGCGTCAACGATCCCGACGTGGATCGTGGACGGCCAAGGCGCGTGGAGAATACGTTTACGTAATGGAGAAGGATTGACACGTGACATTCACCTGTTTTCCTTTCTGAACTGTTCATGACGTGTACATGTGAGTAAATCCGCGTTATCAAATATTCCAAAATCTTTCCGTTAGCGTCCTTTGCTTGCCGATGGCAAAAATCTGATTCCGTGTGCTCCTGGCTGTCGTCCTGAGTGCGCGCAAGGGGAGTTCGGCCCCAGCCGCCCTGGGGTCTCTTTTGGAGGATCGCGAGTCGATCTCAACTTTCTTAACCTCTCCATGTATCCTCTGTTGCTCCATTAAACCCCTCCCCCGTCTCCAGACAGTAAGCAGCACTGCCATCAAGGGCATCTTCTCACCCTCCAGTGTGTGGTATCCTTGGTCTGCTCCTCCACGACCCCCTCTCGACACAGACGTGTCAGGCGGGTACGGAAATGTAAGCACCGGCAACCTGGCGCGCGTTGTTTGCTATGGTCAGCGCGCGTCACACGACAAACCGTAATCATTTTTTCCCGTTTGCTGACCACCGTCTACAGCGCCGAGGGCCTTTCGCTTCTCCAGCACCGGTACGTAGTTTGGCACTGATCGGTGGGCGGGCGCGATATTTTCCATCTCCATCGCTCCCCTCCCCTAGACCATTCATCGCAACATCGCGCCACCGATCCGGAATCGGAAAACCGGATTTTGCCGCTGACAATAATTTCAGTGGCCAGGATGCGGCGGGTATCGTCACCTGTGGTTCGGGCGGTCGCTTCTACCAGGTCAAGGCCAACGGCATGGTCCGCGACGTCTTTGACGCGCAGGGCATTGCTGGCCTCAAGGGCTACATGGGCGTCGGTCACGGTGAGTTATCGAGTCATTCGTTTTTAATGGCCTCGTCCCCCCCCCCCCCCCACATTTGTTTAATGAGGGGGACCCTCGTTATCAGCTGACCCTTTTACAGTCCGTTACCCTACTGCGGGGTCCTCTGCTCATGCCGAGGCGCAGCCCTTCTACGTGAACTCGCCGTACGGTATCACCTTTGCGCACGTGAGTACAGCAGCGAGAGCGCCGTGCAGTTGTTGCCCGGTGGTTTGCAGAGCTAAGCGCGCCCCGTCCACGCCCGTTACACTTGACTGACACAATTCCAGAACGGTAACCTCATCAACACCCCTGCCCTGCGCCAGTTCCTTGACGCCGACGCCCACCGTCACATTAACACCGACTCGGACTCGGAGTGTCTTTTGAACGTTTTGGCCGACAACCTCCAGAAGACCGGCAAGTTCCGTATCAACGAGGAGGACACCTTCAAGGCTGTTGGCGACCTCATGGCCGCTTGCAAGGGTGCCTACGCTTGCGTTGGCATGCTCGCCGGTTTTGGTCTGATTGCGTTCCGTGACCCCAACGGTATCCGGCCTGTTGGTCTTGCCACCCGTAAGGGTGCCCGTGGTGGTATCGACTACCTTGTCTCCAGCGAGAGCATCTCGGCTCAGGCCCTTGGCTTTGACGGCTGGGAGGACATCAAGGCCGGTGAGGCCATTATTATCACCCGCGAGGGTGGCCTCTCGCGCCGTGTTGTCGCCGAGCCCGCTCCCTTTGCTCCTGACATTTTCGAGTATGTCTACTTTGCCCGTCCCGACTCGACCATCGACGGCATCAGTGTCTACCGTGCCCGTATGGCCATGGGAGACGCCCTCGCCGAGGAGATCAAGCGCGAGCTCGCAAAGACCAACATCGAGGTCGATGTGGTCATCCCTGTCCCTGACACTTCGCGTGTCGCTGCCCTTCAGTGTGCCCAGCACCTTGGCATCCCTTACCGTGAGGGCTTTGTCAAGAACCGCTATGTCGGTCGCACCTTCATCATGCCCGGCCAGAGCGAGCGTCGCAAGAATGTGCGTCGTAAGCTGAACGCCATGCCCATGGAGTTTGCGGACAAGACTGTCCTCCTCGTCGACGACTCGATCGTCCGTGGCACCACCTCCAAGGAGATTGTGCAGATGGCCCGTGACGTCGGTGCCAAGCGCGTCATCTTTGCGTCGTGCGCTCCCCCTATTCGTTACTCGAACGTCTACGGCATTGACATGCCGTCGCCCCACGAGCTTGTCGCCTACGGCCGTACCACCGAGGAGGTTGCGGAGCACATTGGTGCCGACCTGGTCATCTACCAGACTCTGCCCGACCTCGTCGAGTCGTGCCGTCAGTTCAACCCCGAGATTAAGGAGTTCGACTGCTCGGTCTTCACTGGCGAGTACGTCACTGGTGGCGTTGACGAGCGCTACCTCGAGCACATTCAGCGCCTCCGCAACGACAATGCCAAGGCCAAGAAGAATGGCCAGAAGCATGACGCTGAGCACGAGGCCACCAACCCGGTGTCGTGCTCGGGCCCCATGAACGGTGCCGACTCGCTTATCGGTCTGCCCAACCACTCGCCTAAGCTCGGTCCCCAGGCTATGGCTTCCCCCAACGACACTGTCGGCCTGCACAACTCGTGGTACGGCCAGTAAAAAGGAACGATCACAGCACCATCATTTCATATCCAAACCAGAACCCACACAGTTTAGTCGTAACACTTGAAACTGGGTGTGCATAGAGAACAGAAAAAGAGTGTACGCTCGCAACATGTTGTTAAACCGTATGCATTCGTAGGCGCCAGAGCATTGAACAAGAGCGAAAGCATGGAGCAGATTCAGAGTCCCAGCTGCCGCCCAGCGCGTCGTCGTGCCTCTCACCATGTATGCATCGGCCACTCAGCACGCAGGGATATCAGATGGTCGGCGGCCTGGGTTGGGATAAATTAAATAAAAGCGGCCAAAACTAATCCCGCACCCGCCCGCCCGCCGCGACCCAATCGCCCACAAGCCATTGCCCCGTTGCCTGCAGCGCAGCGAGCGCTCGTCGGTCGTCGTCTATCCTGGCATACACGTCCGTTCTCCATCTCTATATACCACGTACACTACCATGTCGGCTCTCCGCACCGCCCTCCGCCCCGCCGCGCGCGCCGTCGGCCGCCGCACCATCTCGTCGTCGAGCGCACGGAGGTCCGACAACCTCATGGTGGTGCGTCCTGCCTGGCCCCTTGGGCAGCTCTCGAGCGTGTGGTTGTCTCTTTACTGACGTCGGCTTCAAGCACCGCGACTCGGCCCACAACAATCCCTCGACCCCCTTCGAGTTCAACGCCGACTCGAAGAAGCAGATTGAGAAGATTGTCGCCCGCTACCCCGTCCAGTACAAGAAGGCCGCCGTCATGCCCGTTCTCGACGTTGCCCAGCGCCAGAACGGCGGCTGGGTTTCGCTCACTGCCATGAACGCCGTCGCCAAGCTCCTGGACATGAACCCCATGCGCGTGTACGAGGTCGCGTCCTTCTACACCATGTACAACCGCGAGCCTGTTGCGCCCAACTTTGTCCAGCTCTGCACCACCACCCCGTGCATGCTCGGCGGCTGCGGCTCGAACAAGATCCTCGAGGCTATCACCAACCACCTCGGTATCACCCCCGGCCACTCGACCAAGGACGGCAAGTTTACCTTTATCGAGGTCGAGTGCCTCGGCGCATGCTCGAACGCGCCCAGTGAGTAGACGCGTGGCTGTCCTGTCGTGCTGGTAGGCTGCGCTGCCGTGATCTTTGCAGCCAAGAACCCAAGCCAAGGATACCACCCATGTGTTCCCTCCCCATTGCTAACACCTCTTTGCAGTGATGCAGATCGGCGACGAGTTCTACGAGGACCTCACCCCGGAGACCACCGTCAAGATCCTGGACGCGCTCGCCAAGGGCGAGAAGCCCAAGCCCGGCCCCCAGTCTGGCAGGCACACGTCGGAGAACTCGGCTGGCCTGACAACACTGCTCGAAAAGCCCTATGGCCCTGGCGAGCACTGCCTGCCCGAGTTCCAATAGACAGTGTGGAAAACTACGGAATGGGAAGGGACGCCCCGCACCCGAGCAAACGGGATGAGATTATATGCATAGGTACAGGCAGAGAGGAATGACCGACCGGGTGCCGCAGGCGGGCATAGCTGGGATGGCTGGGACAGGTCGTGGGCGAGGGGATCGACACTGTCTAGGCGACGTCTGGGACTCTGCCGCCGAGCTACAGAGCTGGTTTTGCACAGCGCAGCGGCCCTTGCTGATACATAATAATGCGTCTGACCGACGTAATGGCCAAGTGACGACTAACTGACTGACCTGCCCGTTTCATGCCTTTACTGTGGCCTACGCGCACACACTCAATTCAGCTCCATCACCATCTGCGCAAGTAATCGCCTTGCCGGGCAGTCTGTCCTCAAGACTGGACATGACCGCAGCTACGACATCACCACTGAATGTGCAAATGTCGCGGGCGCCAAATATACAGGTGGTTCGGTCAGAAACGTTGGACCTCGCAAAGACTGGGACAGGTTACACCAAGTCCTACATACCAAGCCACAGGTGACAGAGACACAAGTGTAATCCTTTACGTCCCAACTCAGCGCTGATTGCGGTACTGGTGCCCGAACTCGACGGTTCGGCAGGCCATTCGGTAACACGAGTGCTCGGCGTTGTTGGCGTTGCCGTGGGGCTGGCCAACGCCGCCGGGACCCCAGTCGGTGGCTAAGGCATATACCCCGGTGTAGCTTATGACAGAGACGACCTCTGGCCATGAGAAAACTGGAAATCCGTCTCGCCCAGGACGAAGCGGGGACAGTGACGGATGACCTCGAGGGGGAATACACGGTTTGCAAAGAGGAGGGGTACAGGATCTGCAAGCCCATGTGGAGGTGCCTATGGGCTCTACGGAAGGTCTCTGGCCGCAGTGCTTAAGTGGCAGCGTGCGTATACCTTCAGCAGGCGGGAGAGCCAGGTGTTAGCGGTGTGGCGGAGATTAGTGTGGGGGATGGTCGTCTTCGCCACGAGCACCATCATCACTTCATTACTCCATCAATACTGTCAATATCGTTCCAAGACTTTCTGTCCCAGATATGTTCAGCAGAGGGCCTTCGTGTACGCTCGTTTAATGCATGCACGATGCCTTAGTACACGTAGACTTCTGGTCTCTACCTTGCGGGGTCTTGCGGTTGCCAAAGGGACAAACCTCCTCAATCTGATTCCGTTTCCGCTTCCGGTCGTCCATACGCAAACTCTGCTCTCTTCCATCGTCGTCTCCCTCCTCTTCTGAGCGCTTTCCAGCTCTGCAGAAGGCCAAAAAGACTCTTCAGGGGATCGAACCCTGGACCATTGCCACACGAACGAATCGGAAAGCAACACGCTAAGCCACTGCGCCAAAGAGTCCTTGAGAAGAGGATCGCCGAGCAAGCAGGTGTTGCGGACGAAGAAAAAAACGACTCCATCGCCATTGAAAATTGACTCTTCTGGGGTACAATCGATTTTTAGACGTATGCTCACACTGGCTAGATTGTTGCCCTCTTTCATACGAGCTTACTGGTGCCAGAAACTGGCTGAATCATAGGCAGACGGTCGAATAACGGTGGTTTGTGATCGGAGGTTGGGCAAGCCGAGGGGATGAACAGCGGGCGTTTCTACGGTGAAGTTGAGGCGTCTCTGTCAACTCAACATAAGTGGCAACCTCCACAGGGAAGGTCTGGTCGGAGAGGTGAATTATGCAGCATGGCTTGTGCGGATACACACCAAACATTTACGGGGAGTTGGCTGGGGCATTGTCGTTGAAGAGCGTCGAGAGATACGGCATGTCAAGTTGAAGTAATGACATGGTAGATTGGGAAAAAAGGGCTTTCTTTAGTCGCTTCTTGGTCGCATCAGGATCATTTGGATCATCGCCCTACCCTCTATGCACTTCACCGTTGTCTTGCTTACAGTGCAATGTTCACTTGAGCAATAGACAAGGGGATGGGTATCCGAACAGGTGTGTTGTCACTTGTTGTATGGCACTGCCACTGCCAGGTTGGTGCCAATAGGCCCCATCTCGTACTACACAGACCACTGTGAATTGCTACCCTTGCTGAAGATACTCCCTCCGGCATGCATCGGACTGCAAAAAAAGGACGCAGTACCCCAGCAACCGGTACTGTGGCAAACGGGGCGGTGTTGCCATCGGTGCTGTCTTGACACACCTCTCATCGACTGTGTTCCTGGCATCCACCGGCGCTACGTACATACATACGGTAATAAGACTTGAGTAGTGAACTTCTGCCTCGAATTGGACAAGGAACCTTTGCGTCCTACCCCTCATGCATTGTCACTCACGTTGACCTGCGTTGCTGGGGCTTTGAGGGTTTGCAAAGAGCGATGTGAGAGACGTGTCGAAAATGCCCCCGAATGCAGCCCACGGTGTGCCACACCCACACATGCCCCAGTTGCGCCCTACAGAAGCGGTTCGCCACCGATCTTGTTTCGTTTGCCACCAAACACACAACACAACAACAACACAACTCAACTCAACAATCCACTCCACGTCCCTTCATCCACCATGACCACTCCTCTACCAACGAAACACCTCGTACATCTCTCCAATCTTCTCTACGGCATCAATCCAGACCAGCACCGTTACTACAGTCTGAACCCTCTCGGCAAGCCCACTAGCGACAACCCACAACAACAAAGCCAGAACCCACCGCCTATCCCCTCCGCACCGCCTATTCCCTCTGTGCCCTTGTCGGAGTGGACTTCATTCAGCGACGACATTGCTTTTGGTATGGAGGCGTTTGAGACCTATCTGGAGCCGGATCAAGAGACCAGAGCGCTTCTCAAGACGGAAGTAACATCCCTTCGTCCTCCCGTCATCCCTCGCACGACTCACTCAAACGGCAATGCCCTTGTTCTCTCCCGCCTGCTTTCGCAGGTCCTCCCGGCTGTAAACTGCCTTTTGGAGGAAGGCCCAACTCGCTTTCAGCATGTGTTTTGGTGCCTCGGAGACCAAGCCAGCAACACTGCCGCCTACCAGCTCGAGCTCCGTCATTCGTTTCCGGACTCGGACTGCATTGACACAATGGCGGTGTGCACCGTGGTTCCCAATGTCGCCGTCTCAAACCTGAACGCGGTAATGGAATGTCGCATCACGAAAGACGGTGTGGTAGTTGCGCACGAGCAAGAGGTTCCGGAGCAAGAGGACAAGCCACCCCTTTCACCTGAAGAGACGTACAAGAAGAGCTGCAAGAATCGCGATCGCCAGCAAGCTGGCCGAATCACATCGCTTCTGCAGAACGTGAGTTCAAATTCACCAGCGGACAGTGGACAAACCTGACGCGTCCAGCATCTTTCGCAGCTGTCAGGCAACATCAAGTATGGCATCATGACTGATGGCATCATGTTTGTGCCCTCTCGTCGCATTGGAGACTCCACCGCCACGACTGAATTCCAACTCGGCCACGAGATGAAGCCTGCTGTCGGAGCGCTGCTGGGCATCACCTACTTGGCACTTCAAGGTGCGGACGTTCCGCTCTATTTCGACGACGCCCTTAAGAAAGAAACGGTAGACCATACCAGCACTCAAAGCACCATATGGGCGGCACTCGCCAGGGCACAGAATGATGTGCATGTGGACCAGTCCGATGAGTCCGATGAGTCTGACGCCATGGAAGGCCTCGACCCCCAAGATGTGGCAGTGGCGGAGACCCTCGAGGGTCCCGAAATCGGCATCCCAAACGGCTACGAAGTGAACGTTTCGCCACCAGTGGCAATTGGCGGACCGTCCTCCCCCGACCCTCTCGCCGACAACCAAGGCAAGAACGAACTTGCTGGAAACCAGTGCAGCACCGCGGCTGAGCCGCAGCCCAGCGGTGAAAGCTTCGAGGCCACTCCTGTGGCGGCAGACAAGGCTGTTTGTAAGCAAGCTACAGCTTCCGGGAGTGACACTACACCTGCCCCATCCCCCGAACTGGATCACAAGAGTATTTCCAGCGACGCTGAAGACGTACCCAAAGACGTGAGTGCCCGCATCTCCCACATCCTTTCCCATGACTAACTCGTCGCAGCAGATATACACACTGGTGATCGAAATGGACTCGCCCAAGCTCACGGATCGTGGAGACCATGCCTTCGAACACGTCCACGAGCTCAAGTACCCCTTCATTGGCCCCGGCGACATCACGAACCGCCACCTCCCCAGTCCCGAACAGCCCCTCGTGTCGCCCCCCTCGATCCGCCTGACGCTCGCCGAGTTCCGCTCCCAGGGCACGGTATGGGACTGCTTCACAACCTCGCCTCACGGCATTCCGGGCCACCCTCCTCTAATCGTCAAGCTCACCGACCCGAGAGCGTCCAGCAGCTCTTCCAAGATTCTTCCGCGTGTCCGCAACAACGTCCTGGGCGAAGCCAAGCTTGCCGAGGGTGCGCTGAAGGAACTTCAAGGCAAGGTGATTCCGCGCTTTTACGGACTGTTCGGCTCGCTCCAGCCGACATGGGCGTACGCGTGGGACAAGAACGACATTTGGGCCTCGGTGTGGGAGGACGCTGGTGTAGAGATGCGCGATGAGTACCAGTACAACGGCCATGTCAAGTAAGTAAAGCCTTCCCAGGCCAGAACCAGCGTCCACCCAATGCTGACGTTCGCAGGCGTGCGGTGCTCAGACTGTACAACGACCTGCACGCTGCCGGAGTCGTGCACGGCAGTGTCAAATGGTGTCACATCCTCAAGTCGGGCGACCAGTTCCGTATCGTCGACCTTGAGAGGGCGACGACGCGCGCCGACTACCGTCAGCCCGAGGACTTTGAGCCCAGCTGCAAGGAGGAAATAAACGCCGTCCTCCGTCTCTTCAAGTGTTAGTGACAGCCACGTCGCTTGTGTATAACGACAACCAGTCTGCGTGTAAATACCCCCCTCCCCCTTCCCCCTTTCGAGCTCATGCGGACCTCCCCGAACGGTTTGTCGTTCTTGTCCGTCTTGACATTCTCCAGCATGTGCATGGCCTTGAGACCCCCGGTTGATGGTTGGCCGTGGTCCCCGTCGAGTGTTAGTTAGGAGCCCGCCGTCGTATGTAGACAACCAGTATGCATGTATATACACCCTCCCTATTCGAGCGTGATGGACATCATGCGGACCTCTTCGAACGGCTTGTCGTTCTTGTCCGTCTTGACATTCTCGATCGAGTGGATGACCTCGAGGCCGCCGGTCGCGCGTCCAAACACACTGTCCTGTCAGTTTTTTTTCGTCTACTCGGCCATCGTCTAAACTCACGTGTGCTTGTTGTCCAGCCACGGCGTGGGCACTGTGGTGATGAAGAACTGCGATCCGTTCGTGTTGGGACCGGCGTTTGCCGACGAGAGCGTGTACGCGCGCTCGTGCGTGGCGAGCGGGGACAGCTCGTCCTCAAACTCGCCGCCCCAGATACTCTCGCCGCCGGATCCGGTGCCCGTGGGGTCGCCGGCCTGGAGCATGAACTTGCGGATGACACGGTGGAAGATGACATTGTTATAGTAGCCGTTGCGGGCGTGTGTGACAAAGTTTTCGACCGTCTTGGGCGCCACGTGCGGGAAGAGCTTGAGGTGGATGTCGCCCATGGACGTGTGGATCGTGGCGGTGGTCGGCAGCGCCTTCTTCTCCTCGACGACGACGACGGTGGCCTCCTCGGCCGTCGGGCGCTCGTTGAACACGTCGCGGTCGCCGCTCTTCTCGTTCTCCTCTTTGCCACGGCCAAACATGTAGAAGCGCTGCTTGCGGAACGCGGTGGCGAACAAGGTCGGGTCGCGCGCGGCCTTTTCTTGCAGCAGCGGGTTGGTGGACGCGGCCATGGCCAGCGTCTGGATACCTTGCTTGGCCGGTGCGCCCTGGAACAGGGACAGGTCGAGGAAACGCAGCGTCTCGTCCTTACCAATCACGCGGGCCACCTTGTTGGTGACCGTGTTGACCACTTTGACACCAAGGAGGGTCGGGTACAGCACAAAGTTGCCGCTCTCGTCCCACACGGCCGTGGCGGTTCGCAGTGCGCCGCCGGGCCCACTCTCGTTCTGGTCCAGGTCGCGCTCGATCGCCAGTCGTCGCCCAAAGTCCATGTCGTCAAGCTTGAACACTGCCGTGCCGGCCTGCTGCATCTCGGAAATGGCCTGCAGCGACTCGTCGTACGTGCGCGTCAGCTTGCCCGTGAGCGTGTTGAAGATGTGGACCGCGCGAGACGGCAGCGCGATACACGCAAAATGCGAGTTGTTGGGCGAAAACGTCAGGCTGGTCGGGATCGTCTTGGTCTTTTTAAAGTGGAACATGTCGGTCGATGACTTGAACTGCCACATGCCCGGGATGGAGGGCACACCCCACGGCTCGCTGGGCTGCCAGTACTCGAAGAACCCTGCCTCGTCGGCAGACACCACAACGTCAAACTTGGGCGAGTACTGAAAGCGTTAGTTGGTTCCAAAAGAGCGTAGCTAGACTCACGGCCATGAGATGCACCGGTGCGCGGTGGATTTTTGTCAACTCGTGCAATGCCTGGCCGTCTCCTCGTCCGTCGTATATCCTGATGGTCGGGCTCGACACATCCGACACGGCCAGCATCGACTGGCCCGCTCCGGGCTCGTGCACCCAGCAACACGTCTTGGGCGTGTATCCAAACTTGAAAATGTTGATCATGTCTGCCGTGTGAGCTGAGTGTTTACGGGAATACCAACTCACCAAAGTTGACGACGTCAAACACGCGTCCCTCGCCGTTCGCGCTCACAGTCGCAAACAGCTTACCGTCGTCACTCGCGCTGCACGCCACAATGGCCGAGAGCGAGGTACGGTAGTGCTTGACAAACTCGATCCCTTGGTCCTGCTTCTTCCAGAGCTTGAGGTGGCCGTCCACCGACGTCGTGATGATAAAGTTGGTCCTGGGGGTGAAGTGTCAACAACCGGCAAACCCAGGTTTCTGGCGGCGGGTGGTGCGGGCATCGTCTAGCCCCACCCGCCCAAGCACATGGGCATGACGCTGCGTCGCATACTCCGAGTAGACTCACTTTGTCACATTCACAAAGTTGACATTGTCGCGGTGCATAAACGACTTGTAGTACCGGTCGCTCTCGGGCAGGTGTTCCAGGTAGAGCCGTTCGTGCGGGAGGACGGCGCGCTTCTTCCTGCGCGCACCGTTGCCGGCGCCGTTCGCGTCGTCGCCGCCATCTGGCACCGGCATGGGTCCTGGACAGGGCCGTCAGCACTGAACCAGGAGAAGATGAGCACCGGCGGGGAGGGGGGGGGGGGCGAGGTCCCCGACTGGGGGGGGGGCTCATGTTGATCACACTCGGAATGCCGTCTACGTACCGATCTCATCGTCCGAGTCGTCGTCCACCGGCGGCGCGGGTCCCGGCTCGGGCGAGTCGTCGTCGCGCACGCGCTTGCCCAGCGTTGCGCGTTCTTCGTCGGACATGGTTTAGGTGGGTCGGTGAGATGGGTGGAATGAATGGACGATGGACGTTTGTTTCTGCGAAATGGAGGTCCGGAGATGATCGACATTTCGCTCACGTGGTGCCGATTAGGATCACGTTGTAATGCCAATTAGGAAGGCGGTTTATTTATCATTGTGTTGCTCTTTGTTGTTGTGGCCATCGCCTGCCATCCCACGCATTACTATCCCAGCTGCACCAGCTGCCAGCTGCCATCTGCCATCTGCCAGTTGCATTAAACATTGCATTAGGGCCACATCCATAGTCTAGTTGTCAAAGAACCCCTGGGCCTGCAGCTCCTCCTCGACGCTCTTCTTTGAGCTCCTGACGGTACCGTCGACGACCTGGCGGAAGATGGGCATGACAATGGCCGAGAGCGCAGAGTACACGAGGTCCAGGGGACCGTTCCACGGCACGGGACCGGCAGTCGCCACGCGCACCATGTCGGTCATAAAGTCGTTTGTGATCTGGTAGTTTCCCTTCTCGATGCCGCGGACGAGGTAGCGGACCGCGGCCTCGGGGGAGATGGGCGTGTCGGACTCTTCAATCTTCTTGGTGATGGCGTGTTTGGTCTTTTGCTCGTTCTCGTAGCCGGGCGACAGGATGCCGGCAGGCATGTACAGGTGCACCTTGATGTCGTGGAGGAACATTTCGGCGCGCAGGCTGTCGGCCAGGCCGCGCAGCGCAAACTTGCCAGGAGCGTAGGGCGAGTAGCCGGCGATGGCGGCGTAGCCCACAAACGACGACACAAAGGTGATGGTTCCCTTGACGCGCTGCTTGACCATCATCTTGACGACGGCGTGCGCCGTCCATGCCGAGACCCAGTAGACGCCGTCGAGGCCCTGGTCGTCAGCTGTGGACACCCATAGATGAAGAGTCAAATAGCTAGGAGGACCCAAACACTCACGCTCTTGAGATCGGCCGCCGTGGCATTGACGAAGAGCTGGGGCTTGCTGAATCCCGCACAGAGGAAGACGTAGTCTGGCGCACGCCCTCCAAAGGCCGCACACGCCTCGGCGAGCGCGGCCTCGCTCGCCTCCTGGGACGTGAGGTCGGCCGACACGGCGAACAGCTTGCGCTCGGCATCTCCGCCGGCGAGCTTTTTCAGCCCCGCGATCGTGTCCGCAGACCGGCTGGCGTCGCGCGCAACAATCACGACGTGCGCGCCGCGGCGGACCAGGTCCTCGGCCAGCGCCTTGCCCAGACCGGCAGACCCGCCGGGGACGTAGCAGAACTTGCCGCGCGGGTCGAACGAGGTGCTGCGCGAGAAGAGGCCCATGGCGAGCGTGGACACGAGGACGGCGAGGACGGCGACGGCGGTGGCGAGGACGTAGGGCTCGGTCAGCCTGCTGGTGATGGTGCACATGTGAATGGGGGCGGTGGGTGGAATGGGCCAGCTCGATGTGGACGATTGAGCAGATGATATGACCCCCGAGCGGCCATATGGTGGCTCGAGCCGGCGCCTCGTCGACGACGCGTGTAGGTCACGCGTTGCGTTGCCCCCAAATGCAGCCGAGGCACCGGTGCGTCCCAACCTTGCGCGCTCTCACTCCACACGTTTGTTTCGTTTTTCGCTTCTTCTTTTTCTCAGCCCGTGTTCACTTTATGCATTACGACTCTGCGAGACCTTTGAACAAAAAAACGGAGCCCTAGTGTGTGTGCTTTGAGACAGTGTCCTGTTGCTCTTCCCCGCGCCCCCCACGCCTCCGCCCTCGTTCCCCCATTCTGGCCTCTTCGTCCTCTTAAAAACTACTACACCCGCAACTGGGAGCTTCTAAATCGTACATTTCAGTCACACGCCCACTTTATGGTGTGACTCGTTGCAAATTCCTTTGCCGCCAGACAGCTTTTCTTCCACCAGACAGGACACTTGAAACTGTGCAAGAATGGGAGGGGTATAGCGACGTCGTGGGGGGTCTTGAGCGCGCGCGAGAGGTAAAGGTTTGTTTGTTATTGTTGGTGTGGTTTGGTTGAGTTGGTGGGTCTGCGGACATGTGCAAGCAAGACTGGTTGGTTGTAGGAGGGGTGAGGAGCGCCGCTTTCTCGACGGCGCTGGGATTCGGTGGGTGGAGGGGGGTTTCGTTGAGGGTAGATGCTGGCTTGTGATTGCAATGCAGTTACGCCCAAGCGCCCGAAATGGTTGGGGATAGAGGCAGGTAAGGAAGACAACAATCATGGTACCGGAAACGTCGATGCGCGGGTGTGTGTGTGGGGGTGGGGTTTGGGGCCTCAGAGAAGCTGGGGAGGGGGGAGGACAGAGAGCTCGCTCGCTCGCTTAGTAGCTCTGGGCCGTCGGGTTGTTGGGAGGCGACTGGTGGTTTTGCAAGCTCTTCCGCTTCGACTTTGTCATCTCCTTCTTGAGCGCCGCGCCATCGAGGGGCTTGAGCAGCTCAAACGAACACAACAGGTCCTCTGAAACCGACATGACCGCACCAAAGTTGTCAAACTCGCCACAGTAGCTGTTTGGGGTCAGTCAATGACATTCTGACATGGGTTTGGGGGATGACTCACTTTGGCGCCGAGAAGACCGTCACCAGCGTCCTGTCGTTGTAAAACTCGTAGCCGTCCTCGACCACCATGTGTGCTCGGCAGATGAGGTCCATGTCGTGGGTGGCCAAGAAGGCGTTGATGACGCTCTTGCCGTAGCAGAACGACACACCGCGCTCATTGTCCTCCCAGTCGAGGGCCGTGTCCGAGGGGTCTGACCAGACCAGGTCGTTCAAGAGACCATAGTCGGGAACGTCCGTGGGCCGCTGGATGCGGCGAATGTCGTCCATCGACTGCAAGCTCGGGGAAAGACCGCCGTGGACACAGAAGATCTTGCTGGCAACAATCGAGGCAATCGGGAGCGCGTTGAACACGTCGATAAATGTCTTCCAGGTCTTGATGTTTGTCCTGCGCTTGCACTCGTCGTAAAAGCCGTACACGCGGGTCACGTTGGCGCACTCGTGGTTGCCACGGAGGAGGAAGAAGTTCTCGGGGAACTTGATCTTGTAGCAGAGTAGCAGCAGGATCGTCTCGAGCGACTGCTTGCCGCGGTCTACATAGTCGCCAAGGAAGAGGTAGTTTGCCTGGGGAGGGAAGCCGCACATTTCAAACATGCGGATGAGGTCGGCGTACTGGCCGTGGACGTCGCCGACAATCTTGACGGGCGGGCTGAGCTCGATGAGGGTGGGCTGGGCAAGGAAGATCTCGCGCGCGGCAGCGCACACGGCCGCAATCTCGGCGTTCTTGAGGGGAGGCGACTTGGTCACCTTTCCGCTGTAACCAGCCTCCAGCAACCTTGAAATCATGCTGTCGACATCGAGACCTGATGCGGGAAGAGCGGTGATGCTCGAGCGGCTGACTGTCTGGGTCAACGCGTCACCAGGTGAAAGCGACGACCCCGAGTTGGTGTGAGCATGGCCCGAGGGGGATCCTGGGCGTACGCCTGGCGAAGCCGGCGACGCGAGGGGAGGGGGAGGCGAGGATCCCAGGCCGGGTCCGCGAGGAGTGAGGATGGTGGGGGTTGCGGGGGACGTGGGTGTGTCTGACGCAGCTGAGCGACCAGACGCCGAGTCGTACGAGCCCTGCTGCACTGGTGTGCGGATGCTGGGGCCGTTGGCTGCGGGGGGGCTGGGAGGGTGAAGTGTCAGTCACGCGATGCAGGTGGAGAAGGCAGGCAGCCGAGGCGTTGGTCATCGCGCGCAGTACTCACTTTTTGCCATTACGGGCAGCATCGGCGCCGCCGGCTCCACTGGCAGCGTCGAAGCGGTTAGGCCCAGAGGACAGCTTTGTAGCTGCGAGAGAGTCGGCAAGGTCGTTGGCCGAGAGTTCCTTGGACCGGGTGCGGCCCATCTTCTTGGATGGTGTCTGACCCATGGTGAATGGGGGGGATGCGGTGCGGAGGTTGGGGAGGAAGGAAGGTGGGGTTGGGCGGCAAGAAGGGGCCGGGGGGGGCGGGGATTGTCAAAGGAGTGGGTCCGAGGTTTTGCGAGTGCGCTCGGCGATGCACGGAGGGGGGAGGGGGTGTATGCGCCCTAGTGGATGGGTGCGAGGGGATGAGGATGAGGACGAGGATGGAGAGAGAGAGAGAGAGAGTGTTGGACTAGATGGATGGGCGAGACGGGATATGGGCTTGACGCGTTCAGGCTCCCGAGTCGGTTCACAGCGCGCGGTGTGGCTGGGTGCGGGGGTAAAAGGGAGAGTGAGGAGCGGCGGGGGCGGCTACCACATGTATATGCACGATGCGAGTCGTGCGAGTGTGTCGGGGTGTGGGATGTGTGGAGGAATGGGGGGTGTTGGGGGGTGGATGGGGGTGGTGGTGGTGATGATGCCAAGGGAGTAATGGACGGGATGGAAAGAGAGGGGGATGGGAGGGGGGGGGGGGGGGGGGAGGGGGCTGTGGGTGTGTGTGGTGGGTGGGTGGTTGCAGGGGACAGAGAGAGGGGGAGGGCCGCGCGCGCGCGCGGGCGGGGCGGCCAGCGGCGGCGGCAGCAGCAGGCGGTCGGCGGGTGTGGTCGATGGGAGGGCCTGGAATCGCACTCGCTCGCTCGCTCCGCCCCCGTCGACGTCCGCCGCTCTGCCGTCCACGCCTGCGCGCGACAGCTCCTGGCCACATGGGGGTTTCCCTCATTCTAATGCAGGTCATTAATAGCCAAGGAGCCTGCGCATCTACCCGCTATGCAGTGCTCGCTGTCGGCGGTGGGCCCATAGTCGTTGCAACAATGCCCGCACGGCTGCACTGGTGTAACCGAAGACCCAGCGAGAGAGAGAGTGACCGGCATTCCCGTTACGCGAACAGTGAGCCAAAACGTGAACAGCCGTCAACCCCCGAGTCGCAGTCGTCACAACCGCGTCACCAGTTCACCAGCGATCCAGCGAGTCTCGGGTCAACCAGCCAGCTGCCAAAAGCCATCAAAAGCAAAAGCCCACAATGCCCCCCCCCCCGTCTTCCTGCCAAAAGCGGCATGTAGCCATTGTGCCACCACCAGGCCACCAGACCACCAAGCCAGCCTCGACTACCCGCGTACGCAGAACACACAAGCACACGTACGCCAAGACGCTCTGCACTGCTATCGGCTGTGCTGTATTTCTCCGTAAGTGGGACGCGCATCCTGGTGCGCGCGCGCGCGCCTGCTGTTTTGTTCCACGCTTCTGTGAACATCTGCGATCTGCGATCTGTACTGTGTGCGATCTCGTCTCTGCCATCAGCCATTAGCCATGGGTCCCTGGTCTGGCGTCCCGGCGTCTATACGCCTGTAGCCTTGTTGCGCATGTTGCGGGATAGCCGACACGCGACACAACCCTGTACCAACACCACCCGATGTCCGACGGATGGACACCCTACATGAGCTCTCCCGAACAATGACGCGCTCTCTCTCTCTCTCTCTCTCTTGCTCTCTCGCTTCGCTTTCTCCAATATTACACGGACACGCCTCTCCTGCCAGTTCCCCCGCGAGATTTGCTGTGCATGCTGGGGGCCATAATAAGCATACACGTGTCGCCACACACGTGAGCATGAGCGCGCGTGGGGGCAGCATGCAAAAAAGAAGGACGAAATCGACTCTCACATTAGCCAATTCCTAATCAATAAGCGAGTTGGTAATTACCCAGTCCTATCCGGTTTCTGCCGTTCCAAAATAACGGAAGGAGCAACCCCTTGCGGGAATTCCACTGTCAGTGAAAACCCGTTAGCTTCCCGGCTAAGTTGGTCCTGGATTGTCAGATTCTGCACCCTGGGAAGGTCAGAGTTCGAATCCGGGAGGGCGAACACGTTAAAACACCGGCCAGTGTGACCACGCCGTAAATCGCGCGTGGGGACCACATGGGGTCTGAGCCATGGGACCGAGTGGGGTCTGTACCACACGACCACCATGGGGTCTGAGCCATGGGACCGAGTGGGGTCGGTACCACCGGGAGGGGGGTAGAGAGCGGGAAGGCTCGACCAGGAGCGAGCAGGGGGAGGCTCATTAGGAGAGAGCAGAGAGGCTCATTAGGAGAGAGCGGAGTGGCTCATTTGAAGGAGGGCAGGCGGCCCAAGTTCTTTTAACCCTTTTGCAGACGGTAGGGCCGGAAAACTTACGTAATTTATTTGAAAGCTTCCGGTCACAACAACATAACCCTTTCAGAAGAGCGCCAATCTCGCCCCGTTGACACTCCACCATATACCATCACCAACATCGCACGCATCCTGCGGTACATCGTCCTCCTTCACCCCTTTCCCCAGCCATGGCGCACCCTTCCTCACACGACACGCTTCCCTCTGCGCTCTCGTCGCTTTTCGAGTCGCCTCACCACCACTTCCTGCCCGCTGGCGGCGACGAGAATGACATTCTGATCGACCCCTCGCTCGAGGACGCAGCCGCCGCAGTGGCAGTCGCACAGCCTCCCGTCTCCGAGTCGGTTCCCCATGCCGATACTGATGTCGATGTCGATGCCGCTGCAGCCGCCGCAGCGACTGCGCTCGAGCTGGCCGAAAGCGATGCTGGGGCCGACGTCAAGCACGACGACAACCGCAAGACCCGCGGTACACGTCGGTCCGACCCCAACGCCCTCGAAGTCACGCTCATGTCTCTCCGTGGCGAGAATGACCGTCTCCGCAAGATGATCGCCGCCCTGGAGGGCACGATAATGCCCGGCCCGACCGACCTGGACGGTGACGACATTATTGCGCAAAACACGCTGCGCGAGCTGGCCACAGCTGCTGTCAGCAGTGGTGAACTTGCCGGGTTTGGATTTGAGAGTCTCCAGCAGCACCTGGAACAGCAGGCCCACCAGCTCGACGTCCCCGAGCCATCCCTCTCCGGCGTCGGCGATATCGGTGGCGGCATCGGCGGCGAAGACGGACCCAGCGAGGGGACTGCCGCCGACTTTCTCCACGGACTCGTGACGCAAGTGACAGAGGCACAGCCATTGCCACACGCCGAATCGGATCCATTCTGGATCACGCGTGTCGCGCTCGAGAACGAGATTGCTGCCACGCGCGCGTTGATTGCCGCCAAGGAGTCGGAAATCAGCGCCTTCCGCGACGGCACGGTCGCGCTCCCCATCATCGAGCCCGTGGACCGCGCCCAGCTCGATGCCCAGGTCGCCAAGACGGCTACCGCGCTTGATGCCAGCAGGAACAAGGCCGCAGTGCTTCGTGACATTGCCGAGCGCATCGAGGAGAACCGCCTGGCGCTGGAGCTCGAGGTCAGCGAGAAGCGCGACGAGCTGGCCTCGTCGTTTGTCCACGACGGTGAAGAAAGCGGCGACGGACACCGTGCCCTCGTCGAAGTGCGGTCGTACCTCGAGGGCGTGCTCAAGCTGTGGAAAGATGTAAGCCGCAGCAAAAGAACCTGACATGTTTGGCTGGCTTGCTGACCCTATTATTACAGAAAGGCGCACTCCCACCTGCCCCACTCCCGTCGTTCCCAATGCTCCTCCGTGCCGAAGGTAATCTTCAACCACCGCCTTCGACCTTGCCCAAGAAACGCGGACGTCCCGCCCGCTCGACCCAAAAGCCCTCCGTCGTGCCCGCCGCCCTCGCCCACCTCGTACCGGACACCGAGACGGTCCGCCAGCGCGAAAAGGACATGCCTATCCGACGCAAGGGCATCAAACGCAACAAGGTTGAGCTGGAACGCGAAAAGCAGCGAGAGGAGGAAGAGGGCGAGATGCTCCGCAGCCTCGTTGGCATCGGGGTCTGGACTCGCGAGCCCGGTTACGTCGAGGGCGAGCTGGAGGCATAGGAAGAATGTACAGAGGAGGTCTGGCCGGGGGGGGGGGGCGCGAGAGAGCATGCACTGTATCTGTAGTCATTGACTGACATGCCGCTAACTGCCGCGCGGCTATCTACTGTTCCTCATTGTGGCCAAGGCTGGCTCAGTAACAGTGGTGTTCTACATTCTGACTACCCTGTCCGTCTCCAGAGACGACGCTCGCTGGGTTGTCCAGACCACCCACCTCCACACCCTCACCCTCACCCCCACCCCCACCCCCTCTCCCCGTCACCGTCTCCCGCCAGCCACCGGAATTGCCCGTCCGTGGCACCTGGACCTCCCCATCCGTCATCCGTCGGATACTCGGGAACGTCCGGCGATGCCAAGACGCGTGAGGATCGCCCCCAGGGCCTTATGGTGAACATGTAACCCTGATCGACGCGGTCCTCACACCATGAGACCTGTGAAGAACAACGTCGCCGTCGCCGTCGGTCTCGACGATGACGACGGCCCGTGGCGTTTGTTCGCAGACGTCTCGCTGGGCACTGCGTTCCATTCCCTTCCCGTGTCATTCGTCTGCTGCACCCTTCCCTTCGGCCTTCGCTTATGGCCCTTGGGCCCAGACTTTGTCGAATGTCAGGAATACTGCAGGAGATACCATGTATCGATTGCATGCGCAGACCAAATGCTATACACTAACTAACACGTGCTGAAAAATGTGCCGAGAAATAAAAAGACGATGGGTAAACGATCTCTGGATCGCTGGGGTCTAGGGCTGTACTGTTGTCTACGCCTTCTCCTTGTCCTTGCCACCCGCGACCTCCACTGCCTCACCTTCCTCATCCACCACACTGCCGTTCTCGGCATCCACCGTCTTGTCCTTGCTGGGCGCTTTACCGTCCTGGCCTACTTGGCTGACAATGCCGATACCATGCAGCGTCGCCGCGGCCAGCGCCAGGGCCGTGAACGCGCACGCAGCAGACAGCCAGAAGCTCGCGTGCAGGCCCTCGAGCAGCGCGTCCACTTCCTCCACGCCGCGCGCCAGGGCCTTGTTCTGGTACGCCGTGGCGATGACCGAGGTGAGGGTCAGGCCGAACGAGCCGCCCAGCTGGAGCAAGGTCTGGAAGAGGGCTGCGGCGACGGACTGTTCCTCGGGCAGCGCGAGGCGCGAGACGAAGATGGCGCCGGTGGGCATGAGGCTGCGGGCCATGTTAGCGGGGTGTGACTGGAAACGCTACGCTCTCCACAGCTACCGTGACCGCTCTCTTCTCTGGACTCACAAATCAGCGCCGATGACGACGAGCCACATGGAGCAGAACGGCAGGCCCCAGTAGTTTTCGTCGCGCTTCGAGATGGCCATGAACGTCGCGGCCAGGCCGGTACAGATGAGGCCGAAGCAGATGAGGATCTGTGTCGGGACGCGGTGGACGACGCGGGACACGACGAACGCGCACAGCAGGCCCGAGATGGGCGCCGGCAGGAAACGGAGGAGCGCGCCAATCGTGCCCGTCATCTGCACTTGCTGGTAGAAGAGCGTCGTGTGGTATCCGATGCTGACAAAGCCGAGCCACGCGACAAAGCCGACAAAGTAGATGGCGCCCAGGCGGCCGTTGGCGCGCGTGAACAGCGAGAGGCGCATGAGCGGCGCCTTATTCGTGTAGTGGATGGTGTAGTACTCCCACGCAAAGAAGGCCGGCAGGAGGATGAGCGACACGGCGAACAGCGCCGGGATGTACGGCGTGCGCCAGCCGTGGGGCGCACTCATGCCGTCGCTGACGGTGAACTGGAGCAGGACGAGACCGCAGGTGACGAGCGCGGCGCCGATCCAGTCGATGCGGCGCGCCTCCTTGCCCGAGGCCTCCTTCTTCGGGTCGGCGGGCACGAAGAAGACGGCCAGCGCGACAATGACCACTGCGACGCCGGTAAAAATCCACAACACGGTGCGCCACGTGTAACTGGTGTACGACGACAGCACACCACCGAGAACCATGCCCATCGCGCCGCCAAAGGGTGCGCCGGCCGTGAAGACGGCGAACGCGGTCGCGCGCGTCTTGCCGTGGATGTTGGCGGCGATGATGCCCATGCCGGACGGCAGGCTGCGGCCCGTCAGCGAAAAAAAAAAGGTTGCCACACTCATGTGTGTCATTGTGATGCTCACCCCATAGCGGCGCCGATACCGGCCAGCGCACGCGTAACAATCAGCGCGGCGCCAGAGTGCATAAAGCTGCCGACGAGGCACCAGATGGCATACCAACCGAGTCCGACGATGAAACACTTTTTGCGGCCGTACGCGTCCGCCAGGCGGCCGGCCAGGAGCAGGAAACAGCCGTTGGTCAAGGCGTACGCGCTCGAGATCCACTGGAGGTTGGACTCGAGGATGCCCAGCTCCTCCTGGATGATCGGCAGGGCAATGTTCAGACCCTGCTGCGCGGCCGACGACATGGCCATGGTGAATGCCACAATCACAATCAGCCCCACGCGCCGTGTGGGCGACAGCGTCATCTCCTGGTCGTGCACGCCGCGCTCGCTGGCCGCAGGCGTCGCGCTGACGGCTACGGTCGTGTCGTCGCTCTTCTCCGGCGCGCTGTCGCTGGCCACTGGCATGACCAGGTCAGAGCCCGAGTCGCTCCCCCGCCGGGATATCTCGCCCAGGCCCTTGTCATCCTTGTCATCCTTGTCGTCGTAGGATACTTCCGAGCCCACGACTGTCGGCGTCGGCGGGTTGCTCAGAGTGGCGACGCGCGGGAACGATGGCAGCTGCGGGGCCTCCGATGTGGAGGTGGTGTTTTTGTTGTTGTTGGTGGTGGTGGTGGTGGTGGTGGTGGTGGTGCGAGTGCTGGTGTCTGGATGCAAATCCAGCGATGAGGCCGCCATGTGTGATGGCGGGCGTGGGAAGGATGTGGGGAGTGTATAGTAGTCTTGCCTCGTGCGTCAAGATGGACAAGAGCTCTGCAGTGGGCGTCGGTGTATCGCTCAAAGTCGAAAGTTGACACTGGGTGGCCGGAGGGTAGTGTGACGGTCGTTTATCGCCGCCTAGGGTGGTTGGTCGTGCGTGTTGCGCTGCAGATCTCTCGTCGCAGCTGGTATTCCAAGAAACCAACGAGATATGGGTAATGGTTGAACAGTGACATCCACTGCGTTTCGACGGGAAAGGTATATACGGAAGACCGAGAGGAACCCACCAACGCCTCGGTATCTCGCCCATCGGTTGTCCCCGAGAGCCTCTAGTTTTACCGCCATGTCTCCGGACGGTTCGAGCCCCACTCTTTTTCTTCCCCCTCGCCGCCCAATGCATCCCCGCTACGCCTCCGCAGCAAGCCATGTGCATTCAGACTCTAGACGAGCGCGTTTCTCTGCACGTCTGCAGTGTGCTTGTCGCACGCATCACACGCCAGCGCATACAACGCTGCGTGGGGAGAACCCCGCGGATGTGCAATTAATTAACGGATTGCGACGAATATTGTGGGCTCGGAAATGGCCGACAGAAAAGCACCGTGCCTGCGGAGGGTGCTGCGGCAACCAGTTGGGTGCAGCTGCTGGTGGGTGGTGGCTCGCTCGGCATGCTGCTTTCGCTCGTGATGGTCTTGGCTCCTCGTCTCTGCTTCCTAATCATACCCATCCAAGTCTTCTCGATCTCGGCTCCTTCGGTTCCATCCCCGGTTTCTTATGCTTTACCCGAGAAGTGCAATCAATGCGACTGACTGGGAGGGAGTCATTGCTGATCACAGATCACTGGGACCCAAAATTTCCTTCTATCGTGAAAACGCTGCGTCTCCCAGTTGATCTCCTGATCTCCTGATAGCCTCTGTACACCTCTGTGTATTCGCAGAACATTGTCGCCCATAAGTTTGAACCGTCCGAGCTCACAAGACGTGCGACAGACTCCCAAATGCGTGCTCGCCAGCCAGCCTTCGCCGTGCTAGGTTGCCGCCAGGAGGGCTCCCGGAATATCGGAATCGGAACAGGGCGTAATTCCTCACCGAGGATCCCGTCAGACGACATGAGCCTGACATATATGCCCATCTCAAAAGACCGAGATGAAGAACAGTAAGCCTGTAAATTACGTAAGAGACTCTTTAGATCACGTGACTTGAGGACCCCGCCGGCCCTCCGAATGGAACGTCGACGGCCCCTCGCGTGCAGCCAACGATGCTTCGATAGAACAACTCTGTCGATAGCTACACCAACCGACTCACCTTCTCGGCTGCTCACGATGGCACCCAGAACCCAGACCAGGGCCCCCGCAGCTCCCGCCGCGCAGCCCAAGACTGCCGACGGCCGTCGCAAGTTTACCCCTCGCGCGCCCGCGACCGTCGCCGAGCGCCTGCCCAAGCTGTACCGCGCCCTTACGGACCAGGTCAACGACGGATACTTTGACAATGCCAAGAAGACTTGCAAGCGCAGTGAGTGGCCGTGGTGCGGATGCCTTGCATTGAGCGTGTAATTCTAGCTGTCACTGTCTACAGACGCAGCTGGAGATGCAGTCATTCAAGACTCGCCGCTAACGCACAGTCCTCACCCTCGACGCGGCCTCGACGTCTGCCTTCCAGACCCTCCTCTTCCTCTACCTCCACACGGACGACTACACCTCGGCCCTCGAGCTGGTCAACAACCCGCCGGCCCCGTCGCCGCCCGCCCTCGAGTTTGAGCGCGCCTACTGCCTGTACCGCCTCAAGCGCGAGCGCGAGGCCCTTGCCGAACTCGAGAAGATCGCCTCGCGCGACAGGCAGGAGAAGCACCTCGAGGCCCAGGTCGTGCGTGCTTGCTGCTGTGTTGTTGTCTGTTTTGGTCATGCTGACGATTGCGTTTTTAGCGCTACCGCCTCGGCGAGTACGACGCCGCCCAGGCCGTGTACAACGAGCTGCTCGCTTCCGCTCCTCCCGTGAGTTGTTCGCCGCCTCCACGGATGATGAGCTCAACTGACACTCCCACAGTCGTCGTCCGAGGCCGAGGACATCCGCACCAACATGGCCGCGACGGCCGCGCACATCTCGTTCATCACGCGCAACTATACCGCGCACCTGACTGCCCCCGTGGTCGACAACGGGCCCCTCAGCGCCGGCATCAAGGCGTACACGCCGCAGCAGGGCGAGGTGGAGAGCTACATCCCCACCGTCCCCACCGGATGGGCGCGCGCCCTCGCCGCCGCCGACAATGGCGGCAAGGTGTCCACTGCCGCCGCGGCGTCGAGTTCCAAGAAGCCCGCAGCTTTTGCCGGCGCCGCCGCCGCCGCCGAGAAGAAGCGCGACAAGCCGCGCCACGCCCTGCCCAAGGGCGCGGTGCTCGGCAAGCCGTTCACCCAGGACGTGAGTGGTGTGCAGCTGGGACATCGTAAAATGCGTAGCTGACAAAACCTCACAGCCCGACCGCTGGCTCCCCCTCCGCCAGCGCGCGAGCTACCTCGCCCCCACGGCTGGCAAGGGCGGCAAGAAGAAGGAGCTCACGGGTCTCGGCACGCAGGGCTCCACGAGCGGTGGTGGTGGCGGCGGCGGCGCAGGCGGTGGTGGTAACAAGAAGAAGGGGAAGAAAAAGTAGAGCGGGCGTTGAGAGCCGGGCCCGCCCCCCTCGCTGAATGATGTGGGTGGTATGGTGCGGAGGTGATGGAATGATCTTTAATGCTGCGACGTCGCCTCTGTACTCGCCCGCGCTGGCTACTGACAAGGGCTCATTATTCTCCAGAAGTGCGCACCTTGTGCAGACTACCACCGAGGCGAGCCACCATGTGCGCATAGGTTTCCGGACTCAGCCAGCAGAATCCCAGCACTGCCCCCAATGACACAATGATCCTCTATACATGAACATGACAAGCTAGCACGACCCATGCCCTTTGCTCTAGTCTATCGTCCTCTGGCCTCTGGGCTGCCCTTGTTGGCGTTTATCTCTACTGTACTCCGTTCTCCGTATTGTCCGTACTCGTCTTGTTGGTTGTTTTGGGGGCCGTTTTTGCTTTGCGAGGTCGGGCCACCACCTACTTCTTGGACGGCTTGGGGAGGTTCTTGTAAATGACAAGACCGCTGAGAGCCAGGACGTAGCCAAAGACCTGGACGGGGGTGACGGTGCTCGCGAAGAAGAGCACGCTCGAGGTGATGAGGAGAATGTCCTGTTTGTCAGCTTGGGCGCGTGGTATTAAGTTAGCTCACCTTGAAGACTCCCGCAAGGGTGAGCACGAGGCCGCCTGCAGCGCCGATGAGGAACACGGCGGCGACGTTGAGGCCGAACGCCACCATCGCGTTGGTCGACATGACAAAGAAGCCGATGCGCGGGAGCTCCAGGAAGGGCGCCCAGCCCTCGGTGAAGGGCAGGAAGCACGCGTTGATGATGGCACACACGGGCGCGTAGTAGTGCAGCGAGCAGAGTGGGTCCATCTGAAGTGTGAGCGTGGCTCACGGCGACGATATGACCGAGGGCCTGGTCGATGTCTGACAAGTAACTCACCTTGAGTCCCTGGAGGAGGATTTCGATCATGACGAGGCGTGACGATTCAAACTGGTGGGTCAGCGATAGCACCGTATGTGCAACCCACGGCAACAGCGCTGGTCTGGAAGAGGAAGCCCATAAGCTCAAAGTGCATCTCGCCGTATGCAGCTGGACGGGTTAGCTTTGTACTACTTGTGCAGCGACTGGACACCCACCGAGAGCGCAACCCAGGGAGATGAGCTAGGACAGGTCAGCACCCAAAACCATTCTTGGAGTCTTCCCTGTACGCACAACCACGATCGCCAAGAGCTTGGTGTTGAGGGGCTGGATCTTGAACGCTGCTGAAATGAGGACAATCGAGACTGGCGTAAAGGCCTGCACCGTTAGTGAAACGCGCTCCGGACGCGGGAACTGCCGGGTACAAACCTTGAGCATCTGGATAAAGGACACGCTGAGACTGTTCTGTCAGCTGCGGAGTCTTTTGACCAGCTCACGTCAAGTACGCCGAGTTACTCAGAATCAGCGATCCAGAGAACAGAATGCCGATGGGGACAATGGACTTGAAGTAGACCTCCCTCTGGAAATGTCAGTTAGCCTCGCTAAGGATAACTCACAGTCATGGGGATGCGGTCGAGCCCATCCATGAGGTTGGTGGTCAACCGAAGGACGCGCGTGCCGAGCGCCTGGAGGTCAGCTAAGCAGACAGTCTGGAAAGCGGATACTTACAGCCATTCCCAAGTGGTACGAGGTGCTACACATTAGCAGGCTTCCAACATCGCAGGCGGTGTACTAACAGGAAGACGGGCTGTGGAAGTCAGTACTTGCGCCTTGCTAACCAGCTGGTTGCAGAGACTCACATAGGGAAAGTCGAGGTTCGAGTACAGGTACTCTTTGGGCCATGTCAGCTGTGTCTGTTCCCCCGGTCTGCTGCTGCTCCCATGCCAACGTACTGTTGTAGATGATGACCGCCGAGGAGAGGGCGATCCAAATAGGCACTGTATGTTAGCTATGTCGACCGAACTCCGGCAGGCAGCTACACACCGATAGTCGCCGCCTTGAGGTTTATGCGCTTGGGCTGCCTCGTGTCTGACAGATCGATGGATCCTGCCTTCTCCTCGTAGTACTGGCTGGTCAGTAACCCGTGGGTAGCCCCCCCCTCGTTCCGCGCGGGTCCGGTGTCCGTGTTGTCCGGAACGACACCGCCAAGACTCACTGCATGGTCACTGCCTCCGTTGTGGTCGTCGCCAAACGTGCGCTGAGGCGAGCGGTCCCGCGTCTTGGAGCTGTGGATTTCCGCGTTGAAGAGGCTGGCAGGCGTCCCCACCGGGCTCGATGGCGAGTGTGTAGGGAGGATGGGGCTGAGGTTGGCCTTTGGAGCCATGGTTTATGTGTGAAGGAAGGGCGGTGTTTGCTCAGAGAGAGAGAGAGAGAGAGGGGGATGGAGGGGCAGTTGTGGGGGCAAGCAAGACACACGGGGGAGCTGCTGCGTGTCTGTGTTTTTGGTGGGGGAGGAGGCAGGAAGGAAACGAATGTAGGCGAACTGGGTGATGGTGTGCTTGATAGTGGAAACGCGGGTTTGCACGAAAACCACAGGATCGATAATGAGAAGCAAGCCAAGCTGGGATATGGGCTATGGCGGTTCCCGTGGAACAAGAGTCGTCGGTACACGCGGTACGCGCAGTACGCGAGAGCTACTGTAATGCGTGTGTGGTGGAGGGCTGATGGATGGCGGCGGCGGCAGGCGCCAAGGCTGTGGGTGGTGGCCGTGTGGGTGGTGACTGCAGGGCAATGAGAGGTGACGCAAATGGCGCGCGCGCGTGGATTGCTGCGGACGAGTGTGGGGTGGAAGAGAGAGGGTTGGGTCTGGGCAGTTGCACGACCTGTTTTTCTGTGACAAGAGACGTCGTGGTGGGGTGTGCAATGCAACAAGTGTTGTTGGGCGGCCTGTTTGGTGAGCCTTTGTGTCAGGACGACCGCGAGTAGTAGAGTGTTGCGGTCGATGCATCAGAAACATGCACAGTGTTCCCGCGCGCGCCTCAAGAGCCCTGTCTGTCCCGCCATGCCCGCCAGCCAACTCGGCAGCTTGAGACACGCCTTTTTCAGGCCACTCTGTGCTCTGTGCATCGACGCCGAGAGCGCTCTCTCTCCCCTCGTCTCTCTCCCCGTCCTTCCCGGCGCACCCGCCATCTTTTGACCGTTGCCCCGTTGCCCCGTTCCCGGCGCCGTCGCTCGTCGCCCGCGATCGCCCGTCGCCCGTCGCTGCCGGCGGACCGGCGTCCTCGGTTTCCTTGGTTTCGTCCCTGTGATGCATCTCCCAGGATAGAAAAGCAAGCAAGTGTTCCCTGCACCACCCCGCCCCCGCCGGGACCAAATATATCCGTGCAACCACGGAGATTCCCTCCCAACTCCATCTTTTGCCGCCACCACCACCCTTCGGCCGACGGACTGTGGTGGGTTGTTCTTTCGGGATGCTCCGTTCGACGCGATCCTGCTCACCCCGCTCACCGCGTCACGCCAGGCCAGAAGCAACACCTCTTTACAAACGACACAGGGTCCATTTGCTTCTCACACGTCTCTCTCAACACATCGCCCACTCCTCACTCCATACCAGGGAGGTCCCCCCCTCGCCCCCCCTTACAACAATGTCCGCAAACGACTACTTTTCGGCAAGTATTCCGCTCCTCTCGGCCCCCTCGCGTATATGCTGTATGCTGACATCCGCTCCAGGTAGTCGCGACCTTTATCGCGTTGCGCGAGACGCTCGAGGCCGGCATTATCAGTACGTCATAACAGGTGGCCACAGACCTGGTGCAGCAACACATTTACTAACCTGGCTCCTCCAGTCGCCGTGCTACTCGGCTTCATCGAGCAGCTCATGCCCCACCGTCCCGGTGGCAACAATGAGGAAGCCACCGGCAGCCGCACGGAACTCCTCGCACGCGGCAGCACCGCTAACGAGTCTGCCGAGCCTGCCTACCTGACCTTCCCCGACGGCACGCGCCGTGAAAGGCGCAACAGCGAGCGCTGCCCCGACATTCCCCCCGAGCTCCTGTCGCCGGCCGTCTCTGCATTCTCCATCGCCGACACGGACGCTGTCGACGTCAGCGAGGGCGAGAACACTGACGACGAGGGCGACGGCGGACCTAGTCGCCACCCCAAGCACAAGTACGACCGCGAGGCGCTTGTGCGCTCCCTCAAGACGCAGGTATGGACCGGAGCGCTTCTCGGTCTCGCGGCCGCTAGCGCGCTCGGCGGCGTCTTTCTCTACATCGTGAGTGTCCAAATAGCACGGCAGGAATAGCACAGCAACGGGAAACCGGCCAACTGCGCAAGGTACCGCGTGTGCGCGTGCCACTGGACCATTGGAGACCGAGGGTCACCGAAGCCTTCGGACTCTTGGAACCGACTCTTGGCATCGGCCGGGACACTGCAGAGAAGCTAACGGTGCTAGTTTTACACCTTTGCCCACGACCTGTGGCAGGACGCCGAGAACCTCTGGGAGGGCATCTTCTGCGGCATTGCATCCATCATGTGCGTATCTGATAAAAACTGGGGTCGCTGCGCAGCGCAGTCTGGCAGTATGGGACTATACTGACCTGTGCCAGTATCTTGATCATGGGCCTGGCGTTCCTCCGCCTCCCACATGCGCGCACAAAGTGGCGCCTCAAGCTCCTTTCGGCCGTCGAGGGGTCGGCCGGCGTTGACCGCAACGGCCACCCTCGTCACCACCACCATGGCAACCACAACAGCGAGCACCGCCGCAAGGTGCGCGCGCGTGCTGCTCGCGGCTGGATCCTGTTTGGTCTCCCGTTCATCACCGTCCTGCGCGAGGGCCTCGAGGGTGTGGTCTTCCTCGGCGGCATTGGCATCACCGACAAGCCGCGTGCCATCCTCTTTGGCGCCCTCACTGGCTTTGCCATTGGCGGTTTCCTCGCCTACACGCTCTTCTCGCGTAGCGAGACCATGTCGCTGCAGCACTTTACGACGTTTTCGACCATTGTCCTCTTCCTCATGGGCGCCGGCCTCGCGAGCCGCTCAGCATACGCCCTCGAGCGCCAGTACTTTATCAACGGCGTCGGCGCGGCTGCCGCCGAGTCTGGCGACGGTCCGGGCTCGTACCGCGTCGCCGGCAACATCTGGAAGCTGACATGGGGCAACCCCGAGATCGGCCACGAGGGCTACAGCGGCTGGTACCAGCTCGCCCAGTCCCTTGTGGGCTGGAACAACATTGGCACCGTGTGGACCGTCGGCACGTACCAGCTGTACTGGATCGTCATCACCGCCGTCCTCATCCGGATGAAGTACAGGGAGGGCCGCACCGAGCTCTTTGGCCACCGGTCCAAGCGCGGATGGGCGATTGAGCGCCGCCGCCGGATCGCCCGTCGCGAGGACGGCGAGGAGGAGGGTCTCCTGTCCGCCCACGGCGGCGGCGAGGCGTCTGGATCCAGGCCGAGCGAGGAGGCGCAGTAGTGTGTTGTTTGTACGTTATACCACAACCCCCTAGCATCAGTAACGACCCCCCCCCCCACCACAAATCAAAACGCCCCACGCCACACCCACCACCGCGACTCTCGCACCCATCTGCACTCTAATGATTACCTGCCGTAGATTTGCCACGTTATGCAGTGTACAGCGACGCCTGCGGCGGCGCTGTAGCACCCGTCTTCCAATTCCTGCTGCTTGTGGCCTGTTGTCTGCGCAAAGTCTCCCCGGTCCATCCAGCTAATGTGCACACAGTGGCATGACATAATATTCGTAACATAAAGACTGCTGTACACATAATCAAAAGCGGATCTGATACGTCCCGTTCGCTTTTGTGAGGAACCTGACCTGGGGAGGGTTAGCTCATGGCCACGACTGTTGGTTGGGATAACGAAACAACCTACCCATTTAACCGAGTTGTAGCCGCTCTTCTCAAACACCTTGAGGTAGCGGACGAGCAGACCGGACGCGGTGAACATGACGACAGAAAAGTCGAGCTCGATGGGCGGTCGCGACCAGGCCTGCTTGGTGGTCGTCATGGCGAGGTTGGCCTCGGCCGTGAGGGTACACTCCTGCATGCCCTGTATCCTTGAAATCTTCCACACAATGTGGTTTTCTCCAGGGACATACTTTGCCTTGCCCATGCCGACCTTTGCGTCGACCTTGACCGTGTTGAGCGGGGTGGGGATGCGGATGACGACGTTGTTGGCGTTGAGCTTGGAGTCGAACGCCGCCTTGAGGTGGATCGTGTACTCGACGCGGTTCTTGGTCGGCTCGTTGACGTGCGTCTGCAGCCGGAACGGCAGGTTGATGTTGGACGTGGAGCGGTAGCGCATGAGCTCAAACTCGCCGTCGGGCGGGATAAAGCTGATGGAGCGGTCCGAGTCAAACTTGCCCAGGCGGACACACTGGTGGAACTGGCAGTCGTCCAGCTCCACCGCGCCGTCCGTCTTGGCCTGGTCGCCGCGCTTGTCAAGAACGAGCTTGTCGTTGAGGCCAAACTTGCACTCGGGCATGCCGGAGAGGTACGCGCGCATGAGGATCTGGCCGTCGACATCCGCACGCAGGACGGCGCCTTCTTTGCTCATAAGCATGTTGACCGTCTCGATGACGTCGACAAAGGCCTCGTTCTTGCGGTACTTGACGTCGGCTCGGCGCCACGACGTGGCACCGGTCGCCTGGATCGTAATCTTGGACGAGTCCTCGCGCTGGGGAAGAGTTCAGCAGTGTACTTCACCGTAAACAAAAAACTCACCACTGCCATCTCCGACTTGATACCCTCGGTGGTGATGTACATCTTGAGCGTGTCAATCTCCGAGTTCTGCGGGTATCCAAAGTCGATGATCTCTGTGCGGGTCAGCGAATGGTGGCGTCGCTACCCACCGTCAAGGAGCTCATAGATCAGAACAAAGTTGCTCTTGACGCTCTCCTCATCCAGCTTGCCAAAGTAGCTGCGCGAAATGGTGATAAAACGGTAGAGAAACTCAAACACGAGCGCCGCGTTGGCGTTGCACCTGTTGTTGTCAGCAACAACGTCTGGGATGCTGGCAGAGGGTTTCCTCCCAGGTCCACCCTGTCCAGAGGGTTCCCATCGAACGCGCGATGCCTAGCGCCGAGGTGCTCAACTCACTTCGTCACGGCAGTCACGAAGACGTTGTTGATCTTCACATGGAAGAAGCTGGTGCTGTGGAATGGTTAGTCATGAAATGACAGACCAGTGGGCCTCCTTATCTCGCCAACTCACCTCCCCAGAGTGATGATGGGCGACCGAATGTCGGCATTGCTAATCACTTGAATCCTAAACACGTCCGCGATGCTCCGTCTGCGGTGGTTAGCTAGATGCCCTGCTGGGATGAGTCCACAACAGCACTCAGACGCCCAGGACATGTGATGGGCCGCGACGAGGTCGTCGTGGGTCCCAGAGCTGTCCTGCGACTTTGCAAAGGCGTCCAATAATCAAACTCACTTGAGATCGCTTCGGAACAGCCTCGAAATGAGGACCTGGGAGGGTCAGCATGGTCCCAAGTCGCCTGACATTGGATCTCGGCCGTCGAGGACTCGGGGACTCTCCCCCCCGGTCGGTTCAACGCTCAACAAGACGAGCAGAAGCAAGCGAAACGCACCTCTCCCTTTGTGTTATAAATGAAGAACGCCTGCTTGTTAGCTATCTCCTGGCAAAACAACGCACCGAGATCATCCTGGTTGACGGGTGACGACTGGAGAGACACAGGTGGTCGATGTGGATGGCGGTGGCCATGACATGTCGCGACGCACGCCCACAACCACGGATGTCGCGTTTGGTTCCGCGCGTGACGCCGGGGCCCACGGGTCCCTGTGTTGAATTAGGATTGTAACCTAATGGGGTATCCATCGACAGTGCCTTAAACCATTTGAATAAAACGTAATCAGTTCAAATGCGTCTGTTGGTGGCGTCAGCCCACGCGGCCACGCGGCAGTTGTGATGCAAGACGACCACGCAGTCGACTCAGTCTCGTTATCTCTTGAGTCGTATCTTAACACATGTGTCTCAGTGATACATGGTTCGGCCGCGCTCGCGATTCACGCACGATGTTGTAAGAAAACGAGGAGTGGACTAAAACCCCAGTCTAGTCGCCACTGGCCGCCACCACAGCGCACCGTCCCATAGTGTTACGTAATCAATATACAATGGCTGGAAAATGCCTCCGCCGCTGCACACTCGTTGAACTGATTTCGATTTCGAGTCCGACAGGCGACACGGACAGTCAGAGTGATCTCACCAGTGCACACCGTCCATCACCGTCCTTGACTCGCTCCCAGGTGGTGTATGCTACGCCAGCTTCTTTTCAGCACCCAAAAGCTCGCACACTCTCCCCTCTCGCGCCGACTCGCCACCACCCACCGCTATCGGCTTTCACCCCTGTGCTCGCTCCATACCATTACTTTAAAACAACTACACTACTCCGCACGCACCAACATGTCTGCTGAGGAGGTCAAGGCCCCCGCCGCCGAGGCTGTTGCTCCCGCCGCCGCCGCCGCTGCTCCTGCTGCCGACGAGCGTGACCCCAACTCGAAGAAGGGCGGTGAGTACATGACCCCCAGGCTCCAGTAGGACCTTTTTGTCTTGTTGCGGCAAAAAGTCGGGTGGCACTTTGTAATGTCAACAGACACTGACCTCTACCAGCCAAGAAGGCGGCCAAGCTCGCTGAGAAGCTCGCCAAGCAGGCTGCCAAGGGTACCGCTACCCCCACTGCCCCCGCTGCCGCTGCCGGCGGCGCCAAGAAGGAGAAGAAGGAGAAGCCCAAGAAGGCCGAGGAGAAGCCCGCCGAGGCTTGGGTCAACCCCACTCCTGCCGGCGAGAAGAAGGACGTCTCCGGCGACTTCCCCTCTGGCTACGAGCCCGCCAAGGTGGAGGCCGCCCACTACGACTGGTGGGAGTCGCAGGGCTTCTTCAAGCCCAAGTTCAACGAGGACGGCACTCCCATGGAGAAGGGCTGCTTCTCGATGGCCTTCCCCCCTCCCAACGTTACCGGCAACCTTCACATTGGCCATGCCCTCACCGTTGCCATTCAGGACGGTCTCTGCCGTTGGAAGCGTATGCAGGGCTACTCGGTCCTCTTTGTCCCCGGTTACGACCACGCTGGTATCGCCACCCAGGCTGTTGTCGAGTCCCGTCTGTTGAAGAACGAGGGCCACTCGAGGCACTACTACGGCCGCGAAAAGTTCCTTGAGAAGGTCTGGGAGTGGAAGGAGGAGTACCAGAAGAACATTACCAACCAGATGCGTCGTCTTGGTGGTTCGTTCGAGTGGGACCGCGTTGCCTTTACCATGTCCGACCTCCTCACCAAGGCCGTTGCCGAGGGCTTCTGCCAGCTCCACGAGAAGGGCCTCATTTACCGTGCCAACCGTCTCGTCAACTGGTCGTGCTACCTCAACACCTCGCTCTCCAACCTCGAGGTCGACCAGAAGGCCCTCACTGGCCGTACCCTCATGAACGTTAAGGGCTACGACGAGAAGGAGCGCTTCGAGTTTGGTGTCATCACCTCGTTCAAGTACCCCATCGAGAACTCTGACGAGTTTATCGTTGTCGCCACTACCCGTCCCGAGACCATGCTCGGAGACACTGCCATTGCCGTCCACCCCGACGACCCCCGCTACACCCACCTCCACGGCAAGTTTGTCATCCACCCCTTCAACGGCCGCCGCATCCCCATTGTTTGCGACGGCATCACCGTCGACATGGAGTTTGGTACCGGTGCCGTCAAGATCACCCCTGCCCACGACCCCAATGACTTTGAGTGTGGTATGCGCCACAAGCTCGAGTTTATCAACCTCATGAACGACGACGGTACCTACAACGACAACGCTGCTCCCTACGCGGGCATGAAGCGCTTCCACGTCCGTAACGAGGTCCTCAAGGCCCTCAAGGAGAAGGGCCTCTACGTCGAGGCGAACGACAACGAGATGCAGATCCCTATCTGCTCGCGTTCCGGCGACGTTGTCGAACAGATCATGAAGCCCCAGTGGTGGGTCAGCTGCAAGCCCATGGCCGACGAGGTTCTCAAGCGCACCGCCGCTGGCGAGATTGAGATCAAGCCCAAGTCGATTGCCACCGACTGGATCCGCTGGATGGAGAACATGCAGGACTGGTGTATCTCGCGTCAGCTCTGGTGGGGCCACCGTTGCCCCGCGTACCTCCAGACCTTTGAGGGTGAGGTTGCCAACACCGCCGAGGGCTCCAACTGGATCGTTGCTCGCTCCGAGGAGGAGGCCAAGGCCGAGGCCGAGAAGCGCGCCAACGGCCGCAAGTACACCCTCTCGCAGGACGAGGATGTGCTTGACACCTGGTTCTCGTCGGGTCTCTGGCCCTTCTCGACCATGGGCTGGCCCGAGAAGAGCTCGGACCTCGAGCACTTCTACCCCAACACCATCTTGGAGACTGGCTGGGACATTCTCTTCTTCTGGGTTGCCCGCATGGTCTTCTTTGGCAACCAGCTCACCGGCAAGATGCCCTTCCCCGAGGTCTACTGCCACCCCATGGTCCGTGACGCTTGGGGACGCAAGATGTCCAAGTCGACCGGTAACGTCATTGACCCTCTGGACGTCATCACTGGCCAGAACCTCGCCAAGCTCCACGCCGACCTCCGCAAGGGTAACCTTCCCGAGAAGGAGATCAAGAAGGCCGAAGACGGCCAGAAGAAGCTCTTCCCCAAGGGTATTCCCGAGTGTGGTACCGACGCTCTCCGCTTCACCCTCTGCAACTACACCTCGGGTGGCCGTGACATCAACCTCGAGATTGGCCGTGTCGAGGGCTACCGCAAGTTCTGCAACAAGCTCTGGAACGCCACCAAGTTTGCTCTCTTCCGCATGGGTCTCATCGACCTCGAGGGCAAGCGCCTCCCCAACTCGTTCCACCCCAAGGCTTCGGCCCTCCCCACCGGCCAGGAGAGCATTGCCGAGAAGTGGCTCCTCCACCGCCTCAACATTGCCTCTGCTTCGGTCAACAAGGCCCTCGAGGAGCGCAACTTTGCCGAGGCCACCGCTGCTGCTTACCGCTTCTTCCTGAACGAGCTCTGTGACGTCTTCATTGAGGCCACCAAGCCCATCTTTGAGGCCGAGGGTGACTCGCCCGCCAAGGACTCGGCCCGCGACACTCTCTACACTGCCGTCGACGCCGGTCTCCGTCTCTTCCACCCCTTCATGCCCTACGTCACCGAGGACCTGTGGCAGCGTATGCCCCGCCGTGCTGGCGACGAGACCCCCTCGATCATGGTCGCCGCGTTCCCCGAGGAGATTCCCGAGTACAACTTCCCCGAGGCCGAGGCCGACTTCAACCTCACCAACGAGGTCACCTCCAAGGCCCGTACCATCATCGGTCTCTACTCGCTGCCCACCAACGGCAAGACCCTCGAGGACAAGATCACCCTTGTCATCGAGGCCAAGAACCCCGAGCAGCTCGAGATGCTCAAGACCCAGGCGCCCATCATCGTTGCCCTCACCAAGGGTGCTGGCCAGGCGCAGTTTGTCGCCTCCACCGCCGACGTCCCCCACGGCTGCGGTACCGAGACGGTCACCGCCGACGTCCACGTCCACATCCCCGTCAAGGGCAAGGTCGACGCCGGCGCCGAGATCACCAAGCTCGAGGGCAAGGTCACCATGGCCCAGGCCGGCCTTGACAAGGTCGTCAAGAACACCCAGGCGCCCAACTACGAGACCACCATCCCCGAGCACGTCCGCGCGGCCAACACTGAGAAGATGACCAAGTTTGAGGCCGAGATTGAGACCCTGCGCACTGCCATGGAGCGCTTCAAGCTCCTTCTCTAGAGGAAACGAGACCACATATCTAGCGTAGAGTGCGGCAGTCTTGGTGCATGTCGGTGAAGCAATGCATCTATTATTCCAGTCATGTCGCGTGCGGGGTCAGTGAGGGGTATGGGGTGGGACGGGGCCGGGTGGATAAAGACGGCTTACACCCCAATGTGGCACCGGCTCCTGGCCACCAAGATGAATGTCGATTCGACCAAACGCGTCCTTGATGCGTCCTGGCACAGTCTCCTCGTGTAGTACCTCCTCCCATATCCTCCTGTAGGCGGTGCACACATGACGACGTGTGATGAGCGGACGCTGCTTTCGTCCCTCGGACAGGATATCCAGTGCCAGGACAGGACAGGCCAGGACACAGGTACACTCTGACCGCCTGACTTCAGGACTGTTTTTGAGACACTGTCCAAACCGTACGCAGTGTGTTTCCTGTCTCCCCGTACCCCCGTGATTATGGGCCGGGGTAACGGCCACACGGGGATAGCCAACATGGCATATGCCTTGACCTGAGCCTGCACATGCGCCGGCACCGCTGACACACACACACACACACTTGGCACCATATGAGACACGCCAGCGGACGGGGCTGGGTGCGTTACAGCATTAGTCCCGTTTATGGCCCCCCCCTCTCCCTATACCTAATTGCAATCAATCTCTGCTACGTTTTTCGGCACCGTGTGTGTTCGGACGACAGGCATGTATGTCTCTCACTGTGGCTGTCGCCGGTAACGATGGCCGTGGTCGCAAAGGTGCTCGACGCTAGCGGCCAGGCCGCCATGCACGCTCAAGCAAGTGGCAGCCACGTAGGTAGACTACTGACTGCTCCTACCGCAAATATGTGTACCCTCTCGGCCGCGGGCATGGCCGATATCCGAGCCACCAACCCTCGGATCGGAACACGTACACGTACAACCGCAGCAGCAGTGGACGCATGCTGCAGGTGTGCAGCATGTGCAGGTCTGTGACCATGTCACCGGGGATCCCAAAGCCCCTGCACATGTCCCATGTCATTGTACTGGATCCCCCTTCCAGCTCCACCTCCACCCTCGTCGGCGACCGCCTTGTCCCCGCCGCCGCTGTCCTCGGTGGAAGCGGTGGGTGCGCTGGGCTTGTCCCCGGTGTTCCAACCCCCAGGTCCCAAATCGCGACCGATGTATATCAGGGTCCCAAAAAAAAGAAATCAGGAAAAATGGCCGAAAAAAGGTTTGGTGTGGCGTCCCTGTCAACAACACCCACCACCCCCGACTTTTTTTTTCAAACGCTCGTCGTTTGTGGGCCCCTTCCCTGGCTCGTCTGGCGCGTCTCGTGTGTTCTGCAGACGACGGTTCACCGGATCGACCGGGGCATGTCGTACCCATCCATATGGGTGGTTCGGGCCGAGGAACGATGCTGGATGTGGCCTGACGGCAGATTTTTCCGCACACACCCAGACCCACACAAACCCCACCCCCGTCACTGCGTCACTGTCACTGTCACTGTCAGATGGCAGTCAGGCTGCCGTGGCGCGGGGCTTGGTAGCCAAAGCCCGTCCTAGATGAGTACATTGCTTGGTCAAGTCCCCGTATGGTGCAGCTTCACTCAAGTGGAAACTATGCATGTGTGGCCCGAAGGCATTTTGTGTTTTGACATGATGAGGTAGGTGCCGTGGCGGTGGAGTAATGAAAGGGAGGGGAGGGAGGGGAGGTATGAATGCAGTGTGGGGGGGTTGTGTGGTCTCCACCGGGTTGCTTTTGGCTTTTGCTTCGGGGTGTGTCTCTTGCTTCGATCTTTCGCTTTTTGCTTCGCTGTGTGTCTCTGCTTTGCTTTGTGGCTTCTTTCTTGCTTGGTGTGCCCCCGATTGAGGCGCGTGTGTGTGTGTGGACAGGGGAGAGGGGGGGTCGTGTGTCGGGGGGTCGTATGCACATGCTGGAACGGACAAGTGTTGAGGAGCTGGGTCTAGCCTGTCTAGTGTCTAGCTCTAGAACGGACGGAGGGGTATCTACCACAGCGGCGCCTTCTTGCTCAAGACATCAGAGATGCTGCGCTTCATGCCGGCAGTGGAACCGGCGACGCGGCGGGGCGTGGGCTGGTCGAGACCTGTGCTGGTACCCGAGAGCGCGGCGTGGGATGACGGCACGGCGTAAGGAGCAGCACGGGACGACGAGGCCGAGACCGAGCGTGCGGTAGCTGGTGACGAGACAGTGCGGACAGCAGCAGCACGAGCAGGGGTCGAAGCGGCAGAGGAAGATGGCGTAGACGCAGTCGAAGAAGCACCGCTGGCCACGGCGGCAGCAGTGGCCGCAGCAGCGGCAGCTGCAGGAGCACGGCGACGGCTGCGACCGATCTCGACAAGAGACGTGAGGGCAGGGTGCTGCTGCTTAACGTGGTTGACCATCTTGTTCTGCTGTCCGTAGGCCTTGTCACACCCGGGAGCAGGGCAGGCGTATGGACGCTCGCCACGGTGAGAGCGGATGTGGCGCTGAAGATCGGCGTTGGAGCGGAAGGTGCGCGTGTGACGAGCGCACTCTTCGTAGGGGCAGAGGTGGAGCTTCTTGACCTTGCCGTCGGGGCCGATGATGGTGTCCGCCACGGGCTTGTCGGTGTCGTTCTGGAGCGAGAACGAGGAACGAGACGAGCAGCGCGAGTTGGAACGAGGCGCCGGTGTCGAGTCGACGGTGGGGCACGCGGTGAGGCCGGGGGTAGGGGAGAACTGGAAGGCCGGGGAAGCGTAGCTGCTCGAGCCGGCGAGGGGGGAGTGAGCCGGCGTGATGTCGAACATGTCGAGCTGGAGCGCGTTGTTGGCCTTGTCCGTCAGGGCAGGAGCACAGGCCATGGTCGAGGCACCTGTCGCGGCGGCAAGGGCCGACTCGAGAGCGGCCTGGGGAGCTGAAGAAATGCCAGGGATGCCAGAGTCAAAGATGGCAGTCTCTGGGAGGATGGGGGAAGGAAACTTGATGTTGAAGAGAGCCTCAAAGTCGTTGTCCATCGGCTGGTTGCCGGTGGTGTTGGGAAAGTCATACGGGGCAAAATCGTCCGCTATGAACTTGGGCACGGTTGAAGTAACCCAAGTCGCGGTAGAGCTGTGGACGCTCTCGTCGAAAGCGGGGAGGAGGGACATTATGGAAGGAAGGGGGGAGGAGGTGCCGTGTTGAAGGTCGAGGCTGTGGGGGCAGTGGTGGGGAGCGGAGGTCGAAGGTTACCGCGGGCCCAAATTTTGGTGGTGGTGATGAGGTTGACGGTGGTGATGATGGGTGCCGGAATGAAAGGAGTCTTCTCTAAGGAGGGACAAGAGACGGAGGGAGCACAAGTGCTGCACACGAAGGGGTTAGCGCCGTCCGGGGATGGAGAGCCTGCTGGACATGGGTATATGGGGTGGATGGGTGTGGTGGAGATGATGGGAGATCCAACTTCCAGAAATCTCAAAGCCGGTCGGCGCCCAGCCAGCGAGCGCCGCCGCCGTCGAAATTCGCTGCCGCCCAGCCAAGCCGCCGCGTGGGCCAAATGGGGGGTCCCCACATTCCGCAGCCACACTCACCAAGAGCGGGGTCGTCCTATGCAGGAGGTGGGGGATTATAGGCTAGCTACTTGGAAAGACCGGGGATGGATTATTGTTCTGCAGGGATGCAGAGTGGTGTGAGGGAAGGAAGGAAGGAAGGAAGGAAGGAAGGAAAACGGTGGTACATGGGGAAAGAAAAGGATGTCTCGTCGGTCAGATCGGCGGTTTAAAAGTGCACCTCCTGGGCACCTCGGAAAACGGAGACCTCCACAGGTTCCCCGTTTTTGGCTATCACGTCGTCCTACTCGACACCACGGTACACACACACACACACACTTACACACGCACGCCACAGCGTGCATGTCCCATCCCCTCTTCACCTTTCCCTCGTTCCCACAGTGGAGCCGTCGGACCCAGTTCTTGACTGCTGCAGCCTCACGCCTCCCTCTTGAGCCTGGTTCACACGAACCCCCCACGCCACCATCGAGTTTGCAGCATGGCAGATGTCCAACTGACGAAAGCTGATGCTTGCTTACCGCTGTTTGAGACCGGTTGAGATTCCAACGGGTGGCACATCTTATACGTGATAGTAAAAACTCGACCTCGACGCCTTTCCAAGTCTCTCTCTACTGATCGGGGCCTTGATTTCTAGTGAGAGCCAAGGCTTACGAGGCACCATTGACGGTAAGACCCGTACACAATCACCTCGAGCACATGCCATGGCCCGACGCCATGCACACAACCGCCGCCGCCGAGCAATAGCACCCTCCTTCTTCCTGTCAGTCCCACGCACGGCCCGCAACTTGCTGCTAGCAAACCGCATGAATGTGCAGGTATAGGGACACACTGCCGGCCAGTGTGGTGTGGCGGAAGGCCAAGTCGTTGCCAAGGTCACTGTTTGTCGCCGTCGGTCACTGGACCAACAAAGAGGCCATGGGCCAGGACGCGGCTCAAGCAGTCAGCATGGGACAGCACAGTCGTCTTGCGGCCAACCGTGTACCTGCGGCGTCCACACGTCCACGCCGCCACGCATCACCGTTTACTCAATCTTCAATCTGTGGAGAGGCGCCTCATAAAATCTCCGATTTTTTTCCGGTCCGAAATCAGTGTGTGCCCAGACTGCCATCCCGATCTGCACCGACAACAAAAGGCCCAGACGCCCTCTATGCATGCAGTTTGGACCACTCTCCCCGGGCTGGTCGGGTTCCGGGGCGCACAGGATAGCTGCGGACGCCCCACAGATTCTCCAGAGTTTGCGTTCATAGGGCATAAATTACCGCAGTGGTGGGAGCGCACGACCCAGGATCTGGTGGCGGCTCGGATCTAATTTCATGGCCCCCTATCTGATACTTGCAACTCTTGATGGCGGATTTGACGTCTTGACGCATGCTTCAGGCCTTGCCGTCGTGTATCATTGTCTGTCACGTAGGTACTGTTTGGATGCACCCGGGACGTCGACTCGAGTCTTGAGCGTTGACCTTTTTTTTCGCTGAACACCGTCAACCCGTGACGAGCGATACCGCTCCAGCGATCGATCGACCGCCACCGCCACGGTCTCCCATGGGGGAGGTACCGTCTGTGTTCCCAGCGTTAGGCCGGGCCTGGGGGACGTCGACCACCAGAACAATGATGAGGTGTGGGACACAGGTCACCATGTCACCATGCAAGGACAGTTCCTACAGAAGCTTCGCTGTGGTGAGAAACGAGACATACAGCACATATATAACGCCATTGCCGCCCTAAGACTACACTTTTGCTGCTGTCGTCGGTCGGACAGTCACTGCCCGCTCAACACCCTCGTTCGGGCACGGGCCAGTCTTGTGCCTGAACGACTTGCTCGTTCTCATGTCACAGCAAAGCAGACTACAAGACTCCATGTGAATGAAGGAATGCTTTGGGGTTTGGATCAAAGGACACGCAGTGGTCGAGTAGGCCAAATGGAGGCGGTTGGCCAGCGGTTGTCCGGCTGTCAACCCCCGACCCCAGACTCCGGTAACCAGATCTCATGGAATGTGGGGGCATATGTGTACGGCCCGTCCATGTGTATGTCTGCGCAGTGGTTGATGGGTGGACGAATCCATGCCGGGTCCAAGGGGACGGGTATGGGTGGACGGCCCCCCCCCCATTTCCCGTCATTTCCCAGGATTTTTCACTTTTCGCCTATCCAATCGCCTTCAAACTGCAAACGGCAAGACTGTCCAGCCCCATTCCAATCTTGGACGAGTGACAAGTTCTGTACGCTGGACGTTGCGCGTGTTCCAAATTACCAGGGTACTACATCATGCATCACCCATACTGCCTCCTGCCCCCGTTCCCTATTTGAAGTTACGTTGGAACAGCTCCGGGTTGGCCGCCACCCTGCGATCAAGAGCGCGCAGCGTCTCGGCGTCGAGGGGGATCTTGTCGCCGAGCCAGGTCGCGCGTGTGGTGTGGTCCCCGGCGGCGTCTCCAGTGTTGGGGTGGATCAGGACACTGCATGTTAGCGGAGACGTCACTGCGTTTTGTTGGCTCACGATAGTGGTCCGCGGTTCTCGACGAGGTACGAGAGGAAGGCGCCGAGCTGGACCGTGTCGAAGACATCTGTCTCGAACATGGGGACCGGCTGGGGTATCAGCTTTGAGTTTGACTTTTGCCAACACTCACGTGAGGGCCAATGGGTACCTCCCAGAAGCGATACACCTTGAGTTCGGGAAATTCGCGCCTGATCGTGGCGTGCAGCGCCCGCGCATAGTCCTTCTCCCCGAGGTTGTTTGGCTGTACAGGGGATCAGCAAGAGTCCACGCTGCACAGTTCTCAGCAGCAGCAACGCACCTTGTAGTAGATGTGCACGTCCCAGTTTGACTTCTGCCCCGGCTTGGGTACACGGCCCTGATACAGCGGTCCATAGCTAGGGCTCAGGCCGCCATCAGGACGGGGTGGGTTGGTGTGCTGTCCGCGGCCTGTGGGGTTGGGCGAGAGATCACTGGATAGCGCGGGGAGCGCGTCCGCCGGGATAGACGTGTACGGTTTGCCATAGTCGATGAGGTACTTCCTTGTCTCGTACACCCCCGGGTTGGGGTTGGGAACCTCTTCGCCGTCGTTCCAGATTGTGGCCGGCACCGCCGGGTGGGTGCCGTTCTCGTTGGCCATTGTCGGGTGTGTGTGATGAGTTCTCTCGCTCACCAAGTCTTGGGACATATGTATACCCGCGATTATTACCAAGACGACTCTACGAGGCGCTCGGCCATCGTGTGTTGATTATGTCGTCAACAGCGACGGCGTTTGCGACATGTCCGCCGTCGCCGTGATTGTTGTTGAAGTTCCAGCTCACATTGTCAATCTTGTCCCTCAACTCCGAATGTTGCTCGTGGTCGTTATGAGTCATCCGTACATTCCTGGAAGCTTGCCAGAACACTTGCTCGGTGCCGTCCGTGCCAATGACCTCTAAGACGATGAAAATGACCCGAGATAACACGTATTGAGAGAGACAATGGCGGAAGACAGAAGCTTTCGGCCACTTCCGACTGACGCCATAAGGCGATCCAAGTGCCTCATCAGCGATCAGCTAGTAACTTTCGGCGGAGTTGTCACTGTTCACCCCAGACGACCACACACCGCACTTGGGTCGAGTTTCTGGAGCCATGCATGTTCTTTTGGCTTACCTCACACAGCGATGCAGGAGCACGCCATGCCGTTATCGGATGCCGTGAAGCAAGACGTGCTGGAGATGTTGGACATGGTCGCCGCAGTTGCAGCTACAACATACTGTGGCAAGTGGCGTTTTTGCATATTTCCGTACTTCCACACTTTGCTCTTGTTGCTACGCGCGGCTGGCCAAGACGAGTGGCAGACCATTTATAGGCCATGGCCAAGGATGGGATGCCTTGTACGTACCACGGCACTGTGAGGATGACTACCCCAGTTCTAGCAGACACCAAGGGCGAATCGCCCTCGCCGACCATCGTGTACGATGACGAGAGCAAAGGCGACGAATCCGACATCCAGCTGCGCAACCGCCACTATGAGCCGCCAGACGAGTACGAGTCCAAGCATCGCTGGGACCCGCAAGCCACATGGACCGCCGAGGAAGAGAAGAAGCTGTATCGCAGAGTCGGTACGTATGGGATATGCGTGGTGTGCTTACCAAGAACAGACGTGCGCGTGGCCCTCGTCGCCTGTGTCTGTTTTGGCTCGCTGTGTCTGGACCGCAGTAACGTGAGAGCCGACGGGTGTTGGCTGAATACTAACTAACATTGCAGCTCGGCAATGCCCTCTCTGACAACTTTCTCAAAGATCTCGGCATGACCACGGCAGATTATAACAAGGGCTCGACGATCTTTTACGTCTGCTTTCTCGCGGCCGAGGTACCCTCCCAGCTAAGTATGTATGTCGATTTCCCTTCAACTACGACTGACCCCGCCCCAGTCTCCAAGAAGCTGGGAAGTGACCGCTGGATCCCGATCCAGATGATGGCGTGGTCGCTCATCACGCTCGGCCAGACGGGTCTGTCGGGCCGTGCGTCCTTTTTCGCCACACGCGCACTGCTCGGCCTCTTCGAGGGCGGGTTCATCGCCGATACCGTCCTCTACCTGAGTTACTACTACACTGCGGCTGAACTCACCATCCGCCTGGCGTGGTTCTACGTCGCCTCGACAGTAACGGGGATTATCGGTAACCTGCTTGCGGCAGGGCTACTCGAGCTGCGCCACCGCACGTCGTGGCCCGGGTATCGGTGGCTGTTCCTCGTCGAGGGACTGCTCACGTTCCTCATTGGCCTGTGGGCATTCTTCTACCTCCCTCCTGGCCCCACGCAGACTGCCGGCGGCTTCTTCAATGTGCGCGGAAAGGGGTGGTTCACGGACCGCGAGGAGACCATCATTGTCAACAAGGTGCTCCGCGACGACCCCACAAAGTCGGACATGCACAACCGCGAGGGTCTGTCGCTTGGCCAGTTGTGGGAGACTCTGAGGGATTACGACCAGTGGCCGATGTACCCCATCGCCTTGCTGTTTTGGATTGCGCCAGCGGCTGTCGGGGCATACTTCTCGCTCACGCTCAAGTCTCTGTGAGTTATGGTGCAACTGCAATCCCCAACTGACACGCACCCAGCGGGTACACGACGTTTCAGACCAACATGCTCCAGATCCCGTACCAGGTAGTGTACATCTTCAACAACCTCGTTCTTTCATACTCGTCCCGAAGGGCCAGGGAACGCTTCTCCATCGGCTCCCTCAGCTCGTGGTACGCGCTTATCCTCTTCATCCCCATCGTCCTCATCCCAGACGCCACGAACAAGTGGGCCAAATGGGCCCTCCTGTCCCTCGTGATGGCCACGCCGTTCTGCCACCCGATCATGATGTCGACAGTGAGCGCCAACGCCGGATCGGTGCGCACGCGTACCGTCGCGAGCGCGCTGTACAATACCGTCAGCCAGGCAGGGCTGATCATCGCGTCAAACGTGTACCAGCCTTCCGACGCGCCGTATTACCATAAAGGGAACCGCGGGCTCATTGGTGTGCTGGCAGCCAACATTGTCTGCATGTTTGCGGCCAAGGCCTGGTACGCGTGGCGCAACCGACAAAGGGATAAGGTCTGGGGAGCGTGGTCGGCCGACGAAAAGGAGGAGTACCTCCGCACCACCACGGACGAGGGGAACAAGCGGTTGGACTTCCGGTTCGTTCACTAGACATACCATGCACTTGGATTGCACTTGCCACTTTGAAGAACATCCGGCTAATTGTGTGCCACCCGAAATTAATTGCGAGCAATATCGGCAACTTGCCAGCAAACTGTTACTGTTGACACACGTCCCTCACCTGTCGCCAAGGACATCCTCTGCCTTGGTGTTTTGATTGTATGTAACCTGGGTGCGCCCAAAGCCACAGGCCGGAGGCCGGAGGGTACAACACACACTTGTCCATGTGTGGCTTCCGACAAGTGTGTAACCAACTACGCGCGTGCCAAGAACCCGAGTGTCCCTCCGTACGTTACAGCAATGCAGCACACACACATGTGGGTGGTCTGGCCACGGTCCACAGGTCCACAGGTCAACAGGCGACTCGCACGGTGCGCGGCATCTATCGCAAGGCGCAGACGCCCTAGACGAAGCCACTCCATGGAGGGCGGAGGCAAATTGGGTGAGCCACACTGAAAAACACAGGGGGGTACTCTATACTATTGACCGGGTAGTGCGTTTCTCCGATGCCCGAAATACGCCCTATACGATTATTTCTTCTTCGGCGACGGAGCTGTGCCCGGCAATTTTGGCAAGGGTTATAGTTGTACTGCAGTACTGGCCCGCAGCCACGAGCACAACGATACAAGAGTTAGACTACATGATAGAAATGCGGAGCATGTGTTAGGTAATTCTGTTGGTGATCTGTTGATCTGTTGCAGGCCGTAGAATCAACGGTGCAGCAGGTGCAGGCAGCAACGAGCTGTGCTCGGCATTTGAACTGAGACCGTGGCTGGAAACCTGCAGCTGTGCTGCAATAGTGTGGGCAGTGAGAGACGCGTCTCACAGATTTGTCAACACCTTTGCAAGTGAGACTCCAGTCATCATCTATCTCGTCACCTCAGGGCTGCGACCAAACTGCGCTACACGTCTTGCTCGTTCTGTGGATATGTGGAGGAAGCGTCGGCGATGGCGACGTCGGAAGTTGTTGCATGTGCGTTGCACCAACCACTTTGCCACCCAACGCGCTGCGCAGCAGTCTGGACTCTGGTGCACCATGGGGCCTCGGCACCATCATTTCCGCAGAGCCGTTGTCGTACACGTTGTTCAGCCTCACCTTGGCAAGCGCGCCCACTCCAGGCTCATTCTGGCCACGGAACAGTGCCCCGTTGGCGGCGGACAGAGCCTGGACGCCGGAATGGCATTGCTCCGCCGTCGCCCTGGCGCCGACGGCGGCGCAGATCAGCTCCGCCGATCCCTTTGGCCTTTTGGGAGGTGGGGGGGTGAAAGAAGCTGGTCTCCTCTTTGCTCGACCTGTGGTGCCAAGCATTGTATTGCTGTGTCATTGCTGCTAGACCCCAAAACCAGCAGGGAGACGAGGCGATGTGCAGGATTTAGGGGGTGGTTGTGCACGTGAAGAATGGGAGCAAGGGTCGAGAGAGTGGCCAGGGGCCGGAGGGGGTGGCCCGGCGGCAACGGCAGCGAGAAGAGAATGTGCGGAAGGGCGGACCACACGGTCGGACTTGTTCGGCGAGTGGGTGGCGGGTTTAACTCACTGTCGGCCATCCGTTGTGCCGTCAAGTGGAGGGATCTGGGTGGGCTCTCCATTTCTGCACGTCGGACTCGGCGGCGCCGCAACACAGCAGCAGCAGCCAGAGCATGCAGCGCTGGTGCGCGCGCGCGCGTGCATGCATGCCACATCAAAGATTGCTGTCTCGGTATGAATCCCCTGCATTAATACTGGCTCCCGTCCTCCTCACCATCACCCATCACACCCACCCAGCCTTCACTACATACTACTACATTGAATTCGCGTCTTTCACCACGCACTTCTTTACCCAACAGCCACAGGCCTCACATCCGGCCACCACCACCAGCCACACACCACCCAGCCATTCCACACACGTTTCCGTGCTGCCCATTACCAGCTCCACAACCACAGCGTGTTCACATCCTCCCATCACCTCTTCTCCTTCTACATCACCAACAATGTCCAGTTTCACGTCCATGCGCCGTCGCTCGTCGACCTCGATGGGTTCAGAACCCTCCACCCCGGCCCACTCCCCGGAGACCTCACACATCGACGACCGCCTGAATTCGCTGCTCGCCAGCTTCGACGCTGGGACACACTCGTTCTGCCGTGCAGAGAGGACAGAGGAAGGTGAGTACATGCTTGCTTGGGCTTGATGGAGCCAGTGGGTGGTCTGCATGGTCTGGGCAGACATGCACGTTTCTGGCGCTCAGCGCCATGACCCCTCCCCCTCCTGCCACTCCGACCATGTCGGCCCATTCCCAATCAACAACAAGACGTATCAGCCGCTGACCCCCTTTGCAGCCAAGCTCCAAGCCCAGAGCACCGTGCCCGCACCCAAGGCCCTCCCGACGTCGTCGGCACCGACCACGCGCCGCCCGCTGCTGTCAATGCTCTCCCTCACCCGCCCCAGCATCCTCAAAGAGCCCACGCGCCACTTTGACCCCTCGCGCGAGCCCAAGCTCCACGGTCTCCCTTGAGCAACGGCACGCTGTCGGGTTGCACGTTTGTCCTCGCGTCCGCACACACCAGAGGTGCCAGACACTTGCCACGCGTCATCACGTCCCTCTTCGACCTCTTCGGTCTCGTGCACGCCGCACACACTCTACTCCACTCGCCCCGTGCGCCCAACCATCATTACCCCGTTGTCCCACTTTTTCACTGTGCATATCCCCCACCCGCCATACCTGTTGCCATTGCCACCCACCCCCACTTATCTATCATTGTAAAACCCCGCGTTCTCTCATATGCATTTCTATAACTCGTGGAACAAAAACTGAACGCCGGGGGGATCTGTGGAGCAGAGACGCGCGAAAAAACAACACACCACTGGCCACTGGGCCACTGATCGGCGGTGGTGGTGGCACCATCTCGTGTTAGCCTCTGCGCTTGTTGGCGCCTTTTTCAATCGGTGCCGTGGTTGATTCAGGCACTACCCCCGGGGGGTGGTCAAGGCTGGGCTGGACGCTCAACCTTGTATTCGGGTACCCCGTCATGTTCGGGGCAAGCGGCCGCTATGGTGGCAAATGCAACGTGCGATGCCAGCTAGGAGCAAGTGAACAATGTATGGAGAGACGGGCAAGTGATGCAAATGAACTGGTGCCCCGCTGTTCTGAATCCTTGAGTCACTGCCACCTGGACGGGTGCCAACAACGAGTCCTCCGGCAGTACTCTCGCTGCACGTCTCTGCGCTCTGCCAAAAGCTGCCACAACTGCATCTCTAAATACAAACACAAATCGGTGAAAGAAAGTAAATAAGAAAGGGCGCCTTCAAGGCTACGACAGGATCTGTGGCAAGCGTCAGATATCGACCTCACAACACTCCCTATCTGAACCAGCTTACCGCAAGGAGGACGACCATGATGACAATGACGAGGATGATGAGCAGACACGCAGCGCGGCGCCCGGCCTTGCGCTGGTACTCGTGTGCGGTGGTGAGCTCCTCGGCCGCCGACGTGGTGTGGTCTGCGACGTTGACAATGTTGGACTCGATGTTGTCTGATGGGGTGTGAGCGGGAGTCGGGATGGCAGCAGAGAGGGTGCGCGCAGCTGATACTGTATGTAGAGTTGCCAGCTGCCCAGTGCGTCCCAGCCCGGGAACTCACCAATCAGGCCACCTTGCTCCTGGATAATAGCGCCCAGGTCGCGGAAGATGTCGTTGAGCTCGTGGATGCCGGTCTCAATCTCGCGGATCTCGCCCTCGCGCTCGGCGATGAGCTGCTCCTGGAACTCGAGCTCGTGCTGCGTGATTTGCGGGGCAAGCGCCTGCGCCTGCGTCTGCACTTGCTCGAGCTCGACAGAGTTGCGTTCGTCGCCGATAGCACTGTGACATCGTCAGTTCATGAACGAGTGGAAACAGGGATCGATCGCCGTTGGGAGCGCGGGTAGGTCGCGCTAGAGTTCACAGCACTGGCCAAACGCCATACACGCTCAACACCACTGCCCATTCCATTCCCGCCGCAATTGCTCACCTCTCCTCAGCCAGCTCGACAGCGCGCTTCTGCACCTCGACGGCTCCGCGCTGCTTCTCGGCGCTCAGGCGCTGCACCCGCTGGAACCCCTGGAGGGCCTGGGTAAAGTCGCGGCCGAGCTTGGTCTGGACAGCCTTGCGGTGACCCTGGGTTGTCAGATGAGTTCCAATACGTGTCACTGTCATTGCGGTTTCTGTAGCTGGAGGTCCTACAAGCGCGACAGGTAGACATGACGCATGTTGACAAGACAAGCAAGCCCACTCCACTCACCTGGCCCTCGCCGCCAGTCGGGAACGACGCCAAGCCCTTGACGTCCTCTGTCGACTTCTTCACCATGTCGCGCGTCGCTTCGGTGAGGTTATGCCTGTAGGTTAGTACCGGCATGAAAAGTGGCCCACGCTGGAACTTGAGTGGTGAGGACGAGCCAGCCACCTTTCACTGCTTTCCACCTCGCCACAGTCCTACCCAGTTATCCAGACTCACAGCGATGTCCGCAGCTGCGTGCTGTCCGCCCCGGTACCGAGCTTATCAATGAGTCGCTGGATACCGACCACATTACTCTGGATCTTGAAGATCTGGATCGACACCGAGTCCTTGACCTTTGTGAAGTCTGGGTCGTCTGGGGTCAAGGTGTCAGCTAGCTACCAGGTCACGAAAGGGATTTCCAGCTCACCTCCAGGGGGACCACGGAGGGGCGCGCCCTGCCCGCGCTCAAGGTCGTTGAAGCTCATTGTGGGATGATGTCAACAACGGATGTGGGAGTGAGACTGAAAGACAATTGCGTGTTGCTTCGTCCGCCTGCTATCGATGGCATCACATGAGGTAGTAGTGAGGCCTTGGTGGCGACGGGCGGAAGCATTTCCACGTGCGCCGGCGGCTTGAGACGTCGAGACCCGGTCGTCGACCTCGACCATGTCATACCTCGATCCCCCTCCAACACCGTCTGTCCCATCCACCATCGACGCACAATGTCGGCCCCCTCCGACTTCCCCGACCTCCCCTCCGAGCTGGGCATGGACGCCGCCACCCTCGCTCGCCAGCAGCGCCGCGACGCCGTCCGTCGCCGTGTCCGCGCGTCTGTCCCGCCCATCCCCGAGCTCCGCTTCGAGCAGGCGTACCTCCGTTCCGTCATGCCCGCGCTGCACGCGCGTAAGGGCGACTTGCTCCTCGGTGCCCCCGGCGCGATTGAGGCTGGTCGCGAGGTCGACGTCAACTGGCGCGCGGTTGCTTGGATCACCCTCAAGGACCAGGTGAGTAACGAGGGAGGGCGTAGGAGGTGTTGCGGTGGTGGGGCGTGTGCAGCGTCGTCAGCTACGCATGATCCGACTTAGCTGTGGTTTATGCTGTAGCCCCCATAGCGCATCACTTCTCCCCCAACTTGCGCTGCACGACCAGCCAGTGATCGCTGACCCCGCAGGTCATCTCGCCACTCATCCAGGGCGTGTTCTGGGGCCTCCTCTCCATCGCAGGTGCCGGCGTCCTCACCTCCATGCGCGCAGGACTCGGCATGCCTACCCGCACAACAGCGGCTCCTGGCCAGATGCGGGACGGCGGCGCGCAGAGCTGGCGCAAGTTTGCGCAGAGCCCCGTTGGTGCGGCCGAGGTCGCGACTGTCGGCACTGTCATTTAGACGTTGTGGCTTTTTAGACGCAACACTCAGAGGAAAAGGTAGCATAAAGTACACACCACCACACCACACCACACCACGAGAGAGAAAAGAGCGAAGCGACAGAAGAGTTCGGTAGCCTGGGTTTTTGTCTAGTCGATTGCATACCTGCACAACTACAGCACCACAACACGTTTCAACTGATGCGTTCTAACTCGCTCATCTCCCCGACATATACGCGCGCTCTAGTCCTTCTTGACCTCGACCATGCTTGGGCGCAGCTCCGAGACCTTGTTGGCGCCCACGAGTCGGATGGCCAGCTCAATCTCGCTCTTGAGGACTGGACCACGTCAGCTATTGCAAGGGCCCACAGCGTCCCGCCCGTCTTGTTTTACTCACTGCCAACGGCGTGCTCGACGCCCTCCTCGCCTGCGACGCTCTGCGCGAACAGGAACCCACGGCCAATACCGACACCGTTGGCCCCGAGGCACAGCGCCTTGACGACGTCGGTACCGCGCTTGACGCCGCCGTCGATGAAGATTTCGAAACGGTGCTGGAGGGGCCCGATCGCGTCGGGTTCGTCCTTGGCCGTGAGGCGCTTGGGGTCGGCGAGCAGCTCGCGCGACGCGCCCGTCGAGCCGCGGAACTCGGGACGCAGGAGGTGCGGCGCCCACTGGCGGATCTCGAGGAGCACGTCGAGGGCCGGGCGCGTCGTGTCCAGCTGCCGGCCGCCGTGGTTGGAGATGATGATGCCGTCGCACCCAGCCTCGTAGGCCATCTGCGCGTCCTCGACGGTCTGCACGCCCTTGACCATGATGGGGATGTTGGTCAGGGTACGCACCCACTTGATGTCCTCCCAGCACAGGTTGGGGTCGACGCCGGCAAACATGGCCTGCGAGACGCCCTGCGTGTCGTCGCTCTTCTCGGACACGCCGCCGGCGGGCCCCTCAAACTCGCCCTTGAGCCGCAGGTCGCGCTCGCGCTTGCCACCCACGGGCGCGTCGGCCGTCAGCATGATGGCGTCAAACTTGCCCGCATCAATCTTCTTGATCAGCTCGGCGGCCTTGGCGCGGTCGCGGTTGACGTAGAGCTGGTAGAAGAGCGGTTGGCCTGGGAGACGCTCCTCGAGCATCTCGTCCATGCCGCACGACGCGTTGGAGGAGATCTGCGATGCGTGTGAGCTATTTTATCGTCCAAAAGATAGCTCCACTCACAGCCTGGATAATACCCGTGGAACCTGCTCCGCGGGTGAGGTTGATCTCGCCCAGAGGGTGGCCGAGCTTGGCCATGGCTGCGGGCGCGATGAACACTGGCAGGCTCGAGGGGCAGCCCATGAGTTCGGTGCTCGCGTCGCACTCGGCGACCTTTCGCAGAACGCGCGGGCGGAAGAGGACCTTCTGGTATGCAGTAGCGTTGGCGATCTTTGCTGTGAGAGGGTCAGCGGGTGGGAACGATGGCACTTGGGGGAGGACATCCAATGGATCCAATGCACCGCCCGACCCGACCGATCACGCGACCGGGCCGGTCCACCCGTCCTCTCCTCCCCAAAATCCACACCACAACACTCACTGATCTCGTCGTCGCCGGCGCTGGCATAGTACGCCCATGCGAGGCTGGACAGCAGCGGCTCGGCGACCTTTTCAAAGTCGGCCATGTTGATCACGGACCCAAGGCCCTTGGCCTCAAACTCGGCGCGGGCAGTGCGGATGCGCTCCTCCTCGGCGAGCTGCTCTGCCGATATCTTGAGCTTGATCTCTTCCAGCTCCTCCTCGGTGCCCACCAACGGGCCGATCTTCTTCACGGACGGAGGCAGGTTCTCGCCGTCCAGCTGGTTGGTCGGGTGTCGCGGCGCAAAGAGCGGCGTGACGTCGTGCGACTTGTTGGCGACGATGACGTCCCGGCCACCGGGGTGGTCGTCGAGAAACTCGGTCATGCTGGAACGCGGTTAGAGCTGCAACAAGGAGGAGACTAGTATAACCTACTCGTAGACATTGCCGTTGATCACGACCCACACCTCGGGTCCGTCGACGCGCTTCAGCAGCTCGGAAACGGGCACGCCCTTGCCAGTTGCGACGGTCTGCACCTTGGCGGAATCGAGGCGGATAGGCTCACGCGAGAGGAACAAGTATGCCTGTCACACAACGTCAGTAAACTGGTGGAAACCTCGGTCTGAGCTGCACGTATACGTACAGGGACGGCGACGGCAATGGACCCAGCGACCCAGCGGGACTGGGGCTTGCGTGCCGCAGTTGCAATACCCCGTCGGAGCGGGGCAGCGGTCTTGGCTGCGCCGCGAGCACGCGAGGCAAAAGTCGAAAAGAGTCGAGAGCTCATTTGAGAAGTGCCGGTGGGTATAGTGTACAGAGAACAACTAGAGAAAGCAAGATGGCATAGACAGATACACGCTGGGTCGAAGTATAGCAACAAGCTCGCCCGTTTGACTGGACCTCAGGAACTCGGAAGAGTTGCTATACCGAGAAGCCGAGGCGGAATACCCACGTGGTGGCCCGGTAAACCACGCCAAAAGTCGGCGTCCGGTTGTTATCATCCAATGAGCGTGTGCAAGTTGACCCACACAACCCCCGCAATGGGTTAATGTGGGGTTTGCGGTGCGCCGTCTCTCCGCAGCAGATGGCCCGTACCGACGATGGAGTAAGTGGTGTGGTGGGCGCTTTGCAATTTGTGGCTCGGGCCTGTGCGCCGTTGCTAGCGGATCACGGACAATCGCCAAAAAGCCAAACTGGAGCAAAGATAGGCAGCGTGTGGCCAAGCGCCTGGGTTGACCTGTTCGTTGTGCTCAGAGAGGGCCGTCGCGCTCGCCACGGTCGAACAGCGCTTCGTCAAAGTAACGCACAGACTAATGTCAGTTGCTACTTCGCATCCGCAACTCACCAGCTTCTTGCCGCCGAAGAACCGTCCCTCGAGTTCACGTGTGGCGCGCCATGCGCCAGCCATGCCGGAGAAGACGACGAACACACGGAGCGCGTCCGTAGCGTCCTCGGGTGCAGGCTCGACCATGTGCAGGACGACACGCTCGACAATACTGGTGTGTCAGACTCGTCGCAAGGTAATCACCCACCCATGCCGGGAGCACTCTTCTCCAATCTCGTCACTGAGCTCCTCGCCGGCATCGTCGTCGTCCATGCCCATGATGCAGATGATGCGGCTCGCCTCGCCAAACTTGTCGTGTTCCTCCCGTTGCCGCTCTTCCTCGTTGGCATTGACGATCCGGCCGCGCGAGTTGGCCGCCTGCGTCCACTTGCGGTTCTTGGCGTTGGCGGCCGCAGCGCGCTGTTTGGCGCGTTGACGTTTGGAGAGCTTACTCGTGTCCATGGGCTTGGCAACATGCTCGGCGGCGAGGGCAACCTTGATACCGTCTTCGCGCACGCCGAGGCCTGCACCTTCGGTATGGCCCCACCTGCGCATCACTGAAGAGTTAGTATGGTCGCATCAAGGCTCTTGTCAACTCACTTCGTTCGGCAAATGTACCACTTTGACTGAAGGGTCAGTAACTACCAGCACATACCAAACCTACTCTTCATCTGCAACAGGTTGAGGCGCTGGTTTGGGCGTCCCAACAAGCGCGGCGAGTTTGGCCGCCACAGCGGCTGCTGCTCGCTTCTTCTCATCCAGCTGACGCTCGTATTCAGGATCCGTTCTAGGCGGAGATGGCGCCGAGTACCGATGTGGGTGTGGGGTAGGAGGCTCCACCGGAGCCGCGGGATGTGGCGAAGCGTGCCCGACAGGTGGGGGCAGAGGAGCTCCGGCCATGAGATGGGCTGGAGGAGGGCGGAACGGTGGTGGACCACTGGGGACCGGTGGGGGTGCACCGGCGAGGAGGTGTGCAGGTGGTGGGCGGAAAGTAGGAAATCCGCCAGGAGTGCCGGCCGGTGGGAGACTAGGCGGCGGGAGGCTGGGCGGTGGAGGACCAGGCGGTGGGGGGCCTAGAGAAGGAACACCATGCGTTGCCGGATGGAACGAGGGCCGCGGAGGAGGAACGTGGTACGCAGGCTCTGGCGGTCGGACCGACATGGCTGCTCGTCGTGCAAACGCATCGTCACCTGTTGCGGCTTGAGACATGACAGCTCGACGGGCATAGGCGTCGTCCCCAGAAGCTGCCTGAGACAACGCTTGGCGCCTAGCATACGCGTCATCTCCAGTAGAGGCCACAGTCATAGCTACACGCTGCGCATAGGCGTCGGCGCCGCTGTCTGGGGGCGGGGAAGGCTGTCTGGGCCGCACAGCCGGGGGCGAGGGTAACCTTGCCCGTACTTGACCAGGCGAGTACAGCGTCTTTGGAGGAGCAAACGCCTTTGGTGCTGAAGTAAGCAAAGCACGGCTCTGGGAAGCTTACCATCACGTCGTGGTGCCTCGACACTGCTGTCACTGTAATAGCTGCTGTCGTCGCTCCCGCGGTTCGCATCGGCAGCAGCCCGCTTCTCTTCGCGCAGGCGTCTCCTGTAGTGTTGATACTCGCCCAGATCGTTGGGCGTGTTGGGATCATACTCCTCATCTGGCTGGAACGTGTGCACTACCTGCTGCCTTCTCTTCTGCATAGGTCAGCCCCTGCAACATGGTGCGAGAGAGAACCTACCTTCTTCTTCTTCTTCTTTTTCTGGCTGTCAGCCTTGCGCTTGCCGTCGCCCTTCTCCTTCTCAGCTGCTGCGAGGGTCATGGCTGGTGCGCGGATGATGGGCTCCCCATCAGTGCCCATAACAACCTCAACTTCCCTTGAGAGGGAAGACGACGAAGATGACGCATTGATGAGCACGGGTGCGGCCTCAAGGACGGCAGCGGACGTGACGGTCGATGGTGCCCAGTACGATGAGCCCGAGGTAGCGAAGCCCCGCTGTGGTGGTTGTGTTGCCTTTGGTTTGTTTGTCTTTGCCCTAGGCGCAAACTGGAGTGCTGTAAGTGGGGCAGTCGACTTGGACGTGGAAGGTTTGGGCGCAGAGGAAGGCCCAGCAGCTCCGGGCGCATCCGTCGTCGAAGGCGCCGAGGTGGAGGATGTCACTGGGCTGGTCCCATCTGCCGCTGCGACTGCAGCAGCACTCTCAGCTGCGAGCGACTTGGCCGTGTCGGACGAGAACTTTATGCCCGAAAAGAGGGACATGGCCTGGCGGATGAGGGCCGATGGGAGGGAGGTCGAAGATGTATCAACAGAAGTGGAGGACGATGTGGACAATTGGGCGGCGGGTGGATAACAATCAATCAACCGAGTTTGAATGCGGACATTGGGAGAATCAACTTCCGCGTCACATCTCCCGTCTCTCATCCACACCATCCACCACCATGTACGTCCAGCTTCCAATTCTTCGAAGGCAGCTGACACAACAGGCCACCACGATTTGGACGCGGCGGCGGACCACGCAAGTCCAATGCGAGCACACCAGGACCTGTAGATGATGGACCAGTGAGTTGCCGCTGATGCACTGCGTCACCCCCCTCGCCATCCTTCGTTACTCTCACTAACGTGCTCCTAGCAACTGGTAGACAGGCTCAACTACGCCGATACCCCGCGGTCATTCAAGAACACCAGCTTCACGTCCAAGCTCCCAGCGCGCACAGCGTCTGCGGCGGGCGCGAACGGCTTCAAAAAGAACGTCAAGCAGATCCTCACGCTCGAGCGCGAACGTGTGGGCGGCGGCGACGGCTTCCTGTCTGCCGCGCAGACGTCGGCCAAGGCGCGCGGCGAGAACATTGAGCCCGTCAAGAAGAAGAAGAAGGAGAACCCCGTCGGCAAGCCCCGCCCGCCAAAAGGACGCCGGAGCGGCGTTGCTACCCCGTTGACGCTCGATGACGACAGCAACATTAGCGGCACGGCGACGCCGATGGACGAGGACGGTGATGCCGACGAGGGCATGGATGTGGAGGTCGACAATGGCGTGCACCGCGAGATCATCACCTGTGAGCTTTGTATGTGCGAGTACCGTAGCTGATGACCTTGTCAGACCACACCCCCGCCGCTCCGCCTTCCCTCTTGCCTGCAAAGAAGTATTGCGACATCACTGGCCTGCATGCCGTGTACACCGACCCAAGGACAAAGCTGCGCTACAAGGGTCTCGAGGTGTGGGGCATTGTGCGGAACTTGGTGAGTTGTCATTTCGTAACGCATAGCTAACAAACAGGGTCCCGGTGTCGACCAGGCATACCTCTCGCTTCGTGGCGCGCAGACGTCGCTCAAGTAATCGTCGCCAGCCGTGCACGCAGGGCAAGTGCTCTAGCTTCTAGCAGAGGCCAGCTCAGAGGGGTGCGTCATGTTGTCCATATACCAATCCCACTGCGCAGATATCTCTCTCCCCCTTTCCCGTCGCCTCGCGCGCGTGCCCGAGCGCCAGCGTCTGCATAATACCACCACACCCGAGCGGGTTATCTATAGCCACTACGGAGCACATGCACCCTATGTACTGTACAGTCTAGGTGATGATGAGTCTGAGTTTAGGCCATTTTACTTGGAGACAGACTTGACGGCGGCGACCTCGGCCTGCCTGGCCTTCTCGACGGCAAGGGCGCCCTCGACGGCGGTGATCTTGGCCTCGTTGGCGGTCTCGTCAATAGCCTCGATGGCCGCGTCGGCGGTGATGAGCTCGGGCTTCTTCTTCTCACGGCCACCAAAGTACCAGTAGTTGACGAAGCGGGCCTCCTGGAGCGACTGGGCGGCAGCGTTCGTGGCGTGGCACGCGAACAGGAGGTAGTTGCGGGGCTGCACGCGCCATGCGAAACGCATGAAGATCATGCTGTTTTGTGGGGTCAGTTGTGGACACGCGGAGCACGAGCGAGTGTCACAACTCACGAGTAGACCGCAAGGGTAGGCGACATGACGCCGGAGATGTACTCCTCGTCCTTGTGCATCACATCAGCGATGGCAGCAAGGGGGAGACCCCAGTTGGCGACCTGTACGTGTTAGCGTGCGCCCCAATGTCCTGATGTCCTCCGCTGCCGTCGTTCGAAGAGGGACCTCGTCGACTCACTGGTCCCCAGAAGTGGGTGCCTATATCGGGTCAGCCGAATATCTCGCGCACGTACATCATGTAGCAGCAACAACACCACGTACTGAAGAAGTAGGAGCGCGCATCAGGCGACTTGAGCCAAGTGAAGAACCTGCTACTGTTTACGCATCAGCATCACTGCTCTCTTTGTGCGTCCAAGGTGCAAACGTAACGAGTGTGGGATGACGAACCGGCGGCAACGGCCCCGCACATCCCACAAAGTACCACCTTTTGCTTGGCTACTCACCCAGTGGACCTGCATGTTGGGACGCGGGGGAAACGTTCGCCGATGGGCAAGAAGAGCGCGCATGTCAGTGCCGTTGTCTGCGGGACCGCGCTCCTCGCTGGTGTGGACTCACGCCATGGTTGCCGATGATGGTGGTGTGCGGTGTGTTCGACTCGTCGCTCATGCAAAGAGACCCCACAAAGAGCTCCGTCGCTGGTGCCGCGGCCGCCGGGCGCGCCGGGGAAGAGGTGCCACACGGCAGGCGCCAGACAAACGCCGATTACAAATTGAATGGAGGGGGCATTAGGCTCCTTATGACTCCGTATTAGAAATGACGTATGGTGTGTTTAACCGCGCACTCGGTTGAGCCGCACAACGGATGATCGCTCCTCCGTCTCCGCAACCGAGGTGGTACGGGGATCGACAGCGGGCCCACGATAATGGTGGTGTCCGGTCCTCCGGTCTCTCCCTTATCAAAACGCACAACCGTGTTTGCCCGCGCATGCCGGCCACCCGCTGCAAGCTCTGGCAAGCTGTTTCTTGTCCCTGCAGCCCGTGCAGTGGTGCCCAAGTCATCTTCATGCAACCCCATCCTGCTCCAGGCTGCGTCATGGTCGTCCATCGGGCACAGCAGCAGCCTCCACCGCGCCGGCACAGCCGGGTACTTGGTGCCAAGTCGTTCCGATTGTCCTACGCGACCTTCTGGTTGTCGTTCCCACAACCGCTCCTTCTCTCATTCTAGCATCCACAACAGCACAATGGCAGACATTTCCGCACAGCTTCGCGAGCTGAGCACATGCGAGGTGCGTTCGTGCATTATAGACCTCCAAGGACGCTCTCCGTTGCTGCCATTGCCGGTCCCCCCAGTTCCCAGTTCCAAACGACTAACAACCAGATTTCGGATGCGCTCATCAAGATGGGTGTGCCGAGCGGTGGTCTCGTCCCAGACCTCAAGATGTACTCGCCTGTTTACGAGGCGGGCGACACTCGAGTCGCTGGCCCTGCATTCACCGTCGAGGTGAGTTGATCGTACCCCAGGCCAATCAACTAACAGTGAAGATGGTACCCGTCGGCCACGAGGACAAGAGCAAGCCCGCGCAGCACTTTGTGAGCTGCGCGCTAGAATGGGGAGGGCATCAGCTGATAGACAGGTCGATGCCGCGCCTCCAGGTAGCGTCATCTTCATGCAGACCCCACCAGGTAGGTCAACTTCAGCTTAACAGACTCTAACTCGTTCCCAGGCGTGCGCTCCGGCTGCTGGGGCGGTCTCATGAGCACCGCCGCCAAGACAAAGGGCGTTGTCGGCGCCGTCCTCGACGGCGGCTGCCGTGACCTCAACGAGCACCGCGAGCTCGGTTTCCCAGTCTTCGCTCGTGGCCACTCGACGCTGGGTCCGGGCACGTTCACGCGTGTGCGAGCTCTCAACGCGACTCTGACCATCCACCCTGTCGCCCCCGTCGCGGACCCGCCCTTCCCCTCCGTGACTGTTCGCCCGGGCGACATTGTGGTCGCTGACCTCGATGGCGTTGTCGTCGTCCCGCCCGAGATGGCCGAGGAGGTCCTTAAGCGCGCCATCCCTGCGCGCGAGGCAGACGAAAAGGTCCGCGCCGACTTGCTGCTTGGCAAGGGCGTTTCAGAGAGCATGCTCAAGCACCGTGGAAAGGCCCCGTAGAGGACAAAGTGGACGAGGCATAGAGCACATGGTAGTGATACAGATGAATGAATGCAGGAAGGAAGGAGGGTCTGGTGCGTGCACCCAAATGCTGCCAGGCAAGACGTCTGCTGTCAGCTTCATTGGGTCTTCGACTAGCTGCACGCACCCTCATTTCTTGCTGAAGCCAGTTGTTGGCCAAAGACAGCGGCACGCTCTTATCGATGTTTGCGGCACCGAACATACAGTACGCAGCGGTTACCTATGTCTCAAGGTAGTCCGCCGCAGTGAGCCTGCATGTCAGCTCGGGGTTGCTCGGACGTACGCTGAACTCACAGCTCGAGGGCAATGTAAGGATCAATGCGGTCCTGGAAGTCCTCGCGGATGTCGCTGCTGGCAAAGTCGGCGTACTGGACCTTGTACTGCAGATACTCGATGACCTTGAGAAGGATGATACCACTGATATAAAGCGTCAGCGTACTATCCTTTAGTGAAGAAGCCGGCATGATAGGACGTACCGGTATTCGAGCCTGACGGTCTTGTCCTTGGCCTCCTGGAATGCGGCTGATGGGGTTAGCTCATGCTCTCTTATGCGCTAGCTGGGCGATGACATGTTTGGGTCGCTGCTGTCTCGCGGTGTCATAGAAGATACAGCGGCAATCTACCTTGGCTCTTATCCTCATCGCTCGCGCGACCTATAGCCCACAGCGCTGAACGTCAGAAAGACACTCACAGTCCTCGTCCAACATCGACCTGAGCGTCTGGCTCGCCATAGCAATACGACGGGGAACGGAGAAGGTGTACCCGTCCGAGGACTCGAGGAGGACGAAGTCGGTGTCCGCCATGGTGCAAGGCTTGGTATATGGGTGATGATGATGGTTGACGCGACTGGGCAAGTTCAGCTCAACAACATTACGCGACGCGGAGGCAGATTGGGGATCGGGATTGTGAAATCCCCAGGTTGTACTGATTTTGAGGTCCACTGAACTTCGTCGGTAAGATGCGTGACTTGTAACGGGATACTGGGGCAGGCTTTAGGGACATAAAATGTTCATCTACAGTAAGGAAAGATAGTGTACTCTCTAGACCAACCGGTTGGTTTGAAAGAACAGGGCAAAGCTGTTACGACGGGCAACAGTCGCGTGGCCATGGGGAGATAACTTATGCACATGCATGCTATGCGATTTCTACCAGATAACCCTTCTTATACATACATACACGGGAGGAGCAGTTGGGATGGACCCCTGTCCCCATCCCTTGCACAACCCCCAAATGCGGTTCAGACGCGAGATCCTTGGGGTCTCAATGTGCTCCCACATTCTTCCCCCTCGACTCCTCCTGCTCAATCTCAGCAGTCATTGTACGCTCACTGAGCGGCACCGAGGGGGAACCGCTGTGACCCGTGTCGGCAGTGACGGTGCCGATCGTCTTCTCCTCGTCCGAGTGGTCACCTTCTCCCTTGTGGCTGCCCTTCTTGCGCTCCTCGAGCCACGCCTTGGCTTCTTCCTTGAGACGCGCTTCGTCGTCGCGCTTGAGGGACACACGCTTGACAAAGAACAGGGTGATGAAGAACGATATGCCCGAGATGGGGATACAGAACCAGAAGCAGCCATTGATGCCCTTGGCTGTTGGCTAGTTAGCAATCCGCATCCAAATGCCAACTCACAATAGGCCAGACGGACATACTCGATCTGCGAGTCTGTGAGGCCAAGCTCTTGGAGTTCTGTTGGTGCCTGGAGGATCTTGCCCACCATGTCGGCTGTGAACGCAGCGTCGAGCTTGGAACGTGCAATGTTGTTCATGATCGCAGCGCTGATCGCCAGTGCCACCGTACCGCCCAACATGCGAAGGAAGTTGCGTAGACCTGTGGCGATGGCCATGTCCTGGCGCGCAACCGAGGCCTGGATGGCAATGAGGCTTGTTTGGAACGTGGGGCCCGCACCAAGACCAATGATGACCTGGTACCCGATAAGGTGGGCCTTTGGCGTCGTGGGGTTGACTGTTGATATGAGGCCAAGGCCAATGGTCCATATGAAGAAGCCGATGAGGAGGGTCCATTTGTAGTCGCCAGTCTTGGCAACCATAAATCCAGAACTGCACAGTTAGTCATTGGTATGGGGAAGATTGACTTACAAGAAGACGAAGAAGACCTGGACGAATGTCAAAGGCAGCATATCCACGGCCGCTTGGATTGGGGTCTCTCCACGGACAACCTGCAAGTATTGTGGCAAATAGTAAAGCGTCACAAAGAAGCCTACACCGTTACCAAACGTGGTCGCCATGGATGCCGAGACCGTCTGGTTCTTGAAAATGTACATGGGCGCTAGCGGGAGGGGGATGAGCTTGGCTTCCATAAAGACCCAGAAGGCAGCGAGGAGGAGACCGATGATAAGTGGCGCGAGCACTGCCGCCGAGGTCCACGAGTACGTCGTGCCAGCCCATGACAGGGCGAGGAGGACGAGCATGGCCCACACAAGGGTGAGGACTGCGCCGTAATAGTCGATTTTCTTGAGCTTTTCCTTGGCAGACCCAGTGACTTTGCGCAAAGGCAAAACGAAGAAGATGACGACAAGCGAGAGACCCGTGATTGGCAGATTGATGTAGAAACACCATCGCCAGCCGATCTCTGAAAAGATGCCTCCCAGTACGGGACCAAGCGAGTTTGCAAGTGCCACGACGCCACCTGAAATGCCTTGAAACTTGCCACGGTCTTTCAGTGACACAATGTCCGCGACTGGAGGATTGTCAGCTTTGGCAAAAGTTTGGCAAGAGCTTACTAATGATCAAACTGAGAGTGAGGATGCCTCCCGCGCCTAGACCCGAGATGGAGCGGAAGACAATCAGCTGGATCATGGTCTGGAGGGTGAGTTGGTGTAGCAACACGGGGCAACTCACCTGTGCGCACGCAGCACCGATCGAGCCAACCAGGAAGATCATAATGTTGGCAAGCAGCACCACTTTTCTCCCAAAAATGTCAGACAGGCGACCGTACAGTGGTTGGAAGGACTGGCAAGGTCAGCTTTGACAGGAGGGGAAAAGCTTACAGTAGATGTGAGCATGTAGGCGGTGCCAACCCATGATGAAATGTCCGTGGCGTTGAACACCTTGCCCAGTGTTGGCAGAGCCGTCGTTACACTAAGGTGTCAGCTGATATTCGTCAGATTCAACTCCAACTAACATTGTCTGGTCCAGAAGAGCACAAAAGAGGGCGCAGCTCAGGCCAACAAACACGACGATGACCTGTTTGATGGGGAGCAAGTTGGTTTGGTCCTGGAGCGCATACTTGGGATCGACGGCGGAGGTGTCCTTGGTTTTACTGCCGTCCCCATCCCCGACAACATCTACTTCTACTCTTGTGCAGCGACACTCGGTGTCGTCTTGCACATCGTGTGACTTGCGAACAGTGTCGGGTTTGGCCGAATCGAACTCGGGGTCACGCGACTCGTCGCTCGGGAACTTGTGGCAGTGTTGTTCATGGACACGCTCGCCCACAGCGCCGCTCCGCGGTTCCCTCTCGTCTGCGTGGCGGACATGATCATGGTCGTGCTCGTGGTGTTCATGGTGCGTGTCGAGGATAGACTGGTCAATGTCGTCGACAGCGTATTCGCCCGTCTCGTGCGTTGCCATGCGACGGAAGGACTGGCCGGCCAACGCCGAGTTTGTCGACCCAACGCGACTGAGGGGGACGGGTTCCAACAGTGTGCGGGCAGCAGCAGTCCGTTGTCGACTGGTAGATGGTCCTGGGTCCCGATTCTCTGCTCGAGGCTCACAGGCCGTCGAGGCTATCGATTCTGCCCTGTTGGCCATGGCTTGATGTTGTGCTGCTCCCTGGGTATCTCATTCAGGGGATATCCACACAATGTGGGGCCAAAAGAGTTGATCCTAGAGATCTCCAGAGCCCACGGTGACAAGCAGTGGTGGAAACTTGGATTTGAAGAGCGCACAAGAGTCGTAGAGGTCGCGCAGTGACACGTAGTGAGGTTACAAGAGGGAGCATGCAGGTTGTGTTGTGCGGTTAAAGCATATGAACTCGGTATTCTGTGTGGGCAGAGCAGAATGTCGGCTGAATCCGACACCCTCCACCCGGCGATGGCCGTTATGTGAAATGCTCCCGCCGCTGTTTCTTCCAGATATCACTGCTGACATGTGACAATCAGAGCCGCGCTCTCCTGAGGCCGTACATGGCGTCTACATGCCCGCTGCTGCTGCGTAGAGTGACCGTCTCTGCAATTGTTGCAGCGGTTCACAGTGTCTTACGAATTCCACAAACGGAACCAGTCAGCCACCCGGCCACTGATCCACTGACGACGATCAGTATGGATCTGCCGCGGTTACTACGCAGTTCTTCCGGTGTGCGGCGGCCGTCCCGATGGCCGCCTCACGCTGCACACATTCCTGCTACGCTGACACTACGTGATGCGAGAGTGGCCATTGGTGTACAAGTCTCAAGAGTCCTTAATGTGGGAGGGTGCGAGATTGCTAACCGGCTGCCAGATCGTCGTACTGCCTATAACCTACCCTAGCTAGCTAGCTACCCTATCCATCCTCGTTTCACGAAAGGCCGAGCTTCACGACAGCTCCCATGGCGGCCCGTACCAAGCACTCCACAAGCGCTGACGTTTCCGTTAAAACACAGGGGTACAACAGGTTGCTACATTCTAGTAGCCTACCACGGTAAGAAATCCGTTTCAGTCGAGCCAGTCGAGATATTCCTGCTTGACGCTCTTCATTTTCTGAATGCTCGCCGTCTTTCCAAACCCGGCCCACGCCTTCCGTAAGGGCCGGCCCACACGGTCGAAGTCCCACCACGTCTCGTTGCCGAGCATCTTGGACTGGTTCCACGCCGCCTCGGTCCCAAGGATGAATGGCACTTCCAGGTTGTGCGTGGCACCCCACACACTGCCTTTGGGTTCGTACTTGAATACGTAGGTGGCAGTCGGGTTGTGTGCGTCGTGCATTTCGGCGTCGTTGGCGAGGGTTGAGTTGACATACTCTGCCAGAGTAGCTGCAGCAGCCTCAGACATGTTGGCGCCCAGCCTGAATATCAGCTTTGTCTGCACCCGGATTCAATGAGACACTCACGCCCGCATGTCATCTTTATTCCACCCATTGACCAAGGGCAAGCCGTGTACAGTGATGGGCCCGTTTGCATTAAGCGGAAACCACGGTACCTGCAGTCCGTCACCTCCGTACGCATCCACCCTCCAATCGGTGGTGTTGGACGAGGCCTGCAGTAGAGCAGACAAGTTGGCTGTGTATATGTCTTCGTTGAGGAAACTTTCAAACTTCCTGCCGCACTCCTCTGCCCAGCTGAGGTTGTGTGCCGTGAGCTCTAGCGGCGCACTCTCCATGATGCCTGCGTGGAACAGACCCTTGGCCTCTGGAGTGCGGTACAGGCAATTGACACTGAGTGCACCTGCACTCTGGCCAAAGATGGTGACCTTGTCCTTATCCCCGTCAAAGTCACCAATGTGCTCCTGCACCCATTTGAGTGCCTGCACTTGGTCCCCGATACCGGTTGGCGTAATGTTGCGTTCAGGCATGTACAGGAATCCGAGCGGGCCCAGACGATAGTTTATCGTGACGACGACTACCCCTTCCCTGGCGAGCCGCGTGCCGTCAAACCACGACAGCACGCCGCCGAGGTACATGTACGAACCGCCGTGAATGTACACCATGACGGGGAGCTTTTTACCAGTCCTTTTCGGTGTGAAGACCCGCAGTTGGAGGCAGTCTTCGCTTTGCAGTGGGTTGCCGGGAATCGGACCAAGGATAGCCTGAAAGGCTGGAAAGGAGGTTGGTAATTGCGGGCAGATGGTCTCTGGCGCCGGGTCGAGATATGAGAGGTACTGCGACGGCGCAAAGCGCTCCGCCACTGCGTACCGATAAGGACCAAGGTTGCTGATATGGGTAGGTGCCATTGCAACTGAGTAGGAGATTTGGGTAAAGACACGCGATGAAGTTGGTATAAATAGCCCACAGCAGCCAGTGGCACAGAATACGTTGGAGCATCTGCTGACACAGGCCGTCGCTGATATTGTTGCTCAGAAGAACACCTGACAAGAAAAGCGGAGTTGTTAACAACAGTGACATCCACAATGAGGATCACATGCTAATAGGAATGGACGCAGCATAAGTCCGAAATGGCGTTTTAATCTGTGCGTTTGGCTGCAGTGACCTTGAGGTACCTGTCGAGTCCCGCCCACCAGCTGACGACTAGCTCCAGCCTACGTAGTCTGACAACACCTCCTTACGGCGCTGGCACAATCGTGAAACGCGTTGAAGGTGTATTTGATTTCTTATTATGCTCGGTTCTACATACGTGGCATGTTCAATCAAATGACCTCAACGTTGGGGATGTGGTCGGTGCCTACGATCACCATGTGTTGCGGGGGTACGAGTTTCCACTCGTTCCGGTCGTACGTGCTGGGCTCGCTGGCAACAATCACGTGCCGCCCGTGTTCCTTCCTGGGCTTGGGGCCCTCACGCTGGCAGTGCCCAGGGAGTTGAGGGTAGCCTTTGTCCGGATGGCCTTCGTACAGCCTATTCATTGTTGCACCTGCAACAGTCGATACGTAAAGAGAGGGAGGTTCGCGGGGCTGTGGAGACGCGTAGCGGATAGCAACGAGTGACGAACCGTCCGTGACCACGAGGTTGAGGGCCGAGTGCGGGGCAACGCCATTGCAAACGGCTGAGCTATCCTCCTCCTTGTCCTCTTGAATGCACTCGGCAACCCAACCCTCGAGTTCGGCCAGGACCACGCGCATGGTGCTTGCCAATTGCTGCACGGGGTACTGCTTTCCCTCCAAAAGCTCTGCCCAACCGGCTGCCGTTCCGGCAACAAGACGATCGAAGAAAAGGGCAGCCATGTGTTCGCTGTCCGTCGTACCAAGGATGGCATTATGGGCGGCTCGCCCACGCAGGGAGGTGAGAAGGCGGAGCTTGAGCTCGGCATAATGCGACAACACCCCGTTATGCGCAAACGCATACCGGCCGAAAATGAATGGGTGGTTGTTTGTTTCGACCACCGGTGTGAGACCCTGCAAACAATCAGCGGCCGACGCATGATACCGTACTCACCGTCCCAGCTCGGATATGGGCCAGTAGACCTTTCGAGCTCGTCCCGGCTGCCAATGATTTGAGGTTCAAGTCGTTCAGCGCCGGGCGAATGCTCTTGTAAACCACGGGGCGCATCCTAGCAATGTCGGAACTGCTCTTGCTGCATGGGTCAAAGTCGCTGGCGGTGGTCGTCCAGTATGCGATACCGTAACCGTCCATATTGGTAGTGACATTCGGCGAGGATGTGCTATCGGATGCCTGGAACTTGACGTGAACGTGAGGGAGGTAGTGGTCATCAACTGCCGTCCCGTCAGCCATCGTTCCGCGTGCGCCGGACGCACTTACTCTGTTTCAGCAGGGAGTGTCTCGGCCGTACGAGCATGTCCTCGACAAGAGCCTCCTCGTCTGATACCATACAGAACCAGCGACACATGTTGGAGATGAGATGGATGGTTCGGGATGGAGCAGGCCAGAGGTTTAGTAGGGGACGCGGGACGGGAAACAACCAACAACCACTACGTCATGTTGCCCAAAATACCGCTCCCATCACGTGGGCCACCAACACCATTCCGCTTGGGACAGTCGGTTTGAGATGATACCGTCTGCTGAACTGCATGAACTGCTACCTCACTGATGACGCTCCATGTGCGTGCAGGCAACAAAGTGGAGAAACTGTAACATCGCTGACCCAAATGTCGGCGAAATCGCCCCGTATCTCGGACACTAATTCAGCCGCCGGAAACAATCCACACACATCGGCAGTGGCACATCGGCCTTCCTCCGACCAACACCCTCTTACAAAACGTCCATTTTCTCATGCAACAATGCACACACAGCTTGCATATCGACATCCACGGCATCGTCTCATGCAGGAGAACACAGCATGGCTGGCAATGTGGCGGAGTGGTTAACGCGATTGACTCGAAATCAATTTCCTTCGGGAGCACATGTTCGAATCATGTCATTGTCGGATGATCTTCTGGGAAGCTTCTCAGAGGAGAATTACCTTTTGGCTAGTGAAGAGAGGCATCCGGGGAAGAGGTGGGGGCTGTGTAGAGTACGAGGTAGTTGAGCATTTGTGGAACAAGCGCTGAGGTGACCAGGTCCATGGCACTGTCCGTCGAGGCTCTGACGGTCGGTCGGTTGGCGCTCCCTTGTGTCGTGTTCTCTACCGGGCGAAGGGTGACCACCGCAGGGGCCAAATTTCGTCCCCAAACGGGTCAGACCTTGGGATTTACAGACGTGAAAGAGACAAAGGCTCGCGGTGGGACGTGACGGAGCATCAACATCGCCTCTTCGCTAGTATATCGGTTAGTATAACCGCCTCTCAATAGGGAGTCTTCCTAATAGGAACATCGCGGTAGAGCAGGGTTCAACTCCCTGGCGGAGAAGAAGAGCTAGTTCAACTGGTCTCACCTTTTTGCAGGTGAGCGCAGCAAGGAGAGGGTTCGAAGACGAGGGCAAGGACGTTAAAAGCACCAGAACTCGCCTGTCGTTTATGTTTTCACGCAATATGCAGTAGCGTAGAACTCGCAAGCATGTACTGTGCCGTAAACGCAGCAAGCTACACCTACGAGAGACTGTGGTGCACCGAAATAGAGGGAAACGGCATGTTGGGTTGAAGAAGGTCGATGAAAGTGGCTGATCGGCGATTTTCCCTGAATTTTCGCCGAATTTATTCTTCAGGTAGTCTTTCAGGTGTTTGGTGACCCCACAGTCGTCCTGACCAGCAGTTCGTCTCGAATGACTTCCAAATTGACACCAAACGTATCTTATGCCCCCCAGCACTACTGCAGCCCTCTCCTCAAGCTTGTAAACTTCTTAGAAGGCCAGGAAACCCTCGTCGAGCGCCGATCACGAGCTTCAACTCAACATCGCCACACCGTTGGTGAAACGGTATCATGCGTCGTTGCCATGCGCAACATCGACGCGGCAGGGGTTCGACTCCCTTACGGTGTACATGAAGCTTCTGGAAACACCAGAGGTCATTCCTTTTGGCCTCCAACGTTTCGGGAGGGACACGGGTGACCCAGCGGGTGGTGGTGATGGAAAGTGGCAGGTGGTTGGTGTTTGTCATTTGGCTGCCGACTATCCGAGGTTCCGGGCATGGAGATGGGGAACTGGTATGATTACCAGTCAATGATATCTCTAGGCAGAGCGACAATATCGTTATAGGGAGCATCAGGGGATACCTAGTCTATTTACAGACAGCATGTTAATTTCTGTATCTCAAAGCACGCTGCCTAGATCGTCGTATGTTCGGTAAAGATATCTGGGGTCTCTCACCACAACCTTTAGATCCTCCTTCACCTGTGCTGCAAATTTATTCTGCAATTTGACTTGTAATGGGCCCGACAACCAGATTGCCATGCGTATATGTGGAGACTTGTCGCTGGCCCATTTCCGCTGGGCCGCCATTGTGTTTCTTTCACACTGGCCTCTTTGGCTGCACCAGCGTCTGCTTGGGCAACACGTTCTTCCGTCTTTAAGCCAAATCCGCGATGTGTCCTCTATTGACCGCTTGTTGACAGCTTGGGAGCCAACATTGTGCCCGTCAGCAATCGCAACGTTTACCACAAGCTTTGTCACCCAAGTACAGTACACTGCCAAACTCTAGGAAAGGTGAGAAATGAATAGTGTCATGGTTTCGGGACATCTTTAGAGAACAGTGCGGTGAGTGCCTCAACAGCTGAATTCTCCGCATGGCGGTACCATAACAAGTGGTCTGCAGCGACGAGACGTCCCTTCGGCCGTCCCCGTGGACACTAAGCAAGCGGGTGGCAAAGAATTCCGAACCACCGTTACTTCCATTGCAATTCGTTGCATTACTGGCCTAACACTGTCCTTGCACAAGGTAATGTCTCGCACCAGAGTATCGAGTACGTAGACCTACTGCATACTGTTTCCGGAGGCAGTTGGCCTGTACTACATAATGGCACCAAACACACCAGGGCATAAAAAACGCACGGCTCCGGTGGTGTAGTAGAAGCATGCCCCCTTCGGGCGGTCTGCTGTCCGAGATGTCTATCTCATTGGGGGTGGTCCTGGGTTCAACTCCCAGCCGGAGCCTTCCTTTTGCCATTATGGGACTCTGTAGGACAGCTTTTGGACGTTGGACACGTAGGTGAACCGAATTGGACGTCGAACGGATGAAATGGACTCCGCGGAGCAGGAGGAAGGAGATCTGTCTGTGTACGTGCAGCACCTACCTCGTTGCTTCGCGATATGCATGTGGCTGTCCATATACTTCTATCCGACAACCTTTCATCAGATCAACACAAGTTATTCCCAGCAGCGTTGGTACCGTTGGGGTAGTGAATAGCATGTCCGTGCTCGAGCGTCCCTTGCCCTCCGCCCCCTCGCGGGGGTTTCCGGGATTCTGTTTCTTCAGTGTATACCTTTTCCCTCACCGACCTAGCCGACCTCTAATTGTCCACGCTTTCTATCTCGTCGGGAATTCGCCTCACGAGCAGCTTTCGCTGCTCAAGACCGACGATCTGCCCTCGCGAGAACAGATCACCTGGGAGTTGAGTTGACCTTGAGACGCAGCAGAATTCGTCCCAAGACCATGGAGCCCCCGTGGTACCCCAGTGGGGCTTGAAAGGCTCGTTGCCCTATGACTTGGCATTGCCAACTTCAAGCTCGGCGGTCAACGTTATTCGTCGAGGAGGGGTCGCGGCGGGTGGAGACATACGATTGTTAGTCGTCCGCGTACCACTTTGAATTCAACCTACAGGGGCCCAGTGGTTGGGCACTCCCTTGTCGCCATGGGCCTCAGATCTTCGCCAAAGAAGTCTTCTATCTGCGGGACATGTGGAGCATTGGATATCGGAAAGAACCAGAAGGCATCCGCGCTTCCCGAAACATCGACCCCGAATGTGGCACTCCACCAAACCTCTCGGAGACATCACCTGGACTGTCAACCATCATTCCTATGCATACAGACACCCAAAAAGGTTGGCTTGGGAGGCAATGAAGCCCCTTTTGACGAGAGTGGGATTCGAACCCACGTCCGAAGACTGCGGATGAACTTCCTCAAGAAGAAGAAGAAAACCTTAACACAGCGCCTTAGACCGCTCGGCCATCTCGCCGATACATTTTTGTCGTTGCCCGCTGGAACGCGCCCGTTCGTCATCCATGCTGTTTGAAAGTTCACGTCCAGGCCTATGATGACAAGGGCTGTGGACGAGCAAAGGGCACAGGAGAAGGATAAGAGGCGTGTGATAACGTACCTGAACAGCTCGTGCAGTTCGTTATTCCTTTCTCGGCGAACATGTGACGCCCTTCGCGGCGACGGCTTTCACAACAGTGAAGGACTGCCACAGTCCCTATGGCCTCTGGCGTTGCTGCTACGATATGAATGCTGGCGGGAAGTATCTCTTCCTTTGTGAAAACGCTCTAACACTGGAGCTTGAAGTCATGAGCAGCGATCGACAGAGCACTTGCTCGCCTTATCAGATGTGCTTGATCGTGGCCTCACGTAACTTGCGGCTGCAGGAACCAACTCTTGTCTCACACTATCATTGATCTGTACTTGGACGTATTCCCCATCCTCGATTGCACTGGAACCACACACGCACACACACACACACACGCCCTCGCCTTAGTGACGGCCTTCCTCCTCGGCGCCTGAATAGTCCGACGATGTGTCGTCACGAGGATCCTCATAGTCGGTTTTGTCCTCCTTCAAGAGGCGCTTGACGTCCTCTTCCAGAATCGACACACGAGCCTTGAGAGTCCCAATGTCGCTGGCCGTCTCATCGCGCTTGGTGGTGCGAGCTGAGAGGACTTGGGAGGCAGCAAAGGTGGTGGGCCCGGTGGTGTGTTCTGTGTACGTCAGCGCTTGCCGACACACACGGTGTGCCGCTGGCACAGCTACAGGGGAGTGGTGGGAATCTCACTAGGAGTAGGGGGTATGGAATCCACCCGAATCGCCAGTTGGTCGAGTTTGGCCGACAGCTGGGCAATGGCAAGGTCGGTCCCCTGTGAAGAGCGAACGAGGTCGCCTGAAGCCGTGACGTCGGCAAGTTGCTCGGCCGGGATCTCGCTGGCAGTGTCTGGTTTGGTTTCGTGGAACGGATGTTCTGAAGTTGTCAGGATCACAAAGGTACGTAGATGCATACCGAGGGCTGCATTGTATACCTGTTCGGCAAGGTCATGCGCTAGCTCGACCTCGGCAGAGTGTTTGTCCTTGGCGCTGCTGCGGAGGACGTTCAGGAGGTCGAAGATGGCAACGAAATGCGCTGGGTCGACTGGAACAGGAACCCCACCAAAGCACGCAGCGGTCGCACGTAACGTGTTGAGAGAGGCATTCCCGTGTATGTCAACAAGCAGGAGCTTGAGGGGGATGTGGATGGGTTCAGGCATGGTAGGCGAGATGAAGCAGGAGATCACAACCTGCGGGAGAGACAAATGTGAGAAGCGTCAATGGCCCAGAGTCAGTCGGTGAGGTGACGAGGGGACGGAGGCACAGCACACACACCCTGTGACGAAGTGCTCACAGGTGTCGTCATACTCACACTGCACTTGCTGTTGTGTGCCCGATACAGTCACATAGTTACAACAAACAGATAGGAAGCACACAGAACTTGCGGTAAGGGGACATACACTACTCTCTCCTGTTGCCTGACAACATAGAGTTTCTCGCTTCCAGCATAGTCAGCTGGGACGTGAGGCTCTCAATCTGGCTGGCAAGGTCGTTACGCCAGCTGCTGCAGGTCGGACAGGTACATGGCCTCGAGTGAGAGACTGGACTCTGGACGGTGGGGCTCTGCGCGGGTGTCGCCATGCCATAGCGAGACGAGTGGCCAACCGCGGTGTCTATGCGGCTAGAGAGTTGATCCAACCTGTTGTCCATGTCGGTGCGGATTTCGTCCAGCTTCAAGTCGAAAGGTGTGGAGAAGTGGTCCAGCCGGCCGTACAGTTGATTCAGTTTGTTGTTCAACCGGTCAAAACTGGCTGGGTTGACGCCAGGTTTGGTCCCAGCAAACGGGTTGCCTGATGGGTCAGCCGTTTATCTCAGCAAAGGATACCCACCGTTAGAGGCCTTGCACGAATCCAGGAGGAGAGTGTCAAGGGCTTTCTGGACCACCATGAATCTAGCCCCGTACCGGTTCTTGGCCGTGGTTTGCTTGCTGGTTTCGTGACATGCATCCCAGATGATCTTGAGGTGGTCTCCCACCACAGGGGCCGGCATCCCACCATGCTGGCTGGCAATGGCTCGTAACAGGTGGATACCGGCGGGTGTTGGGAGATCCGGCTGCCAGGGGAACCAAGCGAGGATGACAGGGTCGATAGGAAGCACCGTGCTGGCGGCGAGGAAGTTGAGGGCCGACATGGAGCCTTTGCCCCTCGCATGGCCAAACATGGGGGTGGATGGCGACATGAATGTGGTCTCAGTATGGTGTTACGAGCATGAGAGAGAGTGTGTATGTTGAAACAGAAGATTGCTGACGGAGACGAGGCACACGGCGTGGCCACCGGTTGTCATGAACGGGCCGTCTCGATCGGGACGGTCCGCGGGTCGGTGTTTTATAGTGCGACGACGGGAAGCTTCTCGCTAACCACAAAAGGTGCTAAGCCGCTCCACAGGGTTCATGGGATGTGACTTCATAGACCTTTTTTCCAGGAGCAGATATCAGAAATACATTCGGACGCATGAGAACTTGGAGAGCATCGACAGTATTCCGGCGTGAGTACGGCTTGGCGGCCGGGAAGGTGATGTCACCTAGTCACCTGCCTCTTTAGATTACGGACCGGTGAGGCACGGCGTCGTCTCCGAGATATTGCCGACGTTAACTTTCGCGGGTGGCGGAGGCGATGGTCTGATGGTCACAGATTCCACCCTCTTGTGGCAGGCATTCGAGTTGTTCTCCAAACTGGGGCGGTGTACTGTCCTACAAGACGACGCTATGGGATCAATCTGCCATGATGTTACTGTCACCAGTCACTGTCCACGGGGGCCAAACGCCCATGTTCTGCCCGCCCGCCCGCCGCATTACCGATCGAGTTCCATGTGACACATTGCATTCCGGTCACCACTTGGTATGGCGACACGTCAGTTGATGGCCCACCCCCGGTTGCCCTATGGAGGAGTTAGCCACTACGGAGTCTCTTGGTAGCACGCTCCACATCTCTCTCCTTCTCGAGCGCCGTAATACGATCCTTCAATTGCTGGTTTTCTGACACGAGACGGGCATTCGTCGCACGGTAGTCGCTGGAATCGGTTTTCCCAACGAAGGAGTTGAAGCGGTCGGTGAGATGGTCCAACTCCTTGCGCATCTTGATAAGATCGACATAAATTTGCTTATTCGTGGGTTGTTCCATGGTGAGGTCTGACTGCGTGTCCGAGTCGGCGGGATCGCCAGAGAATTCCTTGTTCGACGCGTCGGTGCATGCGCGGTCCTCTTCATATTCGAGCCTCACACGTGCTGTTGAGCAGTCAGCTTCTGAGTTTCTGCGGACTTCGCCTGCGTACCCCACCGCACTCTGTCCATTCGTTTAAGTAGTTTCCACAGTCCCACTATCGCTTCCGCTGCACCATCCATGATGCCAGTACTGTGCAAATACTTGTAGAGGCTGGACACCGCAGCAAAATGTGGTGTCTGGACAGGTAAAGGAATGCCACCATACGTGTTGTCGAGCTCCTGCAACGTTCGAATGGCTGGGCAGTTGGGATCTGTTAAGTCGAGAAGGGCACGGTCGATAGGTACAATAGGTAAGGTAGGCATTGGGAAGCACTTAGGAAGAGTATGGGTGAAAGGTGCCAGTGGCTATGTGTGAGAACCTGGACCGTTCGTCATGAGCCTATCGTTAAGACGAGCGTGCGACACGACACGACACGGCACAACAACGGCTGCGCCCGGATTCTCGACATCATCCGTCACACAGAAGGGGCTGCTAACTAGTAAATCGACGACAAACAGCCCTACCACGTCACTATCGGCCTACGTTGTCCCCCCACCGTCAGCCACTCAAGAACTGCACAACTGCAGGGCCATGCAGCGAAGACAGTGGCCCAAACCGCTCGCGTTGTTTGGACTTCCAGTGGTCATGTTTGTGCACGTGTCGGGCGTATTAGAGGTTCCATTAGAAAATTGCTCCGACAGCGTTACATGGTTCACGTAATGGCTACGTATTTGTGCCTGGGTGCAAACTCTGGGTCTCTCCTGTTTTACCATCACACACTTCACCTTCAACACGTTCAAACACCGGCCCGCCCTTCCGCATGCGCAGCAAGGTCCTCATCGTGGACTCTGGCATCTCTGGCTTTGTTCTCTCCATCACTCTCGCCGACATCGGCGCCGAGGTCGCGATTCATGAGCGACTGCGGGCCCCCGAACGCCACAATCACCGCCGCCCGTGGGTCATGTTTGACCGTTCGGCCATGGACATACTTCGATCCGTAGACCTCGCTGAACCGGTTGAGTTTGTCAGTGAGGAGATCAAATCTAGGCCAGAGAGCAATGTCGAGAGTGGAGGGATTGGTTTGGAGGTGATTCCCAACCCGGCACGACCACGACGGGTAGTGGAAGACTCTCTTCTCCGCGCCTTTGCCTACGAAGCGTGCCGCCGGGGAGCGACAGTTGTACCCGTGCGCAGCCTCCCCGTCATGAGCCGCCCAGAGAACCACAATACTCGAACATACTTCCCCACTCGCACCTGGGATGGCGGGAGACCCGATCTCGACAACGAGTTGAAGGAGGCCAAGACCATCGGCGACGGTCGTGTCGAGGTGACCTGGGCGAACGGTACCACGTCAACGGCCGACGTTCTCATCGCAGGCGAATCGGTCATGGCACGAGAACACACCTCGACGTTCTGGCGCAGACGCTCTGTCAAGCCTGTACCATGGTACAACGATAAGAACATGCTCATCTTTGGCGACAGCTCCATGGGACAGTTGATGCCTGTCAAGGATGCCATCCGACTGGGCCATTGCATGCGCGACTTCGTTTCAGTGTCTCGCGCCCTTGCCAAGTTTCGACGGGGATATCAACCAACGGAGCCACATACATTCGATCCCAACGCGACCACCACATCTTTCTGGACTGCCCACAGCCACTTATCATAATCATAATAATCACACGCTACCGTAATCGCACATGTAACATGCCGTTTGTCTTATGTTGACTGTCCCGTGCGGACCTGGGCGACGGAGTGGAGCCATCCCGCGCCGGGACAGTAGGGGTTCACGAGCTTGCTCGGGTGGGTGTGTACACTTGCGTGTGCGCTTCTTGCTGTCGTATGCAACCACAGCAAGACGTCAGCAGTCTACAGTCTATCCGTGTTCCATGTGTCCACATGTGTTTGGGCCATGACCATTGCCTGTTTACATCCGATGGGTTTGCACAGTGCGTACCAGTCCGCCAAACCTAAACGGCCAACATGACGTCACAACAACAACATTCGGTTCCATACGGCTGACCAGGATGTGCAAACAGGCCATCTTCATTTATACATTGCTCATGGACCGCATAAATACACGAGTGACGTTTATTATTCGTTTGGTCGCTCACCGCCACCACTAGTTCACAGTAAGCGGTCAATGGTATCCCGTAGTCTTCCCTGTGGGCAAACGTCAGCGTTTGACTGAAGTTCCGGCAGGTACCAAAAATGATACTGTGGGCAAACGTCAGCGTTTGACTCAAGTTCAGGCCGGTATACATACTGGGGCGCGACGATGATCCCGAAGCTACGTGACGATTGGCTACTGTGGGCTCCGGAGAGGGCGAGGACCGCCTGTCTTGAGACGTCAGTGGCGCTGTGTGTAGTGACAAATAGGTCCACTCACGGTAGCTGCCGTTGTTCAGCTGCACCTCAAGGGATTGCATGTGCGTTTTGATCTCTTGAACGTTGTCGGATATGTTCTTGGAGTCGTTGGCAGACTTAGCGAGGTCGTCAATTGATTTCTGGAAAGTGTTGACATTCTCAGAAAGCTCCTGCTGTGTCTTTCCAAACTTCCCCACTAGCCTTTCAAGGTCCTCGATGTCGTCGGAGGTACGAAGGTAGTTCCTCAGCTGGGCTGGCTTGATGGTCGGAGTCGCACCGCCCTTCGGGTTGTCTTTGGTGAGCAGGATTTCTGTCATAACCTCAATGCGCTTACTCTGGGACTCGCGGTACAGGCGAGAACGGAAGTCCTTCGCCAAGTCCTCCAAGGTCGCATTCTTGGAATCGATAATAGTGTTCACGACTTCGGCACAGAGGGCGAAGTGATCCGGCAGAACAGGAATCGGGATACCCCCAAAGGTTGCATGGAACAGTGGGATTTCGGGGTAGATCTTGATAACAGTGGGGTGGAACACGATCTCCATTGGGATTTCGATGACTGCCATGGTGCTGAAGGAAGGTGAGCTCCTCCTGATCTCCCAATGTATTACGGTTAATGGGTTGCCGTAGAAGATGTGACGAGTTGATGGTGCCGGGTATCCGCTCGGCCCAATCCGGGTTGTACTCTGGAGGCATGAACTCTACCCGCTCGACAGTCCCCCCATCTCGTTCTCGCTCATATCGCACCCGTTCCACATGTGTGTGGAGGGGGCTATTGGGTGCGTTCGGACGTGTTGTCATACTGAAAAAGGTGAGCAACGGACGACTGCCCAGCTTGAAACGTACGCTGGTGAAGTATTCTTCGAGATTTGCGTGGTGAGGTGCTGGCTTCTCCAAATCGTAGGGAGTATACACTGCAGCGTCTCCACTCTCGTCTATGACAAACGTGCCAGAGTCATTTTTGTGGCTGGGAGACAATTAACATGTTAGCCAATGGACGGCTCACCGTTTCTGCTGACGATGTCGGATCAGGCGTTTGCCCACGAAGTACGCCAGGAGGGCGCCCAGAATGACACCAACGACCCCACCAACCTGTTCGTCAGTCATCCTGTCGGTATATTGGTACTCACGACTGCTCCTGCGATAGTACCGGGACTGGTTACGGATTTGCTACTTTCTTGGGGGTTGCTCTCATTGTTTCCGGTGCTGTCTGGATTGCTCTGGTTGGTGGTGTTGGTCGTGTTGTAAGTAGCGTTCCAGAAAGTGACGCTGTGCAAGCCAATTTCGGACAGATCGTACTCGTTAGAACTGTTACCGACAATGGTAACATTGTAGTCCGTTGCTGGGTCGAGGGCCGCGACATAGATCACGGCGTCGCGGGCAACCCACTGGTGGTACGTTTCATACCACTTGACGCCGGTGTTGTTAACGTTGTTGTAGGCATCAGGAGCCGGGGGCGATAACTTGACTTTGGCATTGTACTGTGTGGGTCCCATGGTACCGTTGATCATGATTAGAGACGTGTTGGCTGGGACCAAAAACGAAGTTTGCGGCGTGGTGCTGGCAATACTCGCGTTACCGACGAGGTGCTCATAAGGGATAGGCTGCTGTCCGCCTGTACTGTTAGGTCGCTGCACCCTTTGATTCTGCGTTTACGTACCACCACCACCGATCTGGTGCACCACGGTCCAGTTACCTCGGGATGTGAAAAAGGAATTCTGCGCTCCGTTCTGGACCCAGTACTCGACGCTGGAGCTCATGTTTTCAAACGTCAGGCAGTACGTCAGTGGAGTCCTTTGTAACAAACTTACGCATCGGTCTGGATACCTAGTGCCAGAGTGACAGCCTTAAATGTCGATGTGCCTCCCTTGTTGCGAAAGGTCACCGCGTAAGGTTGAACGTTCAGGCCGCCGACGCCCGCCAATTCACCATTGCTGGGCCGATCCAACGCTTGCAGCTCTTGGTTGAGAGTGAGGCTGAATGGCTGCCGAAAAGGGTGGTAACCATCCTCCCACAGGTCGTTGGTCTCGGAATCCACGTCACCGTGGAACCACACCCCACTTCCGTACATCGACAGCATGATGGAGGCGCTGACACCCGACACCGTTGTGCTAGCGTTGACAGTGGTAGTTGTTTGTGATGGGCCCTCACCTGCCATCCCTGCCACATAGCTGCTCCACGGGGAACCGGCAAACGTAGTATTCCATCGTGGTGTAACGGACATGTCCATCGTCGAGTAGCGCGACGGGTTGATGTTATAGAACGGGTGCATGTCGGTGAAGGTGAGGTTAAACACGCGGGTTGGTAGCATTCCCAGCGCTGGAACCGCCACCCACGTGACAAGCAGTGCAATGAACACCATCTGGTTGTGGGAATGCCGAGTCCGTGGCCAGTGGCCAGTGACAATGTTCAATGACAGACAAGTCGAAGTAGGACGTTGGTGAAATGGGTGCTCGTTCTTGTGGAGCTCAGTGAGGTGTGCTGTGAACACGTTGAAGTCAGTCTCGGCAGCGCAGCACATAGCCCTCGTGTCCAGGACGAAACATTGCCAAGGCGTGGTGGGCAACGTTGGGCATGTGGGTTTAGGTTGACACGGTCGCTGAGCCCTTGTCTGCGAGAGGGGACGATGGCTGTGACTCGAGCAGGTGTGTGCCTGTCGAGTGCACCTTGAGACTGCCGCCGAGGCAAAGTCTTTCTGCTGTTCCTTCCGTGGATCCGTGGACGGCACTGGAGTCTCAGCGCACCGCACCGAACCATATCAGAGGACTCTAGCAGCAACACCAGGGGCTCGGAGGCAGTATGTATGCTTATGGGCGTTTGTCTCTGGGTGACGCTCGGGTGTCATAAAGGCGGTGTTGAAACACGGCACAACGCAAAGAGACCTGGCGAGAACAACTGAGTGCGTCATGAGTGATGGGTGACGTTATCCCGAGAGATCGTAACCAACGGCCTGGGCGACCGAATCGTCGGTTGTCCATTGCCCAGAGACAGCCGGGTGACACTGTAAGAGGGGGTCCAGGACGCCACGCCTGGCACTCCTCCTCTGTGTGTTGTGCACATCCTGACGTTGCGGTCTGCAGAGAAATGGAAGCTTTGACCCTCTGGTCGTCGGCTGTATGTGCATCTCGGCAATTCCTACTCCACATTCCAGCCGGTCCTTCAGCCTTGGAGGGCGGCCAGCTCGGCCAAGTCATCGTTGATGGCTGCCTCGTTCTTCTCCAGTGCCCTGATAACCGCCTCCACAGCCTCGCGGTTGGTCTCGAGCGCAGCGTCAATGCTCGCGATGGCGTCCCTCTTGGCCCTGGCCGACGCCTCGAATCCCGACGTCATGGTGGAGGGAAGACGCCTGAACTGCTCGCCTTGCAGGCGGTTGAGCTTGATCACGACCTTGGCGCGGTTGGCCTCCATGCCGCGGTGCATGTCTTGGAGGAACGCCTGTTCGGCTTTGAGGAACGTGCGGGCGGCTTGGCGCTTGGTGAGCCGGGCGTCGATGCAGTCCAGTTCGGCCAGGACGACGGGGACGAGCTGCGCTGCGAGCTGCGCAACGAGAGTGTCGGGAGGGGAGGTGTCGAGGATGGCCATGAGCTCCTTGATTGTGTGGCGGCGCGGAGGGTCCATGGCTGGGAGTCGAGAGGGTGCGGGTGGCGAGTGCTGTGTGGTGGTGCGATCACGGATTATATGAGGTGGCGTGGGGCCCTTCATCGTCATCCAAGCCGTCCAAATCGGTCTTCTGGATGCGCCCTTCGTACACAAGTGGAGTCCAACTAGCTCCACCGTCTCCCAAACGGGGAAGAGCGGGGTCAAGGACACTGCTCAACATGGCGTTTAGCAATCAGGCTTGTGCGTCCATCAGTCCACCCACAGGTTCATGTCATGTTGTCAGTCACCGCCGCGGATCTCATCGTCAACGCAACCCCAGCACAATCTCACATACAGGGTCCATACGCTCTACAGTCCATTCAGTGGGGTTCACTCCGTGTCCGACTCGGTAGCCACCCAACTCTCGGCATCGCTGTCCACCCTCGGGGGCGGCCTACGTCCAACCCCAAGCCCTACGCCAGCAGCGAACGCGGCCTCGAGAACAGCGAGGCGCGCCGAGAGAGCCTCGACCTGGCCCTCGAGGGAACTTGGGCCCGCCTTGCCTGCACCCGTTGTGTCAGTAACTGCCTATCTCTCGCAAAGGCCCGCATGAGACGACGCACGTTCGATCTTGTGGACGTTGCGCTGGAGGCCGTACACGTCGCCGCTGAGGCGGTCTACTTGCGCTGCGAGGTCGCTTGGCGGGACGATGCCCTTTGGTTGAACTGTACGTCAGCCACGGGTCGTAGTCAACAGTTACAGCACGTGCTAAGCTAGCCCATACCTCCGCACACAGCGCTCGGTACTCACTCTTCGTCTCATTGTACAACCTGCTCACCAAATCCGTCGCCAGTTGGTGGTTCTGCGGCGCGGAAGTGTCCGCCCAAATCTCCCTGGCAAACTTGACACAGAGAGCAAAGTGCTCCGGGTCCACAGGCAGGGGGATGCCGCCGTGAGCTGCGTGAACGGTCAGGATGGAAGGGTGCTTGATAGCCGCCTCGGACACGAGAATGTCGAATGGAATCGACACGACGGTGGGTGTCGGCTTCATGCTGGACGCAGTTGGCGTGGGCGGCGAGCTGATTGCGGTGGGCATCGTCACTTTGTTGCGAGATGCGAGGATAGACGTGCCAAACAAGGTAAGAATGGCGGTGGGAAGACCACGTCGCGGGCGGGGGGGAGTGGCGAAAACACTTGCGGTGGGTGGCGCGGGGTCGGGCAATTTATCAATGGGCAAGATTGTGTGGGGCATGACGAGGGATGATAACATGGGAACCGGTCGATAACGCGGCGCACCGCACCACCATCGTCTTGCGGTTTGCCCCACAGTTCCTGCAGCCTTGGCAGCCGGCGGCTGCTATCGCGCCAGAGATCAGAGAGCGTCAGAAAATCAGGATCAGAGATCAGCATGGAGCCCAACAGCACCGCCCGTGTGGGTGACCGCCGGCTGCGGCGGAAAATTCAGTCAACCCCGCGCCATCCCCACCCCGTGCCCACGTTGAATGATGTGCTATCGCGTCAGCATCTCGGATCCAAGTTTTGTTGGATACGCCCAGGTACTCACTGAATAGTGACATGTGGATGCTATGCGAATGGTATAGTCTAGTACATACATCGTGTTTCTGCACACGTGGAACATGTGGACAAGATCAGCTCACTCACGTGGTGGCGGCCAGCTCGGGCGCCACCGCGTCGTCGTGGAAAGATAGAGTCTGGATCGCGGCAGTGAGGTCATCGTCGTGGGGATCCTCCGGCGTCGTCGGCGCAGAAGCGTTGGCGCTAGCGGCGTTCTCCCTCTCCTTGCGCCTACGCCGCGCCGCGGCCCGCTTAGCGGAGGTTGTGGGGTACTTGGGAAGCATCTGGGCCGGGAAGCCAGTAGGGACGACCTTTGGCGGTGAGGCCGGCATGGGTGATGGCGTGGATGCTGGCTCGCTCGTGGGGTCCGACGAAGCGGGGTTCTGGGTTCCTGCCGGCTGACCCGCGGCCGGGCTCATCTTGGGTATATCCTCCTCGCGCTCCACCATTGGCGCGTCCCACAGAACCTCGCCTGGCTTGCCCATCCATGCCCACACCTTGGCATTGTTGCGGTGAGGGAGGTGTGCGTTGGGCTCGATCAAGACGTTGCGGTTGGCAACCTCGATAAGGATACGCGCCATGTTTGTCGCGTCCTGGTCGGTTAGCGTACAGCATTAAACCGGTACTCACGTCGATTCCAGAGTGCTGCCTTCCAGAGAAGGTACCCAGGCCCAGTGCTTGCAACTGGCCGGTAATGTTGAGGTAGACACTCTGCCCCGCCACCTCCTTGACATATTGCCTCTTCTTGCCTGTCGTGATGCGGAGGCTGCCAGAGTCGCTATCGCTGAGGACTGTGCTGACGGCACGCTTGAGGTTGAGGTAGGGTCCGAGGAGGTAGGTTGGGTAACGCGGAGGCGAGAGAGGGGTGATGTGAAGTTGCTTGGGGATCTGATGTCAGTTGCCAAGAGCCAGTTGAAGCTCACAAAGTCTCTGCTCGAGTTAGTTGACGTGTCAAACAATTGAACAACTCACCTCAAGTCCCAGGGGCCATCAGTGACCCAAATCGCGTCCTTTAGCCTGTCGCCATCACGCAAACCCCAAGAGTCCAGCCATTCTTCGAGCTCGTCAATGACCTCCGGGAAGGTCGGCGCGGCATCAACAGTGCTCTGAGCGGGTCAGCAGTGGCGTGATGCTAGTAACCCACCTGCTGAATACCCGTCAACCCGACGCAAAACTCGCTCAACCTTGGACGCCAAGTGGGCTTGACGTAAGAGTGAAATGTGTCAATGATGGTGAGACGACGGGTACGGCGGGGGTAATACGAGCCCAAGGTGGAAGGCGAGGAAGCTGTCATGGCAGACGAGGTCGTGGGCGAGTCCGGGATGGCCGGTTGCTCATCTTCCTCGTCATCCTCAACCCATTGAAGGAGGACGACCGGGAATTCCTGCAGGTCAGCGGGGTTCCAGAGCAATGAGGGGATGGAAAGAGAGATGGAGGAAGTCGGCCACGCCAGTACGGCCCAGCTTGCTCGCAGGAGGTCGCAGTCCAGCTGGGCTCGCCGTGGCGTACTGCTGGTATGTAGCTGGCCGGACAAACTGCCCAGGAGAGTCACCCCTCTGCTAGCATGTGTGTCATTTCCACAACCCTACGACTTGGGTTGGCAGCTGCGAGTCTCGAGACAAACAGCTGTCTTCTTGGTCGTCCCTTGCCTTTTCCGACAGCTCCAACCCGCTCTCTTCTTATCTCGAACAACTCACAATGATCTCGTTGGGATAATCAAAGTTGGTCGCCGCCTCGCAAGAACCCTCGACGTCAAAACAGAGGTACGAGATGTACGGCTGCCTCGGGGGCCGGGGGCGAGCATTGCGTTCGGCGGCCAGCGCAGTCGCTCGCGCGGCTTCTTCTTCGTCCTTGAGGCGGGTGAAATGCTTGAGGAGGCGGCTGGTGAGGGTGGTTAGTTTGAGGGTCGAGAGCTTGTGGACGAAGGCCCGCGGGGATGGAAGCGCCAGGCGGGAGCTAGAGGAGGGCTTGGAAGAGAAGGTGGAGAGGGCGGGGAAGGGGGAGGGAGAGACGTTGATAGGGGCCGGGTGGACGGTCATGGTGTCGCGAGAGTTGAGACGCAAGAGATGTGGTTGAATGATGAAGGAAGGTGGGAAGGGAAGATGAAGAGGGAAGGCGGCGAGGATATAGAGGGAAGGCAAAGTGGCAACGACGCGCCAGTGCGAGCCAGCCCGCCCAACGGCCACCGTTCGTTCCCACTCTCACACCCCAAACCAACAAAGTGGTAGCAAGCCTAAGCGTGTGGGTCATGAGAACCGCACAGAAACTTGAAGCCGCACACCTATGCCTTCACGGCATGTGTGGTGCAAAGCTCTGGTCGCCAGCACAATCTACATGACCACGCTGACGACCTGGCCCGCTTTCCTCCCAACGACCACCGCCCACAGCCGACAGACAGTCAACACGGCGAAACTCACTTATACAGTGTATCCTTTTTCCCGGTCGCGTCAAGCTTCAATGCCTCACACTGGGTCTTCAATTCCGATACCTTGGCCTTCTTACTAGGCCGCTGCACCGAGGCCGCTGCCAATGCCGCCGCTTCCGCAAGGGCCTTGGTTTCGAGGACGTATGCGTTGGCGCGTTCGATTTCCGTCATGGCCCACGCTGGCAGCGAGGGAGGCTGGGCGGAGGCGAGAGAGCTGGGCGCCGGCGCCTGTGGCAGCACCTGTGGAAGTGTTCGTTGTGCCGCCTCGGAATCGTGGCCATGTCCGTTGGTCTGGGTGTACGGCCTGTCCGTGCTGTCGTTCATTGTTGACGATTTCGAGTGGAAAAAGGGTGGAGAGTGGGGAGGAAACGCTCGTTCCGGGGTTTCCGTGTCCGGTTGTTTGCAGTGTGTCAAGAAGGGCGTCGTGTCCGTGTGATAGTGTCACGCCCCGCGATAGACTATCACACGAGGGGGCAGCGGTGTAGCCAAAGAAGAGAGAGGGAGAGAAGCAAACGACAAGAAAAGGGTGTGGTGTGGAGGTCGTCGAAACGGCGTCGCCGACTGGAAAAGAACCGATGACGACAGAGCCCGACTCGGCGCCGGAAGAAAACCGACCGATCACTTGAGGCTCTGCTTCAGTCTTGCGACCACGCGTCCCTCGCCGCCTCTCGACGCGTCGGTACGTGCACTCGACTGTAAGGCTGAGGGCCCATGGGTTGCTTGTTATGGAAAGAGGGTGAGATGCACGGCTTTCGGTCTCGGGTCTCGGTCAATCCTCCTCGCTGTATAGTTTCCTCCTCCCCATCGCACTTCTTCCTCCCCCCTCCTTCTGTCAACGGCCCACAGGCACGCCTGTATGTGTAAAGAGTACATTCGCCAGCTGTAAGGAACCACACCGCACGCCCGATTCTCATCGTCTGTCGCCTCACTCTCTCGACACATCTCTCCAGTCTCTAGGGCACAAGAATCTCTCAATAAACCGGCTGCCGCCGCCCACCTCTTTAACAGGGCGGGCATGGCGGCGCAAGGTTCAGCGGCGCATGAACCACCGTGTCGTTGTTCTCTCCGCCATTACAGGGTTGTGGTTGGTGTGTGTGATCATGAAACTCGCCCCCCTCGCCTCGCCTCGCCTCGCCGCCTGTCGCTAGTATCTGCTATCGTGAATGTCCGGGGTATGGGGACACACACTTTAGCAGCACTTGCCGCCCTGCTTGGCGCCGCCGTCGTCGGCCGTGGGGGTGACGAGGATGGTCTCGCCGCCCGAGGGCTTGATGACGTCGCCTGACGACTCGAGCGATTTCGAGGACACGATGCGGTAAATGTCTGGAACAATGTCAGCTCAGTCGGCGGCCGACTCCGATGAGCTCACCGGTGAGGATGTTCTGGAACGCAGACTCGACGTTGCTGGCGTCCAATGCCGAGGTCTCAATGAACGAAAGGCCCTGCTCGGTCGAGAAGGCCTTGGCCTCGTCGGTCGAGACAGCACGGAGGTGCTTAAGATCGGACTTGTTGCCGACGAGCATGATCACAATGTTCTGGTCCGCGTGGTCGCGCAGCTCCTTGAGCCAGCGGGTCACGTTCTCGTAGGTCGAGTGCTTGGCAATGTCGTACACGAGGAGAGCACCGACGGCGCCGCGGTAGTAGGCAGAGGTGATTGCGCGGTAGCGCTCCTGGCCAGCTGGAGAAGATTAGCGGGAATCCGGATGGGGTAGCGACAAGAGATGCGGAGCACAGTGAAGGGATGGGCTGAAGGACAGCGGCGGCGGACTGGCGCACCCAGGCAAACAGCTTGGTTGTCCTCAAAACACGAGTGACAGCTGTTAAGCGACGCCGCATGCACAGCAACAGGCAAACAGGATGGCTGTCTGTCCCCAGTCAAGGACGCGCGGGGGAACGCACCGCCGAGCGCGCAGCCAGCATCCCCGCAACTTCCCACACCAATCACACCATCACACAGGTCTCTCGCCGGGAATAAAAGGACGCACCAGTGTCCCAGATCTGCGCCTTGACAGTCTTGCCGTCGACGTTAATGCTGCGGGTAGCAAACTCGACACCAATGGTCGACTTGGACTCGAGGTTGAACTCGTTGCGAGTGAAACGCGAGAGAACTGGAGAATGTCAGCTCCATGAATTCTCTCTGTCAATGTCCGCGAAGGCGGGGTTGGTGGGTGCTTGGCGGCGGCGGCGGCAAGGTGAGATGGAGCGAGGAGCACGAACGCGCACCGCGCCGCGCATTGAGTAAACAGCGGCTGACGGCACATTTGCGCGCGCTTCACGCTCTCCAAACGTCGAGGCTAAAGCCTGACAACCCCCACGCGTAGCGTCGAATCATACGCCGCCGCCTTTGGTGCGATCCCAACAACCAACAACCAAGGGAGAGACTCACGGTTACTGTAGACATGCGAAAGATGGACGAAAGAGACGTGTCAGTATGCCAGTGTGTTGGTTCCCCCATCGCCCCCCCTGCACTGTATCGCGAGGGCCAAGCACTGGTGTCTACTCACGACTTGCCGACGCCCGAGTCGCCGATGAGCACAACCTGCCATTGTCAGCTTGCCTTGTCTTTGGGATTTGTGCACGACCACGCGTCTCGCCGTTTTCAGCTGCGCGTGACGGGGCTCTTGGCCGCCCCAGGGGACCCACATACCTTGAAGAGGTAGTCGTAGTTGGATCCCTCGGCCATGATGAAGGACTAGGTGGGTGGGGGGGATGGTGTTGGTGGGTGAGGTGGTGGAGATGGTGGTGTGGAGGGAAAGGGAACGACAAAGGTAATAGTGTTCGTGGATTGGAGTGATGCGTGGAAGCGGAGGAAGGGAAGGAGGGAAGGGGGGGTGTGGGCGGGGGGGGGGGGGCAATGGGATTCGGGAGTGCCGGGGGTGAAACGGTGGCGCGGGGTGGCGGAGCCAGAGGTGTGTATTGAAAGCGTTATGTGGGTGATAGTAAGACCTTGTAAAGTGTACTAGGGGGCACTAGGGCCTGGGATAAGGACTGCTGGTTATATATACGTGGAGGGGGGGGTGCACAAGGTTGGCGAGGGCACACAATTGTGTGTTTGAACGAGGGACGATGCATATGGTGGCCACCCCCCCCGGTTGCAATGTGTGCTGACGCTGGGTGGCACACACCAGGGGGGTGGGGAGGGGAGATTGGAGCCAGGGTGTATGTGCGCACATCTCACTGTACCACTGTGGCTCACACGCGCCAGCCAGCTGCCGGCCAGCTATAGCACAGCCAGGGAGACATGGCACCACCTTTACGCGCGCAGCCTGTGGGACCTGGGCCCGGCGCGTCCACACATTACCCCCGCGGCAATGGCCACCTGGCTCACTGGCTGGCAACGGCGTTTTGGCGTTGTGGCACCTGGCAACCAACGCACACTCTGGGCATTCGACTCACAACCAGGCCACCACCAACCGCCTACTCATGTCGGTACTCACTGGATCACTGGATCACTGGCCAACTGGCTCAACCTGCACACCTCGTACACACTGCATATGCACACCTATACCTAAAAGCCGAATCTCTAAGCAAACACCTTGTCCCTCGCCAGCTCGTCCTCGGGCACGTCCTCGCGCATACGCTTGGCCCTCTCCTCACGCTCGACCTCAATCTCCTTGCGCTGGCGGTACTTGTCACCGGCCTCGCGCTTGACGCTCGCACGGGTAGCAGCAGGAGTGACAAACTCCTGGTTGGCAAACACGGTGGGGCCACCAAACGAACCCTCAAAGATACGGATGGGGGTGAGGACGAAACGGGGACCAATCTCGACCAGCGAGGTCTGAGGAGCGCCCTGAGGTTGGAGAGGGTCCTTGTCGATGATCTGGTAGTTGCGGAACCAGATACGGCCGTCGAGGATGGAGAAGACGAGGATGTGGTCGATGAAGGGCTTGAGTCGGCGCGAAGTGCGGGGGACCGAGAAGATCTGGAGGGGTCAGTTGGACGATCACCGCACAACTGGGGAGAACAAAGGCAGAGACTGGAGCCCAGGTGTGTGTGTGTGTGTGTGTGTGTGTGTGCGTGTGTGTGTGTGTGTGTGTGTGTGTGTGTGCGTGTGTGTGTGTGTGTGTGTGTGTGTGTGTGTGTGTGCGCGCGCGAGAGGGAGCAATGCAGTCCAGCAACTGCAGTTCTCAGGCTGGGCACAGACAGTGGCGGCGGGGCCCAGATGGAGACGTAGTCCACATGGGGTCCCGCGAGCTGGCGTCCATACAGTTCAGCTTGCAGTGGCCGTCGCCACAGCTGCAAATCCGACAATCCAGAGCAGCTGCGACATGTCGCCCACGCCGGGCTCCTCTCGTTCACCGCACGCCTGCCACTTGACTCCTCCCCACGGCTTCTCCTTTCCGTCACAACTCACATGCGAGAACATCTCCTTCAAGAGCTTGTACTCCTCGTTCTGCTCCCACTCGCCGTCAAACACGCAGATACCACGCGAGCCCTTGAGGCAGTTTCCGGTCATCTTGAGCTCGTCCATGGTGTGAATGTTCTGCACGTGGCACTTGACCGAGGGGCCGTTGGGAGTGCGCGAAGCCCACATGTACAGATCCTCGTGCCTGCGCGCCTCAAAGTAGAGGGCGTTCGAACACGAGTGCAGGTCGGCGAGCTCGTTGAGGAGGTGGAGGGAGGACTTGGAGTCGAGCTTGGAGTCTGTTGGAGTGGGAATGGGAAGGTTACGCGAGTTGAGGGCCACGTGAACGATAAACAACCAGGGAGGGCAGAATGGTGACGGCGGGGAGCGACCAGATAGTAGTGCCAGCAATGAGGACAGATGCGGGGTCATAGTCGAGTTGATATTCGAGTAAAAGGCCACAGCCGAGTTGTCCACGCGCGAAGATGACCAACGCCGAAGGAATCGTGACGAATAGTGACGTTTACGACATGCCAGAAGTCAAGGTAGAGAGGAGAAGCAAGCATCAGCAACGGGGTTCTCCAACAGACAGACAGCCCTAGGCGGTTAGACGTACCCTTCTTAACATGAGGCAGCAGGCTCTCAAGGTCGAGCATCAAGTGACGCATACGGCCAGTAATACCACGGCTGGAAAGCATGAGGACCTTGTCCTTGCGCTTCTTCTCGACGGCAGACGAAGAAGGGCCAGCCTCGTCCTCGGCGGCACGCTTCTTGCCCTTGTTGCCCTTGATGGCACGGTCGGCCTGGATCTTCTCGGACGCCTTGAGGAGAGACGCCATGGTGGATAGTTGGTAGAGATGGGTGTTTTGGTTGTTGTGAAGGGTTTCAAACCGTAGAGGTGGACCACCGTTCGAAAGATTTTGGATTTCTGGGTGGAGGGCTGGCGCTGGCTGGGAGACGGGTGGCGCGGAATCTAATTTTCGCTGGTTCAGCGGTGTTCCCCACGGGGTAGTCATGACACGGCCACCAAATGAACACCCTCAAGCTTCTGGCCTCTGGTCCATGCATGCTGCGGCGACATCTGCTGAGCTGCTGTCCGCTTGTTGACATTTGTGACGTAAGGTAGCACGTTGCACGTTGTCTGTCATCCCAGGTAGCTGGCCCCACTCTATGTACCTGTACTCTGGCTTGAGCTGGATTCAAAATGAGTCCGCACTGGTTGTGCCACCCGAAGTACCCGCCAGTCTTACGTCCAACGTTGTTGTTCTCGACCAACCATGCATGCTGCAGGTGACGACCAAGGATATGTATCTACTAGATCTTATTGTCTTGAGACTTGTGGATCTCATCATGCTTCGTTGGCCAGGGGTTTGCCATCCTCATTGTCCCCACCGCCACCATTCTCCTTGCGCCTGCCCTCTTCGTCCTCGTCCCCGGCAGCCTCCGCCCCCCCAAGTTGCTTGGTGAGAAGGCTGGTCCGCGGCCTCACAGGTGACAAGCGATGGGCACCATATGTGTTCGCACTTGTCCCGGCACCCTGTGCCGTGCTTGAGTGCTTGAGGCCGGCTTGGGAGAAGGAGAAGGAGGGGCGTGCGAAGTGGCAGAAACACTGCGCCACGCGACCCGCCGCTGCCCCCCATTCTCAACACCCGCATAGCTCCCAACAGGGGTGTTGTGCGGTGCTGGGGGAACGTGTGAGGTGGTAGACGCAATAGAAGCCGGGCTGGGGTTACGGGTGTTGGAACTGGGGCTTGGCGAAGCTGCAAGATACGGCGTCTTGAGGGAACGAGTCGTGTCGCTCGCGTAAGACGATGGTCGCGTGTGGGCTTGGGACGAGGACACGGGGTATGACTCGTCACTGTCCGCGTGGATGAGGAGACGGGGGATTTCACGCCGGTCGTACAGTGGGTGAAGCGCAGGCATGGTGAGGGCGAGTGGTGGGCCTGTGAGGAGTTCGACTGCGTCGCGCTGGGAAAAGGAGTGCGGAGTTGAGCTTGGAGTTGGGGTTCGAGCCCGGGCCCGGACGGGAACTGGCACAGGTGTGGAACTTGAGGCGGCGGTGATGGAGAGGGATGGAAGTGGGATGGAGGAGAGGGAATGGTCGTAGGAGGTAACCTTGGGCGACGGCGAGTGAGAGGCAGTAAACTTGTGTGACGAGACGTGGTTGGCGTCGGACAGTTGGGTGTTCACGGCACACGGGGTCGTTGGCTCACTTGACGAGTCGATGAATGAGAGGTGAGCAAACGATTGGGGCATGTTGAGTCGCTTGGACATGGTTGCGTGCTTCGGACAAAGACACTTGATGGCGGTGATGGATGATGGGGGTTCTGCGACTGGGGATTGAAGCTGAAACGAGGAGTCGAGACGCTTGTTTTGTTCGTCGCGTTGCCTGATGGTGGACTTGAGAGGCAGGATGCTGAGATAAGGAAGAATCGAAGAGGTTGGTGCTGGAGGAGTCGCATAAATAGGTCTCATTGTCGTTGCGCCCTGCGCTTGCTGACTCGCACTGTCGGTGGGAAGGCTGGGACACACGTCTAGTTATGTGGCGGTTTGGAGAGCAGTAATGTGGCATCCAAAGGCATCAACTGTTACAATGCTGTCAGAGCAATCATTTTACCCTATCGTCAGTCGTCGTATGCGATCAGTCTGAATGCCAAATGTGAACATGCATGCAAACCTTGCCGAATCCTACACCTCTTACACACCCTCCACAAGACTGCCATAGTACGCCGTGACAGCCTTGAGCTTGTCGCCAACCCATTCCTCCTCCATCTCCACCCACTCATGTTGCCTCTCGCTCCCGTCGAGCGTATCGTGGACACCGTTGCCATCGCCCAAGGAAGTCGCCAGAGCAGATACTTCCTCAATGTCGACGTTGCGCGGCAGAAAGTAGGCAATATTGGGCGAGACGACGTGTGTGAGCTTAAACAGCTCGTCGCCTGGGATGGGAAGGATGGCGCTCAGTGGGTATGAAGGGTGCTCGCCAGAGTGGCTCGCGCCCATGGACAGATACTCTGGCCCGCCTGATTGTCAGTTAGACGTATCCAGAACCCCAACGGGACTCACCCCATGGCGGACTGAGGAAGACGACATCAATCTCTTCTCTCTCTCCTTTTCCTCGCTGCGCATACTCCCGAGCCCACTGAACGTAGTCGCACAGGATAAACTCGATACGGTCCGCCACACCATAATGCAGCGCGTTATGCCTGGCGAGTTGGAGCCTGACGGGGTCGACGTCCATGGCAATCACGCGTTCGCAGGTACGTGCAAATGCGATTGCGTTGCCACCGACGCCGCAGAATGCGTCCAGCACAACGTCGGATCGACAACGTTCGGCAATGTGGTCCGCGATACTGGCTGGAGTGACGCTGAACCATCCCGTGTCGTCCATGAGGAGTGGGAGGCGAGAGTACGCTGGGAAGAGGGCATGGCGCTGGAAGAAGTCTGTGCGCTGGTCAGCAAGATGTACAGGCGTAACCAGGCGTGTTGATCCCCAGCACACTACGTTGAACTCACATTTCTTCAGATGCTTTGGCACCTCGGACGCATCGGTATAGCGCGGTACGAGTCCTGTGCAATCCCACGGATGGCCCTCGTAGAGGTTCTCGGCCTCCTCCGACGCAGGTTCCTTTGCCTTGCCCTTGCCCTTCTGGCGCTTGGCCGAGGGGCGTCCTCCTTCCCACTCGCTTGATCGCTTGACAGCGCGGACGATAGAGGATGACCCCAGTGCAGACCTTGAAGGCGCAGAGTTGGAGCTCGACGCAGCCGCGCTGGACGTGACAGTTGGAGTAGTGGAGCTCGAGGGCACTGGCGCGAGCTCTACAGCGGTCTTGGACACTGGTGCGGCCTCTACATCACTCGACTTGGTCATGTCCATATCGCTGCTTTCTTCTGTTGGCCGAGTTACTTGATCGCTTGGCCCGGGGTCGTCGCCAGCATCATCGGGGCGCGGTGGTTGAGTTGGGAGGAGGTCGGCTGGGTTGGGCTCACGCGAGGCTTGTTGCCGGACGACCTCGGGCTCTGGCGGACTGTCGACTCGTGCTGGCTGGGAGCGCAGTTGTCTCTTGATCTCCACGGGCAGGGCCGTGAAGAAAGAGCGCGACTTGGGCCGCTTGGGCATGGCTCTCGATTGGGGGTAGATGGGACGGAAAGATTATGACGAAAGGGAACTGCAACAACATTGAAGTGAGACGTGTCACGTGACCACCGGGTTTGGAGTTCCGGTGGCCAAGCGCTTTGAGCCTGAAATTTAGGTTCCGTTGTGCACGCCGTCGTTTGGCGGGCAGCCGCGCGAGACGGTCCGATCGGTTTGAGTGGTCTGAGTGGGCGTCTGGGTTTTTCGAGTCAGGTGAGAGGGCCGTGAAGGGGTGAAGGAGCGGACGGACGCTGGGCCTTATCATTCAGTCAGGAATTCTCTTTCCTCTTCTTTCCATCAACTACACATCCCAAAACACATACACTATCATGTCTCCCTCGACTGAGAAGAAGGGCAAGGTCCTCCTCGCCTACTCTGGTGGTCTCGGTACGTAGCCCCCCCCTTCGACGTCACCACTTGCCCCCCGCCTTTGCGCCCCACAAAGATCCACAAAGATTTCGGGACGGAACAGCGAAAGCTCCTGGCGCGCGCTCATTCTGCCGTCTGAAAAGGTCACTGACGCTTCTCTTTATAGACACCTCGTGCATCCTCGCCTGGCTCATTGACGAGGGCTACGAGGTCGCTGCCTTCATGGCCGATGTCGGCCAGGAGGAGGTACGTCTTTACTTGGCTGGGTGTTGTTTGCAGTGGCTGACAGAATCAGGACTTTGAGGCCGCCCGCACCAAGGCTCTCAACTGCGGTGCTTCGAGCTTCAACCTTGTTGTGAGTAGTTGGACCCGACTATCAAGTGTCTGAAACTGACCCTCGCAGGACCTCAAGCGCGAGTTCGTCGAGGAGCTTGTCTACCGTGAGTTGCATTTCCACGACTGGGTGAACAACAACTGACATCTTCCCCAGCCGCCGTTCAGTGCAACGCTATCTACGAGGGTGTCTACCTCCTCGGCACTTCGCTTGCCCGCCCCGTCATCGCCCGCGGCATGATGGAGGTTGCCCACAAGGAGGGCTGTGACTTTGTCTCGCACGGCTGCACCGGCAAGGGTAACGACCAGGTCCGCTTCGAGCTTGCCTTCTACGGCCTCGACCCCAACATCAAGGTCATTGCTCCTTGGCGCGACCCCGTCTTCTACAACCGCTTCGCTGGTCGCTCGGCTCTCCTCGAGTACGCTGCCTCGAAGAACATCCCTGTCACCCAGACTCAGGCCAAGCCCTGGTCGACCGACGAGAACCTCTTCCACATCTCGTACGAGGCCGGCATCCTTGAGGACCCCAACCAGACTCCCCCCGATGACATGTGGAAGCTCACCACCTCGCCCCAGAAGGCCCCCGACGCTCCCGAGCAGGTCCAAATCGAGTTCCTCAAGGGTCTCCCCGTCAAGGTCACCTACCCCGCCACCGGCAAGGTCGTCACCGACTCGGTTGAGATCTTCCTCTCGCTCAACGCCCTTGCCCGCAAGCACGGTGTTGGCCGTGTCGACATTGTCGAGAACCGCTTCATCGGTGTCAAGTCGCGTGGCTGCTACGAGTCGCCCGCCGGCACCATCCTCCGTGTCGCCCACATGGACCTCGAGGGCATGACCCTTGACCGCAACGTCCGTGCTCTCCGTGACCAGTTCATCACCATCGAGGTCGCCAAGATCCTCTACAACGGTTTCTGGTTCTCCCCTGAGCGCGAGTTCCTCACCGCCGCCATCCCCGCCTCGCAGAAGACCGTCAACGGTCTCGTCCGTCTTGCCATCTACAAGGGCAACGTCGTCGTCGAGGGCCGTGACGCCGACGAGGGTCTCTACGACGCCAAGTTCTCGTCCATGGACGAGCTTGGTGGCTTCGAGCCCACCGCCACCTCGGGCTTCATCGAGATTGAGTCCATCCGCATCAAGGCCTGGGGCCGCGCCAACGCCAAGCGTGGCCAGGCTGGTGTTTCCCCCCAGGACGTCTACCACCGTGTTTAAGCGCGCGTTCGGTTGCGTCAGTAGTTGAACGATGGGAGACAAGCATCTTTCAATGTGACATGCATAATGTAGTAGCAGTAAACTGGAGGAGCGTGCATAATGGCTGGGCTTCATTTCCTCGACTTGTCTCCGTTGGGCGCGCCAACTAACGCAACTGCGAGTGCCCAGTTTCCGATTGGGCGTTGTCCCAACCAGCTGGCAGCAAACCCATGCCGCTACCTGTCGTTTCTGCTACGACTAGTGGCCCGTCTTGGACCCCACAGAGCAGAGCATGTTGCACACATATAGTCAAAGAGGCCGTGGCCTCCAGAGCCACGTCCCAGCTCAGCGTCCATGTGTTCTTCCCTCACAGCTAACTCAAGCTCCACCGTCGTGACCGCAAGGATACGGTTGTTGAGGACATTGGCTGCGGGGACTACAACCTGGAGGGTGTGGTGAATTTACGGCGTGGGCTCGTTGACCTTTACGCATGCCAACAGGACACTCGAGGTTGAGATAGATTGTCAAGTGTGTGAGTGCTGAGCTGCATCTTTGTTAGAGTTTGGAGCCAAGTTGTGCCACGTCCAAGTAGCACGATGCGTCGCGGGTTCCTTGTCTGCATACGATCCCTCCCACCTTTTATATCCACTGCAACGCATTAGCACGCTAGCCCACCAGCTGCCACACGACACATCGACCTCCAATCAATGTGCTCCCCTGAACGCCGGGTCAAGGCATCCAACCATACCCAGCAGCCCACAGGCCACAGGGACAGCAGACCCTCTTGACTCTCCGCCAAACGGCAAAATGGCGCCACAACCCACCAACCAGACTCCCAAACTGGCAAGTCAAAAGCTCTTGGCTCTTTGTGGCATTATCGTGTCCCCATCGTGCTTGACACCCACGCGTCGGCTATGACCTATTACGTGTGACACACGCACCTGTGTAACCGTACAACGGTGCAACCGTGCACTCTCGCCCACGCTGCCCATAACGTGTCCAAGGGGTGCTGGCCGTTGGCCGTTGGTCTGCGCTCGACCGAGACGTCACATATCCAGGAAGGGCAAGGTAAGGGCTTCTCAAACCGACCGTAGCGCGATACTCACATGCCGGCCACGCCAGCACATGCGCCATACCAGCCATGGCAGCCAGCCACTGGCCACTGGCAGATGGCCCGAGAAGACGCCGGGGAGGCGCCAGGAGGCGGGCAATGCATCCTGGCCTTCTGCGTCCTGCGTTTTGAGTCCTGCAGTGTCCTGTCTCTTGCAACGCAACGCCAGCGGCCAGCGTGAGGGCGGCGATCCGGCGACGAGGAGAATAAAAATGGGCCGGTGCACGACGCCCTCGCCCTCCCTCTATAACCCCCCTCTCCACCCGTCTATACCCGTCGTCTCATACAGTATGCCCCTCGCGAAGCGGGTGGGGAGTGGGACATGGGACAGCTGACAGCGGCATGGACAACAACTGGCTGCGCCGGGTGCGAAGACGAGTGGAGGGCTTGGGGCGGGGCGGAGGCGGGGCTCTCGTTTGGGTAAAGGGAGTGCCAGTTCCGAAGACCTTCCGTTGCCACAGCCTGGGACGTCGATAACCTTGGGAGTGAATTGAAGTGCAGATGAGCGAGATATACCTGCTCTTTATGCACATGGCCCGGCTGTACAAGTGCCGTGTTGCAAGGGCGATGACAAACTACACATGCGGCAGGACTCGTCGACAGCGAGATCGGTTGGAAGTGAAGAGAGATAACAGGCGTCGCGCCCTTGAATGTCAGTGACGAAGCTCTCCTAACAGACTGTGTGCGCCGTAACCGCCTCAATGCCTCAAGCACGACTCCATCGCGCTCGCGTGACCAATTCTATAGACAAGGAAGCGGGTCGGATGCAAGGCTAGGCTCATGGTGGTACAGAAAGGAGAACAATATCAAGAGCGCTTCGTGGGGTGTGAGAGACGCGAGAGCGACAGCGAGAGAGGGAGAGAGAGGGAGAAGAGAGAGAGAGCGTGCGGCGAGTGTGTATGGGGGGAGGGAAGAGAGGAGTTGAGAAGGGACAAATCCCAAACGACAGTTTTGTGCAGGTGGTGCGAGACATGTATGGTGCGCATGCGCGGCCGCAGGCAAGAGTCGTGGGTCGCGTATTAGGTGGGAGCAAGAGGCGTGGTGAGCGTGCTTTGGTTGTTAATGAGGTCGTAATCGTGCGTGTGGACGTTCACATGAGGACGCAGCCACTTGACTTCTTGGCCTTTCCGTTGCGGCGACCGGGGTTGACTGAGGGCGTTAGGAGGAAACTTTGGTTCTGCCTGAACACCACACCACTGGCACTCACGGACGGTGCGGATTGCCTCGTCAAACACATTCTTCAGGCCGACCTGAGTGAGCGCTGAGCACTCAAGGTATCGGGCCGCCTTGATGTCGTTGGCCATTGCCGTACCCTGCGAGTACTGAATGGGCGCCTGTCGCCTCTCGCGAAGCCTCTCAGCCTGCATGGGGTCCTCCCGCAGGTCAAGCTTGGTGCCAACGAGAATGATGGGCGTTCCGGGGGCTACAAGTCAGTTTCCTTCCGTGTCCCCAGAAGTGCCTCGGGTTGCTCACAGTGATGTTGGATCTCGGGCCACCACTGGGAGGACTTGTCAGTTACAGCCCACACAAATTAGCAACTACGCACCTTGGTCCTGATGTTCTCGAACGATGCAGGGGAGACGACCGAAAAGCATAGCAGGAAGACGTCGGTCTGGGGGTACGAGAGGGGACGGAGACGGCTGCAGGGGGATCAGTACCATGTTTGGTGGCGTGTGCGTGTGCGAAGCACGAGCACGAGCGCGGATCGCGCCAACCGCGCCGAGGGATAGTACTGACTCGTAGTCTTCCTGCGGGGGGTGTCAGCGAACGTTGCCCAGCTGCTTCTCGAGGTTGTCACGGTAACTCACCTGTCCGGCTGTGTCCCACAGACCAAGGCTAACGGTCATGCCATCGACAATGACCTGGGACGAGTAGTTGTCAAACACGGTTGGCACGTATTCTCCGGGGAACGCGTTGGTTGTGTACGAGATAAGCAAGCATGTCTGTGCGGGGTCAGCAGAAGCACTAGCGCCATAGAGACAAGGAGGCGGGCAAGACACAGGTGGGGGGGCTAAGCGGCGGGGCACTCGGACAGTAGAACACCGACACTGCGTGCGCCGCCGCTTCGCACTGTCCTTCTTGTTGCACTGGCTGGCCTTTCCCGCTCCGGGAATCATTGTGCCGCCATCGCGCGTCTCGGTGGGCGGAGAGTTACACACCTTGCCGACAGCACCGTCTCCCACAACGACACCTGTGAGCAAGCGTCAGCAAAATGAAATCTATCTGGACAGTGCTGGGGCTAAGGGCGGTGCGGGGGACGTAGACAGAGTCTCATCACACCCTCGTCGCCCAGTCCATGGCTGGGCGGTGTCGCGGCGCGCGTGCAGGGAGGGCAAGGCGACCCGAGCGATGGGGACACGATCGCCCGCCACGCGCCGTGCTGCCGCCTGTGGAACGGGATGCGTACATTTGATGCTACGCGTAGCGGCAGCCATGATGGAGAATTGAATCTGTCGGTGTCACGGCTGGGAGGAGGTCGCAAGCGGCGACGGCGCGGCGGGCTAAGTGCGGGTGGATGGGTGGGTGGGGGTGGGTCACTGCGTCGGTGTCGGGCAGTTGGTGCGAGGTGACCGAAGTGTGGAGTAGAGTGGTGTTGGGGGATTGGGGGGGAGGAAGCCGTGGAGGATGACGGCTGGAGGGCGAGAGGGCGAGGGGACGATGGCGAGGAGGGAGAGAGAGATGTGGATGAGATGGAGAGAGACGGACCCACTGCACGCGCTGGCGGTGCGCAGCGGCGTCGCGGCGCGCGTGGAATCACCGGGGAGAGAGAGAGAGGGCGGGTGCCAGGATTGGACGGAAGCAAAATAAGCCCAGCCAGGCAACCCGCGCGCGCCTGGGCGAAAACACACTACGCACCGGAAAGACGCTGGTACGCGCGGCTCTGTGCGTTTGTGTCCATCCAGAAGCTGAAGGAAGTAGCAACAGGTCGTTCCGCTTCTCTTTCTCTCTCTCTCTCTTCACCAGCGTCTTCGCCACAGCTACCTACTATCCCCTGGTCCTCTACGCGCCTGCAGCGGGTGAGAGTGCGCGTCGTTCAAAATTGGAACGCAGCCAACCAAAGCCAGCAGACATGTATGTGGCCTAGCGACACAGAACCCCTTCAGAACTGTGCACCCTAGTCAATCCCTTCTCTCTCTCTCTCTCTGGCTCTTCCCACTCGTTCTAGTCCCCTTCTTCCTCCTTGTCTCTTCTGCCACACCGCGTCCCCTCATCCCATCCACCCGTTACCATTCTGCAAAGCTCGTGCTCTAGATTACGGAAATTGATGCTCTCGTCCGAGCGGCGTTCACTGGCTCGTCATCATTCGGCTATCACCGCGGCAGATTGACTGCAAGCTGTCAACAACCTGTGACACGGACTGGGGATTCATTTATTCGTCCTTGACCGTCTTTCACCTTCGACTATTACCTTTCCATGCCAGTCGAGAGCCCTGCAGTGCTCGGGAAGCGCTCCAGATCGGGATGCGTAACGTGCCGAGGCAGGCGGGTACGTCTTTGGTGTCCCGCGACGGTCTACTTCCAACGCTCTTCCTCCTGCTAATGTCCGTTAGGTCAAGTGCGATGAGCGCCGGCCCGTATGCGAGCACTGTACGAGGCTACATCTGGCTTGCGGGTGGGACGAGGTGCGGCCACAGCAGAAGCGTAAGCGAAAGTCGTGCGAAGCGTGTCGCGCAAGGAAGGTAAGAGACTCCCTTGCAATGCTAAGCTGATTCGACAGTCCCGCTGCATTGTTCCAACTGGGGACAAGTCCTGCGAGCGATGTGAAGCTACTGGGATCGAGTGTATCTGGACCTCCCCGCCACCATCACCGTCATCACTGTCTTGGCCCGACACTTCGACACTCGGAGACCACCAGAACACGAATAGCGGCCGCCGGCCTGCTAGTACGAGCCTGATTGACCATGACGATGGCCCTCCACTGTATCCACTGTCCGACCAAGGGGGGATACCATCGGTGGCCACATCAGTGCCCACTCCCGTCTCCGCTACCCCAGGGCAACAAATGCCGTCGGCCGCAACATCATCTTGGGAGGGGGGCGGTCTTCCCGACCACCCACGCTTTACTCATTTACTCGACAAATATTTCGAGACGGTCCATTGTAAGTACGTGCACAGAGCTATCCCTGCTGACAGCCTAGATTACGGGTTCCTAACTTTCATACACCGGCAACACTTTACTATCCTGCTGCGGCGCGGCAGAGTTATACGTGAGCTGCCGCTGCTTATGGCAGCCTGCACTGCACGGTAAGCCGAAGAATCTGTCAATCTTAGCTGACCACAGACTTGGAACCCAGCCACCCATCGCAGGTGACATTGAGCTCGGCGATGCATGGGCTGATAGCGCCCTCCAAACTCTACTGCCGAACATTTATCGCAACTTTGGGGCTGAGAACATTATGGTACGCAGAGGCCAAGGCTCCCAAACATACAGTCGCTGACACTCACCCCAGGCAGTAGTGCTCGCACACGTCTATGAGACTAGTCGAGGTAACTACTCCAGCGGCTGGCTTCTTGCTGGAAACGCAGCAAGAATGATGCAGCTTCTTCACCTCCACACATTCGACGAAACGTACCGCAACCAATTGCCACGGAATGTATCGCCTCTTCTTCAGCCCGAGGCCCTGCGACGTCTGGCCTGGTCTACTTTCTACATCGACGCGACGCTCGGGAACGGTCCGTTTGCTATCAGATGCTTGACAGAGGACCTCCTCACGATCCAGCTTCCTTCCAGGGAAGTATTCTTTCTAGGCGATGAGCAGGTGACTACCGAGCGACTACACGAGGGTGACGATGGTGGCAACGGGAAAGGTCTCCTCCCGGGCACCGGTGTACCGGGCGGCGGAGCGGTGGGACTGTCGGGATGGTTGCTCCGCACTGCTGCTGTGAGGCGGAGGGTCATCGACTTGACGAACGAATTCAAGGACACTACCAAGAGTATTGGCCAACTCGAAACCGAAGTGGCGGCCATGACAGCCGATCTCGACGGTGTCATTCGAGGCCTCCCCAAGCGACTGCAGTACTCGGACGACAACCTCGTCCTAAGCCGTGACTGTCTCCCGGCTTTCATATTGCTTCACGTCGTGCGCCACGATTGCTTCTTGAGCATCGCCCGACTGCACCTTTGCATGGCGACCAAACTGCCGGGAGGACTTGATACGCCAACGTCGGACAAGCATCGTCTGGATCGTATTAACCACGCTGTGCCCCTTTCGCGTATCATTGAAGACGGCCTCCGGCGGGGCATTAGCTTTGATCCACAGATCGGTGTCGTCGCGTACGTGGCACTGGAGAGTGAGTCAACCTGTGCGTTGTCCTTAACTTATCCGCAGTTTTACTATTGGAGCCACCGCGACTAGCGCCCAGAGACCCAACCATTGATCCCAAGTCGCCGGTCTATACTGAGGCAATGGTTCCCTTGCTGACCATTCTTCGTCTCATGGGACATGCAGCGCGAACGAAAAGCCGACTGGTGAGTCCTACTCCTCGAACAATGCCGCTCTTCTGACACCGCCAGCATGTAGAAGCCTGTCATCGCATCGTGTGCGTCGGTCTCCAGGATCTTCTCACTGAGGACGACTGGCTGTCCGTCAGACGCGAGACGGATCTTATCCGACCCAACGACGGGGAGTTTGATTTCGCCCAATTCAGCTGGACAGATATCGAGCGGACCGACAAGTTTGGTCATGCCCATCCATTCCCAGGTTCACTCCTGGACTCGAACATGGGGAAGGCCGCGCCCTCGGCGGCCCCGTCACCTCCGGGGGAACTCGACGCCAGCTTCGCCATCGGCCGTGTTGACCCGGCAGGTCCAGCGCATCAGTCGGAGCAAGATATTGAGACCGCCGGATCGAACCCCGACCCATGGCTGTTCCTCCAGTCCGACGATATCCTCACTTGGATTGCCCAGCAGGAAGCCATGGATACGACCATGTTCATGCCGGGCCACCTATTTGGCGGAAGCACAGGCGGCTGACATCGCGGCTGATGCAACGGTCCTGCTGGGGCCAGACTGTCGGACATAGATGAATCGGTGCTCGTTACGATCTCCGACTACTGGCCAATATGGAGCAAACTGTGTCGTTTAGCCTGCCCACGACCCCACGGCCTCCGATCATGTGCGGTGTGCCAGGATACGGCGGTGCGGGGTCACATGCTTGCAGTGGTGGGCAGTGTGATCGGTAACTGCGCCGCGTAGCATGTCGAACTATTGTGAGTGAGGATTGCGAGCTTTGTCCTGTGCCTACCTCTCTAACATGATAGTCCCTCGTTCCTCGAGGACTCAGCAGCCCTAACATGGCACATGTGGACGCTCTCCGCGCCATCATGTACCTCTATGCCATTGCTGAGGCGGCTTCACTCCCAAATGCCCCATTCCGGGACATGACATACACGCAAGCCTGTCGTTCAGGTTCAGCGAGAGACCTCTGGTGATCGGCCAGTGATCCCAGTGAAATGCGATAATGGCGTTGTTGTGCAGGCTTCACACTTGACGCGAGACATGAGGCTCATGGTGTGTGTGGGTGCGCTCGGAGTGACTCACAATACCGCACATCGATATCGAGTGGATATGACTTACCGCAAGCGATTTGACACCACGGCAGTCAACTAGGACGACACAGTGTCTCGCGAAATGGAACCATGGCTACTTACCTACTGGGAGCTCACCTACTGACACCGACAAGTGACCGCAGTATCGATGCACATGTGTCGTCAATGGTGCCGCTCGTGGCAATTTATGAATAACACAGGAACGCATGAATAGCAGACTCCCTTGTTATTTATGTATTTACTGGGACTGCATCACTGTGACGGCATACTGTACTTGATCCTTGGTCATATTCACACACTTTCGCACCTACGCACAACAAGCACCCAGTCATGCTTCACCGACCCCGCACTCGGCGGTGTGAACTTTGTCTGCCTTGGGCACAGCTGAAATGGCGCCTCTGTACCAGTGCGTGGGTCGAACCACGCAGTGGTGACACTGTGCTCGCCAAAGACGGCTTCAAGGTCAATCTCGAAGGCATAACCTGAGCCCGAGTGGGCGATAAGAAGGTTGCTGTAGTCGGCAGAGACATCGCGCATAACGTCGACGCGGCCGTCAGTGTCCCGCGAGGCCTCTGGTGCCGCCGACGAGAGCAGGACGTCTTGCGCAGGCTGGAGGTTCATGTCCGCCGGGAGAGTTCCGAAGAAGGACGCGAGGATGGCGATGTATCCTGGCCCAGGCACGTTCAGAGCCTCTTTCCAGCTCTCGCTCGCCTCCACACCAAGAACCGGCACAATCTGAGGGGCGACTTCCGTCAGCACTGTCCTGGATTTCACTCGACATACTTTTGGCGTGCTCTACGTCGTACATCTGCCACACGGTGTTGTGGCCATAGACGACACCGCACGCGCCCGAGAGGACGCTCTGCCATGCACCCGAACGAATGTCGTCGCCGTTCCACTTTGCGCCCGACCCAGGGGCAAGGTTGACGTACATGCCCTCGTCTGGTGGGTTAGCTGCAATGCCACAGACGTTTATTGAGATAAACGCACAGTGACCTTCAAGGTCCAGAACCGGTCGCTTCCCAACGGACTGGGCCACCATTTTGCTAATGGGAGCATGGGGGGCGCGTGCGTTCCAGAAATGCATGGGCGGGTCGAATACGAGGTTGGGTGTGTCCGCATGTCCGCTCTGGCAGGCGTCGAGGGTGAGCCACCCGTCGTCGCCGAAAAACGACGACGCGAGGGCGTCTGGCGACCACGGCAGCCACAGCGCCGTGGGGTGGTAGGTGAGCAACGGCGCCCCAGCTTGTCCCCAAAATGGCTTCTCTGCGGTGGCGATAGCTTCTCCCATAGAGCGGAACACATCAAACCACTCAAGCCTGGGCAAATCGAGTGTGGTGGGAATCGGCACGTCGTGCACCTCTCGCCCGTTCGCGCGGAAACGACGCCAGATCTCCCGTGCGTTTGTCCAAATAGGGTTCGAGTCACCGCCTAGCATCTTGGGGAGGAAGGGGTATCGTTCGCCGAGGAAGGCGCCGAATGACGCAGCTGAATCGTTATCAAAGAGCAGCGAATCGAAATTGCCCTGCCAGCCTAACTGTTAGCATGTGATCCATAAAGAGGGCACTCACCTCCGTTGATCCACCGCGACCACGTAGGTACGAGGAACACCAATATGCCCCGCTCAGCTGCCGCTTGGACGACCCAGTCAATGTGCGAAAAGTACTTCTCGTTGGGGGTGCGCGGGCTAAGTGCGCATCAGCAACTTTCCATCTCTGTCGGTGCTCACTCGTCGTTCATCAGTGGCACCTGGCCGTAGCGGTTGGGGTGGAAGTATTTGGAGTGGAATGTGTCAGACTGCGCAGAGTCTGCACCCAAGTTCTGCCCGTCGGGGCCATGCGCTTGGCCCAAACCACTGATAACAGTCAGTCATGTCTTCTACAGCACCAACGCAAACATACTCGAGCTCGGGGGAGCGCGACGGCAAGGACAGCGTTGAAGCCCTGCCGCTTACGAGTGTCGAGGTAGTGGACGACCTCTTCACGGGTAAGCCGGTGAAAGAGCTCCCAGGCTGCGGGAGTCAGTACGTTTACAGTGATTTGAGATTCCAATCCGCAAAGGAAGGCATAATGCAAGCAGCAAGGACGGGCTGGAAGAGGACATACCAGTGTCACTGAACAGGAAGAAAGGCTCCCCAGTGGCTGCGCGCTCCAGAGTGGATTTAGTAGAGCTGGGGCGCACTGCCAGCTTCTGGAGGAGGTCGTGGTCGAGCATGGTGTTCTGTGGATTGTGAAAGATGCATGATGCGATGGCGAGGTGGACTGTTATGAGGATCAGTCTCAGTGGGATGTCGGCGATCGAAACGACCGCCAGGGATTTATCCGGCGAATGCCCGCCTTGCGTGTTATCCCCAACGCGGGTCATCCCCTCCTCCCTTGGTACGCTCCGAGCTGAGAGCTGTGAGCTGTATGATGAGACCACATCTTAGCGACGTATCAACCTTGCATGCATTGCCGGGCATGGTACCGGTCGCAGAGCCGCAAGAATAGATCAGAGGGTGGGCAGGAAGAGACCGAGATCCGGTCCAGGCTGCTCAGGGATAACGGCGCTCGTCACGACCTCCGATCTTTTCATCCATCCTTTCTCGCCGTTTCTTCACTACTCCGGTGGTTCCCCCGGTGTAGCCCCACATGCCCCGCAGTTATATGCTGATCCCCCACTTCCTCTCCCATGTTGCGAGAACATGATAAATAACAAGGCCGACGTGGAGGGAAGTCGACAGCCCAACATACCCTCTCACCTTCGCGTTCCAACCTCATCCAATGTCCCACCGGACACCGACTCAAGCCCAAGCCATGACCAACGACCTTCAGCTGGAGCGCAAGACCAGCATCACACACGACGAGAATCCTCTGGACCACAAGGAGGCTCCCGATGCCGATACCATCAGCCCCCCTGTCTCCGCATTCCGGCATCTCACGCAGGGGGAGGTGGTGCGCATGTTCTGGAAGACAACACTCTTCTGTCAAATGGCGCTCTTCATCGCATGCGCCGACGGCTTCCAGTATAGTCTTCCGGGAAACCTTATCGCACAGACGAGCTTCGTTGGTAAGTCCATTTTGGGTCACAGAACAGGAATGGCAAAGGACTCACCCCTCAGAACAGTTTGGCCGCTCGGTGGTGAATGGCCAACCTGCGCTCAATGCCAAGGACGTTTCGGCCTGGGGCGGCATCTACTCTGGTGCATACATCGTTGCCCTCCTGCTGGGTGGTTGGTACGTTCTTCACCCCTGTCCCTTCGTGCAAGCACCTCCGCATGGCGAACGAACTTGCAGAGTCTCCACATCTTACGTGGTTGTCGCTGACGCTCCAGGCCCGTTGACTACTTTGGCCGCCGTGCGTCCATGCTCACGCTTTCGGTGCTTATGATCGCCGCCTGTCTAACTGAGATGTTTGCCCGTGAATGGGTTGCATGGGGAATGTCCAAGCTATGTGAGTCCTGTGGCAGGCACCCACCTCAGTGATCCCTCACTGATGTCACTTACTTCGTCTCGCTGACACGTCCAGTGAACGGCCTCGCGATTGGCTTAGCGCAGCTTACGCTCTCGACATACGTCTCGGAGCTCGCCCCCGTGCAGCTGCGCGGTTTCCTGCTGGTATCGTACTCGTTCTGGTGGGGCTTTGGGCAGCTTATCGCCGCTGTCGCCACCTTCATTATTCAACAACAGCCCAACAAGACGCGTCTCTACCTCGATGTCATCTACAGCGAGTGGATCTTCAGCGGCCTTTCTCTTATTATCATTGCCATCATCCCCGAATCGCCATGTTGGTACCTTGCCAAGGGAAAGCGCGACAAGGCTGTAAAGGTTCTGCAGCGTATGAACGGCAAGATTCCGGGCTACGACGCAGAGCACGAGACGACTGTGCTCGAGTACGAACTGGCCGGCCAGCGGGCCATCCAGGAGGAGGCTCAGAAGGTGTCGTATTTCGACCTCTTCCGTGGTGTCAACCTGGTTCGTTCACATAACTGTCACCTGAGTCACAGAACTGATTGTTACAGCGCCGAACTCTCGTTTCATTCTCCATTATGGGCTGGCAGCAGTGTGTCGGCATTTCAATTGTCTTCGGATACAACTCGGGTGAGCTGCAGCCATTGTGTTTACCGCACCCGTGCTAACGCCACACCACAGTATTCTTCAAGGCCGCTGGACTCAAGAACCCCTTCCTCGGCACCGTTTGCATTTCGTGAGCACCGGCGCTTATATCCGACGCTGACTTGCCTCAGGATTATCCTCCTCGTCACAGTGTTTTGCTCCGGTTGGGGTGTGGACCGCTTTGGTCGCCGTCCCCTCCTGCTTGTCGGTGGCAGCCTCATTGTCATCTTGCTTGTGGTCATTGGCTCGCTGGCCTTCCTCAAAATCACACCGGCCGTCGGTGGCGCCACGGTCGCCGTCATGTGTCTTTGGGTGGTGTGAGTTATCCCCTAATGCCGTGTTGCTGCTGTTGTTCTGACTCCTCCAGGGCGTACTCCTTCAGCGTAGGCCCATGTGGATACCTGCTTCTCGGCGAGAGCTCCGCTCCCGCGCTGCGCGCAAAGACGGCTGGTGTCGCTGCGGCTGGTAGCGGCATGTTTGGCCTGGTTTTCAGCTACTGCACCCCTCTGATGATCCTTGACACCGTGAGCAATAGCCTTGTTCGTAGCGACCACCAGATGCTGACGGTCACAGGGTGGCGGTGCCGGCTGGGGCATTAAGACGGCCTACTTCTACGCAGGTACCGGCTTGATTGGCCTTATCCTCGTCTACTTTTTCGTCCCAGAGCACAAAGGCCGCACATACGCCGAGGTACGTTACTGGTGGAAGTACTGCAATTGAGCTGGACGCTGACCCACCGCAGCTTAATGAGCTCTACGAGAACCGCGTGCCGGCCAGAAAGTTCCGCACGACCAAGACAAGTGTCGACGCCGTCGCTGCCGCTGCCGCCGGTGAGGCCTAAGTTGGGCGACTTTGTGGGTCTGTTTGAGAGGCAATGGTCGAGAAATGAGTGTTGAGAAGGAGTTGTCGAGACGTGATAGGGTTAAGAGGGTTAAGTTGGCCAATGTGATGAAGATGACGTTACGGCGTTTACGGTTCCAAGCGGCCTGCGCGCGATTGCTCAGTTGAGCTTCTTGTCAGATTGTGTTCGGGTCCTGAGCAGTTGCTGCGCGAACGTGTTTCTGGAAGCTCGGTGTTAACTAGGTATAGATGACAGCATGGACTTTCTCGCGTTGGTTTCGGCAAGATGAGGTCGACCACCATCGCTGCAGCCGGCTGCCTCCTCAACAGATCATTGCCTGCAGTGTGATTCAAGTGTGGGTGCAACTGCTGCTCCTCTCGATTTGCACACTGGTTTGTCTTCGCCGTCTCTATGTCTCATTCACCCATGCGCACCACGTTCATGACTGGCCTTACCCTCCTTCCTTCTTCTATGCACGCTCATCACTGATCAGCCGGTATGTACCCCCGTTGCACCTGCCGCCCTTTTGGCGCTACGTTTCTCCCTTTGAATTTCACTCTCTGACACTCGCCCACAACCTGGTCATTTTACAACAACCATGCCAATCAACATCCCCGGCAGTCCTAGTGAGGACGAGGGTGAGAATACAGAGGCAAGTGTTATCCAGCTACGTTCATAACCGCTGACTTATTCAGCATGACGGAGCCAAACTCCCCCAGGATCCACCAACCGCCAAGTCCAAGGAGCAGCTCAAGCGCGAGCTCGACGAGAAGATAACCAACGACTTGCCCGAGATGGCCCTATGGGCTCAGACACTCCAGTACCTCGCTCAACACGTCATCCACAACCAGCTCCTTTCCGCCGAGCACCAAGACATTGTCCGCCACCTGGAGCACTCCATGCAGGAGGTTGTTGACGCGTTCCACCAGCTTCAACACGGCCGCCACGACGTGGACCATGACGAGCTCAAGCACGTGTGGGACGCTCTCCTTCATTCACTCTTGGCTCTAGCCCTCTATCTCGGCACCGCAGCACAGATACTGAAAGAAGCCGCCCGGAAAAGATTTAAGCTACTCCTGGGTGAGTCTGCATTGTCGGCCATTGAGGTATCACTCTGACCGCCGAATAGTCGTCGCTGCGGGTTATGGTGCCCTTTCACTCCTGTCCGGCCTCATTTTCTACCTTGGCATCCTCGGTGTTAGCATTCAGTAAGTTGAGCAACAATGGGCCAAGATGCTGACCGGTGGTAGCAAGGACGTCGTTCGCGTTGCTTGGTTTGCGTGCCCGGTTTACGTCTTGTCAAGTTCCTGCCCACCTTTAACAAGCTTGTCCCCATGATTCGTATGTAGTGGAAGCGAAGGAACGCCCCTACGGTTTTGTATATGATATGCATGGATACAGAATACAGAGTAGGGCTGTAGACGTTGCTTGTGCGTTGTTGTTTGCCATTGGAGGGATGTCGTGGGCGGTGGGTGAGGAGAGGGCGCCGATCAGTTGAGTCATCTCCACTCACGCGTTTTAGCGCCCCTTCCCCCGAGTTTCGCGTCGTGTCTTCCTTTCACAAACACTCCATCACCTCGTCCACCATGAATATAGTCGACACCTCCGACGTTGGCAACAGCCGTCTAGACGACGTGAGTGTCGCTGGGGCCATCGGTTTGGAATGCAGCTGACCAGACCAGAACCTAGCCGTGGTGGAGCCACAGCAACCAGAACTCGAAGCCAACACCTACACCAGGCATCTACAGCACTACTTGAGCGTAATCACAGAATACACAGAGGCAGCCAAGGGCATACGTCTCCACCTCCTGCAGGTTGGTAGCGCCGTCAAAGATGTCCAGAAGAGCATCAAGGAAGTCGAGCCCCATTGGTCGCCACACGTCAACAGGCTACTGCAAAAGCTCCAGTCTGCAATCCACGAGTTTGATCAAGCCTTTCAAGACCAGCTGCAAGCTATCGAGAGGGGTATAGAAGCTGAGACCGAGATTCCAGCTCCATTCAGGGCCATGGCAGGTTCATTGCACAAAGAACCACCCTCACCCGACTCCGTTCCGACCGCGAGCCCGCCGACCCTCTCAGAGCAGGCCGACAGCATCGTGTTGGCATGCAAACACATGAGACTTCGCATCAAGGAACACCGGGTGGCGTTTGTGCGCATCCAGTTGGCACTCAAAAACGTCAACGGAGCCCTGGCAGATTACAAGGAGGCTCGCGTGCGATTCGACTGGATCCGCTACTGGTGTGGGTACTCCTGTCTGCGTTGTCGTTCGCCAAGCTAACGGGGCCAGGTAGCATGGCGATTCTCAGCGCCATTTCCATCATCATCCACATCCCTCTTGCGGGCCTAGAGATGGAGTGAGTGATTGCAGCCCAGTCTTGACACTGAACTGACACATACAGTGCTTGGTGGATGTGGCCTCTCTACGCCATCTACATTTGGGGCAGCCTCTTCATATTGGCGCAGAGGCTGGGTGGCGTGATTTAGGTGGCGAGAAGCCCCGGCTACGTCCCAGGTCGACAACCTGAATTCTTGCAAGTTGGGTTATGAGAGGGAACTAGGCGTATGGTGGTATGTGAGGAGAGATGTTTCATGTATGTTCATCAGAAGCACAAAGGCAGCATCACTGATCACTCCCGGCATGCCGGAAACCCATTGTTTGAGTCCCAGTCCGCTTCTTACTGTTGGCGACGGCTAAACATTGGTTCAAACGTCTCGCCATCTATCACATTCTCCTCTACAGCAAACAACAGCCATGGACTCTCTCAATGGTGCAGCCGCCGACGTTCCCCGCCTCAATGCTGAGGTGAGTACGCTCCTCGAACCCCACCACATACGTAATAATCCGAACCCACCAGGATCCCGCCTGCCAGTCAGCCGAGCGGGAGCTCCCGTAGCCAATTCCTCGCCTGGGTCGTACATTCGAGTGGCTGCTGAGCCACCTGAGTGAGGTGGCTACCATGATCAGGCTCGTAGAGGAGTTTCTTGTCCAGGGCAGTACCATCTTGACCGCGCCACAGCTGTTGGTCGAGGTCAAAGAGTATCAGCGCAACAACAACATTATCGTGCCAGCTCTGAAGATTGCGGTCAAGGGAATTAAGGACGACGACAGCCTGGGCGCATTTATTCAGCGAATGGACGCGGCCAAGCTCCTTGACGCCATCAAGTACAGCGACGAGCTCGTCAAGGTTTTGCTGGAGAAGATGGACGAGCGGAAGAGTGGTGGCCCGGTGACCTTGCACAAGGTGACTTACTGGACCGTTCGGCTCGTCAAGCCGCGCGCACCCTCCTGTGAGTCGTCTCCTCCACGTTGGTGGGTTTCATCACGCTGATGGTATTGAAACAGTGGCGCTCGTTACTCTGACTGCCTCGTTGATTCTTCTCGGCCGCATGATGATGACGGCGGTCACAGTGTGAGTCTCCTACACTGAATGAGAGTCGGCATTGATGCTGTACCGTGGACTGCAGTGGCTGGTTCATGGTCATCGACTTCTGCCTCGTTATGGTCTGCATCCTCGGGAACACGGCTGCTTGGGTCAACGCTTCACAATAGGAAAGAAACTTGAGGGTCAGGCGTCGTATCCGAGTACCAGAGCTGTACTTGGAGTAAGAAGGCGGATATGTAGTCGAAGGCCTGCACATGCAAGAATGGACTGCTTAAGCTTGTTGGCGGAGAAATGAAGGGACATCCGTATAAAATCCTCCTCAACTCTTCAACACGACACCTTCCTTTGCCACAGTCAACCTCCAGACGCTTGGGGGCCGTTTGCATTCACACGATAGCTATCTCTAGGTAGCGCACCGCATGCACAGGCGACTTCATGTAAGGCCCCCACAGCAAACTATGGCATTCATCCACCTCGACACTTCGCAAGCCATACCAGCCATTCTCGACTGCTGTCACCTCTCCCGACGCATCGACCTCTCCTTACCTCTCCCAGTTCCTCTGGGGACCTCTACACATGCGTAGGAGGCTCCAGAGAGCTCCAAAAAGGTCACGACGGGGATCGAACCCGCGATCTCCTGATAATCGAGATGAATCGTAGTCAGACGCCGTACCATTTGGCCACGCGACCGGTTGATGTTGTGTTCATGCCACTATTGTGGAGCTCGGTGACCATCCAGGCACTATGCTGCCCCGTCGACGAGTCTTGTCTGATGGCGGAGAGAACAATGATACAATGAGCGAACAATGCCAATGAGCACCTCTTTCAGACTAGGGGAAGTGCAGTGATGACACCAAGCCATCAGCCGCCGTGTTTGCAGCGATCAGGACGAGGTCGCCTCCCACTTGCAGGTAAACCACTCTTGCCCCTCTGTTTTCCCTCCATCACCCAACCTCACATCACTATGCGGTCTGGTCAAGATCCTGCCCTCGACGAACACTTCCGCAAGGTCGTCCAGCAGATGACCACGTATGTAAGGGACACGACTGCCCTCGTTGAACGCTTCGCTCGGAATCCGACCAGCCTCAACTCTGCCGTGGCGCTCATTGTGGAGGACTTCCAAGTTCACATAGGCAAGCTGATGCCAGCATTCAAGCGTCGTCTGGAGAGGAACCAGGACCATCCCGACCAGCTTCACCCTTTGCTGGTCGCGTTGGTGGCGGCGGCAGATGAGTTTGACGTGATCGCCAAAGGGTTCTTCTGCAGCGTCAGCGGGGGCATGAGTGAGGGCCCGGCTACCTCTCATGCCATTCCTGATGCCAATGGGCAGTAGTACATAGCGCCGCGTAACTATGTATGCAGTAAGATGAAGTATGGAAGTGAAGTATGGCCGACTTGCACGAACTCCACATTCAGCAGTCTCAATTGAATTAAGACGAGGTGGTCCAGCGAAGCGGACCAACAACACCAAGCTGGGAGCAAACCCTAAGGGCATCCTCTTCACCCATTTCCTCAACGATCATGCCGTCCTTGAGGCGGAACACGGTTGTGCCGGTGAAACGCATAACCTTGCCAGTGTTCGGCTTGTCGAGTTCGCCAAGGGCAAGGTCCTCAAACGCGGGGCCGGTGTGGGTACCACCGCCGTCCCAACTGAGAGGTTCAGCTCAGTTCGTATGCTCTTCTTCCACACAAAAACACTCACCGTCCAACGACGAAGTCGCCATCCACAGAGTTCTCAGCAATGAGAGGCCCAACAGGCCAAAAGGTCAAGTCGGGAAACGCGGTGCGCAAGTCCAGGAGCATCTTCTTGGCGGCCTCGCGGCCTACCTGCATTTTGTCGGCCATCACCCACTGTAGCGGCACTTACGATGTCACCGTGCATGGGGTAGTGCATCTTGTAGTCGGGGACGCAAAGGGTGTCAACCTGCAATAGTCAATACTGGGTTGCCGAGCACCACCTGCTTTGCTCACAATGTCGACGTTCCCCTTGCCCCAGAACTCCGTAAAGTACTGTCCGACGATCTTCTTGTTCTGTTCGATAGACGTGCCGTTCATTCTGTAGTGTGCGTTTCTGGTGGTCTTGATGAAGGAGTAGACTATCATGAGTCTGTTGGCGGGAAGAATGGCCACCGAGAACAGGGGGACACGGGCCTTTTATATGCCAGTGATGCGCAGTTTTCCAGACGTCAAACTTGACGTGGGTTGACTAGACCGCGTGAGAATGCATGCATGTTTGCCAACAATGTCACACCTGAGAGACTTTTACCTGGAATTCCGCAGCCTTCGAGCGGAACACCTGGTCGAAAAGCGTACACCTGATTGCAGACGGTCACTCTGGTCGCAACGGGCGCCACTCTGATCGCAACCGCGTACACTCTGAAAGCAACGCGTCAACTGAATGCCAAAATAATCCGTCCACCATTCCACACGTTGAAACAAACATGTGATGCGTGCCTGTGGATGCAATGACGTCTGTAATGCAGGCAGAGGTGACGCAAACGTTGTCCGGTTTAGATTGAATGCCAAAGGCCGACACAACCAGTCCAGTATGTGCATGTCACTGGAGATATAAATGAGTGCTTCTGTTGGCCGGAATGGTGTGGAACGGCCCGTACCTGACGTCGCACAGTCACTCGTCATGACCTACAGTTCTTCGTAGCTTACCTTGCCATTATTGCCATATACCGTACCACGTGCATATGTAAAGTCAGGGGCTCACTCGATCACCCCTTGCGAATTGAGAATACCACTCGCCCCGCTTCAAAGAGAGACACCTGCCCCCATGAACAAGGATGGCAAGGGAAAAGCTCACGTCCGTCAATAGTTTCGCCTTCAGCTCGCGCTCTAAAGAAAGCCGTCACCAACTGCTCGGCCGATGATGCGTTTCCGCACTCTAGTCATACATATATATCCTAATTATCTGGGCAGTGGTGAGGTCCGCAGAGGTACGGCTGGTGTGGCACAGCCGCCGGCCCCAACTATGTGTTCTGTTCGGGGTGGACCATCATAGGCCACACCGGTCTTTCGCCGCCGATTGGTGGCGTGCTGTCAACGTTGAGCACCCCATGAGGCCATAGCTTCCCAACTGGTCTTGTTAACGATGTTCTGGCCTCCCAGGTTGCAAATACTCACTGACGAACGCCAGAGTCGGTATTTGCTGTAGTTTTGGCGACGGAAGGCTCAACGGGCTTGGATGAGGTCAACTCCGACAACGAGTTGCGCAATGCCGCGACCACCTTCTTGGTACCAGACTGCACAGGTAAGCCATCGCTCATAGCTGTGGCAGGTACTCACCACTTTGACGTATTGGGGCTCGTCTATCATCTGGTATTCCGGCGCCCAAGGCTCGTCGTCCTTTTCATGCGGCTTGGTCCCAGCATCTACATTTTTCTTGTTCCAGTGCTTGGTGAAATACTGTCCCAAGGACTTCTTGTTCTCAGCAGAGTTGGTCATAGTGGTTGTGTGGTGCACGTTGGCAGGTTCAATAAACTGCGGGTCTTGATGGTGTACGCGATCGCGTTGGTGGCGGGATTGTGATGACCATCAGAGCCACAACGAACGTGGTATTTATATGCGCGGTGGGGCTCACCCAACTCAGCTGACAGGATCGACTCAGTTGACTGGATCGCGTCAGAAAGGATGCATGATACTGCATCCATGGTATCCATTGTTACGCGCTGACAAATGTGGTGCTCATTAAGAGTGTATGATACCGCATGGTGTTCTGACAAACCGCTGACAAATGTCCATTGCGCACTAACGGACCTAGCCGACAAACAGCACGCTCTGGAAATCAACGAGTCACGATAATCTCACAGTCATCCATCCACACATTGGAGCAAAAGCTGATAAATGCATCCGTTGGTGTGAGCACGTTTGTGCTGTATCGGGACCCAGAGACGTCGTGTTGGTTGCATGTGAAGCAGAAATGACGGCACCACCGCACCGGAGCCTACCCGAACTGACCGTCAGCACCGCGCCACCCTGATCGCCACTGCGGCGCTGCACATACACACGCCCCACCAAGTCGTAAGAGACGCACACCTCTTTCACACATAACTGCCCTTGTATACGCCACGAGGTGTGTTCAATCACTGTTTGGACAACACAAAGCGCCCTGCGCTGACAGGAGTGAACAAGGCTGTCCTGTCCATCTACCTGCAGTTGTCGATCGTCGTACCCTTTGTGGCTGGGCTCCACGTGAACGACATCACACTAGCTGGACCGACATCTGCAGTGGCCGGTTCCAGCAGCTGGAGCATGGTCGCCCACCTCATCGTCTCCGTCCAGCTCCTGGATGGCCGAACCGTCACCCCCCCCCCCCCCCCCGACGAGTGTCACATCTTACTGCAGCTTCTCCTGCCACCAAACTCGTCGCGATCCAGCACCTTGCTCCGCTCACTCGCTCCTCGCCAATCTCGCTTTCGCGTTGTCGAAAAGCCTATGCATACCGATTGACACATCCTGGCCGTGAGATAGTCTATGAGTGTTCGTTCCAGGGTTTTGTGAAAGTGGAAAATAAAGATCAAGTAGCAAAGCTGCAGAAAAGTATAGCGTCAGTTGTGTCCAGCGATATATGGGGAGGTGAACAACTCACATGCCAAGCATCTTGAAGGGAGGGGTACGGGTTCCGTCGGGGCCGAGCAGGAGACACTCGACATAGTGGGGGCCCGCCGAGACATGCTCGTTGATGACAGTCAGGGTAGGGGTGCTGTCTCCAACGTCGCCCATGCCACTCAGCATGGCGCGGCCGGCAAAGTCGTCGTCAACCCAGCAGGCGGCCATGCCGAGGGGCTGGTTCTCAGGCTGCTGGAGGTAGTAGATGGCGACCTCTCCGGCCGAAATAGTCAGAGGGACGCGCATACGCGAGCCAGCAATCTCCGAGTACCAGTAATGGTAGTCTTCCGAGATGCCCTTCTTGGGGTGGTGGGCGAGCCAGCCCGAGCCGTAGAAGTGCGAAGGGGGGAGGGGGTTGACGAGGTCGTTGGCCGACACGCAGTATGGGTGGACTTCGCGGAAAGTGAGAATGTCCGAGGGGCGGTTGGAGAGGCGAGCGTGGGGGACGCGCATGACGCGCTGCTTGGCGGCCAGACCGCCTCCCTGGGACTCGAGGTCGTCAGCCGAAGTGTCCTCCTTGAGGCTGTCCTGGGCGCCCATGTAAGGTACGTCAAAGGCGTGGCCCATGGTTGTGGCCCATCCGCTGCAGATCTGGTTCTCGAGATACGAGACCAGGAGGTCGGACATGAGCTCGTGACCACTGGGCGAAGCGAGGACCATGTCTGAGTAGAAGCTCTTGCGGGTGCCCTCGGGATCGGTCATGTAGTCGCGGTACAGGAAGCCCTTCAACGAAATGTGAGGGACATCGTAGAACTGGGCGACAACATCGTGGAAGAGGTCGGGACCGGCGAAGCCGTTCTGGACAAGGACCTGCGGGGCAAAGTGGCCGAGGAGGATGACAGCGGGCTGCTCGGGGCGGATAAGGATGGAGCGGACGAGGAGCTCAAAGTGGTTCATCCACTGAGGATCGTTGGGGTCGCTAGCGTCAAACTCGAGGATGACCAGGTCTGTCTTGTCGGGCAGGTGGTGAGCCGAGCAGTAGGCAAAGTATGCCGAGTCGGTACGACGGGCCGCACCGTTGGTGAGCTCTGAGTTGGCATGGGGGAAGACGGTGTTCCACCACTCAAACAGGCGTGCCGGCCAACAGCGAGGCGAGACGACATCGTCACCAGCGCCGTGACATGCCGACACGGAACCACCCAGCACCGAAATGGTGATGGGCTGGCCAGCCATGGCCTTTTGAATGACGCGCTGGATACGCGCGCCAGAGCCCGAGTGAATACGCGAACGCAGAAGGCCCGTCTGACCCCACTTTTTGGCAACCGCGTCGTTGGGACCGAAGACGGGGCAGAATGAGAACGGAGCGGGGTCACTGGCCGACGCGTTCAGGTAGTCCTTGGCCGTCAACAGGCCCGGGGACGCGGTGTAGTGACCCGTGGGCAGCGAGTATGATGGTCCGGCTGCAAAACGTTCAGTTGACCGTTTGAAACCGAGGCAACTCACAAGAGAACGCGCGGGACAGCAGCATGAGACCCAAGCAGCCGCCAACAAGAGCCCATACGCGACGCGAGAGACCTGTTATCCCGTCAGCTCTTTGGTCTTCATCGCGCCGTTTAATGGTCGTGTACTCACCGAACACCTTGTTCTCCTGCGCGCCTGGGAGGCGCAGACCGTCCTTGGACTTCTCTGACAACATGTCGGTTGAGGACGCTTGCGGCGAGTGCGGTGTGCGCGTCGCAGCCGAAGTGCGCCTCGCAAGCCCGTTTGTGGGGGAGTGGGTTTCTACGTCTGACGACGTGATGGGCGAGAGTGTGAGAGGGGTGTGGGGGGGGCGATGAGGAAGAGGCGGATACGGGAGAGCGAGAGCGAAAGAGAGATCTAGAGAGAGAGAGCGACGAGACCGAAAGGGACGATGAGCTGGAAGAGACCGCGGTTCCTGCTCGCTCGCTCGAACGTGAAGCGCCGCCAAATGAATGGGCCCTGGATCGCGCACAATCGTAGGACGGAAGCAAATTATGCAGCAGTCACCCACCCTGCCAGCCGTGATCGTCCGCCAACACCGTTGTGGTGATGAATGGATGACCGGGCGCGACGCGTCGACAACACCATATACATATCCCCAACTCTGTCGTCGCCACCATGGCCCTCCCTAAACACCTCCAGGCAGGGCTCACTCCAGATGAACTCACGTTCATCGCAGAAGAAGACGTCATCGACATTGTTCCCCTCTTCTCAATGTCCCGTGTCCGTCTCCTCTCCGGCATCTACGGTCCCTTTACGCCTCCTGGGCGAGCACAGGTGCCCCTCTGGCTCGCGCTGAGTCTCAAGCGTAAGCGAAAGTGCAGGATTGTGGCCCCAGAATGGCTCCAGGTCGGTGAGTATGTGTGGGAGGTGCTGTCACAGGTGGAGCGAAAGGACTCAAAAGGTCTCTGCGAGCTGTTGTCTGTCTCCATCGGCACCATACGTTTCGTCAGCTTACACTACTTTGCAGAGAAGCTCCAGGTGCTACTCAGGAACGAACGCGATACAGTTGAAGGCTTTCAGGCCCTCCCTCGCCACTTCATCGAGATCTCAAAGGTCCTCCTCGACGTGGCGTCTGACGACCTCCAGCAGCCAGGCCAGCTGCGCTCCTTGCTCAAAGACCTGCGCGAGCTCCGCCAGGCCAAGACGCGTACCGGTATGCAGAGCGAGGGCGTCATGCGTGGAACGCATCTCGATGTGAGTGTTGACCAGGCACTTCGCCTGTTGTGCTCAGCTGACACCAATCGCAGGTGACAAACATGACCCCCCTCGAGCTGTGTGAGGTCAAACCGTTCATCATCAAGGCCATGGGCATGATGCAGAGCCTCGAGCCCGAGGAGGAGCAGGATTAGAAGAGCACGGGAGGAGCGACCCATACGGCATTTTCTAGACACACATTCTGTTGTAACCATCAATGTAATTTCTCTACCATGATAACTGTACATGCTGCTACTGTCTCTACGTCCTATGCGGCGGCGGCGACGGGGGCGCTGGCCTCGGGAGCCGCTGCAGGGGGAGCAGCGGCCGCGGCCGCGGCAGCCGCCTCAGCTTCGGCCTTGGCGGCCTTCTCAGCCTCAATCTTGCCAATGGGGTCCTCGGCGGCAAGGTCAACCGTGTGGATACCGTCCTTGTCGATGATGATCGCGTTGAAAGTAAACTTGATCGACAGGCCTGTGGAGTGAGTTAGAACAGCTTACGAGGTACATGCGTTACAAAAGCTGCTACTCACGGTGCTGGGCCTCGGCGATGGCCTTCTTGAGGACATCAACGCCATCCCTGCGGTCCTGGTTGGGGTGCCAGTACTTGTCCATGGTCGACAGCGAGACGTGCATACCCATGCCGTGGGCAGCGTAGGGAACAACGGCCTTGGTGCCGAGGTAGTCGATCCAGTAGAGGTGTGGGGTGTCGTCGGTGGTGTCAAAGCCTGCGAGGAGGAGGTTGACAGAGTACGGCCTGCGGGAGCGGATCGAGTCGGCGAGCGAACGGCGGATCCAGCTAGAAGCAGCGTGAGGGAGGAGCGCGTGGTGGTGGCGGATGTGGTACAGGCGCATGTTGCGCTCAATGTAGTCGGCAAAGTTGTTGGTGTCACCGGGCTCGCCGCCGTACGCCATGGCAAGGTGAGGGCCAAGCTCCTTGATCTTGTTCTCGTCCGACTTGAACTGCAGGATCGAGCGACCGGCAGACATGTCCGAGGCGAGGAGGACGTAGTCCTTGCCTGTACGGGACAATACAGCGAGTAGACATAAGTGTGAGAGAAGGAGTGGGTAGGCAAGGAAGGGAGCGAAAGTTGTCAGCTGCTGTGGAACACGTCATGGGAGTCATGATGGAACAAGAACGCACCAGTGATGCCAAACGAGCACTCCATGGCGAGACTGGTGAGGCGAGGGTAGAAGAAGAAGAAGGGGTAAGAGGGAGAACAAGCTAGAGCGGAATCCTGTGCCGAAGGAGTCTACTCGTTTAGAGGTGCTGTTGTTGTTGTTGTTGGAGGTGGATGGTGTGTATATGATGCTCTCTGTCGCTCGCTCGCTCTGTGCTCCAGTTGTCGTCAGCGCGCAACGGTTGCGCGTCTTGCAAGCATCATCGTGCAAAGGGGGAGGACGGGATAGATAATGAGGTGGGGTAATTTAAGCGTTCATGCCACGTGGAATTTGCTCCCGCTCCACCTCTCCCCACCCACCCACCCGACCCATAATCGTCCCCTCGGTCCATCGTGTCGCGGGGTATTCAGCGCGTTGGCGAGTTCCCGGTGGTCGTCGTGTAACACACGTATACATCGTTCAACTACCTCCACGTCCTTCCCTCCTTACTTCTTCCACCACTCTTACACAAAGGGGCAGCGGCCCTCCTCGCAGCCATGTCCAGCATCCTCGACCTCTCCCCGGTCACCCTCCTCCTCCAGGAGGTCCAGACGGTCACCTCGGCAATGCGCAGGAACCAGCGCTGGGCCTCAGTCCCCGCCTCGACCTACGCGTCGACTGGACTTCCAGCGTCCATCTCCAGCCGCGGCAGAAGGGACTCGTCGCTGTCACCGACTTCGACAACAGGCAAACGCCGTACCGACGATGAGGGAGACCTCATGCTTGGCTTTATCGAACTCCGTCGCACCCTCACGGGCGTCAGTGGTAAGTCCATTTGGTTTGCTGTCGTTCAGGTCCCCGGCTTTGAGCTCAGCCGGAGCGAGCTACATGACCGACTTGGCGGAATCTCTGCAACAGTTGACTGACTCGCTACAGATATCACTACCCTCGTGCCGCTCACCATTGTCGAGCCGTTTATCGCTCTGGTGCGCTCGCCGCTCACCTCGGGTCCCATTACGTCTTTGGCCCTGACGTCGTTGCATTCGCTGGCGCTCCACGTTCTGCCGCTGTACCTCCCTGCCTCGCTGCCACCCCCTATCGGCCCAGCGAGCCCACTCCAACTCATGATGGTGCACATGACCTCGGCGCTGGCTCAGTGCCGTTTCCCGTCGTCGTCGCCTCAGCAGGACGAGCTTGTGCTCCTCCGCCTCCTCCGCGTCATTGAAGCTCTCACGACACCGGCCGCTCTGACTGTTGCCTCCAGCAGCCGCCAACCCCAGAGCCTTCTCGACCACATGGGCGACGAGAGCGTCTGTGAGCTCCTCGAGGTCGGTCTCGGCATGCTTGCGCGTGGTCGCTTAAGCGAGGGATTGAGGAGCACAGCCCAGCTCTGTGTCCAGGCCATTACTCGCGCGTGCTTTGTACGTCTCAAGAGTCTGAGACCTGAGGACGTCGAGTTGGCTCTCAGCAACCGCTCCCACGACATGGACAAGGTCAAGGACAAGGTCACTGTCCCCGACGAGCGCCAGTCGCATGACACTACCGCTGCGCCAACCTCACCTCCTCCCGGCGAGGAGCTCGAGGAGCAGCAGGCAGAGGAAGACAAGGAGGGTCGTTCGTCTCAAGAAACCGCAAAGTCGTCTGGGACTGCCAAGGGCGAGGACTCTTCCAAGCGGGATAGCAAGGATGAGTCTGAGGCCAAGGCTCCCGCACAGGCGGAAGGTCCGCCCCAGTTTGCGCCATACGGTCTGCCGACAATGCTTGAGCTCCTGCGCGTGCTCATCGCACTCTTGAACCCCAACGATGCGGCTCACACAGACTCCATGCGTCTGTCCGCCCTCGCTGTCCTGAATGCAGCCCTCGAAGTCGGCGGATCGAGCATTGGCAACTGGCCCGAGCTCCGCGAAGGTGTCCGCGACGAAGGGTGCCGCTACCTCTTCCAGCTGACGCGCTCCGACTCGCCAGTGCTTCTTGCTCAGAGCCTCCGCACCACGTCCACCCTCTTCTCTACACTCCTTCCCCAGCTCAAGCTGCAGCTCGAGCTCTTCCTCTCCTACCTTGTCGACCGCTTGACGCCGCCGACGCCTTCCCCTATCCCTCCCCACCTCCTGCGTTCCGACTCGCGCCCCTCGCGCCCAGGTACTCCTGTCTCGCACGGCGTGACCACCGCCGATGGCGGCGTCGAAGAGTCGAGACCAGAGACTCCCGTGGCCACCCCCAAGCCTTACGCTGGTCTCCCTCCCATCCCTGCCGAGTCTAAGGAGCTTTGGCTCGAGACCTTGACGCAGATTGCAGCGCGACCGAGCTTCATGGTCGACTGCTGGGTCAACTTTGATTGCTCGACCGACAGCGAGGACATTTTTGAGCGTCTCATCGCATTTGTGACCCGCGGCGTCTACCCCAGCGGACCTGCCAAGACCGACGGCTCGACTATGTTTGAGGGCCTCGACAGCGCCCAGCTGCTGTGTCTGGAGATCCTTCTCTCGTACATCAACTCGATGGCTGAGCGCCTCGAGGATGGCGACGAGCCGTGGCCCAAGGAGGCCGTCCCCGTCGATGAACTCACTCTGTCCAAGAGCCGCAAGGGTCTCCTTATCGCCGGCACAGTCCAGTTCAACATCAAACCCAAGCTCGGTATCCAAATGCTCGAGAAGAGCGGCATCATCGCCGCCGACGACGGCGAAGGAACCCCGGAAGAGCGCCGTAACCGCGCTATTGCTCGTTTCCTCCGTTCGTCCTCGCGACTGGACAAGAAACTGCTTGGAGAATACATTTCCGCGCCTGCCCAGGAAAGCCTGCTCAAGGAGTTTATGGGCCAGTTCGACTTCAAGGGCAAGTCTATTGCCGATGCGCTCCGTGAGCTCCTGGAGACTTTCCGTCTCCCTGGCGAGTCGTCACCCATTTCCCGCATTACCGAGGTGTTTGCCAAGCACTTCTTCTCTTTCAGCCCACCCGAAATTGCCACTGAGGATGCCGTCTACGTCCTGGCCTACTCGGTCATCATGCTTAACACGGACTTGCATAACCCGCAGAACCGCAAACGCATGACCATCGACGACTACAGGCGCAACGTCCGCGGTGTCAATGACGGCAAGGACTTTGACCCCGAATACCTCGCAGCCATCCATGAGTCGATCCGCAAGCGCGAGATTATTCTCCCGGAGGAGCACGTCGGCCAGCACGGTTTCGACTATGCCTGGAAGGGGCTTATTCTGCGGTCACGTACCGCTGGTCCCACCATCAGCTGCAACACGGCCCAGTTTGACGAGGCCATGTTCAAGTTGTCGTGGCGCCCCCTCGTGCAGAGCATTGCGTACGCTTTCACCATGTCGGCCGCAGACGAGCACGTCATCCAGCATGCCATCACTGGATTCAGGCAGTGTGCCACTCTTGCGGGCCACTTCCAATTGCCGGAAGTGTTCGACAACATTGTCCAGTCCCTTGCTCCCGCCACTGGTCTGCTCGACGACACCGAGGACGGCTACCACATGGGCAACTATCCCTCGGTGGAGCGCGACGGCGTGTCGCTTACGGTGTCACCGCTGGCAATCCGCTTTGGTCACAGCTACCGCTCCCAGCTCGCCACCGTCGTTCTGTTTGCAATCGCCAACGGCAACGGCAATGCAGTGCGAGAGGGCTGGAACCACATTTTCGAAATGTTCCAGACTCTCTTCTTGCACTCGCTTCTGCCGGCGCCCATGCTGCAGATGGAGGACTTCTTGGCCGGCACGACCACCATTCCCCTCAAGCTCGCCTCACCTGCTGCGGCGCCCGAGCGCCGCCCCGAGGGTGGTCTCCTGTCCACCCTCTCGTCGTACCTCCTCAGCCCGTACGGCTCGTCGAACGATGCCCTTTCGGTCGAGACGTCAGAGGACGACGTCGAGGCGGCCCTTGTTGCCGTCGACTCGCTGGCCTCGTGCAAGCTCGAGGAGCTGTACGCCGAGATTCTCCACCTCGACGTTGACGCCCTCATCCCGGCTCTCCGAGCCATCCGCTCCCTTGCCGAGGCTCGTACCACGCACCGCCTCGAACCCCGCGCGTCTCCCGATGGTCCCCACCGTTTCGAGGGCCAGCTGCCGTACGACCCTGCGTGTGTCTTCCACCTCGAGATGATGGTCAGCCTCGCTGCCCACGGTCCCGAGCACGTCGCCGAGACATGGCCCATCATCTTCGAGTACATCTCGGCCCTCCTCTCGAGCGCTCAGAGCTACAGCGTGCTCCTCATTGAGCGTGCCGTTGTCGGCCTCCTTCGCCTCTGTCTCATTGTGTCGGAGCAGCCTGCCCTCCGCGACCAGCTGTACATCGCTCTTGATGTGCTGCGTTCGCTGCCTTCCTCGGTCCTCAACGCCGTCTCGGAGCAGCTTATGGCTGGCGTGGCCAAGATTTTGGAAATGGACCCCGGAGTGCCTCGCTCGCAGACCGAGTGGGGACTCATCATCGCCCTCTTCCGCGCTACTGTCGCTCACCCCGAGGCGTCCAAGGTGACCCTCACGATCGTTCAGAAGATGGCTACTGGCGGCGAGCCCGGTCTGTCCCCGGACAACTTTGCCGGTGTGGTTGCGCTGCTCGACGAGTTTGCTACGGCCGCCGGTGCGGCTGCAGCCGGTCGTCTCCAGCTCAACCGCCGCACCTCGGGCGGCGTCGTGCCCACCTTGGGACCCACAGTCGAGCGCGGCCTCACAGCCCTCGACTCACTCTACGAACTGCGCAACGCCATCCCGACCTTGATCGCGGCTAGCGGCAAGAACCCCCACGACGCGTTCGCGGCATTCTGGCTCCCGCCTCTTCTCGTCATTGGCAAGCAGTGCGTCAACGGCTACCGCGAGATCCGCCAGCGCGCCATCTCGTACCTCCAGCGTCTGCTGCTCTCGCCACAGCTCCTGAGCGCAGACGAAAACACCCTCCCGATCATCTTTGACCGCGTGCTCTTCCCCGTCCTGGACGAACTCCTCAAGCCGTCGTCGTATGACCGCGATCCCGCCGCCGCCGTGGAGATGCGCCTCCGCGCCGCCACTCTCCTGTGCAAAGTGTTCCTCCAGCACGTTGTCGCCCTCACGGAGACTTCCGCCGTTGTTGGCGTCCAGTTTGTGCGCGTCCTCGACAAGCTCGAGCGCTTCATGCGTGGCGACAGGGACATGCTCAACGAGGTCTCGGAATCGCTCAAGAACGTCGTGCTCGTCATGCACTCTTCAGGTCTGGTCATCGCGCCCTCGGAGCCAGACACCCGCACGCCCGAGCAGCGCGAGCTGTGGGCTGCTGCAGCGCCCAGGATTGAGCGCATGGTGCCTGGATTCCTAGGCGAGGCTTTAGCTCCTCCGCCCCCAGCTCCTGCACGCGTGTCCGAGTCGGGCGGCGGCGGCGACAATGCCGAGGCGGGCAACAAGGATAAGGAGGCCGACCATGTTCACGCCGAGGGACAGACGGTCGAGGCATGAGTGTGAAGAGAGAGAGAGAGAGAGAGAGAGAGAGAGAGAGAGAGAAGGAGGTGGAAGGTAACGACAGAGTGGAGCATGTGCCGATGATCAGCGAGGGGCAAACAGTGACATTGGAAGGACAAGAGATGTTTGGTACAGTATAGAAAGCATAGGGTCACAAATGCAACTTGCTGCAGTTTTAGACAATAGCAGCTCCCGTGGCCCGTGTCCGTGCCCTAGCTGTATCTTGCCTGATTATTCACCACGGCTTCGCCGGCGCAGCTGTACACGTTTCACGCGTTCACGGCGATCCCGCGGCGATGCAGGCGCCAAACCCAGCGGCTGATCACCACATGCGTCAGGTCTTGGCCGCTACGAAGCGTCTGATTCGGTGTTTTGATCTATCTCTGGTGATTAATCGCTGGCGCCGCGCGTCCCGCGGCTCGCACCCAGCCAGACTCGGGGGCTCTGACGACATGGGACACTATGTCCGGTGCCAAGTTATCTTTCCTGCGTTTGGCCCTGGCAAAAGTCCAGCCAACGCCCGAGTCCTTGGGCTATTGTTTACAGCAGGAGGGGTATCATGGTATGCGGTTTGTACCGATGCAAAGCATAGTTCTGTGCACATTGTAGAAGGACGAGGTGGTGAACAAACGATAGCCTGCACGAGCAAATGGAGACGTCCAAGTCTGAGGAATCTAATCGTTTGGTGGAATGGTCCGCGGATGTCTCGGGGTTGACCTCATCACGGCCAGCAAACTAGCAGTGAGCGTCAACCCAGCCCCGCCTGATTTCTGTGCATATGTCTGAACACAACCCTCCCACGTTTTGCACAAACAACATGCTGGAGGCCAAGATGGTCATTGAAGCCAGGCTGCGTCACACCAAGCCACATACACCTTCGTGGAAGACGCGTCCCAAGTCGGAGGCATCAGCATCGTTTGAACGACAAAACGGCCGCGGGCTCCGTTGCTTGCGCACACCAACTGTCAGTCGCTGATGCCAGTGCCCCCTGGGACACTGGCTGCTTGTTGCCGGCTTACGGCCGCGTGACCGCAGTACCACCAAGGCATGCGCACCTGATTGACGACAGTCTGCCATACGTACATGCGTGGTCACGAGAATCGGTGCAGTGACTGGGGACCACCGGGGCTGTCGCGGGACGTTCGGCCCCGCTACCCGCGGGTTACGTCGTTGGGTGGCCTGGCTGGCGTCACCGGGTCATTTGCCGCCATGTTGCCGGCCCCATGGTGCCGACGGTAATCACGGCAACGAGAGATATATCACTGCGCCTGTGATCGTCGCTCCATCGCTTCTGTGTATCATCGAACATTTCACTAAAAACAATGGCAAGCAGCAGCAACAGCAGCAACAGCAGCAACGTCGACGTCCTCATTGTGGGAGCGGGCCCCGGTGAGTAGGACAGGCCTTTAGGCGACCAGGGAGCTCGGTGGCGGCAGCAGCGGTGCCAGTACCGTGGGCACTGCGTCTCGTAGAGTACCAGCAATGTTCTCACGAGCCTCAACCGAGCTCCCACTAGGTCTGATACCCCATGACCGAATTGCTGACACTAGGGTAGCCGGCCTGTTCCTCGCAACACAGCTCAGCAAGCTCAAGATCTCCACACGCATTATCGACAAGATGGCCCACCCAGTTCTCCGCGGTCACGCCGACGGTCTGCAGTGCCGTACCGGCGAGGTTTTCGAGGCGATGGGCGTTCAGTACAGGTTTGACCTTGAGAGCCACGAGTGTGCTGGTGAGTGATGAGTGACTAGTGACATTGCAAGACGCCGGTATCCATGGGACTGGTCCGTTCTGGCCCAGCGCATCTGCCGGCGTCAAGACAAGAATGCGCCGGGGAGATCTTGAGACTTGTGGCTGACGTACCGCGCAGAGGTGATCATCTGGGAACACGACGACAAGGTTGGCGGCATCAGGGAGGCCAGCCGAGTAGTGGACACTCTTCCCGGCCTTTCGCGCATCCGACACGTCAACCTTGGCCAGGACCGTGTTGAGGGCATCTTCATCGATGCCATGAAGGAGAACAACGGTCTCGAGGTTGACCGTCTTCTTGAGCCCACCTCGCTCGTTGTCGACGAGAAGAACCTCGGCAACCCCGACGCCTTCCCCGTGACCGTTACCCTCAAGAGGCTCCCAGCTCCCAAGGAGTTGGCCAACGGCGACGTCCAGAGTGGCATGTACCGTTCCAACCTGTTCACCGACGAGAGCCAGACCAAGGGCAACGACGTTGAGGGAGACCACTCGGGTGAGGAGGTCGTTCACTGCAAGTACCTCGTTGGTTGTGACGGCGCTCGCTCGTGGGTCCGCAAGACCCTCGGCTACCGCCTCGAGGGTGACTCGAACAACGTTTACTGGGGTGCCTTTGACGCTGTCATTGACTCGGATCTGCCCACCGGCCGCATGAAGCACATGGCCCATTCAAAGGACGACGGCACTGTCCTTATGGTGCCCCGCGAGGACTCGATGATCCGTATCTACACCCAGATGGGTACTCTCGCCGACGGTGAGCGTGTCGACCGTGAGGCTGTCACCCTCGAGAAGCTCTGCGCCAAGACCCAGGCGGTCCTCAAGCCTTACAAGATTGAGTTCCCTTACGTCGACTGGTACACCTGCTACGAGATTGGCCAGCGTGTTTGCGACACCTTCACCGCGTACGACGACCACGTCTTCATCGCCGGTGACGCCTGCCACACCCACTCGCCCAAGGCTGGCCAGGGTATGAACGTCTCCATGATGGACACGTTCAACCTCGGATGGAAGATTGCCTCGGTCCTCCGCGGCCAGTCCAAGCCCGACATTCTCCACACCTACCAGCTCGAGCGCCAATACACCGCCAAGGAGCTCATTGACTTTGACTACAAGTGGTCGCGTCTGTTCACTGGCCAGATCAAGCCTGGCAAGGACGCCGATGAGGGCGAGATGCGTGCCGCTTGGGAGCAGTCGATCAAGTTCACTTCCGGTACCGGTGTCGTCTACGCCCCCGACGGACTGCTTGTTCTCGACCAGCCAAACGCCTCCAAACTGGCCAAGAACATCACCGTCGGTGGCCACTTTGAGAACCACCAGGTGGTCGGTGCCTTCAACGCCCACTCCATCAAGCTTCAGGCCGAGCTCAAGGCCGACGGCAGGTGGCGTGTCCTCATCTTCCCCGGTGATGTCCGCGAGTCGGACGCGCTCGACGCCCTCACCAACCTCGGCAACCAGCTCCAGACCATTGTGCAAAAGTACAACTCGAAGGACGCCGACCTCGACGAGGTCATCCAGGTCCTTACTGTCTTCAAGACTGCTCACCGCGAGATCCAGTATCTCGCCCAGTCGCTGCCCGAGGTCCTCATCCCCCGCCGCAAGCCTTACAACATCCGCGCCTTTGACACCCTGTACTGTGACGAGCCGTCGCACCACGACGGCGACGGCAAGGCCTACGCGGGCTACGGCATTGACCCTTCGTTCGGCTGTGTCGTCGTGTGCCGTCCCGACCAGCATGTCTCGGGCGTCTTTGGCATGTCCCAGGGCAAGGACATTGCCGCATTCTTTGACCGCTTCATGGTCCAACAGTAGGAGGAGTCGCATATCAGTAGTCAGATCGCACAAGCAGTTTAAACGTTTCATGATGCATTGTATTTGTCCAGAACTGTGCATTACCAGCAGCACGCGCATCAGAGCGGCGTCCACTTGGAACCACCACCTCGACATGGTGCGGGACTTGCCCTCACGCCCTATGTCACCTCATTGCTCCTTCATACTCAAACTCACTGACCAGACTGACCACACCGTCGCCGCTCTCCGTTCAGGACACCTTACGGACCTCTGACCCCACCCCGACCCTCCACCTACCGACCCTCGGCGTCAGGCCAATCACCCCATTTCCAAAACTCCCGAACAAACATCCTCGGTTTTAGAACCCCCACAGCTTGTCCAAAACAGCTGCAATTTGCTTCAAACACGATGCGTTCGATGCGTGAGATGCTCGCCTTGCACGCTATTTGTACACAACCTATGCATGATGGTCACGTGGGCTTCTATCGTCTAGTTGGTTAGGACGTAGGTCTCATATTATCCAGATATGAGCTCTAATGCGAGTACATCCTGCAACCGGAGTTCGAATCTCCGTGGAGGCACACCTTTTGCTGTTTTGGACACCTAGGGGTGGTTGGGACATGCATACGTGCTTGGGGGATGCTGTTGAAGCTGTTGGAAGGTGAGTTGGATGGTTGGAGGTGTGGTGGTGGCGCCGGTCGAATGTTCTGGTCAAGTGCCACAAGTGCGGTTCGGTGTGTGGCGCGTTCAGGCTTGGTTCCGATGTCATACAGAGCGATAGCAACATCTGTCACCCCGCCGATTTGAAGGAGAAGGCGTGCAAGGCGTGCTTACCTGCTTCTTACCCCGAGGTCTGTCGGATTGTTGTGACCCCCGAAATGCTCAGTGGGCGAGCGGCCTGCTAACCGATCTGTGAGACAACTTTGGCAATGTAGACACATAATCAGCCGTCACGCACGATTGTACTCTCACAGGTCACCACATCTCAGTCCCCCAATACCCATAAGCATCACGTCTTCTATCAGGACGACTGTTGGCGCTGATCAGAGAGTGCGTGGCGGTGCGCTTCCGATTCCATGGGTTAACTCGAATTTCTTCTCTAAGGCGCTCAAGAATCTCAGGTTTTCGTTCGTGGACTGTTGTCTACATCACAGTTAACGGCTGGACGTTGTTAATGTGTCCTGAAGTCTCGTCGGAGTCGCCAATGGCGGAGAGCACGATCCAACCACCTCTCAGGAACGACAGCCGTTGGAGATGGACAGCCTTGTCGGTGGATCGTTCCGGGAGGGCTGTGGTGCCATATCTCCAGCTCCTATCACACTATTGTGGCGCGCACACGGTCTCACGTAGCATATCAGCGACAAATTGCTTCTCCTGTAGCATTCCGAGGGCGAGAACCGCCTTCACTGTCAGGCGAATATCATGAACATCAGGCGATTTAGCTCAGTTGGTTAGAGCGTGTGCTTAACACTAGCAGCCCCTCTTCAAAGAGTGCTGTAGCGTTGCGCACAAGGTCGGCGGTTCGACCCCGTCAAACGTCATGCATCTGGACCTCCTCTGTCAAGAGGATGTCCCCTTTTGCATCTCTGAGTTGTGGAAGTTGTTGTGGGTGACCCCGACAAGTGTTGCCGACTGTAGATCACGCAATCATCTCTGGTTCGGACCTGACGATCACTTGAGCCACCTGCCGCTTCACAGTTATCCGGCTATCCCCTTGTGCTCAGCCGGTATGTCGACACGACACGCCTGCGAGCACTCACTGTCATGATGTCGCATGCCAGATCTCGGCTGCTTCGTCTGTTGCCTCGTCGGAGATGACACATTAGATCAGCTGGACACTTTAAACCTTGTTGTCGGCGGATCAGTATCAGTGGCAGTGCATCACACCGCCATGCGCAAGGTGACTTACGGCAGCCTTTTGCTAACGTTGCCTTTCAGCCGCTTGCAATTCATGCCTTGCAGCGTGTTTATCAATCCGTAATCCTCGGAGCCTCCCACATTCCTTCAAAGAAATTCGACCGAAGTCGTTTGGCTACCATGGCCAAACCATGGCGCATTGCCGCCAATTCCGCGCCCTTGCAGCGCTTCTCGTAAGGTGGATGTGTCAGAAGGCTGAGACACTGCCTGGGATACGGCGACCACGAGGAAGCCTGTTGTGGCTTTCGTGCAGGTCAGGTGGCCTGGTGGACGGGTGGAGCTGGAACCCACCGTCATTGTGCAGTGGCCTGGATTGGCACCGCCCGGAGCCAACGTTGTGGGCTCTACACTGCGCCATCCCGAAACCTTCCTGCACTCCCGCAGGGCAAACAACTGATTATGCATTTACAGTGACTTTTCAGGCACCCATTGGCAGCCGAACTAGAGCAGTCCCAAGGCGCACCGAAGAAACCGGAGTTCCTTCTGAACCACCGCAGGAACCCGAATCATTTTGCGTATCCCACCTACTACCACACGGAAACGTAGTAGCGCTGGTGTGGTGCTTGGCAGCCAGCGGCAGCCAAGCGGTACCCGGATCGGTTCTAAAGGCCAGACCCTGTCTGTATCCTGCTCTGTTCATGATTCCCACTCCTTGACCGACTCGCCATATACGGAGACAGGGAGGCTCACTTGGCGGAACACCATCCCGAACTCCAAGTATCTGTCCTCGTCCTTCCAGACAACAACCTAGTCATCACCAGGAGCCCACAATCCCCAGAATCAAGTGCACCTAGCAGACATGCGTTTCCAATGGCTCGTCGCGGCCGCAGCCGCTGTTGGGATCGCTGTCCCCGTCGCAGCCCGCTCCGAGTTTGACAACATCAAGGTAGTCGACAACTTCTCCAAGAACTTCCTCTTCCCAAACTCGCTCATTCAGGCCCATGCCATCAACAGCACTCTCTTCTCTGAAGACGTCCGCGGTACCGTCGATGGTGAGCGTCTCCTGGTTATTCCTGTGCTCCAGCCAGCACGCATTCATTAGGATTACACTTGTTTTGAGCAATGCTGACGGCCAGCAACGACCAAGTAGGCCTGCATGCAAGGCATGTCACTGACCTCAGCTTCGATGGTCGCGAGCTCAACACCGAATACGTCAGTACAGCAGGCAGTTGTCGTCCAGAAGCTGACGAAATAGATGTTTGGGTTGTTCGCCCGCCTCAACGAGACTGGCCCTTCATTCCTTGGCACTCCTGTCAACTACACTGTGAGTTGCCCAGGTCTGTTAGTGCGGCTGGAGACTGACGGTTAGGTCAATGGTATCATGTCGGAGAACGACAACATCCTTGCGAGCGTCGTTTTTGACTGTGAGTCTAGGAAGGGCACATGGTGCTCGCGCTGTCGGCACCCGACGTCCACTGACATCCAGTTCACTACCCGTACATTGATGAGATCTTCCCTCTCGAGGTAGGTGCCACTGACCTTGTGTGACCACTCACCCCCCTGCAGCTTATTACGTTTTTCACCATCAACGAAGCTGGCGAGATCTCAGAGTACTCGACGACCTTCCGCCGCTGGTCCTGGGCTTCCGACATTGTCCTCCCCAAGCAGGTTCCTGCCATGGCCAAATACATGAACATTACAGATTGGGACGACGACGCATGGCTCATTCACCACTACATGTCGCACCAGACTTGTGTTGGTGCTCAGGCATTCTGCCATGGCGATAACAAGCAGTACCAGAGCTATGACGACTGCATGCACTTCCTCACCAAAAAGAAGGTTGGCGAGATGTACCGCCTCGGCGACGATAACCTTGCCTGCCGTTTCCTCCACGTCGGCATGCTGGAGCTCCGTCCTTCCATTCACTGTGACCACGTGGGCCCTTCTGGTGGCGACATGTGTATCGCCCGAGAGTAAGTTGTTATGTGACTGGTGCGGCCTAACCCGACAGCTACGACGAGGTCGTTAGGGCCAACCACTTCCTGCACGGCTTCATCGCGCCCGCCGTCATCACGCCCGAAAACAGAAAGCTCCTTGACGGCATGGCGATGACGGCTGGGGCCACGATCCCCTCCTTGCTCGAAATCTCAATGAGCCTCAAGGACGTTCACTCGTGGGACGCTACCGCGTTCACCGCCAATGTCTTTTGGCTCATGGCCCTCATCTGGCTCACCACCAAGTTGGTCGACTTGTGAGTGCCACTGCAAAGGAGCCGCCAATTCTGACGAACCAGCCTGTTCCACAGGCTGCACACTCGCTTTGACTTTGAGGAGGTGTATGAGAAATCCGCCATTGACAAGCAGCGCGACGTCGTGATGTGTAGGTGATGCTGCCGACGTCTTTATCACTGACACCACAGACTGCGTCAACATTTTCTTCATCACCGTTGCCCTCGCCCTTCTCCTCGCCACAACCCCAGCTCTGGGAGGTGTTTATGAGCTTTGGATGCTCCAGCTGATGCGCTTTGCTGCACTCACTATCTGCTCGCTGTACATGTTTGAGCTTGTCTTCCGCTGGAACCTCCAGCCGATACTGTAAGTGTTGTCACTTGGGTTTTAGCTGGAGGCGAATGTCGCGACTAACGGACACAGTATCGCCCACCGTCTCTTGACCATCTTCATTACAGCCTTTGCATACGCCTCATTCGAGTACTGTCAATCGCCCGTGTACCTGATCTCGCTTGTGATTTGGCTCATCCAGTCGACGACCGACCAGATCATGTACCTTGCCCTCCTGGGGGACACTCTCAAATGGGACCATGTCGTCGTCAGCCAGCTGTACAAGATCGCCGCTGTTCAAACCGGTATTTTTGATGTGAGTCGAGGTATCATTTTTCAAGGCAGCCCTGACTCTTCTCAGATTGGCAGCATCATCGCCCTAGTTGCTTTCTGGGCAGTTGCAGAGAACTACAACTACCGCCCCATCAACGCAGTCTGGACCGCATCTGTTTGGATCTCGGCCCTCTGCGTACTCGCTGCACAGACATGGGGCTCTTACGTGCTGTGGAAAGAGGGAGAAAAGCACACTGCAATCAGGCTGGGAGGCGACTCCTCCGCCACTGTTCCACTCCTTGGTGGCTCAGCCAACGGATCCCCCCGCACCTCGCATGAAAACAGAGCGTAAACGGTGAAGTGAACAGATGAGGAGCGAACTGTGCAAGACGGGCGATTGATTAATCGTGTAAATTATATAGTTTCAGTGAACATATGTCTTATGTGTTGCCACTACTGTTCACACCAATACCCCAAGGTGACTGACTGTACAGTCCCCAATTATGGTGACTGGAATACAAATCAGTCTTGTAGTTTTATACTGGTGCACATGCACAGCTGACCCGACTTCTGCGCCGAGGGAGACTACACACCAAAATGAGTTACATGGATTCCAATGCGTGATGCTCACGTTAAGACATATGTAATTGACATACTCGCTAAAGCAAGTAAAGACAGCACGAAGCTCTCCCGTCAGCCCGAAGCGCAACACCCTGTTGATGTGTGCCACACACACACGGTCTCAAATACACCCCCATATCTAGTATTTAAATCATAATTTCCTGTAGTTATATCTTCGCTCTGCATTCTTCTTCATTCCGACACACCCATCCCTCTCCAGAAATCAGCAGCAGGGTATCGTCAGCCGGAGGAACCTGCTACCCTAATGAATGCGTGACCGCCATGGCGACGGTGGACGGCTCGGAAACAATGGTCGCGACGCTCGTCGGCGAAGTCAAGCGACACGAGCTAGATGCTACCGACGCCATCCGCGAGGTCAAGCACACTGGGGCTGCGTCCCAAGGCATCATGTACCTGGCGACGGCGTACGAGTGGCCGGTACCTGGCTGTGCGAGATGATGGTCAACAGTCGCTTCGGCAGGGGCGTGCGTGATGGAAGTTGACGAGATACTTCCGATGGTGAGGCGACCCAGCCCTGTTCCGGCTGACACTCACAGCTGGTCAAGCTCAATATGCGCCCTCAGCCGACGGACGACCGCTTTCCACCGTTTGTAATTGCGCTGGAGCACTCGAGCCCTGTCTCCCCGTCTGGCCCCATCTCTGTCACCACGCTCAAGGAACTCATCCGGCCGAGGTCGGTGAACCGCGGGGACCTTCTTCTCACGATTTGTTTAATCTGTATGATCAGAACAGCAAACCGAGGCACGATGATGCTGGCGACTACGATTTCAAACTGCCGACCGTTCAACTCATCTGGTCGACTCTCGTGACAGCAGTTGAAGTTGCTGCGGATTTGCCATTCGGAAAGCCTCTTGAGCGCTTGTGGCGGATCCGGACCGCGTGGAGGTGGCGGCAGTAATGGCGGACCAGATGATGAACCGGGCCACCATGGCAAGCGCAGACGCATCGACACCCAGGCCGAGGACAGTGGTCCCCACGGCGGCGGCATGCCGGACCCCCAACAACTTGGCGCTGCGGCCACAGAGGAACCACAGAGCGACAACCCCCAGTTCCGAGACCCGTCCCTTACGCAGCTTCCTCCCTCCCCCCACTCGTCGCCACCACGCCTGGGCCAGCGTTCACAACATCACGCCTCAAAGGAGGTTGTCAGCGAGGACGCAAGTGTCCACCCCCCGACCCCGTCCCACTCCTGCCACTCGCTGCGTGCTCCCAAGAACCCGGCCTGTTCCTCCGACTTGGAGAAGACCATTCAGTCCTGGCGATCAGCAACTTTGCCCGGCTCCTCTCCGGCCCCTGACGCGGGCGCTGGCGAGGTAGTGGGTGTACCCGACGAGCCATGGGAGAGCGATGCTGCGTTCGCTCCGGATAGGGAAGTGTACGTGGTCCTCATTCCGGCCGACGCCATGACCACCCTGATCCGCCTTCGTGCCGGCCGGTAGGGATGGCAGTGTAATAGGTTGGTGTAGGAGACTAGAAGCAGCAGTGACGTGTGACAGGAGAGTTGTAACAATAGTAAACTTGTAGAGCTTCCCCGCACGACGTGCTCTGGTGGTCCACTGGCCCACCGTGGCTCTAGGTAGAAACATGTGAACACGCACCCCCCATGATGTACAACGCGGCTTTCAGTACGCAGCATTCAGTATGCGACATACATTACGCAACATACAGTACCGAGGCGATTGGCAAAAGCCTCGCGAATTCCCCGACACCTCATCCGTCCATACATCTTTGCACTCCCTCTCGCTGCCTCCAAAACACTTCCACACCCCTTCCCTCCCTGCTCAAGGTCTCCAAAAGCAAAGGGAACACTCATACAGTGTCCAGCTTCTCCGCCAGGGAGTTGAACCCTGCTCTACCGCGGTCTATTCCGATTAGGAAAGACTCCCTATTGAGAGGCGGTTATACTAACCGATATACTAGCGAAGATCTGTTATTAATATGCGCGCAAGAGCGGCCGCGAGCGGCCACGGCCTCTGACAGCATCGCCAAGAGGTGTAGCGATCGCCAGAGCCGCCTTTTGGAACAGGACACGGCGAGGTTGAGCGTGTGTGATGCAGTCGGGAGCAAGATCGATGCTCCGAGGGACGTTTGTTTTGAGGTTTCGGGTCCCGACGGAGGCCCGGCGGGTCCACTCGGGTCCTACCTGATAAAGCAGTGGCGAAGAGGTGATACAGCCTGAAGTGGTGACTGGGAGAGGCATAACGAGCGTGATGAAGCAGTGTATGTGTTTTATTAGAGCGGCGCGCTTGCTGGGTGGTGCGAGTGTGGCGCCCAAGCTGCCGCCGTTGACTGCAGTGCCACCATTGGTTCTCTTGCGTGTGTGAAAACATCGCAGCGGTCCATGCCACCACGACCTGCCGTGTGACTGGAGACGGCAAGGAGAACCGTCCGTGTCCAGAACGGCCCGCTTTGAGAACCCGTCTTGCGCAAGACGCATCGAACGGCGGCCGAGCAGGAGATCGTTGACACAAATAGAACCGCAGTGTTGTTTCCAGCAGCTGCCGGCCCGCCGCCACACACCTCCACTGCAGCGCTGTATGTATCCATCCGAAAGCCCAAACCGCGAGCAGGGATCATATCCTAAAAGGCTGAAGGGGTTGGAAAGACAAAGACGCAGTTTCGCACTGCCGCCGCAGCTCATTCTCATGCCATGACAACGATGCCTCCATCAGTCACGCGCTAGACTGCCACGGTGCTGCGGATTGTGGGTTGGGTTGAGGGGGGGCTGGAGCTGACTGGAGGCCAAGCAAATGAACTGTGGACTTCCTTGGAGGAATTGAGAAGATTGCGCTGGTATGTACATAGGTGCGCAAGAAGGAGGCTTGTGACAGCATTGGAACTGGTCGTTCTGTTTCGACGACACCTGTCTCGATGTTTCGCCAAACGCACGACACGCGGTCGGTGTCAGGCATGTCAAATCAGTTACCGGCCAGTGGCCAGTTTGAGAGTGTCCGTCGTGGGTTGTGACATCGACTGTTCCTTGGCCAGAATAAAAAACGCTTGCCCTGCTGTCATGCGTCAAACTGGTTGGTATTGATACAGCCTGGACGAGTACGACGCCCTAGCAACTGTTCGATGCATGATGGCCCCGACCGTGGCTGACGACGCGCCTCTCATGCCGAGAACGGCGCTGCGAGTGAGTCACATTCGTCGTGCAAAAACCTGACCAGCTGCAAGAAAAATGACCTCTGTTTCACCGGGGAAAAGCACGTCCTCGTTTTCGTCACTAGACTAGATGCTGCCTCGTCGGCACATCTTGAGTTGCCGGGGGAGTATGGACCCCGAAAGCTGGACACTGTAATTGGAGATCGAGATCTAGAGATCTTGCATGGCCAGGCTTTCCTACTTTCCTACCTTGCCTTGTAGTGTACCGATGCCGACCGAGCCAGTGCGCGCCAGTGGAGCGCCAGTGCCCACTTGGCACTTGGCACTTGTTCGGGCTTTGGGATTCACATGCCGCAGGTGTATGTGGGTGAACGCCGCGGGCAGAAACAGAAACAGAAACAGAAGCAGAAGCCGCATACAGTCTTTTGGACCCTCTCGCTCAAATGTCAGACTCCGACTCGTGTGGACCCTCAAAAAGTGCTCTACTCCAAGCCAGTCCCCGGTACAGGGACGAATGTCAGACAGTCCACACTACACACCGACATATAGGAACACACCCCGTTCTGACGGTTCGCAAAGCTGCTGTTGGCTGCTTTGGCCGGCACACCTTGGGCCACCCACCACTGCACATCGTAGGGGTCGGTCGATAGGGACCAAGCAAAGGCAAAGGAAGAAAAGGTTGGAAGGTTCGGATTAACTTTATCAGACGCCACACACATAATGGTCCTGGCCCACCGAAATCGATGGCAACCTCTGCGCCGTTAGAAGGGGTGAAAGCGAACCTTTATCCACTCCACTGCGCTTATTGACTAACATGACTAACATCTGGTCCGTCCACTGTTCCACCGAGGTCGGCGCCGACGTCGTGAATTTCAGCTTCGGGTTCGTTGTCCCCTCGCGCTGTCCGTTCGCGGGTCCAGCCAGACCCATTTCTGACTGGAGAGCTTTCTTAGTGGACGAAAACTTGTACAGTGCACTTCGAGGTGCAGGATCGCCAGGAACGGTCCGAGACAAGCTTCCTCGATGGAGAGTCAAACTACCATTTGTGATCATCTTGCCTGTGACCATACTCCACCGTTGTTGTTGCGTTGTTGTGATGAGCTCAATAATGGCATACGCGTTGTATGCAGACCGAGTCCCGATGCCGTAAGGCCTATACCTGCTGCATGTGGGGCGACGAGTTCTGGCTTTCATCGATTGGAAGGGTGGAGAGTGGCCGTTGAGGTGAAGTGGTCATGGGATCACAAATGTGTTGACTTTACTGCGCCCCTCGGCTGCGATCTGACCCAGCTCCGTCTTGGTTTGTTTATTTTGGGAGACGACAAGCACAGCTGTGAGTTGGGACGGATGGCACGTTGGCACGAATGATGGGACGTGCACCGAAGTGTTTCGAAGCCAAACCGACAAAGACAAGCTCGTGTACGCGTGTGATGTGGCTTTGTGAAACGCCAGTGAGAAAGAGTTTGTCGCATGTGATGTGGGCAGGTTGTGCCGTCTTGTACAGACCCAGTGTTCTGGAACTGCACGTCCTACACCTCGAGGTCTCGAGACCCGTCGTGCGGTCCGTTCAGCTGCGGCGAGGTGGGAAGCACGGAAGGGGTCCGCAAGCCCAGACCCCATCAGATGCGAAACGCGAGGAACCAAGGTTACCGATCACTGGGGGAGGGGGGGAGGGAAGAGGGCGACGACGAGGAGGGTTCAAGCTTCAAATCCTTGTCTCGTCTCTCTGCGTGCAATGGGCCATGAACCGAACTGGCGTACTGACGTGGCTGCTGCCTGACTTGCATGGCTACCAGCTGACCACGGGACAAGACGAACATTGTGGAGTGAAGATCTGGCCGTGCACCCGGTCGCGGGGAGATACACACTACAGCAGGTTGATGAACGAAAACCTTGTCGTCGAGACGTCCGTTGTGCGTTTCGGGTTTGGACACGCACAACACCGGCAGTCTCCACGGGCCTCGCTGCGAAAAGCACACGCACACCAACGGCCAACGGGCCGGTGCACAGGCCCGAGATGTTGTAACCAGGCTGGCTACGGACGACCACAGCATGATGTTTGCAGCGAGCGTCTCGTCTGGCATGCTTTTGCACTGCAGAGCTGTAGGATGACAATGGCCATCGTCGCGGCCTCTCGTAAATTGTAAAGCGAACCGGCTCGTCCGGAAGGAACCGAGTCCATCCATACGTTTTCTGTGCATGTTTCAACCTCCCAGTGTTTTGGTCGGCGACGGCGACTGCGAGCTTCAGTTGCCCACTGGCCACTGGCCGCCGACGCCTCAGCCCTTAACCCCCAGCCCGCCCCTCTTGTGTCCCACATGCATATGACGATATGGTCCCTCGACCATGGCACCGAGACAGGCTAGACAGGCTAGACAGGCTAGACAGGCATTGCTGGGCCGCAATAACGCACTGTCCGCCCAGCCGCCGGCGTACGCGGCGTCGTGACACGGACTGTGAGGCGCAGCGCGCTCGCAGTCGCCGGCGGCGCCCACATGCACTCAGTGTTATTGCATCCTATGTCCTGGCTGTCGAGGTTCACCACCACACTTGCAGGCTCTGCAATGCTGCGAACGAAAGGGTGGACGGGGGGCCACTAGCGACTGGGGGTGCAAAGGCATCATCAAATCTATCGTGCAACGCGAATGCCCCAGTCATGGCCAGTCACTCTGCAACCAGCAGCAAACTAAACCTAGCTGCTGCGCAGGCAAGGGGGGGAAGGTGTGCAACGCGTGTGTCTGCCCGGCCAATGTTCCGATACGCGTCAAAAGCTTGATGGCTGGTTATGAATTGAGGCTTAGATAGACTGCGGTCCGACATGACTCCAACGGGATAGTGTAGCACTTTTTAGGTCTTGCATGGACACCGAAAGGTTGCAGCATGGCAGCAGCAGCATGGCAGCAGCAGCAGCGGCGGCGGCGGTGGACAAGTGTGTTGCTGCCAAGAGTACAAGAGTGTGGAATATGAAGAAGAGGGGCCCGTGCACACATCGGCAGAACAGAGCGCACAAGGCCGCAGGCAGCAGTGTGCCCGGGCAACACACGCGCGCGCGCCCGGGCGACGCGCCACAGGCCACAGGGAAAACGGGTGCTTGTGCGCGCCAAAGGGCTTTTGTGTGTGCAGGGTGCAGGGTCCAACACATGGCTAATTCTACTGCCCGCTGCCTGCCCTGTTACCTCTCCGCGTGCGACCACCCGGGGGACATGCCTCCCACCTCCCACACCTCCCACGACCCCTGTCTCGTCTCCCTTGTCTCTCAGTGTCTCTCTGTGTCTGTCTCTCTCTCTCTCTCTACACACACTCACTCTCTCTCCGTCTCTCCACACGGCCCCCCATTCTGAGCTTCTGAGCGCTGCTGGCACGCTCTTGAACCTCGCCGTCGCCGCCCTCGTCCCTCTCAACCCGGCCCCCCCCCTCTCCCCCCACCGACACACCCATCGACAACAAGCTCTCGTGGACACCGCTGGTCGACCCACCCATCAAAGCTTGCTCATTTCCTACTATATCTCTCTCTCCCCTCCTCGATCTCTCGTTCGCCATCTCCCCTGTCTAACCCCTCAACGCGCTGGCCGCACATCCTCCTCGCCCCATCCGACAACAAACGACCCCCGAGTCCACAAACCACCACCACCACCACTACCACAGTCCACACGACGTTCCCTATCCACATTTTACCAAACGACACTCGCCCACAATGGCAACCCCCAGTGCCGTCGTCGGCTCTGCCGTCAACGGCGGCTCGTCTGGCGCGACCGCGACCGGTCTGATTATGAACTCGGGCGCGGCCTCCGGTACTCTTGCCGAGACTATCGCCTCGATGGCTGCGACCGCAGTCGCAAGCGCCGCCGCCTCCCCCAGCACCTCGATGAACGCTACGGTCCTTGAGAAGGCCCAGCAGGCTAAGCGTGATGGTGAGCAGCTCCCAACAGACACACACAGCCCCTGGGGTGACAAACATGCTGACACCGTGCAGAGGACACCCCTCGTGACCTGGCGATCGGCCTCGCGGCGCTCCTTGTCCTCGTGATGATCATTGTGCACCCCGAGTTCCTTGCCCGTCTCTTTGCCTCGATGCGCCGCAAACGTGTCGAGCATGCCGAGGACCTCGCCCGCCCCTCGTATGTGTTCGACATGCAGGCCAAGAAGAACCAGCAGCAGCAGGACGTTGTCGCCGCTCCCCGGGTTGTCGCTGGCGGCGACCTGTGGACTGGCTGGTTCCTGCGTGCTGGTAAAAAAGGCACTACCAGCGCGTTCCGTGCCGGTGGCTCGTCTACCGCCGTCGACCGCTTTCCTCCCAACACTGAGAGTGGGAAGAATGGCGTACAGCCTCGCTCGGCACTTGCCCCTCCTCCACACATTGCTCCTCTTACCAGCCGCCTGCCGTTCGGCTCATACCTCGACAAGGCCCCGTTCGCACGCTGGGCCAGCCCCTTCACCACCCGTGCCAGCGTCAGCTCGCTGATCGTCATCGCCATCTACCTCGCCATGACCCTCGTTGCTTGCATCTACAAGTCGAACGTTGCAAAGAAGACCTCGGCCCACGGTTACGGCGAGGACTACACGCGTACCGGCCTCGTCGCCATGGTCCAGGTTCCCCTTGTCATCGCCCTCGGTGTGCGTGGCAACATTATCGGTTTGGCGACCGGCCAGGGCTACGACCGTTTGCGCATCTTCCACAAGATTGTCGGCCGTGTCTGCTTTGTCTGCTGCGCGATCCACACCATCTTCTACCTCAACAAGTGGGGCAAGGCAGGTACCCTGGGCAAGTCGACAAAATCCAACGTCTTCATTACCGGCATGCTTGCGTTCGCCGCCACATGCCTTATCATCATCACCTCGCTCCCAGCCATCCGCCGCAGCGCCTACTATTTCTTCAAGATTACTCACATTATCGGTGTGATTCTCCTGCTGGTCGGCCTGGCTATGCACGTCACTGTCGCCGTCCCCTGGGTCATTGCCAGCGGTGCCATCTACCTGTTCTCGATCATCATGCAGCTCATGAAGACCCGCTTCGCTCGTGCCGAGCTGGTGGCGTTTGGCGGCTCGACCACTACCCTCATCACCATTCCCGGCATCACCGCCGGCTGGCGCGCGGGTCAGCACGTCCGTCTCCGTGTCCTCAACCTGCCCTACAACAAGTGCGCCGAGGCTCACCCCTTTACGATTGCCTCGGCACCAGACTCGGGCGGCCTCGTCCTCATGGCCAAGGCTGCTGGTGACTGGACGTCGTCTCTTTACCACCTCGCGTCCAGTGGCGGCGACAATGACGGCGAGGTCGGTGTCTGGAAGCGTAAGGCGCACGTCATGGTCGAGGGCCCCTACGGTGGTCTTGGCCACACCCTCCCCACCGCGTTCTCGTCCATCGTCCTCATTGCTGGCGGCTCGGGTATCTCGCACTCGCTTTCCCTGACCCAAGACCTCATTGAGAGGTCGCCCACGGGTGTCGTTGGTGCCCGCACCATCGACCTCGTCTGGGTCGTTCGTGTCCAGCAGACTGCTCGCGCCCTGATGCCTACCCTCAACACCCTTGTTGAACGCGCCCGCGTGTGGGAGAAGCGCGCCCTCGACGGTCGCCGCCACGGTGCCGACCTCGCTCTGCCCATTGCCGTCCGCATCCACATCTTCGTCACCCGTTGCCCCGACAGCTCGCCGCTCACTCTCCTCAACAGCCAGCCCAGCGGCCGCAACAACATGCACGAGAAGCTCTCCCCCTCTGCCTCGGGCCACGGCCGCAGTAACAGTGTTGATTCCTCGGACAGCCACGGCTCGGACGAGAGTGGCCAGTACACCACCGACGACCACTGGGCGCTGCCGGTCATGCCCGGTGTCCTGCCCGCGCGCCTTTCCGCCCGCCTCTCGGGCATCTTCCAGCCGACAGCCGCTCAGCACACCAAGGCCGACTGGCTCGCCAAGAACCCCGACAACGTCCGCCTCACGCAGGTCTACTCGCGCCCCACCGACCCGCTCGAGGCCATGTCCGAGATCTTTGCGTACCGCGGCAGGCCCGACTTGAACGCCATCATGGCCAGCGTGACCGACGAGACCATCTCGCGCCATGGCCGCACCCTCACCGACCCGACGGGTATCTTTGTGTCTGCGTGCGGACCCGAGTTCCTCGTCAACGACGCCCGCGACGCCACCCTCGACGTCAAGCGCTGGAAACGCAACGCCGTAGGAGGCACAGAGTTCTCGGCAGAGTTCTTTGGCTTCTAAACGAAAACCGCTTTACGCGTCCGCGTTCCTCCCATCGTCGTCTCCCGGGTCTCATCATTTGTTTAGTCGCGTCTTCCTCTATATTTCTTGCACACACACCACACCGCACCACACCGCACCGCACCACACACACACCGATACACACTACATACAGCGTCACACCTAGCGTGGACCTCCCACTCTCATTTTTCATTCGCTCCCCAACTTCCCCAACGCCCACCCGCGCGCGCGCTCTGCTCTCTGCACGGCTTTTGCGTGTATTTGTAAATACATAAATAAAACGCACACACACACACACACAGCCCTGTGAAATAGCGCATATGCACATACACAAACGGTATGCTCCGGCCATATGTATTCTGTGCACAATGTGCGCACCTCGAGCATGGAGCATGGAGCATGGAGCATGGACCAAGCACGGTAGGCACATTGCGAACCGTCAAGGACACGTCGTCTGTCGTCTATTCTCGCATTTTTCGCATTTTTGGCCGGTACTGTAATTTGTGTTTGTGTGCCCCGTTGAAACAAACGCCTTTCGTGCGACCCGGGGCCCATACGCTCCACCGTGTATCCATCCGACGCGTCGTCCGTGCCCCTCACCCCTACCCGCGGTGACCAGATGACCAGATGGCCAGATGGCCGATGGCCAGATGCTACCGCCCGACAAGCAAGCTCTGCCGATCGAATGGGCATGAACTTGGCACACTTGCACACTTGCACACTTGCACACTTGCACACTTGCACTTGACAACAACCGGTTCACGGCGAGCGAGGCACGAGGATGCCGGAATGGGGGGGAAGAGGCACCCATGGTGGAGCTTTGGATGGGCGTGCATGTGCTCGGTTTCATAGGTAAGCAAATACAGCACAGTAGCGTACTGTACAGTACAGTAGCGCACAGACATGTGCAGGCAAAGCCAGCAGCACATGTACTTGCCTCTGGCCTTTTTGGCCGAACGAGGCACCTACCACATACTGTACCTACCTGCCTTGCCCCGTCCGTACGTCCGCCTGTGAGCGACAGAGTACATACAGTACAAGCCAGCGTCCATCGGCTAGCCGCACAGTTACAGTAAGCAACAAAGCACCAGCATGGCATCTTTCGGTCCCCCCGTCCATGAGAGCCCCCCCCACCCCACGTACGAGCGCCCGGCGTCCCATTTGCATCACCGCCACATTCCCCACTCTACGGCCTGCGCTGATCAGCAAAACCCTCTGGCGCGTACGTATGTGTACGTATCTGAGGGTCCCTGTTCACAATAACAACTGCTCAGGCGCACTGGGTGCTGCGCGCCGGCGCGCCGCCGGACGCCGGACGCCAGACGCCAGACGCCGGACGCCGGACGCCAGACCCGCTATCGCTCGCTCGCCAACCCGCCAACCCGCCAACCCGCCAACTCGGCATGGCATGGCATGACCTCGCCACAGCGGCGCCCGCCGCCGCGCCACCCCCGCCGCCAACTCGCGACGATACCTGACCGTGCGGTCCGTGCTGCACCTGCACGCCTCGTCCTGTTCCCGAGTCTCTGAGTCTCTCAAAAGCTCAATGGCTCACAGCTATTAGCCATAGCCGCGCGCAAGGGCTCTACACGTGCTACGCTCTCTCTCTCTCTCTCTCTCTCTCTCTCTCTCTCTCTCCAGACACACCGGAATGCATGGATGCACAACAGGTTTAGCGGTTTCCGATGGGCTCTTTCTAAATGGGGGGTGAGGGTATATCTATAGCAATGTACTGTTGTTGGGGTTGGGGTTGGTGGTACGCTGGCGAGAGCGATAAAAAAGTGGGGGGGGGGGGGGGGGGCAAAGGTCCGAGACTGCAGTTGATAGAGCCACATGGAGGGGCTAGGCTTGGCTGCGCGGTAGACGGAGGCGGAGAGAAAGAAAGAAAAAGAGGTAAAAATGGACAGAAACCACCGTCCCCACTCGGGAAGGGTGGCTTTCCTTTCTGGTTTTCTGGGGTATGATTTCCAGGCTCCAGGTTTACCTGTCGCCAGGCTTGTTGAGGAGGGCGATGCGCTCGCTCATGTCCGCGAGAGCCTGAGCGACGTGCGGGTGCGCGTGGAGGACGTCGGCCATGGGCTCGATGATGGTGCCCTGGCCGTCGCCGTACGAGTTCGGCGAGTCGGCAAGGCCGTCGGGGCCCTTGAGCTCAATGGCGAAGCAGTCGCCGGTAAACTCGTACAGCGTACGGACGAGGCGGGGGTCGAGGATGCCGTCCTCGCGGGGACGCTTGGCGTGCGAGAAGAGCTTGTCGGGCTGGAGACCGTAGCGGTGCTTGGTGAGGATCTGGTGCAGGAAGGCTGGGACAGGGTGGTACGACGTGTCGTAGCGCGCAGATTCGGGCGTGAGGCCCCACTGGATCACTGGGGAGAGTTAGAACGGTTCGTATGGATTCGAGACAACTCACTGGCGTGGCCACAGAAGTAGTCAGGCGACGAGGTGCCGTCCTGGCGCTGGTATCCACCGACAGACGCGAACATGCGGGGTGCCTGCTGGTAGTCGAGACCAAGGGCATAGAACGAGTAGCGCTGGGATGTGTCAGGCTGCTAATCTCGGAACTCGGCAACAGATAGCAACTCACGTAGGTGTCCTTGTCGCCGTACGAGAGGAAGTCGTACATGTCCGCGTTGTCCATCATGTGGTTGGACAGGTGGAGGACGGCGAGGTTGAGACCCTGGTTTCCGCTCTTGTCGTAGACAACCTGGCCAGACTCGGCGGGCCAGTGCTCGTCGGTGCACTGGCGGCCCATGATACGCCAGATCGAGTTGTCGGCTGTAGGGGGTTAGCAACGCTACGCGACTGATAACCCACGGTGGTCCTTGTTGAGGTCGGCCCAGAACACGGAGCCGCTCTGCTTAAACTCGACGCTCTCAAAGAGCTCGGCAGGGTCCATGAGGGGAATGTTGTCCGAGTCCATGTAAACAAACTGCGTAAACTTGGTGTCCAGGAATGAGCGGTTCTTGATCTCTGCAGCCGTGTGTCAGTTCTCAAAAAAGGCCGCCGCACATCACGCGCAGCGAGGCAGGGTATGGATACCACCCTGGACTGGACGTGCACCAACACAGTCGGCCTGTCCAGCAACCCACACCCCCGCACAGGCCACTCGCAGGTACTCACGCCAGCTCTTGCCGTCACCCTTGCGCGCGTTGCTCTCGATGAGGGTGACCTTCCACTCGTTGGTGAACTCGTCGCGGACCTTTTGGTCCGCAAACTCGCCGGGGAAGTAGTAGACCTCGACGGGCATGGTCGACTTGATAACGTTGCGGAGCATGTGCAGCGAGAAACGGAGACGCTCGAGGGTCTTCTGTAAACGAGTTAGCCGGGATCCAACATATATTCGCGTCTCAACTCACGCCCTCGCCGCCGGTGTAGATCAGACCGCGGCGCTGGTCCACGGGGACGTCGGCCTCCATGGACTTGTCCCAGACAATGGGGATGGCCTCACGGTCCAGAGCACGGAAGTAGTCGACAATCTTCTGGCGGTAGCGACGAATGTCGTCGCGCGACACCTTGTGCCACCGCTCGTCTTTGCCCTCGTGGAAAAAGTACGTGTTGCGCGCATAGGTGTAGAACGGACAGCCGTGACGGTTGGGCAGCTCGGCCTCGTACTGCTCCAGCGCGGTACGCTGGAGGAGGTGCTTGAGACGTGCCTCCAGCGTCATGGGCACATCCTCGTCGTCTGGGATGCCTCCAGATGGAGGTGGGATGTGCGAGGACAACGATTCCGAGTGCCTATACCCTGTTCCAATGCGGGAACCCATATAGTCGGACACGGCTGCACGACGCTCCTGTCCGGCCAACAGTGGGATACCGATAATCAACGCAACACCAGCCAGAAGGAGGAGCTGGAGGGGCTTGACACGCAGACGCAGACCGCCAGCAACGGCCACCCCTTCCTGGGTCGGCACGGGGGAGTAGGCAGAGACCATGGTTACAGAGTTTCCAAAGGAAGTGACGGGGAAGGAGGGCGGCGGGGGGAGGTGGGAGGGGGGGGGGGAGGCGAGGAGGCGACGCGACGGCGCTTTGGGGGGAACCGAGACGTGCTTTTGCGACGCGCGGGAGCGACGAAGAAAGAGGACGGGCGAAAGCGAAAGCGAAAGAGAGAGGGAGAGAGAGTGTTTGTGAGAGTGAGAGAGAGAGAAAGAGTTGAGACGCCGTGATCGTGGCCAGGAGACAGGAGAGCCAGGATAGCCAGGACACGGTGCACGGGAAAGAAGGGACCGAGAGAGATCCAGGCAGACCCAGCCAGGCGCCGGCGCGCGTGAACGCCTCCTGGGGGCCTTTCAGGCGCTCCTTTCGTTTGGCACCACCGGGAGAGCTGTCTTTGCTTGTGCGTTCCTCGGTCCCGTCCCTCCTTTCCTGTCCTATAAACCAGGCAATCGACGGGACCAAATTTTGTATTTCCCCCCATCCTCCACTTGCCTCTTTGGGCAATTTATGCCGCTGGCTTTTGGGTTGCCGGCAACCAACGACTTGGACCACCGTGTGTAGATCGCAACGCGCGCACCACCTCCGTCCGACCTTGTTGCTGTCATTGCCGTGTCTTGGTGTGTTCCTTGTGTCTCCCCGTCCCACAAGTCGCCTTCACCCCACACCTCTCGGGGGCCAACACACAGACACGTCGTCTCCCTTCCATCCATACCATCTCTATTCACAAGTAACGACACCCACCCGCACATACACGAATCTCTGGCACACGAAACATATCGCATTGCAATCACACACACCCGTCGCAGGAGACGCGGACAGCACACCCCACTGTCCCACCACTTTTAATCCCTTGTCGCATTAGCCAACAACTGCTCTTTGGCTCCTGCCGCCAACAGCAGCCATGCTTCCCTTTGGCAGTCTCATTCGGAGACACCGATACATCATCGCGTGTCTCGTCGCCATTCCGTTCCTCTTCTACTTCCGTCACACCAGCGGTCAACCTTCCGTGTCAACAAGCAAGTACCGTACAGGCGGGCTGGGCACCAACACATGGGACGACAGCGACTGGGTCGACGACTCGCTGGTAGGCAACCGCTTTGCCGACCACACAGCTGGTGGCGGCGGCAAGTGGCTGCCATGGACCAAGCCAGGACGCAGCATCCTCGTCACTGGCGGCGCAGGTTCGCTGGGCCACGCCATTATCCCAAAGCTCTTGAACCAAGGGTACATTGTCCACGTTGCCGACTTTGTCCCGCAGCCCGTGACGTTGCCAAAGGACGTGCTGTACCACCGCGTAGACATTCGCACGTCGGCACTGGGCGAGATTCTCGAACACACACAGTACGACGGTGTCCTCCATTTTGCTGGCGTCAGCCTCGAGGGCTGGTGCCTCTCCAAGCCGGAAGAGTGCACAAAGGTCAATGTCGGCGGCACCAAGAACCTCATGGAGGCCATCGAGGTGCAGTCCCGTAAGGCGGCAGGCTCCAGCGGCGCATGGACAAGGGGCGTCACTGTCCCATGGATTGTGTACGCATCGAGCACCGAGGTCTACGGCAACCCCGATAAGGGTACCATCGAGGAGAGCAGCGCGACCAACCCCGAGTCGAGCATTGGCAAGACTAGCCTCGCCGCCGAGGAGCTGGTGCGTGACGCGTTTGACCGTTCTCGCCGCGGCAAGCTTGCCGGCGAGCACAAGCAGCGCGACGACGACGAGGACGCCGACGCCGACGACGACAGCGAGGGTGGCTCGACTGTTCTCCGCGGTGCCGTGATCCGTCTCTCGCAGGTGTACGGCTTTGCGCGTGAGTCTGCCATTCCATCGGCATTCATCCCGCACCTTCTTCAGCGCTCCGTGTCGTCCCTCCCGATCCAGTACTCGTCCGACGAGCCTGCTAGCGACTTTTTGCATGTCAACGACGCTATTGACGGTATCCTCCGCGTGATCGACTTTGTGGGCCGTTCGGAAGGCGGCGAAGCTCTGGAAACGTTCAACCTCGTCAAGGGCGGCAAGCGCTGGATGCAGCAAGAGGTCGTCGACCTCATGCGTGCCGAGACCAAGACCATGTCGCCCCTCCGTGACATTGGCGACAAGAAGGCCACGGTCAGCTCTGCGCGGTATTCATCCAAGCGTGCCACCGACGTTCTTGCCTGGACTCCAGCGGTCGACCTCCCGCTCGGCCTCGCACTGGCCACGACCGCCCTTGCCGAGGACTCGGTCGAGTACGCCAACAACTTTCTCAGCCGTCACTGCCCGCAGTACGGCGCGGACGTTGGCGCTATGCAGACTCCCGCGGTGCCCGAGGACCAGCGTAACCGCGACTTGTGGAAGCTGCACAACTGCACCGTCAACCTCGGCTTCAACCACGACGGCTGGCTGCACCACGTCAAGTGCCAGGACGGCAAGAACTGCGGCGCCGACAACAAAAAGGTCGTGTCGTACAACTGGAACGCTACCGTTTGGAACATTCACGTCGTCCCGGAATCCCACAGCAGCAACGGCCGTGCGCAGGTCAAGTTTGCCCAGGAGAACGGTGCGGGCTGGCTTGGCATCCGCAAGACGGACATTGCTGGCGGTGGCGAGGTCGAATGGGCTCTCTTCAGGGACAATGACCCCGAGCCGTTTGTCAACACGTTCGAGGTCGAGGTCGCGCCCGACTCGTCGGCTCTCCGCATCATGCTCCCCGGCACGCAGCCTCAGCCAATCTACGCCCATTCCAAGGGCGAAGAGACCATCTTCAACCTCGAGACCATCGAGGCGGCCGTTACCGAGCCGCACTATGACATGCGCATCAACATGCTCTGTTGCCAGAGCGAGGGTGACTGGCCGCTCCTGCTGGATGACCACGAGTCTGCCGACCAGCGTTTCGGCAACGCGGGCGACATTGCCTTCAACGCGTCCCGCCGCTTGCACCTTTGTGAGCGTGCTCACGCTGCCCAGCAGCTGTACACTACCATGATCGAGACGTCGCGCAAGCTCGTCGACGAGGTCAGCGCGCAGACTGGCGACGCAAAGTCCAAGTCTGCTCCGCCGTACACTGTCAGCAGGCACCCTCACAACTGGCCGCTCAAGCCTCTCGAGCCCTGCTGGAACGACTGTAACAGCCCCACCACGTGTGTGCAGACCGGAAACTGCCGCTGCGTCCAGGCCGACAACTGCCCCCGTCGTCGCGAGAACCCCCTCATTGTGCTGGCACGCGGGATGCGCCCCACCGACCAGAAGAAGGTCTCGCCTCTGGGAGACCTGGGAAGCTTCGACCCCGTCCTGCGCAAGATGGTGGAGAAGGTGGACTGGCGCGACATCCTCCTCCCCGAGGCACGTGCATACTATGCCGCTCACCCGGAACTCATCAAAGTCCACGTTGTGTCTGGTTACGAGGGCGAGAAGGAGGTTGAGGCTTCACCGTGCCACAAGCTCCAGAAGACCCACTGCTTCAGCGCCGACAGCATCATGTACCGCGCCATGCGCCACGTCTCGGTCCCTGCCACCGAGGCGACCCTCGTCGTCCTTCCCGTCTACCAGCACTGCGTGGACAATGAGCAGAACAGCGCCGACTTCCTCCTCCACAAGGTGTGGAGCCACGCGACCAACACCATCAAGAACTTTTACGACGACAAGGTGCCCCTCGTCATGATGACCCACGACTGGGGAATCTGCCTGTCGTTTACCTGGGAGATCTGGTCATCCCGCGAGATGCGCGAGGGTAAGCCCACCCTGTACCCGGACCACCTGCTCGACAACACCATCGTCTTCTCCGTCATGGGTGACTGGGACACGAGGTGTTACCGCCCTGCGCAGGACATTGTCGTGCCCGCACGCACCTGTCTGAGCGAGCAGCTCAAGGACCGCTTCTCGGACATTCACAACGTGGCCCCGGCCCACGAGCGCCCTCAGCTCATTACGTGGTCGGGAACGTTCTGGGGTACGGGCAAGACGGAGCGTCTCCGCCTCGCATGCCACCGTGGCGGTGTGGCCGACGAGGAGCTGGTCAGCGGCGGTGGGCCCCAGAGCAGCTTCTACAACTGGGAGTATCTCAAGGAACTGAATGCCGCCAGGTTCTGTCCTCAGCCCAAGGGTATTGCTGGTAAGTTTTGGCAAACGTCACACTCGAGCGCTCAGCTGACGCAACTCTTTCTTTTTTTCCTTCAGGCTGGTCGCCCCGTGTCAACGACGCAATCTACGCCGGCTGCATCCCCGTCCTCATCTCCGAGGGCTCGCACTACCCCTTCGTCTCGTCGCTCGACTGGTCGCAGTTCTCGGTGCGCATCCACCCGACGGAGCTGGACCAGATCGAGCACATTCTCGGCGCCATCCCGCTCGACCGCGTCGAGCAGCTGCAGGCCAACCTGATGGCTGTGCGCGACGCCTTCATCTACTCGTCCGACGAGCACCCCGAACAGGAGATGGACCGCCGCGGACCCATGTTCTTTGGTCTCCTCGAAGCCGGTATGCGACTGCGCACAAGGTATCCCGACAGGCTGGATAAGGCCTATGCCGCGGAACACCCGGACGAGGCCAAGGAGTAGAAGAACAAAAAGGAGTGGTGGAGAGGGAACGCAGCGTAGAATGGACGATCTGTTTGTTTTGTTTCCTTTTGTTGGCGAAGCAAACAGCAGCTATGTGTCTCTTGGTATCCCACGCTCTCCATATGCATATAGATTCGCATTTTTGTCGAGGCCAATGCTGCTTGCAAAGGATCAAAGGGTCAAAGGACCTGGTGGGGTGGGAGTGAAACGCGGAGCGAAGAAGAGTGCAAGGAGAAAACGACATTCGTGCCACCTGCCTGCACCCTCTTTTCCCATCTCTCCACGGATGAAGCTGCATGCAATTCCGGCCCAACCTCGACCTAGAGCAACATCTCGACCTCCTCCACACGCACCCGATCCCCCAACCCCCTTCCCCAGCACGCAAACGAGCGAGAAAAGAGGGCTCTCCGAAAGCGGTCCCAACACCCACTCCAACATCATCACAGGTCGCGTGGCCAAATGGTACGGCGTCTGACTACGATTTCAGCTCGATTATCAGGAGATCGCGGGTTCGATCCCCGTCGTGACCTTTTTGGCGTCCTCTGGAGGCCTGCTATGCATCCCAGAGGAAGTGTGAACGATGCAGAAGTCACGAAAAGAGGAGAGGAGAGGACAGACAGGTTAGATGGCTTGCTCGGACAGATTGGTTTTTGGTGAAGCGATAAAGCTCCGTTTTTTTTTTTTGCATTTTGGGGGGGGGGGGGGGGGGTTTTCTATGGATTCGGTCTCTATTGAAAGGTTGCCCCAACACACACGCCGGACATGGGCGGACTGGTTGCTGGATTGATGAGTACAGGAACACACTGCTGGTCAAGGTGCTTGGGAGACAAGTGGCGCGGATGCGAGTCAGGTTCGGTGCCGGCGTCGGCGGACCAGGCCAGGTGAAGGTACGAGGGGTAGAGGGTTCCAAGAACTATTACCTCGTAAGGTAAAGAGAAGGCGCCTCACGTGTTGAACGGGCTGGAACGGCAATGTCCATTGTCCCCGCTGCCGAGGTAACTTTGACCGTCCAAGCGGGCAGTCGAGGAACTGCTTGTGAGGGGATAACACCCTACCAGGACGCGAAAGGTGACGATCAAGGACAATGTCCAGAAAGCGCACTCCGAGCCCATGTCCGAAGAGATAATCACAGGTAGTCTGCGCGACGCACACCCACCGCCAACAGAGGGAGGGCAAGGGCAAGCCCGACCCGTATTCCTGCCAGCGGTCACCTCCCTCAAGAACTCTGCTCATCGCCCCGATGCCCTCGAGGACCTGCATCACCACAACCACGGAGCACAAGCTCTGAGGGAAGGGTGGTCGTTGACCGAAGGTAGATCTTGAAGGTGTGGGAGATGGGGTAGACGACGAGGCAGGAGCGTGACGGTGAGCCCGTTAATGACAGGGTGGTAGCAGGTGGACGGGGTCAGGGTGATAGGAGGAGCTGGGCTGGCCGTCGACAGTCGGCGCCTGGGGCCCAGAGAAGAAGCGGTCCGGGAGATGAACAGAACAAAAGACCCGACCGAGTAACTTGAGGACAAAGTGGATGACTCCTCCCCAGTCGTGCTCGGCTACGTTCGTCCCCCTTTTCAGCACCGCCTCCGGCTCGTAGCGGACCTGCCAAGTCGGCAGCAGGCGACTTCAACCGGTGAGTGACGCTTCCAGGACCCTTCTCTTACATGGCCAGGAGAAGAAGGTCGGGTCAATGACGGGCGTGGGGACAGGTAACAGCACTTCCATGGGCGTGGCGTCGTGGTTATCGATGAGCTCGGGATCGATGACTGGCCGTACCATTGAGCGTGTTGTCGAGGGCTGAAGGACGCCACTGTGGGTCCACCACACACCGACGAGGAAGGGGTGGTTGACGGATATCGGCTTTCCCATTCATCGCCCAGGGAACTGGCCAGAAAAGGACAGACACCATGTGACGTTTGTCTTTGGCTTTGCAGTCTCCGTCGCTGTCACTGTGACCTCCAAAACGGCATTCTTTTATCTGGGCGAGTTAGCAATGTACGTTTTTGGAGCCTAGGAGGTAAGGAAACAAAGGACTCACGGCGCGGCACAAGCGACATTCCTGCTACTCCTCCTCCCGACTTGCGGCTGACCATTGACCGTTGACCGTTCTTGTTCACCACATATGTACACCGCTCTCCTTGGCTTCACATTTCCCCGGCACCCCAGCCCGCCTCAACACTCCCGCACATGATCTTGTCTCACGCATGTGGGCCCTGATGAACTACCAAGAGATACCTTCCTGCCACCAATGTTGCTCCACCAGTGGGAGGATGTATTGTCCGCGTCCACTTTCAGGATTGGGTCAGGCGGTAGACTGGGCGGGAAAGGAAAGGACGAAAAGGATTCTATATATTTTTGGAATTTTTGGCGATTTTATGTTTTTTTTTTTTTTTTTTTTTTTTTTTTTTTTTGTTGACTTTTATACTTTTCGTTAGCGTTGAACTACCCAAGCTCAACTCACATTTTTGAATTGCGCATCTATGAAAAACAGCTATACATCTTTGAATTAGATGTACCGGCTGAGTCCCGTCAGCGTTGTTGCTTTTGCGTTCTTTTAGATTCGACGACACTCACCTGTGGCCCTCCCACACCTTCTTGACCCGCGTGGTGGTAGGCGTGGGGCTGTGGATGTGGTACGAGTATCCATCCTCGAGGTGGGGGAGCTGGAGTGCACTGCTACTTCCGCTGACCATTGTACGAGGATAGACGGGGCCGTCGGGGTGGTGGTAGGGCGCAGGCGGGGCATAGTACGGGACGGGCATGGGCAGGGGAGCGGGGCGGAGGGGACCGAGAGGAGGAAGCTGAGCGAGAGGAGTGTCGTGTACGGTGACGGACGGATACGGCCCGGGGACGTCCGCGTAAAGGGGAACGGGTACGGGGGCTAAGTAGGGAGGAATAGGAAGAGGAGGGGGAGGGGGAGGAGGGAATCCATACGGTCCCGCGGGGCCGATCTCCTATAGTCCGGCTGCCAGTAGGGCCGGGGGAAACACATTGAGGGAAGCTCGTGCGAGTTGCTGTGCTTCACCTTGGGCTTGAGGCGAGAGGATCCCTTGGAGGTGGAAATACCCTCGTGCCGAGAGCGATTGCTACGATGGGGAGCGAACAGAGGGACGGTCTCCTCGGCGAAACGAACCTTGGTGGGCCGAGGAGTCGGGGGAAGAGGCTTGTCTCCACGCAAAGGCGCCGCCTGAGTACGGGGCGTGTCCTGCGGAGGACGGGATGCCTTGTTAAGAGGAGCTCCCGGGGCGCGATTAGCGGTCGGATGAGGAGAGCTGAGCTGAGGAGTCGAAGAGAGGCTGTGGGACATGGTTTAGAAATGTTGAGGGCATTTTTTGGACTATTTTATACTATGCTGGCGCTGTCATCGCGTCGTCAGTTCTGCTGTCAGGCGAGGATCACATTCCACGCCTGCAACGGTCTCAATGTCAGTCCAGATCCTCACTGAAGGGCTGAGTAGGTCTTAAACGTCCACCAAAGGTGATCCCCAAACTTCATTTCAACGGACATGACATGAGATTGATGGCCGACTGCCTGGGCCCCGCCCATCACTGACATAAGCCACTCCCACGTGCTTCAACCTGCACTTCCCGATTTCCGCATGGTCTGCAGTGACACAGACTGACATGTACCACGGATTGGGAACTGTGTTTGCACAAGGGTGCTCGATGCGTAGCTGCTGAAACCTGTGCACGCGAGGTGGAACATGTCAGCCACCTTGCGGTTGTGGTCCCCTGAAACGTTGTCAACCAACCCCCCTCTCCCCCCGTGATGGTGATAGCCACCTGGTGCATGGAAACGGGTATTCGTTCTAGAACGGGCAAGTGACTTGATCCGGGGGTGCCGGGTAAAGCAAAGGCCTTGCGGGGTGTCCGGTGCTTCAGCTCGCGTCAAGGATAAGCAAAGCAGGACGTTTGCCACTCCTGGTTTCAAGTGGAGGCCGACCACCAACAGGGCGATTATCCCCGGTGAACCCTTTTTCTGCAGCAGGTCCATACCGGAATGGGGGTGCTGGTGCTGATAATTCACTTACCGCGTTTGTCGTTGACAGCGGCCCGGTTTAGTGCTTTGTGTCCAAGTTGGGACTTTACATGCAACAACCGGATGGAACGAAGCGGAGTATCGGAGTATCAAAATACATTTGGGTCCGTAACAGCTTCAGATCAGATGATGTAGTCCTACAAAACAGGGGTGCAAACGATGGCAGGAGCGACCCAGTCGCTCCCCCTCGTACTCGCACCAGGGGTCGTGTCGTGTCGTCCAGTACGCAGTACTGGTCCGTCATATCGTCATGGTGTAATCAAAATCGGCGGTGCACAGCCTGGTGCGAATAGCCATACGTCATCGGCGCGCAAGCAGGACACTGGTGGCCGTAACCCATTGCGTGGTGATGCGGCAGTGTGTGTGGAGCGAGCATGAGAGGAGCTGGAGGGAGCGGAGGCGCCATCGAGACGTAGCTCATGCAGTTCATACAGTGGCAGCCCATGCCTGTGTTCTCTGTCAGCAACAGTGTTGTGTGTGTTTACGACTGGGTACCGCATGACCGACGTACCATGCGGGCCGGGGTGTCCCAGTGGGACGGGCCCAAAGTCCGGGTGGGTGAAGGGGTATGCCAAGCTGCCCTGGGCGTACATCCGAGACGGGGGTGGTGGCGCCGGGTTTTCGTACGTCGTGCGACGGTGGATTGGCCAGTTGGACTGCTGGTCAGTTTCGTTTCAGTTGCGTAGTCTCTTACCTGGGGGGCAGAGATGGAGTGAGAGCGACGGTGGCTCCGGTGAGCCACCTCAGTCGTGTGCTGCTGTAATGCCGACTTGCGGACCACGGCCTTGACTGAGCCCCAGTTAGCAGAGGTTAACGTCAACGTCGTGGACAAGCTTACGGTCAAGTTTCTTGTCAACGAACGGGATAGACAGGCGCCTGTCCCGTACTCGGGAAGGTGGGCCGGGAGATGCACCGCCGCTCAACATTCCTTCGCAGGCGGTATCGGTATATGAGGACCAATGGTCCTGGTCGTTAGTTCCGAGGCCTAATATCAGGTGGCGAGACCTACTGGGTCAAAGATGCGACTTGTGGTCGTCTCCGAGAACGAGACTCGGCGCTGGCGGGCTGAACGTCTGGTGGGAGTGTATGAAGACATGGTGGGGTGGAGAGAAAGTACCAAGCACCTTGCTTATATGGTTGATGCTGCGTGAAACTGGGTCTCGTTGCGCGTTGCATGCAATGTGCAGAGAGGGCTCACGGAGAGGGTGCCCGAGGGTACAAAGGTGTTTTCAGGAGATTTCCGCCGATTTGGGGGATTTACGGGTGCCCAGCAGGCCCAGAGCAGGGCTGCGGGGTGGTCGTCGTCCTGCTGACTCTGGAATCCCCTCAAACACCGCCCCGAGGTATTGGTGAGGTGAAGGGGCTGTGAGTGCTCTGCATGTACAAAACAAGGTCCATCTGAAGGTGACGTTTGCTGTTGACCAACTCGAGTATCTTGGAGACCTCACATGACACGCGACACCGGCGACCTCGGCCAACATGGTCCAGAAAGAAACACCCCCTGAAGCCGAGATCTGAGCCACCACGTCCCATGGTGGCTGTCTTTGCCAAAGCCGGTGCTGGTCTTGGCTGGCATATATGCCTCATGTCATTGGATCATTGGAGGGGGTGTCCCATGGCATGGCTGCGGGCCGGAGCATTTGTTTGGAGTTCCCAGGTCGTGTTAGAGACTGCTGGCCCCACTGCTAACAATGAGCAGCATCTCAACAGTATGCAAGGCCTTTGTCTTTCAGTCTGGGCGGGAGAGAGGCACATCTCCTCAATGAGGCGGCTTGGGAGGCGGCTCGGCATGGGCCGTAGGCGTAGGCGCGTGCTGCTGTTGCCCGGCGCCAGTGAGTGCATGAGTGATCTGCGAGCATCGGAGCCTTTCCATCAGGGAAACCGGGCCCTCGTTGCGTCAAAGGCCCCGTCGGCCGCGTCAGAGCGGGTGGTGGGCCGTATGGGCGTACGTTGGTGGCGTGGCATGCATGCGCGCGTGGGGGCCGCGTTGCGCGTGTCGTCCGTGCCACGAGCCAAAAGTCCGTCTGGTGTGGCCTTGGGACGCGTAAGATGACGAATTCCGGACGGTATGCGCCGTGGCAAGCTGCCTTGTGGGTCTAGTATCACTCTGCCTCACATCACGTTGTGTTCGCGTTGTTTGTTCAAGAAGAGGGGGTTGGAGGGGGTTGGAGGGGGTTGCTGGGGTGGACACCCGAATGATTTTTGACTGTCGTGCCTTGCATTCACCAGGGAGGGAGGGACCTCGACCATCTGGTGTTGCTGCGGACCCTCCTCAAAGCGCTGGTCAATTGGTCAACACTCCTCCCTGTGACGGACGTAGTCTTTGAGGACCGGCCAGTCTATTGGGAATGGAAAATAACGCAAAGGTCAGAAGACAGACCACGTCATGGCCGGAATGACTATGTATGGCCAAGTTCACCCCCCCAAGATCCACCCATGCCACTCTTCAGCTTTGCATTCGCACCATTGATTTCTTTCGACTAACACTTTACTTGAAGCCCTTGGGCATCTTGGCATCCTTAGGTGCCGGGTTGTTCTTGCGGAAGTCGTCCGCAATCTCCAGCATCGTAACCCACTCAACACCCTTGTGCGTGTTGACCCAGGTGATGAAGCGCTCGAGCATCTTGAGGACGTCTGACCGCTGTGTCAGCTACCATTGTAGTCCTACGGCAACTGCATCAAAACTCACGAGGACGACCAGACACATCAGGGTGCACAGTGATGGGCATGATGAAGCCCTTCTCCCTCTCGTTCTCCCAGAGGTACTCGAACCAGTCCTTCCACTTTTGCTCGATAACGTGTGCGTCAACGAAGCCCTGCGTGCTCTTGGCGCCCTTCATAAACATCATGGGAGGAAGGTCATCGAGCTGATATGTCAGCTGTGTTTTGGGAAAGGCCATGTTAGCTCACATCCCAGTTGACGGCAATCTCGACCAGTCCAGTTGGGGTGCCGCGCTGCACGGGCACCATCCAGCTCTTGGCGTCCTTGCTGTAGTCGATGTTGGTCCAGCTGTCGCCCGAGCGGAGGTAGTACGCTTCCGAGTCGCGGTGCTGGAAGCTGTGATCTGAACACGTCAGCTCCTGGTGATTTTGTAGTACAGTAATCTGTGGACCCACCGTACGTGATACCTTTCTCGAGAAGGAGATCGATGCCCTCAGCGCTGGCCTCCCACCATGGTGCCACGCTGCCTTGAGGGGGCTTGCCAAGGAACTGGGTGACCTGGTCGAACGTGTGCTCCAGAATGTCACGCTGCTGCTCAATAGACAGAGCAGTGGGGTTCTCGTGGCTGTAGCCGTGGAGACCACTGACGAGTGAGCTCAGTGCACGAGAGTACGCATTCTCCCATCACCATATGACGTACATTTCATGTCCAGCGTCGCGCACTGCCGCCATCTCATCGGGGAACGTGTCCAGGCTATGTCCCGGCACATACCAGGTTGTCGTGATGCCAAACTTCTTGAACAGCGCGAGCAGACGCGGAATGCCTACTTCGCCTGCCCACATACCTCTGCTCACGTCACCGGGCGAGTCCTCACCACCATAACTGCCCAGCCAACCGGCGACCGCATCGACGTCGACACTAATGCTGATCCTGTCAGCTGCTTGTACGCGAGGACAACAACTGACCATATAAGCGCACGGCCGGGCATCTTGGACTTTGATTGAGTTCAGGTTTGTTGTCAGGTCGGGGGCTGATCGTCGAGGAATGCGTGGGATCAACACGTCAAGGACAAGGAGAGGGGGGGATACATTCATACCCGTGCTCCCAAGAGCACCTTTAGTACCTTTAGTACTTGAGCACCATCAGGTGACAGATCCCGAGGCCAGGTGACCGAAAATGCCCACACGACGATTGTGTCGTGAGAACCACCAGTGTGAGTGCCGGCCGGACTAGTGGGCGGTAACTGACACAAACGCGCGTAACGAAAATCTCGCCCGTAACGAGGCCAGAACCGAAGTCTCCGTTGGCGGATTTCGTGGGCAGACACAAAGTGGGCTTCGTCGCGAGCATCGTTATCAACGCCCTGCTATCTCGTTCTTCGTGCTGGGCTGGCCTGTGGGGCCTGGCAATGTTTCAAAGCGGGTTGGACATCGGAATGTCCGCGGCGCATGCCGACTCACTGAGGCATGATACAGGATCAGGACTAGGCCGATGATCCGTTGAGCGGTCAACACCACTCGATATCGCCGAGATTACTCGCCCCTCTTCAATACCTTCTATCTTCCCCAACAGACCAGCCATGCACTTCAATCTTTGATTCGAACATACTCTCATGTCGCGAGTTTCAATTGGGTGGTTGTATAACGTGAGCGCTCAGCATTGGTCGTTGTGGTTCACCCCAACCTCACGATCTTACTCCAACTGCGGTTGTGCTCAGCGGGGGAGCACACCATCCCTTTGGACACTGTTTGGCATATCTGAGAGCGCCACACATGTTTCTGGTATCTTATGTCAGCTCTAGTCAATTTGGGGCTGCCTGCTTACTCATGTCAGTGGCCAGTGGCCAGTGGGGTGTTGCGATATGGGTCACGGATCGCGGATTGCTTCTGACTTTTGAACCGTGACGTCAGCGGAGTTGGCCGAGCGTGTACCCTCGCGGACACGGATGCTCGATCCGGGGCCGACGACGACTCCATATGGTTGCATCCCCGCTTGCAACAAGCGTGTTCATAAACATTTCTGACGCGTTATCTTGGTCGCCAAACTCACCAAACTCATCAATGACGGTCAGCTCTGCAGTGACAAACGTCCTTGTCATCGGCGGCGGCCCCGCGGGCCTTTCGACCGCCCTGACGCTGGCACGCACGCTCCGCAGCGTCACCATCTACGACTCGGGCGAGTATCGTAACGCTCGCGCATCGCACTCGCACACTATCCCAGGCTTCGATGGAAAGGACGCCGCCGACTGGCGTTCAGCTGCGCGCGCCGATCTGGGCAAGTACCACAACGTTGAGCGGCACCATGGACAGATTGTCAGTCTCGAGAGACTGGCCGGCGGCAGCGTATCGGACCCGACGCCGACACGGTTCCGCGCCACCGACGACGAGGGCAAAGTCATCGAGTGTCGCAAGGTCGTGCTTGCTACGGGCTTGCAGGACGTGCTACCCGATATTCCTGGTGGGTAGCTCGTGTTTTTCCCTTACCCACAGACTAACGTCTACAGGCCTTGCCCAACAGTGGGGCAAGCGCGCGATTCACTGCATCTTCTGCCACGGCACAGAGACCGCACATGGAGCCATGGGTTTCCTCATCACCCCTCAGCAGGCGGCACTGAATCCCATGATCGTCGGCGGAGCGCTGACCATGTGGCCGACCTTGGACCACTCGCGCAAGGTGTTCCTCACGCATGGGCTGGACCCGGACGTCGAGGCGGACCTCAAGACATCTGGTCTGGAGCCTCATTTGAAGATCCTCAAGGCTAGGGGGTAAGTCAGCTTTGCATATACAGATAGACCAAGCTGACCGTGTCCAGTTTTGAGATCATCTCGGACCCTATCGCCCAAGTCGAGGAGCACAAGGACGGCCTGCACTTCACGTTCACGACGGACCGTGAGCCCCTCGTCCTGCCATACCTCATGGTGATGCCCGAGAAATCGCACCCGCCAGCCAGCGTCGCCTCCTTCCTCACCCCGTCCTTCCTGCACGCCCCACTCGACCCGGGTGGTACCGTTCCTCCCGTCCCAGCAGACGCACCACCTGCCCACATGCCCCCTCGCTCTGGTGCCGACCCGCGCACCCCGGCCCGCGGCGTGTTCTGGGCCGGCAACGCCGGCAGCGCGGCGGCCAATGTGTCCATGAGCGTCGGACACGGACAGGTGTGTGGCGTTGTTGTTGCTGGAGAGCTGGGCGGAGAAGACTTGGCCGCTGAGGCGGCGGCTCTGGCCAGCGAGTGATTCTGGTGCCAGTGAACATGCAACAGTGTGCCTTGAAATAAACGAGCAGAGCCCCGCAACGAAATCGGTTGCCTCATACCGTTGTGGCACGTTGGAACACTAATGTCGAAAACCCTGGTGCTTGGCACCGCCAGTCTCCTCCAGATGCTTGCATATTCGATAAGGATAACAGATAGGATGTCACGGCGCGACAGGAGACGAAATAACACTGGTAAGGTCATGCATAGAGCAGCAAGAGGACACATCCATTACGTAATCATATCTGTTCATGATGCCTCCTTTTTTCTTTCTACCATGAAGCGGCTGTAGTGTAGGTGGTTATCACTGTTCGTTGTGGCTGATTAGATCATAACTGAGCCAACCGCTGTTCGACTCAGCGCAGCCGCATGTTTTTGGAGTTCAGCATGACCGAGAGAGTGTGCAGAAATCGCGTGTTCGGCCCGTGGAAGGCACAGAAGGTGTGCGGTGATGTCGACGAGAGGTTGTTGTTGAAACGATCAGCGCGCGATTCGTGTAACGCACTTCTGCACGTCCACACAAACACACTCGTTTTTGGATCTTCACACACTCTCCGTCTTTCTCTCCACCCACCATGTCCGCACCCGCGACAGAGCTGCCCAACGGCAGCACCAACCCGCTCGCCGCCTCCACCTCGGACGTCGTCCACGCACCCCCGCCGCCCGAGATCGAGGCGACCCTTCAGCGTCTCTCGGCCTACCGCAACGTCCGCGGTGTCATGATCCTCGCGCGTAGCTCGGGGCAGGCGGCCAACGCGCCCACCCACCCCGCGAGCGGTATCCTCCAGAGCACCGGCGCCGTATTCGAGGGCGAGAGTGGTCGTCGTTATGCCGGCGCGCTCGAAGCCGTTGTCAACGCTACGGCCGGAGCTGTCAGCGCGTGCGATGAAGGTGTGAGTGTCAAAGGGTGACGGAGGGTGTGACGTATGCTGATGCTGCCTCTCTTCTCCTTGGTGCTGCTCGACCCCACGCTTCCTCTGTCGTCCTCTCTCTCTCTCTTTCCGATGCCTCCTGCCATGACTTTACTTCCCTCGCATCGCAGGACGAGCTCCGTCTGATGAGGATACGCACCAAGCGTCACGAGCTCATCATTACACCTGGTGGGTTACCCAGTTGAGACAGCCGTGCTAACAACCAGATGAGCGCTACCTCCTTGTTGTCCTCCAGGACCCGCAATAGATGCCATACGGCCCTCTCCTCTTACCACCCACGGCAGGCATGTGTCATACCTCTTCAAGGCTGCCCGGCTTGCCTGTTTAATACGGCTCGGGTGCCGTGTCTGTTGCCAGCAGTGCCGGCCTCATGTCGCGCTGGCGTCCGCCGCACGGTGTCCCTAGCGAATACTCTCCTCATTGTCCATACCCCCCTCGAAACCCTTTCACCTGTTGTTATGCATGAACCCGGCACCACATGTGCTGCCGCACGCACATATGAGTTTGCATGGGCCACTTGCTGCCAGTGACATCCGTATCGCATGTGCATGGGAGGAAGGGAGTGAGCCGTTGTGCCAGCTCCCGAACTGGGGCCGATTCCGCCTGGGGGTGGTGTGTGAGTGGGGTGGATGGCTCACACACAGAGGCGGGCCTGCACGTCGACACCTTGAATCTCTCCAACATTCATCCCACTTGCTCCTTCACAACCGACACCTCTCCCGTCACCCATCCCCGCACACCCATATCCTTTCCCTCCCTCATGGCTCTATACACGTGCTGAGTTCGACGCATACATATCCATCCCTGGCGGCCTGCGCTCCCGCTTATCGCCAGCGACTTCGACCCCACCCCTCCCCTCCCCCACCCCCCACCCTTCTCCAATATCTTGTCCGCGCCGTCCCTCCAAGCGCACCCTCCAAGCGCACCCTCCAAGCGCACCCCGGACCCATACCGACAGCGTACTGCACGTAGCTCACAGACACGGTTCTGTAGCTCAGTACCCTTCCACCACGCCTCGCACCCACGATGGCCCCCTCAATCTCGACGGGGACGACGCACTATGCCCTCGTCGTCGATGCCGGCTCGTCGGGCTCGCGCCTGCAGATCTACAGCTGGCGCGACCCAGGCCTTGAGCGAGCTGAGATCCTCACCGAGGTCCGCGAAGCTCGCGCTGCGGGTCTCGCGGACGGGTCTGGGCGCGCAGAGAGCTCGAACTCGTGGTGGTGGTGGGACAGCCTGAAAGGCAAGGGCAAGGCCTCGGTGGAAGAGATGGAGCTCCGAGCACTTCGCCGCCTCGCGCGTGTAGGCAAAGGTGTGGAAGGAGACGACTGGGTCAAGCGCGTTGAGCCAGGTGAGTGTCCTGAGGAGAGGCAAGCACCAGCTGGGCACGACCTGCCGCTGAGGTGTCAGCTGGAAGGCAGCAGTGGGTTTGACCATTCACTGACAACTTGCAGGAATATCAACAATCTCGCCAGAAGATATCCCAGGCTACCTTGCGCCATTAATGGCACATGCGCTGGAACATATACCGCCATCACAGCACAAGACCACGCCGATCTACGTGCTTGCTACGGCAGGCATGCGACTGTTGTCGGATGACGCCAAGGCGGCCGTCTTGGGAGCGACATGCGAGACCCTCCGGCGCGACTATCCATTCACCCTCGACGAGGCCGGCCCCGCTGGACCATGTGGCGACAGCGTGCGCATCATTTCGGGCGAGGAGGAAGGTATATGGGGCTGGGTTGCTGTCAACTACCTCATGGACGGCTTTGGACACGCTCCGGAACTGCAACACAAGGACGGCCAGTCTGACCACGACCACCTCCTTCCCTTGGCGTCTATCGCCCGTCCAGCGCACCCAGGCAAGAACGACGGCCTCACTCCTGTTGACATTAACCACCACTCGCCGACGTTTGGCTTCCTCGACATGGGCGGCGCGAGCACGCAGCTCGCGTTCAGCCCGTCGCCAGAGGAACTGGCGCACTCACGATACCCCGCCGCAGACCTTGGCAGCGTGAGCCTCCGCCTTCTTTCAGGCGAGGTGGTCCAATGGCCCGTGTTTGCTGCGAGCTGGCTTGGGTTTGGCACCAACCGAGTGCGCGAGAGCTACATCGAGGCAGCGGTCAAGGAGTGGACATTGAGCCGCGACCCAGACGTCGACGCGGCCGAAGACCGCATCGTCGACGCCTGTCTCCCCGTCGGTCTCGTCCTCCCATCACCGGACCCGTCCAAGCACCCCGACTTTATCGGTGCGGGTAACTTTGCCCAGTGCCTGCGCGCCCTCAAGCCGCTCCTCGCAACCGACGCTCAGTGCCCGGCCCAGCACTGTCTCTTTGGCGGCATCCCCACACCGCACATTGACTTTGCGCGCAAGGACCAGCGTGGATTCATCGGCATCTCCGAGTACTGGTACACTGCTCAACAGGTGCTGGGTCTCGGCGGCGTGTGGGACTGGGCTGAATGGGAGCGTGGCATGAACGAGTTCTGCGCGCAAGACTGGACGCAGCTCGAGGCCAAGTTCAAGGCGGGCGAAGGCTGGCATGGCACAGAGGTGGGTTTGAGATCGTCTATGCAGCACCGCTGACCCACCAGGTGGAAGTCTCCCGACTGCAGATGCAGTGCTTCAAGGGCGCCTGGATCTCCAATGTTTTGCACGAGGGCATCGGTATCCCGCGCCTGGGCGACGCTGGCGGAAACGACACGCTCACGGGCGGCAAAAAGGGCGAGACCAATGCCGAGGCCGAGCAGCGTGCTCGCGAAAAGGGCCTGTATGACAAGCCCCACTTCCAGTCCATGGACGAGGTGGGCGAGACGGCCATCTCATGGACGCTCGGCAAGGTCGTCATTGAGGCGAGCAAGGCCGTGGGCGCCGTGCCCCAGCGGGCATGGCGGCCGTCCATGGCCATGGCCGACCTCGACCGCGCCATGTGGGGCTACGTGCTGGTCGCTGCCGCTGTCCTGATGCTTCTTGCAGCTGCGCTGCGCAGGCGCGGCGTCCGCTCCGGCCGGAAACGCAAGCCAGGCCGCTCGGCCACCATCCTCGGTATCCCCATCCCGTTCACGGGCGAGCCGGACGCGTACGCGTTCGAGGAGAGCGGCGAGCGTTTGGGCGACTTGTACGGCGGCCGCAGGCAACCGGCTGCAGCGTCGCGCCTGCGCCTGTGGAGCCGGCGCGTGACCCAGGCGCTGCGCCGGAACGTCTCCTTTGGCGGGCTCGACCTGCCCCGCCGGCAACGACACGCCAGCATGCCCCTCTCGGCCAACGGCTACTCCCCCACGCAGGGCTGGCAAAGCCAGCCGTCGTCGCCCCGCGGCGGCGGCGAGACGTCTGGTTTCTCCACCTCGGCATACTCTACGCCCGTGTACAGCGCGTCGGCGCGCAACTTTAGCATGATGGACATTGGCCAGCACTCGCCCGCGCCCGGCTCCCCGCCGCGCCGCGCGCCTCGACCACGCACCAACTCGGCCCAGAACAGCCCCTTCCTCGGCCCACAGCACGGCGCGGGCGGCGCCGGCGGAGCGGGATGGAACGACCCGCCCATGAGCATGTTTGGCAGCCTGGCCACGGCGTCTGCAGCCGCCACGGCTACGGCGTCGAACGCGACCGCCACGACCACGGCCACTGCCAACTCGAGCGTGAACACCACCCCCGTATTGCCGTCCGCCCGCGACTCGTCCGGCGACGACGAGTGGCCCCGCCCCACGCCCGAGCGCAGCGCGACCCTCGGCCCCAACTGGACCGTCCCGGCCGGCACCGGCAGCGGCGTGCTCACCCCCTCGGCGGGACCGGGCGGGGACCATGTCCTGTCGCGCAACTCGTCGCGCGTCAACCTGAGCGATATTGGCTTGGCACAGCGCAGTCGCGCCAACACGCCGCATCTCGGCCACTCGGAGAAGATGTCCATGTGATGAGCGGGGAGGGACCCGTGGTGGTGGTGGCGGCGGCGCCCCGGAGAACACTGATAGGGACACTATGTACACACAAAAGGTGGTAATTATTAGGCATAGCGACAGACACAATACACACCTGCATGCATCGGTCATTCAGAATTGTTCACTATATCAACGGGATACGTAAGGAGAGAGAGAGAGAGAGTCCAAGATAGAGCGAAAGATCGTGAGTTTAGACGGAAGGAAAAACAAGATACTACAAAAATAGAATCACTAAAAACAAAACGCACGTGCAGCTAAAACGCTACTGCGTGACGCGCTTTTGCGGCGAACGGATGATGAGCTGGCCCATCTTCTTCTTGAGCAGCAGGCGCTTGACTTCTTCCCAGATATGTTCGCGGAGCTTGCCGCGGTCGTGCTCGTGGTCTGGGTGGATGCCCAGTAACAAGTTGCGCCCAATGACGGTCGCGCGCAGCGACACGTCCTCTGCAAACTCTTTGGGCAGGATGGACGGTTTGAGGACCTGGGCCATCTCGTTGGGGTCGGGAATGTTGCGTTCGGGCCACGCGCGCTTGATGGGGTGCCACCACATGAACGTGCCTGTGGGTGTGTGTCAGTTGACTGGGGGAGGATATTTCAACGGGTACCCACGGCCATCAATGTTGGGGCGCTCGGGCATGCCTGCGTGAGTGACAATGTAGGACGTGCACCGGTGGGTGGTGAGGTCGTAGCGGTTCGCGAGCCACGCGCCCTTCTGCGTGGGTCAGCTCTGACACCGCGCAACAGTACCCACCTGAATCCCATGCTGGGCGACGGAAATGATCACGCGCGGCGGCTGGGTGAATCCGAACGACTTCCACAGCTCCATGAGCATAAGCTTGGCGTCATCGTACAGCATCTGGCGTGTCAGCTTTGTCCCCTTCGAACAGGAGAGAATGAGCTCACGGCGTGGACGGCGACGTTGATAGCCTCGGCAATGTTGGGCGGGACGAAGAGCTTGTCGCACGCCAGGGGCGGCGTCTTGGTCATGCGCACTTGGAGGTTACGCTTGAACGTGACCATCATGAACACGGTGAGCGGGAAGGCTTCGAGCTGGGGCATGGGTCAGAATCTTCCGTCTCGGTGTGAAAGTTACCCACCTGCTTCCCGAGTGAAATGTTCAGCAGCGTGTTCTGGAACAGCTCCTCGTCCCACACCAGTGCCCACGAGTACAAGCGCTGCGCCACGAGGTCCCAGGGGGGCACATAGTCGGCCGTGTTGACGCTGCCGCTGTACGACGAGTGCCGGTGGTGCTCGGCAGTGATGGTCGGCTGCGTCTGGGACAAGGACTGCGAGTTGGTCATGTTGTCGTACTTGTCCAGCTGGTACATGAGGGACGGGTCCGATTCGCCGAGCACATCGTTGGGCGTGATGTACTCGTGCCCGTTGTCCTCCTCCTCGTAACCCTGAGTGCTGACCGAGTGGCGCAGTGCGGACGTGGGACGCGGCTGGTACTGGTTCTGGCTTTGGGTCTGGTTCTGTGAGTATACCGAGTCCGGGAGAGGGGGCAAGTCGCGGTTAAGGTCGGGAGGTGCCGCCGACTCGAACGAGGCATTGTTGCTGACATGCCAGTGGTTCAGCGAGTCGGGGGGCGACGGCGACGCGTCCTGAGTGGCGGCTTGTGCGGGCTGCCACTGCGTTGATGGGGTGTGCTGCGACCGTACGTGCGTAGTAGGGGAGAGCACGTCGATGCGTGGCCCCCAGTTCTCGCCACTGTTCGCAGACCGCGTGGGGCGGTTCACCCACGCGTCGTGGGTCGTGGCAGGCTGCATCGGCGTCATCTCACCCGTAGCGCTTCGCTGACGCTCGTCACTGCGTAGTGTGTGGATCGACCCCTCGGTCACATCGCCGTAAGGGTGGCGGAGAGTGCTTGTCTCCGTCTGCGGGTCCGGGTTGTTGAGAATCAGCTTGAAGCGCCCATCGAGCTGGAGGCCAGTGTAGCTCTGGATCGCGCCGGGGATGTACGTTCCCGTGGGGTTGGGGCCGGCCTGGAGGTCCTCGCCAAAGTCGGTGGGGACCGAGCTGTCGAGCATGCGGCTCATGGACTGTGCGGCCTCGCTCGGCGTCAGTGGCGCCTGTGAAGGCGACCCTCGAGTCTGCGTGGTCGCTGGGACGTCTCGTGACGCATAGGCTTGCGAGTTACTACCCGGCAAAGTGGGGTTGAAACCGCTTTGAAGGGGCTGGGTTGAGGCTGTCTGTGCTGGCTGGGCGTATTGCGGTTGAGGAGCGTACATCGGCTGGCTGTTGTAATACAGTGGCACCTGGGCAGAGTTGGGCACGTCGGGTGAGTAGTTGTACACCGGCGCGGAGGGCGCTCCCATGGGGACCGAGGGCATCGCCGGCATACCCATCGCGGGGGCGTAGGCGCCCGGATTGCTGAACATGGCATTGAGGCCCGGGATACCTGGCAGCGGTGGCAGTTGGACGCCGGGTGCGACCGGGTCGACGGGGGTACGGGGCAGGGGCTCAAAGAGGTGGTCCTCGATCCGATCGAGCATCTCGTCCGTCAGGTGGTTGACGCGCCCCGTCCGCTCGACGTCGAGCAGTTCCCGCAGGTCGCCACTGGTGGCAATCTTGTCCTTGGGAATGAGGTGCGAGAGCAGGCGGGTGAGCTCGACGATAGCTTTGCCTGTGTGCGAGTCCAGGTCGTCGCCCGTGTCCTCGTCACCATCCTCGCCCACAACCACATGCGGTGGTTGGGGTTGGGGCACAGACCGCTCCGTACGGCGTGGCTGGATCTCGAGGTCCTTGGGCTTGGAGTGTTTGCCGCTGACCTTGCGGCCCGAGCCATGACGGTCAGACACCTTGCGCGTGGCCCTGCGCTCACCCGATTGAGGGTCCGAGCGGTCGGACACGCGTCGCTGGCCGTCCCTCTTCTGCCGGCGCTTCTTGTCAATGACAAGCGGGGCGGTGTGAGGGCCAATGGGCAGGCCCTTGCCTTGCATGTCACGCAGCTCGATAATGCGAGCACGCGCGGCGCGGATAAGCGCCTTTTTGGCCTCCTCCCCGATGAGGTTGAGCTTGGCCGCGTCGAGATACTGGCACAGGCGCTCATCGTGGAAGTGGCTCGTGGCGAGCATGTTGTCCACTTGGATAGCGGTCTGGCCGGCCTGCGAGACAACGGAGCCACGGTCACCGGGAACCGCGCCCGACATCTGGTGCAGTGCAGGGTCGTGGATCAAGTCGGCGGGGAAGCCCGTCTGGTTCATAAACTGCGAGTAGTGCTGTGGGGGAGAGAAGGCGCGGACTGTCGCTTCGTCAGTCGCGTCCGAGCGCGCATACGTCGTTGTTTGGGCTTGGGTAGACGCGTACTTGTCAAAGTAGGCTGCCGATTGCTGCTCGGCAACGTCCTGAGCCCACTCCTCCGGAGACGCCCTGTACGTCGAGGCCGATGAGCGCGAGCGCTCGTCGTCACCGAGGGAAGTGTCGTTGGCGGCGGGGTTGGCGAGGGACTCGGTGCCCGGCCCGGTGGTGGCGACCCTCTCACCGCTGTCTTGCCGGGTGGCATTCAGGCGCGGTAATTGGGGAGGCGGAGACAGCGCGTTGGTGCCCTGCTGGGTGCCCGACCGCGAGAGGAGGGTAGACGGTTGTTGCGCAACCGCGGGCACAACAGTGGACGACGTGGGAGCAAGTGGGGTAGCGGCACGCGGAGTAACAGCACGCGCCTGAGCGAGGGCTTGCGAAAGTGCCGGCAAGGGCTGGCCCATCTTGATTGTGCCGTCCTGAGTGACAAAGAAGGTGTCGCCGGCAGCCGTGAGCAGGTCGACGAGGCTCGGTTCAGGTTGCTTTTGGAACGGAAGTGGCGGAAGACCCGGTGACCGCCCTGGTGTCTCGTCGCGCTGTTGTCGTGGTAAGCTGAGAAACAGTCTCATCACAAAAGTTCACTCACGTCGGTCTCTGTCGACACATGGGCACTCAAACCAGGACCCGCCCGTTCAGAGGGCTGCCTGTTGTCCGAATACATGCTCTGCTTGGTGTGCTCTGATCGCTCGCTAATGTTGGGAAGTGGCGAGGCGTTGCCACGGTCGTTGGGCATGTTGGCGCTGGACATGCGGCGCGGGAACATGCGCGGAGCCGTTGCGCCTGGTGGCACGCCAATGCCAATGTTGCCGTTCTTGGGCAGAGGGTTGACCTGGAGGTTGATGGGGAGGGGCTCGCCGTTGGCATGGAGGATGTGACCAAACGACGCCGTCGACTGCGTCTGGATAGTCTCCATCGTCTGGCGGGATCCCTTGGCGGTGTTGGCTGCCGTCTTGTTCTGGGTGGACGAGCCATTGATACCTTCGGTCGACGTCGAGTTGTGCTTGGGGTTCAACTCGACAATGGCCGCTTCGCGATGGGACGTCTTTGCCTCGAGCTTGGCCAGCGCCTCGGCCCGCGCAGACTCCATGCGGACCATCGTGGTCGGTGACAAGACGCCGTCGACGCTCTCCTTGGTGCGCGTCGTGGTTGACGACGTCCGCCCCTTCTTCTTCTCCTTCTTGCGCGACCGCCGGCTCTCCTTGTCCAGCCTAGAACTCGCGACATCGGTGCCCGTAGCCGCCTGCGTCACATCAGTTAGGTGGTCATGACCATTTGAAGTCGCGGCACTCACCTTGGGTGCAGGACCATCCAGGCGCGGACTCATCAGTTCTGGAATCTCCATCTCGGCGCCGTCCCCAAAGAAGCTCTTCAGTCCCGCCTGACCGTTGATATGGTCGCTAAGCTGCCCGTCGGCGCCGTCCAGGTACGAGTGTGCGCGCTGCTTGGCGGCAAACGGGTGCTTGGGCATCGGCAGTTCGCTGATGACGGGTTTTCGTCCGTCCGACTTCTTCTTTTCCAGCTTCCAGTGATAGTCCTCCATCGTGATCGGGGGTCGCCTGGGTGGGGTCTTCTCAATGAATGAGCCTGAGAGAGGGGGGCAAGAGTCAGTCGCTGATGGGACATCTTCATCAAAAGGTAGCTCACCTGGCGGCTTGTACGGCCCGACAAGACCTTCTGGGATGATAAACTCTGCTTGGCTCGTTTCTGCTGCCCATCTCTTGGCTGTTCGGGGTCAGTACGGGGGTGGATGCAGGAACGCACCGTCTCTGCAGACGTCAGTGTATGTTCTCATGGGACAGTGGGTGATGGGCGATCAACCATCAAACGGGGCCAGTGATGGGACACCACTGGCTGATGGCGAGCCCCAAACAACACACACGCAGACACAAACTCACAGTTTCTTGCTCTTGTTCTCGATGGCTAGCACCCTGTCGAGTTCATCTTCATTCGAGAGGTCTGCGCGGTCCCGAACACCTATCAAGCGGGCTAGGAGGGCAGTATCAGCGTCTGATCCCTGGGTGGCGACGGATGCAAGCAGGGTGGGTCCGGGGTTGTCCATTGGGAGAGTATCCATCCACCGCGCGGCGGCAGTAGACGACTTGATGGATGGAGAGAGATAGAGAGAGAAGGGAAGAACAAGGTGGGCAGAGACAACTTACCAGTGGCTTGGTCGAGCTTGGGAGGAGTGGGCTCGCGAACGACAGGTGCGGGTGGTGCGGGTGCTTCTGCAGCAAAGAGGTGCGCCAGTGGCGCTGCCGCAATCGCAGGCGTCTCAAATGCCGAGGCGAGGACGGCGTTGTTGTAGTAGTCGGGAGGCATCATGGCGGTATGTACTTGGAAGGACTGAACGCGTTGGGAAGAAGGAGCTGGTCGTTCCGGGCCCCGCGAGGATGGTTCCATCCCATGCAGTCCGAGTCCGAGCGACGAGGCCGGGCGCGGGCGATCATGCGGCCGTCGTTGGTGGGACGACAACGACGACGTCGATCGCTCGTCGCCCTTGCTGTCGGCGGTCGGAGTCCAAAAGAGGTTCTTGACCAACGCGCCGATCGGCGTACGTCTCTGCGGCTGCGACTGCTGCGGGCGCACAGTGGTAAAGTGGTTGGGGTCGTAGCTGCCCTCAGCGGCGACGGCAGCCGACATGTTGTGCGCCGCGGCAGAGTTTCTCCAGCGGTTGCCGGAGAGTGGGGAGGAAGAACGGCTGCCAGAGGCCTCTTGGAGGTTGAGGAAGCTGGATGATGTGTGGAGTGTGCGTTGTCGGTGCGTGTCTGCCCAGTAGGTGTCTGGTGTATGGTTGTTGACGGCACCGGATGGATGTGATGAGGTGTTCATGTGAGACGATGGCGACGGACGGGATCAGGCAGCGACAGCGATCCGGTTACGCTGGCAGCGATGACGGGCAGAGACGGGCAAGCTCTCCTGCTTGCTGCTGCTGCTGCTGCTGCTGTTGGCTGCTGGACACACACGCCTTTCCGATCAGCCATTGCCGCCATGCGCAGCCAGGCCCCCTTGGAACTCACCGTTATGTCCAAGGAACCGAAGGATGTGAGACGGGGAGAGAAGCAGCACAAAGGTCGCGCGAGAGAGAAGGAGGAGTGACTGGCTGGCTGGCTGGCTGGCGGCGTATGGAATGTGAGAGAGTAAAGGGAGGTACGAGATGAGATTGTGAGGACATGAGGATATTGGGGAGAGGAAAAAAGAGTCCACGCTAGACGGTGGGGGGAGGGGCGGGGGGGGGGGGGGAGTGCAACCTGCGACGAGCAGAGCGGTCTGTGCGTCATTGTCGCCGGCGCCGTCGTCGTCGCCGTCCGCCTCCTCTGCGCTGCCGGCGCTAACAGACACAAATAATAGACCGCGCGGCGCTGGGGTTACACGACGCGCGACATTTGTTGCGTCTTCCTTTGCCCTTCCTTTGCCCTTTGCCTTCCCTCGCCGCCTTCCCTCTGCCCCGGCTGGCCCCCTGCATACGCCATGCGCCATGCCGCGGGTGACCGGTGATTTTCCCTTGTTCTCTGTCCGTTTTCCATCTGCAAAGGTGGTTCAGACGCAGAACAGCAGAGCAGCACAAAGGGAAAACATCACACACACACACTAAAACGAGTGGGTCCGAGCGTCCATTCCAGGTCCGTGGCGCCGCCACATGTGCCCACAGACCGCCAGACCCACTCTGTGGCTCACCGTGTGGTGCGCGTTCGATCCCCCCGCGCCCCGCGGCGCCGACGCCAGTGGCGCCCCGGGCGCGACGGCCGTTACCCTGTGCGTGTTCCTCGCTGTTCTCGGTGTCCCACAGCCGCACCGTTGGCCCGTCGACCCGTCTCCGCTCCGGCCACCGCAGAGGGGGGGGCCAGGTTGCCCACGGTCGACCACATAGTGGGACCTCCTGTTGTGTCGATTATATCTTGCTGGCCGCATGATGACCTCCGCTCCCGCCAAGACAGTCGTGCATGCACGACTGTCCAGCTCAAAAAAGCACACTGGCATAGCAAAAACTCTACATCCCAGCCCCGGTCCCAACTCCTCCTGACACCATGGGGCTTGAGACAAATGACAAGACAAACAAAGCAAAACAGCGTCCCTCCTCTCCCTCCTCTCCCTCGTCGCTCAATCCCGGCACATTACTCATGGAGCCACAACAACACCCTCCTCCGCCTGCCACTCACGTCTCGCTCGCCGCTTACACACTCCCGCGCTTGGCGGCCAGCACTGGCGCTGGCGCCGGCGCCGGCGACGTGGCCTCGACCTCCTCGTCCACCGCCGCAAGCAGGAAATCGGGATGGGGGTCCTTGCGCAAGTGCGCCGGGACGGTCGGGAGCGGACTGACGTCCAGAGCAGGCGACGTGCCGCCCACCGTCGACCGGCGGATACGCGGGCTCACGGTCGCACCCGCACCCGCACCCGCGCCAGCGTTGATGTCGGGACGCGCACCGGACACGGTGGCGCGGCGCGGCCGCTTGACTGTCTCGGGCACTTTTTCGTCCACGCCCAGCGCCTTGCGCAGCTTGGCCTCGACGGCGACGGTCTTCTTGGTCCGCACGCCGCCCTGCCAGATCAGCACGGCGGCGGCGATACCGCACAGGAACGAGCAGGGGATGAGGGTTCCCGTCGTCCACGCCGGACGCTGGTGGCGGTCTGCGTGGGGTGTCAGCTAGATGTAGTGCGGTTGGGCATTTTCGCGGCGGTACTGGGTACTCACTCATGCCCCACATGCAGCCGCAGAGGATACACTGGAAGAACGAGTTGCCGTCCATCAGAATCGTGTTCCACAGCGCCAGCGTGATGGGGAACGCGCGGTGCGTGGCCGTCGCGTGCGGGCGGTACCATGTCTGGCTCTGGGCAAACTTCTCCTGTTGGTACTGGAGCTGCTTCTCCTCCTTGTCGGTGAGCACGCGCTCGTAACCGGGGACGAGGCGCGGGTCGGGCATGTCGTCCTCGTCCTCGATGGGCGGGAGACCGCGCTGCTTCCTCCGGCGGCGGATACGCATCTTGAGTGTGTGGATGATACTCATGCGGTATGTGTCCACTACGCGCCACGGGATGAGTCCCACACCAGTGACCGTGAAGAGACCGTTGGTCACCTGCGAACTGATCTCGACCCAGATATCCTGCGTGTTCTTCGAGTTGGTCGGGATCCAACCAAGAAGGAAGAGCACAATGGCCGCGCCCCAGAACGCGACGAGGAAGCCGTAAATCGCAGTGATCGCGCCCATGGGGGTCTTGAGGTATGCCCACAGACCACGTAGCGCACGCCGGGCTTTTTGCTTGCGCTCAAGCACGTGCTTGACGTGTCGGTCCAGGTCGTGCTCTTTGCTGACCTCGTCGGCTTCCTCAGACAGCTCTTCGTCGAGCTTGTTGAGCGCCATCATCTCGTTCAGCTCCATCTCGCCCGGCGCCGACTCGGCGCTCCCCCGCCGCACTCGCTCGGGCGTGGGCACGGAAACAGTGGTGGTGGGCAGGAGGTCTTGCTGCTGTGCAGATGCCTTGCGTCCGTACAACGGGATCCACGAGGTCATGGTCGACGCGCGTCCCCGGCCAGCGTGGGGTGAAGCAGGCGATTGGCTACCATCTGCAGCCAATTCACTACGAGGGGTCAGAGACAATAGCGATGGGCCACACATGAAGTGACTCACGGAAGGGCTTGGTATGACGCCTCATGCTGGATCGTAATGTTAGGCCTGCGAGTCCAGAACATGGGAATGTTGGGCACCATGATACCGTTTGTGATGTTCTGCAAGTGGTTCACTGCGGATGGGGTCAGAAAATGCCTCCAGGGGTACCAAACATGAACATGATGGGTTGCAAGTGACGTACTGGTTCCGACCTCGGGATCTACACAGTCCAGCAAACCGACCATGTCGTCGTTGAGGTGGCCCTGGTGGTCGGCGACGTCTGTGTCGTGCGCCTCGGGCACGGTGACGATGATGCTGTTACGGGGCGACGAGAACTCCGAGTCGAGCCCCCCATGTTGCGCCTCGACGTCGTGAGTAGAACTCCTCGGAGGCACCGATAGTTTTGCCCCGGTGTGGTGGAGTCGCGATGGCATGGTGACCGAGACAGTGTGGGCACGACTACGACGCGGAGAGGTGCCGCTGCCATTTGGCGACGTGTTAAGAAAGGCAGAGGCTGCAAAGCTGGTCGCTAGTGGGGTCTGTGGAGGCGTCTTTACACCGCTTGGTGTACTGCCTCTGCCAGTTTGCAGGGTGGTGGGGCCCTGGGCGGTGTCGATCCCTTCCGGGAGCGTGGGGAGGTGCTCCGCACCCACTCCCACTCGTTCAGGTGTCTCCTCCCTAGCCATCGGTGGTGCGACTTGGATGGCCTCGTAGGACAGGCAGCGGCTCGACATGCCTGGCCGGGAACGCGACCCGGATCGCGGCCTGGTTCTGTTTGGTGAAATGGGCGACAGGGCCGCCGACAGTGGTGCGATGCCCGTTGTTGTGTCTTGGGAGGACCCCGATGCCGAAGGAGTGGAGGGCCCAGCGGCGGCGCCGGTGCCCTCCCCGTCTCCAAACTGTGTGTCAATGGCGAGTGGTGTCGACATTTATGTGGACATGTGGTAGACAGGAGCGAGACGGTCGGAGCAAGAGAGAGAGAGAGAGACAAGGGAATGTCCCCACAGTGGTGTTGGGTGTAGGTTGTTGCTGCGGGTGCGATTGCCGTCGACTTGCCATGTACGGCGACGATCGAGAGGCCTGGCCGTCTGGACCGTTCCGCGTACTTATTTGCGTCGTGTTCCCCCCACTTAACCATTCAATGGGATCAATGGCAGCCGACGGCGGCCGCCGGAAAAGGGTTTCGTTAAGATCTCGGTAGATGCGATGGCTGGGGATACGTCCCCCGATGACGATGGGTCGGGGGTGCGGGGATGCCGAAGCAGAACAAGTGGTGTGTAATGTTGGTGTGGTGAGATGATGAGATGGAGGCTGCGAGAGAGATGATCCCCCCGGCGAGAGGGACGGCGAGGGCCCGACGGCAACAGGCGGCGGGCGCGGCGGGGAAGACTTGGCACACCCAGGGCCCATTAGGATAGACCATTACAAATACATGTTCTAAACAGGCCTAATGTCCATTTGAGATGTATTTCGCAGGGAGGGTGGAGGTCGGCGCTACTTGTTCGCCGCCCAACACCAACTTTGGTTCATCATCAATCCATCCTTCTCCACTCTTCGACGTTCTGACAAGTCACCATGGTGAGTAGCTTCGCGTTCCAGGAAACTGTTCTAGGTAAAGCTAACACTCTCAGTCGAAGCATCACACCGGTACGCACCCTGCAATCCTCGGAAACATCACCTGCCCGGTTCAAGTGCTGACAAAACAGACCTCTTGATGTGTCGTCGCCAGCCTGGCGTGGGTGAGTATTGCCAGTGGGGAGCTGGTCGGTCCTAGCGAAACTAGCTCCCTGTTCACAACAGGTCATTGCTAACATTGCAGCTATCGGCCGCTTGTGCGAGAAGTGTGACGGCAAGTGGTGAGTGCAGCTAATCCTGTTTGGGACATGAAAGCTGACCTTCAGCCCCGTGTGCGACTCGTATGTGCGCCCCATGACCCTCGTCCACATCTGCGAGGAGTGTTCTTGTGAGTAGATCTGGTGTCGAGGAGAATGAGACATATCCTAACCAGACCAGTCGGTAACGGTGCGAACCGCTGCATCGTCTGCGCGTCCACAGGTGAGTTGTTGCTTGTGGCTCAACAGCTAACATCCAGCCGTGTCGGACGCCTACTACTGCACAGAATGTGAGTTAATAAAGCTTGAGGCGGGAAGTTCGTACGCTAACTTCTACAGGTACGCGGTTAGAGAAGGACCGCGATGGCTGCCCCAGAGTGATCAACGTGAGTAGCGTCGTTGGGCCGCCGACCACGAGCACGGACAACACGCTAACGCCTGTGCAGTTGGGAGCATCGCGCGTAGACGCATTCTACGAACGAAAGAAACTCAAGTGGGTGTTTTCCCGCTGAAGTGTTTGCGATTGCGGCGCTAACCCATCTCAGTCAGCAAGGAGGAGGAGGGTTCAAGAAAGGATAGACTCGAGACGATGCATTTTCACTGTACAAGTTTCGTTTGCTGAGCAAGCAGCCCGCGCCGTGAAGGAAACAGTGATCTCGCAGCAATCCACGGCTGGTCTGGGACGGTATGCCTCAGCGGTATCCCTGGACATGCATTGGCTGACCACTGGACATCATAACTGACTCAGCAACGGATGGGGCATGGCTGGTGGTTGCCTCAACCGCTGCCACGCACCACCCCTCACGTTCCTTCAACCCGGTCTCACTGTCCCACTATCATCCAGAGTCATCCATCCGCACCTGCCGCAGATTCATGCACGGGTTCCTCGCAACGACACTGACAACCAGTGTCCTATCTCATGCCATCGACAGCCTCAGTTTTCCAGGCTGGACAGACAAGGGTACAACATTCTACTTCCTACAACACGCCTTACCCGCCAAGTACACAGCGACCGGGGTGAACGGCACACCACTCTGGCTGGAGGGGCTCGGCACGCACGCCCTTCTCGACAAGGCGGTACCGCATGTCGTGCATGCGCGGGAGGGCGTCTACCGCCGAACGGGGAAACGTGCCGTCGGCGTTGCCGCCCGACCACCACAGCTCGGCGACGGCCGCCGCGCGCGGCCACATGACCGTCTCAAAGTTGGTCTCGTCCGTCTGCTCGCACCACAGCGACGCCTGGCCGCCGAGAACGAGTGGGCGCTGCACGGCCGTGACGTTGGTGTACGGGTTGAACGAGTACATGCGCGTCCAGGCCTTGAAGGGGTCGCACCACGAGTTGGAGCCGACGTTCTCGGTGATCCACCCGCCTTGGCCGCAGTCCTGGTTTGTCAGCGCCGGAGGAAAGGCAAAGGGAAGAGAGAGGGTTGTACAGCTTTGGTAGAGATCAAGGTCGCTGTCGACTGGGGTCAACTCACGAGGTAGAAGTAGTCTGACGATGCGTGGACCAGCCTGAATCCCTTGTCGAGGACGGCCCCGACGTCCGCAGACGAGATCCACACGTCCACGATCGTGTTCTTGTCCAGTTCCAGGTCACCGTGGGCGAGCACCATCTCCTGCCAGACCATGGGCGTGCGCTTGGCCGAGAGGAGCGTACCGTGCGTCTCGGCGGTAAAGTTCTTGAGGGCGTCGTTGAGTGTCCACCCGTTGGCCTTGAGGACACGCTGTGTCGGCTGGTCGGCGTCCATGCACTGCTCATTCAACTCGTCGCCGCCAGTGCCAAAGTATGCGCTCTTGGTGAGCTTGATCGCCGCAGAGAAGATACGCGACGTGAACGCCGTCACGGCCGGGTCGGCGAAACGCAGCTGGCCGGCGGGCGGCTCGTTGGCCCACCCCGTCCATGGTTTATGCGTGTTACACGCAATCATGTCCGGGTGCGAGTTGCCAATGACGGTCGTGTGTCCGGGCGTGTCAATCTCCATGACCACGTCGATGCCGCGTTCCCCCGCAAACTGGATGATCTCGGCCACGTCCTGCTCGCTATACGTCTTGCGCGGCGTGTAGGCGCCCTTGGCAGCCAGCTCGGGCAGCTCGTTTAGCGCCAGCGGCCACGACTGCGAGTCGGTAATGTGCCAGTGGAAGACGTTGAGCTTGACGGCACTCATCGTGTCCAGGAGCTTGAACAGACTCTGTTTGGCGAAGAAGTGGCGACTGGTGTCGAGCAAGATTGAGCGCCAGTGGAAAGCCGGCGCGTCGTCGATGTGATACGGCGTAAAGGGAAGGTACGCCGTGTCGCCACCCTCAGCGACGCCGGGGGAGCTTGGAAGCGAAAAGTCAATCTTGAAGACGAGGTTCTCAAACGTCGTGATAGCACGGAAGAGGCCCAGGGCGGTGGATGCCGTGGCAGTCGCGGCACCGCTCGTGGGGATGGTAAGGGTGTAGTCCTCCAGCCCCTTGCGCTCCTCGACGGGCTTGATGGCAAGGTCGAAGATGGACAGGCTGTGGTCGGACGAGAGCGAGAGGCGCAGCTCGGTGACCTCGCTCTCGCACTTGAGACTGGGGAAGAACTCGGTTCCGCTGGTAGTGGTGAGGTACGTGTGCTGGCTCTTCTTGATCCTCTCGAGGACGCGGTCCGACGCGGCACTCAGGTCGGCGGGCACGTCCGAGTCAAACTGGATGGAGAATGAGTCGGCGAGGCAGGCGGCCTTGCTGCCTGTGGTGTACTTGACAGGAATGGGAAGCGCGTTGATCTCGCCGCTGCCGTTGGAGGTCGTCGCAAAGCTGGATGGGGAAAAGACCCACAGCGCCGCAAGCAGTGGGACCAGGACAGCTGTCATCGGTGCAAAGGTTGCCAATGTTGATTTCTTGGGTGTGCCAGTGGTTGGGAGCTTTGGGGAGGGAGATGAGGGAGACGATGACACTAGAATGAGGGTGTCAGTTCAAATCGAGTGGCTTATAAAGCCTGCCAGGCAGCCATGCGGGTGAGGGCCAGACATTCAAGTGCGGTTTGCTGCTAGCTCTAGCGCAGAGATGAAGCAGCAAGGCACCCCCACTTGCTAACTTACTGAGTAGCGATTTCGGCTCACAGACCACGGAGCACAGCGCAGTACCCTTTGAATAGGCCAGGTAGTGTAGAAGCCCCAACGTCTAGTCCCCTGCAGCTGGATGTGGATGTGTTGCAAGGTGTGACTGGATGAGCAGGCTTATAGCGAAGACAGCTGTTGTCGATGTTGAGGGTGGGGGACAAGTGGGGGCGCCGTTGCTCTCGCGTCGACGTCATCTGTCGGCGTCTTTCCCGATCGGCATATCCGGAGGCGTTGGCCGTAACGACCCGTGGCAACAACCCACACGATATCAGGATGGGCCGCGAGGATACCCATGAGACGCCATCACAAATTCACAAAAGTGCTGCACGAAGCTCCAGACAACTGCGATGCACATTACACACTTCATCCGCGTGCGACAACTAGCAATACCAGACAATAATCCGCAGATATCCTCCTCACAACTCGTAATGTAACCGTTCGTTCTATACCCCTAACCTACGCCACCCTCTCCTTAAACACTGCGAGCGAGGGCAAGACGCTCACGCAGCTCGCTTGGGCCGTGATAGTTCTTGCGGCCGTCGGTGAACCACGTCGCGGCGCACATGATGAAGACGATGGCCACCACGACCGAGACATAGTTCATGCTCGAGCCGGACACAGGAAGGGCAGGAGGGAAGAGGAAGCACACCGAAGTGACAATGATGAAGATCAGGGCCGAGCCAGTGACGAACGCTGTGGGATGTCAGTTGATGTGGCTCTTCTATCGGAGGCTTTCAACTCACGACGCAGCTTGCCAAGAGACCAAGTGAGCTGGACGTCCGGGTTGTTGTCAAGGACCTTGTGGCCGCGGAAGAACGACAGGGCAACTGGGTGTGTGAGCTGTTGGGTTCGATGAAGAGGAATGGTCGGACCACTTACTGGGGATGCCGTACGAGATCTGGAGCATCACAACTGAGCCTGAGATAATGGCGTTGAGAGCGACCGACGAACCAAGGTCTGTTATTTGTCAGCTAGATCCAGACAGCTGTCAACTCACAAATGAGACCGAAGATCACGACCCAGACAGTGGAGAAAATGATGGCCCATGAAGGGACGAGGAGCACGGGGTGAACGACGCCCAGCCACTTGCTGAGGGGACCAAGACCGCGGTCACGAGCGAACACGAAGACGATACGCGAGGCAACGGTCATGACACCCTGGCAGGCGGCGAACATGGCCACGAGGTTGATGAAGACTAGGCAGGTGGCCTGAGAGGTTAGCAAGACGACAGAGTAATGCACAGCTAGTACTCACGCCGGCAACGTTGTTAGTGGCCTGGTAGTAGATCTGGAGGAGGGGGCCGGTGGCGGCCGAGATGACAGTGTCGAGGTCCTTGAGGCAGAAGAGGAGGACAACGGTAAAGATCCACGACGTCGACGAACCAAGAAGAACCGCAGTGATCATGACCTTTGGCGCGTTCTTGCCTGGCGCAGGAATCTCCTCGATCATGTGGGTAGCGGCATCGAAGGCAGTGAGACCGAAGACGGACTGCAGGAGACCGAGGATGAACGCCATTCCATCGGGCCAGCCCGTCTCGTTGGTCCACTGGGCAAAGACGCTCTTGGCGGGCATGTAGTTGCCGTGGGAGCAGGCGAGGCAGGCAACGATCACGACGAAGAAACCGGCAATCGACCAGTAGAACGCAGCCTTCTCGAGAGCGGGCAGGATCTTGACGGCAAACATGTTCAGGCAGAAGGCGACGGCAGTCCAGGCAATGTAGAGCAGGAATGTCTGCCAGTTGGCGGCGGAGAAGTCGGGGTGCGCAAGCGAGACCATGCCAATGACGAGGTTGGCGCAGATCGACGAGTTGCACGCAATGAGGGCGATCCAACCAGCAGAACTCATCCAGCCAGCAAAGAAGGAGAGAGGAGCAGCCAAGCCCTCAGGAGCAAGAACGTACTGGAGTAATGTCAGCATAGGAATGGTGTGGCGTTTTAAAGATGGGGTCGCGACATGGTTGGACTGTGTGCGCCAGATTTCCAACCAATCTTGCAACTCTGCCCAGACACTTGATGCAGCAAGACACTCACTGCCCAGTCATATTGGCCACCAGTGAGGGGGTAGGCGGCGCAGATTTCGGAACTGTTGGTCAGCAGAGAGCAGAGTGAACAACTGCAAAGATGGCTCACAGAGAGATGACCATGAGGAACGCGCCGACAGATGAGACCATGATACCGTAGACCATACTGATGGATCCACCACTGGGGAGGACGACCTGGAGCGACGAGGCCCTGCGGTAGTGTCAGCATGTGCGATACAGGTACCTTTGCAAGACATCGCTTGTTGATCGCAACAACTCACATGGCTGGCCGTTAGCACTATACCAACACATAGCCCATCACTCACCAGTCCAACTGTTGAGAATAGCAAAAGCGATGCCGAGACAGGACATCAACGAGAAACGGCGCTTGAGGTGGACGATCTCATGGCCCTCCTCGTCGACGTCCAGCTTGTGGAGGTCAACCTTGTCGACTTCGGAGACGCGGGCGACATGGTCGCCCTTGCTGTTGGCAACAATGGCCTTTTCGTGATCCATGTTTAGGTGCTGTTCTTGGGTGTAGGATTCGCCACCAAGTTGCCGATGTTTCGGAGGAAAGAAAGTTGGTGTGTGGGGTGTTGCGAAGAGTGTGATGGATAAAACGCAATTTCAAGAGTAGATAGATATCAGAAGTACTCCTGAGCCGTGGCAATCGGTCGCTCGGTGTCGCCGCTTGGTCGTGTGGGCTCTGCTGCGTCGCAAGCAGTTGGGTTCAGTGGAGCTGATGGGGTGGGTAGGTCGGGTGCCTTTCATCTTTCTTTTCCCTCGGCGCTTGATATTGATAACCAACCGGCCTTGCGCTGTCCATCTGTCAACCCCTGGCCGTTCCAGTCGCCGCAGTCCCCTCGCATTCTCGCCTCAAAGGACTTACCCGAGTTGCTGTGGGACGCCTCGTGTGGCTTGTCGCCCACTATCGAACTCACGAAACGCGCGGCAAGACTGGTGAGAGGAGAAGATACGAACAGGCCGCGGGCGAACGACAGGTGGAAGGCGCCGCCAGGTTGTTCACTCCCTTGAAGTGTTTAGTTGGACCTCTGCTCTTGTACCATCCCCCCGTCCCCACGCTTCCCCGCCGGGCCCCGGTGTTCTGTGGCCCATTACCGAGGTGATTGGCCGTGTCCCCAGCCCATTGCTGCGCGTGTGTTGCATAGGACGGTGGGCAAGGGTTGATGAAGGGAGTCAGAGAGTGGTGGCATGGGTGGACGAATGGGTAAACGCGCCTCAATCAGGCTGCACTCCGGCTCCCGGTTTAATTCTCCTAGCGAGGTGATTACACTCGCAGCCATGCAGCAGATGTGGCAATCACATGTCCAGATTCAAAGAGGTTGTGGGCAGCTGGTTGCTGGAACATCCGCAGTGTCAGTCTGGTTGTAGAGCTCGGCAACAAACGTACATGCATAAACTGGGGTTGGGACATGGCTGCTATGCATTCGTCAGTGGACGAGATGCACGATAGCTCACTCTATTCGTGTTTCCTTCTTCAGGGTAGCCAGCACAGACATCCCTTTACGTCGGCGAGGAGGCCTAGCGGGTCTGGCATGTCCATGCCTCGGGCCGACTTTTTTCTGGGTTTCTCATGTCCGGTCAGTCGGACCAGATTGTAACGACTTCCCGATTGGACTCTGAAATTCGATGTCTGCAGCACGATGGTGGGCCAACGTCATGGACGATTACCAGGTCCTTGTCAACTTGCACTCGTTGACATCAAAAGCAAGTGATCAACAGCCCGTGAATGACTTAATCGCTTAATCGCTCGCCTCACTCTGGAGCCGAATCATTTACTGAACCTGTGCCCACCACGGATGTGCGTGGAACGGATGTGCGTGGAATGTCGCTCAACACCGATGTGAGACCCTGTCGAGCGTAATGGCATCCACGTCCAACAGAGTCGGCGAGGATATACAATCTCCAACAACCCCTGTGGTAAGCCTTTTGGTTGCGGCATTGTTCACCCGGAATCTGGCCCGTTTACCCGGTTCCGTCCCCCTCGATATTGTGCACACGCGTGCATCAAAGGTTGTGGTGCACCGTGAGCGTGGACAGCAATACCGCGCTCCCCACACTTGATTGGCCCCTGCGAACAGAGTCGAACGAGTGAGATACGGTGGAAACCCGACAGTACGGTCGCGCGACCGAAATGTCCAGTCCAACATTAGCAGTCGGCAATCTATCACTACTGTCGCTCAACATGGCGAGCGTTTGGAAAGTCGCCAGGTGAAGCCAGCCGGTGCCTGCGCGGTACCGCCACCACCCTTTGAGCTTGCGTAGGCCGCGCTCATGGATATCGTGTGCATTCTGCCCGCCACGGCGTCCGGACAGATAACAGTTTTCCATTGTGTCATCCAGTGAGGATTGGTCGTTCACCTCATTCCCAGTGCGTAAGCCACATTCCCCGTCAGTGAGTAGCCTAGTCCAGCAGACAGTCCAAGTGTCGGGACAACTTCATCGCCTACTTGTACATTGGGCCTGCACGACTTCCGACTATCATCCCATCCCTCAGCAAGAGTACCGGAAGTGCGGGTTTTCGATATCAGTCAGGTCATTCTCGCCAGCAAGACGGAGCTGGAGCTCGCGCTCGTCATGGCTGATCCCCGAGGCGATAAACGCTTCCTCACGCTTACGGTTGGTGCTGACATAGTACCGCCACCAAAGGGAAGTGTTGACCACACTGATGGCGAGGACAATGGCGCAGGTGACGAGGCCGTGGCGGTATCCAGGGGCGTCCCTTGCTGGAGATGGGTCAGCTATGTACCGACGATGTCAAATAACTCACGGAGGAAGATCTGCGAGCCAACAGTGTTGCCCACACAGTAGGACATGAGCGACATGGCCGACAGGAACGACTTTTTGGTACGGCCAGCGACGTTGACGGACATGAGGGGCCAGAGGATGAAGATGGACACGACAAACGTGTGGCAGAACAGGAAGGTACCCCAGCGCGCCCAGCGGGAGGTTCCATCCGGAGCGACACCGACAAAGAGCCAGATTGCCACACCGACGATTTGGGTGAAGATGGCAATTGGGAAGCGGGTGTGCGGGTAGTAGCGAATACAGACCGATGCCGAGACAATGAGGACAAAGTTGATACCGAACATGGGCAGAGAATAGAGAATCGTCTGGAGCGAGGTGAACCCAAAGCTCTGGAAGATGATGAACTGGAAAGTGGTGAGGGCGCCGTTGGGAATCAGGCTGAAAAAGTTCATGGCCATGGCGTGCCAGAACTGGCGGTCACGAAGGCACTCGCGAACCTGCTCCCACTTCCACGGGTGCTGCTCAGAACCACCAGTCGAGTTTGAGACGATACGGGCGTGGGCCATGAGCTTCTCCCGCTTGGACAGCCACCACACCTCGCCCGGGTTGCCGATGAAGATGACCATGAGAAGCCCAATGGCCACGGTGGTGCCGCCGAGGAAGAGGTTGATGACGCGCCAACCGGACATAGTGCCATGTTTCTGGGTGTAATCGGCAATCTTGTAGATTCCGACACTCATGACGATGTTGACAAAGTGGTCTGCATGTGTCAGGTGCCATTGCAGGAGAATGTGGTGGGACTGCACACGCAATGACATTGAGTGGCCCTTTCATCGACAGCTCTTGACTTACTCATCGAGTAGTAGATGCCCTGGCGAAGGGTCTGCTCGTTACGCAGATACCATGACGTGGTGAGAATGGCAAACGCAGGAGTGACCACACTCTCAAACCATCCGATCAGGAAACGAACCGCCACAAGCTGCGAGTAATTGCCACACGCCGCGAGGCACATGACGCAGCCGCCCCAGATGATAACACAGATGCTGAGGGTGCGTCCGAAGGGCAGCTTCTGAAGGATCCAGCTCATGGGAATCTGAGCGAAAAAGTATGCCATGTCTGAAATGTCAGTGTTCCGGAAGACGGGTGGCTCTCCGTTGAACCTACAGAAGAACAGTGTGAGGTTCGCGTACTCGTTTCCTTTGAGATGCGTCTCCTCCTTGAGGCCGAAGATCGCACCGCTCGATAACGACGTCTTGTCAATGTATTGCAGACCGTACGCAATCATCAAGAGAGGCATGAGAAACAAGTCGATCTTGCGCAGAAGCTTCTTGTACTCCTCGGGACTGACGGCGGTCAGAAATGTTCCAAAAAAAAAAGGACGAAAACACTGGCAAAAAAAACTCACGTAAAGTCGTGTTCGGCAGCGATGACCTTCTGTGCCTCGCCCTCCTGGTCGACATCCTCGACATTCTTGAGGTCGATGTCCAAGTTTTCCTTCTCGTCGATATCGTTCTTGAGGTCGTTACCGGCTGACATGTTTGTCGAATGGCAAAAGGTTTGTGTGGTTGGGGGTGGGACCCCGCTGACCCCACGTCCGCTTTTTATACGTACTGCCTCTATTGTCCAATCTTTGTCGACCTTCGTGAGCTCCCTCGACCTTCCCTGTGTTGCTCAAGCTAAGGCTGTTGCCGGGTATGCCGGCGGCATGATATCTCGTGTGGGGAAACCGACGAGCGCAGGCACGTTGAACACAGCTGCTCGGGGCGTAGGCTTTGCTCGGCCTGCTTCCTTTGGCGGGGGACAGCGACATGGACGAGGTACCGGCTCATTTCCCACACTGAGCAGTGGCCTGGGTTACGGTGCTTTGATGAAGTCGGAGACACATCGGTGACCATCCGAATGCCACTTACGCCCGCACCACGGAGGTCCGGTGGCGTGGGGGATTGTCTTCTCCGACACGGCAGGCAGCGTGGTGCCCCCGGGTCTGACATGTTACCGGCGGTCAATAGCGCAGTCATCCGTCAGTTGCCGCAGCAGTGCTTCAAACTCCGTCGCCGTCGCCGTCGCCACGCTCAGTCATTGGCTGCTGCGGCGCGGCAAGCACCCATGGCGAACTATAATTGTTTCGCCAAGTTCGCCAATCTGTCCGCCACTCTCACCCGTACGGTCGTGCCTGTATACTGTGACTGGTGCAGTGTGCACCCGTCGGGTGTGTATCACATCACTCTACAGTACATGTGTGCGGTAAAACCAATCCGGGGATCGAGGACGTGGGTGGGGGAGAAGTGGGGCCCGGATGGCTCACGCTGGTCAATGAGAATCAAACTCGACATCTTTCGGCGGAATGCCCGGCCAATATAGACCCGATGCGGAGAGTTTTTGTTGCCGACTGGTGTAGACAATAGCACAGACGGTTGCTGTCAACGGCACAAATGGGGCGGTAATCTCGAATGACGGAGAGCCGTGGTAGACGCAGCCGTGCTGGTTTTAGCTGTGTTGCCACAATCGCGACCGCTGAGTGGACGTAGAGGGGGGGATGTCGTTGGCGTGTGAATCACGTTATGACGGGCTGCTTTCTTATTCGTGCGGTTAGTAGCCACTTCGCATACAGAGCTACAGAAACGGGCCTTTACAGGCTACCTATTCGGAAAGGTATGTTTGAGAGAGGGCGAATGCCGCGCTGATCGATGTGTACACTTCAGAGGCCAGAGGCGGGACAGAGGCCAGAGGTGAGAGCGTAAAATGTCTATGTGATCTTTGCTGGATCAGCTCATTGCAGGTTACGCTAGTTGTCTGTTTGCATTATTTTAGGATATGTTCCAAATGGCTTCACGACGCCGTTCCTCTATGTACGTACCGTTGATCGGCCTCCGACAAAAACCGCCGCCACTGCGTTGGAGCAAAACTAGATGAATGCTGGTGTAAGCTCCACACTTGTGACACGGCATCTAGCGCAGCAACGAGGAGAACCGCTGTCAGAGTCGTCGCCACAGGGGACACCGTCATGATGACTGCGTGGACGAGGTGGTATATTGCCTCGTGACTATCAGTGACCGCAACATCCTCTGGGTCACTGGATGCGCTCGTTTCCTTTGTCGAGACAGGGACGACGCCGCAGTTGGCAACACCGTGCTCGATGGTAGCGATGAAAGCAACAACTGCATGTATCTCGATGCATACCTTGAAGCATCGGTCTGCGATGCGATAGCAGGGAGGTGTGGTGAGGGGCAGCAGTGGCATTGTGCGCCCACTGTGGTGAGGCCGTCGGGGCGCCTTCTTCGGCACCGATACGCGGAGATCTAAGATCGACGGGGCAAAATGAAAGGATGCACAAAAAGCCGCCACTCTTTAACTGCCACATGGCACGACCACCCCGTGCAAGCAATCTTGAATCCACCTTAAATGCCAGCTGTGACAGCCTCACCCCTTCCCTTATCAGGCGATCTGGTAGGTCTTGGCGCGAGTTGCAAAGCGCGTGTTGGCGGAGGTGGCGCCAAAAGGTCTTGGCCGACGGGAAACGGGGGACTGGCTATACCCAAACGACGTGTTCCTCAGTCCATGGCTTGGCGTCCCACTTCCCCATCGTCCCCACTCTGCCCAGCCAATCTAACTCGTCTTGGCGGTCAGAGGTACGTCACGTATCGCCTTTTCCCCACGTAAAGTCTCAGCTTGGCATGTACCCTTACCAGGTTGCCAGATGGGCGAGTTATGATACCGCACAGACGTGTAGCTTTTCATGTTTCTTGGCTAGAAATTGAAAGGCAACTGGACCAAGAGCGTTCATGTCCGGCCAAGGTGGCTAAGAGCCCTGGAGCGTGGCCCAAGTGCATCCCTATCAGAACGTGGTCGTGGTTCTTGGCCGTGCCAAGTGTCTGACTGGGACATGCCTCCGCGGTATTGAATGGGCTGTTGGAGAATAGCGAGGGTGGCGATCGGTAAGGACAATGGCGCCCTTCATCCTCACGCAAAGTGGTTCTACAAGTTGTGATGCGTGGTCCTAAATCAAATGTAAATAATCCTACAGAGGCAGTGGGGCGCCTTGCCACCCCATACACGGTCGAGGCTGCCGACGTGTGTCCTACAAACCATCGCAAAACCATCAAGCTCAGTGTACACTCGCAACGACTTGAGCGATATTCCTTTAATTGGTACTTTACATACAATACAGAAAACTATCTTTACAACGATGCAAACATGACCCACAGAAAGGAACACACGCCTAAACGCGCTCCTTGCGCTCGGCCTCACGAACACCCTCCAGCAGCATATCCAACCCGGGGGCCGGACGACTCGAGTCGGACGTGGACGAGTGGGAGCGCTTACGGACCGCGTGCTCCTCGCGGAGGGGAGCCAGGCGGTGGGCCTCACGGGGGTCACGCTCGCGTTCGCGTTCGCGTTCACGCTCAGAAGGGTAGCCTACGGGCGGGGCGAGCGGGGCGAGGTGGATCCGTTCGTCGCGGCTGGGCTCGCGGAGGTCACGGTGATCACGGGGGTCGCGAGCGCGCTCGCGTTCCCTAACGTCCCGCTCACGCGGCTCACGTGGCTCGCGGTCGCTACTGTCATAGGCCCAACGCGGAAAGTTATGGTGGTGCGGTGGGGGCGAGTCGACGGACGCCTGCGAGTCGGTGAGGGACGGCGTGCGCTTGGGGCCGGGAGGAGGTGCGGGTGACTGCTGCTGCTCGGGGAAGGGGTTCTGGGCCTGCATGGCAGCGACGTTGAGACGGGCCTGGAGGATGGTGAGACGGGTCTGGATGATAGCCGTCAGACGCTAGTGGCAGTCAGCACATGGTTGTTGCATACTAAGCGTTGCGGTGCCACAAGCTTGCTTTCGCCAAGTGCCACCCAGCCAGCGGCCGTGAGAAACGGCCGGAGAAATGGGTGGCAGGGCTCAGGTGCGCTTAGAGTGGCGGCCGATCACGTACCTCCTCCTCGGATTTCTTGGCACCGAGAATACTGAGCAACAGGTCACGGTCACCCTCGCCAGAGCGGCGGAACGAGTCGAGGATGCTCTTGAGCGATGCGGGTGGCGGAGGCTGGCGTAGTGTCAGACTGTTGTACTTTGGAATGCATGGGCGTGTTCGTCCACCCATTAATTGTGCACGGTGGCCGGTGGCGAACCACTGATCGGCGCGTACACAACAAACAAAAATGCTCACCACATCGTCCCAGTAGTTGTCTCCGTTGTCAAACTTGGCCTGCGTAGGCGGCGAGTCTTCGCCGCGGCTGCGAGCGGGGGAAGGAGGAGCGGCACGGGCGGGAAGGGGAGGGGGAGGGGAGGAGCGACGCTGACGGCTGTGGGCGGCGTGCTGGGGGTGGGCATACGGGTGGTGGCGGGGGGCAGCACCGTTGTATGCCGGAGCAGGGTGTATGCGTGGCGAAGACGAGGACATTGTTGATAAAGTCAAAATGGGCGGATGATGGACAGTTGTGCAAGAGTGAAAGGGGACACGATGCTTCGCAGGCCTTGTTATATACAAAGGGGGTGCTTGTGGAGAGAGCCGGATGCCAAGAACAGGTTATCTTGGGGGCAGATGCACACGTTGTGGGCAACTCCGGCCACCGTTGCGTACCGATCTCGGGGCTTGGCTCAACTCGATGTTTGGGCCAAGACATTCACCTCGCCGCATGCCGTTTGGGCAAGTCTGACCCCGATTTCGCGTCCACAACTGCTCACGGGTCACGTCAAAAAGCGCATGCATGTGTCGTGCATGCAGCAGCACAACATAACGAGTGACCAGCTGCAATATTCGCGCGTGCAGATGGTTGGGTGACCCCCAGTGGAGCTTGCTGCCATCTTTTCTTGGCAGGCGCCAAGGCTTGCGCTGGAACGAGGACTGTTGCCGTGTGCCTGGCTGGGTTCTATGGCGGCGCTCACGACCCCTGTCTGCCGGACCGTCGAGATCCCCAGTCTCTTGCTCTCGTCTCCTGCGCTGCCTGCTCCTCAATTGACAATGACCGGCCTTGGCGGACTGTACATTCGTTTCTCCTTCACGGGGTGTACGCACGTCCGCAGTCTAGAACTGCTGTTGCACGCGCAGAGCCGCAGTTCGGTAGTTCGGTTTAGGAGGGGGGTTGTGTGGCAAGGCCGGAAATGGGAGGCCAAGAGATCGGGTATACAAGCTGCTCCTGGCATATGCTGCACGGCCGACTGTTGTTGGCCGTTGCAGTTGTCTGATGGGAAGCCCCAAGATGTGCATACGTGGTCTGGTGATACATGTCTGTGTCTCGTTGAATACGTGCCCCCGATGTTCACGGATCACAGCAGGCGGTGACGCTGCGTAGATTGTCTCACTCCGCCAACAGACTGTGGCACTCCAACACATTTACAGCCCTATGGTGGCTATCCGGGAGGGCTCAACACAACTGAACATAGAGAGGGTCCCTGCCGTGTACATGCAACCGAGAGAGGCTATCAAAAGTCATCGCTAAACAGTTGTCAAGGCAGTAATGAAAGACAGTCGGCCGAGCATACCTATATCGAGGAGGAATTCTGATGGAAAAGACCTCATCCAGGGATGGAAAAACTCACCAGGGACCGTGCGGTGCTGCAAGCCCTTGTAGCTCATGTCTTTAGTGTGATCCTTGAACGTGTATGGAAGCACCACCCATCAGCCTTGTCATAAGCGCTGAGGGTGGCAGCGACGACATATCTCTCCATTGACCGCGAGTACTGGACGCGCTTCTTCAATCGTAGTCTGGCCAAAACAACGTCTTGTGCATGCCGTAGAACACTGACGGTGACACCCACAACTACTCTCCACGCAGAATTAGCACCACTCTGCTTGAGTCACCCCGAGTCCCGTTAATGGTTCCCATGCAGCAACACATCCCAGCGCTCCACTTGCCAAGAGACCAGCAGTCCAGTGTGACCCCAAAGGCCGAGGTTGCTCGCCAAGACTGCCGGTGGCGCGGCTCCGCAGGATGTAGGGTATGTCGTATTTGGCTTGGCCTTGCTCACGAATCTGCAGACCACGGTCCTCGGACATACCGAGTCGTCCGTGGGCAAGGTGATATCTGCGGGAATGCGTAGTGACGGTGAAGGCTGCGGTGGCACACTAGACGCGCCATGTTGGAGCCCGTCACGTATGTCACCAGTCCGCAGTCTGCTTCACCCGGCCGCATCGACACCTTGGCTCGTTCAAAAAGCACTAACTGGCCACTTCCCACCTGCTGGAGCGGCCCGCCTGTGGCGTCGCCCAGGCCAGCAGACACCACCGCCGTCTTGGCTCCAGCAAGAGTTTCTGTGGAGCGCCTTCTTGGCCCGAGAGTCGTCTCGTGTCGTGTCTTGGCTGTCTTCACCAAACGTACCAGCGGTACTGGACGGGTCGACCTTGGCGCGCCAAGGGCCGGGGTCCGCTTATCGTCGGAGAACCGGCGTGTTCCTAGTCCCACCTGTCATGTTGGCTGTCGCAGTTAGGCGGCAGGGCGTGTCTGCTTGCCTACTTGTCTGCTTGCTTGCTGAACGAGGAGAGCCACATGGATGCAGGGCTGGGCCGCTTGTCAGTCGCGTCAGTCAGTGTGCCTCCACCGGCGCGACCGTCTCGACGCATCCTCCAGCCCGACATCTTCCCTCCCAACAGTCATCCACACCATCCCATCCCAGCGCCGCCGGGGTTCCGTGTTCTCGTGGGATCCTCATAGCATAAATACAGTTTACCGAAACACAACGACACACATCTACCTGCGGTCGCGGTCCAGGGCTGGGCGATGGGTCAGCAAGGTGCCGCTTGTAGTACCCATTCCATGTCACGCTGGAGTGGCCTGGAGGGGTGTACTCACGGTTGTAGAGAAGGAGCTTCTCAATGAGGTCGACGTGGGTGAGGACCATACGGCGGCAGCAGTAGCGCTTGAGCTGGAGCTTGTCGAGCGCGTCACTGGTAGATGGGTCAGCGTTTCCGCATGGCGACCCTGTCGAGCGCTGGGTGGTGGCAGGTCTGAGGTCTGGACTGCTCCGCAGCTTTTAACGGCTATCAAGGCCAAAGCTGCTGTGCAGGGTGCAGGTGTGATGAGGAACCTGTCGAGCTCGCTGTTATGGCGGGACAGGTTGAGACACACCCGGCGGTTTGTAACCTGTCCAAAGCCCACAACCTCGAGTCCACAACCACTCCCCAAAGGCCAAGGTCGGATGCACACGCTGTATGCCCTCCTTGCCCATCACGGCCCGTAACCACTGCAGACCCCAAAGCCAGGCCAAGCATCGGCCACACGCCCGCCTTGCCCAGCCTTGCCTTGCTCGCGCTCGCTCGAACTCACCCCTCATCCACACCCGCGGCGAGGAGCTCGAGATACGACTCCCAGAGGTTGCCGACAACCTTGCCGCACGAGAAGCAGCGGACGGGGATGATCTAAGAGACGTCAGCGCCCATGGCCAGTTGGAGGGGTGTCGGCATGCGTGGTCGGCCCATCGAGGATCGACAATGTTCAACACGGAGACAAGGGCGCGGCACAATGAGCTCCGATGCGCTGGCGCGCGCACATTGCCCGCAACCGCTGAAGTCGTACCGGTGTATCCTTGTTGTCGCTGGCTGTCTCGATGGGCACGCACGAGAGGGTACGTACCATGGCGGTGGTGTTATGACGGGTTGGAGGTTGAGTTGCCGCTCGGAAACATGAAGAGGAGTGAAATCATCAGGTTGTGATACCGGTTGAATCTGCGGTGAAAATATGGTACACGTCATTGTTTCAGGTGTTGTTGAAAGTCGCGTTGCCTGGAACAACAACCGTACTGTATCTGTTTGTGAACTTTGTGAACGTTCAACAACACTGCAGCTCGACTCATTCACAACCGAGCATGATTAAATGGAAATGGGTTAATGTATAATACAAAAGAAAAGAAGTGTCCCCAAACAGCAGCTCCTCCTACTCCACCGCCAGAGGCACAGCCACGGCCATGCCTTCCTCGCCCTCGCCCACGTCCTCGTCCACTCCCAGCCGCTTGGCACTCCACGCGACGGCCTCCTCGCCGCCCTTGCGCATCCGCACGCGCATGAGGACAGGAACGGGCAGCGCAAGCATGGTCGCGAGGAACAGGAAGCCCAGGCGGATATTGCCCGTGGCGTCCTTGATGAGGCCGACGATGGCGGGGCCCATAAAGCTCGCAGACTTGTCGGTGAGGGAGAACAGGGAGAAGAAGGTCGATTCGTGGCCCGGCGGGATGAGCTCGCCGTACACGGCGCGTGCGTAAGAGTTGAACGGCCCGTAGAGCTGGAGCGTCAGTTTGGTGTCTCACAAACGAGGAGCTGGAGAACTGGACTCACCATGCCAAACCACACGGCCGCAATGTACATTTCCCATTCGGTTCGCAGTCCGCCCCAGGGGAAGACGAGACCGAGGCAGGCGTACACTGGGAGCACCTGGGCCGCGAGGACGATGCGGACCAGCAGCCCGAGGTTGCTCTTGCCCCATTTCCGCTGCAGGACAGGCGCGTAGATGCTCGAGAAGACGGCGGCAAACTGCATGAGCAGGCCAATGACCATGACCTTTGTGGCGGACATGTGCAGGTGTGCCGAGGCGTACAGGATGGCCGTGTACGTGGTGGTGTGAAAGCCTGGGGTCAGCTTCACTTATCTTCTTTAAGCTCACCATCAGACAGGAAGACCCATGCGAGGAGGTACGTGAACAGGTTGGGCAGCTCGCGCATTTCCGAGGGACGCACCATGCCCCCGACTCGGGCCCACGCGCGCCGGAGCCAGTGGTGCGGCGCGTCCTCCTTCCTTCCGCCCGGCAACCCGATGATGGCGGGGATGGAGAAGACCCCCCACCACAGGCCGCAGAGACCGAGTGCAAGCTCGAGCGAGCGTGTCTTCCCCCCACCGAGGGTCACGGGGATGAGGAGGAGCAAGAGCATGGCCCAGCCCGAGAAGAACCCGATGGCCGTGCCCGTGGACGAGAGGCGGGACATGGTCGTGGACAGGAGCGCGGCGTACCGCGTCGTCGCGCGTTCGGACGCTGCATCCCCCGACGCGTCCGGGAGCAGGGCGCGCGCCTCCTCGTCCACGCTCTCCCTCACCTCTCCCGCCGCGCCCTCGTCGTGTGCGCGCTCGGCGGCCTCCGCCTCGTCTCTGGCCGCCACGACCTGCGGGTCCTCACGCGCGAGGCCGGGGAGGAACGCATTCGCGCAGACAATGCTGGCGGCATAGCACACGTTGCCGACGAGGGTGATGAGGGCCGCCACGACGGGCAGCCACCCGTGCGGGGTGCCCGGGAGAGCGAGGAAGAGCGCGGCCGCGAGCGAGCCCGTAGCTGCAAACGTCCCCAGGAGGCGTTTACGCCAGTACCCGCTGTCGGCGAGGGTGCCGATGGAGATGATGCCGAGGGCCTGGAGCGCAACCGCCGTCGACTTGACGTACATGCTGCGTGCGCGCCGTGAGCCACGAGAGCGTGGGTACCGAACAACTGAAAGCACCCACCTAAACGAGTCGGTACTGACCCATCGGCCCAGGATGCGCGCGCGGCAGTCGACGTCCACCACGACGCCGTCGGCACCGGCGGGCGCCGGCGCCGTGAGGGAACATGGCTGGGTGTAGTCTGGTCCAGCAAAGCCGATCTCGCGCGCCATGCCTGTGCGTGTCAGTGATAGAGCAAGGGTCGGGAAAAGGGCCAGCTGTGGAAGCGGTAGTCGATAGCTGTCTGGAGTGAGGTAGGGGATGTCGCGAGGAAGGAGGTACACTGGAACGCGATGACAGCTGGAGCAGGCACAAAGCACCTGGACAACCGGCCCCGGCTCGTGGCCTCGAGGAAGATGGGAAAGTGGGAAGGTTGGCGGTGTAAGAGGCATGCCAGCTGAGACGCGATGATCGCCAAACAGCTGCCAGAAAGGTACACCGATAAGGAAGGCCGCCCGCAGCACCAGTAACACCAGCTTCAGGTGGCATTGGAAGCTGGGCCGGTTCGCCATCGTACCTCCACCGCGGGGCGATGGGCGCGGGACACGCGACACGGGGCCCAAGGACGTAAGGACACGAAGACGCGACGACACCAAGTTGCAAAGACACGACAACACGCACGCTCAAGCGTAATGGGCAAGAAGATGGCCTGGACACCGTCAGCGTCGCGCCCACGGACGGCCAGAGACCAACAGCAGCAACAAACATACCAGGGCACACGCGGCGAACACCTCTGCAGCGAACGCGTACCAGTACCACGCGCGTACGTGTGGTTCGGGCCACTTCATGGTCGGGCTCATCGAGGCCGGGGGCGCGCTGTGGACAAAGGTGGGGGTATAGCGGCGAGGCACAAGTAATGTGGTGGGTGGTGGGTGGGTGACAAGAGTACAAGAGTCGAGCGTCAGCACGTTCCCTTTGTGTGGTGGCGACACCAACCGCGTCACCTCTCAATCTCGGTGCGTGCCTGACTGCCTCCACTTTCTTTACTTTCCATTCGGGGGGGTTCACATGATGCCTTCTAAATCACAATACGATGATGTCTTGTCTTCTGGGCTACTGCTATATACTGTCTCTTTCTCTTGGGATCTTGTGGAGTTGGGTTGAACTGCTTGGGTTGGGTTGGGTTGGATACTTCTCTTGCTTTATCGTTTCCAAAAAAAAACACTCTTTCATATGCTTGGGGGAGGGGGTGGCTGCTTTTGCGTGCGCGTCATAATTCTCGTCCGGGACAAAATGGATGGTGCAGTTGCGTTGCGTTACGTTGCGTGTGTGCGTGCGGTGCGGTTTATGCATCTACAACGAGTCAGCTCCCACTCTTTCTTTCTCTCTCTTTCTCTCTCTCTCCATCACTCTTCTCTTCTCCACTTACAGTATGAATTACCCGCCTGGGCATAGTTCATCAAGGCGAGCTGGTCCTCTGTCATCCTCTCCTGGTACTTTTCGTGCGTGCGCTTAAACGACGCAATGCACGACCGGATCGTAGCGCTGATGGGCATGGGCTCGGAGACGCGCGGGGCAAGCGTGTCGGCCAGGAGGGGCGGGATAAACTTCGGTACGGTGTATGGGAACGCCTCGACAATGGCCACGGCGCCCAGGACGGCGGCGTGCAGTTCCACGAGCTTGGACTGGTACGCCGGGTTGACGTTGCCCGGGCTGAGGACGCGGCGGGGCAGCTTGATGTTCTCCAGTTCGCGGGAGAAGCGGTCCTTGAGGACGACGACCATGGAGCGCTGCGAGCACCGCAAAAAGCTTCCAAGGGTCACCGAGGCCATTTCGCGCACCTCTTGGTTCTGGTCCTTGAGGCAGCTGGAGATGACGTCGAGACACTTGGCCTTGCACGGCTCGGACAGGAGCGAGAGGTTGCGGAAGTATGTCAGGCTGAGCACTGGCATGCAGTGCATCTTTGTGCGCCAGCTCGTCGAGTTTTGCAGGATCGAAATGAGCTGGTACATGAGCGGCTCGATGAGGGAGAATGCGGGCGTGATCGAGGTGATGAGCGCAAGGAGGCGGCCGGCGTTGCTCTGCATCTCAATGTTGTCGTTCATCTCGCGCAGGTCAAAGATCTCGGGCAGGATCGGGACGAGGTACGGGTACGTGCCGACCGAGTGAACGTCCGAGAGCTCGATGGCGAGCCAGTGCATGAGCGTGACGGCCGTCGTGTCGTGCGGCGAGAGGATGGCCTTGGGGCCGTGAGGACGCGTCTTGCGCAGTTCCTTGAGGTTGGCGATAATCCCGTCCAGCTGTCTCTGGAAGGGCACAGAGCGGATGCCCATAATGTCCTTGCTGCCCTCTGGGTCGGCGAGAATGTCATTGACCAAAGTGGTGGCAGTCGGGTAGGATGCGTTCCACTTGAGCTGGTCGAGCCCGTTGAGGACCGATCCAATCAAGGCGCGGACCTCGGCGTACGGGCAGTCGAGAGCCTTAAAGTACAGCTGCTCAAACTCGGGGGACCACGCAGCAAAGCGCCAGCGGAGGCAGCGTAGGACCGAACGGCACAGCTGCACGCGGCGCGTGAGGTCAAACGCCGAGCCGCCCTGGAAGTCGGCGGCGAGCGCCGTGTTGAGCATAAAGTCCACAAGGGGCTTGTAGCGGCGCGGGTCCTGCTCATGGAGGACATACTCGACGGTAATGTCCCAGCACTTGACCGTGTCCTGGCGGATGTTGCGGAACAGCTCGGGGAGCAGAGGAGCAAACCAGTCCCAAAAGTCCTGGCGGTCCTTGCCCGACCACTCCCACGTACCGCGCAGCAGACCAGCAAGCAGTTCCCAGACGGCACGGGTAATGTGGCGGTCGTACACCTTCTTCTCCTCCATGCCGGCCACCATGCCCTCGACGAGGGGACGGATCTGGTCAAACACGGGACGGCCAATGACCTGGCACAGGGCGAGGATGAGGTCAATGTGGTTGGCCGAAGGGTAGTTGCGCGTCTCCTCCTGCGACCAAAAGTCGGCCAGCATCTTCCACCAGGCCGGGTCGGCAATGGCGGCGTCGACGCTGCCAACAGCAGGCTTGCACGCCGCCTCGAGGTCGAAGACGGTCTCGTCCCATCCCGAGAAGCGCGAGACCTCCATCTTGCGGCCCCAGCACAGCCATCCAGAGTCGATACGGTCCTGGAGGACAGAGTTGGGCTTGGGGTCCTCGCGGAACGCCTGGAGATAGTTTGTGGTGAAATCCGGCGTCATCTCCTTGGTCAGGTCGAGGACAGTTGCAAAGGGGTCAAAGGGTTCTTGGAGGAACAGACGTTCCGGCGAGTCGACCGAGAATGACCGCACAGTGGCCTGGAAGAGCATGCGCGTGAGACCGGCCGAACCATAGTCGCGAATACGTGGGTGGGCGTTGCCGACGTTGCCGAGGAAGAACTGGAGCAGGCGCGGGTCGGTGGGGCGGTCGCGACGAGTCATGGCGTACAGGAAGCGCGCAGCTGCCTGGAGGTAGCGCCAGTTGAGCGTCGGGTCGCGAGACTTGGCAATCACATGGTCGACGAGCTCGTCGTACTGGCTGTCCTGGAACTGGAGGCGCGCAACCTCACCAGCGTCGGTGCGCTTGATCAGGTCGGCGTTGGGCTGGTTGGAGCTGTTCAACTGGGTGGCCACCTCGTCGGCGGCCTGCTCCGTAGGCTCAATACGCAGGTTGAGGCGGAACGTGACCGGCTCGCGGAGCTTGGAGAGGAGCTCGTCAATAGTCTTGGTGACGAGGGCCTGGACGGAGGCCTTCTGCTCGTGGTGGGCGTTGAGGAGGCAGTCGACAAGCTGCACGAGGCCGCGCCAGTCACGCGACATGCGGCTGAGACCGACTGCGTTGTAGCGGAGCACGTAGAGCGCACCCTTCATGCGGTCGGGGTCGGTACCAGACTGGAGCGAGTCGAACAGGGTCGGGAAGCACAGGACCCATGCGCCGCGGTACGTCTTGGTGATCGAGTCGAGCTGCGACTGGGCACGACGACGGACACGGACGAACGGCGACAGACAGAACTCGAGCATGCTCTTGATGATCTTGTCATCCAGCTCACCGCGGGGGCGATAGTAGCTGGCCGTCATGAGACGGTTGCTGTGGTGGACCTGGGCAGCGCCAAGGAGGACCGAGCGGTGCTGCTTGCGCTGGCCATCGTACATGCGCTTGCTGGCCTGGAGGTTGTCGTACGCCGACGAGGCGCTCTGGTACTTTTTCGAGCGCATGCCGTACGACGTGAGCCACGAGCCCATGGTGGCAACAAGGAGCTTGACGCTGTCGACACCACTGTCCGAGTCCGAGTCACCACCAGCAGTGCGCATAATGGACGCTGCACGGTGGAGCATGTTACCCGCACGAGTGCGGAAGGCAACAACACGCTGGTAGCGGGGGTCGCTGGGGTCCGAGAGGAGGAAACCGGCCTTGTAAGGACGGCTCAAGGCGGTCAGCTCTTCAGGGAGGAAAGTGGGGGCCTCCATGCCGTCCTTTTTGATACCGGGCGCCTCGGCAATGAGCGAGTAGGTGCCGAGAATCACCTCGTCGACAAGGTTCATGGCGCGGCAAAAGTCGTTGATCCACTCGAGCTCGCTGGTGCGGTTGTCGAGCAGACCCTCGATGGTGGTGACGGCCTCGTCGGCAAGGCCAATGACCTCGAGGGCCATGTCAATCTCCTCGTTGCCAGGCAGCTGCCACTCGGGCATGCCTTCGCACGCGCGGTACAGCTTGCCCCACCAGAGGGTGTGGTTGAGCTTGAAGTCTTCGCTCTCACGGTCGGGCTTGTTGAGAAGGTGCATTTCCTTGAGGTAGAGCGCCGAAAGGCAGCTGAGGGTCTTTTCGACAATCTTGCCGGTCCACGCCCAGCCACGCTCAGAGTATGTGCAGCGCAGCATGGTCTTGATGAGGTCCATGTACTCTGCGCGGTGCGCAGTGAGCGAGATGCGGCCGGGGACGAGGAAGCCGTAGAGAATCGACAGCCACCAGTGGAGGGAGGCGTCCGACGGGCGGGGGATCGATGTGGTGGTCGTGCGGACCGACGACGCGCCGCCACGCAGCTCGGAGAGGATACGCTGGCGACAGATCGGGAACAGGCGCTCAAACGTCTTGGTCGCGTTGGCAGCCGAAAGGTTCTTGACCAGTTCGCCAACAGCGTCGACGGCGTTGGAGCGAGTGGTCGTCGTGGCGTACTCGACAACCTGCTCGAGGGCAGCGTCAAAGAGCTGGTCATCGAGAGCCGCAAAGATGGCACCGCAGGTGTGCAGCACGCTTTGCAAGGTCAACATTTCAATCTTGCCACCTGCACGACCGGTCTTGCCACCTTCCTCGGGGAGGTTACCGATGAGGAGCAGGACGCGGCCGAGGAACTCGGGCACCCAGTCGCGGAACGCCTGGGTCGACATGCGGATACGCTGTTCAACCTCCTCGGGCGAAAGGTCCTCAAACTCCTGGCCGATGGGGTCGTTGGGGTCGTCCTCGACAAAGGTGCGCGGAGAAGTCCGCACAGCGCGCGATCCGGGAGTGACGGCCTTGCACTTGGCCTCGTCATACTCTGAAATGTCTGCAATGCGGATGTGGTCGACCATGTTGCAAATAGCCATGCACGAGAGACCGGTCTTGGTGGGGTCGTTGAGGTCGATTCCGGGAAGCAAGAGGGTGAGAATGTCGGCAATGTACATGCCTCCGTAGCGCCAGATGGCGCGGCCAGAGAGGGGCCCAGCAACAGCGGCAATGGCAAAAGTGACCGAGGCCGTACGCTGGGTCTCCTCGAGACCCTGCAGCGACGGGACGGCGCGCTCCATGATAGCAGGCATGATGAGGTCGGGCTCGAGAATGGCCAAGCGACGAAGAGTCGAGATGGCCGGCTGAGCAGAGTCCATGTCCTTGTTGAACATGGCCGTGAGGGCGACGGGGCGAAGACAGAGGACAAACGAGCGCTTGATCTCTGGGGTGAGACGCCACTCGGGTGGGGTCTTGCAGGTAGGCTCCTCCTCCTGCTTCCAGCGCTGCACAAAGTTGTGGGTGAGGTGGGAGAGGAAGACGGTAAGGAAGGTCGACCAAGGGCCCGAGTTGGAAGGGTGGAAAAAGGTTTCACAGCTGGTGATGAGACGCGACAGGTGGTCGAGCGCCTTGGAGCCAGCGAGGTACTTGTGGTGCAGCTCAATCCGCTCGCCAGCAGCAGCGAGAGAGTCGGTGCTGCTCATGCGAGTCATGTCTGTGGCACCGTTCCTCAAGCGTGCAATGGGGTCGGCAGAGGAGGTGTTGTTGCCGGCAGGGGTAGCATGGCCGGGTGCAGGAGTGGCCGAGCGGGTGGGAGGTCCGGTTCCAAACGGCGCAATGGGCGAGTCCTCTGCCATCGAGTAGATGATAACCTCGGCCAGGGACTGTGTACGGTCAATCGGCTTCTTGGCGTCCAGAATCTTCTTGCTGGTACGAGCGTCCGAGGCAGTGATGGACATGCTGTTTGCCGAAGCCAGCGAGCCACCGACGGGCACGTTGAGCGAACGGAGGCACTTGGACATGACAAACTCAAACTCTTGCTCGGTGAAGATGCCGACGTCCTTGCGGATACCGCGCCAGTTGGGGTCCGAGTGCTCCTCCTCGGGAGGCAGCAACGCCGGGTCGACCCAGTAGTTCAGGCCATCAGCGTCGTGGATGACCTTGCCCTCGACGTCGAGGAGGCGGTGCTTGTGCATGCGCTCGGCACGGCGAACGCTGGGGTTGTTGGCCTGCTCCTCGGGAGTGTTCATGCGACCGTGCGGGATGCGGGCGAGGAGTGACGGGTCTGAACGAGCAGGGTCGACGTGGGCAATGGCAAGCTGGCCGAGGAGGTCGGAAGCCTGGTCGTCCCAGAGACCACTGTTGAGGCCGTACCAGAGGCGGAACATCATCGGAAGCCATTTGGTGCAGTGTGAGATGGGCAAGAAATGGACCAAGAAGAGTTGGGTGGCAAGGATAGAGTCCATGCTGGGGTCAAACTGTGGGAGAATGACGTCAAGCATCTCGTCCACCTCGGAAGGGTGGAAGAAGCGCTGTCCCATCTCGGCAACGTTGAGATACACCGGTGCCAGGTTGACCGAGTGGCGGGCGAGTTTGTTGGGGTGGGGGAAGAGCTCGTTGTAGAGGGCATCGTACAGGGGGCGCCATGGCATGCGAAGGTCGTGGATGTTGAGGGAACGGTCGCTGAGGAGAGCAATGAGGTCGTTGGCCCTGTCCTCGATGAACGAGGTGCTCATGCCAGGGATGACTGCGCAACGGGGTCAGCATCAGAGTCTGACAGAAAAGAAGCATCCAAGGATCCCATCGCTCACACATGATCTCGTAGAACAGGAAGATGAGGCGGATCTTGATCTCCCTCTTCATGGGGTAACCCATGCTCATCCAGCTGTGGGAGTTGGTTGTCAGCAGAGGTCTCCTATCACATGGCACACGGATCCACACAAAGAGTCACACTCACATGTTGAGGGCCGAGTTCCATGTGCGAAAGCCGTGCGACCACTCGCACGCCTTGACGCATTCGAGGAGGCGGGTGACAATGTGTTCGAGACGGGCGTCCATGTCCTCGAGCGACTCGACCTCGTATGGCAAAGAGAGGGGGAGGCCTAGGCACGACCGGCGGTCGTCATCAGGCTGGCCAAGTGGGACCGTACATGGGACATAGCGCGAGTAGGGTTTGTCGTCGACGTAGTGTTGGTGTCGCGCGACAGGCGGACGAGAGGTCCCCAAGAGGATGGCGGCGATGCGTGATTTGGGCATTGTTTTGGATGTTTTCCCGACAGGGTGTGGTTGTCGTGTGGATGGTTGGGATGGTTTGAAGCGGGGCATTGGTTACAGAAGAGGAAGTGGGAGGAAGAGAAGTATAGTGATCAGCGTACGAAGCGTTTATGTGGTTACGTGTGTGTGGAGGGGGGTTATGGTAACTCACCGCAACGGCTGTGACTGAACCGCCGTCCGCATTCCCAGCGAGCCGGTTATCGGCAGGTGATGGCCACATGGTGCCGTCAATGTCGCAGTAGACACCGTCTGTGTGGTGCAAGGCGGCGAGCGGGATATGGTGTATGGAGAGTATGGGCAGGGGGGATATGGATGGTCCGTCGTTGTCGACGCCGCCGCGTAATCGTATGGGGAGGGAGGCGTGGTGGGTGGGTGGGTGGGTGGCGTTGGATTTCGGAGCGCGGGGGTGGCGGAGGCGGGGGTGACGGAGGCGGGGTGACGGAGAGGAGAGGGTGGGGGCAAACGCACACAATGTTGGCAAAATGAGATCATCGTTTAGCGCTAGATAAAAAGACAAGGGCTGGCGACCACAAAGGTCCTCACAAGCAGCCGTAGCACCAGCTTGTTTGCATGCATGCAATCACTCACCGTAGTCGTATTCAGAGTCGTCGTCTCCAGCGAGATCGTCGTCGTATTCGCCTTCGTCTCCTTCGCCTTCTTCGTAGTCGTCGTAGAGGTTGCCGCTACCAGACTCGACTGTCGAGTCGTAGCCGTAGAACGGGCGTGTGATTGCACGGTGCGAACGAGGCAGCGAGGCTGTGGTGGGATGGTGTGGTCAGTGACAACAATGATAATAAAAACAACAACAACAACAAGCAGAGTGATGGCAGGGGGGGCGCTGACCGTGTTTTGCTGGCTGATGGAGCCGGCCACGGTGCAAATGATCAGGATACTCACGCGCGAGGAGAGTGGTCTCTGCCTGTGAGCCCGCAACCGCCGTCGTCATAGGCAACTTCGAGAGGTGGAGGCGGGGTGGGTGGGGTGGGTGGGTTGGGTGGGGGGAGGATGGCGGGGTGGAGAGGGCGTGTACAGATGTTGGCTGCTTTTGTGTGTGAGGCAAAGAGTGTGTGTGTGGAGAGAGAGAGAAAGAGAGAGAGTTGAGGCTCGGAGACGGGAGCTCTCTGGGCGTGTGTGTGTGTGGAACACTGCGTGCGGCTGGAACGTAAAAGGGTGTACGAGGGAGTGCAGCGGCAGATCCAGAGAGGAATGAATGGGTGGGTGGTAGCAGCAGCAAGCACGAGAGCCAGCAGAGAGGATCACCCAGAAATCATCATCGCGGGCCTGCGCTCTGTCCATCAGCGGCCGCGTCAGTCACCCACGGTCATCTATCAGCAACAATGACATGTATTTATTTAGACGGCATGAGTGTTAACGGGAGTATATGTATCAACCCCCCCGGGGTTCCCGCAAAAGCGCCCAAAAGCTTTTTCGTTGTGTTTTGGACGGACACACAGACACATGCTATTCGGGTCCCCCTGTTAAAAAGGTACACACAGTCTCTTCCTTCCTTCTGCGCTTCTGCCAGGGGCTAATGTCAGAGAGGAGAGAGCGAGGAGCCAGACCGCGCGGCCAAGAGGAACAGACACAGAGATCACAGACAGACAGCAGAGAGAGACCAAGGAACAAACGGAACCCTTTTTGCACCAGATGTGGGCGAGAGATGGAGACACTCTTGTGTGGGTGTGGGTGGTGTGGAAGGAAGGGAGACCCCTTTTTCCGACAGTCGCTCTCTCGTTTGCCTGCCTGCCGAGCGCCTTCAAATAATATGCATGTGCCACACGCCCTTGTTCTCTCTCTCTCTCTCTGCACATACACCTCGATAACACCTACTGCTGGCTGCAAGTGCTCCGACCAGTACTTTTTGCACACACATAGGCCGGAAACCAACGAGCTGCAAGCACGAGCGCAACCCACCAGCATCACCACCACCACCACCACCACCACCACCACCACCACCACACGGACGGCACCAAACGACCCATATCTCATATCTCTCTCCCTGCGCGCGCGTGTCTGGCCCCTTGCTGGCCCTGGTCTCTCCCTCTCTCCCCCCCTTTTGGCCTAACCTGCCGGCGTCTTGCCCCCCCCGTCCTCCCATCCCTTCCCCCCCCTACCCCCCCCCCCCCACGCCATTCAAGCCCAACGCCGCGCCATTTCCTCTGTGCTGGACACATACCCAAATCGGGCAAACGACCACTGTTACCACCACTGCTACCACAGCACACCAGTCGATCCTGCCCAACAAACTACACGGCCACCCTCGCTGCTCGCTTCTCTCTCCCACCACGTACCACCCTCCTCCTCGCTGCTCTCGGCGTCACCCACCCACCCACCCACGGTTGCACGGGGATTCCACACAGGTGCACTCTGTTCGCTCGCGCCACTTGTCATCACTGCTGCCCTTGCCCCCTGTTGTGTGTGTGCACGCGTGCGCGCGCCAGACACCACCCACCCACAATCAAATCAAACCGCCCGGCGCGTCCCCCGCACCCACCCACCACACTCGAGACCCCCCGGCCGCCCGCCCCCCTTGGACTCTCCCTTCCCGCGTCCCTGGCGCCCAAACCCACATCCATCCATCCATCCACACACACAGAGGACACATTCATCCTATCCATCAACCTCTCTCCCTCATATCCATCCATCCAGCCAGCACCCGCTCCTCATCATTGCTCTCGCTCTCCCTCCCTCCCCCTGCTCGCCAAACCCCTCCCGCCCACATCCCCACATCCCTCCCGCCAGCACCCACACCGCACCCCAACCCCCCCGCGTCCTGCAACTCAAAGTCATCCCCTTTCCACCCAATCCAATCCCGCCATCGCGAAAGCGCGACGCTCTCCTGCTGGCAGAAGACAACGCACGCAAACCGCCGGGTCCATTGGAAGCAGCAGCAGCAGCAATACGCGTCCGAGCTCCACCACCGGCTTCCGATAGGTCTCCGGAGTGACTGCACAGTCACCCTCCCCTCCCACTTGTCTCCACCTCGTCGTCCTCCCTCCCCCACCCCCCGGCTACCCTCGACATGTCGAACACCAGCCCTAAGCGCGTAGGGGTCGGCGCGATTCGCCATCCTCAGGCCGAATGTGAGTTGCTGGGCGTTCAGGCTTCAGGCCCACACACCCATCCTCCCCCTCCCCCTCCCTCACCCCCTCTCGGCGGCGACGGCGGAACATCGCACTGACATCTCCACGTAGACACAGGCGCCACCCCCATGGCGACTGGCACCGACCTGCCCATCAGCCAGGCCTTTACTAGCCAGGCCTACACTGCAAAGCCGTCGCGCAACTCGGCTTCGTACGGTCTTCATTCTGACATGTCACTCGGCATGCAAGTCTCGCCCAGGATGCCCCCCAACAACAACCAGCAGGCGGTCAACCCGCCCACCGCGTACACCCGCCAGGACAGCAGCAATGGTCCCAGCCTCTACCGCCAGGACTCGTTCCGCTCCTCCCAGCAAGCCCAACAGCAGCAGCAGCAGCAGCCAGACCCGTATCGTACGCAAGAGCCATACACGTTTACGCAGCCCAACTTTGCGGCCCCTCCTGCGTCGTCGTCCTCGCGACACGACCAGGACCACATGGTGTCGCCAGGTCTGTCGTCTGGTCCTTCGTCGCGCGTCCCCACAATCTACGGCTACTCGTCTTCCAACTCTCCCAACCTCAACAACCGTCACTCGTACACCACCGGCAACCAAGGCCAGCAACCCCAGCCACCGCGTCCCACTCGCTCTGGAACCATGCCCGCTGGCGAGTACCCAACGTTGAACGGGAACGGCGTTTATGGCCGTGAAGGGCGCAGCACGTCCGTCAGCAACGCTTCGGGTCAGACAATGGCCATGGGCAGCGGCGGCAACATACCCCCGGTTCCCCCAGTCCCCTTCCAGCCGCAGCCCCTCGAGCAGAGCTTTGAGCAGACGCTCGGGATGGGTCCGACCATTCCTGTCCAGATGAACCAGGACGCGCCCAAGGGCGACACGCCCACGATGCGCGCAAGGAGTGGGACTGGCAAGAGCACAAAGGACAAGAAGAGCATGTTTGGTGTGTTGAGTGACCTCCTCACAACAACCAACAACAAGACGCCCGTCATCTCGACCCCTTACGACCCCATCCACCTCACCCACGTCGGCTTTGACTACAACACGGGTCAATATACAGGTATGCCCCAGGAGTGGCAAAAGATTCTCGACGACAATGGAATTACGCGTGCCGAGCAGGAAGAGAACCCCGACAAGGTCCTCGCTGTCGTGCAGTTCTTCCAGGACCGTGACAACTCGGAGGCACCAGACGACGAGGTGTGGTCCAAGATGCGCAATGCTGGCCCAAGCCATCAGCACCCGTCGTCTTCCGAGTCGCCTTCGCCCCAGCCCCCCTCCGCCGACATGTCGCGCGAGAACAGCAACGACGGTGGCTTCATCTACAGCAACCCCCGCGCCGCCCCAGCTCCTCCAGCCAAGACTGCTGCGCCTCGAATCCAGGCCGAGCGTGCGGCCCCGGCAAAGCCCCAGCGTCCTGTGCAGCCCCCGCAGACCTCGCCGCAGCTGCCACCCTCGACGTCCTCGGGGCTCGACCGTTCCACGTCGGCGCGTCTTCCTCCAACCAGTCACCAGTCGTCGTCGGCGGCACAGACACCAAAGAAGCCCCTCGACAGGTCTGTTTCTTCGCGTGCCCCTCCCTCCAACAGCAAGCCCTCGCCCCCTCTGCACAAGTCCAAGTCGCAGTCGGGCCGTAGTCGCGACCAGCCCCCCGCGGGCGGTGCCAGCTCGGGTGGCGTGGCCCGCTCCACGACCAAGACGCGCGACCAGGGCACGCGCCGCCGTGACAAGGCCAAGGAGAACGAGGAGGTTATCCGCCAGCTGCAGACCATCTGCTCTCCCGGCGACCCCAACCAGATCTACCGCAACCTGGTCAAGATTGGCCAGGGTGCCTCTGGTGGTGTGTACACGGCGTACGACAAGTCGACAACGCCCGTGGCCATCAAGCAGATGAACCTCGAAAAGCAGCCCAAGCAGGACCTGATCATCAACGAGATTCTGGTCATGAGGGAATCGGCTCACCCCAACATTGTCAACTTTAAGGACTCGTACCTGTGGAAGGGCGACCTCTGGGTCGTCATGGAGTACATGGAGGGTGGTTCGCTCACCGACGTCGTCACCGCCCACTGCATGTCCGAGGCCCAGATCGCCGCCGTCTCGCGCGAGACTTGCGAGGGTCTCCGCCATCTCCACTCCAAGGGTGTCATTCACCGCGACATCAAGTCGGACAACATTCTCTTGTCGCTCAACGGTGACGTCAAGCTTACCGACTTTGGCTTCTGTGCGCGTATCGCGGACCCCTTGTCGACCAAGCGTACCACCATGGTCGGCACTCCTTACTGGATGGCGCCCGAGGTTGTCACCCGCAAAGAGTACGGCCCCAAGGTCGACATCTGGTCGCTGGGTATCATGGCCATTGAGATGCTCGAGGGCGAGCCTCCTTACCTCAACGAGAACCCTCTCCGCGCGCTGTACCTCATCGCGACCAACGGCACCCCCAAGATCAAGGACTGGGACAAGCTCTCGTCCGTGTTCCGCGACTACCTCCAGGCATGTCTCACCGTCGACTCGGAGAAGCGCCCCACCGCCGACCAGCTGTTGCGGCACGAGTTCTTCAAGTACGCCGCCAAGCTGTCGTCCCTGTCCGGCATGATCCGCAGCGCACGCAAGACCAACTAAAAAAAGCATGGGCAACACGGCGCGGTCTCGGTCTCCCCTTTTTTTTTCTATTCCTTTCTTCCTTCCTTCTCCGGGTTTTTACGTCGTCGTCGTCGCGTGCGGGTTTGGGCCGGCCCAGCCCCGTTGTCATCTCGTCAATCAACAATGTCTTTGTCTGCATCCTTGGCCCAATGCCTCGTTCCTCGGTCTCCCGCGCACCATGCAGCGCGCGTCCGCCTCACCTCCACCACACGCCGCTCGACGGACACTACGGCTGAGAGTTGGGCGAGAGAGAGGGCAAGATGGTTGCCGTCTCCGTCTCCTCGTCCCCCGTCTGGCCAACACGGGAATCCCACGGGAACCCCACTCTTTCCCACCATCTACATATCCCCGCCGCTCAGCCCTTCTCTCTCCCCTGCCTCTGTCTAGCGCGTTTGTATACAGTTTTTCCACTCCTCCTCCTCCACCCCCTCCACCTCCTCGTCGTTTCTCCTTTCCAGCAAAAGCAGAATACATACCACCAACCCACCACCCCGTTCACCCTTCCACCACCATGTGCCGCCCGCGGAAAGAACCACCAAAGTATACACACTTTTCCCTTTTATGACAGGAGCGCGCGCGAGAGAGAGAGAGAGAGAGTTGGCACCGCATGCAAATTGATACTGCTTGACATTGGGTTGGGGTCTACATGCCTGGTATGCTGTGGTCTGGGATCTGCGTGTCTGGGCCGCAGGGACGCGCCAGGCGTCAGGCGTCAGGCTATAGGCTGGCTATAGGGGCCATACGCCAACTAGCGCGACCAACTGCAACTGAACTGCGCTATGGACGGGAGTGCGTGCGCGTATATGTACATATGTGCACATGCAAAAAACAAAATAAAAACAAAATAGTCATTTGGCACACAGAACAAAAAAGAAAGAAAGAGGGGAAAAAAGGAGCTAAAGCATTTACTGTACTTACTGTACGCGCGACATTGAGATCTGGCGGAAACTAACTTTTGCGCGTGCGCGCCAGCACGGCACCGCAAGGGTGGCTCGGCACATGGGCACATGGGCACGCGACACGTCCCACACGTTGCACGTTTGCACGTCTGCACGTTGCACTTTTTTGCACTTTGAGCGCAACGAGCGTACGAGCACTTGATGGTCGACACGGCGTTGAGGGACCATCACTGACCACTGACCACTGACCACCGACCACCGAGCACGGAGCACCACCGCCGCCACCGCCACGTACGAGGCACCACGCTCTGCACTCTGGTGTGGCCGGTGGCCGGCCGTGACGACGTGACTGGCGCCATAACCTGCGATCCTGCGATCCTGCGACGACCCGGCCTAGCCGGCCTGCAGCGCCGGCGCGCTCAGACATGCCGAGGCTAGAGGGGTTTGAGCGGTCCAGCGGTTGAGGGGTTCAGCAGTACGGCGAGCGTGAGCGTCAGCGTGTTTCAGAGCATGCCGGCGGCGCCGCGTTGGCGGCCAGCAGGCGGCCGACGCTGAGCGCTGAGCGCTGAACGAGCGAGCGAGGCAACTACAGGCAGGCAGCAGGCAGCAGGCAGCAGGCAGCAGGCAGCTTGGATCGCTGCAGAGTGTGCCAGTCTGCCATGCACTCACTCCACCGTCCTGCCTGCAGCTGCCTGCCAGACTGAGCACACGACCTGCTGGTCCCATGGTCGCCGTCGCCGTCCCACGCGAACGAGGTACAGTAGCAACAGCACTGACGCGTTTATGGTGACGGCATGGCATGGCATGCGTCCATACGAGAGGCCGCGCCACACCTTGCTTTCCGCTGTGTCTCCGTCAATCACGGCGCGCACTGGTAACTCATATGACTGCGCTTCGTGTTCCGCACATGTATGTAGCGCCAGCACGAGGTGGTGTTTCGCGTTTTGACACCAATGTCTACACAAGAGTTGCGGTGCTGTGGTGTTTGTGTACATACCCCCACCCCCGGCTTTCAGCCTCCTGCCTCCAGCCTCTGGCCAGACAAACCCAGCCAGCAGACAAAGGAAACGAACCCATGTCTGATTCGCATTCCGCCGCTGATGTCCGTCCGGTGCCTCCGGAATGGCCTGAAGCTACCACTGACTTTTGGGTCGGCTCTCGCTACCATGGAGGAGCCGGGTACGTCGGGGGTGGGTGGGTAGGTGAGTGGGTGCGCAAGCTGTGGAGCGTGGAGCGCACAGTCCGGAGCGCACAGTCCGGAGCGCACAAGGTCAGTCTGCGAGCGTGGCGCAAGGCGGCGCGGCGTTGACGGCTGCGTCTACAGTGTGCCGGTGTGCCGGTGCCGCAATGTGCGTATCGAGTGTCGGGTCAACATCACTGCATCACTGCATCACTGCATCACTGCATCACTACCGTCGGCGTACAGCGGGTCCAGACCCCGGTGGTGGCGGTGACGGTCCCCGGTCGGTGGGATCGGTGGTTGCCTGCCCGGCACCTGTGCGTTGCGTTGCGTGCGTGGTGTTCGCGGACGCGACAGGTTTCTTGCATGCCACTCATCCTCGCTACAGACACGAGCCACCGACACTACACAAGAGTTACTGGAGTTACTGGTTCTTCTGATATGTTTGTGGGTTTGTTTTTTTTAGTTACTTTGCGAAACGCAGCCTGAACGTGAGCCCCAGCCTTCCTCACACCTGAGTGAGGCTGGAGTTTGACGCCGCGCCACAGTCGCTCAGCGGCGCCGAAACGAGAAAAGAGAAACGAGAAACGAGCCCAGACCGCCCAGCCAGGCAACCAACTGCCCAGCCCTGGCAACTACCGGCAGCCAGCAACGCCTCTACCCAGCGAGGAACCTGCCCCGCCCCGTCGCCTTGGGCCTGAGCGCGCCGTGCTCGGTGTCGTCTTGCTCCCACCCCGTCTGGTCGAGGTACACGGCGACGCTCTCGAGCATCTGCTTCTTGGCGTCGTGCCGCACAAACCGGTCAGGCCACGCCGACGACACGGCCCCATAGTCCAGGTGCTGGATGGACTGCACCACTTTGAGCATTTCAATCGGTTCGAGCGGCACCTGTGCGGGGGCCGTGGTGGGCCGTGTCAGCGCAATGTTCGTTACAGAATGTCTCGGAGCTGGGACTCGGACGAGGATGTGGAGTCTGGGAGTCTGGGGTCTCGAAAGCAAGGGCAGGTGCCACGCTCGCGCGCTCGAGCTCGAGCTCACGCTCACACTCGCGCTTCTGCTCTCGTCTGGCCTCTTGGTCTTGGTCGGTCTTGGTCTTGGCTAGAGACCAGCAACGTGCCTGGCGCCGCGCCGGTACCATGGTGTGATGGGTGATGGGTTTGGGGCCAAGCCCACTCCGGTGTCGTTGCGCCGAGGAACGGAGGGGACCGGGCGGGGACCAGGTTGACGCAACGAGGCGCCGGGCGTGGCGGTCCGCAGCCTGGTCCCCACACCAACTGGCGAGCACACCGTGATGCCCTCCCCTCGTTGCTCCGTTACACGGCGCCACAAGAGGAGTGCTGCGTGTTTCGAGCCTGGCCCAGGCCAGACGCGCAGGGTGAAAGGTACGGCCCAAGAACCAAGGTCTCCCTGCCCCCGCTTCGCTTGGGGTCACCCCCAAGTCCCACTGTACGAAGGCGGGGAGCGGATAGATAAGATACCGCAGGCGCCGTATCTCCGACCACCGTACTCACCATGTTGGGGTAGCTCCACATGAACGTGAAGCCCTTCTGGGTGGGCTGGACCATGATCGTGTCGGCCGTGAGGAGGAGGCCGTTCGTCGGGGCCGGGGCGGATCCGTCGGCACTCTTCGCGCCGGCGGGCTCGGCAGCGCGATCCCAGAACAGGACAGACGAGCCTGGAAAGTGTCTGATGCGAGCGTCAGTGGTCGGGTGGGAAGAAGCTTTGGAACAAGGGTGTTTCACATGAGGACACGCCGCCAAGGTTCGAGGGCCATGAGGTTTTGCTTGTCGTCGCGCGCAGCTCATCTTTCTCACCCACCGTTCCAGGACCGCACTCACCCGCCACACTGAACGAGGGTCACGCCGGGCCCAATGTCCTGTTTGCCATTCCAGAACTTGACCTTGTCCGTGGGCTTGAGGTCGTCGTCGCGCTGATACCAGTGTCGGTCCTCGCTGTTGATAAATAGGGAGACGCCGAGGACCCGCGACCAGGTCAACGACGTGCTGAAGAACTGGAGCGAGCGTCAGAAAGGTACACTAATGGTTACGCTGACATACAGCTAACGGAGTAAGGAACTGTGAGCTGAGTGACTTACGTGAGGGTGCGAGATTGCCATGGCCTTTAGAGGCGTCTTCAAGTGAGTCAGGTAGTCGACGAGCGCGGGCGTGAGTGTTCCCATGCAGTCCCAGATATACGACCCGCCGTTAGTCTCAATGAGGAAGGCTGTCGAGGTGTCAGTTACGCTTTGCTTGGTATGCAACTCACGGCTCTGGGAGATGGCAAACGAAGGGACTGTGCCCAGGAGCTTGATCCTCTCGTCCTCCTTGTCCTGCATGACGATATTCTTGCGACCCTCTTCAATCAACTTGCCGAGAGTCGTCCACGCCTGGCCTGAGCCGGGCACGTACTGACGCGGATCGTCACAGACGGGGCCTGAGGGAGTTAGTGTTGTGACCGTGTATCTGCCAGGTTGGGGTGGGACGGCTGCTGCAGGCCGGCAGAGTCTGTGTCAGTCTGGGATGCGTGTGGTCGACAGAAGGCGCGCACCGCGTGGGTCTTCGCAGATCGGGCCTTCAGTCAGCCATACCTGGCACACAGTTATCCCAAAAGACATGGCAACAGAGACATGGTGGGATACGCCGCAGCCAAGGTGCCAGACAGATGTCACACACGCTACGCATACGCTCGTGTGAGTTTGCCTGTCCTAGCCGCCGCCACTTGACCACCTCCGACTGACTCGACCTCACACTGCAACACTCACAATTGCGGCGCGGGGCAGGATATTGCGTAGCGCAGGTCGCGCACATGGGCAAGTCGGCGTCGGCAGCAAGCGCCGCCAGCGCCGCGGGGGAGACGCGGCTCGCGTCGGAGAGCTCGGTGACCTGCATGTGGATATGCTAGTAGGTTGTATGCAAGTGGACGTGTAGTATTTTGTGTTCGCTCTTGTTTGCGTGCGTCTTGTGATCTTGTGGATGTGCATCGTCGTCGATGCTAGGCCATGTGCTATATATTGTTTGTGTGTTCTGGTATGGGTGGCCAAGACAACATCCGAGAGAAGGAGACGTCGTGCCTGTGACGCCATTACGTGTTCGGTTTGCCGGCACTGCTTAATAAGGTGCCCCCCAACTCGTCGACGAGAACAATAGAAAACGCGACACTGACAGCGGGTATCACCATGCGGGCCGCATGTGGGCATTGCAATCAGACTCGATTTCTACGCTAACGTAGCGATCGTACTGATTATCTTTGTCAACAAGGGCGGGATGGTTGCTAAGCGCACAACATGTGATGTGGCCCAGCATGATCACACTCTCGTGGAAACACCCGCCGTCGCTCTCGGAGAAGTCCGTTTTGTACAGCATCCAACAACGTGTTGCATCTCATGCTCCCCATACCCAAAAACCATGCTCGTCGCTAGACTGGTCCATGACGGTTCCCTCGGCGCTGCCGCCCTCGGGGATAGTGTAGATTGATCCGTCAGCGCACACGAGGTGACTCTTGGCATGTGTGCTGTCGGTCGGAGCCCACTTGAATCCTTTACACCGGAACGTCTCCACGGTCACGTTCGTGTCTCCCGGCTTTGAAGCCGGCACAATCTTGCCCGACTCGTCATACACGAGGCGTACATGCTTGCCCTCGTCGTAGGCGGCGGTGAGGACCTCTGAGATTCGAGCAGGCCACACGTCCGTCCCGTCTCCACCAGCAGCGAGCGCTGCCTGGACTAGCGGGTCGCGGTGTGGGCGCATAACCACAATGTCCATCGTACCCTCGCCGGGGTCGGCCACTGTGGGCACAATGACAAACCTGGGCTCAAGACGGTCGGTCGTCACGGTAGAGAGGAAGTAGGCGAACGGCCCTTCCAAGACGTGCTTGCCTTCGGGCGCGCCGACGCCGCTGTACGCCGCTACCCACGCACCTGTAGCCGGGTCGAGCTGCTGGACTCCGCCATTGGCAGGTATCAACTCGACGCGGGCCGGGAAGAACACGGTAATGTTCTGCGCGGCGGCGGCCTTGAACCGTTCCAAGCCTGGGATGGCGGCGCGGAGGGCCTCGCTGTCGTCCAGGAGAGCCGCATGGAGGGACGTTGAGAGCACGATATGGCTCGGGATCGGGGCAGGGGGTTGTTCAGAGGATGCGTCTTTGGCATTGGGCTGGAGTTGCGTGAGGACGATGGGCAGCTTGCGAGGCTTGGCGTCTGACAGCGCGAGGATCAGAGACGCCAGTTTCTGCCGGTCCTCGGCGGACTCCGGCACATATGCTTCAAGCTGGGGAGGCACGGCAACTGGCGGGCTACCGGGTGGGAAAAGTGTCGAGTGGAGGGCGTTGGCCTGAGTGGGTCAGACGACATGGTCAGGTCACAAGACAATAGAAGGGCGAGACAGGATAATATGTCTTGAATGTCTTGGATGTTGGGCTTCGGAGCGACTCACAGTTCCGAGAGGAAGCACTGCCAGGTCCCATTTCCCGACCTCGCCGTCGCCAATGATGCCCTCCATCATCTCGTGAGCGGTGCCGTCGCCGCCTGCGATGATGACGCGGAACGGTGGGGAATGTTCAAGTTTGATCATTCGCCCAATACGGCCGGCGTCGCCAGTAGAGCTAGTGGTGTGGACGTGGTATCGCGAGTTGACGGCATCGAGCAGCGGAACGACATGGTCCTCCACAACTGAAGAGTTAAGCAGACAGCAGAACCCGCTTCAACTCACACTTTGGAGCTGATCCCACACCGGAGACAGGGTTTATAATGATGTGGTAATCCAAGCACTCTTCGGGAATGTTTGGCATGTTGTCGTCGTAAGAGTTGAGGAGAGATAGTGGGAGAATGAGAACAATCGATGGGTATATCACCGCTGATGATCTCATGCGCTTGCGCAACCACTCAGCGGGGCACCACACATTGTGCCGCAAACAACAGACAAAAGAGACATTCTCGCAGGGAAGCATACGGCACTTGCTCTCATGCATGGCTGGAAATGACGATGATGGGAAGCATGCGGCTGCACCGTGTACCCAAATGGTGTATGCTTGGTGCCAGCCCAATGGCGCTAACCATCACCAACCCCCCCAAGATATAGCCAGAGGCAATTCGCCACCCAGGGGCGCGAGGCCCACGATGAGAGAAAGGGACAGGCGCGCGACGCGCCTTTCTTCTTGTTGTCATTTTCCCAACCCATCCATATCCACAACACTCTTTCTCACCACTAGGTCACACCACCACCCACCATGCCGTCGCTGCGGCTGGAAGACGCGTCATGCGCCATCTGCATGGACACGCTCTTCAACCTCAAGAATGACCTGGACGAGGTCATGCCTATCGCGACCCCAGACTGCGGTGAGTACCTTGGTCGGCTTCGGCTGGTTTCCACTTGCCCTCCCCGATACCTTCTTCTGCCTGCCGCACACCCGGTGCTGACTTCGCAGGTCATGTATTCCACGAGAAATGTCTGCTGGACTGGTTCAAAATCCAGTCAGACCAGTACGTCGCGCAGGCGCTCGAACAAGGCATGTGGTCCCCAATCGCCGGCGACGCCCCCGCCGAGTGTCCCCAATGCCGCACCGAGTGCTTTGCAGACGAAGAGACAGGCAAGCCCATGCTCCACCGCCTGTTTATCAACTTTGGCAGCGACGATGGCGGCATGCTCGCCAGCTCCCAGCACCCACCTAGCAGCCCCGCACCTGGCCCCTCGACCCAGCGGTGGGGGCGCAGCTCTGATGCGGCCGCGATGGGCCTGGCACGCCGTGCGCGCAACCTCGCCAACGAGGTGGATGGTTTCACGGCAGAGAGCGACGAGGCAAACGTAAGGGGAACTTTGAGGCGTGCAGAGACGCTCGCGGCGGACGGGCAAGCCATGTCTAGCAAGGCGGGGCAGGCGCTCAAGGTGGGTACCGTGTCCATCAGCCCTCTGACCCCTCAGAAATACGTTGGCGGGCTCAGTGTCGCGCTCAACAAGTTCACAGACCACCTCGAGTCCCACCCTCTTATACCGGTGCTCCAAGCACGCGTCGCGTTACTTGAAGAGGCGAATGCCGGTCAGACGCGCGAACTGCGTAACCTGGAGGACGTTGCGCTTCCCCGCGCTGTCAAGAAGGCTGTCCAGGCGGACCGACTCAAGTCAGAGAAGCACATTAAACGTGCAAATGACGAACGGGACCTCATCCAGCGCGAGCTGGAGAAGGAGCAGGTTGCTCGCGTCACCTTTAAGCGCGCGATGAAGGAGCGAGAGGACGAGCTCGAAAAGCGGATTTCGGATGCGAAGAGGTAGGTCTCAGGGGTCATACTGTCCTATGCTGACCTGCCAGAGCTCTGGACAAGGAGCTGGAGGAGCGTGTGGCTCTCACCGCCACCCTCACCGAGCGTACAAAGATGCTGAAGGTGTACCAGGTCAAGGTGGGTTCCGGGTCCATAAGGCCGTGGTTAACCTATACAGGCCGACTCGCGCAAGGAGCTCAAGGCCCAGATCGAGGCACTGAAAGCTGAGAACGAGCAGCTGAAGGCCTCCGCAATTGCGAGCCCACCACCGCACCCACCACATCTCTCACCGGAGCCCGCCAGGTCAGCTCGCCCATCTGCTGGAACAGCTCGGTTGCTATCGTTTGAGGGAAGCGACAACGACGATGGGAATGAGTCTATGGACATCACCGAGTTAATCGCCTCGGCTCAGAAGAGACGCCGAGCCGCTGCGGCGGAAGAGTCGCTCTACATCGAGCCACCTTCCTTTCTGTTTGACAGCAGCTTCGATGATGCTGGGCCCAGCAAACCCGTCGGTCGATCGACAACATCGAGGACATTCACGTTTGATGTCGACAAAGGCCGTGTGTCGGAGCGCAAGGCTGAGAAGAGGAAGGACAAAGAGCGCGACAAGGAGTGGAGCCGGGACAAGGGTAAAGCGAAGGAGAAGGCGCAGGTGAACGACACCTTACGAGACACTCGGTCGGCGAGGGAAATAGGCAAGAGCAAGTACTTTTTGGACGACGACACCCCCGACCACGCCCACGACATTCTCGTCGCTCCGTCGAGCCCTGTGCACGACGACGTTCTTGTTGCTCAGTCGAGCCCCGTGCGCCTGCCGCGTCGTTCACTGCCAGTGTCTCCCATGGCCTTTGATAACGACGAGTCCCCACCCAAGCGCCACCGCCCAAACCCATTCGCTACTTCCGGGCCCACTGTCGTCGCCCGTCGTCCCCAGTCGGTTGCCGTTGGTCCCAGCAAGCCGGTTCCCAACGTCCACGAGATCCTGGACCTCACAGGTTCGTCGCCTCCCGCCTCGCCTCTTCCCGTGCGTAAGACCTTCAAGCAGCCGCTGCGTCCGAGCGGTACAGGTCTTAACAAGAACCGGACTCCGACCATAGGGGACTACATGTCTATTGCGGAGGGTAATGGCAAGCCGAAGAAGAACTTGGCCATTGGCGCCAAGGTGAAGCGTCGTGCATAGAGAGAGGGGGTGAGAGAGACGGCTTTGGGAGCATTAGCATGTGTATTCTCGTAGATTGGACTATAGTGTAGCATTGATAGCAGCATGGACTGGCCGTATGTAAGGGAACTGTCCTCCACGCGTCAGCAGCAAAATGTGCCTCTGGTCTCTGACTGTTATGGTCCGATCTATAGCATGCACAACCTCTACGACGACAGAAATATCTAAGCGCCAACATTGCCCATCGACTCGACACGGCCCTTGCCCTTGGTCTCGTCGTTGACGAGGTCGGTGATGGCGCGGAACGACGAGGGGCTGATCTTGACAATCTGGCAATGTCAGCTGATGTGAAAGCGAATTCGGAGTACGCAGCTGGTACTCACCGTCTCCCACTCGGCATCCATCTCCTCCTCCTCAACCTCGTCCACAAGAGCCACGACCTTGTCCTTGATCCGCTTGGCATCCTTGCTGGGCATCGTGATCCTCACGCGCATGCGCACACGCTCGAGCGGGAGGACCGAGCCAGGCTGGGACAGCGTCTTGATCAGGTCGAGCGCCTGCGACTTGGCGGCCTTGTCCGCGCGAGTAGAGTATCCGAGCTCGGTCATGGCCTTCTCCACCATGCCGACAGTGTGCTTGCGGCCCGTGGCGGGGTCGACGGTCATCTCGGCGACGAGGGTGGCGATCTCGCGCGAGAGCGCGGCCAGCTGGTGGCTGCGCTCGAGGTTGTTGACTTGCAACTCGCCCTTGCGGAGAATCTGCAAGTCAGCAGGCGCACGCCGGGAGACAGTATGGGCGGTACCACGAGTTATGTCAACGGCTATTGAAGCTGGTGAGGAGTTGGGATCGAGCAGCTTCATAACCGTGGCCATGGCCAGCGCCTGCCGCCGACTCTTGTCCGCTGGAAGCCTCTACTCACTTCCTCAATGACCTTGTTCATGTCGTCGGTGCCGAATGCCTTGGTCCAGTCCTCCTTCTTGGCCGCCTGGCCCTTGGGCACGTTGGTGAACACCTGCTCAATCTGGAGGACCTCGGACAGGTCCGTCTCGACACCTGTACGGAACTCGTTGACCTTGTTCTTGTAGCATGCGATCTGGGTGATTGTCAGTGACTGTTCCGACCAATTCAAGGGCAACCTGAGAGCTCAAGACCTAGCAGAGTGGTGAACAGCTCGTCGCAGTGGCAAGAGATCTCACGACAGGAGAACATGACACTGACCTCGAAGCGCTTGCCGCCCTTCTTCATCTTGACGATGGAGACGTTGGTGAGCCTTGGTCTGTCAGCTTCGTCTGTAAATATTTGAGCTGAGGGCCTACTTGATGTTTGTCCCTGGTTGCCTGATCATGGTTGCGTTGGTGGTGGTGTGGAGAGTGGATGACAATCAACTTTTGCAAACCTCGCGACGTCATGACTGTTCTTCCCTCTTCCCTTTCGGTCCCGAGTGGCGGGCGGCAGACTCGTGTCTTGCTTTGGAACGTGGCCCACTCGGCTCCGTTGCAGTACCAGAAAGCATCTATGCAGGCAGAGGCGTATATGCCATTCATTCATTCATGCATGCTGTGCTCGCTGCTGATGCATGCAAGACCCCCATGGTGGGCAGATGGGGCAGCAAGATTGTTTGTGACAACTTAACGGTTTACGCCAATAAATTCTCTGTCGATCACCAAACTTGGATTCGACGACCGCATGTCAACTTGTCAACGCCATCACAACTGTAGCCTCCATCTCCCCTCACTCTCCTCCATCCCCACCACCAACATGCAGTCCAGCACCTACGGCGGCTACCAGGGCCCCACTCGCCCGCCTGCGAGCTCCACTCTCACTAGCCTTCTCGCTCAGGCAAACTCCCTCAACGACGTCGACCATGACCCCGAGCTCCCGCAGATCCGCTTCGGCATCGACGAGATTGAGCGCATGAGCGAGGCTGTCGCTGGACGTGGCAAGCGTTCCAAGGCCGTCAACGGCGAGGGGTGAGTGTACTGTGGCTACCAGGTTGTATTACCTCTCACTGGAAGCCATTGTGCCGCTCGTGATGCTGACCTGCTCCAGCCACACGCTCTTGTCCAACCTTGGCATCAACACCTCGCGTCTGTCGCACGAGATTGCCGCTCTCCCCGCTGCTACAGCTGAGCAGTCTCGCCCCAAGCGCCGTAAGCGTCTTGCTCCCCTCGGTGACCTCGGACCGGCCTACGCCGTCAGCGACGGTGACGTTGGCGCATGGGGCCGCAACTGGCACGAGATGGTGATTCTGTCGGGCATCGAGGTCCAGCGCCAGAAGACTGTCAAGTCGTTCCAGGCCCAGTTCCAGCAGCGCATCTTGTCGCAGTGGGACGCGGAGAAGAGCCGTGTCCTCCAGGATGAGCTTGGCGTGACCGACGACGAGCTCGCGCGCCTCTCGTCCGGTGCTGGTTCGTCCAAGGACGGCGCTGGCCTCCTTGGCGTGTCGGCTCTGGGCGCTTCGCGTCTCGGTGCCAGCACCCGCCGCTTCCCCCTCGCGCAGTCCAGCTTTGGCAAGTCGACTGTTGAGGCGCGTGAGGGTGGCCTCGTCATGCACAACAAGGCGATGAAGTACGAGAAGGTTGTGTCGACTCTCAACCAGCGCCGTCTCCGCAAGGAGCCATTCCAGATCTGCCAGGCATTCGAGCAGACCGCCAAGGGCGACCAGGTGAGTGGTGTGAGCAGGTCTACCGAGACGTCACAATACAGCTGCATACTCGTCCTGGAAATTTGCTTACACTTTACAGAAGTACCCCCTCCTCCCCACTGCCTACTCGATCCTGTCGCACATCACGCAGGAGGCGTCGGTCAGCTCGACTGGCGAGACCGTCGGCGAACGTCAGTACTCCAAGGCGTACTTGGCTGCTCCCAACTCGAACCAGTCGGTGCTACTCAACGGCCGTCTCGCCCAGGGAGCACGGAGGTACCTTGAGGTTGCGTTTGAAAAGTACATCGACGACACCATTGCCAAGAACCCCAAGGAGGCTGCTCTTGGTGGTGTTCCCGGCATCACCAACAAGGTGCGCGCCTTCGTCGACGTGACCCTGCGCTCCAAGGAGACTCAGGACGCATACCGGTGCGAGGTTGTTGGCGGTATCAAGCTGTGGGCGCAGACGTACTACCTCATGCGCGCCGGCTACGCTCAGGAGGCGCTCGCCCTGGTCGAGACTCACCAGCACAACGTCAAGAAGGACGACTGGTCGTTCCCCGGTAGCTTCAAGACATACCTCTCGTCGCCTGAGCGTCGTCTGCCCAAGGCCCAGCGCGACCAGCTGATGAACGACTTCAACGCCCACCTCCGCAACAGCACTACCTGCGACCAGTTCAAGTTTGCCTTGTACAAGCTCATTGGCCGCATCGAGATCAACCGCCGCGTCCTCAAGGTGGCCCCCACCACCGAGGACTGGGTTTGGTTCCAGCTGGGGCTTACCCGCGAAAACATTGACAACGACGCGCCCCAGGACCGCTTCGACCTCACCAACCTTGCCGACCTTGTCCTCAAGTACGGTGCTGACAAGTTTGACGCCGGTGGCACCCGCCCCATGGCTTGGTTCAACCTCCTTCTCTACACTGGCCAGTTTGAGCGCGCTATCGCATACCTCTACTCCAAGCCGGCGCTCAAGACCGACGCCGTCCACTTTGCCATCGCTTTGCAGTACTATGGTCTCCTCCGCGTTCCCGGCCCCACCGCCGACCCTGCCATTGACCTGCTCACCGTCGACGAGGACACTGCCTATCTCAACTTTGCCCGCCTCACCCAGCTGTATGTCGCTCCCTTCCACAAGGTCGAGCCCCAGACCGCTCTGCAGTACGCCTATCTCGTGGCCCTTGGCGCCGATGCTCCCGCCCCCACTGGTGCTGCTCAGCGCCAGGCTGCCCTCGACCTCGTCCGCGACATTGTTGTGGGCTCGCGTAGCTGGTCCAAGCTCCTTGGCTCGGTTCGCGCCGACGGTTCCAAGGAGCAGGGCATCGTTGAGCGCGACCTCGCCCTCCTGGGTCTCTCAAGCGAGGACGACTACCTGTCGTCGGTTGTCCTTGCTGCCGCCGACCAGGCCTCCGCCGACGCGAGCCTCGCCGACTCGGTCGAGCTCTACCACCTTGCTGGCGCATACGACAAGGTCGTCGAGAGCGTCAACCGCGCCCTGGGCCACAGCCTCGGCACCGCCGGTGCTCCGTACGACGCCGCCCAGGCGCCTACGACCGTCGGCCTCTCGGGTGCGTTTGGTGGCGCCACCGACCTCGAGGACCTGGCTGCCCGCGTGCGCTCCCTGTACGCCCACGACTTTGCCAGGCGCTCGCGCATCTCGCAGCGCAACTGGGAGACCCTCGAGGTGCTCCTCAAGCTCAAGCTTGCCATGTCCCAGTTCCTGGCCAACCGGCCAGACCACGCGCTCGAGACGCTGCGCTTGACCAACCTCTTGCCGCTGGACAACGACACTGCGTCCATCTCGCGCTACGCCCAGCGCTTCCGCGACATGCTCGACCAGCCCGTCGTGTCCAACCTCGACGACGTGATTGTCACCACCATGAAGTGTCTCCTGCAGCTCAGCAACGCGCTCAAGGAGAGCCCGTACGGCGACCACGGCCGCATGCAGCAGCTCGCAAGCTACAAGCACCAGGCCCAGTGCTTGATCCAGTTTGCGAGCACCCTCCGCCTCCGTCTCGGTCCCGACGTGTACCGCCAGCTCTCGAGCATGAGCGCGTTCTTCTAGGCCGGCTAGCGTGGACGAGTTTGGCGGTGGAGTACAGGAGTAGTAGTGATAGGGGAAGAGAATCGAGATAGGTGCTTGTTTGGAAGGGGTTAGATGATGCACTACATTTATAGGTTACCTAGCTGTGCATGTCGACCGATGCACGCCCAGGAATCGCTGCGCCCCAGTGAGAGTGAGCATGTCAGACGTTTAGGCACTTGCACTTGGTCAACCTCCTGGCGATTCTTGGTGCCCTGCCCACTGCAACGACACACAGCTCTCAATTGTGGATGTGTTCAATAATGCACTACATGTGATCGTCCTCGGGGTCTTCTAGTATATGGCTTGGGCTAGCTAAAAGCCAAGGCGTCTGCGGCTACGTTTGGGTATACGGTATACACGTATAGTTATAGAAAAGAGGCAACCAGACAGCCAGCCTCTTGACACTTGTGGTGGTGGTGGTGGGCGGGGGGGCAAGTCCGCGCACGCTGCGCTTTGCGCTTAAGCACCACCGCCCGAACGCTCGACGGGGATGCGGGCGGCCTTGGAGTCCTCGTCCAGCTTGGCAATGTGGGTGAAGGCGTTGTCGAGCTGGAGCTCCTTGAGGCCCGCGGCAATGTCGAGGAAGTGCTCAAAGTCGACGGCGCCGGTACGGCCAAAGTCGACCTCGGCGAGGATGCCGTCGGCGGTGGCCGTGTTGGGCGTGTAGCCCATGTTCTTCATGGCGTGCATGAGGTCGTCGCGGGTGATGCGCTGGTCGTTGTCAAAGTCGAGCTTGGCAAACTGCTCCTTGAGGCGCGTGAGCTCCTTGGGCGAGAAGGCAGAACGGGCGTAGACGGCGGCCTCGGTCTTGTTGATCAGGCCAAGGACACCGGCGTTGCCGCCACGGCTGCGGACCTCGTCAAGCGTGAGCTTGGTGGTCTGCGGCAGACCCATCGAGTAGAGGTACTGGATGGCGTTCTCAAACTCCTCGCGCTTGGTCTTGCCGTCCCAGCCGAGCTCCTCGCCCATAATGTCAATGATGCGCGGCAGGGCCTCGAGGGTGACCTGGACGTTGAGGAAGGAGAGACGGGTACGACGGCCGACAAAGTCGGTGGCATGGAGGGCAAACTCGTGGCGGACGGCGTAGCGGGCCTCGCCCTCGAGGTAAGGGTAGAGGGGCGACAGACGGGTGCCGTGGATGGGCCACGAGAGGCCAGTGGGCTTCTCCATCGAGGCCACGGCCCAGGCGCGGTCTCCGTACGACTCGGACAGGTGCTTGGCAACGTCGGTCTCAAGACCGAACTGCTGGATGAGCTTGATGTACATGGTCGGGGTCCATGCGTGGGCGCCAATGAGCTTGATGCGGGCAGTCTGCGAAGGGCCGTTGGGCTTGAGGTCAAACTCCTTGATGGCAGCGTCGACAGTCTCCTCGGCCATGGCACGGCTGATACGTTAGCCACAGTCACAAGGGAGGAGGGGAGGGCAATGGTACAGCTAACACCTGGGGGCGCGAAACCCAAGGCACCAATCGTTACTCACTACGTGGTCCACTTGCCGCCGGCAATGGTCAGGAGACCGCCCTCGGAAATGTTGATCATGTGGTTGCGAACGAGCGACTCGGTGTTCTTGGCCGCGGGGTCGCGGACGAGGGGGCGGATACCGGACCAAGCCGAGAGGACGTCACCACGACGGACCTTGATGTCGGGGCTCAGGTAGCGACGGACCTCGTCGAGGATCCACTGGATCTCCTGCTCCTGGGGAATGGGGTTCTGGTCGACGTCGCAAGGCGAGTCGGTGGTACCAGCGATGACGTTACCCTGCCAGGGAAGGAAGAAGATGACACGGCCGTCCGAGGTGGCAGGGTCGAGCAGACCCATGGTCTTGGGGCCGTAGTAGTTCTGTACAAGTCAGTAAACGTGATGACGTCGGTTTGGGCAACAGCTGCCCTGCACCACAGTCGCGGTAGTCACTTACAGGCAGGGTGATGTGAACACCGGACGAGGGGGCGACAATGTTCTGGATGGTAGGGTCGTCGAGCTTGCGGACACCGTCAGAGAAGGGGCCGGTAGCGTTGATGACACCGCGGCAGCGGACAACAAACTCCTCGCCGGTCATACGGTCCTTGAGGGTCGCGGCGTGGATGCGGAGCTTGCCAAGCTTGGTGGGGTCGATCTGCTTGTGGAGAGCGACGACCTCACACTGGTTGGCGACAATGCCGCCGTGCTGGACAGCGGTCGAGACGAGGGCCATGTTCATGCGCGAGTCGTTGTGCTGGCCATCATAGTAGACGACCGAGCCGACCAGACCATCGGTCTTGAGCATGGGGAAGGCCTCGAGCGAACGACCGGGGCCCATCCAGTACGCGCTCTCCATGTTCTCCTTGCCGGCAAGGAGGTCGTACATTTTGGAGCCGACGTAGTAGTAAGGAAGCTGCCACCAGGTGTAGACGGGCAGGAGGATGGGGACCATGTTGGAGAGGTAAGGGGCGGTGGTGAGGAAGATCTTGCGCTCACGGAGGGCCTCGCGGACGAGCTTGTACTGCTCGTAGTCGAGCTCCATGATGGCCTTCTGGAGGTAGCGAACACCACCGTGGACGAGCTTGGTCGACTTGGACGAGGTACCCGAGGCAAAGTCGTCGCGCTCGACCATGGCAATCTTGAGACCACGGGATGCCGCGTCGAGGGCAGTACCAGCACCAGTCGCACCACCGCCGACAATAAGGAGATCGAAGACGTCGTCGTCGTCGCTCTCCTTGCCAATCTTGGACAGGTCGACGGTACCGGGCTCGGGGCCGCCGTGCTCGGTACGCTTGATAAAGACACCAGAGGTACGCAGGTGGTCGAGCATCTGCTTGCGGGTCATGGGCGCCCAGAGGGGGCCGGGACGACGCTTGGTGACGGGTGTGTTGCCCTCGAGGGCGGTCTCACGCTGGGTAGCGTAGAGCGTCCCTGCTGCGACCACCGAGGTGGCCGCGACGAGGGCGGCGCGACGCGACGGGAAGAGAGCCGCGCGGAACATGGAAAATCAGGTGAGGGGGAGTGGGTTGTTGTGAGAGGAGGATGCGAGAGCAAAGATGGATAGCTGTCGCTCGCTTTCGGCGGGTCGGGTCCGACAGAGGTTGTGAAAACTCACTGATAGGTGGTCAGCGACGTCTCCTTCGGACTGGCTTTTCCTTGTGGTTGTCACACTTGGGGAGCGGGGTTGCGGGGTACGTACAGTCAGAAAAAACGAGTCACACGTGTGCCGAGCCACAAGCAAGGTTCGTGGTGGAGAGAGTAACCGAGAGAGAGAAGAGCGCGCTGGTGGTGTGCTCTGTTGCGAGGCCAGTTGCGAGCACTGCGGGTAGTGGGCAACCGGGGAACGTGTGCGAGATGGGAGAGAGAGGAAATGGAGACGGTGTGTTAACCGACCGATGCCTCTTTGTATGCCGTCGTGTTTCCAATCTAACTCCTACCCACCTACCCGCCGCCGCCGCGCCGTCCTGGCCGCTGCTCGCTGGTTTCCTCGATGTGCACCCTTGCCGAGAACTCGGCGTGCATGGCCCGCCGCTGCCGCCCCGCCGGTGTCGGTCCGGCCGGCCCGTGATCGGGACTGTCTGCTGTTTTCTGTCCTTTGCACGGGCAACCCTATGCTGCCCATTGTCTGCCTGTGCTGCAAGTCCTGCGTTTATGCCAACCGTGGCGTGCTATTCCCAACCTGCATAAGAGAGTCTCGCGGAGACGCGCGGTCGTGGGCAATGAGGAGCCATGGGGCCATGGGTGGGGCTAGCTAGCACTTTAGGCCCAGCGACGTCGCTGGCAGTTTGTAACTCGCAAGGCACGGCGCGGCCACGGTTACCGGCTGGCAATATGCAACAACGCGGCCACGAGGACAGGCAAATAATCAAGGCAACAACGTTCTGTGCGCACATGCTCTCTCTCGTCAAGGGCAGGCCGTTCAGCGTGCCAGCGTGCCAGCGGCTGCCCTTAGCTAGTTGCTAGTTGCAGCTAACATGCCTGCTGCTGCGACCTTCCGAGCTTTGAAAAAAAAACTTGAAAACGGGTAAACCCTCTCGAGGCATGGGCGGCCACTGCTCTGCTCCTCTCCTGTGCTGCAGCTGTTCAATGGCTCAATGCCGTTGATCCTGACAACAACCAATGCCGAGAAGGGCCAAGGTGGGCCTAGAGGCCTAGAGTTGAGTGCCTGTGGTGGGCTCCCTCCCCAATCTCTCCAGCCATTCGCAACACATGAACGGGATGGCCCTGCATTATCATATCGGTGAATGTGACACACCTCTTCTCGCTCGGCGGCCATGACTACTGCCGCCAGAGCAAAGCAGGGCCCGCATACTACATACAGGATCACAGGATCGCAGGATATACAGGACCGTACCTACAGGACGCGTGCACAGGGAGCACCCACCATACGGCCAGTCCGGCCAGACCGGCACATTCGACGCCGGAGACCGCCGGCCGCACAGCTGATGTCATATCTCGCACAACTCTTCCCAACTTTGGCCTCGCTATCCCCAACAGCCGTGCCTGGGTCCATGGCAGCTATCCCCAACTTGCCTTCTGCTATCCCCAACTTGCTCCTCACTATCCCCAACTTGCTCCTCGCTATCCCCAACCTTGAAAAACACACATTGCAATGCAGCCATTTAGACCATATCACCTCATCTGCAGGCCCACGTAACCCCCACCGCCTGCATTTTCACACCGCGTCTAACCGATGGATGCAACCGCGCCGAAGGAACGGCCGCCACCCGACCCCGCCGGACAACATACACCGGCGCCAGTCGTGTCCTAGTTGGTGTACTGTGCGTTCTTCATTGCTGCCAGACTGCCCGTCGCACGTGCAAGCGCGACCGAGGACCGGGTGGGCGCTTCGTCCGCTTCAGTCGTCGATCCCGGTGTGCCGTATCCGCCGCCACCGGGCGTGTTGATGACAATGCGGTCGCCGGGCGACATGACACACTGGTTGCTGCCGCCCAGGTTGATGACAGTGTACCGCGCCTCGTCCTCCTTGTCGTCCTCCTTGTCGTCCTTGAGTTTGCGGTACCAGAAGTTGGCGCCGCACCCACCGGGCTCGCCGCCTGCCATGCCGTATGGCGGAACCACGCGGCGCTGCGACAGGATGGCCACGTCGAGTTCCTCGGTGAACTCGATGTCACGCACACAGCCGTCGCCGCCGCGGTGGCGGCCCTCGCCACCCGAGTGGTGGCGGCGAGAGAATTCGCGGATGATGACGGGGTACACGCGCTCGGTGAGCTCGACGTCGCCAATGGCCGTCTGGACTGGGTCAGCCGATTGGTATCGCGCGCCGGGCGCCAAGCTATACCCACGTTTGTCATGTGGACGTGCACACAGCTCTGGCCGTCCCAGTTGGGACCAGCGCCTGCTCCGCCGCTGAGAGTTAGCGTCGTTTCATCCAATGTTAACTCACGCAATGGTCTCATAGTATCCGAAACCATTGATGGTTTTGCCGTCAATCTCGCGAGGTCCAATGCCGAACGTCAGGCTAGATTATGTCAGCTGGCGATGGATAACCCTTCTACAGCTTCCACTCACTTGTTGCAGCCACCCTGACTGGCAGCACACGACTGGAACGCCTTGAAGATGACGTCGGTGACACGCTGCGAGCTCTCCACGTTACCTGCACACACGGCGACATTCTCGCCCGGCGCCAGGACGCTCTCGGGTGGCACAACCACCTTGATGGGGTTGAGACAGCCCTGGTTGAGCGGCAGGTCGCTGACGATCAGCGAACGCAGAACGTAGATGATGGCCGAGTAGAGGATGGCTGTGGGCGTGTTGAGGTTGTTGTAACTGGCCATGTCAGTTGGTGCTGCACCAGCGATCGTCCAACTCACGTCTGGGGGCTTGTGCCCGTAAAGTCAAACACGGCATCGCCGGCCTCGCCGTCGATCGAGACCTTGAGCACGAGACGGGTTCCGTCGTCGAGATAGTCTACAGCTTCGAGGGGCTTGCCCTCGAACCGCTTGCTGACTTCACGTAGGAGATCGCGCACAGCGCGCTCGGCAGTGTGCATGATCGCCTTCATGTAAAACTCTACCGTGTCGAGAGACTGCTCGTTCACGAGCGCGTTGATGAGGACGGCACCACGGTGGCAGGCAGCCACCTGGGCGTGCAGGTCGGAAATGTTGTCGCGGAGCGTACGCGTCGGGCTGCAGCCGGGATACTTGCCCGGCGCGTTCAGGTGCTCAATCAGACCCTCCTCGTCAAACTTGCCCTCGTTGACCAGCTTGAACGACTTGAACTGCGCACCTTCCTCCCAAAGCTCCTTGGAGAAGGGGGGCATTGAGCCGGCACGGATCTGGGAGTGTCAGATGTGCTTCCTTTCATCAGCGCATCTGACTCACGCCTCCAATGTCAGCGTGGTGGGCACGAGCCGCCGTCCAGAACACAATTTTGCCCTCGTGGAACGCCGGCATGATGACTGTCAAGTCGGGCAGGTGGGAGCCACCAGCAGCCGGGTGGTTGGAGAGGAGAATGTCACCCTCCTTGAGGGTGTTGCCATGGATGCGGGCCTGGTGACGGACGGCATGTGACATGGCACCGAGATGGATAGGAATGTGAGGAGCGTTGGCCACCAGGCCGCCGTCGACGTTGAAGATGGCACACGAGCTGGTGGGTTAACAAAAGTCTTACCACTGTTCACCCACTAGTCAAGACGCTCCTTGATGTTCAGCGAGATGGAGATCTTACGCAAGATGTTTCCCATCTGCAGGGGTCAGCGACTGTCCAGGGCCTAAACCTCACCTGCTCCGCAATACCCATGAGCCTGTGTCCGTATACCGACAGCTGGACAGGGTCGACCTGGTCAAGATCGGTAGTGTTCACCTCCTTGGTCACGACCTTGTCCTCGATGCGGTCAATGATGACATGTTCAGGCAGCGAGGTGGCCATGTCAGTGGGCTCGACAAGGATGGTCTGGGTCTTGTCAAAGATGATTGCGGGGCCCTGGTGGTGTCAGTTACAGTCTTAGAAAAGGATGCTGTAACTTACGCGGACCTGCTCGCCCTCCTTGAGCGCCAGCAGAGGAACCACCTGGGTCTCGATCCAGCCCGAGCCCTCAAAGTAGACCTGCTTGCTCTCAAACGACGACGCGTCGTAAGGACGCAAAGTGGCGTTCTCAAAATCGGCGTACGGGCTGCGGACGGTCGATCCCAGGCTCTTTCCGACAGCACGGATACGGATGTCGTCGACCAGAATGTCGCGCTCGAGGTTGAAGCCAAACTCGTGGCGATGTTGGTCCACAAACACCTTCTCGACATCGCCGTCCTCGGGCAGCTCAACCATGAGCTGAGTGGACGAACCGCTGTAGCGGCAGTTGAGGTACAGCTCGCAAACGATACGGTCCTTGGGGAATCCTTGGGCCTCGAGCGTTTTCTCTGCGGTAGCAACGAGGGCCTTGACGCGTTCAGAGATTTTCTTAATGTCCCGGTTGCCAGTGACGATGAACGCCGCTGGCTCGGAAATCTCCTTGACGACGTCAGCAAGCGCCATGCCGTACGCTGAGAGGAGCGATGACAGTCGAGGGACAATGATACGTTTGATGCCCAACGTCGACGCAATAGCGCAGCCGTGCTGTCCACCAGCGCCACCAAACATGACCAGATGGTGCGCCGAGCTCTCAAACCCGCGGGCCTCGGTGAGCCTGGAGAGGTCAGCAGGAGTTTAGTTTAGCGAGACCTCACGTTCTGATGGGACGACACATGGTCTCGTTGGCTACGCGAAGGAATCCTGCAGCGACCTCTTCGAGTGTGAGTTTGTCAGTCTTGCCCGAGTTGATCTCTTCCCTGAGCTGGGCGAACAGCGTCTTGCTGGCCTCGATGTCGAGCGGTTCGTCCTCGTTCGGACCAAAGATCTTGGGGCTGCGGGTTAGCGGATCCATACAGAGTCCTGTACCCACAAGTGCTCAGGCAGGAGGCGCCCGAGGATGAGGTTGGCATCAGTGACAGCCAAGGGGCCGCCCTTGCGGTAGCATGCAGGACCCGGATGGGCAGTTGCGGACTGCTGGGTTAGAGATGCTCGTCGCGGTTACCCACCTCAGGGCCAACGACAAACATGCCGTGGCGGTAGAACAGTCGACTGCCACCGCCGGCGGCGACGGTGTTAATGTCAAGCTGGGGTGCTTGAATGATGACTGGCGTCAGCTCTGTTCCTGGAGTAGGATCTCACCTTCAGCCGTGGTCGTCTCAAACACATGCTCGAGCTTGCCGTCGTAACGAGAGACATCAGTGCTGGTACCTACGCCAGTTAGTGTCAGGACGAAGACTCCGAAACTGACCTCCCATGTCAACGGCAATAAGAGCACTGCCACGCTCGGCATCGTAACAGGTCTTGGAGTAGCCAATGACACCTCCCGCCGGTCCGGAAAGAATAGCACGAAGGCCGGAGAAGCTGTCCCACGCACACAGACCGCCGTCAGACTGCATGAAGAGGAGCTTTTGGCCAAACGCCTCGAGGCCACCGGCGAATCCCGCACCAAAGCCCTCAATGTACCGCCTAGTTACGGGAGTGAGGTAGGCATCGGCAATGGCCGAGTTGGCACGCGAGACGAGCTTGATCATGGGCTGGAGCTGCGCAGAGACGCTGACCTCGAAACCCATCTCCCTGGCGATGGCTGCCACCTGGTCCTCGTGCTCGCCCCAAAGGTACGAGTGGACAAAGGCGACGGCGATGGACTTGATGCCCTTGTCCCACAGAGCCTGTAGCTTGGTCCTGACCTCGGCGGGGTCGGGGCGGGACAGGACGCGAATGGTCTCGCCCGTGGTGGTCTCGATGACAATGTTGGCGTCACCAGTGGGTACAGGGACGTCAGGGGAGACGAGGGACTGCAGGGGTGTGATACGCTCGTCTACCTGATGCAATTAGATTACACACGCTTGTCCAACCACTTACCTCGACCACCTCGTCATAGAGGAAGGCGAGCTTCTGGATACTCAGGTCGAAGATATCCGGACGAGCTGATGTTAGTGGCTACCGACGAGGTTCATAAGCTCACCTTGCATGCCGATGAGAAGAACATCGCCCCAGCCCTTGCTGGTGATAAGAGCACAGCGCTCCCCATGGCGTTCGAGAAGAGCATTGGTCGACACAGTTGTACCCATACGAATCGACTCGATACGGTCGAGGCTGAGCTTTTGGTCCTTGGGGATCTCCCTGCCCTCGAGCTCGCTGAGGACACGGCGAATTCTGATGGGTGAGCGGTTTAAACAGGCATATCACCCACGCCTCAGTTGGAGCATCCTTGTAGTTTGCTGGGTCGACAGAGAGGAGCTACAAGGTGAGTAAGCGGAAAGGTGGGGGGAAGGCAGGAGGACTCACCTTTATCACAATGTCTTGGTGTCCCTTGCACGAGGCATGTAAATCGGTAAAAGTGCCTCCGCGGTCCACGGCAATGCGAGCAAGAGCTCCCTCGCCTTGGGATGTCATTGTGGTGCAAGGAGGGGGTGTTGAGGATGGTAGAGGCAGAGGACGAGATTAGGGACTGTACGGACTGTGGATGTCGACATCGCGCATCGCGGCGATCGCCGGGGGTGGAGGCGGGGCAAGGGGAGGGGGTTAATGGGAGCATCCTTATCATTTCTATAAGGTGAATATTCACACGTGTATATAATGTTAAGCATTTAGGAAAACAATGTCGTAATGGAGAAGCTAATGGACAAGAAGCGAACCGGGGGGTGTGTTCCTGAGGGAGAGGCCCCCCCGTATGGCGGGTGGATGGGATGGATTCCCCCCCTGTAAGCCTTCATCAATCGCTCCATTAACCCGTCACAACAAACGCTGGTGTCGTGCGAGAGTGCGCACTCTCTGCAGTCCAGCAATTGCCACCCACAACCAGCCAGCCAGGTCGTCGGCTCTCGCACAAAACTCTATATTCCCAAAACATACCCCGCACTTCTCCAGCCAGCCTCCATCGCCATCGCGCAATCCAAAGGCCGCTCCACCCATCATGGCGGGTATATCTCCCTTGACCTTTGCCATGTACGACACCCCATCTCTTTCGTCGTCCACACAGTCAATCCCCACTCAGTTCGTCAGCGACGAGTCCATCACAGACGCCTACGCCTTTGACGTCGACGACTCCGAGTCCGAATCTGCCTCTGCACTCGACGTACCCGCAGCCAACATGAGCGACGATCCCGTAGTCCTCTGCCCGTCCTGTGAGAAGCCGCTGCCGGCCTCTGTGTTGGAGGGGCTCCATGACGCCTCACGAACCCCTCGTCGGCAAGCCTTGAAGACGCCCCACTCGCACACCGACGAGGCAGTGACCCCGACAAAGCCTCAGTTTGGACAGATCGTTTCCGGGAGCCCCTCAGATGCCAGGTCATCTGCATCTGTGGAGGCCGCACGCACAGACACACCAGTCACGACCGAGTCGCTAAAGGAGTCACTCAACACCGCCGACGACGCCGACGCTTTGGCCGCAAAGCTGGTCATCAGCGACGACGACATTCGCCGGTGGAGCTCACTCGCTGGCGTCAAAGTCGCTGGACCGCCCAAGACTTCGCCACCAACAAGCAACATTGTTGCTCCCATTCCGACTCGCGCCGAGGCCTCTAAACCCTTCCCCCTCCTGCCGCCCCCACCTGTCACTGCCTCCAAGGTATTGGCCAAGTCATCTGACTCGCGGTCCTCGTCCCGGTTCGGGTTCTTCTCACGGAAGAAGACGGCCGAAGATGAGAGCGAGGACGACTCTGACGACGACGGCCCACAGGGCTATGCAAGATTAGGTGCGCCCGGCTCGGACGATGACGATGACGGGTACGAGAGCGATAAGCCGTTCTCAAAGAAGGTCTCCAAACCCGAATCCGAGCCCGAGGCGACAGAACCCGAGGGAGATGTGAAGCAGGAGGAGCAGCCCAAGACGGTCACGCCCCCACCAGCAAAGGCGGCGGAGGAGTCGACCAATGGGTCTGACGCCGACTTGCGTGCTCTGTTGACAGAAGTGCTAGGACGAGTTCAGGCCTTGGTGGGTTCACATCGTGAGGTGCCTCGCTAACCCCACACAGTCCAAATCACACGGGGATCTGTCCACATCACACGCCACGCTCCTGACATCACTCAAGATCGCCCGGTCCAACCTCGTCATGGCAGAGGCGAACACAGAGATGCTCGAGGAGGAGCTCAAGCGAGCCAAGGCTGCTGTCACATCTGCTCCCCCCACTGTTGGCCGGTTCACCCAGCCCGGTGTGCCCCGCGGTTCGACCGACCAGCCCCGCGCGTCATCAATAGACACCAAGGCCCGCCCTGCTTCCATCCAGATGGCAGCCGCAGCCAGTGGACCACCTAACGGCAACAAGAGCGGCGGCGGTTTTGGGTTCTGGAGCAACGGCAAGAAGAAGAATGGCCTTGGCTCGCCTACCGACTCTGAGCACCCCCGCCCATCGGCATCGCGTTCAGCCTCGACCAACGCCGGCGCCAGCGACGACGACGAACTGCGCAAGCTGCGTGAGCAGCTCCAGACGCAAAACACCGAGCTCGAGGCGCTCAAGGTCGGCAAGAAGGAAATTGAGGCCGAGCTCGAGGGCCTTTCACAGGCACTGTTCGAGGAGGCCAACAAGATGGTTGCGGACGAGCGCAAGAGGCGCGCCGAGATTGAAGAGAACCTTCGGGAAGTGAAGGACGAGCGCGAGGCACTCCGCCAAACCATCAAGGTGCTGGGAGGACCCACCCCGCTCCCTGGTACACCCATGGGCGAGTTGGCAGACGACCCGCAACCACGCGACCTTGACATGCACTATGCTGCCTTGCGGCGGAGTATCCACCACGTCGTGGACGGTCCCACGCCAGAGCCGAGCGACCCAACAAGCGACGACGAACGAGGCGACACGGCGACAACGGACAGCGCGTCAGACGCGGACCGTATTGACTCTGACCTCCACGAGTCCGAGTCCCCTGCCAGCACCAGGCCGACCCTTGCAACAGGTATTCCCGAGCCACCCCACGCGGCATACGAGGAGGCCAACCCATGGGCTGCTGCCGCCGCGCCGCAGGCCGTGTTGTAATCGTAAGGGAGTGCGGCGCCGCACCACACAGACGCACGGAAGGACAGTTCTCCTTATGTACTATACGTATCGTTATCCCCGGGTTCTAGGTCATACGTAGTGTCCGGTGTCTCTACCATTATTCAGTCTGGTATGCGGTCATAGAGAGCGAGCACACGACCACACATATTACGTAGTTTGGATGGGTATATCCTCCCATTACACCATTACAAGTGCATTTGTAATCCCATTTAGCAATACCGAGTAGGCGTGCCAGCTTCGCCACACGTGCCTATCACTTTCGGGCTTTTTTCGCGGCACCAAATGGGCGTCGAGATTTCGGAGACTCTCGTCGATGCAAGCTGCCTTTTCGTGAACCATAGAGCGTATACCCCTCATCTACACTTTCACGACCACCACCATGAGCGTGCGTACAGCGACCACGACAGCACACGGCACGACATGCCCGGCGCGCAGATACGGACCCTATCGCGACTTTGGGCGCTGCCCCTCCCGCAGCGCCCCGTCCCGTTTTGCGTCTTTGAGCGTCCGCGCGCCGGAACGTTGCGCCGAAGTGTTGAAGTGTTCAAGTGTCCAAAGCAAAGGCCGGCCGCCCTCCCCCGGCCCGTCCTTGTGTTGGTGTATCACCATGCTGACATCTACGACAGGCTCCCAGGACTGTCCTCCGCGCCCTCCGCGCCTCGTCGTCGCGCGCCGCCTACCGCGCCCCCGCCCGCGCGTTCTCGGTCACCCGCGTCGCCCGTGAGGAGGCTGCCCCTGCCGCTGCTGTCTCGCCCAAGATTGCCAGCATTGTCGACTCGGTCGAGGGCCTTACCCTTCTTGAGGTCTCGGAGCTCGTTTCGGCCCTCAAGGTGTGTATTTCTGGATAATGGGAGAGTGGACGGAGAGGCGCAGAAGAGAGACGAGGATAGGGATGGGGAAGAGGTTGTCGGGGACGCCAGCGGGCTGGGTTGGAGCAACGAGGAGGACGTTGGCCAGCTTTGGCAGGGCGTCCAGCCTCTTACGCTCCTCGTTGCTTTCCGACTGGCGTCGGAGCCCTTCATTCTGGTGGCTTTGGGTTATCAACTTGCCAGAGCATCGAGGATTGAAGGCTCCATCGGCACCCAAAGCCTTCGGCACAACACTGAGATGGGAGAAAACAAAGTTGCTCAGAACCTCGAGCTGACCCTTCTCTCAGACCCGCCTCAACATCACCGAGGTCGCCATGCCCGCTGCCTCCGCCGCCCCAGCAGCCGCTTCGGCCGCTGCCGCCGAGGCCCCCGTCGAGGAGAAGCCCAAGGAGAAGACCATGTTCACCGTCACCCTCAAGGCCATTGACGCCTCGGCAAAGGCCAAGATCATCCGCGAAATTAAGTCTCTTAACTCGACAATGTCGCTTGTGGAGGTGTGTACAGTGCTAGACCATGCGCCGGCTGTTCGCTGACTTGTTTTTTTTTCTTTCCCCAGGCCAAGAAGTTTGTCGAGTCGGTGCCCCAGATGATCAAGGAGAACGTGCCGAAGGAGGACGCCGAGAAGCTCCAGAAGACCCTCGAAGGCCTCGGCGCCACTGTCGAGCTGTCATAATTGCATTTCTCGATATGACGAATGGCATGCACACACATTTCTTAGGGAAAAAAAGGCCACATGCGCGCGGTTCGTCATTGAGAAACACCAACGAGACACTTGGGAGGCAGCCTGGAGATCTGGAGAAACGCATAGAGTCGCCGATCAAGACTGTAGACGGTAGCATGCACACATTCAACTCACAGCGGACCCATGGTGCTGGCTGGCTGACCACGGCTCTGATAGTTGGCTGACGTTTGGTGGCATTTCGCAACACATCTATAAACGACAGCTAGCAATGCCCTCCCTCGCCTTTACGCAACGCGGTTCCTCGCTCCCTTGCCATCCAGATAGTCTCTGATAATGTCAATGGCCTCGTTACACCCCATCTCCGTGGTCGCCTCGGTGCTGCCGCCCAAGTGGGGCAAGATGACCACGTTTGGCAGGTCGCGCAGCGCGCCCAAGTTGGCGCCGAACGCCGGCTCGTGGGCCATGACGTCCAGGCCCGCACCGTAAATCTGGCCCGTGGAGAGGGCGACCGCGAGGGCGTCTTCGTCGATCATGCCTCCGCGCGACGTGTTGATGAGGACGCTCTCCGTCTTCATCAGTGCGAGCTCGCGCGCGCCGATCATGTTGCGCGTCGACGCCGTCAGCGGGCAATGGAGCGAGACGACGTCCGCCGTCTGCAGCAGCTCGTCGAGGGACGCGGCACGGGTGTGCGCGACCGCAGTGGGATACTGCTCGCTGGGGACGTTCCAGCGTTCAGGTGGGGACGTGGGTGCGTAGACAATGATCGGGCACTGGAATGCCGCAAATAGCTTGGCAGCCTCGTACGCGATCGAGCCCATGCCCACCAACCCGACCGTCTTGCCACGGAGACCGATGCTGAGCGCGTCGATGGAAGGCAGCTGCTCTCCACTGCGGATACGGTTGTTGGTCTCGACGACACGGCGCATCACGGCAAGGGCGAGGGCGATGGTGAGCTCGCCAACAGCCTGGACGTGTCAGCTTTCACGCGATGAGCAGCTGGGGTGGATGAACGTACCGGCGCATTGCCGCCAGGGACGTTGGTCACAATCACGCCATGCTCTTTACATGCTGGCAAGTTGATGGAATCGTATCCCGTGCCGTTACGAGCAATGATCTTGAGGCGCTTGCCCTTCGCAACGTATTCTGCAGGGTAGTCGAACACGCGGACCACTGCAGCCGTTCGTTAGCCCCCAGTCCCACACTCTCTGTGTTCCACGACTTACACGCGGCGTCACACTCAGTCAGACACCTCTCCAGAGGCCATCCATCGACGTTGGGCTGGACGACACGCTTAAACACGCGCTGAGCGTACTCCAAGGATTTGCGATGGATCCGACTCGCAACGAACACTGTCGCTTCGCTGGCTGGGGTTGCGCCGACAGTCTTCGCGTCTGGCCCTGTGGCAGTGTCGTTTGCAACCATATTGTTTGTGCCGGTATCGTGGGTCATCGTGACGGCGAACTGTGATGCAGTGTAGGAGAGAAGTGGGCTATTTATGGGGAGAAAGATGTGGAGAGTGGATCGGACAGGCCGAACGACTCTCACTTTCCACTCCGGACGGCTTTAGGCCAAGTAGCAGCGGGTCATTCGGTGATCGCCGATCCGCAAACGTGCCGTAGATAAGGGGGGACCGCGAAAGGTCCGCTTGGCGACTGGACCAACACACATTTTGCGTCCCGACAGATGAAAATACATGCATTGGTATGAGGCGCGCTGTAGACTGCGCCAATACTACACACAAGCGCAAGGCCATACACAACGACGGCGATGACGACAATACAAATAGAGATCAGGATACTTGTTTCGACGTGGGAGCTTGGTCTGTGGTCTGTGAAAAGTGTCAGTCCCGCTACCGCTCAGCTGGCATTTTGCCTCTTCTAGATGTGATCCTTGCCCGAGCCGCGACCCAGCCAGCCTCATGGATCAAGAACAGTTACCTTGACGGGTAACCGATCTGTCCGCACCAATCCTCGCGCTACTGTCCATAAAACTCGGGACAGGCGCTGATACGGCGCGATTCAACATGTCTCTCGAGGGTTCCCCACGCGGTCGACACGCTCGAGACCGCGCAGCAGGCCTCGAAACCCGTGAGCCGTGGAACCAAGTATGCTCGTAGTAGAGCTGTCTTGGATCCCCGGTGTGCACTCAGGCCTTTGCCATCTCCCCTGTGAATCTCCGAGGGGAAAGGTCTATGTCCGAACACGATTGACTGTACGTTCCCTTTTACACCACCGACGCATGAAACTGTAGCGTGGCGGGACAACATAAACGCTCCGGCTGGCGGGTTCACAAACGCTTTGGGCTCACACCTTTTACACTTGACACATCATCGCGGAAGGGGACTCACTGAGGTGAAAGACATCGACGAGCCCAGGCATGGACATAAGAAACGGTACGAGGTGGTTGGTTATACGGCCTGTTGGTCAGCATGAGCGCGTGCCGTCGTAGCTCACCCCTGCCAAAATGGCCACAAAGTCATCCGCTGAAACCAGTTCAATCTGTATTGTCAGCCTTAAGAAGAGATCGACAAAGCTCACTCCTTTCTCCTGGGCCCTGTTTCGCCGATCCACATTGAGGCTCAATTCGCCGATGTAGATGTAGCGGCGGTATGGCACAATGTGCGGGCGAAGGCGCATGCGGGCCATATCACGCAGGCCTTGCTCTTCGATGATGTGCAGACTGAGAGGCTCGCCGCTGGTATCTTTTCCGGCTGCAGGTGATCGGCATCCGCTGGCTGCACTGCCGCCCTTGCCAGCCACTACTTGCTTGCAGAGGCCGACGAGCTCCTTCCACTCGTCACACTGGGTGACCTTGGTCAACCATTCGAGCCACCTGGCGCAGTCGTTCCGCATTTGAAGCTGAGGGGGTGCAGAAGACACAGCGAGACCACCTGCACATGCGCGCAGCTCGCCCAGCTCGCCATCAAACAGCGCCGACGTGAGTGTCGTGTATGCCTTGTTGCGGTCGGGACAGCGGACAGTGTTGTTCCACGATTCTTCACACCACATGATGGTTGACGGGTGGACGTACGCAGCCCAGCCAGGGGTCTCTTGAATGTTGGCCATAATGGCGGCGACCTTGTCAGGGGATCGCAAGACGAACGTGGGTGATAGCATTACCAGGCCTCCGCCCGTCCAGATCTCACGGAGACGCCAGTGTGAGATGGGCAGCTGGAGGTCAGGTCCAAGCGCATAATAGCGGGTGGCCGGTTCGGTGAGATAACCCCTGACTGAGGATGACTTGATGTTGCGTGCCCAGAGCCCATTCAAGAGCAGAAACGTGTTGGGCGGCCTGTCTTGCGAAAAGCCTTGCAGTTGGTACTCCTTACACAGCTCGACGGTTTGAGCATACAGTCCGGTGTCGATGCTCTTGTAGATAGACACAGTTCCACGCTCCCGAAAGTTGGTAAGGACCTCGCCGTTGAGTCCATAGCTGTCGGCAACATTCATTGCGTCCACAATGGGCGGCAGGAGCTCTTGGTCACTTTGACCTGTGACAAAGTCCGGCCTAACGGGGTTTGGAAGCATTGGGATGGAGTGTGATTCAAGGGGCATGGACAGGACAATTGCAGTCATGCTGATGCCATCCTTCTCCCGCCCATTCAGGCCGACCTTTTCGATGGGGGCATGGGATGGTAGGACAAGGATAATGATGTTGTGCGCCTTGATGGGGGGTTGCGTCCGTGCTTCCTCTCGGCAAACAAACATCTGAGGGGTTAGCTTGTAGAACGCCCATCAACTCACTTTGCCATTGCGCATGTCCTTTTTCAGACCCGCCCAGTTGCTCTGGGCTGACTGAGGCTTCGGGTCCGCATCGCTTATCACGGGCTCGCACCACTCAACAAGGTCCGCGCCTTGCGCAAGGGCCATGTCGATACACTGGACTGGCGCCTCGTCAAACTCGAGACGGTGGCCAGATACGACACCCAAGAGGTACTCGTGGCTCTTGGTCGCGCCAGCCTTCAAGTCGAGTGTAAAACTAAACTGGTTTTGCTGAGAGTCGGTGACGACGGCGACCACGGAGCCGAGAGGAAGACCATTTCGAACAGCGGGCTGAGGTGAGGATGGGCGGGGAGGCGACTGTGGCCGGGTGGCCTGCGCAGGTTGTCCCTGCTGTTGGTTGCGCCTGCGAGGGTCACGTTGGTGGTCAACAAAGGCCACCTGCTGGATCGGCGGCTGTGGTTGAGCGGCTGGCTGCCATCCGGATGGCCCAGCGTTCCCAGGCCGGCCCCCATTTGGAGCGCTTATAGGCGACTGACCGTCTTGGACGTATACGGGGGAGCGTCCGCCGTACTGGTTAGGCGAGCGCCGGCCATTAGCGATGGGCGAAACTCCCCCGTATGGGTTGATGGGCGATACACCACCGTAAGGGTTGATGGGTGACACACCACCATTCGAAGGCAGGGGGTCACCTGGTCGAGGCTGGTAGTTTTGGTGAGGCTGATGGGACTGGTGCGGTTGGTGGGGTTGGTGAGGTTGGTGAGGTTGGTGAGGTTGGCCGCCACGTCCACCGCGGCCACCACGGGCGCCTCGACCATCGCGTCCTCCCCGTGCACTGGCCAGAGCTTGATCCTGGGGAGGCAGAGGTCCATGAGCTCGGCCGGCATTCTGCTCATTGAGGTTATGGATGACTCTTGCGACAGGGGACACTGCTTGGACGGCGGGTCGGTTGACGGACGGCCCACCGAGAGTAAATGTCGGGGCGGGGGTTGCCGTTGCCAGCTTGGCGGCACGCTTCTTGACCCTTGCTTCACCCTCCGGGTCCTTTAGCACGTCCATCTTCACAATGCGCTGAGGTTGCTGGTACAATCCGTGTTCCTTGGGCTGCTTGGACGACAGCGAAGACTTGGGAGGCACAGTCTGGGTCGGCGTGGCACTGGTGGCGACCGGACTTTGCACCGTTGATGTCGATGGTCCTGCCGCTGACGGTCCACCTCCTGTGTTCTGCGTCCCAACGGTAAACCGTGGGCGGCCCTTTGCGGGAGCAGTCTGAGTAGCTGGCTGTGACGGTTCCTTCAGAGGGGTTGCTGAGGTGATGGTAAGGGCTGGACCTGCAATCTGTTCGGTCGGTGTGGACGACGGCAGTTCCAGGGGAATAGATGGCGCCACCAGCTGCATGGGTGACGGCGCATCAAGAGGGGCACGCTGCGGAACCCTTGTCGCCGAACTTTTGTCGGCAGCGATCGCGACTGGCGAGTCGTCAATCACGATGGGTTGGTCTGATGAGCCCGCCTCGTTGGCTCGGTCGTCAATCACGATGGGCTCCTCTGACGAGCCTGGCCCGTTGGGTTGGACAGACTGTGACGGCACCCTCTCGGCCCTGACATCGACACTCGGCGCACGAGCGGACAGCGAGCCGGCTGGAGAGTCGGCGCCCCCAAAGTCGAACAGAGGCTCCTGACGTTGTCGCGCAAGGGCAAGGGGCACTTCCGGAGAGGGTGATCGCTGTGAAGCAGGGGGGTTTTCGAGAGCACCAAAGATGTCTGGATCAGGTTCACCAAAGAGTGCCGGGGAAGCTACGGGCGTTGCGTCGCCGTCATCGTCTTGAGGTTGCGACGGTGACGTAGCAGATGGACCGTCCGCGGCGGGTGGAGCAGGCAGTGATGCAGGGGGAGGCTCCGCAACTGGGATCATGGCCGGAGGAGCTGTAGCGAGAGGTGCGGGTAAGGAGATGGGAGGCGGCTCGGTTGATGAATCGTTCTTGGCAATCTTCATGCCCGAGAGCATCTCAGCTGTCTCCTTGCGATCCTTCTTGCGCGCCTCGGGTGAGGCGGAAGGCCAGTCGAGGGCACGACGTCGCTTGGCTGCGCGTTGGGACGACGGACCGGGGCCTGCCTCAGGTTTCGTGGGTGTCATGGCGGGCGTTCCGCCAACACTGCCATCGAAGAGTGAATCAAACGATGGTGCGGGGCTCACTGCCCTCTTCTCGGGAGACCTCTTTGCAGGAGATGCAGTTTCGGTTGCCGGAAGTGTTGGTGGACCCATGTCGCCCTTCTTCTTGCCCTTGTCGGCTTTCTTCCCCTCAGTGTCCTTGGACTTCGGCTTGTCCTTCTGCTTGGACTTCCCCTTCTCCTTGGGCTTCTCCTTCTCTTTGGGCTTCTCCTTCCCTTTGCCATTATCTTTATCAGCGGCGTCGTTGTCCTTCCTCTTCTTGATAGGGATCGCAGGCAGCTCGCCAGCCGCACGTTTTTTCGCGTTGTCGGCCTTCCTCCTCTTGCGCCAATAGTAGTCGGAATCGAGCTTGGTGATCTGTTCGCCTGCAAGCTCCTTTGCACGTCGCCGCTTGTACGTCTCATAGTCGCGGCGTGGCTTCGAGTCCTTCAACCACATTTCTGATCGTCAGCTGTGTGCCTGGGGCACGTGAATGAGAAACGCACTCAACAGCTCCTTGGGAGCCTCGACAACCTCGTTCATCTTGCCACCGGGCTCTATGCGGCCTCGCAGGATATTTCTGCCTGCAGTCTTCCAGAACCTGCACTGTCAGCGAGCTCTGGCAGCACCCTATCGGGGAACCCACAAGTTGACCATGGGTGTGTTGCCCTCGTCGTCCTCAAAGCTAGAATGCGGCTCCTCGCTGCTCATCAGCTATGCACATATGGGTCTACTCACGTATCCGAGAGGGTCTTGAGATAGTTTTGCCACTGCTGGTTAGCATCGTCTTGGTCGTCGCTGAAGGCCGACTCACCATAACGCCATAGTGCTAGTATCGTCGTCAGCACTGCGCCCCGTTTGTTCTCGCACCCGCGAGCCAGCCAACTCACCCAGCCGATATACCCATCTGAACGCGTCGAATTCGAGTCTTTGTAGACTGCATACTTGATGGCATCTGGCCGTAAGCCCAGTGACACGGACGAAGCAGATGAGCAGACAAGAGTACTCACCTACTGCGTAGCCCTCGTCTGGATCGTAACCAGTGTCTGAGAGGTCGGACTCCGGGTCGCTGTCGCTGTCGTGTCCGTCACTTTCGACGCTGTACGCCCGTCGCGGCTCGAGACGGACCTTGTTCAGTTCGGTGGTAGCCCGGCCGTTTCTCATCGCACAGGTTGTGCCATGCAGTTGTTGGTGGCGATGGGTGGAACACTGAGTGGAGGGAAGGGATGGGTTTGTTTGTGGAACCAAGAGGCCAGGTGCGTGCGCCTTGGGCTTTCGAACCCGTCGTCCAATACCGCCGGCTCGATGGGCCGGATGCGGACACTATTGGATTCCCGACGAGTTTTCTAATTCAGGTTCACTAATCACCTCTCGTGAGGTATATATCCCTCCCAAAAAGGATGCCTTCAGCGAGCTTCTGCGCACTGAAAAGAGAGGTGGTCTAGATACATGGCTGCAGATACAAAGTCTCTAGATGTACTGCATGCTTAGGCGATGCCGGCGTACGCCATGCCGATGAGGTTCTGCCAGTCCCACTGCTCCGGCTTCTCGCGGAAGTCGGAGAGCGCCTGGTGGCGCTGGATACGCTCCTGCTTGGCCTTCGAGTCCTCGCCGGGGACAGCAAGGTTGGCGCAGTAGAAGCGCTGGAGAGCAAGGGCCAGGAGCTGAGCCTGGGGCTGGGCGAGGAGGAAGCCCGGGTTGTCGAGGCTGCCGTTGGGACCCTTGGCAGACTCGGGACTGATCTCACCGCGCATGAGGACGGTGTTGTGGCTGCGGGCGAGGTCCGAATAGAAGGTGAGGGTGAGGAACGGCTCAGCCCACTCGCCGGCCGACTTGAACTCGGCGAGAGGGGTGAAGATGACGCTGGCGACAGGAGGAAGGGGGCCGTTGTTCTTGACGTCAGGAGGAGGAGTAGGCGAAGGGTGGAAGAGCCACTGCATGTAGAACATTTCAAAGGCGTCGCCACCGTCGCTGCTGTCGCGGGGAAGAGGAAGGACAAAGAAGGGGTTGGCCTTGGCGACCTGGAGCATGGACTCGTAAGTGGGAGTGGGGAGCGAGGCCGAGAGGAACGAGTTGGCAAGGGTCGCGTGGGTGGTGTGGTAGGTGGTCCAGATGTTGGCAATCGCCTGAGCATCGTGGGGGGTCATGAGAATGAGAGGGAGGTTGATAATGGAACCGAGAGGCTGAGGTTAGTTGACGCACCGCACGCATAACTCACCTTGACACCAGCACGGTCACCCTCTGCTTGGGCAGCTCGAGCAGCCTCCCTCTTTGCTGACAGGTCCTCTGCCTTCATATTGGCGGCCGCCTTGCGAGCAGCTTCCTCAGCCTCGCGCTTAGCCTCGGCCTTGGCAGCCTCCTCCTCGGCCCACCGCTGAGCATTGATCTTGGCCATAACACTTGGGGCCTTGACCTTTTCTTTCAGCTCGTCAAGGTCAGACACGCCCTCACTGGTTGTCAGTTACCAGTTAAAAGGTCCACAACTCACGCAGCAGCCTTGTTCTTGAGCTTGTCGCCATACTTGGCCTCAAACTCCTTGCGCTTCTTCTCGACCAGCTCGCGAGGGGTGATCTGCTCCTCCAGCTTGGAGAGAAGGTCCGAGCGAGCAGCCGTAGAGCTCAGTGCGCGAGTTGGGAGACGCGAAGACGACGCAATCGAGCGCGGGAGACGAACGAGGGACGAGCGAAGCATGGTCAACGCAATGGTAGAGTGGAGAATGGTCGCAAAGGATCATGCAGTCATGACCATCTCATAGGTGCCTTGACTTTTGCCCGACTTTTGACCCCGCCTCCACTTCGATCCATCGTCAGGATCTTGTGCAGTCTTCACGTCTCATCAACAACAAACGCTTTCATCTCACCCACCATGGCGTCGCAAGCACAGCTCTTGCCGTCGCTCTACGCGCTGTTACCAGCAGACCAGCTGGACCTAATGCTGTCCCGCCTCTCGCTCCTCGCACTGCACGCCGAAGGCTATCAAGTCCGTGACGACGTCTACCTCGCAACGCACCCCGTCATCCCAGGCCAAAACAGGACACTTCGCCTGCGTGCACGCCGCCGTCGTCGCCGTCGTGTATCCATTGGCAACCCCCGGTGGTCAGGAGTCGTCGAGAACGCCGACCGTCCGGAAGGATGGGCCTACTCCCTTGCCTGGGTCTCGCCTCCACTGTCGGGCCGCGAGCACTCGGAGATGCGCACCCAGGCGTATGTCGGACTCGACGTTGCTGGTATGAGCCAGCGTGAAGACATTGAGAGCTTTGTCGAGGCTCTGGGTTTCAAGTGAGCTCTTGAATGGGCATGTACCTTCAGCTGACACTACAGGCACTCTCACACCTACTCGCGTAATGGCCACCTTTTCCACATCCCCGTCCCCGGCCAGACGCAACACACGCTTCACCTGACCATCACACGCGTGTTGGGTACCGATGACAAGCACGTGGACCACTCGTCTGAGCCCTACCTCGTCCAGCTCCAGCCTGGGCGCCCCGTCGGCGCTGTCGCTCCTCGCGGAGAACTCAGTCTCCAGGACATGATGCGCGTCATGCAGGATGTGTCCAGTCGTATCGACGGTCTCGAGTGGGAGACTGGACGATGAGGAGGATTTGGACGAAGCGCAAGTGACGAGAGATAGAGGCTAGAGGTCATGATGGCCCATGATGTATGTAACAAGTTGACACCTTCCCTGTCCAACGCCGTTCCCAACCCCGACGTCCTAACGCCCTTCCACCTGGTTGCTCTCCTCGACGCAAGCGACCAGGCTGCATGGTTTCCCACAAGGGGCCTGTCCCCCTTATATGACCTTGAGCGGCTCGCTTCTTGTGAAGCAGCGGCCATTCTCGGTCTCGCAAGCGACCAAGCGATCAGACGACCCGAGGCGCAGTTGTATTCCAATTCTTGAGAGACCACGCCTCATTAGGGCTGAGGACGCATTTTCTAATAATGCATTAGTACCCCGGGCCTTTAAAAGAAGGGGGATTTGCGCCGATCCGTAATTCGCCCGATTTGCGTAGTCCTACACTCGCCTAATGGATAGCGCCCCCGCCGTCTGGTGCGAGGGGGCTGGCTATTTGCTCCCGCGTTCAGTCCACCAGTGTTCGACTCCCACACATCCTCCCTCGCTCCCTCCGTTGTTTAAAATTCAAAGTCCCCTTGGTCCACTCCCATATCCCATCCACCACCCATCCGGTCCACCGCGACTGCTATCACCTACAGAACCCCTCCTGGCCACCGCTAGCTCCCCTGCGATAGCTACACCGCACGGGTAGCACTCACTCGCCACCCCCGTCTTCCTCCTTTTTGCCCCCCTCCCCCACCTCCTCGTCGTCACTGCCTCTCCTTGCCACCCTACTCCCTCCGTCACCATGGCACCTCCCGTGAGTGTCTTGGTCCAGCCCCCCTCCACCTCCACGCAACTAACCTCCCCAGCGCGTCTGTCCAGGATGCAAGTCGAGCGACATCAAGACCGACTACTCGGCCGGTAACGCTGTGTACGTAGTTCTTTGAACGACGAGCATGAGCTATTACTGACTGCGCAGGTGCCAGAACTGTGGTCTCGAACTCGAACAGGGCATTCTCGTCTCCGAGATTGGCTTTGCCGAGGGCTCGGGTGGCCGTGTCCATGTACAGGGAACCTTTGTCTCGCACGGCTCCAGTATGTTTGGCTATGCTGGTCTTGATCCAAGCTGACAATGTAGCCGGTGGCATTCGCGGCAACGGAGCGTCGGTTGAACACATCAAGGAGGAAGGTGCGCCCCCCTTTGGGCAAACCAAAGCCCCTTGTACTGTCTCGCTAACAGAATCTACACAGGTCGCAAGCGTATCCAGCTCATCTGCTCGCAAATGGGTATTCTCCCTTCGGTCCAGCGTGGTGCCCAGCGTTTCTACTCGCTCGCCGTCGACAACAAGTTCAACCGTGGTCGCCGCACAGACTACGTAGTCGCTTCGTGCATCTACCTCTTCTCGCGTTTTGAAAAGGATGCGCTCATGCTCATCGACTTTTCCGAGCGTCTTCAAGTGAGTTGGCCTAGAACCGTGGAACACATAGCTAACCGCCCCACCCCAGATCAATGTTTACGAGCTCGGTGCCACTTATCTCAAGCTCCGCTCCGCTCTCAACCTTGACCAGATTCTTCCCGAGATTGACCCGGCCGTGTACAACATTCGTTTCGCCAACCGCCTCGACTTTGGCAACCAGGCCAGCGTGGTTGCTCGCGACGCCTCACGTCTGGTGAAGCGCTTCAAGGCCGACTGGATGACGTCTGGACGTCGCCCGGCTGGTATTTGTGGCGCTTGTTTGGTCATTGCCGCCCGCATGAGCGACTTCCTCCGCACACCAGAAGAAGTCGCCCAGGTCGTCAAGGTGTCTCCTTTGACGATCAAGAAGCGTCTCGTCGAGTTTGCGCAGACTGCCGCGGCCACCAAGACTGTCGAGGAGTGGCGGTCGCTCACCGATGCCGATCTGGAAACTCCCGACCAGGCCGAACTGCCTCCTATTATGAAGAAGGAGAAGGAGAGGCTGGAAAAGGAGCGCATCAAGCGCGAGCGTGAAGAGACTGCCGGTGCCGAGGCGGCCGAAAACGCTACTCCCACGCCCAAACGCCAGAAGCGCAAGGCGGACAATGCACTCCAGGACGCTGCCGACGACGTTGACGGTGAGGATGGTGTGGCGGGCGAGGACGGCGAGGACGAGACCATGGATCCTCTGTCCAAGGAAGACTACGTGGTCGACATTCAGAAGGCTGGCGACAACTCGACCGATGCCAAGGCTGTCCGTGCTCGAGAGAAGCGTCAGCTGCTCTCTTCGATGCGCAAGGCCGACGGCAAGGACGACGACGACGACGATGAGGAGGAGCTTGTAGCCATTGCCGACGAGGACGGCCAGGAAGACGAGGACGATACCGCTGCCGACGACAACCCAGCCGTCTTTGGCGGCTTCCGCAACATTCCTGCCCCGCCCGACTGGAGCGACAAGAAGGCCGTCTACGCGTACATTGAAGAGCACTTCTTCCACGACCAGGACGCGCTCTATGGCGGCAACAAGCCTGCCCTGCACGCCCGTATCGACCGCTGGTTGCAAGGCCGCACGGCCGAGGAGGTCATTGGCGAGATGCGCCGCGTCGAGTGGGCTCACCACGAGCGCGAGTGGTTTGCCAAGCACCACCACGAGTCGCAGTTTGAGGACCTCGACGACGACGAGCTCGACATGTACTGGGTGATGGACGACGACGAGCGCCAGGCCCGCGCCCGCATGTGGCTGTCGCACAACGGCAAGTGGCTCGAAGAGGACAAGGAGCGCCAGGAGAAGAAGGCGGCCTACAACCGCGCCCACGGCATCGATCCCAACAAGCCCAAGTCGAAGAAGCGCCGTACGGGCGCCGGCCCGGCGCGCAAGGGACCCTTCCCGTCGGCTCGCGACGCCATCGACTCGTTTGCCACGCAAAAGAAGTTTTCCAGTCGTATCAACATGGACGCCATCCGCAAGCTCGGCAGCGGCAGCATGGCCCTCCCGCGCGCGAGCCAGTACGCTGGCTTGCAGAGCATGGGCGACGACGACAAGTCGGACGATGGCGATGAGGGCTACTACAGTGAGCTACACTGTCCGCCACGAAATCCTGGGCCAACAGCTGACACCATCACAGATGAAAAGTACGATGACAAGGCCGACTACGAGGAGGACGACGAGTAGATGCCCTTCCCTTCACACCAGTACCAGTCACTCATCCAGCACCATGCTCGCCACCTACATACGTTTGTATAATAGACCCACACTCACACACCACACCGGGATGTCCTTATTTTTGTAACTATGTACCATGTCATCCATGCAGTGGACGTGTTCCATGCACCAGTGGCCAGTGGCCAGAGGCGAATGTCGAGTAGCTCGCGCGAGTTGAATTGCCTCGTGCATCGTACAGCGTGTAATGTTGGTACAGGCAGGGGGAAGGGGCAGCGGGAGAGGGGCTGTCGCCACAAAGAGCAGCGCGTCGTGTTCCCTTGACCCCCCCACCCCCCACCGCCCCTGCCCCGCCCATTGATTGCCACTCTCGGCACTGGTGGTACGTCTCAGAAACAGAAACACGCGGGCGGCGGGGCGGCGGAATAAGCTCTCGGATCTCGGGTTTTCTGTGCCAATGTGGCAGCTGGGCAGCGTTTCATGTGATTGGCACCAAACTTACGGCACAAAGCGTTTACGAGGACACGCGTCCACGCACCGAGACATGCTGTATCGCGCGCGATCCCGCGCGGTTCAATGTGTCTGGCCCCCGCTGCTCGCGATGCTTCTGCTCTGCTCCTGCTACTGCTACTGTGCAACCCGGTCGCAATCATACGTTATGTGCATTTCCGTGTGCGCGCAACGCCCGCCAGACAGGCTCGCAGTATGGAGGCTGGCCGGACAGATAATCCGCGCGACGCGCTTACGCTGACAAGTTCATAGGTAGGTTAAGAGGGAGTTAAGAGGGTCGTTAGGCGCGAGTGGGGTGTTGGTTCGCAGGAAGGGCCCGGGGTATCATAGGTAATCGGGAAAGGGTTGGTTTCGAGAGCGCGAGGTTGAGAGAGAGAGAGCGAGAGAGAGAGAGGGAAGAGAGGCAACGGCCAGCGCTAGTCGCTCGCTGGAGGGTGGACAAGATACGAGGGAGGACACGGAGCAGACGGGAGAGAGACGAAGTGAAAACTAGAGCACGGAAACTAGGGTGGGTCCGTGTGCGGTTTACTTGCCCAGGCCGAACCGCTTTTTCTGTAAACCAACGTTAGCGCCGCTGCCTTTCCGCCACGTTTGCTGTAACGTACCGAGCCCTTCTCGGGCGTGAGCGGACGGCCGCTCTCGATGCGCCTCTTCTTGTCGTCGAGCTCGAGACGCTGCTTCTCGAGGGCCTCCTTCATCTCGCGGTGGCGGGCGTACAGCTCCTCCTCGGACTGCTTGAGCTTCTGCTCCTTCTCCTGCACCTTCTGCTGGAAGACCATCTTCATCTCGGCCTCCATCTTGGCGAGCTTCTCGTCGTGCCTCTTGCGCTCCTCGGCCTGCTTGGCGGCAGGGTTGGTCTCCTTGAAGACGCTCTCGTCCTGGGTGACACCCATGGCGCGGAGCTTCTCGGACCGGTAGTCCTCGTACAGCACGTCGTTGGTCTTCTCGCGGAGCTCCTCCATGTGGGTGCGGACGAGCATCTGGCGGAGCTTGACAAAGTCACAGTGCTGCTCGTTGTCGACCTCGATGACACCCCACGGGTACGAACGGCCGCGAACGTTGCGTCCGTCGGGGGCCTTGACGACCTGGTCCGAGCCGACGACGGCGAAGGGGATCTTGCGGATAATCTCCTCGTTCTCCTGCGCAGTCTCGTCGTCGTCGCGGTCGTACATGGGGGGGCTGAAGATGTTGATCTCGTGGTGCTCAATGTCGGCGAGGACACGGCGCTTGAAGAGCTCGACCTCCTCCTCGGTAAGGGTGTCGGCCTTGGCAATGACGGGGATGAGGTTGACCTTGGTGTGGAGGCGCTTCATAAACTCAATGTCAATGGGCTTGAGGGCGTGGCCAGTGGGCTGGATAAAGTAGATGCACGCGTGGACACGGTTGTCGACCATCTTGAGGCGGTTGACACGGTTCTCCTGCTCCAGGTACGCGTCGTAGCGGGCCTCAATGTTGTCGAGAATGGGCTTCCAGCAGTCGTCATTGTTGACAAAGTCGCCGAAACCGGGGGTGTCAACGACAGTGAGCTTGAGGCGGACACCGTTCTCCTCAATCTCTGCGGGCGGCGAGTCAGTTTCACGTTTTACGCAGACACCACAGCAGCGGTCCATGACACGACAGCGCATTGGCGGCGGCGCAGGTTGGCGTTCCTGGCACTATACCGCGTATGGCAACCATCCCCAGACCACTGAGAGAGCTCAGCTCCCTTGCACTCACCAGCAGCAGTGCTCTGGATCTCGACCGTCTTGCCACGGTCGGTTCCGGGCTCGGGCACGACCTTGGGGGGCGAGAGGGTGGTCTCGAAAATGGTGTTGATGAGAGTAGACTTGCCGAGGCCGGACTCGCCTGCAAAGGGTCAGCACGGGCCACCATGTGCGCGGTCCGCTCCCAGAAAGAGGCGGAACACTCGGACAACGCACCGACAACCATGGCAACAAACTGGAAGCCGCGCCTGTGAGGGGAAATGGTGGTCAGTATACATGATGGTTGATGGGGGTGCGAAGCGGGGGATTGCGGTGGTGCACACACATTGCACGCGCAAAAGGACACACGACATGTGTCGCGCGTCGCGAGGGAAATGTGCCCGCCCACCCACCCCCGAGCCACTTTGGTGGCCCGCGCGCGCGCATTCTCTTGCAGCGCGCTCATGCAGCTCACCTGACACTGCGACGGTGAACCTGGTTGGGGAGGTTGGAGAAGCCGACCCAAGACGCGAGGGTCTTGCGGATCACGGCTGGCTGGGGGGAAGCGCCGCCGTTGAGGCCCGAGAGGCCGTTGGCGGAGCCGTTGGTGGCCGCGCCATTGGTGTAGACGTCGTCCTGGTGCTGCTCCTGCTGGTCGACAATGTCGTCCTGCTCGACCTGCTCGGTGACGCCGTTGGAGGGCTGCTCGTAGGCGTAAGACTCGTCCATTTGGGGATGAGGGAGTGTGGGGGATGGATGGGGAGGAGAGGGGGAGGTTGGTGAAGAGGAAGGGGGGAGGATGGAGAGATGTGTGAGAGAGGTGGTGCCGAGGTGGAAGGACACGCTGTGCGAGAGGGGACGACGGCAGGAGCGGGCAGCGAGGACACGGGACGACCACCGCAGGTGCACGCGCGCAGGGCCCACAAGTCGCGTCTCGTGGGCAGGGAGCGCGCGGGGAGAGAAGGGGAGGGAGGGCAACGCGGGATCAAATTTCTCCCACCCGTGTGATGAGCATGGGCCTCCACAGGCATTACGCAAAGCATTTTATATCCGCCACCCCGTTAAAATGTTGAGGGGGGTTCATTAGAGTGGGAGGCTATGATTATATGTCCTAATTGGGCTAATGTCGTTTCCTAATGTTTCAATTCTGCCACATGCCCGTATCGCCGTTCTCCGTTGGCTGAGGCACCTGCCGGAGCTGGGTGATGTTCAAGTTGCTATACACACGCAACAACAGTAAATACACCGGCCGCAGCATACGACATTCCCGCCATCCCAGACGCACAAGGCAAGCTCTAGACACCACAACACACGAGCTGCATACAGTGTCGTGACATAAGCCCTCTGAAAACCCGATCCACGGGACCCCTTGTCTAGCTCAAACGACCCACCCATCAACTAGTTGGCATCATGAGGCTCACTCCCGAGGTACGTTACACATGCTGCCACCATTGCGTGCCACTACCGTTCTTGTGTACTGACTGTCTACAGTTTGTGTCCAGGTCCCAGTCGGTTCGTACTACAAGGCTTGTTCGAGGCTGCGCGCGCGTGTACCGGTACTGATGAATGTAGCACCTCAACCCGCTCAAGGAGCGTGAGCTCGACTTGCGAGGTGAGTATCGGCGTCTTCCTTGAGCAGCCTTGCGCCTTGACTATCTTGCTCACCTACTCGTAGGACTTGCCATTCCCGTGATTGAGAACCTCGCGAGCCACCAGGGCACATACGACACGCTCAACCTCACCGACAACTCGATCACTGTGCTGGGCAACATTCCGCTCGCTACGCGTTTACAAGCGATCCACGCTGCCCAGAACCAGATCTCGTCCATTGCCCCCTCGCTGCCGACCCAGATTCCCAACTTGGTCACATTGGTGTTGACAGACAACGCCATCTCGTCTCTCGCCACTTTGCTTCCTCTTGCCGACTTGGCAAACCTGCGAAACCTCGTGTTGCGAGGCAACCCCGTGACCGAGCACGAGCACTACAAAGAGTTTGTAGTGTGCAAGGTCGCGCGCGGCAAGCTGCACACGCTCGACTATGAGCGGATCAAGGACGAGGTCCGCGACCGCTCCCGCCGCCTGCTCACCGACGCCGAGACCGGCCGGCCAAACGAGCTCGCCAACAAGCTGTCCATCCCCTCGTCGTCGGCCGTTCCGGGAACCACGGCCATGTCGGCCGCTGCAAAGGCTGCGGCGCGCGGCGCGGCCGCAGGCGACAAGGGCCGCCTCATGACCCCCGAAGAGAAGAAGCGCGTCCTCGAGGCCCTGACGCGCGCGTCCACCGCCGACGAGGTGCGCAAGCTCGAGCGCATGCTGGCCGACGGCCTGATACCCGAGGGCGAGAGTGTGGCTGCCATCACCGCCTGAGTGGAGGCAGTGTGAAGTAGCGCAGCGTGCGAGAGCGGGGAGGTACGACGGTTTCTGGCGGTCGCAGGTCTGGTCCGAGGACAGAGTTGGTTGGGGTTTGGGCTTGGTGGGAAGCCTCTCTGATATGATGAGCAGTACAGGTAGAAGGGTACTAGTAGAATATGGTAGCACACATCGGTTGGCATGTTACAGCGCTGCATTTGTCTTGTCCGCGCCCAGGGGAACCGCCCTGGGAGCTTTATCTATGGGGGGGGGAACAAGGGGTATCAAGAGGAATGGGTGTGGGTGGTGTGCCATTCTACAGCCGGCTCACGAACCCGTCCCCGTCCCCATCCCCGTCCTTGCCGTTGTCGACTCCGGGTCCTGCCTACTTGAGCGCAGCCGCGAGCCAGGTCTGGAGGTCGGCAATCTCCTTGTCGCACGACGAGTGGCCCATGCCCGGGTACGACTCGAAGCGCAGACCGGGGCGCGCAAAGGCCGTTCCTGCCGGGAGGCGGGTGAAGCCGAGCTTCTGGAGCAGCTCGACCGACTCGACGCCGTCTGTGGGTTGTGTGTGAGCGGGTTGTGTGCGACGGGTTGGTGAGGAAGGGAAGGGGCGATGTGAATGGGACCGACAGAACGTCCCATTTCCAGTCGGTCGTGCGCTTGGCTGGGCCCAGCTGAGATGGGCACGACATCCCTTCGCCAGCTGTGGCATAGACTTGCACCCAGCTGGGACACAGGGCCGCCATCGCCTCTCCTCACTAGCCACAGTCGTGATCCACACTGTGGTGCAAGTCGTAACAGACAGTAACCGCATATCCTCCAGCTGGAATGCGATGCTGACAGCTGGGTGACGGTGTTACGCCGCGCGCGGCGCCGAAGAGCTTCTGCGCTTCGCGTCTAAACCAACCAACAGCGCTCCCTGCCCCCCCCCCCCCCCCCCCTCCCCCCTCTCACTCCCAAAGACACTTTACACCGACACTCACACTTGTACTGCACGACCTGGTCGTCCTTTCCATGGCCCCAGAAGTACGCTGCGTCCTTTGCGTCCTTGTTTGCCATGTCGCCGACCTTGTGCGCGAGGGGCACCCACGTCGAGAGCGACACGTAACCACCAAGCTTGCGCTTCGTCGTCAACGCAGTCAGCGCCGAGATGGCACCACCTTGCGAAAAGCCGCCAAGGACAATACGGTCCTCGGGGATACCGGCGTCGACCTCGGCCTGGATGAGCGCGTCGACGGCAGCGACGGCGGCGAGCATGCCGGCCTCGTCCTCGGGACGCGGGGAGACGGAGCGGTCCAGCGTGAAGATGTCAAACCAGCCGGGCATGCGCATGCCTGAGAGAGGGCTGTCAGCAAAGCGGAGACGAGGGGAGAGGAGGGCAATGGACAAAGTAGTCGATGACGGTCCATTCTCAGCCGTGCGCGTACTCACCGCCGTTGAGGGTGATGGGGATGCTGGGCGCGTGAGGAAGCACCCACTTGACGTTGGGCAGCGAGTGCCACAGCATCTTGGCGACGGGGAGCCATCCGTGGCCTGTGTGGTGAGATGTACAATGGCGGTAGCGTAGTCGTCAAAATGTCAGCAAGCACGGACGAGGCGGAGGCGCAGCGTGGGGTCAGGCCGTCAGCGAGTCAGAGAATCGCGAGATACAAGTCGAGAGTGAAGCGTGGCCGTGAATAGCGCAAGGGCACGAGGGAAGGGATGCGTCAGCAAACAAACACCGCACGCACGCCGCATCTTTATCAGCACGTACCGCTGTCACCGAGTCCCTAGCACGTCCGTCAGCAACAAAGGACACGTACGGGTTGCGCGCACCCAGCCAGCTGCTACTGAGAAGAAGCCTTGACCAGCTGGACTCTTGACTCACGTGGAGGAAGATGACGGTGGCGGTGTGGGCCTCCTTGGGCATGATCTTGAGGTGCTTGAGCGGAGCGCTGGCCATGCTGACGGGCTGGGGCTGGAGGTTGGCTTGGGAAGGAGGAAGAGGACGAGTGTTGGCCTGGGGGGAGGTCTTCACAGTCGTCGCGGTGGTGCGAGAGAAGGTGAACGACGAAGAGAGGTAGGTGTACAGTAGGGCCGCAAGGGAGAGCGCGGCGAGGATGCCGAGGAAGGTTGGACGCCGAATGGTGGAGGGTAAAAGAGCAAGAGGATGGGACGGAAAGGAGGAATGAAGATGAGCTGTAGTTGGGTGTATTAGAGGGCGCGGAGGCTCGATTTGGCAGGTGCGGGGCGGCGTCTTCCTTTCACGACCTAATGGGCGGGGACCGCTGTTCCCGTCAGGTTGTGCCTCAATCGATCATGTTCTGTACAGAGCCCCACATTCTCCCAACGCCTGCACGTCATGAGGACATGGTGACGCTCCTGGCATGCATGCGGGCGATGCAGAGACATTCTGACGGACAGGAAATGACGACCGGCTCTGTGGCGTTCTTATTATGTCTGTCCGAGAAAAAGAAACAAGCGAGAGTTATAGGCATTCATTCCGACAGCGCCAAAGGGGGTATAAAGCGAAGAAGGAAAGATAGAGATAGGGAACCTCTTGGATACAGAGTTCCCAAGAAAGAAATAAACAGTCCGTAAAGAGAGGAAATGAGAGAGAGGGTAAAGATACATTGTCGAAAGGAGCCGACCAGGCGGGGGGATTCCTGGCGCCTTTAAAACCTCGCTTTGTTTGTTTAAGCGACCATGATAAAGGCGACGGCACCGGCGACAATGGCGCCAAAGGCGGGGAGGGCCTGGCGACCAGCGCCCGAAGCGGTGGCGGTGGAGACACCGGCCTCGGCGTTGATGGCCGAGACAAACGACGAACCACAGGTCGAGCCAATGGCGGACCAAAGGTCAGACTGGCCGCCGAGGATGGGCGACGACGAGAGACCGGGGCCGTAAGGGGCCTTGTACTCCCACTTGATGTACGAGACGAAGATCTCACGGGTGCAAGGAGTGCAGAGGGCGGACGAGGCCATCGAGGGCTGGAGGAAGAGGAAGGGGAGGTTGGTCGACTGGTAGGTGGTGGCGTTGGGGGTGATGATCGTGGCGAGGTCGGAGGTGGCGGCACGCTCAAAGCCGACACGACGCTTGAGCGAGGTGACGTACTGCGAGAGGTAGCTGCTGGCGACCGAGATGGCGGCGGTCAGGTCCGAGGTCTGGGCAACGAGGCTGGTCGAGTTGGAAACGGCCTTGTTCGAAGACGACGACGAGGTGGTGGTGTTGGAGGCAATCTCCTTGACACAGTAGGCGCCGGTACCCGAGTCCTTGGAGCAGATGGCCGACTGGAGGGGCGAGAAGACGTAAAGGACGTCGTAGAGCTCGAGAACCTTGGAGTTGCCGGCCTGCAGCTCGGTGGTGCACGCACCCCAGAAGTTGTTGAGCCAAGTGCGGACAGTGGCGTCGTCACATCCCGACGACGAGACACAGAGGGTCTTGAGGGCAGCGTCGACCTGGGCCGAGGTGGCAGCGGTGCTCGCGGTGGGCGAGAACGCCGAGGTGGCAGTGATCAGGGGGTTGATGCACGACTGGAGAGTCGAGTTGGTGTCGAGGGTGGTCAGGAAGGTCGAGCAGCCCGACGAGATGCCCGAAGGGATAAGCGACGAGGCGGCCTGAGCAATGTCAGCATTTGCGCGCCATCACGGCATATAGTAACACATCGCGGACAAGAGCAAGAGAGCAAGCAAGAGCAAGGAGGTTGTAGCCGAGACGAGACGCGGTGATGGGCCCAAGCGTATTGTGCGCATGGACCATCACTTAATGGCGTCTGATCGTGACCAAACCTGAACTGCGCGCTGGCGGGAGTGCATGTCCTTGGTGCCAAGTCCATGTATGCTTGCCACCGCGGATCCCCACAGAGGTCTTTCTCAACACCGCTGGGCGGGCGTTGCGACCAGGACGAGCCTGTGACTCGCATGCACACGACAAAACGGCACGGTGACTCGCGCGGACGACACAGAACGTGTTGTCGCGTACGAGTGAGACAGGCTGAGGAATGACACAGGGGGGGAGGTTGAACCCGCTTTCTCGCTGTTCCCTCTCTCCCGCCCACGCCACGCGACCACCCCCGGTGCGCTAACGCCTCCCTGCGCCTCTAGCGACGCGGCACGCTGGTGCGTCGTGCAGCGCGCACAAATGGTCGTTGTCGGGCATGCTCTCAATGCTCTTGCAGTCGATGGAGGTCGAAAGGCGGCGGACTCACGTTGGCGCCGACGGCGGCGAGGACAAGGGCGGCAGCGTACTTCATTGTTGGTTGGCTGGCGGTTGAGCGAATTTGAGTTTAGTCAAGTCCGTGTTTGTGTGTGTGTGTGTGCGCGCAGGCGAGGTGTGCAAACAAATAGAGCGAGTGTGTCGTCCAAAGGATGGTGGTGTGCGCAGTCGACGGAGAGAGGTCGAGAGGGGGGAGGATGGAGGAGGTGTAAATGAGGGTGAAGGAGTGTAAAAGAGTGGAAAGAGAGTCGAGTGATGGTGTTGGTCTGTGGTGTGTGTGTCTGTGTACTGGGTGGGGTTGGGATGAAAAGAAACGAGGGTGGTTGTTGCAAAAGGGGAAGAAGGCGGGCGAGCCGTGGGGGGGGAGGGCAGAGGCGGCCACAGGCGGGCGGGCCGCGCAAGGCCGCACCAAAGGGGCACGACCCATGGACCAAACCATGCTGCTGGTCCTGTGGCCTCTGGCCTCACGCGTCTAGCAGCGTCTATAGCAGCGACAAGCATGAGCCGTGCCGTGTGCCAGTGTCCTTGATGGCGCCCCCACCGCCCAGAGCCGGGGCAGCAGCCAAGACGAGAGCCCGGTTGCCAGCCAAGAGAGCGCCAGAGCGATGAGACCGCCACGCGCGGAAATAAGGGACCCATCCAGGAAAGAAGGGCCCGTCCAACAGACCACCCCCGTCCTGGCGGGCCCACAGCGCCAGAGCGCCAGAGAGCCCCGGCCGGCGCCAGAGAGAGAGCGGCGATCTGCACACACACGCTCATAACGGGCAACGAGAGGCACCCAGACACCCCGGAAAGCTTTAGCCACAACGTACAAACCTCTTGGCCCCTATTGCCAGTTACGGTATATACACACAGACCCCCCCATTTCCTCGCGCTAAAGAGAACACCCCCCCGGGTCATTTTCGTTCCCGAAAAGCAACATCGAAAGAGAGCAAGAGGGGCCTGTTCTAGAATTTAACCTTCTTCCTAATAAACCTCACAGGCACGCCTATTAATTAGGCATGCAACACAGTTAGGCTTGCTGCAAACCAGTATAGACGCCCACGTGGATTTGATTCCGCTACCTCCACGCCCCGCTGCCGGCGGTACGGGTCGGAGGCAGGCATCGGCCAGCCCGCATGCACCGGTCCGTGCACCGAGCATGGTGACGATGGTCATGTTGTCATCTTCCTTGCCTCCTTGCCTCCTTCCCTCATCATCTAATAGATTTATACATCACAACAATGGGTCTCCGTCGCATGCCTAGGGTCTACCTCATTCGCCATGGTTAGCTTACACTTTGAAATCGTTAGCTGACAGCCGCAGGCGAGACCGAGTGGTCCCTCAATGGTGAGCTTGCCGTTGTAAACTAATGTTTGGATAAGCTGACATGCAGGCCGTCACGTACGCTACGACCCTGTGCTATAGCTTACACCAGACTGGTACCACCGACATTCCCCTCACCGCCAACGGCGAGCGTATGGTCGGCGAGATGGGCCCGCGCATGGTCGGCCAGGACAGTGAGTTGCCGTCTTCCTCGCATACTCTTTAACATGCACACCTTCCCCTCCCCCTACCCTGGTGACATGAGCTGCAACCTCCTGGAGATACGAGCCGCCCAGCTGACAGTATCCTCCTCCAGAGCTGATCCACCCGGAGCAAGTCCGCCACATCTTTGTCTCCCCTCGCCAGCGTGCTCAGCGTACCGCGCAGCTCATGTTCGCCGAGAACCCCCTCCCCAACTGCGTTGTCACCACCGACCCCGAGGTCGCCGAGTGGGACTATGGCAAGTACGAGGGCATGTTGACAAAGGACATTCGCAAGGAGAAGCCCAACTGGGATATCTGGACCGATGGGTGAGTCGTGCGCTGGAACAAAGCTGGAACGAAGCCGGTGCCAACAGCCAGCCGCGTGTGGAGCTTCTCCGCTGACTTGTGCCCAGCTGCCCTCCCGGCGAGACCCCCGGTGAGAGCCCCGAGCAGATGACCGCTCGCGTCGACCACGTCATTGCGCGTATCCGCGAGATCCACGCCCAGGCCACTGCCGAGTCCAACTCGCCCGAAAAGGTCGAGCACTCGGACGTCATCATCTTCAGTCACGGCCACTTCACCCGCTCGTTCATTGCCCGCTGGTGCGACCTGCCCATCACGGCTGGCTACCACTTTGCCGCCGATGCCGGAGGTGTGAGTGGCGTTTAACAACAACAACAACGGGGCGTAAGGAACACTGCTGACATGATACACAGCTCGCGGTCCTCGGCTATCAGCACAGCTCGCTCAAGGAGCCCTGTGAGTACATGCCCCGCCCCGCCCTGTTCCTCCCAATGGTTCCTCCAGTCGGAAATGGACGGCGATCCCGGAAAAGAATAAACAGCAACTGACGCATGGCGCAGCTCTCCTCGGTCTTAACTGGTACACGGAGGAACAGATCCGGGGCAAGTAAAGCCGTCAGTTCCGTCGCGGGCACAGAGTTGGCCAATGGGACCCGGGGGCATGCCCGGGCACGTCTGGTATTATTTCTTGTTCACTCTGTTTCTGCATGTGCGTCATGGAAGAAAAAAAATGTTGAAAAACGGTTGCCCGCCCTGCCCAGACAACGCCACGAGATGGATTGGGTTGGCCGAGAGTACAGGTGCAGCGGGTTATCGGGGCCGATAGAGACGAATGACTGGCATGCTGGGTCTGTCGTGCGGGTGGAAGCAAATTTCCCACTTATCAGATTACAAAGACAGCGCGCAAACGTCCCTAACCGCCACGGGACCAACTGTGGCCATGATGCAAAGCAGAGGGGTCCCAACTCCACTGCATACTGGCACAAGACATAGTTTTTGTCTCTGTTAGATCTCTGCGGCATGCGTGTACAGACCAGAGTTGCATAGACAGAACATCTTGTGCGTTATGCAGCAGATCAGCAGACGAAACGGGCGATAGAAATGGCTGGTGCAGGCTGTGAGCTGTGGCAAATCGGCCGACGGAAGCAAAATGTAGACTGAATCGCGCCTTTGGGAACCATGCAGCAGCCCCCCCACGCTGCGCGGCTGCGCCGGTTCAGCGGCGAGAGGGGCGACGACTTCGGTGAGCGACGGGGTGCATCCGTATCTCTTCTTGCTAAGCCCCCGCATAGCCATCTCTGTTTTGCGCTTGCATACTCACACTCGTCCTCGAAACACACCAGACGGTTTGGGCCGCTCTGCACCAGAGTTCATTCGCCTATATCACGTTACTGGCCTACATTGTGGGACGTGTCTCCCGCCCTCCACCCGTTTCACGCTCCCGGCACTTTACGCTTGGAACCCGCCCTCGTCGTGCTCTGCGCGCAAAAGGTACGACCCACCCACCAAGTTGACCTCGCGACGGACGGCAACGACCGATCCATCTCGTGCTGCTGATCGCGCCTGCTTCACGTCTCTCTACACTCTCCACAGCAACAACACACGCGGCCCCCACCTTTGATCGACACCTCACGCACCCCCACGCCCAACATCCACGATGCCAGCGCTCCTCACAAGTAACAGTGGCAGGCGGCGACGCACCTCGTCCGTCTCGGACGTTGCCTCGGTCTTGCTCAGCCCTATCCACAAGGTCCTCCAGTTGACCAAAGAGGTGACAAGCGAGCAAGACGACGCGCCGCTGTTGGGAGAATCGAGCGCCGCCGCACTGCTGCGCCATCACAACGCCCAGGCCGACGCAGAGCTGCACAACTTGAACCGTAACCGCGTCGAGCTGCGTATTGGCGGCATGACCTGCGGCGCGTGCGTCGCTGCCATCGAGGGCCAGATTGGAAACATGGACGGTATCCTCTCTGTCCAGGTCTCGCTGCTGGCCGAGCGTGCGGTCGTCGAGTACGACGCCGAGTACGTCGACGGCAAGGGCGAGCCGTGGTCGGACGGCAAGGTCGCCTCTGAGATTGAGGACGTCGGGTTTGACGCAGAGGTGGTGGCCAAGAGTGAGGTGGCAGCAGTGGAGCTCACAGTGTATGGGTGAGTAACCCCAGTCCTTTAAAGTGAACAATGTTGCTGACTCTCTGCAGGCTCTCGGACGACAGCATCGTACCCGACGTCATCAAGGAGACTGCGTTGTTGGCCGGTGTGACAGACGTCTCCCTCGATCCCCCCTACGACCAGCTCAGCTTCCTGCACACCTCGACCCTCACATCGCTGCGTGCCGTGGTCGACCACCTGGCCGAACGTTTCCCTCAGCTGTCATTCTTGCCAGCATCCAACGCCAACGCTACCCAGCTTGCCAGCTTGCAAAAGCACCACGAGACGCGTAAATGGCAGCGCACCTTTGTCCTGTCGGCCTTCTTCGCCATACCCAATTTCATCATTGGTATGATGCACATGTACCTCCCCTTTATGGGGTGGACACAGTGGAAGCTGTGGACCGGCATCTATCTCGGCCAGGTGGTCTGCCTGCTGCTCACCATCCCTGTCCAGTGCTTCTTGGCCAAGGGATTCTACATCAACGCATACAAGAGCCTCAAGCACGGTTCCGCCACCATGGACGTTCTCGTCGTGCTGGGCACCAGTTCCGCGTTTGCATACTCTGTCCTGGCAATGTTCTTTGCCATGTTCTCCTCGGACCCAGACTACATGCCCCAGGTCTTCTTCGACACGTCGACCATGCTCATCATGTTCGTGGCGCTCGGCCGATACATTGAAAACTTGGCAAAGGGCAAGACGTCGGCTGCCCTCACCGACTTGATGTCGCTCACGCCGTCGTCGGCGACCATCTACGTCGACCCCAAGCACATCTCGGACGGCGCGCCCACGCGCAAGATCCCCACCGAGCTCGTCCAGGTCGACGACATTGTGCTTGTTGTCCCCGGAGAGAAGATTGCCGCAGACGGTGTGGTTCTCTCGGGATCCACTGCCGTCGACGAGTCCATGGTCACTGGCGAGTCGTTGACCGTCACCAAGACGCCCGACTCGCACGTCGTTGGCGGCACCGTCAACGGCCTGGGTACCATTACCTTCCGCGTCACCCGCGCCGGTGCGGACACCACCTTGAGCAACATTGTCAAGCTCGTCGAGGAAGCGCAGACGTCCAAGGCCCCCATTCAGCACTTTGCCGACCGCGTAGCCGGTATCTTTGTCCCCGTTGTCATCTCGCTGGCCTTGCTCACCTTCTTTGCGTGGATGAGCATCGCCATGTTCAAACGCCACCTTCCCCCCGCATTCTACGCACCGGGCGTGTCCAAGGTCGGCGTCTGCCTCAAGCTGTGTATTTCCGTCGTGGTTGTCGCCTGCCCCTGCGCGCTGGGTCTCTCGACCCCGACAGCTGTCATGGTCGGAACCGGTGTCGGCGCCCAGAACGGCATCCTCATCAAGGGCGGCCGCGCGCTCGAGGCGTGCAAGGGCGTCAAGCGCGTTGTCCTCGACAAGACGGGTACCGTCACCATTGGCAAGATGATCGTTGCCGACCTGTGCTGGGCGTCCGCCCAGGTGCCCGTCACCGAAGCCGGCCTGAGCAGTTCCCAGGCTCTGAGCCTGACGACCGCCGCACCTCCACTCCAGCGCCACACTGTTCTCGCGCTCATGTCCCTGTCCGAGTCGCGCTCCGAGCACCCGCTCGCCGTCGCCGTCGCGTCGTACGGCCGCGAAATGATCTCGGACGCCGGCCTGCCCGCGCCCTCTGGCGAAGTCGTCGCATTCGAAGGGGTCCCTGGCCAAGGTATCGAGGCGTTGGTCAAGCTGCACGGCCACGAGGAACGCGTCCGCGTCGGAAAGGCAGAGTACGTCCTGGCCGAAAAAGGCGGCGAGGGCATTGCGAACCTGCCCCCTCGTCTGCAGCGGTTCAACGCCGAGCAAGGCGAAGCGGCATGCACGGTCGTGTTTGTCGCCGTCGTGCGTAACGGCGAGTCCATCCCCGTCCTCGCTCTCGGCCTCAACGACACCCCCAAGCCGACGTCCGCCCAGGCCGTCGCCGCCCTCCGCGGCATGGGGATCAAGGTCACCATGCTCACCGGCGACAGCGAGGCGACGGCCAAGGCCGTGGCCCGCGCCGTGGGTATCGACGAGGACGAGGTGTATGCCGGCGTCTCGCCCAAGGGCAAGGCCGTGATTGTGCGTGAACTGAGCCTCGAGGGCGGCGTCGCCATGGTCGGCGACGGCATCAACGACTCTCCGGCCCTCGTCGCTGCGTCCCTCGGCATGGCCCTTGGGTCCGGCACGTCTGTCGCCATCGAGGCCGCCGAGGTCGTCCTCATGCGGTCCGACTTGCTCGACGTCGTCGCCGCCCTCGATCTCGGCAGGTCCATCTTCTCCAAGATCAAGGCAAACCTCATCTGGGCCACGTGCTACAACATTCTCATGATCCCGCTCGCCATGGGCGTGTTCCTCCCCTGGGGGGTCCACCTGCACCCCATGATGGCCGCGCTCGCCATGGCCTTCAGCTCCGTCTCGGTCGTGTGCAGCAGTCTGACCCTCAAGGTGAGTAGAGTATTCCACCGCTTGTTTTTTTTTACCGTATACTTTGACAGGAACTGACGCTGTTTCTCAGTGGTGGCGCCGTCCCGCGACCGCCATCGCCCCCGGGGAATACTACGAGGCCGGCGGCCTGTCGCGCGGCTGGGCCGAGACGCGTGCCGGCAAGGACGCGGCGATCGCCTCGGCCAAGGAGTTTGGCCACCGCGTCGTCGGCGCGGCGCAGCGCATCCCCGCGCTGTCGTCGCTCATTAACCGCTCGCCGCTGGCCAGGTTTGGCAGGCCGGCAATCACCATTTCGGCAGAAGACTACGAGGCCATCCCGCTCACGGACGGCATGAACGATAGGTCCCCCGTGTAGATAGATGGGAGGGATAGGGAGAGGGAGAGGGAGGGGTGTGTATTTGGCATTTTCGCATGTTCATGTATCGGGTTCTTTTCTGCAAACTCGTGGCCACAGAGGTGGTTACAATCTTGGGTGCATCTCACAAGTTGGATAAATGGGTATCAAACCCAAATCTCGTTCTCTCACTCCCTCCCTCTCCTCTCCTCAACACCTGTATTTCTCTTATGGACTCTAGTGTTGGATGTTGCCCCCGTGGCCCCACTTCTCCTCGAGGTAACTCGTCATCCACTCGTACAGCTCCCGGTTCGCGCCGCGGGTCATGATCGAGTGTGAGCTGGGACACGGTTAGCACACAAAACAGCCTGGGTAAAGCCGCGTCCCGCATCATACCCACCTGTCAGTAAACATCCTCATGCGCCATCCGCGCACTTGGTCCTGGGTGAGCTTGTCCACCAAGCTGGCCATGTTGGCGAAGTGGACATTGTCGTCGCCCGTGCCGTGCGCGAGGAGGAGGTCGATGCCGGCAAAGTTGGTCACGTTGTTGACGGCAGACCGCACGTATCCGTCCGGGTTGGCCTCGGGCGTGTTCATGTATCGCTCCGTGTAGATCGAGTCATAGTACCGCCAGTCGGTGACAGGCGCGACGGCCATGCCGAGCGTGAACAGGTCGTGACCGGCCTCGAGCGTCTTGAGCGTCATGTACCCGCCATAGCTCCAGCCCCAGATACCCACGCGCTGGCGGTCAATGTACTTGCGCTTGATGAGTTCGCGGGCCAGCGCGAGCTGGTCCTCGACCTCCCAGTGGCCCAGGTCGTCGCGGATGGGGTTACGCAGTGCCCGGCCCTTGAAGCCTGTGCCGCGGCCGTCGATGCGCACAATGACGTACTTTTGCTCGCAGGCGAGGAACGAGTGCCAGTCGCGCTTGAACGCGTTGGACACCATTTGCGAGTATGGCCCGCCATACACCTGGATGAGCAGAGGGTACTTTTTGCGGCCCGACGTGTCAATGTTGGGAGGCAGGATCTCGATCATGTTGAGCTCGTACTCGTCCGTCTGGAGCGTCGAGCGCGTCTCGATGGGACGGTGGAACTCGGCCAGCGTGGCGTTGAGCTCGGCGTTGTCTTCCAGCATGATGTTGATGCCGTCCTCGCCCGTCTGGACGAGACGCTGCCAGGGGACGTTGGGGCCGCGGTACGCCAGGCCGTAGAAGCCAGCCTGAGGGGAGAAGAACGCGTCATAGTATCCAGGCTGGGACGTGTCGGTGAGCGCAATAGGTTCGGGCGTAAAGTCTTGGAGATTGTCCTTGGTCGGCAGGGCGACAGAGTACAGGTGACGGTCGATGGACGGGTTGGCAGCAACAAAGTAGACGATGCCCTTCTCGTGGTCAATACCCGAGATGGAGGCTACCTCCCACTCGCCGCTAGACAGCCAAATGGGCTCGGTGGCAGTGATGGGCGAAAAGAGAGCAATGTGGTCGTAGCCGTCGTTGGGAACAATGTCGACGTAACCACCAACGCCAGACTTGACAGGGATGACGTCCTGGCCGTGGTCGATCCATCCATCGTCGCCCTCCTCGCCGTCCTTGCCGAGGGTGCGGACCACCGTGCCCTCCGACTTGCCGGCAGTGAAGACGACGACCTTGCCAGAACGCGCCGCACGGTCAATCTCCTTGATCATGAGGCCGTCATCGGCGACCCACGCAACCTCGGTGATGATGCGGTCCGTCACGGCAAGCTCGCCGTCCCAGTGCAGGTCGCGCTTGGAACCAACCGCACCAGTCTCAGCGTAGCTGGCGAGGCTGAACGTGTGGACGGTGACGCGTGGCATGGCAGTGCCAGGCTTAGGGTAGCGCATGTCCACCTCAGTCGGGTATGGGTTGACAGAAAACGCGTCGCTGCTGGGGTTATAGTACTGGAGCTTGAACTCGGGCACCTCGCTCTCGTTGCTGCGCAGGTAGGCGACCTCCTCGGCATTCGGCGACCACCACATGGCGTAGTCGGTGCTGAACACTTCCTCCTCGTACACCCAGTCGGGGACGCCGTTGAAGACAACTGACGAGCCGTCATGCGTCACGCGGATGGCACGGGGCCTGGCAGCAGCGAGCTGGGCGGCAGTGAGGACGTAAAGGTCATTGTTCGAGACGTAGGCAATGGCGTGGGACACGGGCGACCAGCTGGCGTGCGTCACGGAGGGCATCACATCCGCAGGCGACGGCTCGTGTACCGGGAACGTCGCCTTGTCACTGAGACGGTGGACCCAGTAGTTGCCGTGGCTCGAGTGGCGCCACTGCTTGCGGTAGTCGGTGCGGAACATGACATACTCCATGTCGGCCGACAGGCGCCACCAGTCCCACTCCATGCGGTTACCGCTACGAGGGTCAACGACGTCGCTCGAGGCTACGAGGAGAATCGAGTCATTGTTCAACACGTTGTGCAGGATAATGTTGCCCTCGGGGTCGATCTCGCTGTACGTCCCGTCGTCGGCCTGCGCGACCCACTGGTGCGACTGGAAGTGAGGGCTGAAGGTGCCGTTGAAGACGTGATCCATCGTAATGTGACGATTGCCGCTCTTGACTGCAAACGAGGGTGCAGAGTAACCCGAGGCCGCGAGCACACCAATGGCCGCCGCGCCGGCGACGATGAAGATCAGGACAGCGAGGATCTTGCGCGAACGCTTACGGGGTCGGAGCTGGTATGTTAGCTACGGTTCGTCATGGCTATCGCTCTACCAGCGCTAGAGCTGCTATGCCAGTCATTGGTCAGCAACATGGCACTCACCCTGCGCGGCTCAACCACGAATCCAGGCTCCTCGTCCTGCTCTTCATCACGGAAACCGCTCTTCTCCTCAAAGGGATCCTCCTCTGCGATATCGCGATAGACGAGGTCGGATCCCGAACCGACAGAGTCGAGCGAGTGGCGCGGGGATGCACCGAGCGCGAGGGCACCTCCACCCCCCGGGGATGTTGGGGGGTAGGTTGGCTCCTCTGTAGATACGGGGTCGTACTGGCCCGGCATCGATGGGTTGAGAGGATGTTGTGTGAGAAGAAGAGAGGAGGAGAGAATGAGTTGGGTTCCCTCAGCGGGGCACACTAGGTGGCGATTCGCGGTTCCTGTGCATCACGCGCTTGAAGCGACACGGCCCACGCGCGCCGCCCTCTGTCCCTTTGGCCGGACACTTCCACATCGTCATAACCACCCGTCCGTCCATCCATCTCTACTCCTCTGCTCAGCAAGCCCAGTAACGACCCCGCCCATTGCGCCATTGCACGACGTGCACACTATCAATTACTCCATCACAACCTAGTCGTGCCCGCACCCCACACCACCAGCACCGCGACTTCGGCGTCTCCTTACAGCTCCTTCCCTAAACCACTCAACCTCCTCGACAATGATCAAGTTCATTCTCGTCCAGAACAGGCAGGGCAAAACCCGTCTGTCAAAGTGGTATGCGCCATATGAGGACGACGAGAAGGTGCGTCTACAGCTGCGCTTTTGGATTCACCCGCAGATAAGCTGACATAGACCAACAGGTCAGGCTACGCGGCGAGGTGCACCGTCTCATCGCGCCCAGAGACCAGAAGTACCAGTCCAACTTTGTCGAGGTGAGCAGATTGAGCGCGAAGGGAGGTGGTCCTTGGGACTGGGTTGCGGACTGTGGGGACGTGGTACCGGCTGGGGTACTGCTGTCGGCAATGGCGACGTCTGCCCTCGGCGTTGTGAGCACAACAGTCCGTCGCAGACCCACTTGGGGGGACGATGGGCGAGCGAACATGTGCCGCGAGTGGACGCTCCAGTATGCGCCCCAGCTGCTGCCTCCCCCCCATGGCCTGGAACTTGAGTGCAACAGTCCCTCCACCACCCGTCGCGACCATTGAGCCGTCGGCTGACATCGCCAGTTCCGCAACGACAAGATCGTCTACCGCCGCTACGCTGGTCTCTTCTTCTGCGTCTGCGTCGACTCGAACGACAACGAGCTCGCGTACCTCGAGGCGATCCACCTCTTTGTGGAAGTGCTTGGTGAGTGTCCTCTGGTTCTGTCCGCACCGGCGCGACGCGTTCGTGGTCTGAGCGTTGCTGAGCCAGCTTCCGCACGCGCTTCGTACGACAAGCTGGCTCCTCTCTTGGGTCCCACATCCAAATGAACCTCCTCACAACCTCGTCGTACTGACACTCCCAGACGCCTTCTTCCAGAACGTGTGTGAACTTGACCTCGTGTTCTCCTTCTACAAGGTAAGAGCACAGTAGTGCAGGCCGGCGCTGACCTCTCAGGTGTATGCCATCCTCGACGAGGTGTTCCTCGCAGGCGAGATCGAGGAGACGTCAAAGACAGTCGTCCTCGAACGACTCGACTACCTTGAAAAGCTCGAGTAAACATTGCCTCAACTACTATATTGATTTCGCTCGTTGGTAGATGGTTCTCAGCCAACGAATGCAGTGTGTTGTACTAGTGCATAAGAGTTTGAGTTGGGTGTAAGGCGACCCGCTGAGGGTGCGCGTGGGTGGTTTGTTTCTGCTTTTCTTTTCCTGCTGTCTTGTCTCCTCTTCGAGCCTGTCGAGCTGTCGTGTCGCTGGAGCAGACTGTCCCCGCCTGCCAATGACGACGCTCAACCGCCCTCTCATTCGTCACTGCGTCCTCGCCAGCCGCTCCGCCTCCTTTCCTCGCGCCTGTAATCCAGCACAGCGGCGAGCTAAATGGCACCCAAGTTGGGATCTCAGCTAACACCGTTGAGGCGGTCCTGCTTTCGCTGCTCAAGCTAGAGATGGTCAGCTAACGGTCACAACGACCTAGCCGTACCCATTTCTTCTTGCACTCGCGGTACGCCAGGAAGTACTCGTAGCACTGTATGTGTGTCAGTTGAACGCGTCATTACATGCTGCCGCAACTCACCTCGCCCTTGTTGTAGTGCGTCTGCTCGAGACACTGGAGCGACGCCTTGGAGGCCTTCTTGCAAGGGTCGGAGAACTGGAGGTCAGCGTCCTTCAAAGGCAACCGTTGCAGAGGTTCAGATGTGACAGCGAGGAGATCCGCAATAGGTGGCTTTCGCACAGCTGCCGCTCTCGGACTGCTGCACTGGATGATAAAGAACACACCTTGCTAATGCTCTTGTGTGACTGCATGGGTTAGCGTTTACATCGCAGACGAACCCACCTTGTGCACGCTGAACGCCTCCTTGTAGTCTTCGGGCTCGTACAGCTCCGCCGCTGGAGGGAGGGGCCTGTACTGCTCTGGAGTGAGCTTGGTCGACGGGGGCACCTGAGTAGCCATGGTCGTTCAGATGTGCGAGTGTTTGGGAGAGATGGTAAGGAAAGGGAGGCGGAATGACAGGAGATGGGAAGTGGACTTGGTTCCGAGTGCCCATTGCTGCATCTGTGCGGGGCCGCCGAAAGCCGTATTGTTGTGAAATCATGAACTCGGCCACATTTACCTCCTTTCCTCCCACTAACTCATCATCCACGCTAACCTTCTAGCCACTGGCATCATGGGCATCGTCGCTACTGTTGCCTCAGTAGGCATGGCCGTTGGGTAAGCTTGCGTGCACGCACTTGCGTGTCAAAGTCTCAGCTCACTGACCACCTATCGCGCAGCCCGCCGCTGGTCTACGTCGACCAGGTAAGCTGTCATATGCGTGTCGCTGCACAGCTGACATTTCAGGCGGTCAGCATTATCAGGAAGAGGTTCGATTTAATGCTATCGAGTGTCTAGCTGACATGCAGGGACTCGTCTGGCTTCTCCAAAGGTACATATCCACCCCCACGGCACCACCGCATGGACTGACGCGACAGACGTCTGCGGCGTAGTCATTATCGCCAACATTGTCCGCATCTTCTTCTGGCTCGGCGCACGCTTTGAGACTCGTCAGTTGACACGCCAGATTGCAGACGCTAACATAACAGCTCTCCTTGTCCAATCCATCCTCCTGATCATCTCCCAGCTGGTCCTCCTGTACATCTGCCTGTACTACGCCCCTCACAAGGGTGCCCGCGCAGTCGGCAGTGGCGATGACAATGGCGACGAAGTGGAGACTGCGCTGTCGTCTCCGGGCTATAGCCGCCCCTTGGGGTTCTGGCAGTGGCCCACGCTCGGCAGCTACCTCGAGTTCCTCGCGGCCTTGATTTTGCTTCTTACGATATTGCAAATGGCTCTTGGGCGATTCAGCTGGTGAGCACGCTGAATTCCATGCTACGCTGACACTCTAGGTTTATCAACGCGTACGGCTAGCAGATAGACTTTATAGCTAACAATCAGACTTGGCTTCATTGCGCTCACGATTGGTGAGTAGCTCCGACGTAACGTCTCCAGAGCTAACATCGCACAGAGTCCACCCTCCCGATCCCGCAGTTCATCTCCAACTACCGCCGCAAGTCGTGCTACGGCTTCCGCTCGAGTACACTCGCCGGCTGGGTCTTTGGAGACTCGTTCAAGTGAGTGCTAGGTGTACAACACGCGCCGGTTCCAGCTGACGTTCTCAGGACGGTATACTACTTTCTCCGCCATAATCCCCTCCAGTTCAAGGTGACCGGCATCATGACGATCTGCTGGGACGTTGCCGTCCTCACCCAGAGGATCTATTACGGCGCCAAGCCTCCTTACGAGGTCGCGCTCGAGGAGCGTGAGGCGTATGAGGAGCACGAGGGGCTCAACAGGGAGCGTACAGAGGAAGTCTAGACCACAACTCTTGCGGGCACTTTAGAGACCAGGAGACCGATGCGAACTCTCTCATGCTACATGCGTTGCTTGGCTTCACTACTCCGGCTTACTGCGGAATTTTGCATGTGGGTTGGGTTGTTGGGTAGGTAGGGGGGGTTGGTAGGGGGGTTTGGCTCTAGATAAGCTACGTGAATTTAAATAGCCTTGCGCTCGACCTCGACGGTGTCCCAGCTGTCACGCTCCTGGATCTCCTTGCTGACACCCTCGACAAGGGGGGTAAGGTAGCGGACGTCGTCCTCGGCCTTGACCCACTGCTCCTTCGGGAGAGGGCGGCGCATGAGGTCCTGCTGGAACGCAACACGGAAGCGGTACACGCGGTCGTAGGACTCCTGGGCCGAGAGACGCGAGATGGCCTGTGTACGTGTTAGTGTTGTTGCTTGCGGTTGGCTGGGCGGGCGGCCAGGCGAGCGGACGCTGCGGGAACTCTGGCACTGTGTTCCAGGTGGGAAGGGTCGGGGACGCTGAGAGCAGTTGAGATCGGCAGACAGGAGTGCTGCGACACAACAAAGTCGGGTACTGTGTCCTCGGACCGGCAGCACTCCAACCTTCAACAGTCCATGCTTTCCTCATCTTCCTTGCCCTCTCCCTTGCCCGCAATCTCCTCCGCTCGCTCCAGGTCGATCTGCCCAATCCCGGGCGCCATCTCTTCTCACCTTGGCGACGTCGTCACGCTCCTCAACAAGGAGGTCGTCGTACTTGAGGCCGACCTTGCGGTAGCCAGCGGCGCGAGCGTAGGCGTTCGCGACGGGCTTCAGGAAGTTGTAGAGGCCGAAGGCCTTGACCTGCGAGACAAGCCTGTACGCGAGGATCCCGGTAAAGAGCGAGAGTCAAGGACGTCGACGTAGGAGAGGCATGAAGGGAGTGGGGAGGGCAATGACGAAGGACAAATGTCACGGTTCGGGATGGTGGCAGAATGGACAACCGGGACAGTGGTCCGAAGGCATGGTGGAACGAGGAGGATGTCGAAGAGGATAGGGATGAGGTAAAGCGCGAGGGGAGGGGGGCACAGTAGAGCGTAGGTGTGCAGCAGCAATGACGCGGACGCGAGAGGAGGACCGGACGGATGAGATGTGGATTGTGTCGATGGCAAGGTGGAGACGAATTGGGTGTGCACGCGCGAGGAGGTGTAGACGAGTATCGGAAACGAGGAGAAGGACAGTCAGTTGACGATAACCACAGTGCATGTCGTCTGTGCGACTCACGAGATGCCGGTGGGGCCGCCCAGGAGAACCATGTTGATTGCTGTAGAGTGGTGGGTTGTTCAGACGAGTTCACTGCCCTCAACGCTGCTGAGCTCCTCTCGGGACCTTCCTCCGACCAGCTCCCTTCCAATGACCCGCACCGTGAGTGGTTGAGGCCTGCTCACCACCCAGGACCACTGCCGGGGATTTGGGCGTTTCGGGAGGACGCGGAACGTGGCACTTGTCCCAGTGGCATGCTTTTGCCAGCCAGGTCCCAGCCATTGCACCTTTCGACCACTGTATGCATGCATACAGCTTGACGATAACGGTCCTAGAACTAACAGAGTTCTCTTGATATGGGTCTCAGGAGGTACAGCGTCGGCAGCGTGTGAATGTGACCCTCCTGCACGCAACATTACGGTCAAATCGAGATACATGTGGGGACGCTCTGAAAACAGTCGGGGTGCGGTGGGTGTCTCTCAAGATACGCTCTACTACAACCACTGCTTCACAGTTAAGCTTCACTCTTCACTTCTTGCTCCTCATCCTTCGGATCGGCCCATTTCTCTGTACAAAGCTGGAAGGTGCCGCCCCTGTGAAATGTCAGCCAGCGAGACTCTGCAGTTCCACCCCACTCAACGAACTCAAAAGTCATACACATACTGCCCGCCCTTGCAGTCCCGGATAAGCTGCTGCCAGTTACCATTCTTTTGCAGGGCATCAGTGGATCCCAGGACCAAGCGCGAGTACTTGGCGCGGGTGAGCCCCACGATGGTGCGGGCAGTTGACAGGAAATCGACCGCCTTGGTGCGGACGGTTGACAGAATTACGATGTCAGCTTCCTGGCCGTGGTAACCATCGACGGTTGGAAACCTATGTCTGTCAGAGTCACTTTTGGCAGTTTTGGTGCAAGCTCACTGGATGTCTTGGATCCGGTCGTAGCCGAATTCGCTGAGAAACGATTTCTTCATGCACTCGTTTTGCCCCGAGTAGAACGAGAGAATGGCGACAGAGGGCTTTGAACCAAGGGACTTGGTGGTGTGGCAGATCAACCTGTAGAGCTCGATTGCCGCCTTCACCTCAGACTCGTTCTTAAAGGACGTGAAGTCGACAACGACCTCTTTACCCAAGACATGGAAGAACATGGATGCCCCCAGTCTGGGTTCGTTGTGCCATGCGGCACGACGGGCGATTGCCATTCCAGGAGCGTCTTGGACTTGGTGACTCGTGTGGTCGTTGCGAGGAAGGAGGGAGGAGGCGTGACCATAGATCAGTGCGGGAAGCTTGGATATCGCTGGGTTCATGCGGTATTGAACGCTACATTGTTAGCACGTCACGAATGTCGAATATGCACGACATTCCTACTTACTCGAGGTACGGCACATGGTGGCTAGGTGCTAGACGGTGAAACAGGCTTTTGTCGTAACCCTTGACTTGGCAGTTGCTCGAGAAAATGGGAGGCGGTAGGAGATTCCGGTCACCCACAAGAACCACTCGGCGCGAACCGAGGCCCAGTGCAATGAGTGTGTCCAGTTCGCTGGCTCTCGCTGCGTCGTCGACGATAAGAGTGTGGAAGCCAACGCTGCGCAAGGCCTTCTTGGCACATGAGGCGAGGGTCGAGCACACCACGTCGACACTGGGATCGGCCAGAACGGCAATCTCCTCCTGGACGACCGCCCGCTTCCGCCTCTGGAGGGACAGCTTGGACTTTTTAACCTCAGAGAGAGCCTCCTGGTGCTGCTTCTCGAGGGTCGCGCAGTCGCGGACGAGGTCGTGGTGCCTGGGATTGCTGTCGCCCAGCTGGACCATCTGGCGACGAAGCGCGCCAAGCTTGTCGCATATGTTGGCAGCATCGGTAATCAAGGCGTTGAGTTCCGCCTCTGCGTGGGACAGTCGAGTCTCGACCAACGCCCCCAGTGATCTTGGCCACACCGATTCGGCCATGACCTCACGGTCGCCCAGGCGAACGATGTTGGGAACAAAATTCTCTCCTGTCGACGAAGGGATACCTGCCATTAGGGCCCGACAGATACTGTCGAGAGCCTTGTGGCCAGGAGCGGTCACAAGGATCTTGGTCCCCGGTGGAGACGAGGAGATCAACTTGCCGACCAGGTAGCTGGCCGTGTACGTTTTGCCGGAGCCCGGAAACCTTGAATCGATGTAAGCAGCCACACACTGCAGTGGGCCAAGGGAGAGAGCTCACCCTTCGAGAAGATGAAACCCGTCATCTTCAATCGCGAGGATGGCCCTCGCTTGGGCCTCGTTTGTACCGATGTACACATCCATTGCACGCTCAACTTGTGCCCACGGAGCGGGCACGTCAATTCGAGGGGAAGGGAATCTGAAAGCATTGAACATTTCGCTTCGGATTCTCGGAGATATTTTGAAGAGCGCGAACAGTGCTTCGCGCTCTGCGAAGTGGATGGCGAGACTGTTCATTAGCAAACCATCTTGTCCGTCTGCTTTAGGCTACCCACTTTTTGCAAGTCCACAGTTGAACTGGAGTACCTGAAATTGTTGGGAGGCGATCGTTGAATGCAGTCAACGTTTCAACAATGAGACGGCGCCACACCTTGTGCGTGCCGTCACTGTACTCGTCATCCTCGACCTCGAATTCCTGCACCACCACGAGAGCCGGCAGCCGACATTCGCTTATAACAACAATAAGGCTGTCGCGCGTCCACTCGTTCCTGGAGCGCTGCCTCCGCTCCCACTCGACAGCGCTGAGAACCAGCGTTGGGAGAGAGATCCACGCTGTGGTGCAGACCGTCCCCGTGGACACTCGGGCGAGAGTGGCATCGACTGGTGGGTTGGAAACGTCTACCGCCTGGTGCTGGGCGGCGGCCTGTACCTCGTTCAAAGTACCACGGACATACTCGACACTGTCCCTCACTTTGACCCACAGTTCGTAAACGAGGGGGTTGAGCATGAAGGTGCGATAGTTGTCTTTGTTGACCATGTATTCTTTTATCTTTTCCGCCTCCTCGAGGGCCTCGACGAGTTTCGGAGGGAGCACTGGGAGCTTCTTGCTGAAAAGGGCTGAATTCTCTCCCAAAAGATGTGGAGCCCAGAAAAGGACCAGTTGGATCATATCGGCTCGAGAGTCAACGCCGCGAAACTCGTAGGGGAAAGGAGCGAGAGGGGTCGGAGGCTTGAGTTCCTTTAGACGTCCATCGTCGTGGATTTGCGCAACGGTGTTCTCCCAGAGTGGAATTATGTAACGCAGTGGCATTTGAGAGATGCTGTGCGGGGAAAACCAGGAGGTGTGATCGGCGAAGGGAAGGAAAGTGGTAGAGGTGAAGGGCAGTAGAGTGCTAATGCGAGTGTAAGTCGTCGCTGGAAGCAAGTGACGGGCGCTGGGCCCAGGAGAGTTGACGAGTTAGGGCTCTTACCTTCAAGTCATCCACACCAGCGTCTTGGCTCCAAAGCAGAGGGATGTTGTGGGTTGCAGAGGGATGTTGTGGTCGGATTGGCCTGCGTGCTGGATGGATGGTTGTGGGATGAGAGATGAGAAGAAAGAAGGAGGATGGGGAAGAAGGGAGACCAGTGATACAGTGGCCAGTGGTCAGTGCGGTCAGTGATGAGACAGAAGCCGCAGCGTTCATTGTCCGTGGGCCGTGCTTGTGGACCGTGGGAGTCTTCTTGCTGATCAGTCCCACGCAGGACCCCCTTCGCAGGCGATCAGTGTACCAGTGTACCAGTGTGTCGTATGCAAAACAGCATGTGCGGATCTCTCTGTTTTGACGCAGACCCGTTGTGCTCATTTGGTGCCAAGGAGAAACACACTTGGCGCCGTCGAAAACTGCGTCTCCAGGCGTTGTATGTTTCTCGTCAATGTGGCGATTTCGTCCTCCTGGCGCCACTTTTCTTAGCACTCCCAGACCCGGGGCATCACTCTGTGTGTGCTGATGAATGATGCATATTACATGAGTTGAGGACCCCTTAGAACGGCAGCGACGACTTGGCCTTGGCCTTCTCCGCCTTCTTAGTCTGTTTCCTATCAGCACCATCCCACTGCATTCTGACTTACCTCCCTCCAGTCGGCAACGCGCTTCTCCATTCCGGCCATACGCTCCGCACGCTGGGCGTCACGTGTGCGGCGCGTGCGCTCCGCGGTGGTGCCCTTGAACATCTTCTTGCGCCTGGGGTACAGGCTCGTCTTGACCGCCTCCTTCCACTCGCCAACCCACGCGACAACAGTGCCATCGGCGAGCTGAATAGGGAGGTTGGACTTGAGAGGGTTCGTGGGCGATGGTGGCAGGACCTCGGCGGGGTACTGGCTCAAGAGCTTCTTCTGCCTCCGAACGGGGAACACCATGGGGATCTGGATACGCGAGGTCATCTCGTCGACCGAAATGTCATGACGCCTAAGGTATCGGTTAGCCGCGAAACAACCCAAACGTTTGAACAACAACAACAAAAACGCCGGAGAACAACTCTACTCACAGACCCGGAATCAGCTTCTTGTGCGAGTGGACAAGGAAGGGGTTCCTGATGTTGAGCGGCGATGTCAACTCGATACCGGACTTCGCAGCGTCTTCTTTGGCGATCCGGACTTCACGGTCAATATGCCGCAGAAGTGTTTGGGGGAGGGAGGCGCTGGGAAGGTAGGAAGGGTTGCCAGCGATGCTAGCGACGCCGGTGTTGGTGCGAGCCGGCACCGAGGAGAAGAGCCGGCGGAGGAACATGGCCGAGGAGGTGGTGGTGGTGGTGGAGGTGGTCAACGAACAAGGTCGAGACGGGTGTGCTCTCTTCTGACCTTGTCGCTACCACCGGCCGTGACTCTGGAAATCTCGGACGCGATCGACAAAGGCCACAGACCTTATCAGGCCGTCCCATCTACGCGGCGACGATGCCACATCGAGGACCTTTGCGACTGTTGTAATGCCGATTTTCACCGCTGGCAGCAAGCGATACCCATTGGGTGGATGGCCCACCTTGACGGACTATTGGGCCGTCCGGTGCGAGGGCCACCGCTCCGAAGCCACCCGCGCTGTCCGCCCAGCCCCCGTCCCCCCCCTCCCACTCGCTGGCCCCATTGCTCCATCTCCCTCCTCTTTCTGCATCTTCACTCCCCTCTCATCCCCCTCCTCCTCCCCCTCCCAAAACTCGGCGACATGACTCTCGTCACCCGCTCTGCCCTCCGCGTCGCCCGTCGCAGCGGCGCCAAGACCGCTCGCGCCAACGCTGCGTTCTTCACCACCGCCGCTAAGACTGCCGCTGCCCTCCCCGAGGCCCGCGTCCAGGCTTCGCGCCCCACCGTTGCTTCCAAGCAGGGTGAGTAGCAAGGCTTAGAAGCATCTGCTTCACCAAGAGCACGTCGCCCATCGCCCTGCAGTGTGACCGCATCGTTCAACGCGTTGCAACGTCGTTTTTAGGCGGCCATCGCACTGTGTTCGGGTTTTTCGAACCCAGGGTTTTTGGGCTACGTGTTCAAAAGCCAAGGAACCCCTACCCGCATCTACTAACATCCCCAACAGTCCAGCAGACCCGCTCGTACGCTACCCCCGCCAACCTCCAGACCGGTGCCATCAAGACCATCATTGGTGCCGTCGTCGACGTTCAGTTCGACTCGGAGGAGCTTCCCCCTATCCTCAACGCCCTTGACGTTCAGTTCACTGAGGGCCAGGCCAAGCCCGAGGGCGGCCGCCTCGTCCTCGAGGTCTCGCAGCACCTCGGTGAGAACACCGTCCGTTGCATTGCCATGGACGGTACCGAGGGTCTCATCCGTGGCCAGAAGGTCGTCGACACCGGTGCCCCCATCACCATCCCCGTCGGCCCCGAGACTCTTGGGTAGGTTTTATTTTTCCTCCTATCACTTTGATAAACGCCGGCGATCGTCACTGACCAGTTCTTTTTAGCCGTATCATGAACGTTATCGGTCAGGCTATCGACCAGCGTGGTGAGATCAAGGGTACCGCTACCCGCCCCATCCACGCCGACCCCCCTGCGTTCGTCGAGCAGTCGACCGAGGCTGAGGTTCTCGAGACCGGTATCAAGGTCGTCGACCTCCTTGCCCCCTACGCCCGTGGTGGTAAGATTGGTCTCTTCGGTGGTGCCGGTGTCGGCAAGACCGTCCTTATCCAGGAGCTCATCAACAACATCGCCAAGGCCCACGGTGGTTACTCCGTCTTCACCGGTGTCGGCGAGCGTACCCGTGAGGGTAACGACCTTTACGCTGAGATGCGCGAGTCGGGTGTCATCAACCTTGAGGGTGCCTCCAAGGTCGCCCTTGGTGAGTAACCAACCGTGTTTGATTTCTCGCTTGGAAATCATCCGCGAATCTTTCTCCGTTTTTTTTCGGGGCTGACATGATAAACAGTCTTCGGCCAGATGAACGAGCCCCCAGGAGCCCGTGCCCGTGTCGCCCTTACCGGCCTCACCATCGCCGAGTACTTCCGTGACGAGGAGGGCCAGGACGTCCTTCTCTTCATTGACAACATTTTCCGTTTCACCCAGGCCGGTTCGGAGGTCTCTGCCCTTCTCGGTCGTATCCCCTCGGCTGTCGGTTACCAGCCCACTCTCGCCACCGACATGGGTGGTATGCAGGAGCGTATTACCACCACCAAGAAGGGTTCCATTACCTCCGTCCAGGCCGTCTACGTCCCCGCCGATGACCTGACTGACCCCGCCCCCGCCACCACCTTCGCGCACCTTGACGCCACCACCGTCCTGTCGCGTTCGATTGCCGAGCTCGGTATCTACCCCGCCGTCGACCCCCTCGACTCCAAGTCGCGTATGCTTGACCCCCGTATTGTTGGCCAGCGCCACTACGACATTGCTACCCGCACCCAGCAGATCCTCCAGTCGTACAAGTCGCTCCAGGACATCATTGCCATTCTCGGCATGGGTTAGTTTAATTGCAGCAGTTTGCTTCAAAGTACATGCTGACACCTCCCCCAGACGAGCTTTCCGAGGAGGACAAGCTCACCGTCGAGGTACGTTAACGAACGTGGTTGTTTGGTGGCGGGCCGCATTTAAGGAGCGGGGACACACTTTTGTCCCCCCACATAAATTTGGTTCCGTCACCGCCACAACGTGCCACATCCGCCACAGTGTGGCACTTGCTCAACATCTACTAACATCAACCTTCAGCGTGCCCGTAAGATCCAGCGTTTCATGTCGCAGCCCTTCCAGGTCGCCGAGGTCTTCACCGGTATGCAGGGTCACCTTGTCCGCCTTAAGGTACGTTTTTGATTCCGTTTCCATCACCACTCGGAGCTTTTTGGCTGACATACCTCCAGGACACCGTCGACGCCTTCGAGGAGGTAAGCTGACACATTTCTTCATCAACCTGCACAAGAACAATGCTGACTCGAGAAGATCCTTGATGGAAAGCACGATGCTGTGCCTGAAGCCTGTTTGTGAGTTTTTGGAGCTGTAGGAGGGTCTGGAGCTCTCGAAAGAGGGTTGGAAACTTGAGATTGTGGCTCCGGAGCTTCCCCCTTTTCACTTTTTCACTTTTTTTTTTTTTTTTCGTTACTGACTTGCTCCAGCTACATGGTCGGCGACATCGAGTCGGTCAAGGCGAAGCACGCCAAGGAGCTGGAGGCGTCCTCGTAAGGATTTTTTTAGCGTCATAAGACAAGACCAAGAATGCAACGGTTTGAAAGAGTGCTAGATGATCAACGGTGCAGTCGTTGTTGTGTGGCGTTGTTCCTACTTGATGGAGGTCCGATGTCCCGGCTGCTGTGTTGGAGGCCGACTCCATGCGGCGCATGTGCTGCCTTACTGTACGATACGGTGTCAAGTGGAGTAGCAGCTCTCGATCTTGCATCGACGAGGCGTGGATATCGCCGTTGACTATGGTGGGTGGTTGCCAGTGCGCGCCGGTGCCTGGATATCACTGGCCTCCCACGTTGCCGGCCACCGTTGCATCGTTGGTGACAGTATACCGAGGCAGAGGAGCTTGGGGGCTTTGTCATTCCCAGCTATTGGTACAGGCTCGTAGTGGGCACCAGGAACGGACATGGGGGTGTTCGAAGGGATGTCTTGTTTTCAGTTGGGTGGTTGGTGATCGGGTGTGGCACACGTAGCACACGATCAGCCATTCTGCCCAGATGCCCAGATGCCCAGATGCCTATTGGGGCCCGCCTGGCGCGCCTGGTCTGCATAGCCTTGCCAGCATGCCGGTAAATTAGCGCCCCCGGCGGATCAGCGGGGTGTATTGTTTACATAAATGCATAGCACCTCTGAGCCTGCAGACGTACGTGCAGGTGCGTCATCGCCACCCTCAAATACACAACCCGACTTTGTCTCTGATCTCTTCGTTCCATCAACCGCATCATTCTTCACTATTCGCATCTCTTTGAATTCCCACTTCACTCAAACAACACAACCGTCACTCCTTCCTACTCGTCATCTCCACACACAACCAACATGGTGACCCAGCGACGCCATGGTCACCAATTCCGAACTGGCGTTTGGCTAGAACAATCTCTTCAGCCTTTGTATCCCCAAGCTCATCGACACCGTCATCCCTGGGTTTGCGTCTGGTGCTGTAGCCCTTCTCTCAAGGCCTCGCAACTCTCGCATCTCTATCAACAACAACCTCCGTCTTCTCCGCCCAGTTGATCCCACTCGGCTTCGTTTTTGGGGTGTGTACCTCAAGCTCGCTATTCCTCGCAAAGGGTTCGAGCACCTCGTCGTCACGACTCTCTTCGGTGCTCACTCCATCCTCTACAACTCGCCTTCTTGGTTTGACCTTCGTGGCATGACGGTTGTGCGCTGCAACAAGGCCGATCCACTCAGCAACTTCAGGCCCTGCACCTTGTTCGCAGCCACCTGTGCCACCCATTTCTGCCCGACCTGTGCCAAGCCGTTCAGCAACGACGTCGCCCTCAGAAGCCACCATACCAAGCCTTGCAAGGTTTTTGCGCAACTGTATCCTTGCCCCCAGTGCTCTGGCGTCCGACTGGCGTCCGACTGGCGAGGTACCCCTGCTGCGACTGAACGTGCAACGTTTGCCACATCACGATTGCCGTCCTTACCAGTAGCCCAGAGTTCCGCCCCCGGGCGAAGTTCAAGTAGGACATTGACCAGCGCCGCGCTCGTGGTGGTGTCTGCCCCCAGGTGCGCAACCAGCCTCAGGGCGACGCGTACCTGGTCTTCGAGCGCTGTGGAGACGACCACCGCCAGGGACGCACGAGTATCAGTTCGATGAAACTGGCCCGCAGTCGTCACCTGAAAGCGATTCGCGACAAAGGCACCTGCAAGCCCCGCTCCTTCAAGCACGCTGAAACTTACATCTGCCCATACTGCGCCAAAGCGTTCGACCACCCAACTCACCGCAAGCGCGACTATGACAGTCACATCGCCGACGTTGTGGACAACCAATGCGCGTACATGGAATGCGCCTGCCTGCCACCGTCGTTTCGAAGGCGAGAACCGCTCGCAGCAGCTGTCGTCCCACGTCAACAACTACTGCACTGGCGTTCCCGGTCCACTCACGTGCCACGGTTGCGGTGATGTCTTCGACTACGAGACCGACCATTATTGCCGCGACCACTACCGCCACCACATTTGGACTATGATGACTTCACCGACACTGGTGCTACCCCCTTAACCCCATTCCTTTGATTATAGCTTATGTGAATAGCAATAGGTGGAATCGTTTGATAAACGGTGGTCCACCAACAGACGATGCATGTGTCAAAATTACCAGAAACCCGACAACAGTCCTTTCACCGTCGTTTTTCTTCATTTTTTAAAAAATGAAAATAATATAAATCAATACGCAAACGTTTCTAGTCCCAGCTGGTACCGTGCTGATCGGTATGTTCCCTTGGCCGCTGACTTACACGACGACCATGGCTGTGAAAACGCGAAACGGACGAGAGACGTACCACATCCCTAGAGGGCCCGTGCAGCTCGACGCATTCCTTTGGTTCGCGCCAACCCGACTGTGCCTTTTGGCTCGAGGGCGGCAAACGTGACCTTCGTTCGACCCTCGGCGATGCCTGTTGGCAGTTGCGACTCTTCAGGCATGCCACATCACTCCGTGACCTCAAATGGGGGGCGGGTACAGCAGATGTCCAGAGGGACAGTATCCGGGGCGGCATGCATCGCCGAAAGCCGCAGCCATAAGGCATGCACTGGGAGAAGGGAACCGGAGGGAAGCGGTCATCTGGGGGACACTACCAAGGAACTGCGGTCTCTTGCACCGGCACACTCAACGGCACACTGTCATCCAGGCGGCATTCCGGCAGAGGGGCTACAATTTACATTGAAGGGCAGCAGCACCCTCCGGGTTAGCTGGACTGTTGCGAAGGCAAGAGAGGCACCTAGGTCAAGCGCTCGTCTGATGGTTTGCAGCTTGGAGCGTGATATGCATCTGTGTACAGTCCCCACAGTCTCACTACGCTTTGCGGAACATGCCAGTGCGGCGGGTGTGGTCTATGAGACTGACCCATGGGTTGGTACCATCGCTAGCAGGCTTCGAGAATTTGACCATGTAGTCTGCGTCACCAACCAGGATGACCAGGTGCCGGGCGCGCGAGAGGGCAACGACCAGGCGGCGGGTGTTGTCGAGGAAGCCGATCGTCTTGCCTGAGCTCCGACCGACGGAGACGCTGACGATGTCTTTCTCGCGCCCCTGGAAGCCGTCGACGGTACTGATCCTGACGGTAAGTTAGGAATACTGGGACTGATACAAAAATGCTTACTCGGGACACCAGCGGGCAGGATCTGCCTCGATCGCAGAGTCGAATGCTTCCTGGAGCTTGTGCCTCTGTGCAGCGTAGCTGGCGATGACACCGACGGAAGGGGGCGTGTGGCTGCTGCCGTTCCTCTGGAAAGCTTGCTGTAGCTGGTTGAGGACTGAGAGGACGACGGGAACCTCGACGAAGCGTGTTCGGGACTGTGAAGCCGTCCGGTAGTCCATGCCCGTGACGTCGTACCACATGATGCCCGAATCGCCACCCCAAAGCTTACCCATCTTGTCGACAGACGGGTGGGACAGGAGGCTGTTGTCGTAAAAAGTACTCGACAAGAACTCAGCAATTCTACGACACATCCTGTACTGCTCGTTTAGCAGGTACACGGTCTTGGTGTAACATCGGGAGAGGCGCTCGAACAATGATTGTTCGAAGTTGAAGTGACGGGCGGGCCCATGGACGAGGGCGGACAACTGTGACAGATCTCCGATAAGGATGAGGCGGGTCCTTGCGTCGGCCAGAGCGTAGGCGGTGAGCATATCCACCTCCGTGCACTGGGCGGCTTCCTCAACGAAGATATAGTCGAACGCCAGGCGGTATTGACGGAGGATATCCGCTCCAGCGAGAGTTGTGCAAATGATATCGCTCTCCGTCAGGACCTTCCGACGCTGTCTGTCGACCGTCTCTCCGAAACGGATTTCGACCAAGGTGTCCAGAGAGTGCGAGCTCATATATTGCGAAATGGCCTGTTGGCGGCCAACTCGCACGAGAGAGGGGGCGAAGGACGATCCATCGAGCAGCTTGAGCTCGCGAAGGCGGGCGGCGGCCTGGTCGACGGAGGAGTTGGACGGGGCAAGGACGAGGACCCGACGATGAGGGGTGTGGGACAAAACGAGACTGACAATCGCGGCGGCAGTGTGCGTCTTGCCTGTTCCCGGGGGACTGACGGGGGTGAGCTTTGCAACTAACAGGGACCAAACCAAACTGCACTAACCCCTTGATGAGCATCACACGGTCCAGTGTTGAAACGGCGGTGGCCACAGCAGCGGCCTGAGACTGATTGAGCTGCCAGTTGTCGGCGATTTGCTTGACGAGGACAGGGTCTACAGGAGGCTGCTGGTCCTCGGAGACACGACGGCCCGTCAAGGCCTCTTGAACGAGACGTTGGTCATAGTGTTCGATGCCCATGATGGCGGTGGCAACAACGTTAATAGCCGTAAGCCTGTTGGTGTCAGAGCTGTCACGGGGGTCTGTCACGGGGGTCGTGGCCGACTTGCCTAAAGCACTGGATGAGATAAAACTCTGGGGCTTCCTGGAGTTCTGGTACGTCGTCGACCAGGCAGTGGACCCGCAGGGCGTTGTCGCTCCAGCGGATGACGATGACAGGCACAAATTTGCCTGAAGGACGATGGAGGAGGAGAACAGAGCCAGCCTCGCGATTGATCGTTGTCCAGTCGTCATCTTTGGGCCTGTCCACGTCGGGTACCAGCCAGTTGATTTTGAGGAAGACACAGCACACGCCATCACAATCACCTTCCACCTTTTGTAAGGTAGCTGTCACGAACGGTGGTGCCCGATCTGGTGGCTGCTTGAAGGGGTCAATGGCCGCGTCCGCCGCCGCGCGCAGGGAGTGAAAGAACTCGGCGAAGAACAGAGGGACAAAGGTCTTGATAAACTCTTCCACGCTGTGGATGGGCCCTGCAGGCACATTGGTGAGCAAAGACATCTCTTCTTGCAAGCGCGGGTAGGTCGGTTCGGCAGAGGAGGTGTCCAGGATCCATCGGAACGTGAGGTCTCTGACGGACCACCGAGTCAAGAAGCTGAGTGGGTCCGACTGTTTGACGCTGCCCACGAGCTCAAAGACTTCCTGGCGGGGGATGATGTCATGGGGCAGCGGCTCAGAGAAGCGGCCTTTGTCCAAACACTGTATGAACCAGTGATGGCGCACGAATTGAACGGGCTTGTCCTGGGCGAGTGATTGCTGCATGTCGGAGATGGCGGTCGAGGAGAAGGTGTACAAGGTATGCGGCGCGAAGTCGTCGCCTTCCCAGAGCTCGTCGCGGGCGTCGACAGGGAGGTCGTTCCAGTAGTCATCTGGGTGGAGAACGACGTACCGGGCTCTGTCGTTGCGGAGTGAAACTTTTCCCAGTCGCCTGGGACGCGTGAAGGCGAAGTCGGCTGTCTCGCTGCGCATGGCAGCAGCAGTGCGGTTGAGGATTTCCCCCATGTTGTCGGAGACGACACGGACAGGAGGGAAATCAGTAGGTTCGAACGCGATCGGCTTGCACAGGGGGTGGGAGCTCTCGTCTGGAACGACACCGGTGGCAAAGAACTCGTTCAAGCCATATCCGGTGACGACGCTGAGGCCAGTCTGGCGTGCGTAAAGGGCCGAGGCCACGTCGTCGGCGGGGAGATCAAGGGCAAGGTCACTGGGGACGACATAGATGCAGCCGATGGGGACCGGTTGGCCTGAAGCTTGAACCGAAACAGTCGCTCCTATAAGGTCAGCTTTGTTGGGAGAATATTTACTTACCGAGCTCTGTGGCGCGGGCGCCCATTTCGAACGCGACAACTCGAGGGTGGAACACAACCGCCTGGCCCGGGGCAGAGTGTGGCTTTTGCGGCAGCTCGTAATACTTGCACACTGTCTTCGTCTGACACCGCTCTTTTTGAGTCTCGTTGGGCGGGGCAGCCGCAGGGGCAGCTGTCGTGGGTTGTGTTGTGCCACCTAGGTTGGCGGTTTTGAGTTGTTTGGCGGTGAAAGGGGGCTTCGGCTTGACTGTGGTCGCACTGTCTCGCGGGTGGTCGACACGCCAACCTCCGTCGCTGTCCTCGGCGGCGGCGGGGGGTGTACTTGACGAGGCGTCGGTCGCGCTAACATTGGGCGTCACGGCCGGAACGCAGGTACTGTCTGCCTTGTGGACTGCAAGCTCCTCCGACTCGTAGTGCTGTTCACCATGTCAGCAAGCCACCGAGGTTAGAGTGCTCATCGGCTGCCACGATGTGTGGTGCTCACTGTGTCAATGGGATCACGAGAAGGGGGTGCCGTCACATGGGAAGGGGTAGGTGGTGTGACAGGTCGTGATGGGGTGTTGGCGACAGCAACGTGCTCATACTGCACCGAGGGCGTAGGCGTGTGCACGGAAAGGCGGTGCTGATGGGTGGGCACGTTGGGGGAAGGGGGGTCGGGCGCGGTTGCGGACACTGGTTGTGACACGAAGGGCGCCTGGGGTTCGGTCGGTCCCGCGTGCACTGGACCAGGCGGGGGGTGCGGCCAAGAGGCGACGGCGGGCGGGTGCAGGTCGTGTTGCGCATGGTCGTGAGGAGCGTACGGGGTGACAGTGTACTGAGTGGACCGCTGGACATGGAATGGGCGGCCATACGAGTCGTAGACGATGCCGTCCGCGCTCACGTGCGTAACGTCACTTTGGTGAGGGGAAAAAGGGGGCAGTACGTCGACAGAGCTTAGGACAAGGAGTGGGGCCATGGACGTGCCGGTGAGGTACGTGGAGTTGTTCAGGAAGGCCGGAATGCCGGCTGGAGAAAGATGTTGGGTTCCAAAATGCTCGCCGAAGCGAGGTGTAGAAAAGTGGTAGATTGGCGGGGGGTTGGCGGCGTTGTACTGGTGGTGCTCACGACCGGTGTCGACGACACGCGGGGGCTGAGGCAACGGGCGAGAGCGGGAAGTCGAGGGGTCTTGGGGCCTGCCGAAGCAGGTGAAATGGGTGGGAGTTGGGGTTGGTGGGGTTAAGGGAGGCCGAGAATCACGCAGCGGCGTGCGCACTGCAGGCTCTGACTGAGCCTGGGCAGTACTGGAATGTTGGGGAGTGGGGGTACCAGTCACGTTGCTCGAGGTAAACGAGCGAGCAAGTGAAGGGTTGACCACTGGCGGCGTGTTGAACTGTCTGCCAGTGGCCTGTGGATCGGTGGATGATTGTTTGCTGTTAGAAGACATGAGGGGAGTGGAAATGATATAAGGAGGGAGGAGTGTGAGAAAGAGGAAGGAGTGTGAGAAAGAGGAAGGAGTGGGGAGACGGAAAGGGCGTCCAAGAGTGATCAAAGCGAGAGGGTCGTGACGCACAGCAGAAGCTCAGAAGCTCAGAAGCCACAAATCCTTTGTCACGGTCAGACGATCAGACGGCTCCATCAGCATGGTCCGCCTTTCACGATCCGTGCCATCAGAGGCATATGCAATCCGGGGCAATGTGTGACGGTTTTGCTCATCGGCGGTCACGAGCAGGGCTGTTTTCGACACATGGATGGACAGCTCGCAAGGTGTCTGCGCCCTCGACTCGTGTAACGACTCGAGAGTGGCGGCCTGCCCACCTTGCGCGTCGGCAGTTACGGCGCCGATAAACTGAACATCTGTGCGGGCACGCAGCACTGCTTTCGAGATCGTGAGAGAGATCCATAGAAGTGGCCTGACGGTGCGAGCGACTGACCCCGAAGGGTAGACTTGAACACAGTGGTACAGCACTGGCGCACTGGGTGTGCCACGATTTGCGTTGGCGAGAACAGCACAGCTGGATGTCCCAACTCACGATAGGCGAGGCCACGAGACTAGCCAAGAGGACTCAAGAGTCTGCGCACAAGGGATATGGCCACTGGCCACTGGATGTTCAGGAGGTACTGTTGCGCATCGAGGACAGCGGTACCGCCCCCCCGAAGGTGTATGTGTTTCAAAGAGGCTGGGGAGTGATCGTTCAGTGGATCAGTGGAGTGGATCAGCTGGAATGTGTCATGCCTGGCCCATTCTCTGCTTTCTGCAAAGGCGAAGGCGGCAATCGTCGACTGCGACTCTGCGGACCAGTGCGACAGTGAAACGGTATGGGTGGAGATTGGAGGGGAGTGGGGGCCCGTCGTGGAACGAGTGCAGGAGTTGGGGTCCAAGGTGTCGAGATGGTGCTCCATCCTGGTTGTGGGCTCACAACTCGCGCTCAGAAGGTGTGGATGTGGTGCCTTAACATTACGTAAATTAATCACATGACTCATATGGGCAGTGCGTCCAACTTATGGATGGCTGCCGTCTCTCCCATGTCGCTCCTGTATATCTCATGGCAGTTCTGTAACTATCTGTAGTCTTGCGTCTTTGGTTTCTCCAAGCCATGCGCCTGCGAGTTTCTGTGTTCCACAACATGTCTTGGTTCTAAGCACACCCCATTTCCATTCTTAATTGCCCCGCAGCAATCCAGATGTTTCCAACTGGATCAGACTGGATTCCCCTCGTCCGCCTCCAGCGAAGGACCCGAAACACTCATGTATCACTTCTCAGATCATCTCGGATCTCGCGTGTGACTCTATGGTGTCGGACGGGAGACCCAGTAGTCTGTATGCAGCTACGCAAGAAGAATGTGTCAGCTCGGGAGACTGCAAGAGAGGACAACTGTGGCGGTGCCATGTCGCTGACTTTGTCCTCACAGTACACCTCAGCGAGGGCTCCCATCCCAAGACAACCCCAAGCCACCTTGGGTGTGGAACACCGCTTACTGGCACCAGAAACTCAGAAGGATACAAGCACAAGACGGACCCTTGTGCCAGTCACACCGACAATCTGAAGGAGAACAGGGCTCCTGCAAGCTGGGCCAGCTGACACAAATGCTCCAAGGATTCTTTTCCGAAAATGGTCGGACTTGGTGTGCAGCACACCGGTACACCGACTTTACTGGCTGCTCGGCGGCAATTGAGGCTCAACTGTCACCCCCCTACTACTATTTGATCGGAAGAGTTGTCGTCGCACTAGCCACCAGTTGGCCCAAAGAATAAAATAATCATTTTAAACGACGCCTCTCAAGGAAGAGATCTCATGTGTGCCTGTGTTCACGTACTAACCACACACTACATACTGGAAGGACAGTGCCATATAGTCCAGGGCAGGAGAGATGGTGCAGTTCTGATGTGGCCTTGCCACGCACTGATCCACTGATCGCATTGAGGGCAGGGACCACAATCGACCACAATCGGTGGTTGAATTATACATACATGTACACACGGATATCCAATGCAGCTGGACACGGTATAGAGCACCCCTGTCCCCTAGGCTCCCTTCACCATCCAGATGTGGCTTTGTCATGTTCTGTCGCACCCATGCAGGGCTACTGCTACTGTGCACGACACCGAACAACCCATCTGTTCGGGGCAGTCATGGTGCGCCGGATTTCCGACCCCCGCGCTCCATGGATGCCAAGCCTATGGTGGCAGGAAATTGGTTCCGCCTTTGCTATCTCTATCTCCGCCCCGTGGTGCGAGAGATTACAGCTCCTGACAACATTGCCCTTACGACCGCACCAACCACACCCCACTGGCCACTGGCCACTGGCCACTGGCTTCTATCCATGCCCCCACTTGCATCTGTGAACTGGAACGAAACGAAACCTGCGGCACTCCACTGTGCGAGGGCTTGACACGGCCGTGTCTCATCGAAGCGACCCTGTGCGACCTCTGCGCCACGGACAACTGAATGGCAGGGAAGGACTGATTCCGGTGGGGGTGCATGACGCCTTCTGTACCCCCAACAGCCTTAAGCCTTACTCTATCACATCCGCGGGGCATGAGCGGGCATCTGCTCGCCGAGCAGCGCAGCAGCCCATATGTCTGGGCATCAGAACTGGGACCGGTGGCGTCGGCATGTGCCTCCGGTGGGCATAAACTCGGCGTTGCGGCGCCTATTGAACGGGCCATTACAAAACAGGTGAGCACGATGAGCTTGCCAGGGATTCGGGGCGATCTGGGACAGGAGAGTGAGGCTTTTCGGGCCGGCGGTACTCGCCGCGGACACAACGACTGCGCGACTGGCCGACTATAGGCCTATAGGTCGGCATTCCCAGACGGTATTCCCAGCCTCCATTCCTCAGCCTCGGGGTTGCCGGGGTGTGCAATGGTGGAGCTCGAGGGTGCTGAGCTGCAGAAGTATCTTTATAGGAAAGCAGGAAGCCTGTTCCGGATACACTTTACTGATGTGCGTCCGAACTGTGCCCCGGGGAACAGAGAGGGTGATGGATGGCGGTGCGCCTTGGTTCTCACCAAGGCAGGAGACACACACACATGTGGCCTACAATGGTGGAGCCTGGGGACGGGGAGTAGTGACGCAGACATGTGTGTGTGTGTGTGTGTGTGTGTGTGTGTGTGTGTGTGCGTGCGTGCGTGTGCGACCAGATGGTAGCCGCTCGCTACGTAGATACTGAGCTACACGACTTACTAAGAACAGAAAAAGCGCGACACAAGACCTCATCCTACTCTCGCTTGGAGAAGAATCGACACGCTCGTCTAGGCTGGCCGTCACTTGCTCCGATCCTCCGATCCGGCCTCGTGCAGTGCTGCGCACCACCGTCCCGGCCAGCGCCCACCCAATCACGTCGCCGACGACACGATGGCCATCGACTGGTCGCTTGCCCCTGCAGGTGCATCTGCATGTGCATCTGACCCAACCTCGTTGTGGTTTGTGCTAGACCTCGAGTGAGTACTAGTGGATGAAGGTGTTAAGGCGGGGGTGAGATTCTCCGCAGTCTGTCCCCCGGCCTTTTTTTCGATCGCGTCCTGAACCATCGATCTCATCGAACAATCTTTCCGCGCGTGTCGAAAAAGAACTTTGCTGATTATGTGATTAGAGAAGACCTCTATCTCTCTGTGCCGGCATCGCGCGCACTGACCCCCTCTCCGACCTCGCCCTCAGACTGGACCGCAGCCGACTGGCCGTCGTCACCTTTGAGCGTGCCGCGACGTTTACTGTCTCGTTCGCATTCGCCTTCACCAGACAACTCGTACCTCGAATTCCCCGCCGCCGCCGCCGCACAGGACAACTGCCCTCCTTCTAGCTCATATTACACCACTCGCACCTCGCCGACGCCTTCACCGCCATTCGACGACGCCAAGACAGAGCTAGCACCTTGTTCAGCGCCTGAATTAGCTGTGGTGGTGCCCGGTCCGCTTCTGCAACAGCTGGACACGTCAAGTCGGCGCCCGCAGTCGTGGCCATTGCCGAACGTCAGCCGCGTGCCAGCCTTGAACCATTATCGTCCAAGGTCTCAATTCGACGTTACGCACTCGACCACAATCCACTCGATGCGCCCTCCCGCCGTCAACGAGTCGTTTGAAGCGCTCTTCGACGAGGCCGACACTCCGACACGCCGGCAAGACAAGCGTGTGTCGCTGTCGTCGCTACGACGGACTCTCAGCATCAATGGGCCCAGCGGAGGAGGCCTAAATAATGGTGTCCAACCCCGAGCAGCGTCTCCTGCAGGTGGTTCTGGGCATGCATTCGCACCGCATGGTTCGCGGGGGGAGGCTGTCGGTTATAGCAGGCCGCCGTCGCGTAGCAGCAGCGTCTCGACGACGACCAGTCTTCGGCACGACTCGGCGGCAGCGGCAGCACCACCACCGCAGCGCCACTACGCGCCAGGGTCTGCACCACAGGGCATGTCCTCCTCCTATACCTCCTACCAGCGAGCTCATCCGCATTCCCCTTACAATCCTTCGGCCCTGCGATCCCAGATTGTGTCAACGACGACGAGCCAAGCACACCGTTCGGCCCTGTCAATGTCCTCCACCACCTCGTCGTCCTCGTCCTCACGCCCCCCTTCGCGCGGCTCGGTGAGGGCACCGTCTCGCCAAGGCAGTCACAGCTACACCAGCCATCTCCCCTCTGTGGCCGAAGGACCGCCCTCGTCCCGCTCGTCGGTGGCGACGCTGCGACCGACGCCAACGTTTTTGGAAGAAATCTACGGCAACGGGGGCCGCCACTCGCCGAGTTACAACGATTTTGTGTCACCACCCCACGACGACCACTACGACGACGACGACTACCCGAGCACCGGTGCCTACGATCGCGTTCAACAAGACGAGGTCCACCACCCCCACCCCCACTACGCGGGCACTGCCCCGGCCTTGGCCCTGGCGCATGCCCTAGAGCACCCCAGTATCACCAGTCTCCGGGATCCCAGCGGCGCCATGTCGAACGCCTTCAACGGCGCCTCAGGCACCCGTCGTTGTCCTCCGTCGGGGCCCTCGTCCCCATTGCCGGAGCATGACCTCGGCAGTGTCGCGGACGAAGAGGAGCTCGAAGAAGCAGACGAGGCCTTTGACGGCGGTCACGACCTGCTTGTGCACCTGAGTGGGGGCCAGGGTTACGCCGACACGGGGTGCGTCCCGCAGAGCCCGTCGGTGACGAGCTCGAGCCCATACGATGGTGTGCAGAGTGGAGGAGGACGTGTTGAAGGAACAAATAGTGCACAACCCAGCCACCACCATCTCACCAACTGGTCCGTGCCACCGCCGCCCCTTCACTCGTCAGAGGCCGCCCTCAGTCCTCGCTCGACGACGAGCTCGAGCCCCAACATGACCCTCCCCGATTTCAGCTTGTACGATTTTGGGCCAGGCAAGCAGAACGATCTAGAGCCAGGGCCCCAGGACAAGCAGGACAAGGCGACGGGCATTACGCACCATACAAAGCTCGACTTGTCTCCAACACTCTCATACCCAGCAGCAGCAGCAGCAGCAGCAGTAGCCGCCGGCAGCACTGGCGCCGTCTCCTCGCCACCGTCGGCCCCGTACTACCCCGCGTCCCCTTCCATCCAGTACGAGTCGTCGTCGTCGTCGTCGTCGTCCGCCAGCAGCAGCCGCGCTGCCAAGGCCCTGTCTCCGCAACCATCGCCGCACCACTCGTCCTCGTCCAACCACTGGCGGCACTCTATCCAGTCTCACACGCCCCATCATCACCCTGCTGCCGCGCCCCGTGCCCTTTCGTCTGGTCTGACAGTCTATCCTCCGGCCGCGCCAGCTTCCCCACAACCCACTCTATCCTCACGAGCCGCTTCGCCCCAAGGCTCCCCACAGCTCACGACTCCTTTTGAGGAGCGCAACGAGGCTATTGGCATCGAGCATCTCATCGCGGCCTCGGGTTTCTTGGACGATCCCTCAACCGACCCCGCCAACATGATGCCCATTGGGGTGCCGTTGGTGCCATCCCGTCGCCAGTACGAGGAGCACTTGCACCTTGTGCAGCAGCGGCAACAGCAACTGCAGCAACAGCAACAACAGCAGCAGCAGCTGCAACAACAACAACAACGTCGCCTGCAGGCGCCCGACTCTGTGCCCTCGTCGCAGTCGTCTGCTTCTCCCAAGGGGTCCCTTGGTTTCACTGGCCAGCAGCGTCATCCTGAGGAGACGACTAGGGGTCTCAACATCAAGAAGCGCAACCCCGAAGCATACCGGCATCACGATCGCCACGAGTCGTTCATGGGCGGCTTCTTTGACGACGGCAGTCACGATCACCGTAAGTTTTTTCTTTCTATCCATCCATCCATCCATCCATCCATCGATCGCGCATCGTCTACCAAACTTCTTTACTCACACGACATTTTCACTCAGGTCACAACAATCGCGCTGGCGGCCTTGTTGTCGAGATTATGGACCGGGCGGCCCAGCCCAGCCCGCAGCCACAGGCGCCACCGGCCCACCCATTCCACCCTTCTGGCCGCGCGCCCGTCTCACCTTACGACGTGCGCTCGGACCATTCCCCCTCGTCGCCAGATCCCGCCATGGGAACAATGCACCACCACCACGGCCACCTGCAACAGCAGTACCAGCAGCAGCAGGACGCCGATGCCGCTTCTGCCAAGCGCTACGCCCGGTGGTCGCAGGTCACGCAGTCGTCTGTGGGCAGCGACTACTCTGCGATGACGTCCAACACGACGTCGACGACGGGCCGCACGACGGGCAGCAGCAGTGGTGCGCCGCTGTGGTCTCCGCTCGTCGACCGCGGCCCTCTTTTCGCCACCGTGTTTGAGGACGAGGAAGCACTTGATTCCGGCGCGCTGGCGCTGGAATTCCGCAACGACGCTCGTGACCCGCGCGACGCCCCCCGCGACGCCTGGGGTGGGCCCAGGGGAGAGCCCAGGGACCCAAGGGACACACACGGCGCCCTGGGCTTGTCCACCGTGCCGCCGCCGCCGCCTCCGTCCACGCGCGGCACCTCGGCACGCCACGGCGGCGGGGGCGGCGCCCTGGGGCCAACCTCCTCTGCCGCCACGGCCTTGTCTCGCGTGCACCGAGCGCCCAGCAGCAGCGTGTCGTCGGTGTCGTCGTCGTCTGCGCAGCAGCAGCAGCAGCACCAGCAGCATCTTTCCCAGCAGCAGCAGCAGCAGCATCCGTTCGCGAACCGTGCACCACCACCATCGGCACCAGCACCATCACTGGACCACCACCACAGAGGGTCCGAGCACCTCGCCCGTCCGATAGGCGCCGGCCAGCTGCCCAGCGTGCAGCACTCGCGCTCGTCCCCATCCCTGTTTGATCAATACAACATGACAAGCGACAGTCCTCCTCCCCAAGTCGCACTTCTCTCACCCATGGAAGACCAAGACGCACAAGAGTGTCCAGTCTGTTGCGAGAGCCTCAGCTCGACCTATCGTCTGCCAGGCGAGAAACCCCACATTGTCCCTGAGTGCGGACACGCTCTTCACGAGGTGCGTACATTCACAGAGAGAGAGCGCGCGCGGTTTTCCTGTGGGTCGCCCTTTTCCGGGACGAGATAACGATATCGCAACGGAATTTGGGGGCAACCAACCACAGGTGGACGCGCGGGGGTGGTGTCGTGTGCGCCTGTCGTGTGTATCGGCTGACGCGTATCGCAGGAGTGCTTCGTCACCGTCTATGGCAAGGTCCCTCTCGATGGCTCGCATCGCAACATTGGTGTCTGCGGTGTGTGCCGCCAGCAAATGCGCATTGGGTTGAGCGCAGGCAGCGATCGCCCACCTGGAAAGACTAGCAGTACGTTGTTTTGGGGACCTGGAACCACCTCGGAAACCACCACGTTCCATGCTGACTGCTCGCGCAGAACTCGCTTCGCTCACGGGCGGCGACACTATCGACTCTCCACACCACATCCTGCAAATGGCCGCCATGTCGATCCACGGGGACGAGCACGAGTCGGACGACCCGCTCATGCCGTCCTCCCCCACGCTCGGCCCGATTCCACTCACCACTTCTCCCGACCAGCCGGTCAAGGTCGTCGTTCCCAAGATTTCGATTCGGTCCGAGCTTCCCTCCGTTCGTCGCGCCCAGGGTGGCCCACCCGTCTTGGCCATGATCACCATCGAGGTGCCCCCTGCCGCAGACAGGAATCCCTACGTCGCTCGCTCGCGCAAGGACAGCCTGGCCGCCCGCGCTGCCGCCGCCTCTGCAACCGAACCGTCACCCCAGCTGCCACCGTCGCCCATCTCGTCCTACGAGGCCACCTTGCCCGGTAGTGGTTCGATCCACTCGCGTGAAGGGTCCAACTCGGCATTTGTCCACGTCCAGGCCGACCTGCGTCGTCGCGTGCAAAACTACAAGCACTCGGGTCTCGAAGTCATTGGCCCCCTTCACCTCTTTGACATTCTCAAGGTCAAAAAGGGCCCTGTTCACCGCGACTTCCACGTGTACCTCTTCCAGGAGGCGTTTGTGTGCATTGTCGAGGAGAAGAAGGCCGGTGGCATTGGGAACATTTTCCGCAAGGAGACGGCGCAGCAAAAGCAAGGCATCCTCAAGCTCAAGGGCCGCATCTACCTGCGCCATGTCTGTGCTATCAACGACAAGTCTACAAAGGACGAGTACGTCCTCACCCTCCAGATGGAGTCCGAGGTCGACGGCTCGGACACCTTCTCCATTTGCTTCCAGGACCGCGGCAGCCACGAAATGTGGAAGTCGACTCTCAACAGGCTTGTCGCCGAGGCCAAGGACCCCAACAACCCCAACGGCCAAAAGTACAAGCTTGCCCAGCAGCTGTCCCGCTCGAACAGCACCGTCTCTGCCTCGCCCAGCGGTCACAGCTTGACCCCAGTCTTCAATGACCACGACACCCCAGCTCCTCCCCCTTGCCCCGCGGGCTGCCTCGGTTGCCAGGCGTACCATGTGCCCCTTGCACCCCATCACACTCCGCTCGACCTCGTTCTCGTTTTGTCTACCCCTGCGCCGACGTCCAACAATGGCTCGTTGCCCCTCAAGATGCGTCTCATGCGCACGTCCCTGCAGTTTGTGCTCGCCTGCATGGGTCCTCGCGACCGTATTTCCCTGGTGGCAACCGAGCTTGGCGTGAACGGTACCGTTCGTCGCACACCATTTCTCAACGCGACCGTCCACGACAGCCGTCGTCGTCTGGAAATGTTTGTCGAGGCGCTCGGTACGGGCTTCCAGGAGCACGACGACTTTGAGGTCGAGATCTCGCCCGACGAGCGCCAGGACGTGGTCACCGCCGTCAACGTTGCCCTCGATGTCATCCTCCAGCGCAAGGTCAAGAACCCCCTCACCGGCATGATTGTCATCAGCGACACGTCCGAGCTCATCAAGCGCTCGCAGATGGATCTCGTCACGGCGCGCCTGGACGCTGCCAAGGTGGCCGTTCACTGCCTGGGCTACGGCAAGGCACACGACCCGTCGCCGCTCTGGATGATCTCCAACCACACCGCTGGTACCTACACTTTTGTCAAGGAGTGGTACCACCTGCGCGACGCGCTCGCCGGTGTCGTTGGCGGCCTCATGTCGATTGCTCTCACCAACATGAAGCTCCGCCTCACTGTCCAGGATGGCGATTTCAAGATTGCCAAGATTCTCGGCACGCCCATGCTCATTACGTCCACCGCTGGCAAGGAGATTGACGTCGACCTCATGGCCCTCCGCCACGGCGAGCGCCGCGAGCTCATTGTCCAGTTTGACCTCGACGCCGGCGACGCTGCTGCCAACGAGCACCGCCTGTCTGCGTCGACCGACGACAGCCGCGGCAGCATGTCTCGCCACCAGGGCCTCAGCAATGGCGGTACCAGTGTGCGCAGCCGCCCGAGCATCAACGGTGGGCCTGGCGGCGGTGTCGACCTCTTCGCCTACGGCGGCAGCGTCAGCAACCACCAGGGATACGACGAGTCGTTCCTTGACGAAGTGCCTGTGGTCGAGGTGGACTGCAGCTTCCACGACCCGCTCGCTGGCCGCAGCGCGTCGCGCCTCGCCAACCCCGTCCTCCTCACCCTCACCATGCTGCCAAGCTCCACCGAGCAGTCCAGTGCCCTGGGAGACCCGGCCATCATCCGCCGCCGCATGGAGCTCCTCGCCGCCGACATGATGACCCGCTCGTTGCTCATTGCCTCGCGCAAAAACTTTGGCCAGGCCATCCGTGTCCTGCGCGACACCAAGCGCATCATCGAGACCATGGCCGACTCGCTGCGCGCCAACCTGCCGGCCAGCAACCAGATCCGCTCGCGTCGCGACGTGGCCACGTACAAGGCTGTCGAGGGCCTCACCGCCACCTTGACCGACGTCGACATGTTCCTCGACGGCCTCGAGGTCAACAAGGAAATGTTCGAACTCGACCACCGCAACTATGCCGCCCAGCAGGCCGTCATCCTGCGCACCCAGCGCAGCTGGACGGCTCGCACGCCCACCGAATCAAACTATACCACGCCAGACGTCCAGGCCCTCATCCAGGCAAGCACCGACTACGCTGCGCGTTCATAGTCGGGTTAAAGTAGAACAGAACCTCAACCACGTAGCCCCCCCTCCTCCGTCATCCTCGTCCCCCCACCCGCCCATGTCACACACAAACCCACCCGCACCCGCAAACCGTCGTTAATTCACACTCTCTCTTCTTCATCATCTGTAAACACATCAATCAAAGTATATATATTTTTGGGCAGTTGTCTACAGGTCATCGTCTATGTGTTTGGATATGCATACAGTCCGCAGTAGCAAGAGCAAGAGCAAGGGGCCACGGGGCCGGGGCCATGGGGACTGATGAATGCGTTCTAGGTGCGTTCCAGTTCCAGTAAGGCAAGTGGCAGCATGCTCGAAATTATAATGTGCTCGACCTTTTGAAACGTGTGGTGCCGCATACCTGGCAATTTTTGACACAGGCCACGGGTAGGCAGCAGCTGTAGTTGAGAAGGCGTTAGTTAGCCTAGACGCCTACTCGGGTACTCGGGATCGTGACAGTATGGCGGTTGCTGGTGGCGGCTGGCCTGGTCGTGGCTTGAAGAGGGAATCAGTCCAATCGTGTTTCGATTAGTGCCACTCCCCTACGTGCTCGTCCCATGGTCCCATGGCCCAGTCTACGCACGCGCATCTGTCACGACAGATGCTGCTCCCAGTGGCCAGTGGGCGGGCCGGGAATCTACTCCCCAGCTGGGTATATACTTTACTTTCATAAACAACAAGAAGGGTGTGTCCCCATATTATGCAATCGTTCGTTTAAGTTCTCCCCCTGCAATAATCTACTTCTAGTTGCCCAGCAGCGCGGCACGCTCGTCCTCGCTCGGCTCCGCCTCGGGGAGTGGCTCTCCAAAGTCGTCGATGCCCAGCAACTTTTCGCGGCGCCTCCACATGAGGCAGATGATCTGGCAGGTTAGCGGCGTCCCACGATGGTTTGAAACCTACCATCAGAGTAAACTGCATAAAGCCGGTGATGGCGTATGGCAGCCAAGACGTCCAGTCTGTGCCCTCGCCGGCCATGATGGATGCGCAGAACAGGATGCTCCCGGGAACCTGGATGGCCATGGTTCCCAGGGACAGCGCGCCGACAAGTCGGGCATTGTACGTCTTGACGATCTGTGGTGCGTACTGGCACACGGCGAGGGCCGTCGCGCTTAGGCCGCAAAACGTGGCAAGTTGGCGCAGGACGGGGTGTTGTGGGCGCGAGGGAAGGACAAAGAGAAGAACGATGGAGAGGAGCGTGAGGACGACGCTGGGCACGTCAGTGCAGCACGCGGTCTGGGTACGAGCAGGAAGGACTTACAGATGGAGAGACACGAGCCACGACATGCCGATGGCCTCGCGCCACTCGAGCTTGTTCTTCTCCACAGCCACTTTGCGGCGCTCGACGAGCTCCTCAGGTGTGTCCTCGTCGGCACCGTTCGTGCCGTATCCCTCGTGCTCGGAAGGAGGCAGCATGTGCGGTACACGCGGGAAGTAGACCAGGTAGAGGATGAGGCTGTTCGCGTGCGTTAACAAGGTGTCCCCTTAACACGCACCTGCTAACTGGCCACACTTGCTACACTCACATGATGGAGAACAGGAGCCACTGCAGGAACACTTGGAGGAACCTCATGAGGCTCTCGGCGCACTGCCCACCGCTCACCACCCGGCAGCACTCGATCAGTGGCCACTGCATGATCAAGAGGTTGAGCATGCCGCTTGCCGACGATGTGGCACCGAGGAGGAGGAAGAACTGAGGGGTTAGACAAGTCATCGCGGACACAATTCAGCTACGTACCGGAGAGAGACCCTCTGATGTCCCAGCGCTAATGATTCGGATATGCTTTTGTTGTCAGCTACACCTGTGACGAGCCAGCTCACCTGCGGGAGATAGCTGATGACCAGACCCGTGCAGAGGAAGATGGACAGGCCTAGTGTGAACGGATCATGGTTCTGCTCTGTCAGTACACAGTGTGACCGCAATACTGCTCACGTTTGGGCACTGGGCGGGGTCCGGGGCCGGGAGCATGGTGAGTTGGGCGTTCATGCAATGGATGCACGTTGTCGCTATGACCATGACGGGTATGTGCGGACCACGGTTGGAGACCCCGGATCCCTCAGTGGCAACACCGGAAGCAAATAGTGCCACACTCGGAGAATGTGTGTCAGTCGAAACACCGTGGGGTGCGACGGTCGCCCGTCGTGCGGCAGGTGTGGTGGTGGTTTTTGCCTATGCAAACGTCCATCTTGAACTACCTCAAGTCACCACCAAAAAACCAACATGGCTCCCAAGAAGGTTCGCGCTCCCCAGGAGGCCGCTGTTTCGCTCGGCCCCAACGTCGCCGAGGGCGAGAACGTCTTCGGCGTTGCTCACATCTTCGCCTCGTGAGTCTACGACGAGTAGTTGGCGAGATGGGCCAAGAAATTTGGTGGAAGGAGGAGAATGCGCGTGCAGATGTTCTCTGAGCGTGTTTTCTCTGTCCCGTGTCTCGCCAACGGCAGCGTCAAAAGTCTGGTCGCAGAGCGTTGTTCTAACGGCTGTATAGGTTCAACGACACCTTCGTTCACGTCACCGACCTTTCGGGCAAGGAGACCATCTCGCGTGTCACCGGCGGCATGAAGGTCAAGGCCGACCGTGACGAGTCGTCGCCCTACGCCGCGATGCTCGCCGCCCAGGACGTCGCCGCCAAGTGCAAGGAGGTCGGCATCACTGCCCTCCACGTCAAGCTCCGTGCTACCGGCGGTACCGGCACCAAGCAGCCCGGCCCCGGTGGTCAGGCCGCCCTCCGTGCCCTCGCCCGTGCCGGTATGCGCATCGGCCGCATCGAGGACGTCACCCCCGTCCCCTCGGACTCGACCCGCCGCAAGGGTGGTCGCCGTGGTCGTCGTCTCTGAGCGACTGCGCTCATTGCGTCTGTGTGGAGCTACTTCTCCCCACTTCGCTTGTAGGCATGGATTCATCTGGGTCCATCCTTTGGTCGCTAGACGAGCACGCACGATGCCAGTCCGTGGCTTGTCAATGGGATTTGTGCATCACACTTGTGTGGCTGCGATTTGACTAACCGTTGCATGGCACATTGATGGGGCTTAGTGCGAGGAAATGGTGTCAGAATTTTGCGGGTCAGGGCAGTAGGGCAGTTGAAGAAGACTTGGTTGGCGTTCGGTTGTGTTCTGTGACAGGCAGATTGCGAGGGAGCTTGCCGCGTCTGTGCAGCAGTATAGATGCGATGCGGCATGGCTGTTCGATGTGGTTTGGCCAGCTGCTCCTCACCAGGCAAATGAAGGCGACGTCGTGATGGCTTGCGACTTTGCAAATTGGATTTTGGCAGCCCAGGGAATGAAATGGTGATTACCCAGCACCTGATAAAGGCTCAGTTTCCTAATTGCAACAGTTGTCCAGTAAGCTTTGGGCGCCCGTTGGATCGTTTCGCGCCTCACATTCTACGGTGGCATTCACCGCCACTGTAGACATCGTTTGTCCGCCAGACCCCGTGGACATCGTTGACCTGCGTTTTTTGGATCCCGTAGTGGTATGTATGGAGCTTCCTGCTACTGTTCAGCGCAGCCACTCGCAGTAGCTGTGAGCCTGGAGTAAACGCAAGCCAGCCGAAGGGAAATGTGAAAGGACATATGTGTATCGGCCCCCATGGCTCTATTCTTTCCGGTACACTTTGCTGGCAGCACGAGGCTGACGCTCACACAAGTGTGCTCCAACCTGCGCTTTATCGCTGCTCAAGTCCGCATCCCTCGGGATACCATCATCTCGTATGCGTTCAAGCTGGGCGCCACAAGTGACGGCAATATTTGTGAGTGTGGCGGACGCGTGGCAGCTGTGAGAACAGGGACGTGGCACCAAGCGAGTGCCTCCGTCGTACCTGCACACACACGAACCGGCTGTTGGGTGTCATGGGACAAGTGGCCATGTGGCTGGACCAAGCATATCTGGGGATCTGGGGTTCAGGCTGTATCGGACAGCCAAGGGTGCCGCCAAGCGTGGTCGTGTGCCGTGGCAGTGGTATAGGTATGTGGACGGCCGTAGGCACAAGCTTGAAGATGTCCGGATCGTCGGACATGTTAGGGTCGAGGGCTTGCTGGTACCTCCGAGGTACTCTCACAAACCGGTTCCCCCACTCTGGAAGAAGGTCGGCGCGGGAACGCTCTGCGGGTCAGCCACGATGGACAGACGTAATGCAGCGAACAGGTGCGTATGAGTACACGCCCTCACCAAACGTCTGTGGAGCCAGCCGGCGAGTTAAGGGTGGTGCTGCGAGCCGCAGGCCCTGTCGCTCGCACTCGCCCTTCGCCGTCTACTACACTTACAGTTTTCTCATGGTCCGTGCGCCGGCACGCCGCGTCGGCGGTCCAAGGCGTCCCGGAGGACCGAGATGGCGACAGCCTGTGGCCTGTGGGTTGTGGGTTGCAGGGCTTCTCCGAAGCTGCCGGGCAGGCCGCTGCGCATGCCGCCGCATTCTTGGCACGCCGATCCTCATGCCCAGACTTCTGGCCCCAACTGCAAGGTACGACCCTCTTGGACCACACCCTTTCTTGTTGGAAGATACTTGGCCCGCGTCGAGAACCAGTGGCCAGTGGCGCGGCACGCAGCGGCCCGTTCACCCCACCAGTCGGCAAAACGTCTCTGCGTTTTCACGTCCACCCGTCCACTACGCTTCCGAACCCTCCCCTCCGGCACTCGTCGTCTACGGGCTTTGCCACCTCCACAGTCGCACCCCGAGGCGTTTCCCAAACGCTCGGGCCGGCATTGCCCATGTGGTGTATAGCTCAGGATACACAAAAAGGAGGCCGGAGGACGTGTGGATCCTCTTTGCGGGTGCGCGACAACCGGACGGTTGAGTGGTTGACCGGGCGCCCCCCGCCTCTGGCTCCCACGGTTTTGGGGGACAGTCATGCATACGTGTTTGTCGCATGTGGGCGGATGGACAGCAACATGCCCTTGATACCTGGCACGAACTGACAAAGAGTGCATTGAACTGGTCGTACAGCAGCAGATGAACAGACGAGGCTCGATTTTGCGAATTCTTTTTAATGAAAATAACAACATTGGCAGAGGGGTGTAGGTGGGGCTTTGCTGTTTCATCTCCCAAACACCTCCATGTCTCATCCAACGTCCCAGCGGTACCTCATGCACCAGGGGCACGCCGAACGTCCAGAAACGCAGTCTCCCCCTGTTCGTGCGATGGAGATCGCACACAGGGGCCTACTGTGCCTTTGTCGGATAGCTCCTCGGTACTCCATCCCCTTTCCAGCAACTGCGAGAGGTGTAGCAGCCACAGCCACTCCGCAACCGCAGTACCGGTGCCCCAAGGGCAGGCTGGCCCAGGTGGCCATGTGGCATCCTATGGAAACGCAGACGCACGGTCCTCCCTCCCCCATGTGTGTGGTGACCGCCAGTGCACCACCTCTTTTTCGTCCGACGTGTTTGTGGCGGCCCAAAACGGCACCGTACGCCACGAAGAGTGCCTTCCTTTGACGCCAACGCGCGCGCCTCGAGTCCACACGACGCGCATGGCATGGCATGTAAAAAGTTGTACCTCCACGGCTTCTTGTCTGGAAAAGGACCTGGCCGTTGCATTGTGCGTGATGATCTGTCAGATAAGCGTGCAGGACGATGAGACATCCGGGGGCCGGTCTCGTCTGGCGATCCCTGCCTGAAGAGCGTGATGGTTTTGGGTCACGGTACAACAATGTATCCCAAGATCCCAAAACATGACCTGGGACACTCGGGGGCATGATAGAGGGGACTAGGTACGAGGGACGAGTGCATGCTCGCTCAGCTCTCGGCCCCTCGCCCCCAGTTCCTTGCGTGGTCTCGGCGACTTGATCCGTAAGGTTTTTTTTTGTTCATTTTTTTTCTTGGCCGTCGTTGCCTCATTGCTGGTGGTGAGGCAGGCTCAGGCCGAGGGCCTCGACCGTTGTCCATGACTGCGACCAGTTGTCCCCTTCCTGTTCCAGTACCAAAGAGAAAGAGACATACGTGGCACTACTCTGTCAGATGACGGGATGACGAGGGGTGGTAACCGTCGTGCTGCCGCAAGCCATATACTACCGAGGCCATGAGCTTCCTTCGAGCTTGCTGCGAGTCCCACTCGCACGCGGAGAGTTACGACGAGGGCGACTGAAAAGACGGTAGGCCGCGGCTGAACCAGTGGTAACGCTGCTGCTCGGGGCCTGGGCACGACTCTTGTTCGCCATTGATACGGCCACAAAAGTTGCCTCCTTCCCATGGCCGCGTGGTTGCACATCATCACAAAAGTGGCCGTTGCGGCATGTCGCGGCCGAGTAAGCTTCACTTGCGTTAGCAACCCGTTGTGGCGGGACGCAAAGGAAGAAGAAAAAAGAGAAGCGGGAGACCTGGCAGGCCCAGCCAAGGCAAGGCGATCACTGCAAGAATCCCGTGAAGGGATACCGAAAGATCCAGTGAGCTTAATGAGCCGCAGCCTGTCGTGCCTTGACATCGCCGGCATGTGCACACAAGGATACAAGGTTCGTTTTCTCGGCATTTGCTGGTCACTCATGAGTGACAAGTCGGCTCGGCTCTTGTTGTTGTTGCTGCAAGGTGTGTGCGTCATCGTTGCGTAAAGTGGCCGCAGACATAAGAAGCAACATGGCTAGGAGAGTTGCACGGCACTGGCCGGTGGGGTTGACTTCATACAGTTCTTCTACATCTACTCATCGGTTTGGCTCTCCAGGAGGCACGTGTCATGTAGTATACAAAGGTGTACTATGGTGTCAAAGGTGGGTCGTAAAGGGGTCATCGGCCGCGGGGAACCGAATTATTGGTCGGTGTTCATGTTACTGGCACATGGTGCGTGGCGTTTGGGGTCGTGGGCAAATAAAGGTAGGTGTAGGGAGTTAAGGTTGCTCTAGGCGACGCTCTGTCACTCATGTTCATGGAGAGACTGTTTGCGCAGTGGTCGATGACTGTTGTGGTTGGCAGGAGTTTAGAACGGCACGCCAAACTTTGCCGGGCGCACCGACACGCGCTTCGCGGGCGGCATCGTCTGCGCGCGCTGCTTGGGAGGGAGAGGTGGTGGACGGTCGAAGAATGGCTCCTCGGGCACGTCGTCTGGCGTGAGGGGGCCTTGTTCAGACGAAGGTCCGCTGGAGTTGGTCCTCCGTGGGAGTTCGTCGGACAGCGACCCAGCCGTGCTTGCGCTGTGCTGTCGTCCGTGGGTGTAGTACGTTGTTTCGGTAACCGGGGCAGCAGTAGTGTTAATCTCGAGGTTCAGGTCCCATGGGAAGTCGAGCAGGGAAGACGGCGCCACGAAGCCGAGTGCCTTTGTAAAGTCTTGCGGGGGTGCAGCAGAAAAGTCGATCTGGGCCTCTGGCAAGAATTCGACTTCGGTCAAGCCGTGACTGGATTCCGACCCGGATGCAACGGACGCCGAATCGAGAGTGAAGTGGGAGGGTGCACTTGACGAGGTCGTGCTGGCCAGCGTTGCGAGGGAAGGCTTGGACTCGAGTACCTTGACTGGCGAGACACGGCGAGGACGGTTGCGCATGGAAATGGGTGGGGGAATAGGCCAGTCCCAGAATTCGGCGGCGCGGATGGCGGCAATTGCCTCGACGTACACTTCGGCGGGCGTCATCTGTGGTGGACGATGGCTAGTAGAAGGACCCGCGACAGGTTGTTGCTCGTGGACAGCGAGTGTCTTGTTCTTGATAGACTGCGACAGGCTCTGCTGTGCAATGACAGCGGGTCCAGAGTGAGAGCGAGGGGATGGGGTACGCGAGTCGCTCGGGGACTCTGGCGGTGGTGGAGGGGGCGCGCGAGTGGGAGGTGGGGCGCGCTTGGGAGAAGGACGTGGTGGGAGAGGACGCATTGGGGGCGGTCCTGGCAAGGGAGGAGGAGACGCCTTGGGAGTAAGGAATGTCGAACGAGAGGAGGAGCGCTTGCCAGGGAGGGCGATGGGTGCAGGTGGAGGGGCGCGACGTTGAGGAGGAAGCGATGCCAGAGGGGTGAGCGGCTGCAGCATGACGGACGATCCCCGTGAGGAGGGGCGCGATGACACCGCAGAGCCTGCGCGTGGGCGTCGAGGAGGTGGTGCGATGCGTGACAAGGGGTGGCTCTCGCCGCCGACGGACTGGGAGCGGCGATGGGTGTCGAGAAGAAGAGTGATGGAGGAAGAAGGTGACGACGACCTGCTGCTGCTGGAATCCGAGTATGCGAAAGGATGAGGATTAAAGGGCGCCGAGCGGGTCCTTCTCCTGAGCGCGACGGCGGCGGCTTCCGCCATGCTTGCGAGCTCGTCTTGCTGGACGGGCGATGGGAGCGGCGGCGCGTCTGGTGGTGTTTGGGTCGTCGTGTCTGAAGCTAAAAGAGCGTGTCAGTCAACAAATGCAATTCAAACAGATAGGGAGGACGGGAGATTTGGGAGTCTGGGGTCACAACGCACGAGCAGTGGCTTTGTCCGTCATGGGCAGCGGGGGCGGGCGACGCTTTGGCGAGCGCGTGGGGATGGGCGGCCGGCCAGCCAGGCCAGTGAGGTCAATCGCAGCAGCAGCAGCAGATGCACGCTTGGTGGACGACGCAGCGCGACGCAGGGCAGACGGGGCGTGCACTGCTGGCGCGCTAGCAGCTGCACTAGCCAGGTGGTTGGACGAGCTATATGACATTCGCATGTGCCTCGCCGCCATCTCCGGCAAACGCTTCTGGTCGTCCCGGCACTCGTCGTTGTACATGGCAAAGGCTGGCAGGTCGTGCAGTGGAAGAACCGGCGACTCATCCGGGATGACCGTTGACGGCGAGTTGAGAACGACCGTTGTCCTCTGCTGTAGGCAGGTGAGTTTGTGCTCCCGAAGTATGGCCGCCTCCAACACTTACTTCTCGGGTGGGGTACTGGCTCACTGCGACCCCCCAGTCAAAGGTAGAGTGGTAAGACGCGTGTGGTGTCTGCACATGGGTGCTAGACGATGAAGCCGGGGAGGACTCGTGGAATGTTGATGACAGTGAAGTCACACCCCACGACGAGCTCGCATAGTCGACAAGGGCCAGCGAGTCCGCTGGGACCGTCGATGCCGAGGACATGCGCGGGGTGGCAAACGATGGGCCGCTGGCCGCAGCAAATGGGTGTACCATGTCTGTCGGGACTGCGCGAGAGTGGCCAGAGTTGGTCAGGCGCCCCGGCGGAGATGATGTGTGGTGAGAGATCGGTTGGCGAGAGCAGGTGCGAGCGCTGCTCAGCACACTGTTTTGCAATCGACCGGGTGTTGTGGTTTTTCAGACAAGAGTAATATGTGCGACTAGGAAGAGACAGGTCGACTTGGGCTCTTGCTGTTGTCTACGTCGTTGCGTGCACACGACGTGCCCCGGAGCAGCAGCAGCAGCAGCAGCAGCACCGCACAACAAGCGAGCTGTTCAAGATCTTGCCTGACTCTGTCTGTGGCCTGCTTCCACGCGCGCGCGCGCTGGGCACACACCTTCTGGGTCAAGGGACCGGCCGGACCGTGCGAGCGCGCGCAAAGGGGGGCCGGCGCTGGCTGTCGGGCGGTTGGCGGCGGTCGTACCGGTGGCTTGGAACAATGGCGACAACCACCACCACGCACAGGGAAAGCAGTTTCTGCCAGCTGCGAGAAAAAGGGAGCGAGAGAGAGGGTCACAACGTCACAAACCCCGCAACACACAGAATGTGGGCGTCCTGCGGGGGGCGGCGCGTGGACACACTGTTCGTGGCAGGTCGCGCGCAGTCCGAGGCGAGGCAGCGGCCAGGGGGGAAGAGTCAAAAGTGGTGTTCTGTCGAAAAGTAGTAGGGGGGAAGGGGCGGCGAGAGGGGAAAGCTGTTCGTTTACCAGTCGAGAACAGCAGGGAGGAAGCACTCGTTCCGTCGAGGTCGTCTATCGTGGCAGGGTCATGGATGTCGTCGAGACAAGGAAACCGATTGAACAAGATGAGCAACAAGAAGCAAAGGATCACTGCAGCGCCGCGCATCACAAGACAGCTGAGAACGCGGCAGTGGACGCAGCAGTTGTGGATGGCATTGCCTCGATGTTGCGGGAACCTCTACCCAGCTCAACTCCTGAGACCAGCTGTGCCGTAACGGCTAACGTCACACGTCGGATAGGGAAGGGAGCGCGCACTTGAACAGAACAGCCCGTCACGTTGAGGCACCTCTCTGGGCATTCCGCGTGCTCGGTCGCTGTGCCGCGCGCGCCTGGAGATTATGGACGAGCGACAACAGTCTGTTTGGGGGGGGGGGGGGGGGGTTGCTGAGCTTCCGGCCACAGGGGACCTGGAAACTCGGCTCGGTCCCTTCTCGTTCTCCAAAGGCCTGCTTCAGCCGGGGCGTTTGCCTGTCTCATGTCTACACGCGGTTGCTTCACGACGTACTGTATGGGCTCTGCAGTCGCTCGTCTCGGCACAGGCGTGCCTGCAGCCAGTCTTCCCCTCTCCCCTGACCCAAGATCCACCTTACATTAGTTGCACGCGAGGCGACCTGCCGATCCCATCTACTGTGTATATTCAAGGACATGGCCTGCTTCTACATGGACAGTCGCCACTTGCCACCTATCTTGAACATTGTGTTTGTCTCAAAAGCTCGAGATGTGATCTCCCCGCTGCAAAGACATGCTAGACACGGGGCGCGGGTGGAGCGTTTCGACCTGTTGCATGACAGGGCAATGACCAACACTGCTTTTACTCCAGTCAAACACCTGGGACTTCCCGCGGAACGCGTCTGCATGTGCCTTTGGAAGACCCCCATGGCCCGTCGCACTCCGCCCAGCAGACTCGGGAACACGACTGGATCATTCTTCCTGCATTAACCCCTGGTCCTTTTGGTATCATTAAGCAGGGGGTCCGCTGTTGCTTGCTCGGGTCACACATCGGGCATTTGAAACGTAGTTAACGTAGCGTGCAGTGGCAAGACCGGCGGTAATACGACAGTGCGTCTCGATCTCCAATGTGTTCGCGTCAGACGCAGAGAGGGGGCTCTGCGCGAGAAAGCACGCGTTCAGGTCGCACGAGGATGCACTAAGCGAGGCCTTCATGAGGAATTCCACTGACCCACATGGCCTTAGTCCTCTCATCAGCGAACATGGCGAGGTGGCCGCCACACGTCCTTCAATGGGGCACGAGGCCATTTGAATGGTGCGCCAGGTCTTCTCACAGATGGGAGGTATCACTGTTGCGGACAGCGAGGCCGCCACATGGCCACATGGCTTACTTCGTGGCTTCCATTTGGTCTGCAGTGTGCGGCCGTTGTGACATGTTCTGTCGGCAGTCAGTGCGCAGGATCAGCCTCACGTTTCTGTGTCCAACCTTGCTCTGTCGCTATGCGGTCCGAGGCCGTCAACGCAGCGCAAGGCCTGTCGCACTCCCGCGGCGTTGGTGGCAGGCATCGTCGTACCTGCCGACGACCCGCGCGCCTCGTTGGGAATTCAGATCAGCTGGAATCTCGCCGAACGCCATAGTCGTGAATAATCATCACACGCTGTCTACTCCACTCCGCATTCCTTGGCACCCAAGAAGCAAAGAGACAGCACGAGGCGATGAAGTGGGTTTGAACAGAAGCCAACTGTGACGTCGTGCAACGGCCGGATTCTTGCGTTTCTTTTTATTTTTTCTGGGCGCCTCAGAAGCTGACAACCTGTGGGCTGCCCCATTTACTGGGTCGGAAAAGCAATGTAGGCACCATTGAATTGCGTGTGTGGGATTTCCTCTGCGTGAGGCGTGCATGTCGTGTCGTCTGAGCAAGGAAACGTGTCCCCATTCAAGGCCACTAGGCCATGCTCGTGACCCTCGCAGAAGGTCGTGAGAGGGTTGGGGACACTTGCTTGCTGCGTCTGCGGTACATTTGTTGGACCAGCTATACCAGAGGGACATGCGGTTGTAGTGGGCAAAATCCTGCTTCTTGGCCTGGAGGAAGGGAAGAGGGTCATGGCGAGCGCTCTGGCCCTTGGTGAACTGCTATGTCACCAGATGAAGAACCATCACCCTGTACGAGGTGCCGGTCTGCACGTCTGACATGGCAAAGATCGTCGGATTGCCTGGAAATTCACCGAACGTACATACGCGTTCGGTTCCGTACCTGCAGAGTACCTTCTCAAGGTCCTCGTAATTATTGCAACGTGCCCTTTCCCTCTTTTCCTCGTGCAGCCGAGACAGGCGGTACAATTGCCAGGGACAGTAGGACGTGCATCGTGTCCGTTGAATTGGCCTTGTCAAAGCCAAAGGAATGAGTGCCCCAGCCCAGGCCGCCAGGTAGAGAGAAGTGTGGCATTCAAAAAAAGGTCGTTCGTTGTGCACGCGATGCCATGTCGCGACGCCGCGTTCCCACCGCCCATGCTCCTCCAGTCCGGCGTTCGCACAATGGAATGACGCACGTATGCAGCCGGCTGTTGCTGGCCACGCCCTTTTCCTTCCGCGTGTCACTCTTCGGTGAGATGGTGCTGACTCTGAGCAGTCGAAACCAGATTACGGACATTGTGTGGTCACCCGCATCGTTTGGATCGGGGAGGTAACGCGTCACGCACGCGTTTCCCACTCCCATCCCACTTTACGACCCTTCTGTTCTCAACGACTGACTTTGTGCATGGTGTGTTGCATGGTGCCCCAGTACAGTACATGGGGGCTCGATTAACTGGGGTTACGAATATTAGTATGACTCCATGTTGTAACTTATTCCATGTTGTAACTTCGACGTGGTGAATAAAATTACCGAGGACCCACGCACTCGCAGGCAGTCCCACACTGACTGCCTCTCACTCACGACTCAGCCTCAGCTCCGTCGTCGCTCTTGCCATGCCATGCAAATACATCTTCAATTGCCTATTAGACTCGATTGCACTCGCGGTGCCACTCCAAAAGGGGGAGCCACACGGTTCGCCGATCCGACAGCTTCCATTCAACTCTTCCTCCTCCAGCCTCTCCCTCTCCCTCTCCCTGTCTCTCTCGCTCGTGCGGAGCGTCCTTACAGCTTGTCAGCGGGGACACCGGCAAGCTCGTCGTAGCCGAGAGCGAGGTTGAGGTTCTGCATGCACTGGGTGGCGGCACCCTTGAGGAGGTTGTCGAGGGCACCCTAATGGAGTGTCAGCAGCCATCCTTTTTTATTTTGACCGTTTTCATTCCCAAACTCACAACAACAACGACACGCTTGCCGCTCGAGTGGACCTGGACGCCACCGACGCGCCAGCCGTGCTTGCCAGCAACGTCACGGACGTCGGGCACGCCCTTGATGACCTGGACGAGACGCTCGCCGGCGTACTTGTCCTCGTAGAGGCTGGCAATGTCCGAGGCGCGCATCGACTGGGCGAGGGGCGCGTTCAGGACCGAAACGATGCCCGAGAACCAGGGGGCGACGTTGGGGACGAACGAGAGCTGGAACTCGGGGTTGCCAAGGAGCTTGCCGAGGTGGTTGGAGGCCTCACGCTCGTGGATGTGGTCGGTGAGCGCGTAGGGGCGGATCGAGCCGGTGAGGTCCTGCTCCGACTACAAACCGCATGTCAGCCCAAATGACCTTGGGTGTATACGCTATGGGGGCAACTCACGATCTTGGGGACAGTCAAGGGGCGGCCGTCAGCGTCATTCTCACCAGCCTTGGTGCCAGCACCCGAGTAGCCCGAGACACCAAAGATGGTAGGAGCCTGGGCCTTATCGAGGTAAGGCAGGAGGGGGGCAAGGAGGAGCTGGGTGTTGGTGGCGTAGCAGCCGGGGTTCGAGACACGAGTGGCAGTCTTGGTCTCTTCGCGGCCGTAGAGCTCTGTTCATTTCACCCATTTAGCTTCATTCTTCTTTGATATAATTTCTAGGCACGACGAAAGGAGGAGGGGGGAGGAGTATGGCCAAAGAGGAAATGAAACAAACGGGCTACAGAATAGCTAGCTATCCTGTTCCGTACAGTCCCAGTTTCCAAGCACACACACACCGCCGCCGCCGCCGTCTTCCATCGTGCTTTATGCGCGAAGCTCACCCGGGAGACCGTAAGTCCAGTTGTCCTCGAAACGGTAGTCGGCCGAAAGGTCGACAATCACACCCTTGCCGCCCTTGCGGCTGGCAGCGTCGATGGCGTCAACAAAGGGCTTGCAAACACCGTTGGGGAGGGCCATGACCCAGGCGTCAACCTCGCCGTTCTCCTCCATCTTGGTGACGTCGGCAGGCGAGAGGTTCGAGTAGGTCACATTGGACTTGGTGTAGCCCTCGAGGGGGAGACCAGCAAGCTGACGCGACGAAACGTGGGTGAGCTCGAGGTGGGGGTGGTTGTTGAGGAGCGACACGAGGTTCTGGCCAGTGTAGCCACGGGCACCGATGAGAGCGACACGCTTCTTGGGGACCTCGGTGGCGTAGCCGCGGCGCGACGACGAAGCGTCAGTCGAGCGAACGGAGGGGCGGGCCGAGGTGGAGAAGGCGCGGGCACCGGTGGGGGCCGAGCCGGCAAGGCGGTGGGGAGGGGTCGAGGGGCCGACAGGGAGGAAGACGCGGTCGATGCGGCCAGACTTCTCAAAGCCGGCAACAATCGACTCGACCTGCTTGACGTCGGGGACACCGTACCAGAAGAGGCTGCGGCCAGCACGGGTGAACGAGCCGTCGGCGCGCTCAAAGTGCCAAGCACGGTTCTCGTCGTCGGCCTGGGCAGTCCAGAAGAGACGCTTGTGGTCCTTCTTGATGGCGTCAAAGACGTTGTCAACAGTCTTGTTGAGGACACCGTTGCGCGAGGGGAGGAACTTGGTCATGACGGGGGTCTCGCCCTCGGGGTGCGAGACAACAGCGACAACGTCGAAGGGCTCGTCACCGTAGATGGTGCAGGGCTGGTCCTTCATGCCCGAGAAGATCTCGGCAACCGACTTGCGGCCCGAGATGACCTCGGGGTCGCGCTCGTCAAAGACCTGGCGGAGCTGGGTCGAACCCACGGCGTCCTTGGCGGGCTGCTTGTAGAGCTTGTAGCCGCGGCGGATAAGGGTACCGGCACCGGCGTCGGTGAAGAGCTCCTTCTGGAGCATGTCGGTCGAGATGATGGCGACCGACGAGGTGCGGGGGAGGGTGTCGAGGAGCTCCTTGATCTCACGGATCTTGAGCTTGGTGCCGTACTTGACCCACGACTCCTTCATGAGGCCGTCATACTCCTCGTCGAGGTTGATGGTCGAGATCTTCTTGCCGGTAACACCGTGGAAGAGGCCGCCCTTCTCGTTGAGGTAGACAATCTTCATGGGCTCGAGGACCTTGGCAAGCTCACCGGCGGCGACGTCGGCGTTGACGTTGAGCATCTGGCCGTCCGCGGTCTCGGCAAGCGAGGTGAGGATGGGAAGGCAGCCAGCCTTGATGGCAGCCTCAATGGGGGCCTTGTCAACGCGCTGGATCTTGCCGACAAGGCCGTACTTCTCCTTGCCAAGGTAGTCGGCGTAGAAGACACCGGTGGGGATGGGGCGGGCACGCGTGCCGAGACGCTCAAGAGCCGAGGTGAGCTTGAGGTTCTCCTGGAGGAAGACGCGACGAGCGACCTGGAGGGTCTTGGCGTCGGTGATACGGATACCGTCCTCGTACTCGGGGACAACACCCTCCGACTCGAGAAGCTCGTTGCTGGATACATTAGCGCTTGCGTCATGTTGTGATGTATTTAGTGTTTACGTACAGCTGGGGGCCAGCACCGTGAAGAACGACGGGGTAGAGACCAAGACGGTTCAGGAACGACAGCGAGAGGGCGAGGTCATCGAGCTCATCGTTGAGGATCGCACCGCCAATCCTGTGTAGATTGTCAGTTGGTTGGTTCCTGGAAATCACACAAATCTATCTGTTATCAAACAACGTACTTGAGGACGGCAAACTTGGCCTCGGGGAGGACACCGGGCGACGCAGCGTTGGTCGACTGGGTGAAGATGCGCAGGTAGCGCTCAACCTCCTGGCGCGAGCCGAGCGAGTATAGGAGACGGATAATGGTGTCCTGCAAAGGGTCAATTGGTTGCTCCAGGATGACACTTGCGATCCACCCGAGCCGGGAATCGCATTGCGAAAGCCGCTCCAGTTGGTCACTCCCAGTCGACTTACACGGTCCATGCCACCGTCACGGCTCGAGACGGCAGAGGTGAGGCCGCGCTTGCGGATCTCGTTGCCGACCTTCTTGGTATCGAGCTCAAGAACGACGTTGGAAGTAGCGGTGGCGGCGGCCTTGGCGTAGGCGCGAGCCTGGACGGGACGGGCCAGCGCCGCGGCGGCGGGGCGGGAGAGGGTGGTGAGGCGGCGAAGCATGGTTTGAGTGGGGATGGGTACCCTCCTTGTCAGGCTAACGTGCAAGAAGGATAAGAGTGAGGAAGGAGTGAAGATGAAGGGACTTGGCTTGATATCCTCCCTTCAGCTTCGAACCAATGGAACCCTCGACACTCCTTTTGGACCGACTCAGTTATCGCCCATCTCTCCTTGTTTACAATTAACACATCATTACGTTATTTCGTCATGGCGATAGTGTAGCGGGAGTATATGTATCACTTTCCTAATGTCAGGGTCAAGGTATTAGAAGGAATCAATTTCGCGCGAATGTCTCCGTTCATCTCGCGGCTGTCTTTGGCTTCTCCCTCAATTTGGCTCCGTCCCAGTCGGCCTGCAACACAAACACATGTCAACAACACAACCACTCACACCCCACACCTCGTAGCTGATTGTCCTTTGTCCCTTCCCCCTTCCCATCATGGCAGAAGAACAGGAAAACATGGTGCGTTCAACGACCACATGTGTTCATTTAACTGATCACTGACAGATGCAGCCCCCTACATCCCGCCTACCCCGCTTGGCAACACCAACAAAGTCGGCCCCCAGTCTGCGCCCTCCGTCTGTCGTCGGCCGCCCCGCACCACTCGGTCTGGCAATGACCGTCGCCGGCGAGAAGCGCAAGACACCATCCTCTCCCGTAATCCCTACTGCCAAGCGTACAGCATCTGGACCGAGCGCCCTGGGCAAGTCGACACTCACAAAGCCGACTGCCTCCACAGCTAGAAAGGCGTCTGGATCAGCCGCGGCGGCGCCGACCGGTCGGCGACCGGCGACCAGGTCATCCACGGGATCCACGGGGTCCACACCCCCAAGCAATGCCGCCATGAGGGCATCATCAAGGTCTGGTTCTGCACTGGCTACCTCGGGTCGCCGTACCGCTAGTGGCAGTTCATCAGCCAGCTCAACTGCCACAACCACGAGGACGCGCCCAGCTGTAGCGCCGCCCACTCGAGGTGTCACTGCGTCCCGTGCTGGAAGACCTGCTCGCAAGCTTCCGATTTCCACCACCGCTGCTGGTCCCAGCCGCCCCAAACCGGTTGCTGGGAAGAGTGGTATTGGTACTGGCATGGCCAGCGCCGCACAGTTCAAGGTGGGTTTTGGCTGCCATGTGTTGATGCTGACCCAAACAGAGCCACGACGGCCGTCTTGAGAATGTCGAGAAGATGGTGGACGGATTTAAGGAGCTTCTGGAGCAGGAGTGGGTTTCACTCGCCGTGGGCGTTGACTGACCCACTCAGAAAGTCAAAGATCAACTCATTACAGACTTCCCACACCGACTTGCAAACTATTCTCCTCAACGCCCAAAACACCGAGCGCGAGGCAAGGAAGGACCTGTCAAGTGCCTCAGAGGAGCTCTTCGTGATGCGGGCAGCGCACGCTCGTGAGGTCGACGACCTCGAGCGCCAGATCCAGCGCAAGGACAGGGAGAAGCGGGGGCTCGAGGAAGAGCTGGGTGATAGCCGTGACGAGCTTGGTCGCGAGCGCGAGGTGGTCCGCGAACTGAAGGTGAGGGTTGATTAGCTAGGTTTCACTAACCCTCAGCAAACTCTTGCCCAGCAATCGACGCAGCACATGACCCTCTCGGCACAGCTTACTGCATCGCAGGCCCAGCTCAGTGCTCTCCAGACCGAGGTCGAGCGCGCCACTCTCGCCGTGTCGGCCATGAAAGCTGAGCTCGAGGTCGGCAAGGAGAAGGCTTGCGAGGCTGAGAAGCGCGCCGACCAGAGTGTGGTCGAGGTCAGGGAGGAGTGTGACCGCAAGGTCGCGGCGGTCGAGGAGGAGCTTCGAGCTGCCGAGAGTATTCGCCGCAAGCTTCACAACCAAGTGCAGGAGCTGAAGGGTGGGTTTTCCGCACCCCGATCCGATGCTGACCCATTACAGGCAACATCCGTGTCTTTGCTCGTGTGCGACCAGCCCTAGGTAAGCTGTCGTAAAAGCCATTTTTGCTTTAGCTTACTCCCAGCCCACGAGCTCAACAACCCGGAGGGCCTTGCGGACATTGCCTACGGCGATGAACGTCTCGCCGAGGAGACTGGCCAGTCACATCTCACCGTCAAGAGCCGCTCCGAGTCTGCCATGGGCAAGGAGCGCGAGCAAGTGCAGCAGTTCCAGTTTGATAGGGTAGGTCGGGCTTTCGTTTCCGGTGCTAACTTTGTCAGGTATTCCAGCCCAAGCACGGCCAGAAGGCGGTCTTTGAGGAGATTTCCATGCTTTCCCAAAGTGTCCTTGACGGTTATAACGTAAGCACCAAGTTGCGTTCATGTGAGCTGATAGCCAGGTTTGTATCTTCGCCTACGGCCAGACGGGCTCGGGCAAGTCATGGACAATGGAAGGTGGCGATGTGAGTTGTGCCGCAGGGATTAAACTGACACTCAGCTCTCGGACGACCTTGGCATGATTCCCCGTGCCATCGACATGATATTTACGGTCAGCCGGCAGCTCAAGGACCGCGGATGGAACTACACCATGGAGGGGACTTTCCTTGAGGTGTACAACGAGGTGGTCAGTTACCAATCCGTTGCATCCCTGAACCAGCTGACGCTTCAGATCAACGACCTGCTGGGCTCTGGGCAGTTTGACACCAAGAAGCACGAGATCAAAATTGACAATGATAACAAGATGACTGTAACGGACACTGTTAGCTGTAGGTCCCAGCTGTATCCTTCAAGCTGACAAGCCAAGTGCCACTTTCGAATACCGAGCAGGTTTCCATGCTCCTCGAGCGCGCACGCAGTCGTCGTGCGGTGGCCGCGACGTTGATGAACGCACGCTCGTCTCGCTCGCACTCGGTGTTTAGCCTCAAGGTCAAGGGCGTCAACCCGTTGACAGACGAGCAGTGTGAGGGCATCCTCAACCTCGTCGACTTGGCCGGCTCAGAGCGCCTCGACTCGTCCGGCGCCGGCAGCAACAAGGACCGCCTCAAGGAGACGATCAACATTAACAAGTCGCTTTCTGCACTTGCGGATGTTATCGGTGCCCTCGGCCAAGGCCAGCAGGGAGGCCACGTCCCGTACCGCAACTCAACCTTGACCCGTCTGCTCCAGACCAGTCTCTCTGGTGAGTTGGAGATGACGTTAACATGGCTAACAGCTCTCAGGCCAATCCAAGACACTCATGTTCTGCAACTTGTCACCTCTGGCTGCGCACCTGGGTGAGACAGTGTGCTCGCTGCGGTTCGCGACCAAGGTCAACACTACGCCGGCTGGAACGGCCAAGCGCAACAACGGCAAGTCCTAGAGATTTTTGTTTGTGGCAGGTTGAAACAGATTATGCCGTGTGAGAGATGGAGAGATGTGGGGAGAAGGAGGACCGGGACAATGAGTAGTAGTGTGTATCGAGGGTGGTCCTCGCTTCATGTATGCCTGTTACAGACGGAGCAGTGGGCGGTGGTATCTAGTGTCTACACTACACGACTCTCTTCTCGTTTACGCCGACTCGGCAGGGGCAGCGCCGTCGCCGAGAATAATGTCGCCGACGCGAAGACGTGTCCAGCCCTGCTTGTTCTGAATGGTCTTCTTGTAGCCCTTCCTGCGCTTCTTGAGGATGGTGTGGGTGAGGGGGCTCTTGGTGTGCTCGAGGACGGTGAGCTCACACGAGGCGACCCAGGGGGGGATGGTCTCAAAGCTGCTGTCGACACCGGCGAGCTTTGGCAGCTGCTTGCGGAGCTCCTTGCCCTCGGCGGCGGGCGAGCGGATGGCAAAGTCGCGCGAGCCGACCTCGAGGATACGCGTGAGGGCGAGGGTGGTTCCGGGAGCCTGCATGGGCTTGAGGGTGGGGAGGGTAAGGACGTCGCGGGGGTGGAGGAGGTACGAGCGGCTGTGGAGACGGGCGACGAGGTAGATTCCCGTTGACGGGGTGGTCTGCTCGCGGAGCAGGCGGAGGGCACCAGAGGTCGAGGTGGGGAGCACGCGCTCAGTCGACGCCGGGAGGAGAGGGGGCAGCGAGCCAAAGGGAGACATGGTGGAGGTGGAGGACGATGCGGCGGCCGATGAAGACTCGGCAGCGACAGCGGGGGTGCTGGACAGCGCGCGAAGCGACTGGCGCAGGGTGTTCACTGTGGGTAATTGTCAGCTGTCGTATTTACATGCCAAAGCTAGCCTACGTACCCCGGGGGAGTGCTGGGCGGGGCGGCATGGTGGGCTCGAGGTTGTGTTGAAGGGGTGGTTGATTGACCAAGTTGAGTACAAGCCGACTTTTCGGGTGTTGCAGCGCGCCTTGTCGGAGGGAAGGCAGGCGTGCCAGGGGGCATTTTGGGTTAACATTTAGGCGACGGAGGGACCGTAAACCTGTTCCTGCTATGGCCATGGTACCATGGTCCGTTGCTGGGGACGACCCTACAGGATGACGCGACAGCACCCGGGCCGGTTCGGGCGTGCATGCGTGGGTGTATGTGTGCAGAGGACAGATGCATGTGGTACTGTGGTACTGTGGTACTGTGGGTAGTGGAGCATATGCATAAGGTTATCAGTACGAGGTGGGCGGGACGTGGTACACGATGGGCATATGGTGATCGCTACTGCCGCCGAGAGATACACACTACCGTCCTATTGCATGCATTAGGCCGTGCCGTTGTATGTATTAGAAACACGCGCGAATCCACCCGAGTGCAGGGGTATGGGTGTGTGCCAAGTGCCACACGCCTCCCGGCTCGGCGTTATTGTGCCCACAACCTGCGCGAGCTTAACAGACCATTGGACCGCTGGGTGCGGTTGTGCGGGCGTACGGAGCGAGAGAGCCCCGTCCTGGCCCGAAGTCTGCTGCCCCCCCCTGCCCCTCCAGCCCCCCCGTCCGTCCTCCTCGCACCCAGCTGGCTACTACACCTCGCTCTTCTCTTCTCTCCTAAAACTCCCTCTTCCTCCCCCCCACCCCTTCCTCTCAAACACCGCTCAGAATGCAGTCCGCCCTCCGGAACTCGCTTCGCGCGGCCGCCGGCGTAAGTCGACCTCCCCCCATCGACATCCTCGAGGAAAATCCACACAGGACCCCGCGCTGGGAGCTGCCAAAAGAGCCCCAACAGAATCGAGGGCGAAAGCGAGATGGGGCAGCAGGCAGAGGCTTGGACACCTAGAGGAGCCTTGAAGCACGTCGTCCTTCGACAGCTTTGGCATGCCCTCGTCGATAGCCTTGCCATGCTCCGCTCTCCATCTCGCCAGCAGCCCTTGGCGCGTTGCGCGCGCCGCGTCCCCAATGGCTGCTCCTTGGGTCTCCATCGCACACATTCTCTCCCTTCGGAGTTTTCGCTGACTTGTCCGACAGCGTCGCATCGCCCCTGCCGCTCGCTCGTACGCTACCGCCAAGCCCGGTATGTTCTGAATCATGCTCACAAGCATGGATACATGTTGCAGGCGCTGACCGGGTGTTCTTTTGTCGACTTTTTACCCCTGTTCGTTGTGTCCACGTCGACTTGTTCCTCCTTGCCCGCCCCCAACCTCCACCTCGGACCAATTACCTGCCACCCTTCCGCCACGACACATCCTCCGCCCAACCCCTCATGTCCCTTTCACCACTGCCTTGCATAACCAACAGCCGCTTCGGAGGTCTCGTCGATCCTCGAGTCGCGCATCGCCGGCACCTCGGTTGCTGGTGACGTCCAGGAGACCGGCCGTGTCCTCAGTAAGTATACTTTTTTGCAGCACCACCATACAATCTCTCTTTTTCCGCACACGTTTCTGACCCTTCCCCCCAGCCATTGGTGACGGTATCGCCCGTGTCTACGGCCTCCGCAACGTCCAGGCCGAGGAGATGGTTGAGTTCTCGTCGGGTGTCCGCGGCATGGCTCTTAACCTCGAGGCCGACAACGTCGGTGTTACCATCTTCGGTAACGACCGTCTTATCAAGGAGGGTGACACCGTCAAGCGTACCGGTGAGATTGTCGACGTTCCCGTGGGCCCCGAGCTCCTCGGCCGTGTTGTCGACGCTCTCGGCAACCCCATCGACGGCAAGGGACCCATCAACGCCAAGCAGCGTTCCAAGGCCCAGACCAAGGCCCCCGGCATTCTCCCCCGTCGCTCGGTCCACGAGCCCATGCAGACCGGTCTCAAGTCGGTTGACGCCCTCGTCCCCATCGGCCGTGGCCAGCGTGAGCTTATCATTGGTGACCGTCAGACCGGCAAGTCGGCCGTCGCCCTCGACACCATTCTTAACCAGAAGAAGTGGAACGACGGCTCGGACGAGTCCAAGAAGCTCTACTGTGTCTACGTCGCCGTCGGCCAGAAGCGCTCGACCGTCGCTCAGCTCGTCAAGACCCTTGAGGAGAACGACGCCATGAAGTACTCGATCGTCGTCGCCGCTACCGCCTCGGACGCCGCTCCCCTCCAGTACCTCGCTCCCTTCTCGGGTGCCGCCATGGGCGAGTGGTTCCGTGACAACTCGCGCCACGCCCTCATCATCTACGATGACCTTTCGAAGCAGGCCGTTGCCTACCGTCAGATGTCGCTTCTTCTCCGTCGTCCCCCCGGTCGTGAGGCTTACCCCGGTGACGTCTTCTACCTCCACTCGCGTCTCCTTGAGCGTGCCGCCAAGATGAACGAGAAGTACGGTGCCGGTTCGCTCACCGCCCTCCCCATCATTGAGACCCAGGGTGGTGACGTTTCCGCTTACATTCCCACCAACGTCATCTCGATTACCGACGGCCAGATCTTCCTCGAGGCTGAGCTCTTCTTCAAGGGTATCCGTCCCGCTATCAACGTCGGTCTCTCGGTCTCGCGTGTCGGTTCGGCCGCCCAGACCAAGCTCATGAAGTCGGTCGCCGGTTCGCTCAAGCTCTACCTCGCCCAGTACCGTGAGGTTGCCGCCTTCGCCCAGTTCGGTTCGGACCTCGACGCCTCCACCCGTTTCCTCCTCAACCGTGGTGCCCGTCTTACTGAGCTCCTCAAGCAGCCCCAGTACACCCCCATGCCCACCGAGGTCATGGCTCCCCTCATCTACGCCGGTGTCAACGGTCTCCTCGACAACGTCCCCACCAACAAGATCACTGCTTGGGAGAAGTCGTTCACCGAGGTCCTCAAGTCGCAGCACCAGGCTCTCCTTGAGAAGCTCTCCGGCGGTGTCCTCACCAAGGAGATTGAGGAGGAGATGAAGAAGATCATCACCGCCCACGTTGCCGACTTCATCGCCTAAGCGATCAAAGCCGAAATCGCGGTTGGGGCACTAGATTCGGTGTCTCTTCTGAGGGTATAAAGGGGTTGTCTAGCCTCGTGGCCGTACTACTTGTCTAGGAACTCTGGAAAAAATGCATCGAGATTGAAAGAACCCATCTGTCTACAAGATCCTTTAATGGAGCGGAGCATTGCGAGCAGACAAGACAGCGCGTGGGGGCCGGGACAAAAACATGTGTGGCTGACGGGAGATCGCGCGCAAGGTGACTGACCCACGTCGATCCTATCAGAGATCCCATCAGAAGTACCGGTAGTTCCGAGTGCATGCGAACGACGTGGCATGGAAATGAGCTATGTACATTGATTGATTCACATCAACGTCGAGATAAAACATGTCGTGGGACTACTCGTCAACTGCCATGGTCGCTCCCACAAGATCCTCCTTCTCGTCCATCACATGCTCCTCCTGCTCCACGACGATCTCAACTGGTCCAGGCGCCATCTCGTCAGCCACCACCATGTGGGCCTGTGACGCGAGAGGAGTAACGTTCTCCGCGGCCTCGGCCTCGGCCTCCTCGACTCCTCCAGCCACAACCGCGTCGTCTGTCGTCTCCGTCATCTGCGACGTGGTGATGTTGGCGACCTGCGACGACGACGCCTTGGCTGCCTCGGCGGCCTCGCGCTTCTCCCGAGCCCTGCGATGCTGTGCTTCTCGCTTCCTCTCTCGCTGGATAAGGTGTTGCTCAAACTTGACGGGGTCAATGGGCGCGTCACCGTTGAGGGCGCGGTAGTCGTGCTTGAGGGTCAAACGGCCACCTTGGCCGCGGATACGCTCGAGTTCCGGTTCGGCCGCCATGTTGCCCTCGCGCAGGAGCCTTTGCGCCTTTCTGCGCCGCCACAAGCCAATGTTCGCGTTGAGCGTGGCCCACACAATGCTCCATTTCGAACCTTCTGCGTCCCGCGACAAGATCTTGAGGTTGTCGTTTGCGCTGTCGTACTGCTCTTGTTGGGTGCCCTCGGTCGGGAACGAGCGGACGCACATTGCCACGATCGCTTCAGGGAGGAGCACAATCTCGATGAATGTCTTTCGCAAATGGTGCGGGAGAGACTCGTACCGATCCGACCCGGCGGGGCGAGTAGGCCGCTCGGTCGCCATTGCAGGCGCGGCAACGTCCAGTAGAGGCTGTGATTCATCGAGAGGCAATGCAGCTGGGGTTGCCTCGTCTCCTCCTGACATGCTGTGATCGGCGGCAACGGCTGGTTCAGGAGGCGCCTGAGCCTCCTCGCTGGCATCGGTTGGCGGCTCCATAGGTGTGTCTTGCGCTTCGACATCCTCCCCGCTCGACTCGCCCCGCAGCGCCCACCGCAGCAGCTCATCTAGAACCTCGAGGTGGTCGTCGGGACTGAGGTCTGCGACGCGGACCTCGTCGTCCAGGGAACGTCGCTCCTTGCTTGACAGGTAAAACTTGTCAATGCGCCACTGTGCTGGCGGATAGCGCTCGTTGATAATGTCGGCGAGGTGTGGGCGGATTGTGATGAGCTGCTCTGCAAACTCGAGGTCGCGGTATGCAGCCGAGTCGACAATGGTTGCCGGGTCAAACTCGAGTTCGGGGGTGGGCAGTCGAATGACAGTGCGTGGCCTGTCGATCCGCTGAGAACGCAGCTCTCCAAGCTACAGTCAGTTCCACGTATCTTTGAATAAAACGTACCACGCAGTCTGCGATCTCCTCCTCTACGATGAACAGGACCCGGTTGCGCTGCTTGCGAACTGTTCCAAGTTGCGTTTCAATCACATACACATCCTTGACCTTGTTGCCTGGGGAGCCCGGGATGAACTCGGCAAGTAGACCGGGCATGTAGCAGGGGCCCTCACGGTAGGCGCAGGCCTGGCCAATTTCCACACTGACATCAGCTAACCGCTACACTGAGAGGAATGACTCACCCTTCTGGCAATGTTGTCGCCGACCGTGGGGGCGAGGGTTGCGAGGTACCCAGCTGCTCGGTAGACTGCGCCTTCTTCAACTTTTGGGCCTGAGCACCAGCGAGGATGCGGCTCATGTCAAGAGGTTGGCTCATGTCATCGTCGTCATCCGAGTCCGAAAAGGTTAGGCTCGAGGGGAAGCGGGGGCGGCGGGGCGCAGGAGACGACGCTTGGCTGTCGAGTGTTTGCCTTGACGATGACGCCACCGGTGATCTAGAGTCATGTCGCCGCGAGAGGCTGCGTTTGGCATACAGTGGCGAAGCAAGTTCTCCTCCCGTCTGCAGCGCGTCGTCCGTGGGATCGACTGTTTTGCTGATTTTCGTCGATCGACGGCGAGAAGAGGCTTTCGGCTTGGACGTGCCACTCGGCCCAGCGGCTGCTGTAGTGGTACGGTCAGCACCGTTGGCCTTGCCCCGTGGTGCTGGAGCCGTTGGCGACTCTTTAGACTTGTCTTGCCCCTTATAGAGAGCATCGAAGAACGCGCTTGGGGAAAGCGTCGGTGGAGGCTTTGCGGGGGTGACTTTGACTGGAGTGGTTTCGTCCTCCTTCGCGTCCTTGGACGAGTCTTTTGTTGCCTTGGTCGAGGCTTTGCGAGCAGTAGGGCCGAGCTTGGGAGGGTTATTCCGCGTAGCCCTGGGAGTGAGAGTAGCTTTTGGTGCAGCCTTGGGCGTGCCCGTCGGCGTGGCCTTGACAGTCGCAGCTCTGGCCACAGCTTTGGTCTTTGGCTTCACTGGTGACCAGTCGGGCGAGCTTGGCGCGTCCGAGAGAGGCGATGAAGGTGGCGGGACATCGGGAGCGTCCGAGAGGTCCGACGAGTCCAACGAGGGGCTTCGCGGACGCTTTCCCGTGATGCTAGCTTTGCGTGTGGCCATGGGCTTGTTGTGTGAGTAATGGAGCGAAAGGATCAGAGGTGTTTCCGGGCGAATCGAGGTCGACCTCCACCGACGCGAACAACAGCTCACCCTGAAGTCGGAGGCAAGGAGGGTTGGAGAGTGAAGGTGCAAATGAGGAGACTGAGCAATGGGGGGTCTTTGTAGATGTAGCGAGTACTGGCGGGACGTCGTGTGTTCGGGATATGAGAAGAGAGATGACGTGCATGTAAGAGAGCATACACACAATGTTCGCAAGAGCCTCGTATGGCACACTCACTCCACACAAACCACAGAACGCGGGATCAAATTCCAGGCTGACACTTGGGACCCCGCGCCTGCACGCGCTTGTTGTGTCGCGTCCACTCAACAGCAACAACAATATTTATCGTCCTCCATCCCCTCCCCCCCCCACCTCCACCTCCAGCCTCTCTACCACTCAGGAGAGCGACGGCACTGCCCTTGGCAGTCGCCACCGCGCCCATATTCAAGATGAGCACACCAACTGTGCAGGCCGAGAAGGCCTACGACATTCCTACCGTCTCTTTCCGCGTCATCACGGACGACAAGTCTCTGCTGTCGCCCGCAGGCGTCCATTCGGTAAGATGGCTGTGGGGGGGGGGGCACATTTCGTGTGACACAGCTGACGTATCTACTCACAGGAACAAGCTCGGTCATATGGATGTAGGTTCCCTCTTCCTTGTGAGACCTAGCTGACAAAGTTAGACAACGACTTCTCCGACTTCGAACGGCCAGAGCACTATATCCGTTACATCGGTGAGTCGCAGACCAAGCTGAACCTCAACTGATGCGGCAGAACCTATCGAGTCGGAACTTGCAGTTCAGGTCGAGTATGACATGGACGAACAAGGTGGGTTGGTCGCTAGCGAGCCTGCTAACCCGCCAGATCAGGAGTGGCTCGACGCTATCAATGCCGAACGCAAGAAAGACCAGTCCGGCCCCGTATCATACGAAGCGTTTGAGATCATCATGGACAAGCTCGAGAAGGAATGGTTCAACTTGGTGAGTTGATGGGTACCCCCCCCCCCCCCCCCCCTTCTCTCTCTCTGACCATCCAAGATCAAGCGCATACCACAACCCGTCTCCCACCTGCCCGTTGAGGATTCAAAGTGCGCCATCTGCGACGACGGCGAGGGGGAGAACTCGAACGCCATTGTCTTCTGCGATGGATGTAACCTTGCAGTCCACCAAGACTGTTACGGCGTTCCCTACATCCCCGAGGGCCAGTGGCTCTGCCGCAAGTGCACAGTGTCGCCAGAGAATCCCGTCTCGTGCCTCTTCTGTCCCAACGAAGGAGGCGCCTTCAAACAGACGACAACGGGCCACTGGTCTCACTTGCTGTGCGCCATCTGGATTCCCGAACTGGGCGTCGGCAATTCCATTTACATGGAGCCCGTCGAGGGTGTCGAGCTGGTGCCAAAGAACCGTTGGAAGCTTGTGAGTCGGGTCGTCTGTGTGGCTGTACTCACCTCTGTCCAGATTTGTTCGCTGTGCAAGGAGCGCGTAGGAGCTTGCATCCAGTGTGTCAACAAAAGCTGCTTCACAGCATTCCACGTGACCTGTGCTCGCCAAATGGGTCTGCTCCAAAGCATGAAACTCATGGGCGATGGACAGTTGGAGTCGTATTGCGAGAAGCACCTTCCTGTGAGTTTCGACCCTCTCCCCACGAAGCTGACGACTCAGCTAGAATGGCGTGAAGGGCGCGAGGACATGTCGGACGCCAATGATACCGACTATCACGACACCGAGGATGACGAGGAAGAGGAGGATGTCATCACCCCCGCCCCCAGGAAGCGTGCACGCAAGAACTCGACGACAGCAAGGGCAGTTGTCACACCAAAGACGGCTCGTGCCCACGCCAAGTCGTATCGCCCTGGACCACCCATTGTGCCCAGGATGATCATCAATCGTCTCATGGAGTACATTGCCAAGGTGTCGATCCGCAAGCGACAGCCCTTCATTGAGCGTCTCTGTCGCTACTGGAGTCTGAAGCGCGAGGCCCGACGCGGCGCCCCGCTTCTCAAGCGTCTCCACCTGGAACCGTGGACTGCCACCAGCGAGTCAAGGGAACAGACTGAAGCCGAGAAAGCAAAGAAGCTCGAGTTTCTCGTCGCCCTGCGTAACGATCTGGAAAAGGTCCGCCTGCTCGCGGAGCTGGTCCGCAAGCGCGAAAAGGAGAAGCTGCGACAGGCCCAAGTCCTCGCGGACATTGTGGACAACTTTATCCTCCCCCACTTTGCGACTCTGCGGACAACTCTGGGCAAAATTGTGGCGATGGACCGTGGGGAGCTGTTCCTCAATCCAGTGACAGTCGAGGAGGCGCCAGACTACTTTGACGTCATCAAGGAGCCCATGTCGTGGTCGGGGATTGAGGCCAAGCTGGACAAGGTCGAGTACCGCTACATTGACGAGTTCAAGGTGAGTTGTGTTGGTGTTTACGTTGCTAACTCCTCAGCACGATGTCCTTCTCGTCCTGAACAACGCTACACTGTACAACAAGGGCGAGACCCCGTTCCACCGTACCGCCGCGAGGATGAAGAAGAATGTACAGCCGCTCCTCGACGAGCTCGATAGCATTCGAGACGAGAGCCTCCTGCTCTCTGTGTCAGAAGGCGACGAAGGACTGGCGGAGGCCGAGCCAGGAACTGTTGGCGATCTCGAGACATCTCTTCTTCGTCTGAAAACACTCTTGTCAACCGACCCGACGGACGACACACGGGACATGCTGGGATCGATCTTTGCGTTCGAGGTCGAGAAGGCCAAGACCCCAACACCTGTTGCCCCGGCTCCCGCAGAGGCACAACAACGCCAACAGCCGCAACAGAAGAGCTCGCGGCGGAGACATCAGACGGCCGCTGAGAAGGCCAAGTACTTTGAGAAGCAAGCGGCAGCGTACAAGGAGCGTTTGAGCTTGGGCGGTTCGACCCGCAAATCCCGTGCGGCAGCTGTGACAGACGGCGACGCCGGTGGCACCCCGCCGCCTCTCGAGTCACTCCCTATGCCAACACCAAACCGACGCCGCGCGGCTCGAAAGGATGAGCTCGCCGACGACGAACAAGGTGGCGAACCGTCTTCAGCTGCCAGTTCGCCTGGTACCATCAAGCCAATGCAAAGGCCTCAACGCGGTGTTCTCGGCGTCCTCTCCGTCCCTGTCATGTCCGACCGCGAGCGTCGCGCACGGGAGAAGGACCTCGAACTGGTAACGGAGAGTGTCGACCCGCTTGACGAGTACAAGCGCTTCAACGTCGGCTGGATTTTACCCGAGGGGTCGAAACGCAGGCGCCCACCACCACCGCCATTACCGCTGAAGAAGCCGTCCGCGCCAAAGACTTCCTCGTCCTCGAGAGGAAACGCCCCGTCCACGGAGCCAAGTATCCAAGGTACCGAACTCAGCCATACTAGCAAGGCCAGTCAGGCCGACGCAGACGATCACCATGACCGGAAGGGCAAGGGCCGTGCCGAATCGCAGGACGTGGTCCCAGAGGATGTCGAAATGACACCCACCGTGTCCAACAAGCGCAAGCTGTCAGAGGAGGCCGACGAGGTCTCCAAGCGACCTCGACCGGCACCGCCCGCAGACGACAGTGACGACGATATCCTCACGCCTGTCCCCGAGTCAGCAGAACCTAGTGCTGTGGCTGAAAAGTTCTCATTACCCGACCGGTCGAGTTTATCTCCCCTTCCTGACGAAGAGTCATCCAAGGAGGATTCTTCTGAGGAGTCACTTAAGGAGGAGCCAACGGAAGAGCCTACAGAAGAGCCTACAGAGGAGCCCACAGAGGAGCCCACGGCGAACCCCACGGAGGAGCCCACCAAGGATCCCACCGAGGAGCTCACAGAGGAGCCTACTGAGAAGCCCACCGAGGAGCCCGAGGAGCAGACCAAGGCGGAGCCTGAGGAAGAGACTAAGGAGGAGCCCAAGAAGGCAACAAAGAGGAAGAGGGATGACTTGTATGCGCCAGGATCGCAAGGTGGGTGTGCCGTCTTTGAAGCTTACCCGCTGACAACGACAGTGTGGGCCAAGATCACGTCATACCCTTACTTCCCGGCCATTGTGGTCGACCATGTCGGCGAATGGGAGACGGTGCCACAGTCAGTGCTCGACTTGGAAGAGCACGAAACCGAAGCACATGGCAAAGTATGGCTTGTGCGCTTCTACGACAAACAGCGCAGCTATGGGTGGATGGCGGCGGACAAGCTCGACATGCTGGGAACGGACGACGAGCTCGACGAGCTGTACCTGGCGGTGGGTTTCTCCAACGTAGTCGTCGCTGACCCAACAGGGCAAAGAGCGCGGAAAAAAGAGCTCGAGCAAGACCTTCAAGTCGTCGCATGTCAAGGCGTCGTGCAAGAAGGCATATCAGTGGGTGATAATTGCTCTTTGAACGGATCTGACCCATCAGGATTGCCAAGGCTGCACTGCAAGGAGAGTCTGCAGGCAGCGTTTGAGGGAATGCTACACTACACACCTGTGCTCCGTGTCGTATGCGTTCACATTCATGCAGGTCTATAAACAAGTGTGCACACTATGCAGCATATTAAAAACTCGTCATTTGTTTTTTCTTCTTCTCCACGGTATCCGGTTACGAAGGCGGAAGCGCGTCGAGGGCGCGCTGGAGGTTCTTGCGCGCCTCGGCGTAGTCGTCATAGTCGAGGGCGGAGATGGCCCACTTGGCCCACTTCTGGACCTGGTCCACCTCCTTCCTTGGGAGCTTGGCTGAGATAGAAGGCTGGACGGGGACAGGAGCAGGCGGAGCGCGCGACGGGACTGGGGCTGGGGCTGGAGCAGTGTGCGCCGTCCTGCTGCTATGGGGAGGTGTCGGCGTGGCGTGGTTCTTGGATGTGCCGACTTGGACCTTTGTGGACCACTGCGAGGCGGTAGACGCTGGGGGAGGTGGGGCGCGAGACGGCGCAGACGCGTGCGAGGGAGGGGGAGTGGGTGCCGGAGGAAAGCTGGTACGCGTCGAGGCTGGGGTCACTGGAGTCAAACTGCGGCTCTCAGACGGGTCAATGACGCTTGGGGGCGGGGCGCCAATCTCGGCCACTTCTGAGACGGGGGAGATTGCTCCGTCTGGCGTGAGCGGCGCACCGTCAGGACCCATGAACATGACACTCTTCTTGGGGAGGTCGATGTGGTCTGGCCTGTTGGCACGGCCTCCAGAACCAGCTGTGCGGGCGGTGCTGCCTGACCCGCCCGAGTCGCCAGAGTCGCCCGAGCCGCGCTTGGCTGTGGAGGGCCTCCCTGAACTGTTGCTTTCCGAAGAGTCCTTGCGCTTGGGCTCGGTCGGCTCGTCTTTCCAAGGCGCCACATCGCGCTCGCCCGGGGTCGCTGCCGTGGACCAATGCTCGCGATCGACGCCGCCATGGGTGGCCGCGATGGACCAGCTGTCCGAGGGAGGAGCGCGAGACATGGCAGGGCGCTTGGGAGGCGAGGTAGCTGAGGTGACAGTAGAGTCGGTCGGCGACGTGATAGTCATGATGGGCGGGGGGCGGGGTCCAGAGTTGGACGTGCGCCGAGAGCCATGTGATACATGATCGATCGAGGGTCGAGACTGGTGGCTGCCAGAGTCGCGCCGCGTAGATTGTCCGCCACGCAGCTCCGACGAAGAAGAAGGACCGAGAATTGGGCGTTGCTGGGCAGAGCTCGATGTGCGACGTGCCGAGCTCGAAGCATCTGGAACAGGTGGCGACGAGCGCTGCTGTGTAGAGGACTCGCGGCGGTTACTCGACTCCTTGGCGGGTGGCGAAGGTGCCTCGTCGTCTGCGATAGCTAGAGAGTCAGTCCGGCGTCCTTATCACTGCCTCCGGATACCCACCAGAACCGGGCAGACGGCCGGCTTTGACGGCCTTTGCCACCTCTTTCGCCTTCCAGAGGGCGTATTTGCGCTTCTGGTCGGTCTGCAGCTGTCAGTTGACGCTCAAGGGTTCCTCAACTCACCTCGTCGGGGAGGTTGCCTGAATCAAAGGTCCTGAGAATCTCCATAAACTGTGCTGCAACAGTGAACCGCTTGGCGAGGCCGCTGGGCTGTCAGCGATAGTCACCGCGTCATGATAGACCCACATGCTGTACTGTCCGGCTCTTTCTGCCTCGTCGGCACTGTCGAAGATCTTGAGCGCAAAGTTCTCGACGTGGGCCGCGCCAACGTCCGTACTGGTAACCGCTTCGTTGCTGGCAAGAACGGGCTTCATCTGGGATCACGTCAGCCTGTGCACAGCCCGTCTGATGGCGAAAGCTCACCTGCTCAATGGAATCAAGAATGGACATGATCCAGTGCGTTCCTTCCGGCGTGCGAGGAGCGCCCATGGCCACCTCGACAACTCGGTAGCAGCCTGTGGTATCAGCAAGAGGTTCTGAACACTCGTGGACGCGTACCCCAGTAGCAGATGGCAGGGTCCACCAGCTTGCATTCTCTTGCGCGGGTCAGGAGGTTCTTGCAAAGCGAGCCAAAGGCTGCTGGCGTCGTGTTCGGGTCCGGGATAGTGACGTCGTTCATGTTGTGGTCGAGGTCTGGTTCGTAGACCAGTTGAAGATAACAGGAGGACGGTGTGTTGTTACCGGTGACGTCAAGATTGTCGCTCGAGGCCGAGACAATCACGGCGCTTGTTTGTGTGGATAGCTGTGGATAGTTCTTCTTGAGTTTCAAGAACCTGGTTGTGGTGATGGGAAGAAATGGAGTGCGAGAGTGCTTGGGAGATGTACCCAAGACTTCCGGTGGCGCACGAAGGGTTGCGGCAATGGCTTCGCAGGCGGAGTTTGGGTTGAGATCTCGCCGTCGGCGCCGTCCGCGTTGTGGTGGCCGGCTGTGGTTGAAAGCTATGTGGGAACCTGGGAAATGGGAACGATGTGGTGTCGATTTGTGTGTGTGTGTTGTTGTTGGAGCCCGCGAGGCTGTGAGGGATGGGATGGTGAAGAGGCAAGACGTACGGATGGGGGGACGGGTGGATCCAAGACACCTCAGCGCATCATTGCTCACGCGTGTGCCCTCTGCCATGCGCCCAACATGCGGCGGTGGACGGCCGGGGTCTCCATATTTTGGTTCCGTCCAAGGCCGGAGAGTGGCGATTTGGGTGGTGTGTGGACGTTGTCTCAACACCAGAGGGGGGGAGAAGGTGACGAGGGAAGGAGGGAAGACGGGGGAAGACAATATGCTGCTGGCTGCTGGCTGTGCTTCTTCCTTCTTACTTCTTCACACTTTCTCTCATCCATATCCACAATGAGCGAGGACACGTCTTGCTCAGCCCTCGTGCTGTGGCGGCCCTGGCCCTTCGATCCGGTCCCTCGTTCCTCGCCAACCACAGCCATCAAGGAAGCGCCAGAGCTCACAGAGATCGTCCCTCCCTCTTCCCCGGAGGTCACTCTCTCGGTGTTCCATGACGCTATCAACGTTCTGCAAGGACCATCTAGCTCTTCCTCCACCCATCACGCGCCCAAGGTCGCCGTCAACACCCACTACCTCTCGCTCATTCGCGGTCCGCAAGTCTCCCCGTCGTGCCACACCATCCGCCTTCCCCCATCGCCTGGCCTCCAACATCTACCTAGAACCTCGATCTCCTGGCCCACCAGCCTCACTTTACCTACCTCAGCCCACTCCCTACCTTACAATGCCCCCATTAACGAGGACATTGTCGGTTGTGACCCCCAAGACATTGTCATGGACGAGCCGTCGGACGCTGCTGAAGTCGCGAACCAGATGGATGTGGATGAGGAGCGTGTCCCGGAGGGAGGCGGTTCTTCCTTCACTCCAGCCCTTGTTACCACCTCTTCTTACCAAGGAGGTGACCCTGGAGAGCACGCTCCCATGACCGCCGCGGACACGGTCCTGCACCTGTCGAGCACCACGCCACTACAGCCAGTAATGGGCAGTTGGACGACTTCCGACCCCATCTCGCTGTCCACTCCAAAGCGTCCCGGTGTCTTCCTCCCTCCCAAACGCACCCCTGTATCCGTCTCGGACCATTCCCCCAACACCCCAATTGCCAAAGTAGACCAGTGGCGAGTCGGCAAGCGACCAGGTCACCAGGGCTCGCACATGCACAACAAGCGACGCAGCGAGGCGCTGAGTGAAGACGAGGTGAGTTGACAATGTCTGTCGTTCTCTAACTCGTCCCCAGGGAAGCGGTGTCTCTACGCGAGTGCTCAAAAGGCCATTCCGCCCTCCCACCCGCGTGTCCCCTTTCTTCACGCCCAACTCTGAATCGACGACCGGGACGGCCACGGACACCGCGAGCTCCAGCCCACCCTCCGCACGCTCGGGCACGAGTACCAGCGCGTTCCCTTCGCCGACCAAGTCCAAGTCCAGTTCCAACTCCACGTCCCTGTCCATCCTGGGAACACCCAGCACCTTGTCCTCGCCGTCCATCAGCCGACGCCAGAGCCAGAGCCAGAGCCAGAGCCAGAGCACGACCCCATCCTCCACCGCCAGCACGGCCACCCGGGCGCGCGTCTCCAAGCCCTTCAAATCGCCCACGGTCGTGGCCCGCTCCGCCGCCCCGTCCCCGCCCTCCATCGCGTCCCGCTCGTCCTACTCCCGCTCTCGGCGCAACCCCAACGGCAACGCCAACGACAACGATCCCGACGCCGACCTCGTCGCTGCCCTCGAGGCCCGCGTGCGCACCCTACGCCAGGCGGTACGCTACGCGACCGCGCCGGACGAGGACGACCGGCTCGCGCGCCTCGTGGGCGTGTGGCGCGACGCAGGCCGGCACGTCGCGGACAAGCTGTTCGAGCTCGTGCCCCGTCCCGAGGAGCGCGAGCACGGGGGTGTGCGTGCGCGCGAGCCCCGTTCGTGGGGGTTTGGGTTCGGGTTTGGCGCGTATGCGGACGGGTATGACGCCGACCCGTTCATCGACACGTCCACGTCCACCTCCACAGCCACAGCCACGAGCGAGGCTGGTCACCGAGGCGAATTCGTGCTGCCCCCCGACACCGACGACCCGGACGGGTCCGAGGAGGACCTGGACGTGGGCCTGGGGAACGTGCTGAAGGGCGCCCGGTCTGTACGCCGGTATGGCGCGTTCAGGCCCAGCGGCTACGGGGACGACATGGTGACCAACGACACGGCTGCATGCGACGACGTCGACGAGTGAGCTGTGGCGGGCGATCCTAAAGGAAAAAAAAGGCGTCAAGCTGACCATTGTCCAGGTGCAACCCGTCGCCGGATACCTGGGACCGCGGGGCCATGCTGCTTAAACTCGGCGTCGACCCGGGCCTCCTCGGGTTCGACCGTGAGGCGGACGACTGGGAGGAGATTGTGGACGAGTGAGCGGAGGGGTTGATAGCGATATGCGCATGGAAAAGGAACGAGGTCAGTTTGGCAGTTTGGAGTCCCCCCCCCCCCCCCCCCCCCCCCCCTTCGTAGTTGTGATATGGTGCATCGTATCTCTCCGCAATGTGGGCAATGCTTTTATGTATGTATGGGTGTGTGTGATGATGATGGTTACCAACGTCTACCAACGTCGCTCTCTCTAAGCCTTGCGGCCCTTCTTGGCCTTGACGACCTTGAAGCCGAGGTCGGCGCTGGGCTGCTTGGGCTGGGTCTTGACGACGTCGGCGAGCGAGGCAATCTTCTGGACGCCGCGGGCGCCCGACGCGTTGTTGCGCTGCGTGTCGGCCTTGCGCTTGGTGAAGAACTCCTGCGCGAAGCGGCGGCCGTCGAGCGTCGACGACGAGGCGTACACGCTGTCCGAGATGATCTCGAGCAGGTCGGCGCGGGACGAGGCCGGGGGGTCGATGGGGAACTGGAGGAGCATTTGGATAAAGTCGTCGACGTTGACGGTGAGGCCCGTGAGGGCCTGCTTGGTCCAGCGGATGAACTCGACCGAGGGCTGGGTGTCGTCCGAGCCGCCGTTCGACTTGACAGTGGCCGAGGGGACAACGACGGTGACGGGGGCAGGGGTGGTAGCCTTGGGCGTGACAACAGTCTTCTGGATGACCGGAGTAGCGGTGGGCTTGGTGGGGGCAGCGGTGACCTTGCCGCTGGCACCGACGGTGGACCAGCCCTGCGCGGCGGCCGCGGCGGCCTGAGCAGGGGTGGGGGCCACAGTGGCGGCGAGGTCGGCGTAGCCGCGCTTGACGGTAGCAGCGGCAGCGGCGCCAGAGGCGGCGCGGGCCTGGGCGTCCAGCTTCTGCTTGCGGCGCTCCTCCTCCTCCTGGATCTGCTTGAGGGTCTTCTTGGGCGTGTCGCTGCTGCCGCCCCAAGCGGGAGCCGCCGAGGAGGGGGGAGCGGGCGACACCGAGCTCTTGGAACCCTGCTGGGGGAGACCCCAGGCAAGCGAGGTGGGCATGTCGTCCGACGCGGTCGAGGGGACGATGGGGACGGGGGAAGCAGAAGCGCGAGCCTCAGCAAGCGCCTGCTTGCGGGCCTCGGCCTGGCGAGCCTCGAGCTCCTGGATCTCGCGGAGCGACGGGCCGTGCGAGGCGGTAGGAGTAGCGGCCCAGGGGGCGGCCTTGGGCTTCTCGGCCTTGGCCGGGGTCACGGGAGTGACGACAGCGAGGGCAGGAGCGGTCTCGGCAGCCTTGGAAGCGGCAGGCTTGGCGGGGAGCGACGCGGGGGGAGGGGGGAGCTTCGAAGCCTGGGCCGGGGTAGGGCCGCTGACCGACGACTTGCGGCTGGCAGACGTCTTGGGGGTCTTGCCCCAAGCAGCGGCAGCGGGGGGAAGCTGAACAGCCTCGACCTCGGGCGTGGGCTCGTCCTCGACGACCGGCTCCTCGATGATCTCCTCCTCAGACTCGTACTCAAGCTCGAGAGCCTCGTCGACCTCGGACTCGGACTCGGCGATAAACTCGTCCTCGGCGGCAATGTACTCGGGCTCAATGGGCTGCTGCTGCTCCTCCGCCTCAGGCTGGTACTGGGCAACAGGCTCCGCGGGGAGGATGTACTGCTCCTCAATGGGAGCCTGGTGGACAGGGGCAGGGATGGGAGCGGGGACAGGCGCCTGGGCGGCGGCAAGGTGGGGCTGCTGCTGCTGCCAGGCAGCAACAGGGCTGGGGGCACCCCAAGGCGAGGGCTGGCCAATGGCCGAAGCAGAGAACACGTCGGGGGCACGCTGGACGGGGGTACCAATGGGAGCAGCGCCAAAGCCGTACTGCGGCTGCTGCTGGTGACCGCCGATGGAGCCGTAGGGGCCGTTCATGCGAGCCGGGCTCTGAGGACCGGGAGCAGGGCTCCAAGGCTGCTGGCCATTGAGGTAGGTGGGGACGGGGTTGTACTGGGGCTGGCCGTAGTGGTTGGGGTACGGCTGCGCGTTGTACGCCTGCTGCTGCTGCTGTTGTTGCTGTTGCTGCTGCTGCTGGAGGTTGAGGCGGTGGAACTGCTCATTCAGGCCAGGCGAAGGGCTGGGAGAAATCTGGGTGGTCTGGATGGCAGCGAGAGGGATAGGAAGGTTGGGGGGAAGACGGGGGCGGACGGTCGAGAGGAAAGGCTGGACGGCGTTACCAGTGAAGGTCTTGAGCTCGGACAGCGTGTGGAACGTGGTCTCGTGCTGGCGACGGATCGGGAGGTCGTCCTTAAAGTACGAGTGCGAGTACCACTCGTGCATCTGGTTGCCAGAGAACGGACCCTGCTCCTGGCCGTTGGGGTCGCGGTAGAGCCAGTTGATGGCACCGAGATCCTCACGCTCCTGAGCCTGTGAGGCCTCGGAGTGGGCGTTGGACGGCGTCGGCGTGGCCTCGCGGAGCATGGTAGCGTCACGCTCGAGGAGGGGCGTCGCCGAGGCAGTGGCAATGACCGACTCGGAAGCAACTTCCTGGTGCGAGTCCAGGGCCGTGTCCTCCTGAGGAGTGGCTCGCCACTTGCGCTGGCCTGCGGCCCAGCTCAAGCGCTCGTCCTCGGCGGACTTGCTATTGACGGCCGGGTCGTCGGGCTGCTGTTCTTGCTGCTGCTGCTGGGCCGGGGCGGGCTGACCACCGCCAAACCCTAGCACGCCCTCAAACGCGCCAGAGGCATTCCTCGCCGAGCGCCAGGTGGGGGCAGCCGAGGGACGGAGCGGATCGTCGGCGTCGCGGCGGGGCGCGCGCTTTCCAACGCCGCCAAAGCCGCCGCCGAGACCACCAGGCTGGCGGCCTTCGGCGAGCGCTCCGCTGAATTTGGCTGCTCCTCCGAACGCGCCGCCTTCGCCGCGTCCAAAGCCGCCAAAGCCAGCACGAGGGTTGTTGGGCTGCTGGGGCGCGGGAGCTGCCTGCTCTTTTCCGCTGCCACCACCGCCGCCTCCACCAGCACCGCCGCCGCCGCCCCCGCCGACAGGCTGGGGAGCGCGACGAGCCATGGGAGCCGCGGGGTCCACCTGGTTATGGGCGGGGCGACGGGTCGGCATGGGCGGGTGCACGGAAGTGGAGAGGAGCTGCTATCAGCACACTGGGGGAAAGAAAAAAGACTGCGGCGGGGGATGATGATCGATGATCTCCCCTGCCGCTTTCGGTGCACCGTGACACTCACCTTCTTCTCCAAGTCGGTGAGATCGCGCAGACCCACGGGCTTGACGACGTTCTTGCTCACGAGCACTGCGCCGCTCTCAGCCAGCTGAAGGAGCTCGATGGGCCGCTCCTTGAACTTGTCCTCGTCCCAGACGGCGAGGATCTGCTCGCGGCTGTAGCGGAAGGGGAAAGGGCTGGGGTCGGCATCACCGTTCCCGTCGCCATTGTAGGGAAAGTAGCCATCCCCGCCCATCGACGGCGACGCCTGGGTGTGGGTGACGCGCGAGTACGAGAGAGGCGGCGGGTTGACATGGGCAGTGGCGGCGTTGGGCGATCCGGAACGCGGCTGGCCAAGAGCCGGGAAGGGCGACGACGAGGGCGCGACCTTGGAGTGGTGGTGATGGTGGTGGTGGTGCTGCGGGGGCACCTCGGACGTCGGCGTGAGCGCCGAGCCCGTGGGCTTGATGGGCTTGACCCATTGGGGGGCAAAGTGCATGGACATCTTGGAGCAAAGTCAGCAACAGAAAATTGTGACAAAAGGGGAGTGGAGAGGACGAGTGTGGAAATTGAGGAAAGAGGACGACGGGGTTCGTGCGCGCGCGCAAGAGCGGGGGGGGGCGCACGAAAGCAGTCCTGTGAGTGCGAAGGAGAAACACAGCTCTGCAGTGACTCGCTTCTAGACGAGCACTGGAAAAGGTGGTTGATGGCGGTACATTGGACGGCCGGTGGGGGAAAGAGTTGATCCGGGGGGGCGGAGTCTTCTGACCAAAGACCCGATATGGAGGGGGGGGAGAGCGGGAGAGGGTTGTGCAGGTGTGTGTCGCGTGAGACGTACTGTGAAAGGTGGGTGTGATTGAACGAGATTTGCAGAGACGGGGCGACGGTGCGCGCCTGTGCTGTTGGATACGAGTGGGGTGGGTGTGAGGGGGGTGAGGGGGTTGCTGAGGTGCGTGTGTCTGTGTGGTGCTGTGATTGCTTTGGTGGTGGAAGACTGCTTTGCTTGTGCGAGATGGAGGGAGGTGAAAGACACGGACGGGTAAATGATGGAGACTTTGATGGTCGACTTTTGCGAGCGGCACCGGACGGGCGGGGGCGGGGGGGACAGCTGCAGCCAGGCGGGCAGGCTCACCATTCTGCTCACCGTACATCGCCGCCGATGCCCACAGCCAGGCGCGCGCGCACACACTCACAGCCAGCCAGCCAGCTGCAGCCAGCCAGCCAGCGCCAGCCAGCACCACCAGGCGGGGGTATCGGAGTTTGATTTTGATCCCGCCCGAGGCACGTCAGTGGTGTCTCTGGCTCTAAGATTATTATGGCCATTCCAAGTCGCATGTAAACCACCTATACACAACACCCTCGGAGCACATGCGGTTCCATGTCGTGAGTCTCCTCGCCCTCTTCTTCCCTCTCTCTCTCTCCCGTGACCTGACCTGACCCCACTCCTCTCCAGCTCGGCGTTGGCTCGATAGGGACACTCGTCGCCCACCACCTGCGGCTCGCACAGCCAAAGGCTGACATCTGCCTCCTCTTCCGAACAGCCGCCATCTTTAGAAAACAAAAGTACCTCCGCGACCAGCCAGTACTGCCACGACCAGGACCAGAGCTCAAGGTCTCTCGCGCTGGAGGAGAGACGACTGTTTCCTCAGGCTATGACGTCGGCATCACAAACCACCTCAAGCTGCCCGGCTTAATGGCGGCCGTGGCTGCTGGCCAGGTCGCCGGGGTGGACAACGACGGCCCGATCGACTCGCTGATCGTGTGCACCAAGGCGCCGTACACTGCAGGTGCCATTGACAGTCTCAAGCACCGGATATCCTCTTCGTCGGTCATTGCCCTCTTGCAGAACGGCATGGGCGTCTATGACGAGCTGTGCGACAAGTTCTGGCCCGACGCAAACGACCGACCGCAGTTCCTGCTCGGTACCACGACACACGGCGTCACGCCGTCTACACCTGGCCAGGTGGTGCACGTGTCCCGCCCGGGACAAGGCGCGGTGAAATGGGGTATTGTGCCAGACCCGCGCGGCTTTGACGTCGAGACTTGGCTGTGGGGACGAGAAGTCGGCGGCTTGCCGACCCTCACACCACCCGACTCGCCCACATCCCCGTTGCCTCTGCCACCACAAGGAAAGGGCCTGGACAACCTGTACGAGACGCTCGAGGCCCTCCTGTCCATGACCGCCCTCTCCCCCTCGCTCCTCCCGATGCCCCACCTGTACCACCAGCTCTTGTTAAAGCTCGCCGTCAACGCAGTGGTCAACCCATTGACAGCGGTCCTGGGCGGCGGATACCTGCCCAACGGCGCCATCCACCGTACCGGTCCGGGCCACCGCCTCATCAACCAGGTGACCGAGGAGACGAGCCAGGTGCTCACGACCTACCTGCACGCCCTTGCCGGCGGCGATACGCCGGCCCAGCCCGACGTGGTCCGCCAGTTCTCCACCGAGGGCCTGTTGCAAATCATCCACGAGGTCATTGGCAGCACCAAGGCCAACACGAGCTCGATGGCCATGGACGTAAAGTACGGCCGCGAGACAGAGGTCAAGTACATCAACGGCTTCCTCGTCTCGCTCGGCGAGCGCCTGCACGTCCCCACGCCGGCCAGCCGCATGCTCATTGAAATGGTCAAATTCAAGGCCGAGGTCGGCGGCCTGAACGGCGTCGTCTACCCGGGTGTCCGCGAACACATCCACCAGGCGGAAAAGCAGTCGGTCGAGGAACGCCAGCTGGGTCTCGAGCAACGACGGATCGGCCTGGCGGAGCGCGACATGCTCCTCAAGGAAGTGGCCGCGCGCGAGGAGATGCGCGCCCACCGTCTCCTCAAGCGCAGGGCCAAGGCGGCCAAGGTGGAGGCCGAGCGCCTGGCGGGTCGCCTGGATCCGGGAGTCTTGGATCTGAGCGCCGCCGAGGGATCGGGATCGAGCGAGTCATCGGCGTCGGCCTCGGCGTCCGAGTCGTCGGCGTCGGAGCAGGGCGTCAGTGGACAGGCCGGCGCGAGCAGTGGCACGAGCCGTGGCAGCGACGCCGAAAAGTAGAGTCATGGAGGGAAGCACCCCCCCTCGTCACGGGTAGCTAGATCTTGTACAACAGCCAGCATTTCTGCACTTGCATTGCATTCCACTCATATACTTGGCATACGAACTGTACCCTGGGGAGCCACAGAGACGCCGCGAGAGACACAAGACTTGGGCGCGACCGCACATCGCGGTTCCAGGACATTGTGGCTGGCAATATGTGCTCTTGGTGACCGCGACCGCAGTGCCGCCCAGCCAGTGCACCTGACGGCCCAGACTCCGGACTGGCTGGCCAGACCCCCGCGTCGGTCGCTGGACCAGTGAGGACGGGAGGGTGCGAACGAGTGGGTGGCGGGCGTGCCGGCTGCGCACGACAAACCTGCCTCGACTGTGCGCCAGCGCGCGACGCGGCGGCGACGCGACGACGCGCCAGCTCGGCGGGCCCCTCGGTCCCTCGGCTCCCCTCCAGCTCCTCTCGGCCTGGTCTCGAAGTGTGACGCGCCGCGGGGTGGTGGCCTGGTGGCCTGGGTGGTGGCGGGGGCCGTGTGTCCAGGATCGTTTTAGTGGTTGTGCAGTCGGTGTACGGGTGTGCTTGGTCTCGAGGGGTCTATACAGGGCCATGGCGGATTGCGCATTGAAAAAAAGCAGCCAGGAGAACGAGGTTCAAGAGGGCCAAAGAGGGGCAAGAGGGACTGGTGCCCCGCATGTGACGCAGGATGTGCTGGTTGCCCAGCGTCCCGTCCCTGCCAAAAAGCAAAGCTGCTAGTTGCTGGCACTGAGAGAGGGGGAGAGGGATGGATGGAGGCTCGATTTGGACATCCGGCGCGCACCCGGGGCACTGACACTGTCGCAGTCACTGTGCAGAGGGTTAGGTATGTGTCAAGAAGTGTCTGCGGTGAGAGAGATGCATGAGAGTTGAGTGAGCAGGTGGGGGGACTCGTGTGGGTGTTACTGTACAGGACGTTGCGTGCATGCAATGCACATGAAGGGAGCAAGGGGGGGGGCGGGGTGATGCTGGAGGCATGGGCTGGCCGACCTGTTGAAATAGGAAATAAACTGTAAGTGACGGGACGAGACACGAACCCGAATTACCCCTCGCCGCTTAAGGGCACAAATGGTCCGGCGTGTGCGTGCTGGCTGGTGCTGGCTGTGCTGGCACGCACGCACTACGCTCGCTGGTCTAAATCCATCCCACCCATCCCACCCACCTCCTCGCTGCATCTCTCTCAACAACCCACACACTCTCTTTCCACACCCCTTTGCACCACCTCCCCATCTCCCCCGGGCCCTCCTTCTCCCCCACACGCCCGCTGTGCTGCACCAGCAGCATGCACGCGCGCGCGTCTTCAGAAATGGCAACTCGCGTATACAACGGCGCCTACGCCCACCACCCCCACACCGACAGCCGCCCCGCCCGTGACCCCAGCCCTCCCACCGTCCCAACACTGTCCATCCCTTCGCCAGCCAGCATGGCCCACCACCGCCCATACACTGCCCACGCCGGCATGCACGTCTACACCAACAGCATGGCAGGCGACGCCAGCAGCAGCCCACGCTCCCCAACGTCGGCGTACGCGCAGCACGTTTCAGCACTCTCGGTGGAACCAATGCGCACGGTGCCCTTTGCGGCGTCCGCGAGCGGCTCTGGCGCAGGTGCGTCAACCGTCATGGCCTCGACGGGGTCCACCTCTGGCGCCGACTGGAGCCGCACGCACGGCCACTCGCGCTCCAACTCGCTCGCCGCAAGCCGGCGCGCCAGCGTTGAGGTGTCCGAGGAGAAGGGCGGTGGTGGTAACAACATGCTGCCCCGCTCCCCCACGTCGCCCTATGGCCACGCAAGGATTCCGTCTCCTTTGGCGCAGTCACCGCACTTTCCTCCAGCATGGACCGAGCCCGCAGCAGGCGTCGAGGCCCAGTTGCCCCCGCGCGTGCGGCCGCCAGTGGCCGACCTGCTGGGTCGCGCCGTGCGTGATCGGTTCGCCTGCAACTCGAAGAGCGGCGCACTGGGCCGCGGACTCATTATCGGCTGGATCGTGACCACCCTTGGCTTCGTCGCAGCAGCTGCGTTCTGGAAGGGCGAGCTGTTCTCAGGTGAGTAGCAAAAAGCACGGTGTACCAGGGTGGCGTACATTGGTATTGCTTTGGCGGCGGCGCGGGACACAGGGGGGGGGGGGGGGGGGGCAGTAACGCTGATGCCCGCTACCAACAGCCCTCGATAACCTCAGCAAGGAGCTGTATGACATGGGCTACCAAGGTCTCGTCGTCTACGCCGTTCTCATCTTTATCACCACCATCCCCCCTCTTCCCCTGTATTCGACTCTTATCGTTCTTTCTGGCTACACGTTTGGCGTGTGGCACGGCTTCGTGGCCAGCTACATTGCGTCGCTCGTCGGCGCCGTCGTCGTGTTTGTCGTGTCCCGCACTCTGTTGCGTGACGCCGTCACCCGATCGTGAGTGTGCTCCGTCTGCTTCCCCCGCAGCCAGTCTCTAACATGACACCACAGCCTGGCGTCCTCCCCCACTGCGACGTCTCTCCTCAAAATCATCCCCCAGAACCCCCACCTCCTCTTGCTCATTCGAGTCGCTCCTTACCCTTACAACCTTTTGAACGTCGTCCTCGCGTCAGCACCAAGCCTGTCCCTCAAGACGTACACGGCGTGCACCGCCATCTCCCTGTGCAAGCTCGTGTTGCATACGTGGATCGGTGCGGGCATCCACGACCTGTCCGCGGCATACACTGGCAGCGAGGACGACAGCAAGACACCTGCCCAACCCCCCTCCGAAGAGGACCTGCACCACGAACGCGTAAAGGCCGGCATGACGTACGGCGGCCTCATCATGTGCTTGGTGCTGTTCGTGTACCTCACCCACCTGGCCAAAAAGGCCATTGCAAAGGCACAGGACGAACAGCATATTGTGCGCGAAGAGGAGGTCGCCTTCCTCACGCCCATGGGCGACGCGCGCGAGCTCGACGACAGCTTCTAAGTACAAGCCAAAGCCGCACAAACGGATGTGCTCTCTCTCGGTGGTCTCTTTTCTTTCTTCTCTCTCTCTATTCTGTTCAATCCCCCTCGCTCTCTCCTTTGGCCCCCCACACTCAACTGGGCCGTTATCGTTGTACCAAGCTATACCAAAGCTCTCTCTCTCTCTCCCGGACGGCTTGCGCCCATCAATGGAATGGAATGCATGCATACCGTCGTCCCGAACAGCCGAGCCCGCGAGCCCGCGAGCCCGGCCCAGGCCTCGTGCATTCTGTATTTTTGGGTTTTGGCGCAGCAGGTGGGCTAGAGTTTTTGCCACCCACCGACACCGCATTTTGCCATGGGCCAATGTTGAACCGTTAACCGTTGAGCCGTGGCGCCAAGGTTGCCGTGTGAGCCGGTGCCCAGCGTCGACCAGTACATATGTGGTCCCAGCATGGTCCCCGTGTGGCACCAGTGACAGGCAGGGCAGTATGCCCGACAACAACCCCCAGTACCCCAGTCCCGCGGAGGCCCAGAGGCCAGAGTGGGCATTGAGGTGTCCGATGTCTGGTTTCTGCGCGAGGGCCAGAAGTGGGGAGTACGGAGTTGTCTCCCTGTGCTGGGCTGTCACTTGTTTCAAAGACAAGGTCTCGCCTCATTCCACACAAGACAATCATGGGTGTGGACGGGGCGGCCTAAATTGCACTGTCCATGACCACCACTCGCGCTCCAGAGCCACAGCCACAGCCACCACTGCGTCCGCAGGCCACAACAAACAACCCGGCCTTGGCCTTGGAACGCCATCATGGCGCCGTTATCCAGCGCCATCGGGCCGTTGCCGCACGCACGCACGCACGGCCAATTGAGCGGCCCTCGAAGGGTCAGCCGTTCTCAGTCCAAGTTGCCGGAACACGCACAGTACAGCACGTACAAAACACAGCCTGCGTCGATCCGTCGGACAACGGTGGGTGGGCGCGTTGCTGCTCTGTGTCCGTGTGCAGCAAAGTTGGACGGGAGACGCGTCGACGTCCCTCTCTCGCATTTGTTGCATCTCGATCGATTTTGCGGGCCCGCCGAGAATAGCTTTTCGGCAGCGCCAGTGGTACCTATGTTGGGCTCTGAGGTGCACAGCGCACAGCCTGGCATCGAGTTACGGCACAGGTGCACATGTCGCATGGGTGAAGCCGCTTTTGCATCCGACGCCGGTCCGTCTCGACCGGACGACCGCATGGTCGCGCATGTCGCCAAGCGCAAAACGGTGCGAGAGGAAGCGATGGGCCACACACGGACCATGGGTGGTGGAGCATAGTGGCTCCGCAACACGCCCAAAAAAGTCGGCAAGATCCGAGGAAAATAATATGGAAATCAACTTTCGGAACGACTCATGCGACTCAATGCGGCTGCGAGACTTTGGAAATCTGGCTCGACTCCATGCCACTTTGACCGCATGGCTCGTTTCGTGTCTTGATTTCTCGTTGCATCACAATTTCTGCACTGTACACCGCCCATCCCACCCAGACCAGCTTGAACAGCGCACACTCGAGCTCACCCTTTCGAGGCCCACCCGACCATGTCCACCATGACCACGACCACGACCATCGAGCTTGGCCCCGTCCGCACATACCCTGGCGAACCCGAGGTCGGCCCCTCGCTCCCGACGACGGCGGCCCCGTCCATCCGCAGCGAGTACAGCGGGCGCTCGGGCAGCCGTGAGCGCCGTGCGTCCGTGTTCGAGGCCGGGGGCGAGCCCGCTCCCATGTCCGGCGAGCTAGTGACGCCGGCGCTCCCGCCCGCCGACAAGGGCATGGACGCATGGCGCTTCCTGGTCGCGGCCACGGTGATTGAGACGACCGTGTGGGGACTGCCGTACACTGTCGGCGTGCTGCACGTGTACTGGAGCACAAAGCTGTTTCCCAACGACGAGAGCACCCTCACCAACGCAGCGACGTTGCAGACCGGTCTGCTGTACATCTCCGCTGCGGTCTTTGGCCCGTGAGTCGTGGCGCGTTTTTTGGTGTGGCGTGTGGTCTCTGGTGCTCACCCTGCTCAGTCTGTTCACGGCCTTTCCCCGCCAGCAGCGCTACTTCCAGATCATCGGCCTGGTCACTGCCGTCGCTGCGCTCTTTGGCTCGGCATTCGTCACCAAGGCGTACCACCTCCTCATCACCATGGGCATCTTTTACCCGTTCGCCGGCGCGCTGTACCTCCCGTGCGCGACGCTTATTTACGAGTGGTTTGTGTCGCGCCGCGGCCTCGCCACGGGCATCATGTTCGCAGGCACCGGTGTCGGCGGCACCATCTGGCCCCTCATCCTGCAGGCTCTGCTCACGCGGTTCGGGTACAAGGCGGCCATGATCTCGCTCGCGATCGGGTGGGGTGTGCTCAATGCCGTCTGCCTCGTGTTCATCAAGCGCCGTGTGCCCATCCCCAAACGCTCGGCACAGGCAAAGGGCCACCACGCACACGGCAAGATTGACTGGTCGGTGGTCAAGACGCCGGCCTTCTGGATCGGATTCTTCGTGCTCCTCCTCACCAGCATGGGCAACTTCAACCCCACACTTTGGATCCCCAGTGAGTCGAAGAGTTGTGACGAGCGCCAAAAATATCCCTGCTAACTCTTTCTTTCAGCCTTTGCAGAGACCGTCGGCGTCACCCAGCCCAACGGTACCGTCCTCGTGGCCATCATGAACGCCGCGTCCGTCCCCGGCAACGCGCTCACCGGGTGGGTCTCGGACCGCAGTCCCGCCCGCATCACCATCACGGGCTCGTGCGTGCTGGCCGCCATCTCCGTCCTCGCCCTGTGGGGCCTGGGCACGTCCCCCGCCTTGCTCGTCCTCTTCTCCATCGTCTGGGGACTCACCGCCCTCAGCTTTGTCAGCCTGTGGTCCAAGATGATCAGGGGTATCTGCAAAGACGACCCGCGCATGTCTGTTTTGCTGTTTTCCATGTTTGCGTCCCTCCGCGGCGTGGGAAACCTTACCTCGGGCCCCATCTCGACGGGCCTGTTCAAGACGGGGGCGTTCCGCGGCGCCGCGGGCGGATACGGACACACCAACTTTGGCGCCGTGCTCATTTACACGGCGGGCACCATCTTTGCCGGCGGTGTTGTGGGCGCCTTCTTCCCCAAGTAAGAGAGGAGAATAGAGAATAGATGAGACTCTGCGCGCGCGGGAGGGGGGGGGGGGGGACGTAAACGGCGGCGTAGAACGTTTAGAATGCACATGTGTCAGAGGACACGATGCAGGTCGACCTGGTGGTACCAGCGGGGCGGCGAACAGCAGTACTGTATGTAGTCAAGGTTACACTGTTGTAGTACATACTAGATGAGAGAACGTATTGTTGTAGACAGGAGATGAGACATTCGCTGGGGAACTACAAGGATACAGTGAGGACGGGTGTTGTGCATACCGCTCTCTAGCTCATGTGTACCGGTGGAGCCTATACAGATTTGGCTCGAACCTTCCTAGGTTCCGCTGGTCCATGCTTGATCTGTCACGACCTGCGAAGGATGCATCCACACAGAGTCATGTCCACCCCCCTTTGGCGTTGTCCTGGTCTGCCGTTTGATCTTCGGGCTGGCGCAGTGTGGCGGCTTGGCGTCGAGCTGCACCTGCTGCCTGCAATGTAGGCTAGATGCAGGACTGCAGGACTGGCCGGAGCCAGACATCGGTGGTCCTTGATAGGGTGCGCCGGGTGCGTGGCGGATGTGGCGCGCTGGCCAGAATCCTGAATAAACGCTACTGACGGTTGGTGGTCCAGGAGTCGCAGTTGGACACCTCTCACGTCTACACAAGATGAGATGTGCATTGCGACGGTCGTAGGCTCGTTCTCGTGTCAATAGATCACAGCAAGTTGGTACTGACCGCGAGCGAAAAACATCCTGTTGGCAGGCCATAAATTTCGGTGATTTGTTTCTGTTTTTTCCTGCAGCTCACATGTAGCATTCAACCTGACCACAACTCGTCCACTGTCCCTTCCCTTCCCCACCTTCCCGCCTTCCGAGCCCAAGCTGCAAACCGACCTCCCCTCACCTTATAACCGCCCGTCGCTGCCGTATTCCCAGTCGCAAACGGCATTCGTGGTGTAGTGGCTATCATACTTCCTTCGGGTTCTTTGTCTGTCCAGTCACCTGGCAGGCAAGCACATGTGCTCCGAACTAATTGAGTTTCAATGGAAGTGGTCCTGGGTTCAAGTCCCGGCGAGTGCCTCTCTTTTGGACTCCCGGGGTTGCTGCGGGCGTGTGTGTGGTGTGTGTGATGAGGGTGAGGACGTGGGGAAGGAGAAGAAGGCGGTGTGGGGATCTTGCGTTTCTTGTTTTGTTTCGTTCCTGCCACAGTCGGTGGGTAAGCGTTGTCGACTCGACTGTACCGTGGAGTCTAATTAGAGGATAGTTAATGTCTGGGAATGAGCGACTGCACTAGGGGGGGTAAGCATGCCCGGGGTTGGAAATCTGTGGCGAGTTGGCTTCTGGAGCGGCTCAGAGAGATGAAGTGACGATCATATTTGGTCACGGTCAATTGATATAGTCACAACAGTCAGAGGTTTGGATGTTAGTGCACTCGGGGCCCGTCGTTGTGATATGTCTGTGATATTTTACGAGACCCATGTTAGTCCCAAACGGACCTACATAGGTCCTGTGTCAAAGATAGATGGCATTTGGCAGGAAACAAGGACAGGTTTATTACTTTCGCTCTATCGTTAACCCCTACTCCCTGGCCCGTTGCACGTTGCCAGTGAGTAACATCCACGACCAGAACAGACAGGCCCACTTAACCGTGACTGCCTCCTATACATGCCTGCACCGGGAGCGGGGCAAGACCCTCCTTTATCAGTGAGGAGAGACGGCATACGCCGTGACGACGCGGAACATTCCACAACATCTGACACGAATGATCACGGCAGGGCTCAAACCCATCTCGTTTATGTCATCTCCAACATGTCCATCTAGGCGGTCACCCTCCCCTTCCCCCAGTCATGTTGCTGCGAAATGACAGCACGAGGCAACCCAGGCCATCACGAGATCCAAGACGTGTCGGCATTTATGACCATTTGACACAGATATGTGTCAGTGCCACGCCACGGCACACGACCCCGTGCCAAGCAAGCTCCAAGATTCCGTCCCCCCTTCCCCCCAGGTGTTCGGCTTTCGGGGGACGCAGTCTCCCAACCTTCTCTGCGCCGACTGCAGGACGAGCGACGGAATGGGCAGTATTTCTCGACAGGAACGGGCCTTGCGGATCAGACAGAGTAATGAGTATCCCAGGACGGCCAGGACCCGGGTCGCCCACTCTCTACGTTGACGACCGTTGGGCATGCGTTCGCCTGTGAGGGCCAGTCAGGTGACGTATATAAGCAGGCCCGCACCTGTGCACCTCATCATACTTCTCGGTTTGCGTACGCGTTGTCAAGAGCCAGACACCCGAAACTAAAAAGCTCTGGGATACATTCGGTAACCTGCCCGAAAGGAACAGCTGACACTGCTTTGGTGCGGACCTTGTGGGGGATATTGGTCACCAGGCTGGTGTGGGTGTCCCGGACACTTGCCGCACTGGCGCACTGGGGATGCTGCAGCGAGCTCTGAGAGGACTTTAAACGGCACACATGCTGCGTGTGGCTTGGCAGTGACATCAGCGGTATAACCAAGACCCCGACCAGCAAAAGACACAGAAACAGAACGAGTAAGAGCAACTGCAGGTCTGGGCATGTTGCAGAACGAGATTCCCCCGTCTGCCCAAGTTGACCTTTTTTCGATGACGTACTTGATGAACTGGAGAGGGCTCTCGATGGCGGTGCCTTAGTGATGGATCCAAACACTCGGGTCTGTCAGTTGGTTTATCCAGTTGTTTGCGGAATTTGGGCTGCTTGACAGGCTCCATTAGGCTCTCGAGTTAAACAGGAAGGCAGAGGACAAACAACACGGCAGCCACCTGGCCGAGATGGTTGCTTGTCTTGGTTGTTTCACAGACCACGCTGTGGTGGCACAAGCGAAGCGGAGCACAAGGGGGACCAAAAGGCATCTAGCACCCGCGGTTTTAACACTGCGGAGAGAAGCGAAGATGTGTGGGCGGATGTTGTCGTTGTTGGGACTGGTGGCGACGGCGTAGTGGATAGTATACGGTATGCTTTGGCTGTTCTTGTTGAGCGACACACTGCAGTGCGTTTAGGCAGCAAGCGACAGTTGGTGTGGTGTCGACGGGTGTACTGTGTGTGGTGTCAGTTTGCATTGAATGCGCATGAAAGCGAGGAGGCACGAGGCTGGCAGCGGCGGCGGGGGGGGCGCGTGACGCGTCTGGCGGGGCGGGCGCGGGAGAGAGCCCACAACGGCCACACCACTGCTTTGCTCCTTTGCCCGCGCCCACAAGCCCCACCCAAACCTGGCTGCTCGTTGTGTCTCCCTCTCTCCATTCCACATTCGATCCATTCCTCGTTTTCGTTCTCGCTCTCTCTCTCTCATTCTCTCTCTCATCCACACACACACACGCTACTCGTTTCTCTCCCCCCCCCCACACCATCCTTCTCCCCACCCTACACCTACACTTCCCCCCCGCCCTCCCTTCCCTCGACCCCGGTTCCGTTTCCTTTTTACCCCACACGTGCCGGTCAGAAACACGCTGCAAACCCGCAGTCTCTCTCTCTCACTGCAGCCGCCCAACAACGCCCAACAGCCCCGCGACCCGCGTCCGTCGCAGCGAAGCTCCTTACTGTGCTTGAAACGCGGCGCGCGTTTTGCCGCCCAGTTTCCCAACAACAACCTTTCACCAACAACCCACAAGTTGCATTCTTTCCAAAGACAATAAACAGTGAGTCAACAGGGTCGCTGGAGACGAGTTGTAGGCACACCCACGCCCACGCGACCTTGACCGACTGTGGCCAGTGACGCTGACTGCCCTTGAAGTGACAACCCCATCACGGCACTCGCCGCGCCATGCCGATCCGACGTCTAGCCACGGCCATCCTCACATGCGCCGACGTTCAACAACGGCCTCTGCCCAACGACCAGGCATGGCAGGCGACCGGACGTCGTTTATGAGCACCGACACAATGTTCACAGACGACATGTTGTGGGAGGAGGACGACGATGGCGCACCGCGCCGCCTCAAAAGGGACGAGCCCATGAGCCCCGTCGCAGTTGTCCGTGAGTAGCAGCACCTCCCACCTATGCTAACACCGTCAGTCTATGTAGTGTTCTTCTACATTGTGTGGCAAATCCTTACCAGGTCCGACGACAACGAGATCCTCTCACATCTCCCATCGTCGTCGCCCTTGCTCTCTCAGCACGGTGGTGGTGGTTACGACCGCGGGTCCTCGGCGCCCTCAGCAGCCCAACAGCCATACCTCCCCTATGCCCTCCCTCAGCTGCCTCCGGTCCCTTCCACAAAGTCGGACTCGACCTCGATGTGGCGTGTCGTCATCGGCACCATCGTGTACCCCATCTACCTGGCCGTCACGTTGCTCGCCATCCCTTTACCGTTCCTCATGAACGCGGTCAACCTCCTCCTCTCGGTCGTCCAGACCATCCTCTACCCTGTGACATCGACCGCTCGCCTGCTGGCGCGTACCTTCATCCTCGCGCCCCTGGGCGTCCTCTTCGGCTTTCTCCAAGCCCTCTACCCCGTGTATGTGTTTGTCGGGGGTGTGGTCGGTGTTGGAGCCTTCCTGGGAGTAGCCGCTGGCTACGTTGGCCGTCTGGCAATGTGGTACCTCCTTGGCCGCCGCACCCCCGCCGCTCAGCCAGTCAAGCGCCGCCGCTCGGCGCGTCGTTCAAAGCGCCACTCGCTTCCGCCAGCTCCAGAATCTGCACCGAACTTTGACCACCACCACCGTTCCTCTTCATTCGAGCGCCAGGAGCGCCTACACGTCCCTCGGTCCCCAACGTTCGAGTACGAGCGCCGATACGTGCCCATTGTCGACTATGTCCAGATCGGAGACCAGGTCCTCGCCATTGACCAAGGCGTGGGTACTGCGCGCGAGGGCGTCGTCCTCGGCGTCCGCCGTCGCAGTATCCTCAGGTAGAAAAAAATAACGCGATACCTCAAAATACCCATCTGTGGGCTCGACACGCCCGTTGTTCGTGGCTGGGCCCACGCGACCAAAACCCCCTTCAGCTCCGACTGAATGAAATATCTTGTTTGACTTTGACGAGACCCGAGACCCCTTACTTGGCTCGACTCGGGCCTGTATTGTAACGGCTTCCACCTCTTTTTTGTTTTTGTTTTTCGGGCGCCAAAGTGACCTTTCAACTGCGATTTACTACCACCCACCACCCCACACCCACCCACATACCATTCCCTTATTATTCGTCCTGTGACAAAGTACCATATTGTTAGTGTAGTCTATGTGATGCCCGCCATGTTGCGCGCGGCGTGAAAGAAGCGAAGAGTGTGTGAGAGAGAGTGGTGCCAGAGATCCTGCAAAAAAACGCGCCAGCCACGAGATAGAGTAGCGTGAGAAAACTGAGCATCGGCCGTCTTTTAATGAATCGTCGCGTGTCCGCCCTGATCGAGCCACGAGCACCGAGCGCGATACAGCCACATCCACGCGTCTGCCATCTGCTCTTGCGCTCTCGCGCTCTTTTGCTTTAGTGATGAGAATGCATGGAGCTGTGATGCTGCTATTGCTATGAGAGAGATACTCCTCCTTTCTACGTCTGTCCGCCGCCGCCGTCGTCGTCGTCGTCGTCGTCGTCGTCGTTGTTCTCTTCACCAAGAGATAGGTCTAGAACATGATCTTTGCGTTGTCATACATGGTGAGCATGGGGCTGAGGCCGTCCTTCATGCGCGTGGGGCCGACCATGGCCTCGCCGCCGTACTTGACGATAAACTCGGCTTGGGTGTAGACGCCGACATGGCGCCGGCGGAAGCCACGCACGCCCGAGGGACTGAAGAAGTCGTCGTCGAGCGCCTTTTGGGCGCGCGCGCCCTTGATCGAGGTGGGCGGCGTAGGGTTAGGGTCCGACGCCGCAGATGAAGACGACGACGCCGCCGCCGCCGCCTCCTCGTCGACTGTCGCGGCCTCGGCCTCGCCACTGCTGCCGTTAGCTCCGGGGGGAGTGACGCGGCGAGCGGGCGAGTTCATGATCAGGCCATAGACGTCGCGCAGAAGCTCAAAGTCGGTCGGGAAGAAGATGTCAAAGTAGCCCTGCTTGACGAGGAAGGTCGAGCATGGGACCATCTGGTTGCGGTAGCGGGTCTGCACGACGGGGCCGTTACGTCCCTCGACGGCCTCGGGGAGTTCGGAAAAGTCGGCCATGAGCAGACGGTGCGCTGGCAGTTGGTCGCGCAGGCGCTCGAGGAAGGACACGGCCTTGGTGGGCACAAACTCGGGTGGCGACAGGTTTGGCGCGAATGGCAGGTTGACGTACAAGTTGCGAAGGGCCGGCGACGACAGCATCGCCTTGGACAGTGGCGGCTGCGTGTTGGGGGCCAGCGGAAGAAGGCGACGGTACTCGAGCGCACGCCTCAGCAACGGGTCGGTGACGGTCTCGTACTCGAGCGAAAAGTCGCCCTCCTTGTTGATGGACACAACAGCTTGCTTGGGCTCCAGAGTCTTCATGTCATAACGAACAAGGTCGTGCGAGAGGTTGTCAAACACCTCGAGCGCGACAACAAAGCACGGGTCGGTCGTGCCTCCCTTCCACTTGAAAAAGTCCTGGTTGATGACCTCGACGTTGGTGAACCCAGCGTCATGGGCACGCTTGCGCTGAATATGGGAGAGCGCAGACGAGATCTCCACAATACGATACTTTGTCCGGGCAAAGATCTCGGGGTACTCGTCGCGGATGAACCGCATGGCGTCGAACATGAACGAGCCGTTGCCCGCACCGACCTCGTAGATGAGCAGGTCCTGGTGGGGGAAGTGGTTGCGCTTGTACTGGCTCACAATGGCGGACGTGAGCGCCCTGGCGTAGTACGGCTTGAACAGCTCAGTCGGCGTGTGCCACACCTGGCGACCGAGGCCGTCCTGAGGCGTGGCATATTCAGTCTCGTAGCGCTCGCCCATGAGCTCCTGAAACATGGCCTGGTCGCTTATGGACTTGAACTTGTAGCCTTCGGCGTCCTCGGGCGTGAATATGTCCACATTCTTGGAGAAATAACCATAGTGGGGCTTTTGGTCCGGGGTCAGCACGAGTGGGAGCCGTAGCGCGCCTTCTGACTCAAGACTCACGTTGTACAAGCTGTCATGGATGAATTCACGCACAAGCATCTTGGCGCGTGTAGGAGGCTTTTGGTAGCCTGCTGCGTCGTTGGCTGCCAGGCGACGGTAATTCGCAGCCTACAGAAGCAGTTAGTCGACCAGGTCTTTCGCCATCCACTGCCGCGTACTCACGTCTGGGTCGTGGTCCTGAAGCAGTGGAACCGCAATGCCTTGGTTGTAGTCGACTCGAGCTTCTGCATCTGCCTTGTTCTTGCGGGCCGCTTTGTCCTTGGTAATGTCACTCAGAGGAGCCTCCTTCAAGTTGAATGTCGCCTTGGCCTCCTTCCGTTTTGATGGCCACTGAACGGGCACTTCACGCTCCTTGGGGTTTGACGACGCGTAGCGCCTGCCAGCCGGCGAATGGGACGACGAGAGCGCCGAAGAGGAAGCGCGAGGGAGCCATGACGAGGAAGCGAGGACACGCCTCGAGCTTGACGGAGTTGCCAGCTCGCGCAGAGCCCGGCAGGAGAGAGAGGACATGGGTTTGTTGACGAAACCAGCACGGCTTGTGAACGCAAGATGGACAACCTCCACAGAGCGCGGCCGACGATGCATAAACGCCACACTGCCAAAACGCCGGGTCACCCAAGTCACGTGATGTGTTTGGGTGAGTGTGGGATGTTTGGTTCCGTGTCGCTTTATTGCCACCCGAAGTGACGCGTTTATCTTTCTTGGGATGCGACAAGAGTGAACGGCCGCGCGCGAGCGGGTGGATCACAACAACATCTCTTTCTCTCTTGACACAACCCCCTATATCACAAGCACTCTATCCCACATGACCATCCCCACCGCAAGACAGGCGGTGGGGTCCAGCAACCCTCCCCCGCGCAACAACCTTGAACTCATGCGCGGTAACATTGCCCCGTCCCCCGTCACCGTCGAGGTTGCCAACGCCAAGGTGAGTCAGGCAGGCAGGGAAGGCAAGGCCCGGGGTATGTGCGAGGCCATTTTGCTGATACATGCCTAGTCTGCGTTCAAGCTCGCCCGTCCAGATGCGGTGCGCACACTCTCCAATGGAGGCAACTGTGAGCTTTATTGCGTGGCCAGGCCATGTCAAGCTTACCTTGCCGCAGCCGTCAAAGCCGCGCCCTCCTCGAACATCGAGACGCCCGTTCCCCGAACCGCACCGTCCACTGTTAGGTCACACTTCTTCACGCCCATGTCCCACGCAGGATCACCCGGGCCCGCGCCTGCCGCAGTGGCTCCCCCGCCAGTTCCAAGCAACAGTGCCGGCACGCGCGACTACGACCCAAAGCTGGACCGTGAATCACTCGGCAATCTCATGGCCATGATGGGCAAAGCGCAAGACGAAAAGAACCGCGTTCTCGAAGAGCAAAACTCCATGCTCCACGAGCAAATGCGCCGGCTCCGCGCCGGCGAGGATGACCTCACGGGCTACGACGCTGAGATGGCTTCTTGGCAATTGTGAGTTCTTTCATGTTGCCTGGTGCTGACATCAACCTAGGGAGAAGTATAGCCAGCGTATCGCCGAGTTCAAGGCCGCCATTAGCGCTCGTCAAGCACCTTCCAGTAGCGGCAGCGGTGCTGGCACGCCTACATATGCGACTAGCTCGTATCCAACTCCACCGCCTGCGGCCGGCCGGCAGGAAACAGCTGGCGCATTGGCCCGTCGCAACGCGTTGCAGAACCTCAACCCGGGAAACAGTGGGTCTAGCACCCCAGTAGCTCAACCACGACAGCTTGCGCAGCAGCCCGAGGCTGGCCCATCACGCCGACCTATGGTCATGGAGTCACCGCCTGACTGGAACGAGGAGGATTATGAGATGGCCGAAGAGGAGTGGCAGGAGGACCCTACAGAGCTCGTCCCGGCAAGCTCCCCGTTGCAACCTCGGCAGCCTCGCACACCACCTCGCCAGACACGCGGAGCCTCTGCACCTCGCCGCAACCTGGCAGCATCTGCAGCGCTCGCCGAGTTCAACGACATTCCGCACGAGTTCCTCTTTTCATCTTCTCCTCCTCCCCATACGACGCCACAGCCAGTGAGGGTGGAAGCGTCGTCTGCAAGGTCAGCGTTAGGTGGTCCTGGTCCTCCTTCCTCCGACCCAGCAGGACGTGTGGCTGCCCCACGCATAGTCCAAGTCGCCGCCAAGTACCCCTGGGACAAGGAAGTCGAGCAAAAGTTGCATCAGGTGTTCAAGATCCCTCAGTTCCGTCTCAACCAGAAGGAGGCGGTCGACGAAACGATGAACGGCAAGGATGGTGAGTGCTCCAACAGACAATCTAGTATGCTGACAATGCAGTCTTTGTACTCATGCCGACTGGAGGAGGCAAGAGCTTGACCTACCAGCTTCCTGCAATCTGCTCGACAGGCAAAACCAAGGGCGTGACGTTTGTTGTATCGCCCCTCATCTCCCTCATCAATGACCAGACACGCCATCTCATCAAGCGCGGTGTTCCCGCTATTGCGTACTCTGGCGACCTTACCGCTGCCGACAAGAAGATGGCACACGAAGAGCTGAGCCGACCTGTACCCTGGACCAAAGTCGTGTACATCACCCCCGAGATGCTCAGCATGGGTGGTCAGATCAAGGGCATTCTTGCAAACCTCCTCCGTCGCAAAATGTTGGCGCGTTTCGTCATCGACGAGGCGCACTGTGTTAGCCAGTGGGGCCATGACGTGAGTTTGTATCTGCTGTCCGGCGTTGCTGACAAACAGTTCCGTGAACACTATTTGAAGCTCGGTAGCATTCGTACAGACTACCCGGGCGTGCCCATCATGGCTCTCACAGCGACTGCGCCCAACAAGGTGCAAACGGACATTATCAACACGCTCAAGATCAAAGGATGCACTGTCTTGAAGCAGTCTTTCAACCGCCCCAACCTCCAGTATGAAGTCCGACCCAAGTTGAAGACGGCCGTGCGTGATATCGCTGCCTTTATTGGCACAAGGGAACCCGACGACACTGGCATCATCTACTGCTCGTCGCGCGACAGGTGCGAGATCATGGCAAAGGAGCTTCGTGAGGAGCATGACATCAAGGCGTGGCACTACCACGCAAGAATGACCAAGGGGGACCGCCGCAAAGTGCAAGAGGGTTGGCAGGAGGGCAAGTTTAATGTGATTGTGGCAACTGTGAGTCTGAGCGGAATTGCGTTTTGTCCATGACATGGAAATGGCTGACAAGCAGGTGGCGTTCGGCATGGGGTAAGCTATTTGTTTTGAGATGACAGCTAACATTGAACCCAGCATCGACAAGCCAGACGTTCGATGTAAGTGCTGTTTGCGTTTGATTGTACTGTCGCTGACGGCACACCAGACGTCATACACCATTCGCTTCCTCATTCTCTGGAAGGCTACTACCAAGAGACTGGCCGTGCCGGGCGTGATGGTTTACCCGCGACCTGTATCCTGTGTAAGTCGTTCTTGGTGTGGCATGTCGCTGACAGATTTTCAAAGTCTACGCCTACGCCGACTCCAAGACTGCTCTGAACATGATTGATCAAGACAAGGGGCTGAATTATGCGCAAAAGAACAGGAAAAAGGACAACCTGCGCGAGGTTTTGCGCTTCTGTGCGAACAAGACCGATTGTCGTCGCAGTCAGGTCCTCGCCTTCTTCAACGAAAGCTTCGACGCCGAGGACTGTCACCAGGGCTGCGATGTGTGTCTCGATCGCGACCAGAACGTAATCACAGTCAAAGATGTGACCGAGGACGCGAAAAAGGTGATCACCATGATCAAGGAGTTCAATCGCGAAGACCGCATCACCATCACCAACGCCGTCGACTGCTTCCGTGGGTTAAAAGGCTCGGCGGGCAAGGGGTTGGACAACAACCCGTCGTTCGGTGTGGGCAAGGGCTGGGACCGTGCCGAGGCGGAGCGGCTCGTCCAAAACGTGCTCATTGAGAAGGGCCTGGATGAGTACTTCTTAAGCAACGGAGCGGGATGGAGCAACGCATACTTGCGGGTGAGTTCTGACACTCCTTCACCCACCTCAACTGTGTCGTGGCATGGGAATCGTTACATGTGACTCGAGCTGACGTGCGGGACAGCTGGGGCCTGACGCTGAAGCTTACTTGGCGGGTCGGAAGACAATGGAGATGGATTTCCGCCAGGCGTCGCCGAAGAAGACGCGTACAGCAAAGGCCCCTGCAAAGCGTACTACAAAGGACACGTCGGGTCAGGCCCGAGTCGTTCCTCTGGCACAGCAAAAGCAGAACACTCTCACCACCTCGTTGTCACGAAAGCGTTCGCGCCAAGAGATTGCCGAGGCCGAGTGCGCCTTTGTCGACAACCTGTCCAGTGACGACGACTACGACCCCGAAGTCATTGAAGACGCAGCCCCGGATGTTGCGGAACGCCCGAAACGTCGCAAGACTTCCACTGCGCATGAGGCCGAGACCGACGGTATCGCCGCCGAAACGCCTGTGCAACAGTGCCTGAAGGATCTACGCAAGATGTGCAGCAAGGTGGGCCTCTTATTTTCATGACTAGTACTCGGCCGAGACGTTGAATCCTGACACTGGGCCGCGCAGCACTCGAAGGGAGATACACCGGTGCTGCCTGACGAGACGATACAGATGATTGCTGCCATCATGCCGGCCAGTAAGTACCCGAGGCATGCCTGAGGTCAGGACAAAACGCTAACTGATTCCTGTAGACCAGGTCGCACTTGGTCGCGTGGAGGGAGTGAGCAAGGAGCATATCAAGGTGAGTAATTTTAGGCGCCTAGCCATGTCCCCGACATGTGTCTCGGGATTTCTCGTTGTTCGCGTCATACCAGGAAAGGGCCGCTGGCTGAACGCTGCCTCAGGCCTATGGGACCAAAATCTTAGGTACCACGACCAAATACCTGAAGAACGCTCGCACAGCAGAGGGCAGCACCGCCGAAGGCTCAGGTGCTGGCGGTACGGAAAAACGGTGCGTTGTTTGAACCTAGTAGCAAGAAAAAAAATCGCGAGCGAGCAACGAAACGAGTCTAACGTGCTCTCTCTTCCAGGTTGACCCTGAGGCGACAGCAGCAGCATATCACTCCCGCCGGAGTCGCACGTGCCGTGCCACGACCAGCGACCGGTGCCACCACTGCAACTCCGGCTCACAACTTGCAGGCGTACGCTTTCAACGGAGCCACTTCCGCCGCGGCGCTCCTTGCCCCCAAGCTCGCGTTAGCAAAGACGGGCGCCAAGACGGTGGTGTCGCTTGCGCGAACTGGCTCCGCGAGCGGGCCGCGATTCTAGTTGGGGTTTCTTGGGTGGCAAAGTGTGTCTTGGCCATATGGGGTGTTTGGGGTTTGATAACGACGAGAGGTGTTACATGTGTGCGCGTTTGAAGGCGCGCGGGGGGGCGATGGAAGACGTAAAATGTACGCGATCATGTATATTTTCTGAAACGCCAGTGTCGACATGATGAACGACATGTTATCGATCAAATACCGTGTGGTGGCGGAAGCTTGAGCTGCCGCGCGGCACACACGCGACGCGATCGTGAACTTCAAAGAGCGCTCGACTCGAGGCGTTGGCGTTGGGGGGCGGCAGCCGTCATGCGCCATGCGTGTGCGATGCATGTGGGGGTTCCGTGGGCGGCCGCTCAGCAAGGCCTCTGGCCTCCAGCGACGCTGCCGCGCTCGCCAGCAGTGTTCCCGACCTCGCAGTGACATAAAGCACATAAGGTTGGAACCCGGCGCGTGGGTGGGAATCACCCTCCGCGACGCCGCACCAGGCGGGTCGTTGTCTCGCCTGCCCGCGTGTACAGTGTGTATACGGCTGTGGTCTGTGGATGACTCTGTTCACGAAGGAAGCGTACGTAAACCCGGACAAACAGGCGCACGCACGCTACCACAGTCGTATGTACTTTTTGGGTACCCGCCTCGTGCCCACGGGACCGCACGACCCCCCATGCATCGTACTGCAGTGGTGGTAGGCTGGGTGCTGCAGCGGGTGCCCGAACATGGGACCGACGGAGCGTGCAGCCTAGCTAATGGGCTGACCCTATTAGGGACCGGAGGTACCGTTCTGCGGGCAGTTTAAAAGAACCGCAGTGGGCAGTGGGCATTGGGCAGTGGCCATTGGGCAGTGGCCCGTGGCAGTGACAGTGGCAGTGACAGACATTGCTGTGAGTGACACCGAACAACTCGCAAGTCGGCGACCACCCACGTAAGCGCCGCCTTGTGTCCGCTTCGCCGGCGGCACCTGAGCGCACATGTAGATCTGTGGATCTCTCAAGAGAGGGCATGCTGCGACAACCGGCAGCGTGTGTAACCGGCGACACCCCATTCGCGAGGCCCCGTCAGTGACACCAGTGGCCAGTTCCCTAGCAGTACCAGGGATGAGGGATCGTCCTCGTGCTGCGCGGAGTGAAAGAAAAAAAAAGGGAAAAGAAGCGAAAAAAATATAGTAATGAGCAGGCCGAGCACAGGCCACACAGGGTTGTTTAAACGCATCATCAAAAAAATAAAATAAACGTTCCTCGAAGTCCTGCGCGTCCTGTGTCCTGTGTCCTGTGGTCCTGTGTCCGGCACGAACCTGTGTCCACCATGTGCCACTCGGGCCACTCCTGGATGCCACCTGATGGGATGTGCGGATGCACGGGCCGACGACCTGGATGTGCGTGAGTTGGGCACAGGGCGGCGTAGGCCGCTGGCCGCTGGCGAGCTGCCGGTATATGCCCGAGCAGGAGCGAAGGGATGGTTCAGAACTCAGGTGCGCGTCCCGGTCCTGCGGTCTCGGAGCGCCTGGATGTCCGTCGTCGCGAGGGGGTGTGGATGTTCGTCGGTTGGGCCGTCCGTACGTCCGTTCATGTCATTTGCGTGGCCACTAACTGAACCGAAGGCCGCGAGCCGCGGCGGTCGGCGCCGCCCGGTGACACGAATGCACGCACACCACACGCCCCATGAGCAATGAGGAATGTGTTGTGCACAGGCCAGACAAGGGGGGGGGGCTCGGCCCGTCGCAACTCGCGACAATCATCGCGTCAATCGCGTCCATCACGCCAGAACCCTTTGGACCCCAGTATTCTCACTACCGAGCTCATGTGCGACTTGGGCGTCGGTGCAAGAGAGTGACACTCGTGGCAGTGGCAGTCGTGATTTGAGTGACCGAGCCGAAGACAAACTCAAGCTCACTACTACTGCCACGCTGTCCTCTAGTGACTTTTGAGTGACCTTTTGCGGTGCTGCGGTGCGCGGAGACCGTACAGCCATACATACACCCATGCAGCCATGCCGTCCACCGGGTGTCCACATCGTGTCACCGCCCGCAATCAATCATCAAAGTGGCGCGGGCCTCGACCAGACATATGCAGGACATGACGCCGTCGCCACCAAGTGTGCGAGAACTGTGCACAGTATGGGTGTGTGTGGGAGATTGGATCAAATCGATCGCGCGTTTCAGCCTGACACGCTGTTGGGCTTTTCTCATCCATTCATTCCTTTTTCCTTTTTTCTTTTTTGCTTTGCTACCGAAAATAACACGAGGGCGTTCGGCTCATTAAACTCACTCAACGCGCCATGCGCGAACAGAGGGACAGATAGAGAGAGCGTGCGGGTTCATAAAGGCGTACGCCGCATGCCAGGCGGCTTCTGGGAACACGTACCGAGAATGGGCCGTGGGCGTGGCGCGTGGGATGGGGACAGCCACGGGCGTGCACAGAGGTTTCTGGGTCGCCCATGGCTGCATGGCTGCATATGGCTGGGGAGATTCAAGAGGTGGCTTACGACCACACGCGCTGTCAATCGCAAACCGGGTCTTCCGGCAGGCGCATGTATGTCCCAAACGTCTCACAAAACCCGTACGAGCGCGGGAACGTGCGCCGCGTCTGGCGTGCGCCGCCGCAATATGTTTGAGCGGCACGTTTGAGCGGTATGTTGGTGTTGGACAGCAACACGGCCTGCGTGCACACGCCAAAGGCACCACAGGCCGAGAGATGCACTGCAATGAATGATCCAGCGATCCAGCGATCAGCAAAGCCTCAACCGTTTCTTTCTTTTCTTGGCATGTGCCGTGTGAGAGCGAGAGAGGGGGAGCGGGCGGGGGCCACCTGCGATACTTGTCTCGTGATTGCGGGAGTTCATCAACCTAGTTTGTATTGGCATTTGCTCCGCTCCCGACACACGCGTGCGTATGGGCGTGGATGACCACACAATTAAATGCGGGTGCGTTAATGGGGGCAGGCGCGGGGGGAACGGGAACGCAACAACACGGAGGACTCCAGAGCGAGAGCAGCAGCACCGGAACACCAGAACACCCGAACGAGCCTGCCGAGGATCCAGAGCAAGAAGGGAGTGAGGAGGCAGGGAAAAAGACCAAAACGCCAGCCGAGACCAACGAGAGGAACAGGACCAGAGGTCGGGCCATAAAGATCGAGACCCATTCAACGAAATGCAGCTAGTGTTGGCTCTATGGCCCTGGTTGCAGAGCGTTTGCGCGCTGGAGCTTGTTCGCAGGTTGCTCCGGCGGGCCGCGGAGTCAGGTTAAGGGGGGTTGTTGTTGTACGTGGACGGCACCGGGGGTTTGGGGCCAGATGAGAATGTGTGTGAGCGCGGGAGAGCAGCACCAGCAGGCCAGCAGCAGCAGCAGCAGCAGGGCACATGGAAAACAGGGCAGCTGCTCTGGGGACGGGTTGAGCAACACCGTGGCACAGCAGCTCAAGGCCCATGGCAACGGTCGGGCATGTCTCCTTTGCTCCCAGGATCCCAGGGCCGGGGGCACGTAAAATCGACACTGCGTGTGAGTAGTGTGCTGCACAGATGAACGAGAGAGACAGAGACAGAGACAGAAAGAGAGAGAGCATGGAGAGAGCCTGGAAAACAGCGATGGACCGCGGCAGAGCCTCCCAGACACACGTCGGAGGCGGGCACAGGGTTACCATATGGTCCTCTTTGCGAGCCTCTGGGTGCTGGACAAACAACCCCCTCCTCCCCTTCTCCCCACACCCCACTACCTACGGCAGACCCTGCAACGGAACCGTAGACGACGACAACGCTCCGAGCGAGCTGGTCTTTTGCTCTTGGTGTGGTGTGTCCCGCCTCTTCTCTCACACACACACACACATTTTTGTCTTTACCACTACATTCTCGGGGGCACTACTCGTCCCAAGCCTCCATTCCTCGGCGTCGATCGACAACCACTACCGTGTCCCGGCGTCTGTCGTGTTCGTTGCGTTCTGTTTCCTGCGAACAAACGCCTGCCTCGCTTCCAACCCCACCACATTCCCCGTCTTCATCGGCCTTTGGCTCCCCCCGTGTCACCGTTATTCGTTTTCTGGGTCTGTGTGTAGTCTACATTATCCACCCTTTTACCAACCCCTCCTCCCTCGCTTGGAGCCACCAGCAAACCTGAGCGAATTGGTCAGGTTCCTCAGATCCACATCGACTGCGCCTGGCTCTGGGTGTGCTTGCTGCCCTCTGTGCACATTTGCCTGTGCCATATCGGGGTCCTGCCATCCGAGACCACCACCGAACGCCTCTTCGGGGTTCGCAAAAGCCACCAAACCTGCGCGCCGTGCAACACGACGGGTTATCCTTAGTCGAGTGGACGTGTGTCTCATCGCCCACGCAAGCCCCCAGACAGAGGCAAAGAGACGCCGAGAGTGAACGCCTGTGGCTGCCCCCATCGTCCACGCGCGTCCACAGAGAAACCCACGGACCTGCTGGGCCACACGATCGACACTCGCTCTGTGCCAGCCTGAGACCAACCGACCCGCCGTCCCGAGGCCCGACGCCCACCACCCACCCGCATCCTAGCTTCCGCGCGACAGAGAGCGCTCTTTCAGTGTCGCCTCGACACCTCCCTGTGCTCAGGCCCACTCGTCACTCGCAGCAGCAGCCACAGTACTCCCCCCTGTCGCGCGCGCGTGCACGCAGAAGCAGAGAAGAATCCATAGCCCGGCGCGTCCCTCCCACCAAAACACACCCACTCTCTCGGTTACACACACAAGTGACTGTCACCTCCCCCCTCCGCCCGCCCGCCCAGGATCGCTCCATATTCTCTCTCATATCTCTTGTGTTTCTTGTTCTCCCTCCCCCTTCTCTTTTCTCTTCTCTGTCTTTCACTTTATCGCCTCTCGCCATCCATGTCGGCAGTCGCCCTCGCGCCTGTTGCGTCGAGTAGCATCATGTTCGCCCAACCACCACACCACCAACGGCGCGCATCAGACGCCATTTCCCGCAGTTCCTGTAAGTGCTCAGCAAAGCCCACAGCCAAGTCGGTGGATCGGTGGGACCGCACAAGCTGACAAACATCGCAGGGGCCGCCGAGGACAACGAGCCCATCCCGTGGGGCGGCGACCAGACGTCCATGCCTGCAGGACCATCAGCAGCAGCCTCGTCGTCGCGCCAGACGCCTCCAGTCGTCATGGTCTGGCGCTCGGCACCAATGCAGCACCTGAGCGCATCGACCATCAATGATGCGCCCCACAGTCATTCCCGCTCCGCGTCGATCGTGTCGATGGGAATGAACGGCCTTCCTTCGCGTTCCCGCGTGTCCATGGACGCACTCCCGGGTGACGGCTACGACAGCGACGACGACCATCACACCATCACCCCGTCGTCGTCGACGGCGTCCCTCCCCACCATGATGTTTGACGACGACAACATCCGTTCGCCACACCCTGCGTCCGCCATCACCCCCTCGTCGTCAAAACGCCCAGTCGGCCTGGGGCTCACTGCGGTTCTCGACAACGGCCGGGAGTGGCCCCCACGTGAAGAGGAGGCCGACTCTGACGAGGACGAGGTCGTCGACCAGCACGAGATGGACAGCTACATGGCATCACACCGCGCACCAGTGGACGCAAAGCTGCGATCCATGCCCGGTGTCGTCGGCCTCGGTGACGGATGGGCCGGTGGCCCCCAGCCCAAGCCCAAGCGACGGGGGTGGTTCAGGCGAGGCGGCAAGAAGGACGAGCCGCTGCCAGACGCAGCAGACCCACTTGCTCTGTGGGCGACGGGGTCCGCGTCGTCAGAGCCAAAGACACCGACAGCATCATCCACTCCTATGCCCCCACTGGCACCAGCAGCGCCGCAACTTTGCTCCAACGACCAGGACGCCGCCGATGCGCAGGCAAAGTGGTGGAAGTCTCGGAAAAACCTCTTTTCGTCGTCGCAGCGGGTTCTCCCAACATTACATTCGGACAGCAGCCCCGATCGCGCGCAGCCGTCGTCCACCACAACCACCACCCGGCCACCATCGAGCTCAAAGACGAGGGGCCTGCTGACACGCTCGCGTCTCAACTTTGGCTCCATGGTGGACCTCCGTCGCACAGAGGCGCGCGAGTGCCCCTCGGCACCACTGGCGCCGGCGTCGCCTCCTTACATGCAGCCTGCCGCCAAGCGTCACTCGGTCGCTGGGTTCCTCCGCAAGGCGCCACCCCACCCCCTCGAGCTGTCTCATGGCAACGGCAGCACTGCCGCTAGCAAGTCGCAGCCTGTTGGTATCTCGGCCTCGTCGTCACAGCCTTCTCTTTCACCCTCACCCCTGTCGCACCACCCTATCCTCCGACAAGCCTATGCCCGTTCCGAGTCTCATCTTGCCGGAGCCCCCACTTCCCCTGGTAACGCTCCGCGTCCAGCTCCTCTTATCATCAATAGCGGTGCATTCGTAAACACGGCCCCCATGCCTCTCTGGCGACCACCCATGATGTCGCCCACCCCTCTGCTGGAAGTCGAGGAGGAAGACGAGGACGAACACGACACCCCAGAGTCGACAGACCGCCCCGTTCTCAAGCGATCGGCCACCTTTGGCGACGAGGACGAGTGTGCCGCACAGAAGAAGGAGTCGGCCCCGCCCGTCATGTCCCCCATCAACGGCTCGCCGGTCGAGACCCAGCGTGCCCTGTCCGTCTCCACCGCGTATTCGCATCCCGGTGCCCGCGACACAACGTCGCCCATGCCGCCGCCGTCGTCCTTCCTCGGCCGTATCAAGCACGCCCTCTCAAAGGGCCGTGGTCGTCCGGGAAAGGCCAACTCGCTCAAGTCGGCAGGATCGCCCATGGTCCCCCAGTCGCCTCGCAGCTTCCAGTCAGAGATCCCGGCCACTCCCCACCGCGACACGCTTGCTCCCCAGCCTCGCTCCGTTGGCCGCGGTCTCCGCCCCCGCAGTCGCTTGTTCAGCCGTCGCCGCGAGGAGGTCACTCCCGTGCCTATGGTCAAGCCCACGGCGCTTTCCAAGGAGGTGCCTACCAACCTGCAGGCAGTGGACCTTACGCCCCGCATGTTCAGCCCTGTCGAGTTTAAGAGGAGTCCGCCGCGTCAGAAGCAGCAGCGCACCTTGTCGAGGCACGTTGTTGAGAGCATGGTCAACCTCTCGGCTTCGCGCAACGAGTTTGCCGACGACAAGGACGTGTTTGGCAGTGACCGTCTGCGCACCAAGCGGACGTCGTGGGCAGCGCCGCTGCCCGTCGGCATGGAAGACGAGGATGAGGCCGACGAGTCGACTTCGCGCCTCGAGAAGCGCAGCAGCCGTGTGTCGATCAGTCGCTTCAAGTCGAACAAGCCCCGCCCCGCCCTTGGCCACGTCTTCCCTCGTCCTCCGACCGAGATGCAGCAGCCGCCGTCGCTTCACTGGGCGTTCCCGGGCTCGTACTCGACCCCCATGCTTCACAAGTTTGGCGGCTCGACGCTCTCGCTTGCTCTGGACATTTCGGCCGAGAACAACGATGTCAACAGCCTCGCTGACATTGCCGAGTCACCCGCCACCCAGGACAAGGTGGCTCCCCGTGAGCGTGCCATCTCGGCCACCATCGCCACCCTTACCGCCCGCCAACCCGTCCCGGTTCGCAGTGGCAATGTCCGCCGCCGCACGATCCCCGTCAACATGGACAACCTCAACTCGTCGAGCGAGTCGCTCACGCTCCCGTCGTGCAGCATTGTTGATTTCCCCCTGCCGCCCTCGAGCTCGAGCGGCGACGTTTCTTCGCCTGACCCCGACGCCATCGAGCACCTGCGCACGCCCCGCGACCCACGCACGTACCCGACCCTCCACGGCGAGTACTACCGGCGCCAGGCCGCCGTTGACTCTGGCGACTCGAGCGAGGAGTCTGCTGGCTCGGCGTCCTCGAAGCGCCTGCGCAAGGCGCCCTCGTGGTCGACGTGCATGACCAGCACGCAGGACACGGCCACGCCGCTGGCCACCCCGACCAGCGTCACCAGCGCCAGCGACGACGCCGCGCGCTGTGGCTCGTTTGGCTCGCTCACGGCCGTGAGCGAGGGTGAGCACCGCACGTCATACATGTCGAAGCGTGCGTCTGTTGCCACCACCCCCACCCCTATTGTAGCTTAGGAGAGAGAGAGAGAGAAGAGTATAGTATTGTCGCGAAAATAAAAGCTATTCGCGCGGAGAGAAAGTTCTGTACGAGGAGATTTAGTCGGTTTATCTTGGTGTTACACGCTTGCCTGTAGAACAGTTATGTTTATCATACTCCACCACCTCCACCTGTTGCAACGTGCAAAAAAAAAAAGGCAAACATGTAACCAGAGCAGCGTCGTGCTCCTCCTGCGTGCATTAGGACGCTGTAGGCAGGCACGTTGCTGGAATCGGTGCGGCGTGGGTGTGTCATCCGACTTGGGTAATGTGCTTACGTAAGCTAATTGCCACACGGTCATAACGCCGCAATGCCGCCCCCAGCCAGGCGGACTCCGACGCCTGGCCATCCATTCACCGCCCAGCTATAGCAACGACCTGCTCGATACCGACGACGACGACGACCACCCCACTCCCACCCCCCGCACCAATGGCTTCCTCCACCACCGCCTCCGAGTCCGAGATGGCCGCCGCCCGCCTGCCCCTCGGCTGGCGCGACCAGTGCTCCGCGTGCGTAGCGTAGCTTATGAGCGACGATCCATCGCTTCCTGTCCGGTCTCTCCCACTTGCCTGCAACGAGCACGGCCGTCCTCGTCGCGTCCATTGGCGCCCAGATACGGAGCCGGTTGCGGATCCACGCGCCTGCTGGCAAGCAGTGACGAACGCATCCAGCAGGCGCAGACGCTGCGCGCTTGTCGGGACCAGCGGACGCTGGGTGACAACAACCCGCAACCCGCAATGACGAGTTGCTGTCCGTCCGCGACGTGTCCGGCAATGTCCGGCGACGACGACATGCCTGCCTCCACTCCACTCTCTCCTCCCTCTTCCCCACCACGCACCTCCCAGCTGTTCCTCACGTTCGTCGAACCTAGCTGACACTCCCCAGTCTCCTCATCCCCCTCAACGTCTGCCGCCACAAGGAGAACTACCTGCCATGGAAGTGCGAGGACGAGCGCCACATCTACGAGAAGTGCCAGTACGACGAGTGAGTTTTGAGCCTCCCTCGCTGATTGGGGACACGCCAACTGACACGCGCGCCTTCGCATCAGCTACATGCGCCGTATGAAGCTCCTCGCGCGCCAAAAGAAGGAGGCCGCCGCCGAGGCCGACGAGTAGACACACAACAACCCCCACCCCCCACCCCCCATCCCCCCACGCCCAACCCAAACAAGCGCGCCATTCTCCTCGCGCAATATCAGGAGCAATGCATCACGATACCCCCCCCACAAAACTATTTGAATTTCACTGTGTACAACACTACACTGCGCGCGCGCGGCTGGAGATGACGAAGCGCGCGGCGCGGCTCTTTGGCTCTGTTTATCTCTTTATCTCTTGGAGCGTCGCCCGTCGCCCGTCACCCGTCGCTCGTCGCTCGTCGCCTGGAAGCGCAGGCGCGAGTTGATGGGTGTGGCGGAAACGGGGGACGCCGGTTCTGTCGGATTCTGTCTATGGTTTATTTCTCACCAGAGGTCATCGCTACCTCCTCAACCCTCCTTCTCACTTGTTCTCACTTGTTCTCACTTGTCCTCACTTGTCTCGGCCGGCTCGGGCGTGGGCGGTCCCCGCGGCGTGGCGCTCTTCGGGAGCCAGTGGCCCATCAAGTTGCCCAGTGCCGCAAAGCTCGACTCGCGCCGGCCGGCACCGCCGCTGCCGGAGCCGCCCTCTGCGGGCGTAGGGCACGAGTGGGTGCTGGGGTCGGACCCGCCGTCGTGGAGCTGGGAAATGTGGATGGCGGGCGAGTTCATCTGGCTCGCGTGTCCCGAGTCCGAGACGACGGACCAGCTCTCGTCGGACCCCGGGCCGCCCTCGCGGTCGGTCGAGATCCCGCGCGAGCGCGAGTGCGAGTGGCCATGCGCGCGCCCGTGTCCCTCGCTACGGGGCTCGCGCAGCGACTTGGACTTGCGCGGCGTACCGGGCGGCACGGAGTGGAGGCCGAAGTGCGAGACCTTCCTGACCAGGCTGGTGTCGCTCGCGCCCGGAAGCGGCTTGATGATGGCCTTGGCGTACTCGAGGTCGCGGTAGATGGCCTCGATTGCGCGCTGGACACCGTTCTCCTGCACCCACGTGTCAGCGACATGGCCCGCAACAACGCGTCACAGAACGCCTCCTCGCCAGGACGGTTCAAAATACATACCTTGCGGATAGCTTCGCCGACGGCTTTGGCACGGGTAATTTGGCGTTCATTAGTGGTCGCCTCACGCAAGGCGGTGGCGAGCGATTCGGACGTGAGTTTGCGAATGGCCGCCCCGACGCCAAGGCTCTCGACGCGCTCGGCCCAGAAGGCCTGGTCGCCAAAGAACGGCTTGATCAGCGTGGGGATACCAGCCCGGAGACTGGCGCCCGTCGTGCCGGCGCCGCCGTGGTGGCAGGCAGCGTCAATGCGCGGGAAGAGCCACGAGTGGTCAATGGCGTCGATGGCACTGGTTAGACGTCAGCAATGTTATGAACAAACAGTCTTACAAGATGCTGTCTGGGTACTCGATGCCGTCGGCGCCGTCCTTGTTGCCCTTGCTTGCGGCTTCGTTGCCACGGTCCGACCAGCCCTTGGACAGGATGGCGCAGACGTCCGCCTGGACAATGGCCTCAACGACACAGCGCGTCATCTCGTGCGGATCTGATACGACAATTGATCCAAAGCCACTGGGCGGGTCAGGAAACAATCCTCATTGCGCGCAACGTTCAGTGTACCCACATGTAGACCACCTTCTTGCCACGCGCATGTGCGGCGTCGATAAACTCGACAACGCCCTCGGGCGGAGTCCAAGCCTTCCTGTCTGGACCGTCGGCATGGTCGAGGAACCAGTATCCCGTGACGTGGATCCACTCGGTCCAGTCGAGCGGGGGCGGCACAACCGTCGGCGAAAAGTTGTATAGGAACGGTACTGAGAGTTAGACGCAGGAGGGCGAAGACCAAACTCACTCTTATCCGCATGGAGCTTGTCCAGAGTTGTCGCGTCCAGGTGGAGCTCGTTCTTGCGCCAGCGGTTGACCTGGCCAGCCATGGCGCGCCAGAAGATCTGGTCAAACATAACATACGTCATGTAGTTGTAGCTTCCGCCACGTTTGTGCTCGGGAACCGCAAAGGCGTGCGGGTACGACCGTGTGCGGGTCCATGGCATCTGGTTGTTAGTTCACAATGAATCGTTGAACTCACGGTGAAAGCGCGGTAGAATGGAATCTGGAGAGCCTCGGCGATGTGGACACCAGCCATTGCACTCGGAGACTCGATGAGGAGGTCGGCTCCTTGGCATGCAGCCCAGGATGAAGTGAGGAGGTCGTCAAACCACGCTCGGAACTGTCGGGTCAGCAGCACTAAAGGATGACTTGACCCACCTTGCCCAAACTCTCCTTCACGAAGGAGACAGTAAACATGCCGTTGTCAACACAAAGGCGCATGAGCTCTGCGGGGTCACCGCCAACACTGGCGAACCCAATGCCGTGCTGGTCAAGTCAGCTTAACTCAAGGAGTCTTTTAGCTCACCGCTTCCACCCAGTCCTTGTACTCGCCGTGAGTGGCGATCTTGCAACAATGGCCCTCAGCTTGCAACCCTTTGCACAGCGCAATGTACGGCTGTACATCACCACGAGACCCAATCGTGAGGCACACAATGGTCATGGGCTCTGGCTTGAACTCGAGGAAGGACGAGGCTGCCGATCCAAACATGGGCGAGGGCAGGGAAGCGGCCGAGGGACCACTGCGCCACAGGCTCTCGTCGAGGTCTTCCATGATGGTTTCAGGGAACTCGTCTGGGGTGTGCGAGGGCAAGTTGCCCTCGCGCAACGCCTCCATGCGGTCTTCGAGGAGGCTCATGCAGTCGTTGCGACGCTTGCTGGAGGAGAATTCGAGGAAGAGCTCCTCGTGGCCCTTGATGATGACAATCAGACCCGAGTGGGCGAATCGGAATGCCTTTTGGGCCTTCATGCCGAACAGGTCACGGATGGGCACAATCATCTGAGGGTTAGCTGCGACCTACGGGGACCCCAACCCACCTTGGTCTTGTACAGCAAGTGGTTGGAACGGAAACAGAAGTAGTTGGTCGAAATGTAGAATCGGCCGTGGACTGGGATCACACGGTACAAGCTACCAGAGCAGTCTGAGAGTTTAGCAGTGTGCCGCCGAATTCTGTAACTCACCGGCAATGAGCTCCTCTTTCTCTGGCAAAGCAAAGTACGAGTGGAACTTGCTGGACACGTTATCATCGACTGTCTCGAACCCGGACTGGCTCGACTTTGAATGCGGGATCTTGGACTGGCCAGAGCTGATGGTCATGGTGGAAGACATGGTGGAGGCAGGGTGAAGCCTGTGGTTGGAGGGATGGTCGCTCGCCTCGTCGTCGCTGTTAGGCAGGGCACCCTCAACCACAACAGTGACATTGGACGGCCTGCGCGGTGGGTCCTGGTTGATCGAGAAGCGCTTGCCGAGCTCGGCAGAGCTGGGGGACGTGCCAAACAGCTTGGCGGCAGGGTTACGAATCCAGCTACCGCCTCGCCAGCTTGATGCTGGCTCCATGCTTGGAGGAGGTGGGCCGCTCTGCTTGGGTGGATAGCCTTTGGGGCCTGACGTTTCATAGTCTGAAGCCTCAGACTCCGAGGTGACAAAGTCCGTGTCCGAGTGGCTATGGGGGAGGGTAGGCTTGGGGGGAGCGGCGATGGGCACACGCGAATCGCTGCTCGCCTTACCCTCACGTTCACCGCCAAGACCCAAAGGACGCAGGACGGTACCGATCTTAGGCAAGCCGAACTGGCCAGACGCCGAGGATCCAGGACGTGGGACGGAGTGGTCACTTGCGTTGTCGGCTGTGGCATGCAGTGTGGTCGTCGACGGCACCTGGGGGAGAGTTGAGGAAGGACGATCTTGCAGGAGTTTCTGGAGTACTTCGTACGCATAGTCGGTGTCCGGGAACGACGCAAAGAAGAAGCTTTCGACGGACATGGAGTCGTCGGGGTCAACCACCTTGACTTCGATGGTCTCGGCAAACTCGAGTGTCGGGCTCTGCTCAATGTCCACAACGGCGTCCAGAGGAATGATGAGCTTGACGCTGTTACCCTCGTGCTGTGTCTTGAAGATGACCTTGTTGATCGCTTTAACCCACTCGGCCGCATTGTCGACAGTGTCGGCGATGAATGTGTAGTTGCGTTCCGTTGTGCGGACCTTGAAGCGTGCACCACCGACAGAGTCACACGTCGACGCGTACTGTAGTGAGATTACGCCCTTGGGGAAGTAGGGATCCTGTTCAGGTCAGAACGCGCGTTCCTACAAGAGTGACCACCCACGTTTGAGCTCTCAAACCACGAGAGAACGCCATTGCGCAGGACAAACCACGACTTGGTGCTCAGCTTGGTCTGGGACGACTTTTTCCACAGAGGCCCGCTGCGGATAACAGTGTTTTCGTCCACAGGTATGTGGGCGAAAAAGCAGATTCGCTGCCTTGTCAAGAACATGTAACCCTTGAGCACTGGGTGGGTGAGCAATGGCACAGACAAACTGGACACTCACTGAAGTTCCGTAACAGCCAGCAGTTCATCTCCTCAAGCACCTCCTCCTGCTCGTCCAGACCAAAGACTTGCTGCAGACGTGCAGCAAGCTTGTCCTTGCGGATGATCTTGGTATGCTCGGACAGTCGGGTCTCAGTATCCGTGTGCTGGAGGTCTGGAAGGCTCTCAGGACGTGTCTCCTGCGGCCTGGGCTCCACATCGGTGTCTGAGGGAGCAGGCTGCTCCACTGGTTCAGACTCGGCACCGGAATGGAGTGGCGAGCGCTCGTCGTGGCTGCCCTCCCCAGAATGGTAACCGCCTCCACCTTCGGAACGCTTTTTGCGGGCGAGCTGGTAATCGAGTTCGGTCTTTGACGGCGATCGTGCGCGGCGAGCGATCGTGTTGTCCTTGAAGGGGAAATGGAGTTTCTGCCGGTGAGGGTGGAAGGAATGGGACGACGACTTGGTGGCAACAGGTGTGTTGTCGTCGTCATTGTCAACAAACGGAGGCAAGTCCATTGCGCGGATAGTGTGGAGCGACGAGTTGAGTCGGTGTACTGCAGAGGTATGAGAGAAGGTCGCGGGCGCGTGCGCAAAACATGTTCCCAATGCACTCACTCTTCGGCCGCGTAGGCAAGACAGATGTCTTTGCCATCCTGGCTGTGTCATGTGCATCGCCATCTTCGTCTGCTGCCGACATGTCGTCATCCGTGTCATTGTCCCAGGGAAGAGCCGTGAGAGCAGAGACCAACGCCGAGGTACCAACACGAATCTGCGAAATCCGAAGTCGACCAGACGATGAAGGAAACGGGCAAGGAAACGGGCAAGCGGTGTGCGGTGAGTGTGGGGGAAGCGGGCAGTCAGCAAAACGAAACGTTGCAAACGGACAGACAGGTGGGCCAGAGGCCTGACCATGTATACTCACGGATCCCATTCCTGCCAGCGAGTCCTGTGAACCTTCGCGTATCAAGCTCCCATGGAAGGTACTTGACCTCGGCGGTTGGGGCAGCCTGACCGGTGGAGTCGCTTCGGAAGCGGTCTTGGGTCGAGTGTCGTCGTTTGCGCCAGGGAGAGGCGATGTGACAGGGGGAGGGGACTCGTAGGCCTTGTGCGGTTCATCCATGAACGGCGACATGTCCTCGAGCGTGCGCGACAGAAGAGATATCGTTGGGCGACGACTACCGGAGGAGTCCGGACTGGCGGTTTCGGTGGGGTCGCTGGCGCGTTCAGCCGCGACCGGGTCCGATACCAACGCCGAGGAGGAGGACGGAGAAGCGTCGGCATGAGAAGGTGGTGGGGGAGAAGCTCTGCCCTCCTCGGTGCCGGCAAGGTCTGGTGTATCTGGCACTACTTGCGGTACAGCATTGGCCGTGACGCTCGCAGTAAGCGAGTCGGAGCCGTAGTCGGTCATTTCGGTTGTCTTCTGAAGCAAGTGGGCGGGTGGTAAGAGACAAGTCAAGGGAACAAGGTACGCAGTGTCGCCCAAAGCGACAGTACTCACCTAAAAGTGCATCAAGGGCTGCAACCTGGCCTTGCTGTGTGGAGGTTCAAAGTGAGTGTTCGCGTCGGGTGTGGACGAGGTAGTTGCCGTGGACGGCGGGTGGCGTGTGCGAGTTAGGTGCGCAATGCCGGTAGCGGCGATAAGCGTTGTTGCAGTACTATCTGCAGTGTCGTCGAGTACGCCAGCGGCTGGCAGAGTATGGCACACACACACACACAGAGACGAGATGGTGCAGAGGGGGTGATGGAGTGTACGGGCCAAACGGCAATGAATGTGAGAGATGAAGAGAACAAGCGAGGTGTGCCCCCCGTTGTCGCCATCTGACGCGTTGGGTGCGTCTCTCCACTCCGGCCCGCCGTCACACGGGGTCTCCAGAGCCCACACGCTATCGGGGGGATGGGTGTGTGTGGTTCCTACGACACGCCTATATCCCTGATTAGGCCTCCCACGGCCGCCGCACACACATGTTAAATCTAATAGGCGTCCAAATGTCTAAGCTCCAACTCTATAAATCTAATTCTAAGGCAAATGCAGGTCTCCCATTTGTATTCACCCGAAACCATGATGGACGGAAGCAATATTTTGCCACCCAACGGCCTGGTTGACGTGACTGGTTTGTTGTTGCGACAGTAACACCGTCATCCACCTCCACCACCACACTCATCGTCCACGACACAGCAGCCAGACAGCACTTTCTCCCCGCACCATGGGCGACGACGGGCAGTCGAACGTCGCAGTGTTCAACCTTCCACCAGCAACACCTCTCCCAAGTTCATACCCTTGCCAGCACGGGTCACAGGTGAGGTACCACATATGGATTCCAGCTCACACCTCTTCCAGTATGCCAAGCACAACTTTCTTCCCCGGACGTTCACCCGTGTTCCCTCATCAACAGAGAGCCAAGCAGCTCTAAAAAGGACACTTCAGAAATGTAGGCCAATCAACTCGCGCTGGCCACGAGGTTTACCCAGCAGACTGGGGCCACCGAGACTTCCGTGGTCCCCAGCTCGAGATCTGCACCTACGCTTTGAAGGGATGCGACTTACTCGTCATTGCACCTACCGGTCTGGGCAAGTCGTGAGCTATACTCTATGTGATACCGAAAACTGACATCCAGTGTCTGTTTTCAGGTTCCAGCTGTCACCATCGAGTATGGCATCACCATTGTGGTCTCACCACTCCTGGGTATGTATGTCTCTCACCCGAGGGTTACCTAACCACACCAGCCTTGATGCGTGATCAAGTCTCGAGCCTGCGTGCCAAGGGCATTCAAGCCTACCAACTCAGTGAGAAAACGAGCCCTCAAGAGATCCAGGAGGTAGGCTATACACATGATGGCGTTAGCTAACGATCAGATCAAGCGGCAGTTGCGTATGGGACACCCCGAACTCCGCCTGCTCTATACCACCCCGGAGACTCTGTTCGCTGCAAGATATTCCGCCGACTTTGACATTGCCTACAAGCAACAACAGATTGTGCGGCTCGTTGTTGACGAGGTAAGGCTCCTTTTGCGCAACAGAGTTGACACCACGCAGGCCCACGTTATCGAAGAGTGGGGTTCAACCTTTCGTCCAGTGAGCTTTATCGTTTCCGTGCTTAGCTAACTTTCAGACGTATCGCAGGCTTGGCGAGTTCAGAGCCAAGTACCCCACCGTCCCAATTACTGCCCTCACCGCCTCGGCCACAAGCGACGTGCGCGACGACATGACGACCATCCTCAACATGCCCAAGACGAAAGAGAATGGTCTGGCCCAGTGGGTGGAACCTTTCAACCGAAAGAACCTCTTCTACGAAGTTCGCTACCAAGGCGGCTACGACAAGCAGAACGAGACGACTCAGGACATTGCAGCCTTTATCCTCAAGTACAAGAAGGAGGCGGCTGAGATCAACCGGCGTCATGGAGTCGACATGCCATGCGTCTCGGGACTCGTGTACTGCCGTTTCCGGGCCGACGTGGGTACCCTCATTCCTAGATTTTGTGCTGACGCTTCAGTGCGATATGATCTCCTCACTGCTCAACAGCAAGGGCGTCACTGCCAAGCCGTTCTACGCGACTCTCCCAGAGTACGCTCGTAACAATGCCCTGGACGACTGGAAGTCGGGCAAGGTGGAGTGCATTGTGGCCACAATTGCGTTCGGCATGGTAAGCTTCTACGCGCCGACCGCAGCTGACAGCCCAGGGCGTGGACCAGGCTCATGTTCGCTACGTCATTCATTATGACATGCCAAAGTCGTTTGAGGGTGAGCTATCCCATCCCGCATGGTGTCTTCTAACCGTTCAGGCTATTATCAGGAAACTGGTCGAGCCGGCCGTGATGGACATGTGAGCTGGCGTGTCCAGGAAGCTAAAGCTGACTTCTCAGATGTCCAGATGCCTCCTCTACTATTGTTGGTTTTCGTATATGGGGCACCGGTCGCTGACATTTAAAGCTCGTGAAGATGCCTTCAAACTTCGAGGTCTCATTTCCAAGGAAGCCGACAAGGCGAAGCGGGATGGGAACGACCAGACGACGCTGGAGCGGGGAAAATTGAGGATGCTCAACAGCTTCAAGGCGGTGAATCATCCTTGTTTTAGTGACCTTGCTGACCCGCAACAGTTGCAACACTACGCCGAGAACGTAGGTACATGTCGCCACATCAACATTTGTCGTTACTTTGGAGAGCAAATCGACAACGTGACCGACGTTCTGCGGGAAAAGTACTGCGACGGCATGTGTGACGTCTGCGCCAACCGGTCTGGTGTCTACCAGCGTTCGTTCAGCTTGACCGAGGACATTGAGGTCGCGTCTCCCATCATCAAGCCCAAGCCCCTTGAGCCGGCGCCCGAATACTTGTCCCTCAGCACCCAAGCTGGGATGCACTCGCTAGCTGCATGGCACCGGCCAACGGCACTTGGAGAATCGATTGGAGCCACCAACTTGCCAACGACTCGCCCGATGCAGACGATCCCAGAGAGGTCTAGCCCTCTTGAGCCCCCACCACCCTTCCAGACACCAGCAGCCCAGACCTTCGTCCGTCCTTCTGGAGACCCATTTACAGGAGCAGCTCTGCGCACCATCTCCATGCGAAATGGCGGAGGTGGCGAGTCGAGTTCCTTCTTCTCTCCCGGACAGCCTCGAACCATTGACGACCTGGCGGACGACGGCCTCCTCGGCGGAGTTGTGTTTGGTGAGGCGAGGAGCCCGGATCATGCCGAGAAGAAGCGCAAAGCGCGGGAGGCGGCGTTCAAGGGCGTCTCAGCAGCGACTCCTGGTGGCCCGTTCTCCTTTTACAACTCGACAGCCCCTCGGAAGCGCAGTACCAAAGTCAACTCTGGGTTCAAGGTGCCGTCCTTCAGCGCCCAGAGTATATCACAGGTGTCTCAGGTTCGAGGTACTGCGAGACGCAAGGATGAGAAGGTGAGCTGGGTGCATCTCGTCCTTAGCTGACAATGCAGGTCACTGATAGGGGTGTTGGACTGAGCAAGCTCCGCGACGCCCTCTTGGCGACCTTCATGGAGGGAGGAGACTTGTCGGAGCAGGTGCTTGAGCACTGGGGACGATTTGAGGAGGGTGACGAGAGGTGAGCTGATTAACATGGTTCACAAGCTGACACTCAGGCTGCGGCTCATTCGAAAGGTCTCGCGCGAGTTGGAGCTGGACATGGCCAAGATGGCGGACAATGGCGAGCCATATGGTTGGTTGACGGCAACGGCATTAGTCTAACCTCGCAGGTGATGTCATTGACGACACGATCGGCGCTCTCAAGCTCATCCGCGACCAACGTGGCGTCGAGCTCGTCATGAGTGGCCGCATTGAGAAGCTTGATGATCCCCGCATTGAACGATTCCGTCATGTGGCGACGTGTTTCCGCACTGTAAAGTAACAAAACCATCACAACATGGGAGCATGTTCCTTGTAAACAAGTCACTGTACTCTAGAACATTATGCATACAACACTAGTCTTCCAACCTGCCCATCTCCTCGCGCTCCAGCTCCCACTTGGGGGCCAGACGCTCCTTGTCCGCCTCACCCTTGGCGCCTGGTTCTTGTCAGTTACCTTGCCCTGCGAGTTGCAACTCACCTTCCAACAACAAGCCAGCAATGGCAGTGGCAGTGACCTTGCGGTGGTACACAATTGCTGCCGACTGTAGCTTCTTGATGGTACCGCTCACGGCGATGACGCGGGGGAGCACGGGCACGCCGTTGATGTTGGTGCAGAGGGTGAGGGCTGCCCAGATGACGCGGTAGTGTGGCCGGGCAATACGGAGGATCGTGAGGGTCGTGAGCGACGAGTGGTAGATGACTGGGATAGTGATATGGTCAGCTGCTGCAATGCAGTACTTTCACCGCTGCGGATACTGCTTGACAGTATTTGTTCAGCGGCGCGGCCACAAAACTCACCTTTGAAGCTGCTAGCCACCCTGCCCCAGCCCTCATCGCCAAACACGGCCTGCACACAGCTCCTCACACTCTTAAACACCTCGCTGGCGCCGCCGTCGCCCAGGAGCGGCTTGGCAGCGACATCCAGCGGAAGCATGAATGGCAAGTCGGGGATCTGGGCCAGCTCGTCTTCCCCGTCGCCGCCGTCATCACCATTGTCGTCGTTGCCGTCCTCGTCCAGGGCCGGAGGTTGCAGCGATGGCGGGACAGTGGGGAACGCGGAGAGGTGGGCGGGGTCGAGGAACTCGACGAGGAGGTGGCGGTTCTTGAAGCGGACCATGGCTGCTGGAGAGAGAGGGAGAGATGGACGATGGTTGAGCAGTGTGCGTCCCAAAATGTCAACAGGCGGCACAAATGTGGAGTGGAGGTCGTCCAGCGGGGGTATTTTTGACAACTAATTGAAGCCCCCAGGCGGCAGTAAAGGGCTGAATGGGGTAGGTTGCCGTACTTTGCGTGTCAGACGATGCTCCATCGATCTATCGCTTCCGACACTGTCATCAGCTTTGCAACTCGACAAGATAACTCTACTACCTGCTCTGAGGCTCCCAAACGACGACGACGACGTTCAGAAGCAACTTGTTATTTCGGCCGTATCAGATAAGCTGGGCGTCAGGGAAGGTCGCGGCCGAAGAACTCGCTACACTCGCTCGACCGAGAAGCGCGACGCAGAGAAGGACACACCCACGCACACCACATGGCCCAGATGTCCACAGCTCTTTGCACTAATCCACATCTCTCACCATGACAATCCCAGACAGTGCGTCCGGAGACGCCCCTCTGCGCGGAGACGCGTCGCCGTCGTCGTCGTCATCCGGGAGCTCTCACGCGAGCGTCAAAGATGAGCGGCCCATGGTGCCGAGGTGGGTGTATGTTCTGCTTAAGGGGCTGACCCATACTCTGCAGGAGGGCGTTAGTTGTAGCCCTCGTCCTCGCTACATATGTCTACAGCCTCGAGACAATGGTGACTATGCAGTACACCTCCTATGCGTGAGCTATCATCCTGACACGACTGGTCATGACCCAAAGCTCACAGACTACCAGGGCGTCCGCTGTCGGCCACCATGACCAGCTGGGGACGCTGGCGTCTGCCTCGGCCGTCGTGTTGGCAGTAGGCAAGCCGCTGTCTGCGTCCATTGCAGCCTCTGGACGCGGGCGGGCACTGTGCTTCATTGCTGTGACCTATTCCCTCGGGCTGGCCTTGAGTGCCACGGCGCGCAACATGCCCACGCTGTTTGCGGGGCAAATGCTCTACGTAAGCTGGACAGTGTATGTCGTCGACAAGCTGACAGACTTCTCAGGCGGCGGCATCGTCGGGTTTCCAGATTGTTCTCCAGGTTGTCATAGCCGACTTGTCTTCGCTGAGGCGACGCGGGGTGTGGAACGGCATGCTGGCGGCGCCGTACCTTGTCAACCTCGTGGTCGCCGGTGAGGTTGTTCAGAGGACCCTGCCCAACTGGCGTGTGGGCTACGGCATGGTAAGTGGAGGGACATACTGACATACTCCTTCTCGAGACACTAACACCACTGTCCAGTTTGCAGTCATCGTCCCACTCACGTTTGCGCCGTTCACATACCTCCTGTACAAGGAGGAGAAGCAGCATGGACCAGTGGCCCAACCCCCGCTCAACCTCGACTACAAGGGCCTTGGGCTCCTCACGCTCACGCTGTCCCTTTTCATCCTGGGCTCGTGGGGAGCGACAGTGTTCGCCTGTCACCTTATCCCCATCCTCTTCTTGCATTCGCTGCGCACTCCGAACCCCGCCATACCTGTCCGACTCTTGCACGGCGCCATCCTCGGTTCAGCGCTCATTGGCGCCTTGGACTTTGCCAGCTTTTACCTGGGCTGGACATACCTCTACCCGTGAGCTTTCGAACTGCGTCAAGTCTAGCTGACAATCAGGTTCATCACTGTGACCACTGAATGGACGCCGCGTGCCGTATCGTACTTTATCTACACCAACACCCTCTCGCTCACTGCTGCGGGCCTCGCGGCCGGCGCCATCCTGTACGCGACCAGACGAGTCAAGGTATGCCTATCCCTCCCTCCCCTTCCTCTTATTCCACTTGCTAAACTCCCCCACAGTGGCCCCTGTTCTGGGGCCTCGTCTTCCGCCTAGGCGGCGTGATCCTCATGTACATTGCGCGGGCGTCCGGCACGACCCCGCTGCTCATTGTGTCCCAGGCGCTGCCGGGGCTCGGGGGCGGGCTGGCCAACGTCGCGTCGTCCATCTCGGCGCAGGCCGCGGCGCCCGACCGCATCGGCGAGGTCAGCGCCATGACGCTGCTCCTGGCCGAAGTGGGTAACGTCGCCGGTGCAGGTGCCGCCACGCGTATCTGGAAGCGATACCTGCCCGCAGAGCTCGAGCGCCATGTGTCCGGTAACGGGACCGCGGGCGAGGAACTGCGGCGCGAGCTGTTCAAGAGCTTTGAGAAGATTATGGAGTATCCCATGTCGGATCCCGTGCGCGCTGGGAGCGTCGCGGCGTACCGTGCCGTGATGGGGAGGCTGGTCGTGAGTGACAGTTGAGCAACACCTCTGACAATTCAACTGGCTAACGAGCGTCGCAGGGATGTTCGGTCATTGTATCCCTTTTCCCGCCACTGGTCTGCTACCTTCTCACAGACGACGTGCACCTCGCAGACGACGTGCAGGTCGACGTTGAAGTCGAGGCAGACGGGCACGTCGAGGCTGCAGCCCATGAACGCACCCCGTTGCTCCACAGCGAGCACCAGGACTAGAGAGCAGAAGAGACCAATAAATAGTTTTGCCCATAGACGATGTATTGCCCTCCCTTTGCAACCAACCGCTCCGTACACATGGCACCACATTCATACTAGTCATCCACTAATCGTACTCCTTCAAGAGGGCCTCGACCTGTGTCCCTGTTTCACACGAGGCGCCCGTTCCGTCATTATATCCTAACACGCTCCCCCCCCACACACAGACAGAAAACATTCGAAAAGAAACACACGCCTTCCCATGCCACCGGAACGTCGGCGCCAGCGAACCCGTCGATCTCGGTGGGAGCCCGGGGTATCGTCCGTCCGTGTTCGATCACAAACGCACACCACACGCGACACTTCTCGCACAACGGTCTGGTCTGTGCGCGCCTAGGCCTTGTTATCTTGCGCGACGAGGTCCTCGAGGCGCTGTTCCAATCCGCGGCCAAGGCCCTCGCGCGACCACTCGGCCTCGGGGACAGACGAGGACGGGACCGAAGGCGGCGCCAGAGTCGAGAGGCTGACGGGGCTCTGCGAGACGGCAGGCGAACGGGAGGGGACGCTGGGCGACACGGTACCGGGCAAGTGGTCCGGGGAGAGATTGCCCGATGTGATTTCGCCGAGGTTTGTCACTGTTGTGGGCACGCTCAGGAGGAGGTCGTTGTAGCTGATGAAGCTGATACGGCGCTTGTCCTGCGACTTGGACGGCGAGAGGTGCGAGGGGAGTGGGGTGGGCGCCGACGGCGTATCGAGGTCGTCGGGCCTTGGGGTCACGACGTCCTCGTCGCCAAACGCCCAGCCGCCAGGGAGCTGGGGGCCATTGCTTATCTGGCGGAGGGGCGGCGGGCGCTGTTTTGTCGCCGTCGGGGACGAATTGGTCGAACCAAGGAGGGTTTCCACGCCTACTGGGTGGACAGGCGAGATGGGCGAGGTGGCGGCCTTGTCGTTGGCCGCGTGGACCATGGCTGCGGCCGTGGTGGCAAGAGTGAGCGGCGAGGTGACTGGAGATCCAGGTGTCTCTGGCGAGGGCGAGCGCGACGCACCGGCCGGGACGCTGGTGACGCGTGCGCGGAGAGCCGGGGACAACTGAGCACTTGGCGAGCGTGCCATTGCCGTGGTAGACGCCGAGCTGGGTGCCTCAATCTCGAGGCCATCAATGGCCTGTGGGGCAGTGAGGGCCTCGACGGCATCGTCCAGGACAGCTGGGACAGTCTGCTCGAGGTTTGACCCGTGGGGCTGGAAGATGCGGCTCGACTTGTGGTTGAGTGTTGGGTTTGAGGTGTTGAGGGTCAAGCTGGCCACAGCCGGCAGTTCGATATCACGCTCAAAGATGGCGCTGCCCGACGAGTGGATGCTGCTGGGCGACGACGGGCGCGACGACAGGTGCGCTCCATGAGACGCGATCGGGTGGTGGTGGTGGACGCTCTGGCGGATCCCAGCGCCACTCGCACTCGCTGTCCGGGGCTTGGGGGCCAGGAGAGGCGGCGGCGGCGGCGACGTAGAGTCGGTCCGCGTGGGCGACGACGCACGCGACGAGAACGGACTCCGCGCACGCTGGGGCGTCCGGCTGAACCGCGAGAGGTTCTGGTTCTCTGGTTCGCGTGGGTCGGCGCCGGGAGGAGGTGGGGGGAGATCTGGCAGGCCTGAGGGAAGGGGTGTTGGGTCAGAAACGGGGTTGCCAACAACAGAAGCCATCCAACATTCCACCATTGAGCAACAACGCAGTCAATCGCAGCCACCACCAGGGATAGGGTGAACACCGCCATCCTCGATGTGCGGTGTCCGCAGGACATGCACTGCTGCCCCATTTCGCGCTCCGCAGACCACGTCTTTTGAGTCGGTCTCGTCAAGAACGCGACGCGGTGCGGGTCTCGGATCTGGATTGCCAGTGAAACGCACGCCAAAGGTTGGGGCCGACAAGGTCACGCGCGTTGACCTCTTCGGCTCCCCACCGCTCGGCACTTCCTCTTGCGGCGCTCGGAGTGCTCCCCGAAAATGCTGTGCTCCCAACCAGTACTCACCGAGCTTGGCACCGGGGGCGATGACGGTCATGATGGTGGTGTGAGGTTGGTTTCGGTCAGGTGGCGAGGGTGTCTGTCGCCTGTCGTGGTGGGAAGTATAGGTCGACGATCAGAAGTGGTAGGCTCAGGAGAGGCGAGGATAGGGAGAGAGGGATGGGGGGATCCGAAGGTGGGGAGTGACAGAGGGCGATGATGGGGAAGCAAGTGAAGAGAGCGATGCCAGCAACTGTATCGACGTGTCTCGAGAGGTATGCGAAGTGGATGGTGTCACCGCCGCGTGGGGTTGCTGGGTGTGGGATGTGATGCGCGATGGTTACGTTAACTCTCGGTTGGGTTTGAGGGGTCTGGCGACAGTGCCCAGTCCCGGAATCAGGGCCGATGCCGTTGTTGGCCGGAACACGCACAGAAGCCTGTGATGGGGGGGGATGGGGTATGCTGCGGGATGGGAACAAGGGAACAGCGGTAACGGACACACGATGTATGGTTGCCACCAGAGAGAGGATGTGATGATGATGGCGATGGAGCAATGGGCGTATCTGAGGATGTATGGCCAGCAGTTGTAACAACCAGCCGGCGATGATGAAATGCGCACCACCCACACATTCCAGCCCCGCCCAGCCAGCCCAGCCAGCCCCAGAGCACGGCCAGATCCTTGCTTCGTTTGCTTCTGTCGCATCCCTCCGCTTCTCGCTTGTGCCATGGCCCGCCAGCCAGCCCTCACACATTGAATGGGGGGCGGATTAAGCGCCTCATTACAAAACAGGTGATTAACCAAAAGGCAAATTGGAATTGGAATGCGCCTCTTCGGTGGTCGTAAGAGGGGTGGTTCATATAAATGTTCCCACGTGGCTCAACGAACAGTGCCAGTCTCTGTCGATGGCTTGCTTGTTCCGACTTTTGATCCATCAACGCCGTCCTCAAAACGACACATTTAGACACAGCACACACACCTATACCACCTCCCTTTGGGCACAGCCAGCAACACACACCCTCCCCCCCTCCTCTCCACCATGCCCAACATCTTCTCCGGCTTCGTCACCAAGACCGGCGTCATGCGCAAGACCATCACCGTCACCGTCCACCGCAAGTTTGAGCACCCCAAGCTCCTCAAGACCATGCACCGCACCACCAAGATCCTCGTCCACGACGAGCAGGAGAGTACGTTGTTTGCCATGGTCATGGGTGGAGAGGGGGGAAAGATTATATTTATTGCCACGGCGTGCTGACACCATCCCTCCCCTCCAGCCGCTAGGATAGGCGACAGCGTCACGATCCTCCACGGCCGCGCGTTCTCCAAGCGCAAACACTACAACCTCCAGTCCATCGACCGCAGGGCCCACGTCGTTGGCCAGGCCGACGCCCCCGCCGTCGAGGCTGTCGAGACCGCGACCGCGACCCCAGCACAGCAGTAAACCCAAAGAGCGGTTGAAAGAGGAGGGGGACAGAAGGTGTTAGGTGTGTAGACTTATTGCATGGCATTGTTTCTCCGTTTTCGTGCCGCGGGAAAGAGGGAGCTCCACCCCGCGCGCGGGCGTCCTCTCGCTACTGATCTCTCCCTTTGACAATCACATGGTCACATGATGGGATGGTACTAATTACAGGTTGTTGTCATGGTACAGCTGGAAGCAAGGTGTCCGTTTCCGTCTATAAACATTCTCGGTCGCGCCCGTCTCCTTTGTACGCGCTACATGCGCGACTTGGACTGCTTCTCAAACACAAACATGACCCGTCCCGCCTGGCCACCCTCGGCAATCTTGCGCAGGTTGTGCTTCTTGCGGCTATCCGCGGAGACAGGCGTACCGGTGGTCTTGCTGCTCCCTCCGCTGCTGCGCTTGCGGCGACGGGGAAGCTCTAACGGCTCGTCGTCGTCCTCCTCCTCTTCGTCGGTGCTGTCGACGACAATGGTTGATGTCGCTTCAGTCTCAGCCTCCTCGACAGCCATGTCGATAAAGTCAAAGACCCCCTTCCTCTTCTTTGCGGGAGGCATCCCATCAGTAGGCGTCGAGGCGCCAGAGGGGCCGGTGCTGGTGCCGGTGTTCACGCCCAGGCTGGTGTCTTCTTCCTCCTTGTATGCCTCGCGCATCATATTGTACAGGAGGTTGTCGTGGACATCCCTGAACGACTGGCCATTGAATGCGTCGAGGTGGCGCCACTCCTTGAGCGCGGCAAGCTTGGCCTGCTGGGCGCGTTCCGTCTTGCGAAGCATCTTCGGGGTCTGGTGTATCAGCTGAGGCTACAGTCTCACCTTTCCGCTAGCTGCTCACTGGCTCGGGGTCAAACTGGGTTGCAGACATGAATCCGAGGTTGAGCTCTTCATCGCTCGAGTCGACTGGCGTTTGTTCGCGCGTCTCAACCTCTTCACTGTCGTCGCGGACCTTGTTGTGGCCGCCACAATCACAGGCCAGGAGGTCGTCTTGTGGTGAGCTAGATATTCACGATCATCAACTCACGAGTCTGACATCCATCGGTGTGGACGTTGATGCTGAAGATGTCGCGCAGTTCCTCGTATGAGAAAGCTCAATGTCAGCTTATTCGTGCAAGCGGCAGCTCACAATCCTTCGACGACTCTTTTCCCTTGCCCGTTCCGCCCTGGGCCATCATTTGATCCGAGAGACTCGTCTTTGTCATTTGGCGCTGCGCAGTGTCAGTGTCGTCGTCCCATTTGGGCCCGAACGCACCTGGTAGATCTTCTCGTCGATGGTGTTGGTGGTGAGCAAGCGGTAGATGAAGACCTCCTTCTTTTGGCCGTCGCTGGATGTCAGCTTTGCACAAAACAGTTAGCTCACCGATGAATGCGGGCCATAGCCTGAAGATCGGTCGAGGGATTCCTGTCTGTTAGCACCAGACATGCCACACGGGGCCTCACCAGTCGCTGTCAAACAAAACAAGGCGCCTCGCGCTGGTCATGTCAGTAAACTATGCGCAACAAGGCTACTCACCCAATGAGGTTCAGACCAACACCACCCGCCTTGGCACTGAGAAGGAAGACCATGCTATCTGAGACGGTGCGGTTGTTGAACTGGTCAACCAGGTCCTGGCGCTGCTTGGCTGGAGTACTGCCATCGAGACGCAAAAAGTTGTACCGGCGCTTGACACACAGGGCCTGGATAAGATCAAGAGTCGTGGTCCAGTTGGAAACGACAACAATCTTCTCGTCCCGCGCACGGTACACTCCCTTCATGATCGTGTCCAAGACAATCAACTTGCCTGTGGCCGTGAGCAGCGGACCAACCTATTGCACTCACCACTGATATCGATGTCAATGTCACGGGTGTCCCTGCTGACAAGAGTCAAGGCGTCTTGCCTGATGGAGGCAATGTCGTCTTCGCCAGTGGTATCGTCATCCTTCTTTCGAAGCAGCTGGATAGTTAGATGCGTACCCACAGTCAGCAACTCACAATTGGCGAGTTGGAGACCTTGCGGAGGAGATCAACTGGACAGTGTCAGCTCAATTGTTCCTGCAAGGACACTCACTAGTCGCCAGTTGGGCATTGCCCATTCCACGCCCGAGCAGAGAGCTGCCCTTGCCGCCACCAAGGATGCGGGTGAAGATGTCGAGCTGCAGCTTAGTCGGCGCGACAAACACGACGTATTCGTCTGCGAGGTTAGCCTGACCAGTCCGGGCATCTCACTCTTGGCTGGCAGGTAGGCGTCCAGTACCTCAGCCGTGCGACGAATGACAAACTCGTTGGAAAGAGTAAACAGCTGCAATGTCAGTTGTGATGTCGATGCGCCAACTCACCTCCTCCGAGCGCTCCCTGCCAAGCTCGGCGTCTGCCGAAGAACAGTTTTGCGAGCGAGCCTTCAGGATGGGCTTCTCGTATTGACGGCTAAACACTGGGTACGTTCCAAAGATGCCTGGGCATGCAAAGTCGGCCTGAAAGTGAGCAGACGGTTTCGCCAAAAGGGGCATACCATGGACCAGTACTCTCCAAGGTCATTCTGGACAGGAGTGCCACTGAGAACTATTGGGGTCAGCGATGAATGTGTTGCAGGACGTACTGATTCGACGGCTGGTGCTGAGGGCATCAAACATCTTGGTAGTCTTGTTGTCCTTGGACTTGAGGCGGTGGCCCTCGTCACAGACAATGAGGCCAATAGGCGGCTGGCACATGGCGAGCTTCTTGCTGTCATCGTCAGTTACCATTCCTGTCCTCGCAACTCACATGACCTTGCGGAGCTGAAGGAAATGTCAGCACCAGTTCACATCATGGGCCGAAGGACCTACTCTCTCATAGCCAATGATAAGAACATGGAGGCCCTTGTGGTGAGTCTGGAGTGGGTAAGCAGAAGCTACAGGCAAGTTACCCACGAAAGAGCTGATCTTGCCCGCGTCATTGTCCTCAATGGCCAGAACACCAAAGTCACGAGGGAGCCTGATGGGTCAGTAGAGTCACACGGAGAACCTACCATTTGCGGAATTCCTTCTTCCAGTTGCTGACTAGCGAGACGGGACACACTACCAGAGCACGCGAAATGCTGCAAGTCAGATACGCTATTGCTAGTGGCTTACACTGAGGACTCGTTCTGGAACGGTGATTGTTCTAAAGTGAGCTGTGATGCTGAGAGTCTGAACTCACTGCATAGCGTGTATATCAGAGCAATCGTCTGGAGGGTCTTACCGAGACCCATCTCGTCGGCGAGAATACAGCCCTGCGCGTTGGTGGGCACGAGACCCATGACACAGCGGTACATGAACTGGAGTCAGCTACACGGACTTGCACGGAAACCCACCTGAACACCCTCCTTCTGGTGCTCGCGCATCTTGTCGCTGACTATTGGGTCGATCACGACGTCGTTGATGGTCGTCTTCCTCTTTTCCGCCACGTCGTCAGGTGGGCGGACGAGGACAACGGCACCTGGAGCATTAGGGTTGTGCAGCGCACCTCCCCAGGCCACACGCTCCTTGCTGTTCTTCTCTCCAATGACAATCTTCTTCGGTGGAAGCTTGGGCTTGGCGTAGAACGAGCTGGCGGCAATTGCAGCAGTGGACGAGGAAGCTGCAGCATTCTCATCCGGCTCTGTCTTGATAACGGGGGAGGAGAAGGGGCGGCTGATTGTGGGAGGCTTGAAAGCAGTAGGCGCCTTGAACGGCTTGGCGTAGCCTACTTGTGTGCGAGCAACCTGTGGGCAATTGGGGGCGAGAGAGGGGGACGGCTCTTGCTTAACGGGCGCATTGGCGGGGTTGGCAAGGCAGCTGGTCTGGCGCCTGAACCTGACAGGTCAGCAAGGTACAGCGCAGGAAGAACGTACTCTTCATAAGAGACGGCGCGGTCGACTTCACACTCGTAACCGCCAATGCGCATCTCGGAGCCTGAGCCTGGAAGACCTCCGATGAGGGCCCCAGTAGCCATGCTGAGAGCTTAGCACAGTACACATGTCCTGGCTCACTGTTTGCCTTCCTCCGAGATCACAGTGATACGGCTGCCTTCAATCTTGAGGAATGCGTCACCGTCCCACGTTTCTGCATATTGTCAGCCAGAGTAGACTTCGTAGCACTTACTGTGCTGTTCTGTTAGCCATCACATGGCTTCCCTCGTCGTCACCCCCCCCTCCTTCCTTACGCACCTTCTTCTGCTGGGGCTTGCGCCTAGTGGTTCAGCGACAGAATGGACTATGTTAACCACTCACCACTGGACCATAAAGTAGTGCGCATCGGTAGCAGCCTGGGCGGCCTGGTACACCATCCTTCCCCCGGTTCCAGCAGCGGCATTGACGCGGCTGCGGGCAGCCGGCGAGTTGACAGCCGTAGGGCCGAGCGGGCGCCTGTTGATAGCTTGCAAGGGAGTGCCACGGCCAGCAGGCTTAAATGAGGAAGTCTGAGCCTGGGGGAGCGCCTTGGGGACGTCGAGGTCACTCTCGTCGTCACTCTCGTCGTCACACGAGTTGGCGGCAACGTCCGCCTGGGCCTCGCGCGCATCGACGGTGGCGAATATGTCGTCCAGGAGATCCTGGGTGACCTCGGACATGGTTCCAACAGCACTTGTGAGCAAGAGGTGGAGTTGGGGAGTGGGAGGGAGACGGTGGGCGATAAGAGAGGAGAAGGAAGACCAAGGTCAGTGTAGAGCTAATATTACGCGTCTGAAAGTGCAGTCGCGTCAACTTCGGTGCCGCTGGCTTTCCCACGGTCGTGCGTTTGTTGACAACGGACAGTCGTCCAGCCGTGGGCAGCGTGCTTGCCCAAACCTCAAGGTGTGTTTGCATGCATGAGAGAACATGAGTACATGGGTTCAACTATCCGGGCACTGTGCTACCACTTTCACGCATCTTTCGCCTTGAGGCTGGACAGGTTGTGTGGACAGGCTGTGTACAGGTGTCACCATCGCGCTTTTGTTCTCGTGTGCTTGCAACCTCATCTGCAGCGGCTGGACTGCTTATGAGCTGGGACGATCGAGTCCCGGCAGCTTCCAAATCAATCCCGTTTGCTCCTCTCACCCACTTGTTACTGCTATGATACATTGGTCACACTGTTGTACACTCTAGACTATTCCATCGCCCAGCGCCGTGACATCAAGAGTCGAACACTTCCACTCTTGGAGCCTGGGCCATTTCCTCGGCCTCCCTTCGCAACCTTGCACTTGCAACCGTGCGCGACCTCACTTGCGGAACAGACGCTTGCGGGGACGCAGACCTGTCGAGCTGCTCGTGCTCCCACCAGCTGAACCCGACGGGGCAGCCATCATGCCGCGCTCCTGCAGCTTGAGACGGGCCAGCTGCAGATGGTACGGTTTCAGCGGACCGGTGGGGTCGGCAGTCTGTGGCTGCAGCTCGCGGGCTGGGGAGGCAATGCCGATACCGTCACAGAAGGTCAAGCAGTTGAGGTGGACAGTGGGTTCAGGACGAGGAGGGAAAGCGAATGGTCAGCTACACATAGTCAACGCTCAGCTAAACGTACCGGTCTCGACAACATCCGCTACAAACACCTTGACCATACCGGCCACGACCGAGGTGAGGTTGTTAGGAACGTTTTGATCGTAGAGGTCCTTGTTGAGCTGGCCGTTAGCCCAGCCCCATGACTCCAGAGCCGTCCATCCACGGCACGGCCCACATCCGTTACTCCGCTCTTCCGCAAACACTACACACCTTCTTCACGACCTGCCTGGGAATGACGACGGAGCGGAAGGCATCAAAGCGTTTTCCCTGTTCCTCATCCAGGACACCGCGCAGCAACCTAGACGCCAACAGTCAGCAGCTGCTTCCCACGATCATCCCACCAGCCCACACGGCGCAGGGCCAACGTACAGAGTCTGCTCTCGTCTCCTCTGTGCCTCGCGCTTGACGTGTCGCGCGACAGCTGCGCCCGTCTGTGCTGCTTCCTCTTCATCGTCGTCCTCGCCACCCTCGGCTGCGCGGGTCTCGCCATCGCCGTCCGCGGCCACCAAGTCTTCGGCGGAGATTTCTAGCTCGGCGTCGCTGTCGTCGTCGTCCTTTTTGGGCTTTGCACGTTTCCTCTTCTTGTCCTTGGCGGGCGAGTTGGCTGCTGATGCCGCTGCACTGGGAAGGGCGAGACCAGCCATTGTAGAAAAAGGTGGTGTGGGATGGAAAGATGGATGGCACCGAACGTGAGTTGGGATCGAGACGCGAGTTGATGGTCACTTGGTGGCAACGGGACCAAATATGGCCAACACGCCGGGACTCAGCCCATCTTGACATGCACTTGTCTTCTTCACTTCACATTGCTTCACTCCCTCTAACAAGTTTTACTAAACCCTTTTGCTAAACCTAGTCTTCGTCGTCCATTATATACAGCGCCTCAATATCAGAGAGAATGCGTAAGAAGTCCCCTGAACGTTGGTCTTAGCTCATACAAGGGGAAACACCGTTGGCAGCCACTCACAGAGGTATCCTTGGGCCCTTGCAGTGCGGTCGTTTGTCCTGGCCATCTCGGGTGTGGCAGGAGCCGACGGGGACTGGAGAGCATCTAGCAAGGTCGATGCTACGAAGCGGACTTTGGCGACAAGCGCAACGCTGTTCACGGCTGCGAGGTTAGGACATGCAGCAGATATGGAAACCTCACCAATGACCTCCATGCGGATTTTGGAGAGGACCATGAGGAGGTCACTTGCGACCTGGTCCTTCTCCTCATCTGTGAATCCCGGCCTGCGGGTTGCTGAGAGGCGGCGGTGGGAGGGAACACCAGGGGGCTCGTTATCAGAGATACCCGTCTGCAAAGAAAGCTCCTTGTCCTGGAGCAAACCGAGCTCCTCGCGGTACTGCAACACAATGTAGCGCACCATTTGCTGGGAGATTAGCTGCCATGGATGGTGGAGGAAGAACTCACCTGAGTGACATAAATGTTTGCCTGCTGCACAAGGAACCCATCCTTGACGACTGCACGATTCGCCTTGGTAGGGTCCAGGAGCAGTTGGCGGATATCCGACGACACATGAGCATCCCACTGGGCGTCAATCATCTCCATGCGTGAGCCGGGTGTTCCGCCCATGTCAAGCTTGAGGGCTTCGGGGCAGTTGTCCATGAGCGTCATGACCTGGTGGAAGATCTGATCAATCTCGTTGATGCGCATTTGCAGCATTAGCCCGGATGGAGGCTTGGAGCGATCTGTTCGCCTCTTGTCAAGCACTTGACCGAGAACTGACCAGTCAGATACACATCAAGACGACTTACATCTGCACTCACGCCTGAAGAGCTTGCTGATGTAGTAGAAGCCGGCCAACACGGGGGTGTGGCCATCGGGCTGCTCTAAGTATGTGTCCTCAGTGAGGAATTCGTCGTCACTGAGGCGTCAGTTTAAGCACCTGAAGATCGCGTCAAAACTGACAGAGGTGATGGCAGAGTCACGTCTGCACAGTCGGTCTCGTGGAACAGCACCGGCGATCCCTCGATAGATGCCAAGGTCTTGTCACCACCATACTGGAGCCAAAAGATACGCTTGCGCAGCTCGCGCTCGATGGGGTTGAGGTTCTGGTAACTCGCCTCCTCGTGCAGGCGTAAGCGGATCGAGAGCAGGTAGTTTGCGCCCCAGATGGTGTCGGTGGCGAACGGGTTACCCATGTGTTGGGCAGCAATGGCGTGGAAGTAAAGGATAATGTTGCGTGAGACGCTCAAGTGGTGGAAATCGCGGTTGAGGAATGTCTTGACGAGCTCGTTGGCACGTGAGAAGAGAATCTTGATCTCGCGTTTGGGGAGTGACACGAAGGAGCGGGGCATCTGGACAAGTGTCGCCTCGATAACGGCAAACACGAGCGCCACCCATTCATCTTGGCCTGGCCTCTCCTCGCGATGCGAGTGGAGGTCGTGCATAAAGCTCGGCTTGTGCAGGCATGGGATGAGGCAGTAGACATAGTCGAAGTAGAGGTCGATAATGTGAAGCAGGAGAGGACGAGGAAGAACGGCCTCGATCGGGTTGCCGGATATGTTGCTGAGCACCGGCGAGTACGGCGAGTGCCCCTTGTCGTATGGTGACGAGGGCGAGATACCAAACGACAAGCCCGTCCGCTCGCTGGGAGGCGAGCCAGTCCTGTACGAGGGCGATAAACTGAAGCCATTACCCTGCGCAAGCTGCTCGCTGCGCTGCTTGTGGTGGGCTGTCGTACGCAGCAGCGTCGGTCCCCAGTCATCCACCGCATCGGTGCCGCGCGGGATAGGAGACCCGCCAATACCTTGCGGATTGAGTGCTGAACGGTGAAGTGCGTTTTGCTTGGCAAGCGTGCCCGGGCCAGGACCAGAGTGGTCCTCGCGGTATTCATCCATGCTCTTCCGGGCAACATGTCCGCCATGCGCATACTCTGCACCGACGTCCACTCCTCCTCCTCCTCCCGCGGGCATGTCTCCTTGACTGTTGAGCGCCTGCATGCGCTTCAGGTACCTGTTGACATTATGGTCAGTCACCCGTCTGTTACTCGCGCAAATGTCACGATGGGATGAGTCACGGCTCACATGTTTGGCGGACCGCGCTTCTTCGGCTTGTATTCGAATGTACCTGCACACATGTCAGCGCCTGCGTTGTGCTGCTTTGCTTCCTATCCGTTCACGGAACTTACAGGCCATGCCTAGCTGTCGGCAATGCGTGCAGACATCCTTTGTGGGGAGGTCGCTAGCCGCTGTGCCCGGGGGCGGGCGATCACACTTGACCCTGCGGGTCGTCAGCCTCGAGTTCCGCCAGGTGAATAACGCTGTGGGGCAACTCACTTGCGCGCGCGGCAGGCTTGGAGACAAGAGTCAGCAATCACCATCTCTTCACGATCTGCGAGTCCATCGACAGCCGCCACGTACCATCGCATGACTCTGTGATGTTGTCAGCGCAATGTCCTCTTGACAATGTTAAGCGAGCAAAAGAGCCCCGCTGAACGGTCCGGTTCCTGACATCCCATCCACCTCCTTCCGAGCTCTCTGCTCCCATCGACGCTCGAATCCTAGGGTGCCATCACTCACGCGTTTGTCTCGTCTTCTTGGGCTTCCTTCCCTCGCCATCACTGCCCTCGGCACTGCCCTTGGTGCGCTTCTTGCCGCCAGTGTTGCCCGGGGTGTTGTTGCCCGGGTCGCCGGCCTCACCGGCTCGCTCACTTCCGACGGCGGGGCTCTCAGCTCCCGCTCCTGCGCTGCCGAGAGTCGTGTAGGTCGTGTAGGGCGCGTGGTCGCCCGGGTAGAGTGGTATGGGACCGTCTCCGAGCGCGTCGTCGACTGGGGCCATTGTGGATGGTGCTGCCGAACGATTGAGCGATTGCACAAGATCCGGAGAATGGCCGTGTGGGTCAGTTCCAATGAGGATTCCAGTATGGTGGCCTAATCCGTCCGGATTTGCTTCCGCTCTCGTCCAAAACAAGACGAGTGAAGTGCCCGGCCGCGACTTTGGCCATGCTACGCGGGCGATGTTCTAAAAGCATAGGCCAACGAGACTGCTGGTTGGCCATGCATGTGGCCATGTGGCCTGTCGGGGCCACGGCCGTCCACCCGTAGCCCGTGGTCACGAAAACAGCTCATACACACCTCCTCGCGCTCCTGCAACAAGCACCGGGCAACCTCTCGGCTAAGTGAACAGTCCATAGGAATTGTGTTTGTGGTCTCATAAGTATGCTAGATACCTCCAATGCAAAATACTCATCTATCTCCTCATCCTCATCCTCATCCTCATCCTCATCCTCATCCTCATCCTCATGCTTTAAAAGGTAGCCGACTTGTTGCCGGCCTTGGGGCCGCTGGGATCAAGCGGAGCACGACCAAACGACGCCGAGTCAAACTCTGTAGAGACGTGTAAGCAATGTTACAAGTCGATGGAAGGAGAATGCACTTACCCGACTTCTTCTTCTTCTTGTCAGCCTTTGGCTTAGGCTTGGGCTTCGCCTTGGCCGTCGCAGAGTTCTTGGTCGCCGCCTTGGGGTCGTCGAGGAAGTTGGGCTCGGCCGCGTAGTCAAACGTGGGAATATCCTCGCGCTTGATCTTCTCCTTCTTCTTCTTGGGCGCAGCCTTGTCAGCCACAGAGACAGGCGTTGTCGCTTCCGAAGGCACCACAGACGAGGACGCCGATGCCGCCGCCGAAGCAGTCTGGGGCTTTCTGCCCTTCTTCTTCTTCACCGACACGATGCCCTCTGCATCGACCAGAGCCGCGTTGGAAAGGGCCGTAGCCGACTGCGCAGCAGCCAACAAGCTCGAGCTCGCACCGGCGGTCGCACCGATGGCATCCGTCTCGCCAGTCGTGTTGAATGTATTTGTGGCACTGGTGGCCTCGGAGGACGCATTTTTCCGTTTTGCCGCCGGAACAAAGGCAACCGACTCCGGCTCGGCTACTGCCGGCTGCGCAGAGCTGGGCTCCACGGGGGACACCTCCACCTTCGACAACATGGTTGTGGCGAAGCTGCGCATAACGTCGTCAAACCCAGGCGACACATCGCGCACTGCACGTGCAGGGGACGTAGAACGCTTCAGAGTCTTGCCAAACAACGAGGACGAAACAGCAGCCTTTGATGGTTCGGGCGAGGAAGTCGCGCCGGTCTTCTTGGTGCCTCCAAGAGCCGAGCCAAAGAGAGACGACTGAACCGACTTGACGGGCTTGCTGGCGCTAGCGACCGACGCTCTACCATTAACAAAGTCAGCCCAGATGTCCTCAGTGACGACCTGGTCACTGGTAATGATGGTGGATGATCTCGCACGCTTGCTGGGGGGAGCGCTCAAAGTTGAGGACGAAGCAACCGCCGCCGAAGGTTTGCCGTCAACACGAGACGCTAGAGACGACGACTTGGGGTGGGTCTTGGCAGAGTTCCTGATCACCTCAAGAACCTCGTCCGCGCGCTCGAGGGCAACACTCGAGGATCCGTTAGCGAGCGAGCGGCTCAGGATGCCAATGCTTGTGGGGCGGAGGTGAGCCAGGGACAGCACCAGGTGGTTGGGGACAATGTAGTGAGGGCTCTCGTCTACCTCACGCGCCAGATTTTCACGCCACGAAACCAGCGCCTTGAACGCCGAACCGACAGGGGTATCCAATGTTTTCGGTCCGAGCTTCCTGATCATGCCAGCCCAACCCTGCACGCCGTTACCAGTCTGGGAGTCAGGTGACTCGTTGGCCCAGAGCTTGAGTGCCGTCTCAGCGGACCTGGACAGCACCTCACGCATCGCGGCCTGAGGGTTAGGCTTGGGGGTCGAATTCTCGTCGGCGTCGGCCGCAGGCGATGGCGTTCGAGACGAGCGGGTCAGGAGAGCGTTGCGCAGCTTGTCGTAAATGTACAACAAGAAGTGGGTGTCGGAGCGCGCATAGTCCATGAGCTCCTTGGGGAGGGGACGGATACGCCAGTCGGCCTTCTGGTACTGCTTGTCGGCTGCAAAGTCGCAATACAGTTGAAGCAGAGACGCAAGCGAGAACTGGGGGAAATCCAGGACTTTGCTGGCATGGTACGTGTCAAAGAGGTTGACAATGTAAATGTCAAAGTCGCGCTGCAGCCAGACAATGTCCGAGTCGGCACCGTGGAAGACCTTGAGGATTGAGGGGTCGGCCAAGACACCACCGAGCTTGTGGTCACGGAGCTCGGCCCTCAGGGCCAATGTGTCGACAACCCAGTCCGACTTGCGAGTGGAGATCTGCATGAGGCAGGTGATGCCGTTGTAAGTGCGCATCGAGTGGTGCTCCAGATCAACCGCAATCTCTTTGGAGCGCAGAAGCTCCTCGGTGAGAGCGGCGAGACGCTCGGGAGTGTCGACAAACTCAAAGGGAGTATCCTCGAACGATGCGGGGTGGACAGCGGGCGAGATTTCAAACATCGAGGTAGGGTACGGCAGGTGGACTGTCTCGTAGTAGTAGGGGTGGTACAGTGCGCGCTCACGGCGCTCTCGCTTGGCATCCGTGTCCGTCGCGGGGTCGACGGAGAAGGGTGTGTCTTCGTCCGAGCCAACAACATAGCCCAGTGGCACCATGGCGTGAGCCTTCTCCGTGAGCTGGGGACGCCATATAGCACTGTTATCCACACGGTCACGGAACAGATCCTGGGGTTTAGGGATCCTGTTGTCGTTCTGCATGTGCGGGGCCAGACCGGGCAGGTTCAGTGCCCGAGGTCCCGGGAGCTTCTTGCCGGCCGCCGCGGCAAGAGCCTTGTTGACTTCGATCTGCGATTTCTTGTTCTCTCCCCTTGCTTCGTCGAGGGCAGCGTCGGCATCTTCGAGAACACGGTCAACGACCTGGATAACACCGGAGCGGAAGCTGTCCACGACCGCGTCCTCGTCATCGAGCTTGCGACGAAGAAGGACATGTTTGCCCTTTTGGGGGTTGGCCTCGACAGCGAGCGAGGCAAGACGGTCGGTGAGTAGAAGGAGACGGTTGGACGTCTCGTCCAGGTCTTTTGCAAACCTGCGGTCGAGAGTACGGTGGAAGCTGATATCGCTCTTGTCGGGAAAGAGGTTGGCGGCGGTAGTGGCCATCTCAAGTGCCTTGGTGAGGTTGTCCACAAGAGTCGCAACCTCACGGGATGCAGAAGCACCGGCAGTGACCTCAGATGGGGAGCGTGACATCCTGTATGGCCCGTGAAACTTGTAAATCGATTTGAGGGGTGTTGTGTGACGGATCTGGGACAGCCGGGTCTGGGGTTCAAGTTGTAAGTCGCGGAGGCCGAACTTGGAGGGGCGGTTGAACCAGTCGGGGACGTTAAACTTGCGGGGGTCGAAGGAAGGACTGTCGACACGCTTGCTGCCAGGATGGTTGATAGTGTCGCGGAGGCCGAACGAGGCTTTCCGGGGGGGGTTGACCTTGTCGGGGCCGTTGGACTGTCGGTAATCCTTTGACGGGTAACCTGAGATGGAATAGAAACGAGGGTTGTGGATGAAAGGCGAGGGGGAGAAGCAGCTGGTATGGCTCAAGAACAAGTTGAGCGTTTGCACGAGCCTCAAGTGTCCGCGAGAGCAGGTGGCCAGGAGGGACGTGGTGAATCGACGTGCAGGCACGGACTCGATGCTGTGTGTGTGTGGTGGTGGAGAGGGAAGGGGATGGCTATACTCTGCTGAGAAGAGCTGGCTTTGCCTGCGTCTATAAGATGCCGAGGTCGACGAGTGTACGTGTGCGTTAAGATGTCGACCAGCGACGGGGGCTGGGTATGCGGTTGGTTGCGCTGGTTGACCTAGACGAAGAGGATGACAGTGTATATGGGTTGTTGTGAGGATTTCCTGCGCACCAAAGATTTCCGGCACCAACATGCACAGGCGGGGGGACGCATGCAGATGCCGCCTTCTATCATTACGTAATCAGTAAATGTCCCATCCTCTGGAAAATCCCAATGTCGTCTGCCAAGGGTGGTGTGGATTGGATTGCCTTTGCTTTCCGCAACACCCCTTCTCCTACTACACACTCCCGAGGCCTCCAAGCATGTCCTTCTCGCTCACCGGCTCGGGCCCCTCGAGGCAAGGTTAGTCTTTCATTGGCCCCCACCTACGGGGGTACTTTTGGCCCTCTTGGCTGCTGCTCGACCGACGACTTTGCTGACCATTGTTTCCTTTCCAGTCCTCCGTCGCGGCCTCGCTACTGCCGCTGCCCCTGCGTCCACCTCGCAGCTCACCGCTTCGCTCCTTCTCTCCCGCGCGCCCCTCCTCACACGCACCCCTTCCCCTCTGGCCCAGGCCTACTACGACCGCTCGCTCAAGATCCGCCATGCTCTGAGCAACCCTACCGCGACCAACTTTTACTTCAAGCCCGGATCGCTTCCTCTCCGTCGTTTCCAGGAGGCCGAGTACGCCAAGGAGGTCGAATACTACGGTGCCAAGCTGGTGGGCAAGGCGCCCGACGTCGGCGATGTGCAGCCTGAGCCCGAGCTTGTGGAGACGGCGCGCGACCACTGGGCCAAGGCCGACGAGGCACGCGGCGAGACCTCGCTCGAGAGGTGTCCCGAGGAGGAGCTCTTCTGCCTCATCGAGAGCAAGGGCAAGTGGACCTTCCCCTCCACCGAGGTCAAGGCCGGCGAGGGTCTCGACGAGGCCGTTACCGCACGCATCACTGGCGTTGACGGCGCGCTCCAGGGCAAGTCCCTCGACACTTGGCTTGTCACTCGCAAGCCCATCGGTGTCGTCCGTGACGGCGAGAAGAGGGTAGGTTGGACAATACACCACCTTTGACCTACTCCTAACCCAGCAGAACTTCTTCCTCCGTTCGCACATTCTCGGTGGCGAGCCCAAGCTCTCGAAGGAGGCCGGCTGGTCGAAGCACGCGTGGCTGACTGCCGAGGAGGTTGAGGCCCGTCTGCGGAAACAGGGCGACGACAAGGTCTGGGACAACGTCAAGGCCATGTTCGGTGTTAGTGTCGAGGAGGAGCTCTAAGTGGCTGTGTTGGCTAGAGTGACAGTGCACGACAGTTGCACGAGGCGAGGCGCCGGAGCACCCCGGCGCCTGGAAGGACCGACAGAGATCGGACCTAGTGACCTTTACCTCTGCGAGAGGGAGGCTCAATGCTCGGATAGAGGCGGCATATGCATATCTCACCCCTGGTACAAGAGGAATCGGTTACATTGGATATAGAAGGCGTCTAGAGTCTAGTGAATGTGGTAGTGAATGTGGTACGTGGGTTGCGGCGCGGTGTCAGCCTCTGAGTGTTGGAACATTGGGCGGCAGTGTTGAGGACCAGGAATATGTGGACGTGCGATGGGGTCGGATGCGAGGGTCGGCTGGCTAGATCGATGGCCTGCTGGTGGTTTGATGAGGGGATAGGCCGTGTAGAGTGCTGGCTCCCATGGACAATAGCGCTCGTCCAGCGAACGTGCTCGTCCAGCGAAGGTACTGGTCCAGCGAGGCGCAGCAATGCAAAAGGGCTTGGGGCGGTGGTGCGCAGCGATGGTCACCTGTCCGGCTTGTACTCGACCTCAAAGTAGTTGGCAGTACGGTAGAAGAAGACGTGCAGTGGGCGAGCGTGTCCACGTACTTCTGGGACAGTCTCGGTCACCACGAGGAATATGGTGGCCATGAGGAAGAAGACGATAATCGCAACGGCGCCGGCACGACGCACGGCCACAGCTAGGCTGTCTGTCGAGCCATGTTCGCTGTGCTCTGGTAGCGGAAAGAGCTCATCCGCGAGCGGCCTTGGTGCCATGGGGGGGTGCGTGGGGGTGGGACAAGAGGAAGAAGGGGGTGGGGAGAGGGGTACGCTTCAATGACGCGTTGAACCGGGATCACGTTGCTGTTGGCCAGTCAAGGAGACGCGGTGTCGCTGTATCAAGCAGCGAAGGGGTAGCGGCGGAATGGATATCGTGTCTCAGCCAGAGCGATGAGGACGTTCTATACCTCGCCTGTGATATGTGACTGTGTGTTGTGAGTGTTGGGTACTGTTGATACAGCGATTGTTGTCGTTTGAACGTACGCGGTGCCAGCAACCCCACAATAACTGTGCTCCGAAACACGTGTGCCGGCGCGCAGCAAAAACAATTTCGGACCGCGATTCCAACTTTGTCGCATCTCATCTCTGCTCCTCATTCCATGGCCCCAATGATCTCGACGCTGCGGCGCGCAGCCATCGTCCTTCCACTCGCGTGGACAGGCGCATGGCTAGGATACTATGGTGAGTGTGCATGCGCTGGGCATACCGAGCAGGTGTGCATTTTGAGCCGCGTTGGCCGGTGGCTTCTCGCCACCCAATGTTTGCAGAAAAAAGCCCGGTGTTGTGGAGCTGTGGAGGGTTGTTGGGCTGACACTCAGCTTACACCGATACTCTCCGTCGCTCGCACATTCGCCAAAGGAACGCCGAGCTGAAGAACACGCTTGCGGACCTCCCTGTCGACGCTGCCGCGCCGGCTACGCAGGAAGAGAAGGATGCCATCAAGCGTCGGTGAGTCACGTTTGTTCCGACTGCTCCGATACAAGATTTCTGACCCCGACTCTCTCCAGCTTCTCGAGCCTCAAGTTTGCCGGTCGCTTCTGGAACCCCTACGTCGAGTGGCGCGAACAGGGCGCTTGGGTGCGTTGTTGTGCACTGCGTAGCATGAGGCTGACAGAGACAGGAATGGGCCTGGTGGAAGCTCATTCTCAGCACCATCAACGGCAAGCTCTTCTTCTTTGACGGGTGAGTAACCCCGGTGGCGCCTCCGAAGCATGCTCTTCCCCAAGGCCTTCCCCCAGCTGACGTGCTCTAGCGACCTCCCGGCCGAGCGTCCTATTCCAGACCTGCCCATGGCCCGCCCCGACTTTAAGCTTCTCTACGGCTCGCACACGGACGATACCATCACAAAGTACGAGCATGTGGACCCTCACCCCGAGACCCACACCCAGCGTACTCTGAACCACCACCACGAACACAACGGAACGGCCAACGGTACTGCGAACGGTGCTGCAAACGGCGCTGCGAACGGCGCTGCGAACGGCGCTGCGAACGGCGATGCTCACCAAGAGATCATCCGTACCCGCACGCAGGTTGGCGGTGCCGACATTGATATTACGGACAAGCTTACTCTCACCTGGCTGGGCCAGTCGACGTCGTACGTGACGCTCGACAAGCTCGCTATTCTCACCGACCCCGCACTCCAAGACCGCACTATTCCCTCGGCCCTCGCTCCCCAGCGTATCCGTCCTGCTCCCTGCACCCTTGACGAGCTCAAGCGCGTCGACCTTGTCCTCGTTTCGCACAAGTGGGTGTCAAACGTTTGAAGTTGACTGACCCCGCAGCCACTATGACCACCTCGACCCCGAGGCCGTCAAGGAGCTGGGCGACAGCTGCGAGTGGGTGGTCCCCACTGGCGCTGGCGGCTTATTGCGCGAGCTTGGCGTGACCCGCGTCACTGAGCTTGAGTGAGTTGGCATTTCGTTTCTGAAAACTGACAAAACAGCTGGTGGCAGGAGACCAAGCACGTCCTCTCGCGTCCTGGCCAGGAGGACAGGTCGTACACCATCACCGCTGTTCCCGTGATGCACTGGTCTGCCCGTTCGCCGGCCGACACCAACGCCACCCTCTGGTCGGCCTTCCACGTCAAGTCGGACGGCGACAAGCCCCGTTCCTTCATCCACCTCGGCGACACTGGCTACTCGCCGACCCTTTACGAGGCTGTCGGACGCGTCTTTGGGCCCGTCGACCTCGCCGCTATCCCTATTGGAAGCTACGAGCCCCGCTGGCACATGCACCTCCAGCACACGGACCCCGAGGGTGCCGTGCGCATGGCACTCGACCTGGGCGCCAAGAAGAGCGTCGGCGTCCACTGGGGCACGTGGATCATGTCGGATGAGAGCTACAACCTGCCGCCTGTGGACCTGGCCAAGGCGCGCCAAAAGCTCGGCATGAAAGACGACGCATTCGTCACTCTGCCTGTTGGCGAGACGATGGTTGTCGAGTAGACAGGAGAGATGATGAGCCAGGCAGGGCCAGTAGATCTGTAGAGGGTATAGCGCTGTATATGTCTCGCTTAGATGCACGGGTTAGCAGTAGATGTGAATGGGCCGTTGCGCGTGGGATGGAAGCTGGGGGCAGCACATCTTGGAGATCAGGAGTGTGATGCAATACATGTTGTCTCTTTCGAGTTTGATTTAACCGAGGTGCGACTTCTGCTCCTCGATCTGCTTGACAATGTAGAGCGAGGTGTCCAAGAAACGGTCGACGCAGTTCTCGAGGCAGGAAGCCTCCGACCTTGGGATATTGTCAGCTGAGAACATGGACTTCAAAGGCAGGTGACAACACACTTGGAGAACTTGGAAGAGATGCTGCCGGTGATGCAACTGGAGCATTGTCAGCGTGGTTCACTGTGAGGTGTGCGGTCCGCAGGGGGTTGTCCGGGTAAAGCCCCGCACACTGGTACACTGGTATCCGTCCCCCTGCCTGGCCAATCTGTGTCTCACGTGTTCCAGCCTGTCTGTCAGCACAAATCACAGCACAGAAACACGACCAACGTACACTTGTCAGTGAGCTCGTGGACCGAAGACTGGATCTTGGCCTTGGCCTGCCTGTAACCCGTGTCAGCAATTGCCTTTCCTCTGCGCGTCTCCAAAAGACCGCATCGGATGTCTATCGTGACAAAACGTACTCCTGCTCAATGAAGTCGGAGAGCTCCTGCTGTAGAGGACGTCAGTTGCCGATACGCGCCACAACAACCCCAAAAAGGCCGAGGCGGAGGTCACGCTTGCCCCCGCGTCCGCGCCGTTCGTTGACGGCGCAGAGAAGAGAATAGCAGACGTGAACCTCTTTGGATTACGCACGCGAGTAGCCTCGTCGAACTGGGGCATCTGCTGGGTGGCCTGTGACATTTTGTGATGGGTTGTGGTGTGTGTATTTGTTCGAGGTAATTGGGCGGCAAAAGGCCCACGAAGCGGCTCTCTCCCAACTTTCAGATCCGACGGCCCATTACACGTGTGTATATTTACTGCATCCCACGTGCGTCGAGTGATACCGCCACCCAGCCCGCCCACTGCGCCTGATCTATTCATGACGCCTCTGTTGGTCTCTCCTCTCTAGCGGTCCTTTGCTCATCAGCTCTCGACCTCTCACAGAACTCCTCCCCCCGTGCGCGCCATGAGCGACTACGCCCACGTCCCGGGCGGGAAGCTCAAGCTCAAGGGCGACGATGGCAAGTGGGTTCACCGTGATACACTCGCGCGTCTTGTCCATGGCGCTAACTGCTGTCCTCTCTTTCCAGGAAGAAGAAGAAGAAGAGGTCACACACGACTGACGACCGCGCACGCCGCGAGGCCGACGTCGAGGTCGCCGAGAAGCGCGCCGTGGCTGTGAGCTCCAGCTCGGGGTCCAAGGACAAGGAGCGCGAGCGCGACCGTGAACGTGACTACGACTCGCGGGAGCGCGAGGACGAGTCTGCCGCTTCCCCGGCGCCCACTGGCCGCCGCATGACCGATGCGGAGCGGAGGTTTGAGGAGACGCAGCGTAAGAGGGTGAGTGCGGATGCGTATGCCCAGCTGTGTGCTCTGTCGTGCCACAGCTGACCGTCCCAGCGCGAGGAGAGGGCCAGGAAGGGCGCACACCTCACGCACAAGGAGCGCGTCAACGCGTTCAACAAGAAGCTCGACTCGCTTTCCGAGCACCACGACATGCCTCGTGTAAGTTTGTCTAGTTGCATATACAGCGTGCGCTCGCTAACTGGTGACAGATTGGTCCTGGCTAAGCCTTGCGGCACATCGGGTGCCCGGTGTGCCGCTATGCAAATATTGTGTTCCGAGGCTTGTCTGTCGAGCAGGCGCAACGACGACAGTCACTTATTACATTGTATACTTATTTGCAACACTAACACTAGCCTAAGCAGATACCCACAAAGACGCCCGCAAACGGGCCCAAGTGCTGGATGCGCGGGATCGCAGCCACCGTCTCAAACAGGTTGCCGGGCTCGACCGACGCTGCGCACGCCGCATTCTCCTGGCCTGAACACGACACGTACTGGCCCGTCGCGTTGGAGATCCACACCTCCCCACCACTGTGGCGGAACCCCCAGTCTCGCGGCGGGAGGTGCGGCGTCGCGTCGTCCTTGTTGACAATGTACTGGGCCTGAGGAGGCGGGAGGACGCTGTCCATCCAGTTGGCCCAGGCGGGGTTGCCCGAGCGGGGAGGGACGAACGAGCGGACGGCGACTGCCGTGGTGGTGTTGAGCCGCTCGGCGAGGTCGAGGCCGACGAGCTGCGCGAGGGCACCGCCAAAGCTGTGGCCCACGACGAGGACGGGGACAACGACCCTGCCGTCCACGTCCGAGGCAGTGGCGTTGCCTGGGTACGTGGCGTTGACCGGGGCGGAAGTGTCGTTGGCTGCTGGGTACGTCGTGTTGACCGCGACAGCAGTCTCGTTGGGTGCAGTGGCGCGGGCTGCCACGTTGGCAGCGGCGGCGTTGGCAGCGACATTGGCGGCGACGCGACGCACAGCTGCGCGGACCGCCCGAGTGAGCGGCCGACGCACGCGCGTAAAGGCAGTGTACACTCCGCGATGGACGAGCACGTCTTCCGGTGTGTTCCTGCCAATGTTCTCGGGGACGACTGGCGTAAAGTCAAACGCGAGGGCGACACTGGCCGGCGAATCCGGGTTCATGCCCGTGATGGCGATGACGACTTGCTCGCCGTTGTCGGCGACGTACCCTGCGAGTCTGGTTAGGAAACGTCGCGTGTCGGGGAATGGGACACTTACACCATGGAGTGTCGGCATTGTCACCGCCCGTGACGACCGTGTGGTTGCCGAGCGCAGCACACGTGATGCACGACCATGTGCTCACACGCTCGGGGCCGCAGTATGCCGCACTGGATCACGTTGAGCAAACTACTTTTTTCGTCCAGGACTCACGCAGCGTAGGTGGCAGGAACAGCCCAGCCTCGGACCTCGTCAGCCGTGAGGTTGGTCACTGGCCCCGTTGTTGTTCCCGTCGCCGACGAGTTGTCGGCCGCCGTCCCCCAGTCGCTGGCGTTGTAGCCCGTATAGCCTACCGTGGACGTGCTGTTCCCGGTCGTGGCATCGTCATCGTCGTCATCGTCATCATCGTCTTCCTCGTCTTCCTCGTCATCGTCTTCCTCCCCCTCGTCATCCGAGTCGGAGGCGGCGCCATCAGAGTCCACGTCAGTCCCGTTGGCCGGGTTCGGGGTCGTGACCGCGGCGGTGTTGTCGGTGCTGTCGCTCAGAGCGCGCGTCCAGTTGGGAGGATACACCAGGTCAAAGTTACGGCCCACCGCGGCCCTCCGGGGCCCAACGCGGCCAAACGCGAGCGAAACCGTCGACTGCGAGACGAGGACGAGGAGCAAGGGAGTGAGGCAGCGCATTGGGGTTGCAGTGCAGTTGAGCGTGGGGTTGAGACTTGACTTGGCCGAGGTACCCCCCCTCGCCAAAGCATTATATGGGACAACAGCACCAGCGTCCCAGATCCAAGACATGGCCTGTGCCCAACGTCATGTCGGTGCCAAGCACAAACACAAAGCAGATCGTGCTGTTCGTCCGAGGCCGATCTTGTGGGGCTGCGGGTATCCGAGCCCGATCTGAGGCGTTTCCATCGTGTCAATCAAGGCGTGTTTCACATGTGCATATGCCCATTTTTTAACGGAGATCTAAATATCGGAGCACCATGTGTTGCCCCGCAGAGGTCAGATCGGAAAAGAAAGCTAGAAAAACGTGGTGGTGGTAGCCCAAACGAGAGGATATGGGGGGCGATACAAACTAGAACTGGCGGGGGTGGTCGTAACAACGAAAACAACTCTAGAGCGCGACGGAGCACGCCCAGGAGAGGGTGGCGGCGGCGGTGCGCGCGCGCACGCACGCACGCTTTCGGATCGGCTTAGAAGAGGCTGGAGACGGTCAGGCCGGCAGCGAGGAGGGCACCAGACATGGCGAGGCCCGAAGCACCGCTCTTGCCCGAACCCGAGCCCGAGCCCGAGCTCGTGCCAGTGTCGCTGCCGCTGCCACTGCCATTGCCCGACGACGATGAGCCAGACGACGAGCTGGTCGACCCGGTCGGGATAGGGGCGGTAGCCGCCGACTGGTAGTCTGTGAACGTGTTGTTTGCCGAGTCGGCGAGGGTCGCAAAGCCGATAGCAGGGGGGTCCATGCGGAAGACCGAGTAGACGTTCTTCATGAAAGTGTCGCCGAAGATCCACGAAATCTGGGACTGGGCCATGCCTTGGAAGGCGCCGACGCAGTAGTAGTTGTACGGGAGCCTGCTGGTGCTGAGCTCCGAGGCCGGAATGACAGTGGCAATCATGTCGTACTCGTAGAGCCTGTATGCCACGCCGCCAAAGGTAATGTCGACCTGGATCGAAGGGAGGGTGTCGCAAGGGAAGACGTACACGCCCTGCTGGACCTGCTCGGAGCCGCGGATGGCAGCGTAAATGTTGTCAACGTTGCTGTACGGGCCCATGATGAGTGACGTGCCAGAGTCGATGAGTGCCCAGTTTGTCGCCGAGCTCGACGAAAAGATGCCACCGGAGCTGCTCGACACGTCGATGTTCTGGCCGTTGATGCTGATGCCGTCAAGAGGGATACGCCAGTAGTCCTTGGCAGTGGCGGGGAACGAGACCCAGTTGATGCTGCCAGTGTACTTGGACGTGTCGGTGCCACCGAGGGTGATCTGGCCACCCGGGTGGATGTAGCTGGTGGTGTCGGTCCAGTTGAGAGTCGAGGTCTCGCGGCCGAGGTACATGCTGAACATGGGGCTGTCCCAGGTGGACGATACGGCCTGCCAGAAGGGCAGGATGGTGTTGGTGGCGATGGTCTGCCAGGCGAGACCCATGAGACCAGCAACAGTTGTGCCTTGCTGGTTCCAGTCGGTGACATTGTCGGCAGTGGCAAACACCTGATTGTTGTTGGTAAAGCCGCCCATGGACACGACGTCTCTCACGTAGGAGCCGTCGGTCGTGCCCTTGCCATACTCGATCGCAAACGAGTTGTTGATCAGCTTGAACGTTGACGACTTTGCCGTGTCGAACACTGGTGCGCCACCACACTCGATAGCGGACGTGCACCGGTCCATGACCCACAGGTCCGACGAGCCCGTGTCAAGCACAATATCAAAGTTCTGCGCCGGAGTTCTGCGCCGCGCGTCAGCACATGGGCCATCTGTCTGTGCCAAGCTCAGTGGCGCTACCAGACGCGGATGTTATTATTAAGGCATCCGCAGCGCCAAAGGGCCCACCTGGCCCACATGGTGGCGTAACCATCCCGCGTCCCCAACTTACCCAATGCTGACATTTGCGGTGTACTGCAAGTCGCGACCCCAGTTGGTCATGCTGTTGTTGGTGGTTAGCGCGGGTCACAGTGGAATCACATTTGCGCAGCAGCAGCAGCAGAACGGAGCCTGTCTCTCTCCCTCTCGTGCCTCCCCCTCTGCCTTTTGTTGGGGGCGGCGGCGGGGTCCGCACTCGCCAGCGTCGACGGATGACGCGGAGTGCGGCGCCGTTGAACCGCCCTTGCTCCTGCTCCCGCCGTGGGCGGCGTCGACCACGTCATTCACATGCACGTCGAAACTCACTCTACCTGGCTGCTCGCTCGCTTTGCGTTCCGAAGCTCGCGCTCGCCGTTGATCCAGTCGAGGTCGCGCTTGGCCTGCTCCTGGCCCTCGGTATCGAGCATGCGGGCGTGCTTGATACGGGCGTTCACGAGCTGGTCGCGGGCCCAGGCGCGTCGCACCTTGGGGTCCTGGTCGAAGCGGCGGTTGTTGTGGTGTGTGAGCTGGAGGGTGGTGACACCGGGACCGCGCTTTGCGACAGGGGTGGCAGCATCATCCGCAGCTGCGTTAGGGTGTGGGGACGGCGCAGCGTTGGTGTTGATGGCCGACGCCAGTGCGAGGGCGAGGACGAGTGGTGCGTGCATGGCTGGCTGCGACGGTTTGGGTGTAGCCGAGTGGAGAGAACAAGAGTGGAGGGGTGAAGAGATGTGAATGGAAGAGACGAAGAGAGAAGAGAAAGAAGGTTGGACGATGTGGGACAAGGGCAAACAGTGTTGGTGTCTCTCTTCTTACCCACCCCGAACTCTCTCTCCTCTAAACGTCTCTCTCTTCCCTTGGCGGTTACGAGCGAGCAAGCGGGGCAGGCGCGGGAAGAAGCGTCTTTGCCCCCCCCCCTCTCTTCCGCGCACGCCCACGGGCTCTGTAGGCTGGCTCCCCAGGCAGGATCGCTGCCCCCCCCCCCCCACACATTAAGCGCGATCGCCGCCGCTGCGGATAGGCACAGACACATGCATGACGTCGACTCTATTACAAATGGCAACACTAATGTTTTATGTTCATTATAAATCCCCCGGATGTGATGTTAAAGGAAAGGCATTAAAGGGAGAGCGGCAAACACAAATAACCCCGCTAAAACTGCACAGCCTCAACACTGGCCGCCCACCACATGCAACACGGTCCAAACCACACACATGCCGCCCAATCTCCACAGCCCACGCCCCGCAACAGTAGCAGCAGCAGCGCTTACAGCATGGGCAGGCTCGCCGCTGGACCCCGGCGACGTGGACGAGTCCGTGGCGGCAGCCTGTTGATTGCCGGACGCGCTGGCGCCGTGTCCGCCGCGAGTGCTCGACTGTGTTCTAGACTTTGATGACGGGGTCCCGAACGCAATGGAGTTTTTGCCGCCAATGGCCATGATGCTCGTCGTCGTGTATCGCAAGTCGGCATCCGTGGCCAGCGTCGCAAACCCCACAGCTGCCGGGGAGGAGCGGTAGACGCTGTAGACGTTTTTAAGAAACGTGTCCCCCAACAGCCAAAAGTCGTCCGAGCTGGGTGGTGGCGTTAGTGGCTGTCATCTGGAGCGATTATTTTTGGTCCTCTGGGCGCCACACCTGGTGTGATGGCTTGGCAACCAACACCCACCTGTCCATGCCCACCAAAGAGCCCGTGCATGTTGTCCCCGATGAACTCAACTGCAGCACCAGGTCGGGCGGGTAGATGCTGAAGGGGACGCCGCCAAAGACCAGGTCGAGCTGCGGCAGCATCGAAAGGTTGCTGCAGGGGAACGTGTACACGTCCGTGTCGTATCCGAGCATGTTGAAGGTCACATCGCTGTCGATGCTTGCTCCCGGGACCTGGGCGTAGATGGCCGCCACGGCCTTGCGGGCACCCAGCGCCACCGTCGTGCCCGTGTCGATGACTGCCAACGGTTTGGCGCCATTTTTGCGTGTCGTGTCCACTGTGGCACCGTTGATGATGGCGCCGTCTAGGGGGATCTGCCAGTACACGCTGCCACTGTTTTCCGAGGCACTGATGTACGTGATGTCGCCCGTGAACAGGGATGTGTCCAAGTCACTTTGGCACGAGTCAGCGCCAACATGACCATAAAAACAATAAATGGAGAGAAAAAAAAAAGAGCGACCTACCCTAGCGACAACTCGCCACCGGCGACTTCATAGTTGTTGTTGTTGCGGTCCAGGCAGCGGGCGAGGTAGATGCCGAACTGTGGCGATGCCCAAGTGGTCTGCGCGGCGCTGTTGGCCCAGAAACTCCGTCCGTCTGTCGGACTCGATGGCCACCCAAGGCCCAACAGCCCTCCCTTGGTGGTACCTGCCATGGCGCCCACGCTGTCGCTGCCAGTGTACGTCACCAGGCCTGGGATTTCGTCAGCTCTGGAAAGGATCGAGGATTGGGATCGAGATCAACAGAAGAGTTTCGAGATCCCGTCGGCGTCATCCGCCACGGTGATGCGCTTGGCAGAAACAGACGTCACTTGTGCCACCTCCGTCGTTTTTGGTGCCCCCCCCAGGGCATGGGAAGTGGTCCACTGCAGCACCGCCGTGGCCACTGTCCACCCACTCGCGACAGCTGCACACCTCGAAAGATCCGAGGAGCACAGGCCATTAAGCACCGCCGCGAGCAGTGCACATGGACCAGTACGGCTGTGCAGATATGGTTGCCATATAGCTAGCCATACACTGTTTGCACCGACCATGACTGATCGACCCCGTCTGTGTCCTCGTCTTCAAAGCCCGGATATCCCAAAACTCGATCGTTCCAGAAACCACTCGCGACTCACCAACCTGCTGCCCCGTAACGACGTTGCCTCCAATCGCTACCGTGTCGGTCCCGTACGCTCCGCTGACGCCGCCGACACCGTAGTCTTGGTTAAACGGCGTCCCGTTGGTGCTAAAGCTCGACGACGCGGCGGGCGAGAACGGCGTGACCCCGCCGCAGGCCATGCCCGTGCAACTCGTGTACACCCACAGCGTCGTGCTGCCCGTGTCGAGGGTGACGTTGACGATCTGTGGTGGGGACCCGATCGAGATGGGGACGCTGTACGAGAGGTCACGGTAGACGTTGATCAGGCTGGGACGGGGGGTCAGCCCGGTCAGAGTCCCAAGTAACCGACCGTGTTAGCGCGGCTCTACTCACTCGGCGTTCCAGCGTCGTTTGTGCTTTGGAGGCGGGAGGAGGTCGGCATACTTGCTCTGCGTGGCAGCGAGCATGCCCGCGATCCACTCGTTTGCGCGGCGATCTCGTGGGTCCATGTGGTTCTGGTCTTTGCGAATGCCTGCGTCGTGCCGGCCGTCATGGAACACCACATTGGGCAATGCGGTCGCGGTCGGATGTGACGGGGGTGGTGCAGGGGCAGCGCTCACGAGCTGCAGCACTGCTACCCCCACGAGCACTGTGGCGAGCTCGACGAGCATGGCAGTGTTGACACGGTGAGGAGAAGAACACGGATAAGATTATCGCCCCCTGTGTCCATGGTCATCCATGATAAAGTCATTTTTGAGACCATGGGCCCGGCGTCGTCCGTGGCCCCGTGGGCCGTGGGGGCAGAGGGACATGCTATCATTTCGCTACGTCTTCCGATGTCATTTACTTTGGCGTTTCGTACAGAATGACGCCGAGGGCGGCCCCGGCCGACAGCCCACGGGCCACGGGGTTGCCAAGGATTCCAGCGCTTGAAACCCCAAAGGGGGCATAACGGGCGGCTGCAGAGACAGAGACCTCGGACATGCACAACGACAGAGAGGTCTCGGTTCATAAATTGAGCCCAAGAGAGAAAGTTGCGCACATGACATGACGTCGTCGCCGAGTGGGTGTGGTGCCTGGTGGCGACATGACATCGGCAGGGTGTCTCATGTGTCTCCCATCAAACGAGCAGAGCCGACGACGGCGACGACGACGACGACGACGGACCGACGGCGGCGTAGGTTCCAGAGTTCTCTTGGCAGTGTGCTGCGCCGTTGGCTCTCACGGGTCCTGCCATCTGCACCCCGATTGTTGGCAGACGATTATGCTTAGGAGAGCAGAGAGGAAGATCCATGCAAATCGATTTTCCATCTTTTGGCCTGAACAAGTAAAAAGATCTCGGTTGGTGGCGCCGGTGGCCGGTGGGCCATTTGGACCGATGAATATCCGTTTCGGCAGTTTCAACCGTCTGCAACACGAGGGAGAAAGAATGGGGCGGCGGGAACAACAGCACACATCCGAGCAAACATGTAGTTTGGGGTGGAATGGCCATGTATACGGTATATGCGGTATACGGCATGACGCTGTGTGAACTGTGTGTCGAGTGTCCACATGATGGCTGTATCCACACCTCTGCGCCTCTGCAGCTGTCCCCAGAAGGCGCCTTGGGCGGCATGTCAACGTTGCCCCAGTAATTACATCATGTCGTTCTACCCGGGGAATGTAGGGCGCTTACGAATGCAGTCGTGGGATCATGGGGGGGGGGGGTTCCACAAGGACTGGAAGAGGGCAAAAGGGGCAGGCTCTGCGCTGGCCTCGTTTGCCGACAGACGCAGTATTGGCCTGGTTGCTTCAAAAATATGTGGTTCCCCCGTCCCATAGTGTGTTTCGTTCCGTGGCGCATAACGCACTATCGAATGGAACCCATCCACTTGATCCACTTTCCACCGGCCATAGTGTGTTTTCTGGCAGTGGCACTGCGCACTGTACGGGGCTCCTTGTACGTTGGCACAAACAGCAGCCACGGTGTGTGCGTGCAATCACCATGGGGGAGGCCCCGCCTTCACCTGCACGCGCATGTGTGGATACCGCGCACCACTTTCCGGTATCTCCGGCATGCAGGCATGCTTGGGAAAGCACCACACCACTGTACCACTGTACCGAGCCCACCGGAAACTGTGGAAACGATGGACAGTGACTCCCCCGCGTACCGCGGACCATCACCAGCGCATACGCCGCTCGCGCTCGCATAGCATATTAGGTGATAAGGTTGGCATCGTCTATTCCTGCGTACAGTGCAGCACATGCGTAATGGGGGGCCCAAAGGATAGAACGCAGTATCGCGGTCCCCGGTATCCCCGGTGTCAGGATGGTGTGTTTTGTTTGTGCACGCCTGCGGAACGAGGCCACATGGAGCGCCGCCGCCGCAACGTGAGACAATGTCCAGATGCGATAATATGGACACATGGCGACTCGGTTGAAGTTGTCGGGCAGGGCCCCCACGGCCAGTGACTGTTCCAATACATCTCGCTACGGTTATTCGGAGGTTCATGTCATTCATCTATTGGTACAACTCTGGTATAGTGAGTGGCCTGCCCATCTACGACCTCGACACACCAGGACGTCAAAAGCCAACATGTCATCAGATCACAGCAGCGATAATGGCTGCCACCGCGACGGCACCAAGGGCGGCCGAGGCGGCGGGAACACGCGGAGACGCGGCGCTGACCGCGTCGGCGCCGGCGTTGATTGCCTTGGCCGCGCCAGCGGCGAGGGGGGCAAAGCCGATCGAGGGCGGGTCGTAGCGGTGGGCTGTGGGGTGCGTCAGAATACGCAGTACTGTGTAGGCAGACCGTTTACGCACCAGTGTACACATTCTTCATGAAGGGGGCGCCCATGAGCCACTCGTCGTAGCCGTCGGCGCTCAGGATGGCGCCCAGACAGTAGCCCGTGCTGTACGGGTGCGCGGCGTACATGAGGTCGTCACCCGTAATGTTGTACGTCTGCGACCCGAAGGTAAAGCCCACGCTCCACTTGTTAAAGCTGTCGCAAGGGGCGGCCCAGTACGAGGAGCCAGAACCGGTACGCTGGGCATTTTTCAGGCTGCGGTAGATCTGCGAGACCACCGTGGTGCCGCCGAGAATGACAGAGGTACCCGAGTCGATGATGGCCGACGCGTTGCCGGGGTTGACGGAATTGGCGGTCGACGAGCCACCGCCACCGGACATTGTGATGGCGTCGAGGGGCACAGCCCAGTATGCGGGCCTGGTGGCGTTGACGAGGTCGATGTAGGTGAGGTCGCCGTCAAACAAGTCGGTGTTGACACCGCCCAGCGTGACCTGGCCGCCGGGCGTAATGGGCTTGGCGACGTTCTGGTCGGTTGTCTTCTCGTTGCGCGCCAAGTAGACGCCAAACTGTTTGTCCTGCCATCCTCCAACGGCGGCGTGCCAGAAGGGGTCGGTATAGTTTTTGCCCGAAGTCGTGTTGGTCATGGGCCACGACATGCCGAGCAGGCCTGCCATGGGTGCCGAAAAGTCTGACGTGCGTGTAACAACTCCAAACTTGAAGTCGTCAATGACCTGGCCGGCCACGGCCACCGTGTCGGTAGCGTACGTGCCCTTTGCGTAGCCGATAGCGTACTGGAGCTCCAGGGTTTCATTCGTCGATTTGTAGGTCGACGACGCCGACATGGAGACGTTGCGCGAGTTGAACCACAGGTCGGACGAGCCGGTGTCAAACGTGACATCCACAGTGGTTCCTGGAGTGCTGTGGTTGGGGTGTCAGGAGACGTAACAGCAAAAGCACTTGAGACACTACTCACCCAAGAGTCACAGGGATGGTGTAGTATACATCCCTGTTCAAGTTGGTCAGAGACTCAGTCGTCGAAGCCGACACGTTGCTCGATCCCGTGGCGTTGAGCGCGCCCGCCTGGCCGACGATCTGGGCCTCGCCAGAGGCACTGGACGTGCTCCTTGCGGGAGCGGTTGCGGACACGACGACACTCGCGCTCTGGCGCTTGACCAAGTTTGAGTCCAAGTCCAAGTTCAAGTCGAGCGACCCGCCAAGGGGCATGTTGATCATGTGGCCATACCTGGCCTTGACGCGGGCCAAGTCGCGGGTGATGTGGTGCGCCGTGCGTTCCTCGTGGTGGACGGTGTTGATACCGACGTGGACGGGACCGAGGCGCGGGTCGAGGTTGCGCTCAGCGTGAGCGTGGCTGGGTGCGGGTGCGGCCATGGCCGAGGCCGCGAGCGCGAGTACGAGGGCTGCAGTCACCATGGTGTGGGGGTGACGTCGAGAGCTAGTAAAAAGTGGTTGTTGGATGGCTCGTTGACTCTTGGCTCGCCCTATATAACATCAGAAGATGCTTAAGGTCCCTGTCTGTGCGCGTACTGCATCAGCTCGGTGGCTCGGCGGCCAACTCGGAGGCGGTGTTCAGCGGTTGTCAGGACGTGCAGGGCCAGCACGTTTCCATCATGCTCGCATTGCTGGGGATATGGCAAGGAACGATGCCCGTGATGAACGTTTCTCTCTCTGTGCTGCTGTCGTCCCTGCTGGAGCTTGCAGTCGCTTGGAGCCACAGCTGCGGCCGCCAAGGCCAGTGCTTCCAATAAAGTATGCGTGTAATGAGAAGCTGCAGGCCGACGCGGTGGGTATCGTTGGTGGAATGGAGGGATGATAGCACAGAGACTGTTGGCGAGCTCGATGGTCTTGGCATCAAGGACTTGGACGGTGCCTTGCAGGAGAGTGGGCGTCCTATGTGGCCTGCGGATGCTTCTGGCTGCTGTGCCGACGCGTGCCGAGTTGATGCACCCGGCTGCCACCACAGTCGCCGATGCATACCGTGCTGTGCAGCAGCGCGGATGCGGGTCTCCACCGAAGAGACGGCATACCGCACTCTGCAAACGTAAACGTAAACGCAAACGCAAACGCTGACGCCGCCAAGCTCTGCCAATGGATCAATGGACAGGCAGGCGTCCAGGACGCAATGCCGCCCCTCAGGTCGATATCCCTCACTTTGCTCCTCTCGGATGTATCGCATACGTCGGCAACCAGAGCATGTCTTGGCACTCGGCGTCGCCGTTGGCGGTGTGGCATCGCCGTCGCCGTCGCGCCGTCATTGGCTTCGGCCGTGTGTGCGAAATGGGATAAGCGCCACGGGCGCCGTGGGCGTGGTGATGGGGTGTTGCAAGGCGGCGCTCGGTGTCGTGCTGTGTGTGCCGAGCGAGGACTTGGCGGGTGGGTGTGGGCTGCAGTAGGTATGTACATAGTAGGCACCCGCAATCTCGTCGCTCGTCGTCGTACAGGTCGCCGGACAAGCAAGTGTTCCTGGTGGTCAGTTTGCGGTGCTTTTATCAGGTGATCAGCTGACGGCTCGTCTCGGGCGTGTGCTGTGCTGTGCTCTGGGCAATGAGCAATCGCTCGCGGCCTCTTTAGTCCTTGGCACTTGACTGGGAACCTTTGCGTAATGGCAGTGGCATGGAGATGGGTTGAAGTCGGTTTCGCGCCTGGAAGACGAGTCTTGGCGTCAGCAGCAGACACTGTCAGTAGCATCTTGGCCTCGGTCACAACCTATACCGCCTGTTGTACACCCGTCACCCGTGAGGTCGCCGTCAGTACAAGGCAGACAACAGCTGTTGCAGGGAGCGCGGCAGACGCGCGCCACTGTTTAAGAGTCAGAACCTCTCCCTGCGCGTAAAGTCAGTCAGTCTCGCACCCACTTTTGATAGATACAAAAAGGAGACAGAAACACACGACGACGTGTGCGAATGAGAACAACAACTTGGCATCCCCAGTAGAAGTACATGCATGTGGCATGGCACGTCGCAGCACCGCAGGCCCTGCGCAGGCAGCCGCCGCAGTCGTGGCTAGCAGCGGAATGCTCGTGGCGGCTGACACAAACGGCCAAACGGTTAGCCACTGCCGCTGCCACGACTGACCCTTGCCACTGCCACTGACTGTCACACTTAGCTCTGTCACCAACCGCGAGCGTACTGTATGCCTGCTCCGACGTGTCACCCCAGCGTACCAGCGTGCGTCATGCCTTGGCAGGAAGGACGCGCCACGACAACACGACAAAGGACAAACGACCGACCAAGGCCACCACACACCGTCGTCTACACCGCGCCGCTCCCAGCTCAGAGTGTGGCCGGTCCGGGCGCCGACCTCCGATCACAACAAGGCCACAGCGGCACAGCTCCCCCTCTCTCTCTTGCATCTTGCCACCAAAAATGCGGCCGGTCCCGTTGCTCTCACACTCCCAGCTCCCAAACGCCCAGTGGCCAAAATGGCCTAATGTGGCGCGCCCGCCTGCCTGAATATGCCTTGGCAGCCGCTCTCGGCCAAGACCAGCTTGTTCCTTTGCAGCCAAGCGGCCGAGCCGCCGAGCGGCCTCTGGGCCTTGTCGGCATTCAGGACACACGACGGACCGCTACTCTGGACACGGAGGACCAAATTGACAGAAGAGGGAAGGGAAGAGACGCCGAGCCCCCCCCCCCCCCCCCCCATTCATGACGCCACAGGACACAACGATGGTTTCGGGCAATTTGTGCAACAAAAAAAGACGACATCCAGACGATCCAAAACGGTCCAACCAACGCTTTCGTCGACGCCACACCACGGCATGTGCCGCGTCTCGGCAAAACGGCACAAATGTGTTAATGTGGGCGGATGCTGCCCTCGCGCGCCCCTCGGATCCTCGGAGAGCAGCCACTGACGACGGCGACGACGGTGACGACGTTTTTTTGACACAAAGAAAAAAGAGAGAGAGAGAGAGAGAGATAAAACGGAACAAAGGCAAGACAAAAGTCCCAGTCCAACACATACCATTCATACACGCGTCATCGTCAAAGTACACCGCCTTTTGCCTTTCCCATCGTTTCCCATGGTGGATTCAGATGCATGCAATTATTCGTGTGAATAGCAATAGAGAAAAAGAGAGAAAGAGAGAGAGAGAGAGAGAGATGGAAAGAAGAGGAAAGAATGGACGATGGAAGCGAGATGAAAACGTGTATTTTCGGGAGATGGGGGGGGGTTGGGGATGGATGGGGTCCAGCCAAGTCCGTGAAGGGTGGATCGATGAGGGAGGGTGAGGGTGGGGTGGTAGCGAGGTGCAACTACTGCTTTAAGATGGCATCCGCGAACACAACAAGAATGGGGGTTTGGGGGTGGGGGCAACTAGATAAATAAAAAAAAGAGATCTCGGTCGTTCTGCTCAAAAGTGTTCAATGACCGCATGCTGGTACAAGTCGTTTCGTGGTCCTCGGAGCCGTCTAGCGGCAATCAGGCTCCAGGCCGGAGGGGGAGGGGTTGTGGATAAGGGAGCGTGGCAGTGGTAGGGGTTGGTTGGTTGTAATCACACGATGTTTAAAGATAGCGGGCAGGGAGGATGCAGGGCGTTACGTCGTCTTCGTTGTCGTCGTCGTCGTCACCTGTTTACGCCTTGATACCACCACCACCACCGCCACGGCGGCGGAAGAGGGACGCAAAGCTGTACTTGCGGACGAACACGGCCGTCTTGGTGTTCTCGGCGGGCGCGGGGACGGCGCGGATGGCAGAGTTGGCCGATGTGGCGCTGTTGACGCTGCGCTCCTCGGCGGGCGGTTCGAGGACCGACGACGACGAGCACGAGCTCGAGCTGGGGTCGAGCTCGGGCGTCGGGGGCGACGTGACCAGCGTGGTGGGCACGACCTGGTTGCGCAGCGCCGAGGGCGAGTTGGCCGTCTGGTTGCCGCGGCTGGACATGCCCAGCGAGCCGAGACGCGACGCCGACGACGACGTGGTCTGGGACAAGCTCGTCGACAGACTGCGGGGGTCAAACCTGGACGTGAATGCCTTGGCCTCGGTCTGCTGCGGCACGGCCGGCACAGCCGGGCGCTCTTCGGTGAGCTTGTTCAGTTGAGGCTCGGTCGCAGAGCGCGTGGCAGTAGGCTTGGGCGTCCTGTCGCCGCCGCCGCCGCTGCTGCTGCTCGATGCAAACTCGCGAATAGACGAAATGGAAAACTTGCGGGTGAGCGTCTTGGCAGTAGCGGACGCGGTGGATCCACTGCGCTTGTGGCCTGTGCCGACGCTGGGGGACGCCGGCGCGGACACGGGGTGACCGGCCTGGGCGGCGCGAAGCTCCGAGAGGGCATACGATGACGCGCGGCGCGAAAACGTGGGAGGGGTCTCTGTCTTTTGCGCGGCATCGGTGAGGGAGCCAGGAAGGAGGGTGCAGTGCTCCCAACCAGGCAGCAGCGCCTGTGGGAGGGAGCCCTCTGGGCCGAATATGGCGAGGTTGCGGACACCGCCACAAAGGAGTGTGTCTGCACCAGGCATGCTGTCTGGGCCGGGCGCAGTGTCCTGTGCCATCCAGGCGCCGTATCCAGTGACGCAACCAAACAGGTTGCGGCGGACACGCTGGTCCATCGTGGGAAGCAGCGGCAAGAGGAAACGCTCGACTACTGGTGCAAACGCGGCAGGCGCCTCGGTGGGCACAATGTTGATGATGGACAAGGGGGCCAGCTCAGAGTAAGGGGTGGCTGCGGTGACACTGTTTGCGGTAATGGCAGTGGTCAGGATCGGGAGGACGGCTGTGGACAAGACGACCGTGTGCTGCAGCATCTCCTGGAGAACGCGCTGGGGGTCGGCCCTCGGTGCCGGGGTGGGGATAAAGTTGATGACGGCGTCAAACGGCGAGCCCTCGGACACGCGTGGCTCGTCGCCAAAGATGAGGGTCTTCATGCGGCGGTTGGAGCGCTCATTGCCCAGAGTGCTCATGGAGAGAACCGAGGGGGCACGCTTGGTGCCGCCACCCGATGCGGATGCAAGGCGTGACAGGTCAACCTGAGACCCGGGCACGGACCCGGCGGGAGACGCGGGCGACGACGACGAGGCCACCGACGATCGCCTGCCAAACGGTGACAGCAGCTTGCGGGGCTGCTGTGGCGTGAGGGGCGGTGTCATTGTGCCCGAGCTAGAAGCGCCCGAGTTGCGGCGCGACCGCGAACCCCACGAGGTGGGCCTCGGCGCGGCAAAGTCGTTGCTCTTGCGGTACGACTCTGCCAGGAGGGACCCATGCTGCAAGAGTGCGGGGAGGGGGTGCGACTGTTCGAGTGCGGTCGCCGAGGGCTGGAATGGCTGGATAGTAGGGTAGATTGTGCGCGTATCCTCGAGATTGAGGAGCTGCGAGGGGGACGAAAGCGCCTCAATCTCGGGCAACGGTGCCAAGCTTCCAACAAGGATGAGCGTGTCCTGGAACGTCTGCGAGTAGAGTAGCGGCGAAAGCGCGGAGCGGGTGACCTCTGCGAGAACGTAGTCAGTATGGATGGAGGTTGGGGGCCGGCGGCCAAGGAAACACAAAAAAAAAACGCACCGCCAAGAACAAGGATCACCCTATCGCCCTTTGCCCAGATGTCCGCGCCGCGCGCAGCCTCGAGAGGATCGATCACCCACGGTGCGCGACCGTCACGTCCGAGGGCCGGTAGGCTGTTGAGGGTGGGTAATTCGGTCTGCCTCTGTTTCCCCGGGTTGGGGCTTGCCTGCTGCTGGCGCCGGAACGCGGAGGGTGGTGGGCGGGGACGCATCGGCGACTTGCCCTCTGCGACGGGCGACAAGGGGATGGTGATGACAGGGCGCTCTGCTGGGACTGGCGAGCGTGCTGCGGACCTGGTTTCGGGGCCGGTGTGCGTCGGGGACAGTCTGGGGGCTGAGATGACTGGGGTGGAGGCAGATGTCGACGACGACGACGAGCGCTTGCTGCTCGAGCCACTGCTGCTGCCGATGCGCATGGTGAAGAGAAGAGCGGGGGGCGGGAGGGGGGGGGGCAGGAGGGGCCGCGCTTTTAGTAAAAGCTGGGGGGGAGGGAATGCCGGGCGCTGCGTGGGACAGCGCTGGATAGAAAGGTGACGTCGATATAGAAAGGGTGAGAGCGATGCTGTATGGCGGTGAGGCCGACGGGGGTGGAAGAAAAAGAGGTGTATAGGTGGGGGTTTGTCGGGCGCCCAGAGAGAGACGGAGAGAGGGAGAAGGGGTGTGTGTGTGTGTGATCTGCACAGTGGAGATCTCTGTTGGGAAGATGGGCGCGCAGACGGGGTGGGTGGAAGTGGAAGCGGTAGTGGTAGTAGGTGGGTGGTGGATATGTAGATGTGTGTACTTTGTGTTGTAGGTTGTGAGTGAGATGAGAGAAGCGGCGAGGAGAGGAGGAGTGAGGGAGACAGAGACGGTTGCTGTGGGTGGGTGGGTGGATGGGTGGATAGATGGATCGTGTGGGAGACATGGGCCGCGGGGGGAGGAGGGGGAAGGAGGCAAGGAGGGAAGGGGGAGGAGGGAAGGGGGGGAAGGCAGAGGGGGGAAGGCAGAGGGGGAAGGCCCCCGAGGGAAGGCCTTGTGGGTTGTTCCTTGCCGTGCGCAGCCAGGGGGGTGGGCCACAAAAAAAAGACCCACTCATCCCTGGTCTCTCTGGCCGTCTGGTCTCTCTCTCTGATGTCTGGGCGGTTCCTCTTTTGGTAAAGGCCGCTCTTGCCGCAGTCCGCAGGCTCTCGACCGACTGTGCATGGCGTATACATGGTGTGTGCATGTGTGTGTCTCTCTCTCTCTGTGCCGCTGGTCGCAGTCGCAGTCACAACCACTGCTCTGATGCAGAGAGCGGCAGAAGGAGCTGCCGGCACGCTGGCGCGCTGGTACTCTGTGCATATTTTGTCGCCTCTTCCGTATCCCCCCTGGCCCATATTCACAAAACCATATGAGTGTGCGATTACTTTTGCATGCAGTACTTGCGCACCCACAGAGCGAGCGCGTCACAGAGCGTACATGGTTGTCCTTGGCACACACACTAACTGCGCGGCTCCACCCCGGATCCAGGGAGAACGAGGCGAGAGAGAGAGAAAGCAAGGGGATGTGATTGCACTGACGTCGATGACAACCTGTGCGCCGGTGCTCGCCCGAAGAGGGGAAACCAGGGCTCATGCTCTACCGAGCGAGCGACGAGAGCACACCGCGCAGGCAGCACACGCCAACATGCTTACCGCTGGCTGTGGCGTGGCTCTCGCTCGCTCTCTCAACCCAACTGTGCAACGCCTAATGGACGACGACGACGTCATAATGGCCCGAAACTGCCCCTTTGGCGTCTTTGGGACAGGCTCTCGTTGCCTCAAACGACCAGCGCCGGCAGAAAGCCCCTGCGCGCGCATTGCCCGTGGTGGTGAGCCTCTCGCTCGTCTCGGAAACAACACCGTTCTCACTCTTTGCTGGCTGGCTCTCTCACATCAAATCTCAACAAAATGGTAAACAGGGTTTTGGACACAATCTGGGTCTCATCTCTGGGTCTCTGGGTCTCGGCCGTCCCGGTAAGTACTAAGGACCAGCGCGCGAAATGGGCCCCCTTCTCCCGTACCACTTGATCTCTCCCAAAGCAGAAGGGGGGGCCCACACCACCAACCTCCCGCTTCAAACCAAACCTTGTGCCCCCCGCTCTACCCTTCCCAAATCGGGCTATTGCAGAGACCTGCGAGGCCTATTTAAACATTAGACAAAACACCCCACACCGCTTTGTTCTGTTAATTGGGAGGCAGCTTGCCCTTTGCGCTCGCCTCGATCCCCCCAGATCAACAGAGGCAGCTAGCTAGCTCGGTAGAGGCCTTTGCTTTGATGAGGCAAAAGGAGACCAAAAATGCAATGCCAATCCAGTCAGTTCCAGGCACAGTTCCACCGCAAGTTAATAAACACCAAGAGGAGATCCCGGCGGCATGCCGTTCTCGCCATCGGCTCGCCATCTCAAGCGTTTCGTTTACCCAGCACCAAATGCAAAAACAACAATACCCTCGTGCGTGCGTGCTTGCGTGCGTGCGTGCACGACGGTGGATGTCGATCGGGACCAGAGCGACGACGAGAGACACACAATTGTGTATACAAAATACACAAAATACAAGACAAACAAAGACGCAAGACACAAGACAAGACACCACACTCCTATTTTGTTCTTTTTCCCAGAGCCCAAGAGCTAGAGGCCAAGAGCCTGCCTGGCTTTCAGATTCACACCACGTTGCGCTCTTTGCTCTGGCCAGCTGGCGGCAAACTCCCCCTTGTGACCGAACACCGAATACATGTGACGAGCAGTGACGCAACGGGCGCGGGGGGGGGATCGCTTGTCCGACACACCATACGCACCCCCATCGGGAGTTCCGGCGCATGTACTGTATATGCCTGCACCCTGCAAATTGCTGATCCCCCCTCCGGGCGGGCGGGCTGGGGGCGGCGCGGGCGGCGTGTGAGAGGAGAGGGCCTGGGACCTGCCCAGCTGCTCAAACTGCGCGCCGACGTGGCTTGGCTTGGCTTTGCCCGGTGGCGGCCGCAGAGCCCACGGCGCCACGGCCTGGGTGTGTGTCATGGCGTGCGCCGTGAATGACTGCGCTTATCGATTGATGCGTTTGATCGGGTTGTTGGGAGGGTTTGGGCTCGCACCCCCCTGTCACGGATCACGGATAATGTACAGAGCCATTCTGCATGCGAACGGCCAGTCGGCCAGTACGTACGTCTATGCACGTTATTCTATATACTGCGCTATACAGCAGATACACTGCACATGTGCGCTTTGCGGCATGCAAGCAGGTGTGTCTCAAACTATCCCTTTGCCTTTCGCAATAAGGAATCAAATCACCGAACAAAACTACTCTGTCATGGCCCACCGTTGAAATGACCACTTTGGCTGGCCGTTGGCCGCTGGCGTCATAGCGTGCTGGGACCTTTTTTTGTGATTGCATGTTGGCTGCACGCAAGATGCCAGCACCTCCCACACCTCGGATCCTCGGAGCCCTTTGACTTGCCGCAAATGCGCAGCCGGGGGGTGGTTGTGTCTGGCCTCCCTCTGGGGAAGCCGTACCGATCCAACCGAGAGATCGCGAGAGATGAGAGATGAGAGATGAGATGAGACCGTGGGCCGTGGGCCGCCCAAAGCAACAGCCCCGAGCTGTTTGCCCCCCCTCCCCCCAGGTATGCAGATCGGGCGATCTGGCGTGGCACCTTGGTTCCACTGCACGTCATCGGGGGTGACGGCGATCTTGCTTCCGGTGTGGCAGCACGAACGGGGTGGCAGAGACAGAATGGGTGTCGTCTCTCCAGTACGGGGGTTGTCTGGTATGTCTGGTGGTTTACGGTCTCGGCCCTTTGCCAGCATCTGCGACGCTGCGGGCGGCTGTGGCGAGTGGTGATGGCCATGGTGATGGGCGATGGGCGATGGGCTACGGGCAATGAGGCTATGGTCAACTGCGGATATACCTAGGATTACGGTCCCCCTTCTTTTCCTGGCTTCTGCATCTTCTGCGCCGCGTCAAGAGACAAAAGTATAACTGCGAGCGTGTGCACTGCGCGCGTGCGTGCGTTTTTCTGGGCACATGTCCTGGATGGGTCCTGGAGACACCCGACCCCAAACAGTACACTGGAAACATGCTGTGACAGCTGAGACTGTGAGCCTGACTGAGCCTGAAACTGGGCACTGGATTACCAGTTGAGAGCTGCACGGCCGGCCTGCGGCGGAGCTCAGAGAAGAGCGCACGTTTGGACTGCGGCAACAGCAGGTTACAACCGTAGTGCACGTGTCCCTAATGCCTAATGCAATGTGCCCAGCAGGATACATGGCAGTGGCATGTGGACGGTATCCAACAGGTCGCACTGAACGTTGTGGCTTTCCGTGGCAGCTTCCAGCTCTCGGGTGCCACTTACCCCTTCGTCCAGCGCATATCCTCACCTCACGTTGCGACCCAGTCTCGCCACATCTGTCTGCCACACAGACCAAAGAGGTATGCCGCAATACCATACCCACAGACGACCCCCGGAAACAGGCTGTGCGCAGTCCGGACAAGACACGGTGCAAAGGCGCAAAAATGACGCCACAGTGCACAACCTTCCATGTCTGCGGGGCGCCCGTGAGGCTGTGGGCCAGAAAAAGAACTCGAGAGAGTGGGCGCTGGCTGCGGGGCTCTAGGCTTTGCCTTGTTGATTCTACAGCCTGTAACCTGTAGCGCGTAGCCCGTAGCCCGGAGGCTTCCTGGTATAAGCCACACTCCGTTGTCTCTGTTCCCCCCGTGCACACGCGTCCGTCTACTACGGCCAGCACAGGAACACACACGGCACTGCCGAGATCGTACAGTGTACAGTGTGCGCGCAGGAAATGCGAGCCAAGGAGCCAAGGAGCCAGGAGGCGAGCCGGCTGTGCGGGAGCGTGTGCGAGATCGAAACTGAAAAAAAGTCATGCCAAGACAGCAGCCGCAACAATAGATGCGGTTACACCGCCATTTGACACCATGTCCCTATGCCAGTACACGCAGAAGTGTTCAAAGTGAACGAGGTCTAGGAGGACCGCACACACACACCCCGTCCGCCCGCAGAACACTTTGGTATCTCGGCTGACGTCACGGCCACACCACACACCACAGCACACACACAACCCCAACCCCAACCCCAACCCCAACCCCTGCCCCGAGGGCCGCCGGACCGGTGGCCGAACACTGACAGAAGTGGACACAAGAGGAGATTGACCGCTTCGGTACATGGCTGGTTTAGCTGGCAGCTGGCAGATTGGCCCCATGGTGGAAACTGGCACAAGCGCTGAATTCAATGAGCGAAACTTGCCTAGCGGAACAGCACAGCACCGCGTACCGTCTACGTCATGCCTGCAGCGACCAGGCGATAATGTTTCGGCGTAAAGTGTTCGTCCACACGTTTTGGTTGGGAAAGGTTTTGGTCAAATGTACATCATGAAGTCGTCGCGGTTCCTGGCAAATGTAATGTAAAGGCCAAGGCTCGCAAGCGGCAGCGGCAGGCAGCAGCGGCATGCCGTCATCCTCTTCCGAACTGGTCGTCTCTGCGATTACTCATGCTGGGTGCCAGGTGCTGGATGGGGAAGGAGCGCGGCGTCCTGGCCACCACACGTTTGCGTAACCCGCCCTCACACACCCCGGCCCCCTTACATATGCTTGCCCCCCGGGTCCCCGGCCAAGCCGATCGAACATGACATGACACAGACATTCTGACGTCTTGTTCCCAGACGGCCACGCGAGCACGAGAGAAAAGGCACGCATTGAGTGCGCATGAGTGCATTGGCGGCATGAGATTCATTGGCAGTGGCATCGCGGCAGGTGGGCCATCGGCCATGGCCCTCGGGCCAGATGGATGAAATGTATGTATACAGCAGCAGCAGTACCTGCCAAAAGAGGACAGGAGGGGAGTCGCGGAACATCTGCAGTCGCGATGGTGGTGGGAATGGGAACGGGAATGGAAATGGGACTGGGACTGGAGGGATCCAGCCACCCCCGGTCATGCCATGCCATTTGAGACTTACCCGTCTGCGTCGTGGCTCGACGTGTCCGAGACCCAACACTTTTTTGTCAGGTCAGACATGCAGACAGCGGCCCAGTGGCCAGTGGGCTATCGTTTTGCTATCACTTCACGTTGACAACACAAACGTGGCCCGTGGGTTGCCGCTGTTCCACTCCCACTACTCGGCACGGTTGTGCGGCACCCGTCGGTACTCGGGGGGGGGGGGGGGGGGGCTGGCTGCCAGGCGCGTAAATGTAGGAGAGGAGGAGGCGGTGTGAAGATTGTGTCAGGTGTGTCTCGTCTTAGCTTCAAGTTGGAGGACCCAGGACACAAGGACACCAGGACACCAGGACACAAGGACGCTGAAGGGGTGGGTTACGGTGGGACACAAGGGGGCCGAAAGCCGACATGAATCATCTCTGGCGTGTTGACTGCTGTGGCCTTTCTTGTGTCTTTCTCCCTCTCTCTGGATCTTTGGGTTGCGGCACTTGCAAGGAACGAGCGACACCCGGCTCTGGGACAACGAGGCAACGACCAAGGCTAGGGCCGCGTAATACCGACTCTTGCGCCGTTGCGACATGGCAACAGCGCGGTGACGGTATGATGCAGACCTGCCAAGAGGAAGAGGGACGGGGGTCGATATGGGCGTGTGCAGTGCCATCTGGCCAGGACCGTGGTACCGTGGGCTCTGTGTGGGCTCTGGCTGGCGACCACCAGGGCGGTCACTGGGCACGGAGCGGGAATACGTGCGTCTCTGAAGTAGTCATCCCCGGGGTCTGGAATCGCTGTTGTTCTTGGGAGGTGTGCAGTCTCTGCTTATCAGCCGCGGAGCCGCTTGGGCGGGGCGAGGTCGATGTCAACGGCTGGTCAAGAGGTCAGAAGGTCACATATCACCAGCCCACGTCATGACTTTGCTGGAAAATGGTGCAACATACCAGCGGGCCAGCGTCGACCATGTCGGGGGGTTTTGTTGTTCGCACGATAATTCGGATATCAATCCGATGACGAACACGAACGTGTCTGGCATGTAGTGGCGTGCTGACACCGGTGCCAAGGCGACAACGACAGATGACACTGCGCGTGCACCTGCAAGGCGAGGTCAAGCCGGTAAAGCTGTATCAAAAGGCAGAGCGATCTCCTTTATCAACAACGACGGCCGTCTGTAGCTCTATAGCCCGCGCGCTCGCTCGACAACGCCGTGTGTCCTGTCGTCGACACCTCCGCCCTGTCTGTTGCTTCACTCTGCTGACTGTGCTTACCCATCCTCGGATCCGGCGGCGGCGTCGCCGCAACGCACAGCTGGTATTGGCCCCCACACCCCAACCGGCCGGCGCGTGGCCCGACACGATGGCCCTCCGACACGGACACGGAGGTGGAGGCTGATGCAGGATTGCGGGTTAACCCAAGGGAAATCTCTTAAACGCAGCGAGCGCCCGGCGGCAACGGCAGGCTGGTGACGGCTCACCTCGGTTGAAATGGATGTGTGTGCTCTCCCCAAAGGCCTCCACCTGCACCCTTCCTTCCTTACTTAACCACCACCACCACCGTCCTCGCTCACCAACACTCACTCCCCCACTGCCATGTCCGCCACCGCCCACCCCCTCTCCGCCATCGGCAAGGTCAACACCTACTCGACCGCGACCGACTCGGCCGTCATCGCCGAGCTCGCCGCCGCGCAGGAGGCCGCCGCGCGCTTCGAGGCCTTTTCAGACGCCGTCGCATGGGAGGTCGGCACCACCATCCGCGAGACCTTTGTCGCCACGCACCCGGCCGCCAGCTGCGTCATCCACATTGAGCTCTTCAACGGCGCCGTCCTCTTCAGCACCGCCATTGGCACCGCGCCCGCCGTCGGCCCCGACAACTGGTGAGTGCCGAGCAGTGGTGGTAGCGGTTGCAGTAGCAGTAGCAGTAGCAGTAGCAGTAGCGCTAACACCGTCTAGGGCGTGGGTGCGCGGAAAGACCAACGTCGTCAGGAAGTTTGGCACCTCGTCGCTCCGCAAGGGCAGGGAGATTGCCGCGCGCGGCGCGACCCCGGAGCAGAAGGGCCTCGGCTTCCCCGAGTTTGCGTGCCACGGCGGTGGTGAGTACAGGTGTTGACGTCGACTGGACCGGACCGGACCGTCGCTGGTGCTGGTGCTGGTATACAGAAAACGCTCTGTGTACCAGCATGCCAGCTGAAGGTCTGTCATTTGTGACGCAGTAGCTGACGTTCAGGCTTCCCCATCTGGCTCCACAACAACCCCGTGGCGCCCATCGGCGTCATTGTCGTGTCTGGCCTGCCCGAGCTCGACGACCACCAGGTGAGAGATTAGACGCTGTGCCAGCGGCAATGTGCCAGGCGTGCTAACCCGTGACAGCTCATCGTGGACTCGCTCGTCAAGGCCCAGCACCTCCTGCACCAGTAAACGTAGCAGGCCACGGGATATAGGCGTGACAGAGAGCAGCAGCAGCAGGGACTTTCCCGGAGACCCGGAGAGGTATGGTCTGGAGTAGCTAGAGTACAGTCTATGCATAAAGTAGAGTAGTCCAGGAGCACAAGTCGAGTAGTCCGGGAGCACAAGTAAAGTCCAGGAGCACAAGTAGAATAGTCCAAGAGCACAAAGCTCGAGGCCGAGACAGGCTACCACTTGCTGCCTCCCTTGCCCTTCTTCTTCTTGCCGCCTCCGCCCTTGCCAATGTTGTTGACGCGCGCAATCTGGTTCTCGGAGATGGTGAGGGTACCGTTGGAAAACTTGCCCACACCCATACCCAGTCCCTTTGCCCTCTCGCTCTTCTTGCCCGACATGCCCTTCTTCCTGCCCGTCTCGACACCAAACGCGCGTTCTTCCTTCTTTTGGCCCGAGGGACGCACGCCCGCACCGCGCTTGCCCAGGTCGCCCAGGCCGCCGACGCCCTTGACCCAGCTGCCGGCCGCCTCGGCCTCGGCGCGCGCCTTCTCCGCACGCCGCTGCTGCGCGTGGATGAGGCCCGTACGCACCGCGGCCGGGTGCGACGACAGGCTGTTGCCCTTGACAATGTTCGTGCCCTCGCCGGGCAGCGAGTAGGAGGCGAGCTCGAGCAGGCGGCCAGACAGGGCATTGCGCTTTTCGACGGGACGCGCGGCCGCGTCGGCGGCGGCACCGGGAAGCAGCGTTGTGAGGAGCATGTCGTGCAGAGTCTTGTCCAGGCGAAGGTTGGACCTGGGCATGTCAGTTTGGCTCAGAAAGGCAGTAAACTCACTCGTCCTCGGCCTCGTCCTCTTTGGCAGACGAGCCGCCAAGCGCGCGCATCTCCCTCCTCGTCACGGCCACGACCTCCTTCTTGATGCCCATCATCTTGGCCGAGTTACCCTGCAGGAAGGCGCGCTTGTCCGCCTTGGACACGAACGATGTCGACGGCTTGGGAGTTTCGGCGAACACCACCTCGGGGACGGAAGGCGCGGCTGCTGTGTGGGTTAGTGTAGTCGATGCAGTTTAAGACCCACGCTTAGCCTTGGCCGCCGTGGTCGCCTTGGTGGCCTTGGGCTTTGAGCTCGAGGCAAACTCGTCCTCGCTGTCGGTCACGAACGCGCCGTCGGCGCCCCATCCGTCGTCGGTGTGGAACCCCTCGTCATCAGAGTCCTCCGAGTCGTCATCCGCATCGTCGTCGTCGCTCTCGTCCTCGCCCCTCTCGGCACGCGCTGCGGCCTGCTTGCTGCTCTCGGGCTGCGTGCCCAGGAGTCCACCAAACATCGCCCGGCCGTGCGCCTCAAGCGCAGCGAGCATGGCCGCCTGGCCGTCGACGCCACCCTCTGCATCTTCATCATCGTCCTCGTCACCGCTCGACTCGGACGAGTCGATGGACGACACGGACGCAGCGCGTTTCCTCTTGGACGCAACGGAGACCGCGCCCTTGCCGTTGGCCTTGACGCTGGCCTTGACGTTGACCTTGCCGGCCTTTGTGGCCTGCGAGGGCTTCTTGCTAGTCCTGGCGGGTTAGCCTTGCTGGAAATGAGTGAACCCACGTAGAAGCCGGTGTGGCGGCTGTACGGGCCTTCTTTGCTGGAGCGGGAGCCATGGTGGGTTAAATGGTAATTGCAACAACATGGCTCTGCGTTTGAGAATGAGAGAAGATGGAAATATTGGTGCGGGGCCCAAAATGGCAAGCGGAAGCAAAATGGACCCACAGCCACGGACACGCAGTCGAGCTTGTGCTGGCAAAGGAAGCTCTGCATCTGCGTCTCGCAAGTGCTGTGCAAGGCAACGACGATGGTACACTGGCCAGCTTGGGACGTCAGGTAGCCTGGTGGTACAACTGGGGTCGAGGCGGAGGTTGACTATAGGCAACGCCGAGCCATTTGGCACAGAAAATGGCACATTGTTGCGTTTCAGCAGTGGTATGGATTTACCCCCTTTTGAACATGCTATACACCAGCGTACGACGGCATTGCACTGGTGGGAGCTGTCATTGGCGATGTCGAGATGGAAGGTTGTTGACTCGAGCGAGCGTGAGGTGTTGCGTGTGCCACACGGAGCCTAACGCCGCGCATGCAACGCGGCACAGCCGGAAGCGGGGCGGGGGTGTGGTGTTGTGTGCTTTTTGCCACCCAGCCAGAGTGTGACGACTGATAACAAGGCAGGCGGTTCCATCGTTCCTTTGTTTGTTTTACTTGCTCTCAACCCGTCATCCACCTTCTTGAGACCACCGTGAGTCCATCCACGTCCACCTTGCCGCTACCCCATCCCCATCCATGCAAGATAGCTGACTGCGTGCCTCCCCCCCAACTGTTTGCTTATCACCCACCTGTGTGTTATTTGCCACCGGATCCCCCGCGGCTGCCCGACGTGTCTCGCTGCGTGACCCCCCCATCCCTGTGCGGTGGCCCCCCGCCTGGCCCGTGTCACCCTTCTGCTTCCGTCACCCACCCACCCACCCCCCGCCGCTGCAATACACACGCGCGTCCCTTCGCATCATCGTCTCTCCTTCCCTTGCATCCTCCCCCAAACAACACTCACACCTTCACTGGCAATCACACCACTCGCCACCCTCTTTCATTACTCACTCTTAGTCTCACCCCAACCAACCAACCAACCCACCCTACCCACAATGACCCGCTCCAAGTTCAAGGACGAGCACCCCTTCGGTACGTAACATCCCCGTCGTAAGCACGGACACAGCGTGCACATACAACACATACACCTCTTCACTAGCAATGACGCTGACTGTATCTCCCCTTCTCGCTCAACTACTCAACCACCACGCATCTCGCTCATCCTCTATCGCGCTGGCAATCATCCACGCGCCATCGCCGTCCGCGTTGCTGTTCCCCCGCCCCCGCTCCGCTCGCTCGCTCGTCACCATCCCTCTCCTGCGCGCCCCTCCCCCGCCCGGTCCGTCATCCTACAGACAAGCGCAAGGCTGAGGCCGAGCGTATTCGCCAGAAGTACTCTGACCGCATTCCCGTGAGTTTCCAGTACACCCAATCTCGTGAAACTCACGCCACAGGTCATCTGCGAAAAGGTCGAGAAGAGCGACATCCCCACGATTGACAAGAAGAAGTACCTGGTGCCGGCCGTACGTGTTGGGCTGTGGACCACCGACCCAGTGCTTTGGAGACGTAGTTGTGCTGACACCCCACGCAGGACCTCACGGTTGGACAGTTCGTCTATGTCATCCGGTTAGTAACGAGACGCGGTTGAGATGGGTGTGGTCTCGGGTCCGGACATCCGGACCCGTCCCGACTCCGTGGTTCCCCGTGGTGTATTGGTTTGTGGTTTGCTGACCCCGCGCCCACAGCAAGCGAATCAAGCTCTCGCCGGAGAAGGCCATCTTCATCTTTGTGGACGACATTCTCCCACCAACTGCGGCCCTCATGAGCGCCATCTACGAGGAGCACAAGTGAGTCTTGGCTTTTGCGCCGCTGCGACCCCGTCGCTGACATTCATTCTTAGGGATGAGGACGGCTTCCTCTACATCCTGTACGCATCAGAGAACACGTTCGGCGACGAGTGGAAGGAGTTTGAGGTGTCCGAGTAATCGCGTCCCCCCCTTTTTTGTGCAGGCTCAGCAGGCTGGCAGGCTGTCCAAAGTGTTCCACCACCGTCCGGCCAAGCTTGACCGTGCCCCTGTGACTGCGGCGCCTCGGCCCAGAGAGTGTGTATATGGCTTTGTACTAGCGAGCAGAGAGAGACAGAGAGACAGAGAGAGAGTCTAGTCGAGACAAGAGAGACCTGATCATTTTATCCAAATCCAAACAATGCGTGCATGAAGTGGCCCGAAGCATCTCCACTCAGTATCGTACAAACACAACCCTGCGTCTAGTCCTCGTCCATGCCGCTGTCGTTGCCGGCGGCGTCGGCGTCGGCGTCGGCCTCGGCAGCCTTGCGCTCCTTGCGGCCAATCTTGAGACTCTTCATCTTGCGGCTCTGGAGCTTGGACAGGTCCTGCTTGCCGACGTGGATACGGCCGACCTTGTCGCCCATGTCGTCGGTCTCGATGTTCTTGCGCTTCTTGCCAAGACCGCTGTCGAGGTCCTTCTGCGAGATCCTTGGCCTCTTCATGGCGGCCTTCATGGTCTCCGAGTCGGCCTCGGCGACACGGCGGATCGTCAGGTCCATCGAGGGGCCCATCTCGGTCAGCTGCACGCGGGGCACCTTGGAGCCCGACGCGAGGAGCTTGATGGTGTACACGCGCACGTGGACCTTGGGGAGGGCGGCACCCTCCTCGAGCGAGCCCTCGACCGGGCCGGCAGTGACGCTGATGACGTGCTCGACCGACGCGAGCGGGATGGCAGTCTCGTGGTGGCCGTTGTAAAAGTCCAAGAGGTACGACTTGAGGTGGGTGAACGTCGGGTGCGTGTCAAACAGGTCCGAGTGGAAGACCATGAGCGGGCGCGTGCCCACAGACGCCTTGGGCGTGTCCACCTCGGCCATGCTCCTGTAGCTGTCGATGCCGAGCTCGATCTGGTCAAGCACGCGACCGTCAAACATGCGCGTGAGGACCAGGTCGTGGGGGCGCTTCTTCGAGTGGAGACCGGTCACAAACAGCGAAGCGTCGTTCTTGCCCGAGAAGAACTCGAGCGACGAGGCGTCGTCAAAGGGGTGGATGTCGTTCTTCTTCGAAAAGTTGATCGCGTACGGGCGCTTCATCGAGTTCTGAAAGGTGGTGTCAGCTAAGCGTCCAAATAAAGCTGGTTTGTTGGCGGGAACGCAGCCAGCTGAACGCAGCTGGCAGTGGCGCGACCTTTTTCACCGCTCCCGCTACTCTACTCACCATGTCCTTCATGGCATCGCGGATACGCTCCGAGGTCTTGTTGCCGCTAACGAAGATACACGTCTTCTCGTTCTCGACGAGCTTGGGCTCGCGCTCGTCGAGCGCACGCTTCACACGAGCGTTTTTGGGCTTGCTGTAGAGGAGAGCCAGAAGGGGGAGGGGTGACACATTGACCGTGTTCAGCAGTAAGGGGTTGATGGAGATAGTGGAGACGGTGTGGGAAGGAGGCGAGGTCGCAGGTGTTGCCATGGGGTCGAGAGGATGAGACAAAGCGGCGAGGGGAGACGAGACGGCAAAGGGAGACGGAGGAGAAAGAGGACACGGTCAGCACTAGTTCCTGTTCGCCAGACGCAGTGTCGAGCTGGGGGGTACGCACATTGTCCTGAGCATCGACATGTTGACGGGGATGTTCAAGGAAGGTGGTTGTATGATGCAAGGCCGTCCAAATAGTCACCCCCGTCCTGTACCACAGCACGATGGTTGGAAGTTCTGAATTTTACCCACCATTTGATCCCGGGTGGCAAGGAACCATGTGGGAGTCGCGTGGGAGAGTTTGGAGACCCCGCATTTTGGTCTGGTGGCTTACGGCTTGCGCTGTGTGGTGTGGAGCATTCTGGCTAGGTAAAAGATGCGTAAACGCGAGTACAGGCGTCAAAAAGACAGCGCGACAGCTCTTGAACGAGCTAGGCTCGAACAAAGGCGGTCGAATCGATATTCAACGTGTGAATTTGATTGTTTGGCTAGTATGCTACACTGTCTTGAAGATACAGCCTGGGGGAGCCCTTATGAATGGGTCGTGCTGTCTTCAACAACAAAGTCCGTCAAGAGCTATAACGAGTCTCCCCGTGTATGCAGCGTGCTTCCTCATGTTCATCCCATTGTCGTACCAGAGATCCAGAGACTAGTCGGGTTTGCACGGCTGCGCTGGCCGCAACAGTGTGGCGAAGACAATTACAATACATTTAATTCCTTCAGCTTGGTCTCACCATGCTCTCGTACGGGTCTTCGTGTGTCGGGAGCCTGTGTATGGCCTGTTAGAAATTAGAAAACACACACACCGCTCATTGCCAAACACGTCCCGATGTTTGTGCTTGCTGTTGGCAAAGACGCTGAAAGCAGCCGCATTTGGGCCAGTCCTCAGCGAATGGCAGGCGCCACACATCCATGGTGAAACATTCGGTTGTGTCGATCTGCTCCTGGTTCTTGGCAATGGCATCATGACATGCAGTTACAGTGTCACAGCCAACATACCATGACGATACTCTGGCGCTCTGACTCGATAGCGGTGTTGGTGTTAGCGTTTTTCGATTCCTGTGTCGCGTGTCGAGGTCCGTGATCCGTGATCCGTGGTCCGCCACCGGCGCCAAAGCTCGGACCCGGATTTGTGTGTTTGCCACCCGACGAGTCTTAAAGTCCACCCGAGTCGCCGCTTTCGCCTTTCTCCACCTTACACTCGCCGTCCTGGGCTCAAGATGGCGAACTGGACCCTCCCTCCCCCCTTTGCTGCCCTCCTCAGCGCTCCCCTTGAGCAGGCTGTAGAGTCGCTCATTGGGCCCGTCCCCAAGATCAAGGAAAATGCCGTCGAGGACACCGCCTCCGCGTCCAAGCCCATCGTTCCCTTCCTCGAGGCCCTCAAGATCGTTCCCGACGCACTCACGGATAACGGTGCCAACGCGTACTCGTCAACCGACAGTGCGCTCGTCGACCTCTTTTATGACTTTACGCCTGGTGTGAGCGGCGAGGACTTGTTCGAGCGTCTTGACGCGGCTTGGAAGGCGGACCCTGTGGTGTGAGTTTGCTTGTTTAGGGAGAATCACAGGTGATGAGAGCTGACTTGGTGGCAGTACCCTCAAGATCATCTTCCACGCCCGCTCGATCCACGAGGGTAAAGGCTTCAAGACTGGTTTCTTCCGCGCCGTGGCCTGGGTGTGGGAGTACCACCCGCACACCTTGCTTGCAAAGTGGGTAGCTTGCCGTTGCGCCGAGTTCAAGGCCGTAAGCTAACATGCAGCCTCCACCTCATTGTCCAGCCCACGTGCGAGCGCGCACGCAGCAAGAAGCGCGATGCAGCCAAGGCCCAGAAGGAGTCGGCCGCCAACAACGGCGTGGAGGTTCTGGATGACGACGGCAACGTGGGGAAGGACGTCGAACCCGAGTACCCTCCTCGTCCCCACGGTAGCTTTGACGAGTGAGTGTTGCAACAAGACCCAAGTACAAGAACTGACTCGCTCCAGCCTCAACGACATTCTCGTTCTCGCCATCAATGGCCAGCTCACAGTGTCGTACACTGGACGCATGAACGCCTTTGACCAGGCACTGGCACCTGCATACGTGGCGCAGGCGTTCAAGAGGAGCCGTGTTTTGGGCCAGAAGCATCTCAAACGGGAAGCCTTCGAGACCATTGCCAAAGAGGCCAAGTCAGATATGGACACCGACACGACCATGGTCAAGGCACGCACTGCGGACGTGGAAAGCGAAAACAGCGAGGTGACAACCCTTGTTGCTTCGGACGAGGCCTCCGTTGGCGACAAGCGCAAGGCCGGAAGCGATGAGACGTTTGCGCGCAAGCTCAGTCGCTGTGGCAGCAAGCAGATGCGCGCTGCTGTCCTGCAGGAACGCGCATACGAGGCTCTGTCTTCAGACAAGAAGCTGCAGGCGCTCTACCTCGCCGTCATCGACCTGTTCGCCACCTACATTTCAGCCGACCTCGACCGCCTGGCTGCCCACACCAAATACATTTCCCTGCCACAAGAGCAGCGTGCCGCAGACGGGTACGCGGCACCAAACACCTCGCCATACCTCTTTGGCATGTCGTATGCTGCCAAGTGGGCGCCGACTCCAGGCAAGTCGGCGGACAAGCAGCTCCACATGGCCACGGCCCTCGCGTGCCGCCTCTTCCCCTCCGCGGACGTCAAGACTGCGCGCCACAAGCTCCAGACGCAGGTCCTCGCCCCACTTCGCCGCGTCCTCGCCGTTCCCGAAGTGGCCATGGTCAATGGTCCATGGAAGATTGAGTACACCAAGGTTCCGGCCATGGCGATGGCTCGTCACCAGGCGGCCTTTGACGAGCACGACCCCGAGGGATTCGGGACATACCTCGACCAAGTGGCCAGTGGCAAGGTGACAATTTCCGGTGCCAGCATGTTCCCACACGAGATCGTTTGCAACGCGTTGACCCGGTCGCGTGTGGAGAGGCGTGTGGCCAATGTGCAGTGGGACGCGCTTGTCGACTCGATTCGCTCCAGCTCGAACAAAGAGCTGTCAAACTGTATCGCCGTCGCAGACGTGTCGGGATCCATGGGCTCGTTGAGCTACACCACCACGGGTCGCGTCAGCCCCATTGGTCCATGTATATCCCTCACTCTCCTCTTGACCGAGCTCGCCCGCCCCCCTTGGAACGGTGCGTTTATCACGTTCAGCAGCGACCCGAAGATCCAACACGTCGACAACACTCAGACCCTCACTGAGCGTGTCCACAGCCTCAGCAGAGCAGCCTGGGGCTTGTCCACCGACTACTACAAGGTCTTTACAGCCATCCTCTCGGCCGCCACAAACGCCCAGCTCAAGCCGGAGGATATGGTCAAGAAGATCTTCGTGTTCAGCGACATGCAGTTTGACGCTTCGGGCGGGTCAGCGTTTGGCGAGACGGAGCACAGTGCGGTCGCCCGCCTGTTCGAGGACGCCGGGTACCCCATGCCCGAGCTGGTCTACTGGAACCTCGAGGCGGCCAGCGCTCGTCCCGTCAAGTCCACCACGCCTGGTGTGGCGCTCGTCAGCGGCTTCTCGGGCGCGTTGATGAAGTATTTCATCAAGGCGCTTGGAGACGAGCCCGAGGAGGAAGAGGAGGACGCCGAGTTGGATGACTGGGAGGATGTGGGAGAGACCAAGGCTGAGCCAAAGGAGAAGAAGGATAAGAAGCAAAAGGAAGGCAAGGAGGGCAAGAATCCGATGGACCACCTCCTTGCGATTGTAGGAGCCAAGTCGTTCGAGGGCGTGGTCGTTGTGGACTAGATTGTAGAAATAGGGAGAGTGCACAACTCATGTTTTTCTGTGTATTATGCCAACTATATGATATATACCAACACTTTGGACGTCAGAGCACCTTGCACATCTGCATTGCGATCTCCAAACTCTCTCTAAATCGTTGGAATTGTCAAAAAAGCACTGGAAAGAACAACATCGTCCTCTGAATAGCATAGTGGTATTGCGCCGGACTGTAATGTCTACCTCCCGTCCGATTGGACGAGTAATCCGTAGGTCCCCTGTTCGAATCAGGGTTCAGAGAGTACTGGCGTGTTCGAGAGATCGAGCGCTTCAAGAACCTTTTTCTTTTACGTCGCTGGTGTCATGCATGCGGCCGGTAGGATGGAAAGAAGGAGGAGGTTGAGGATCGGAAGTGGTTGAAAACGAGGTTTGTGCCACACTCGATTTTGGTTCCGTGAGCCACCCAGCCAGGCACGGGCCGGTGATTACACCTGGGATTGTGCCAACAGTACACATAAGCAACCAATGTGGCCTTCGCTGCCTTCTCTGGGACACACAGAGTGACTACGGTGACCTTTGTGCTGTCTATTATCCACAAGAGCCTCAAGGCGATGATGGGGAACGCGCGGCGGAGTGGCAAAATGGCATTCAACTTCCGATGGACGTCGCATCATTAGGAAAACAATCCTAATCAATTACATCTCACGCCCTAATGCGGCCCAATTTGTGTTGCGCCTTGGCCACTCGCGCATCAGAGAGCTCCAACTCGAAACCACTCTCTGTCAGTCCACGCCGCACCGTATCGCGAGCTCCGCCTCCGTTACTCCTTCAACAACCACGGCCAACGCGGCGACCTCACCACACAGCGCGTGTACTTTTCGTGCGATCCTTCTGCGCACATGCCGCCCCCGCGCTCCCTGCCCGGCCTCCCGGACGACTTTGTCTCCAAAGTACGTACGCACCTTCATTCACTGCTCGGGTCGCGCGAGCACAAGCGAGCGAAACCCTCTTAGCAGCGGGCACGCGCGCGTATCTAGCTATACCTACACGACACGCAGCTGTACCTACTATAAACCAAAGACGTACCCATGCTTACGCTCCTCTTCTCATTTGCTCGACGCGCGCGCCAACACGACAATTACCCTCCTCTCGCTGATGTCCGATCTAACTTGCTACCCTCTCCGCACTCTGTACCTCCCGCCGCCGCCTCTAGCTCTTCCACGGCGATGTGGTGACCAAGCTCGCTGACCCTGTTTACCGCGGCAAGGTGGTTGTGAGTTTGTTATTGTTGTTGTTTGCTCAAAGCTTGGAACAGACGTGCTGACACTCCAGCGCGGGTGGACCGATGAGGACGCGCCCCCAGATCCAGAGTTCCCCCACGAGCAGCCGCTCGTGCGCGGCGAGGTCCTTGTGTGGTGCGTCGTAGAGGCCAGTGGCCAGTGGAGAGCATACAGATTATGAACGCCCAAACTATCTGTCGCCTCTGCTGGCCATGCCGCTGGAACAAGAAGTAGCAAGTTGCTGACCGCGCCTCAGTCACATGCAGACCGGCGTGTACGAAGTCGCGCCCGAGATGGAGCTCGTCCTGTTCGAGCGCGCGTTCATGAAGGGTGACCTGGTCAAGCAGGACCTGACGGACCTGGAGAGCGCGGTCGTCGTCGACGTCGACACCGAGTGCACTCTCGAGCACGTCATTAGCAAGGAGCGTCTCCCGAGCAAGGTGCCGTGGAACCACCTCAAGAACGCCGTCAAGATTGAGGCAAAGGACAAGGTCGTCTACGACGAGTGGATCGGGACTGTTGAGGAGGTGCGGTTGAGGTGTGGATGGAATCAGCTGACCTCCCACAGGTGTTTGAGGACGGACTCATCGAGGCCCAGGACGGATCGTGTTACCGTATAGCGGAGATGGGCGGTCTCCTTGAGACTGGTCGCTTCGCCAACGTGGGTGAACTTGCGATGTCCTTGGCTGACCCAACAGGAGGTGCTCCCCGAGCACGCCGAGTTCCTCCACCAGTTCTCGCAGTTCCCGGCAGCCGCCAACCCGGCCGTTGACCGAGTCATCAGTGTTCGCCCCCTGATCGTCTTCATTGTTTGGAATGCAATCAACCAGACTGTGAGCTGCAGCGAAACGGGTGTTGACCACAGCTGACATTTAGCTCCCCGTTTCCGAGCACGACAAGCACCCGGAGCCTAAACGTTTCTGGTGTGGAGCTGAGATTGAGCAGCTCACCCACTTTGAGGGTATGAAGCACCAGGCTCCTCCTCTGGGCACCACCGTTGTGTTCAGGGAGTCGGCCGACGAGACTGCCGCTGGCGCAAAGGCCACTTCGCACCTGAACGGCACGTTCCTGTTGCGCGTGTACAAGGTCGTCGAGAACCGCACCAAGCTCAAGCTCCGCTGGCAGGACGGTACCGAGACCGAGGAGTACTCTGTTGGCTTTGTGCCGTACCGCAATGTGGACGACTACGAGTCATGGCCCGGAGAGCACCTGGTGTGGCGCAGCGAAACTGAGCGCCGACCCGCCGTGGTGCAGACCTACAACCCGCGTCAGCGTATTGCCGAGCTCCTCCTCCTCGATACCAAGGAGAAGGAGACAGTCTCCGTGCTGGAGCTGGACACTGGCGGCTTTGGCAAGGCCAACTATGGTGTCGGACTGGGCCAGCAGGTTCTCTTTTGTGACGACAACGGATCGGCCATCCCCGAGGTGCCGTCTCTTGGGCAGGTCGAGCCTCCCGAGGATGGCCGTGATGGTTTCCGCCACGAGCTGCAGCGTCTGGGCCTCGAGTATGGCAATGCGCCCGAGGCATTTGGTTCCAGTCTGCCCAAGGGTGATGTCAACCTTGTCAAGTGGTGGGGCGAGGTCGTCGACCTGTACCTCGACGGCACTGTCGGCGTTGAGATGTACAACGGCGAGAAGCGGACAGTGGACATTCGCAACATTATCATTCTCAACGAGCCCGAGGGACAATACCCCGGCGAGGAGGAGTGGGCCGACGACGCAAGCTTCAAGTCGGACAAGAGCTGGGAGACCATGTCGGGCGACGAGCCATACTGGGACCACAACGGTACCAATGGCCTGCAGGCTGTGTATGAGGAGGGCCCCGACGCGTTTGACGAGCTCATGGATGTCGACGAGGAGGCCGACGAGATTACATCTGCCGACGAACAGGATGCTGCGGACGCTGCCGACGCCGAGGCAATCATTGCCCCCAGCAGCGGCATGCCCTCGCCCGTCACGTCTGTCAAGTCTCTCAGACATCCGGCGCCAAGTTCGCCCGTGCAGGCCATGCACCTCGCCCCCGTTGTCGAGACTTTGGCCGCTGTCGAGACCACCGAGGCAACCGCTGCCGCTGGCCCTTCGACTCTCCCTGCCATCCCCACCCGCCCTTCGCTTGCCGACGACGAAAAGTGGGAGCGCTTCGTCATGCTGGAGGAGGCGCCGGCCGAGCACTACTACTACCCCGAGCCCCGACTTGACGCCGCCAGCAAGACGTACCACTCGCGGCTAATGAAGGAGCACCGCGCGCTGGCGTCGTCGCTCCCGGACAACATCCTCGTCCGCACATACGAGGACAGGACAGACCTGATGCGCGTCCTCATCATCGGCCCCGAGGGCACGCCGTATGCGGACGCTCCGTTTGTCTTTGACGTCTACTTGAACCCGACCAAGTTTCCCTTCGAGCCCCCACTCGTCTACTTCCACTCGCACACCAACGGTCTTGGCCGCTGTAACCCGAACCTGTACGAGGAAGGCAAGGTGTGCCTGTCAATCCTGGGTACGTGGGCCGGCGACAAGTCTGAGTCGTGGAACCCGCAAAAGTCGTCCCTCCTCCAGGTCTTTGTCTCCATCTCGGGCCTTGTCCTCGTGCGTTCGCCATACCACTGTGAACCGGCCTTTGCCAAGCTGGAAGGCACCAAGGAAGGCCGTGTCAACAGCAGGCTGTACAGCGAAAAGGCATACGTCCTATCGCGCAGCTTTGTGCGTACGGCCCTTGACCGCCCACCGGCAGGCCTCGAGGCTGAGGTTCGCCACTTGTACCTCGACAAGGGCCGGCTGGGCAGTGTCATTGCCCATGCCCGCCGCCTCATCACCAAGGGCGAGGAGGCGGCCAACGAGGCCGAGCTGGAGGACGACGAGAATGCGGACATGTGGAATGCCGACGCGATGGGCAGCCTCACCATGGGCGCCATCCTTACTCTCAAGGTGAGTCAGTTGGCGTAAGGGTTTGATCGAAGCTGACATTACCACAGCGCACGATCAATGCGCTCGACAAGATCCTAGAGCGCGAGACTCAGACTCCTACGGCATGATGGGCATAGGGTATACATTTGCAATGCATTCTAATTCGACTTGTCCCGTACTATTGCCTTGCTTGTGTACCTCACTTCTTGCATTGTCTCGTGTCTACAGTCTTTTGTGTAGCTTTTTACTTTTACTTGTCCGCACTGAGACCCCAGTACCAGAACCAGTCGGCAGCCTTGACGACCATTTCCGGGGTACACACATGGCCCCTGTCGGGCTGGACCCACGCCTCGACCTTTCCGTCCATGCCCGGCGCGCGCGTGGCCATGCCGGCGATAACCTCGCGGCCAAAGCGGTACGGCACGAGCTCGTCGAGCTCGCCGTGGATGCTGAGAATCTTCTTGCCGGCGTACGCCTCGGGCGGCGTGGGGCTCGAGATGTAGTTGACCAGCGAGGGCGGGTACGTCGGCGGGGCAAAGGGGATACCCATCTGTTCGGCGCGTGCGCCGAGGTATGCGCCAAACGCGTCAAAGGGGAGGCCGATGATGGGCACGCAGATGCGGAAGTCGGGGTCTGCGTGGTGTGGTCAATGTTTGCCCGTGGCTGAAGGGTGGAGGTGGGCTCAGCCGCGTCGGAAACACTCACTGGTGCGGAGAAGGCGCCAGACCGTGTTACCTGTAGGTTAGCGGGTACGGCGAAAGCTTTCAGACCCACCGCCAAGCGAGATGCCCGTCGCGAAGAACTCTTCGATCACGCGCTCGCCGTTGGGGAAGAGGTAGGCCGCGAGGAAGGCCACGATCATCTCGTGGTCCTGGGCACCGCCGTCTGTGAGTCAGCGCGAGCGCTTTGGTGTGCACAAGAGGCCATCAGCTAGGACGTATTCAACCGCCTCAGCTGGGCCTCTCAAAGAGCAGTTATGGCAGCCGTGTGTCTGCGACCACTGTTTATTCGGCAGCGCCGCGACTCACACACGGTTGCGGCCATGTCGACAAAGTGGTGCGGGTTCTTGTCGTACGCGAGGTTGGTCTTGCGGTGCTTGAGGCGCGTGCCGTGGTTGCGGTGATCCTGGAAGAGTCAGACCAGTGCAGTTTATGAGCAAGAGTTGGTGGCATGTCGGGTATTGATACCGGCGCCATACCCATCCACCACTCTCAACATGGACGGGAGACTCACCATGGTGACGACGAGCACGTCGCGCACTTTCCTGCGCTCGCCCTTGGCCGCCTGCTTGCCGATCTCGGCGATGATGCCGCGCGAGAACGGCTCCATGTTTTTGGCGGCGTTGCATCGTCCGTGGGAGGCGATCTGTGGTTGAAGAAGACGACGAGGTGGAGGTGGAGGAAGGTTTGGAATGATGGTGGAGTTTGCAACAGAGAGGAACAGCCGTGAGCGTTAGAAACACACGGCAAGACGCAACTGGTGAACGCAGACAACGGGCGCCATTCACCAGTCTGGTATCAGCTGGGCCACTCACCACAACACCAATAGGAAGTGTACTGCCCTTGATCTCGTCGAGACCAAAGACATGGACATCGAGGTCGACGAGGGAGATGGTCTTTTTGCTCATCTTGTCGGGACCAACGCCCATATCGAGGGCGGCATAGTCCATGACATGGGCCTCTGGTGATCCCTTGGACATGGTGACGGTGGGTTAGGGGTGGTTAGACGGTGGTAGAGAGGTGGGGGAGGAGGAGAATGGGGAGTTGGTGGACAACGTTGGCGGAATGTTGGGTGGGCGACGTGAAAGCCGATTGCCGGTGACTATCGAAAGATCGGCGACAGCCGAAAAGCACCGCTGGACACGCACTCTGTGCACCATCGGCGCTCATTGAGAGAGGCGAAAGGTCGCTCGTCTTCAACACTCTCGCTTTCTGTTCAACAACACGCACACGAACATCAGTGACAAGCACCTGCAACAGCGACACTCTGTCACATCATTCATCTACTCCCTGTTGGCAGCAAACACATCGTAACGCTTATAAAGGTCGTCGGCAACGTCTGCCCTCCCCTCGGTGAGCTGCAGGGTTCCAATGCCCACAACCTCGACGCCGCAGCTCTCCAGCATGCGTGTCACGGCTGCCATGGATGCACCGGTATCGATCCATTCGTCGCTGACAGTCAGCTTGACTCTATTGTACTCCCTGGTGCGCGCGTACGGACACTCCGGGCTCCTACAGGAGCTGAAGCCGCACGCAGGGTAAAGGAGCAATATAACGAGCTCGCACCACACGTGCCCTCTTACTCACACAATGATCACCTTCATCCCCTGCCTCAGCAGGTCCCTTCTCATTTCCAGCTCCTTCTCGGCTGCACCGGCCTTGACGGCCATGTAGTCTGCATAGCTACCCGTCTTGACGACGTCCTCGGGCGGCATGGCGACCTTGCCTGCCTTTCTGGCCAGAATGACTGGTTTCTGAATCTTTTGGCCCAACGCTCCCGCAACAACAAAGCCCAGCGCGTCGAGACCCACTACGGCATCGACGGTAGGGAGCTTGGAGGCGAAGTGGCCGGCAATGTCTGCTACGAAGCCCGAGAGCGCGCCGGGAGTTGCAAAGAAGGACGTGAGCTCGTAGCGTGCCTGTCCCCGGCCGTTGCGGTCTACGGCGTCGAGGTAAGGGCGTGACGTCGGGGGAGGGGGTGTGGAGACGCCGGGTCGGAGCATGGTGGTGTGCATGGGACAGTGGGACAGATGGGAAAGGACCAAAAGGACACCACGGACGTCTGGTGTTTATCCTGAGTGTAATGGACTGGGCCCGCAGACAGGCGCGCGCAGACGTCGGCTCTCGAGTCAAAACGCGAAACCCGATCTGGCCGGGTCCGATTGGCATGGGTTGGCAGGGTGGGCAGTCACGTGACCTGGGTCAAATGCAGGGAAAATTGGGGGAAAATGAGGGGGAAAATGGGCCCACAGCCCAGGAACGCAGAGTGTGGCATCCGAAAGGACCCATTCTTGCCAAAGGGATGGGGGGGCATTCTATCCGAGCTGCACAGGTCACAGACTCTCCGCAATGCCGCGGGCCCCGTCACGCGCGCGCGCATGTACTGTTGCTGACCGCTCTCCTCTGCATGCACAGGGTCTGTCGACTGCGCGTGTCTTTTTACGGCCGACGCACGTCTGGGCACACGTTCGCAACCTCGTGGGGGAGAGGATGCCGACGTAGATCGCTCGCGGGCCAGAAAATAGAATTAAATCAACGAGAATCCAAAGCTCGTTACCCATAATAAATGTTACGGCAACAGCTAATGTGTGCCTGGCCACAGGACCGAACAGGAGAGCGTCGCCGAAAGACCGGGTCACTCCCTGCGTTACAGCGGGTGTCTCTTTGACGCTAGTGTGAATGACGTTGTCGCCAGGTCATGTCCTGTCCTGCTCGGGCACAATGAGAGCACACGAAACGCGGCGAGGTACAGAAAGGAACCTGGCGCCCACCCATACTTTTTTTCGCCTGTGCGCTGCACATTCGGACGACAGATGGACGACGACGGGACCTCTGTACATCCTTGTTCTAGCGTTCTAGCCGAGTGGCCCCACTCTAGAAGAAAGAGATAAAAGGCAGCCGCGGCATCGTCTCTGGAAGTGTCTTCCATCCCTCCCCCCCTTTGATTCTTTACTAATAATGCGCTTCGCTGTCGCTACCGCTTTCGCGGCCCTCGTTGGACTCGCCGTGGCCTCGCCCACCCCCAGCAACTCTGGCAACTCTGTCAGGGGCAACACTGGCAACGGTCAAAAGATCGCTCCCAAGGTCTTCGTGTTCAGCATGTACGACTCCGAGGACGTCTGGACCGACCGTATCGCTCTCACCCAGAACGTTACCGTCCCCGGTCTCTCGCCTCTCTTCCCCAACGTTCACTGCAACGCCGCCGGCGAGATCTGTCAGCTCATCACGGGCGAGGCCGAGATCAACGCCGCGTGCACTGTCACCGCCCTCCTCTTCTCCAACCTCTTCGACTTCACCTCGACCTACTTGTGAGTGTCTGCACAACTGTCCATATGCCGCCGCCACGCTGTTCCGCTGGGGGGGTCACAGAGTGGGGGAGCCGCGTTTCATTGCGCTCGGTCTGCGTCTGCGCGAGTGGCAGTGCCGCCCCGCCCATTGCGCCAAGACTGCTGCGGGTTATTTCTTGCGTGCGGACGCCTTGGAAGCCAGGGTCACACTATAGGGCCCTTGTCAAAACACGGACCTCATTTGCTAATCGAACAGCCTCATTGCTGGCGTTGCTGGCGTCAACCCCCACATGGGTACTTCGGGTGAGTTCTGAACCCCCGCTTCTGGTCGGTTCTGGTCGCCGAACTTGGGGCGCCCGAACGTGGGCGTCCCGATGCGCATCCCGGCCCGCGGCGCCGACGCCGTCGTCACCCGTTACTGACCACCCCAACCTACAGCTTCCGTCCTCCTCGCCCGCTACGCTGTCCAGGTCGCCCTCGCCAACGAGGTCGACGCCCGTGAGATGCCCTCCAACTGGACTACTGGTTACTGGCTCCAGGGCACTTCCGAGCCCGGCACCATGGACGACGTGGAGATTTACGGTACCGAAGTGTTCGAGGTGAGTCTAGCCGAGATGTCGGCAGGGAGTAGTGGGGCATGTCGGCAAGTCGGCGTGCACGGGCCACCAGGGAGCACAAGGTTCCACGGCAGCCACGGCGGTTGAAGGGAAAAACGGGGACGCCAGAGTGCTGGCTGTTCAGGTGTTGTCTTGCCGTGCGTGCGTGGTGCGTGGCAGAGACCTGTCCCCACGCACCTGGCTGCCATGGAGGACTACTGTAGGACCCGGCGTGTGGCATGTTCTTGCGCCACATCATCACTCCTTGCGTCCCCCTTACCTCCCGTCTACGCCACATCACCTGCGTCCCCCTCGTCTACGCCACCACCCACGGAATGTGTGCACCTTATTCTGACACCCACCGCAGCTCAACACCAACCTCCGTGAGAAGGTCCGCCCTTGGCTCGACGGCATCACCCTCAACGACACCACCCAGGCTCAGGAGTACCGCGCCACCTTTGGCTACTCGCCCGCCTCGGACCCCCCTGCGGTCTTCTACGGTGACGTCTCCACGTAAGTCCACCATCGGCCTCTCTTGCCGCACTTGCAGTGCTGACGTCTCTCAGCTCGGACGTCTACTTCCTTGGCGCCGACCTCGACAACGCCTTTGCCAACATCACCTCGCTCTGGACCAACGGCACCGGCCAGTATGCCATGACCGCGCAGGAGGACAACGCCACCTTTGAGGCCATGATCCGCGCCCACCTCGCCGGCCTCATGGACTTCTCGCGTGTCATCCTCCTCCGTGCCGCTTCGGACTTTGACCGCTCGCCCCCCAACGCCGCCGAGGTCCCCGCCTTCCTCGCCAGCCACGGCGGCTACCCTCCCTCGCTCGAGAACCTCTTCATCGCCGGCAACCCCATTGTGCAGGGCATCATCTCCAACTGGTCCTCGTTCAAGGGCGGTGTCGCCCCCCAGGACGGCTGGCTCCACAACGCCGACGTCAACCACACCCTCGAGCTCAAGAAGGCCGCTGCCAAGAAGCGTTCCATGAGCCGCCGTGGTGCCCTCGGTCTCGCCCGTCGCTAATGGATCTTTAGTGGCGGGAGAGTAAGGAGGGAGACACCAACATTAGAGCGGCCGCCACACTAATCGGTCGCTGTTTACACTCTTTTAGACCCCCTCCTTTACTCTCTACATGCTATTTAATACACACTTTCTTTTAAAGCCAAAGACCTGCTTGGAGTGGCATTTGCATGGCCAGCTGCATGTTCTAACAGTACATGTAAATTACTAAACAGTACGTACGGCGCTACGGTTTACTTCTTCTTGGGCAGGTCCTTGGGCAGGAACTGCTCCTTGAGCCCGTACTGGAGCTCCGGCATGACCAAAGGGTCGAGCGCGCGCGTGTTAAGCTGGAGATTGGGTCAGCCACGGTTTCATTACATTTCCCCCCTCCTTCTCTCCCAAACTCACCAGGTGGGGGCCGAGCTGGTCCAGCTTGGTCACGCCCACAAGCCTCATGGTCTGCTCAATCTCGTCGCGCATAATGTCAATGGCATGCGTCACGCCCTCGGGCCCATACGTGAGGGCATAGAGGAACGGGCGGCCCATGCCCACGCCGCGCGCGCCCAGACACAGCGCCTTGACGACGTCGGTGCCCCGCCGCACGCCGCCGTCAATGTACACCTCGCACTTTTCCAGCACGTCCGGGCGGAGCTGGCGGAGTTCCAGCAGCGTGTACAGTGCCGGCGGGGCCGTGTCGAGCGCGCGCCCGCCGTGGTTGGAGAGGTAGATGGCGTCGACGCCCATGTCGGCGCACCGGACCGCGTCCTCGGCGCACTGGATGCCCTTTACACCAATGGGCAGCGGCGTGTGCTTGCGCAGCCACTTGATGTCCTCCCAGTTGAGTTTTGCGTCAATGTACGCGCCGGTGGTGCGGCCGATACCGCCGCCCTTTTTATCGCTCTGCACCACACCCCCGGACGTGCCGCTCTGCACGCCCACGACGGACCGGTCGCGCTCGTCGGCCTCGCGCTTGCCCGGCGTCGGGCAGTCGACAGTGACGAACACGGCCTTCATGCCGTACGCGTTCACCTGCCTGAGCAGCTCCTCGGACAGCGGCCGGTCCTTGTTGACGTACAGCTGCATGAACTGCACCTGGTCTGGGCGGGAGCGGCCCTCGACAATGGCCTTGAGCGGCGCAGACGAGTTGGTCGAGACCATCTGGATCACGTCGTTTTCGCCCGCCGCGGTCGCGATGCCAGGCTCGCCGGCCGGGTGGGCAAGCTTGGACATGCCCGTGGGCGAGATGAAGAACGGGACACTGGTCCGCTGGCCCATCATGGTCGTGCTGCAGTCGACCTCTTCGACGTCGACAAAGTATCGGGGGCGGAGCAGCACCTGGTTCCAGCTCTTGCGGTTGAGGTCGAGCGCTGAGGCAATGTCAGTTCAAGGCGACGTTCCTAAAACTCACAGTACATGTCTGTCGCGCCGGCCGAGATATACGCCCATGCCTTGGGCGTCATGTTGCGCCTGGCGGCCTCGTCGAGGTCGGGCCAGCCCACAATCTCGCTCAGGTCAATCTTGCGTTCGGCCTCGTCCTCCTTCTTCTGTTCCGCCACAACAGGCCGCGCAGGGAGCGTGTCCGGGTCCACATCGCCGACGTACGCCCTTGGGTCGAGGCGGTCCTCGATGATGCCGGGCGAGTGCGTCGGCGTGAACATGGCCGTCGCGTCATGTCCGGCATTGGCAAAGATGATGTTGGAGCCGCCAGGGTGGATCTGGGCAAAGGCCGTCAGGTCGTAGACCTTGCCCTCGAGGACGACCCAGCAGTCTTCGGGAGTGTTGTGCTTGGCCACTTCGGAGAAGGGGATGAGGCCGGGAGCGGCTGCGGTCGCCTTGGCCGTCTTCTTACCCCCCGCCGGCTTGGAGTCTAGGCGTACACTGTTGCTCAAGACGTATGCACCGACAGTGGCCGCAAGCTGATGCCAGGTTAGATGGACATGTGGGTTGCAAACCTGAGCCAACACTCACTGCTCCGCCAAGAACGAGGCCAAGACGGCCACTTGACGCCCTGGACGGTGCCGCAGCAGTCGCGACAGTGGACGACGCGCGCTGCTGGCTGAAACGATACTGGTGGTGGTACTGGCGCGCCGAGCGCGCCGCGAGACGAAGAGGTCGTGACATGGTGTGGTGGTGTGTAGTGTTCTGAACGAGTGGGCAACTCGCCTCTACGTTTGGGTGTACATCTCTTGCTTGGTGGACGTCTCGGTGCATACTTGAGCCGAAACGGAGTAGTGGACGGTCCAACGACATGCCGCCAGTTACCGAGGGCCCGTGGGGGTTCTGTAGGTCGCAGAGTTGCCGAGGGGTGTGGGGTGGGGGGAGTGAACCGGGCCGGCCATGCCACATGGCGCGGACCGTGAGCAGCAACAAACGAGCGACAGATCATAGGCCCCCCCACCTGGCCGTTAGGATATTGCTTTTGCATGAGCCAGGCGCCAGGCCACCATTTGACACGCGGACATATGCCCGTCGCATTAGCAGCAATACAAACGAGACACCGCCCGGTGACTTGCCCGTCGCCGGTCTTCCGGTCCGGTGGTCCGGCTCCGCCTTTCGGATGCTCGGCAAGTATACGCTGTGTCTGGAAATACAACGAGGGGACAATCCACACTTGCATAAGTCGGTCGCGCCTCAGCGTTCTGCGTCTGCTCTCTCCGTCTCTCTCAGCCATCTGACACTCACCCCCCTCCCCTCATACACACCATGTCGCTCAGAACAGCTGTGCGCACCTTTTCGCGTGCCCGTGCACCTGTCAACATTGTCGCCGCGCCACGACGCGCCTTGTCCACGGCCGGCTCGTCGTCTGGCGGCTCTCGGTCTCGTGCGCGCTTCGACTGGCGCCTGGCCGCCGGTGTCGTTGGCGCAACAGTGAGTCTTTAACCCATAGCACGGAAGCCAACTCTCAGGCCGTCGTCACGTACGTTCTCTCCCCGCCCATGCGCCTGGAAGCGGCACCCAAGGGCAAGGGCAAGAAGGCGGTCCCCTCTGCGGGCATCCCGTTCTCCGAGGTGCAAAAGCACAACACACGCGACGACTGCTGGGTGATTATCGACGGTAAAGTCTACGACGTGACGGCGTTTATCGACATGCACCCCGGCGGCGCCAACATTATCATCGCCAACGCAGGCAAGGACGCGACCAAGATCTTCAAGCCGCTGCACCCGCCCGACGCGCTGGATATCCTCGACGACAGCAAGAAGCTCGGTCCCGTCGACCCCTCGACGCTGCCCGTGGTCGAGGACGAGCCGACAGACGAGGAGAAGCGCATCGCCGCGGCGCGCGCCCTCCTGCCGCCTGCCGACAGCATGCTGCTCCTCAACGACTTTGAGGAGTGGGGCGAAAAGGTGCTCTCGTCGACTGGCTGGAACTATTACAAGTCCGCCGCCGACAGCGAGGCCACCATGGACAACAACGCTGCGGCGTTCAAGCGCTACTTCTTCCGTCCCCGCGTCCTGCGGGACATCACCACGGGCGACCTCGAGACCGAGGTGTGCGGCACCAAGATGGCCATGCCATTCTTCATTTCGCCCGCGGCCATGGCCAAGCTCGGCCACCCGGACGGCGAGGTCAACCTCACGCGCGGCGCCGGCAACGCGGGCATTGTCCAGGGTGTGAGTTGCCGCATGCAAAGTACATAGACCTTGGCTGACACCCATGTGCAGATCTCCATCAACGCCTCGTGCTCGCTCGACGAAATCATGGCCGCGCGCCAGGCAGGCCAGGCGGTCTGGTTCCAGATCTACCTCAACAAGGACCGCGCCGCGTCCGAGAGGCTGCTTGAAAAAGTCACCGAGCTCGGCGCCAACGCCATCATCTTCACGGTCGACGTCGCGTGGCAGAGCAAGCGCACGCGCGACGTCCGCGCCAAGGCCAGCGTCGCGGCCCCCATTGCGTCGACGGGCGAGGGCAAGACGGGCAGCGGCGGCAAGACCGGAAAGTCGGGCAAGCAGGGCGCCGGCGTCTCGGCGGCCATCTCGGGCTTCCAGGACCCGTACCTCCTGTGGGACGACATTGACTTTATCCGCGTGAGTTGGGAAGAATGCACATCTAGCTAGCTTGGGCTTGCCCCGCTGACACCCGACGGTAGAAACACACCAACCTCCCCATCATCGTCAAGGGCGTCCAGTCCATCGAGGACGTGGCCGAGTGCGCCGAGCGCGGTGTGCAGGGTGTCATTCTCTCCAACCACGGCGGCCGCGCTTGCGACTATGCCCCGGCCCCCATCGACCTGCTGTACGAGATGCGCGCGCTCCGCCCGGACCTGTACAGCAAGCTCGACGTCATGATGGACGGCGGGGTCCGCAGCGGCGCCGACGCCGTCAAGGCGCTCGCCCTCGGCGCCAAGGCCGTGGGCCTCGGCAGGCCGTTCCTGTATGCCAACTCGACTCACGGCCAGGAGGGCGTCGAGCGCGTGTGTGAGAGTGAGTAACGAGGAAAGGCGGGCGGACGCCAATAGGAGACCCCAATTGCTGACCTGCTCTCCCCCCCCCTAGTCATGGAAGAGGAGATCACCAACACGATGCGTAACTGCGGCGTCACAAAGGTCGCAGACCTCAAGCCCGAGATGGTCGGCCCCGCAGGACCGTGGGTGGGCGCCAACCGTCCTCCATGGCTGTAGGCTGGCGTTCTTGCGTTCTTGCGTTCTTAGAGGAGACAAGTGACAATGGCTGGATATCGGGGATCACGCGTGTATAGCGAGAGAGAGGCAGAGGGGTTTTTAAAGATGTATAGTCAAGGATGGACCGCAACACAGTTACTTGCATGCTGCCACTGCCACTGGCCACTACCTACAGACTCACCATGGTCATTCTCCAGGACATACCCACCCGCCCCAGCCATAAAGTCGCCTCCGCCCCCACATTCCCCCACATTTTGTCTCCCGCCCGCCTTTTCTCCGCCCCGTCCGCGGCCAGCATTTCCGCGCGCCGCGCCCGACAACCCGCCGATATGCGGCACCCAGCGCATCGGTGCGGAGGACCGTCTCCCCGGCAGCCAGCCAGCAGCCAGGCCATGCAGCCATGTGGTGGCGATGCGTGATGGTTTTTTTGCACGCTGGAGGCGAAGGCGACGGGGAGCTGGGAGCTGGGACGCAGGCGTGGACGGTGGACGCGGGGACGCTGGGACGCACAGAGTACAGCGTATTTGGTGCACGGGATATTAGGCATATGACCAGCCTCGTATTGGCCGCCCCAGCGTACGAGTGTGCGGCTGAATGGTGGAGCTAAACAAAGGCCTAGCCAGAGCCCACACCGCTCCCCCCGTCGTCATCGGTTGTGGGGTCGCTGGATCACTGGGTCTCTCACACGACTACGACAAGACCTGCACACCATCCGCTGAGACGAGGTTTTCTGCAGAAGGCCATTGTCTCGGGTTTATACTCGCGGGCGGTCATTCAGCTTTTGCTTCGGGGCGTCCTGATCGCGTTTACCCACTACACCCACGGTCTGTGTCAGTGGGTTCCACTTGTACTCCTGCGTCTGCTCGTGCTCGTTGTGGGGGTGTGGGGTTTTGTTTTAAAATCTACTTGTGCTCATACATCACATGCATTGACTACGCGCGAATGCTGCCTTTGCCGCTTTTTATTAGGCCATTTTACACGGGGGAAGGGAGGAGCATGCGGCGGGGGTCCTCGAGGTACTCCTTGATGCGGACGAGGAAGGTGACGGCTTCCCTGCCGTCGAGGAGACGGTGGTCGTAGGTGAGGGCGACGACCATGATGGGGCGGATGACAATCTGGCCGTTGACGACGACGGGCTTCTCCTTGATGGAGTGCATGCCGAGGACGGCAGCCTGGGGCAGGTTGATAATGGGGGTACCGTAGAGCGAGCCAAAGACACCGCCGTTGGAGATGGTAAAAGTGCCGCCGGACATGTCCTCGATCGAGAGCTTGCCGTCGCGGGCACGGGCGCCGAGGGCGGCAATCTCGCGCTCAATGTCGACGAGGCCCATCGACTCGGCGTTGCGGAGCACGGGGGTGACAAGACCCTTGGGGGTCGAGACGGCGACCGAGAGGTCGACGTAGTCGCGGTAGACGATCTGGTCGTCCTCGATCGAGGCGTTGGCCTCGGGAATCTCACGGAGGGCAAGCACCGACGCGCGCGAGAACGCCGACATGAAGCCGAGCTTGACGCCCTCGGCCTTCAGGACACCGTCCTTGTACAGCTTGCGGAACTCCATGATGGACGACATGTCAATCTCGTTGAAGGTGGTGAGCGCGGCAGCGGCGTTCTGCGACGCCTTCAGGCGGGTAGCAATGGTCTGGCGCATGCGCGACATCTTGACACGGGTCTCCTTGCGGCTGGGGCCAGAGCCCGACGCAGCAGCGGGAGCGGCCTCCTTCTTGGCGGGTGCGGGGCAGCAGCCTTGGGGGCGGGGGCAGCAGCGGCGGGGGCAGCGGCCTTGGGGGCCTCAGCCTTGGGGGCCTCGGCAGCGGGGGCAGCAGACTCGGCGGCGGCGGGGGCAGCGGCAGCCTCGCCCTCGGGGGCCTCTCCGGGCTCAATCTTGATGAGGTCCTGTCCGACAGTGACGGTCGAGTCCTCCTCGGCGAGGAGCTCGACAATCTTACCCGACTGGGGAGCGTTGACAGAGACGTCAATCTGGAAAGAGTGTCAGTGTGTTGTTACCAGCGTTACAGACTGCGCCGGTGGGTCCGGGGCCGACGTCTCCGTCTGTCCCGTGTGCCGAGTCCGTCCTGCGTCTGTTTGCGCCGCTGGCTCACCTTGTCGGTCTCGATGGTAGCAATCTCCTCGTCCGCCTTGACAAAGTCACCAACAGCCTTGGTGTACTGTTTCAAGGTACCCTCGGTAATGGACTCGGCCTGGAGAGACGTAGTCAGTACATGTGTACGTGCGTCCACGGTGAGGCTAGCAAGGAATCACTGCCAGCCATCTGCGGCAGGAGAAACGCACCATCTGGGGAACCTTGACGGTGACGGGGGCTGCGTCGTCGTCAGAACTATTTCTTGGGAGACGGGGTTCCAATTGCCCCGCGGCTTGTTTTCAACACTCACCGGCAGTGAACGAAGTGGCATGGAAGCTGCGCACGAGGGGGACGGCAGCGACGCGCGACCTGTGAGTGGGGTGTAAGCACGAGTTGTCTGGGTAAAGGGGGGTGGTCCTGTTGTGGGTGGTGGTTGGTGTGCAGGTTGCGGGGGGATTGGCGCCACTCTTTCGCGGGGAAACGAATGCACCACCACGACCACGACCACCACCAAATGGCCTTGCGGGGATACCTACACGGGGAGGGCGGGGCGTGCTGACAGGACGGTGCGGGGGGCACGGCGGGCAGCGGCCGAGCCAGATGCCTTTGCGACGGCGGCGAGTGCGCGAGCGGGTGTGCGGAGCATGGTGGGGAGGAGGGGTGAGTGGGGGATGGAGGAGTGGAGGATGTCGAAAACGACGACGACGAGCGAGAGCACACGGGAGAGGGAGGCTATACGAGCAGGGGGTTTCGCCGAGCGGATGGCAGCAGCGCTGGGCGCGGGGAGAGCGCTGGGTGGGGTGACACCGCCTGGGTCACCGCACGGCTGGCCACACGGCTGGGCCGGAGGAACGCACACGGCCGTCTGCTGGTCGGCTCTCGGGGTTGGGCCCGAACACCACCGAAAAGGACGCGGCCGGGGAGCCGCAAGGCCTACCCCCCCGCCATTTCGCTCCTTGTCGTCACGACTGTAAAGCATATGTCCCCTGTTCAGTTCAGCAGCATATGCACATGTGCATGGAGGCCGCCCTCTCGTACAACACATGCACATGCACACAACGGCAGCATTGGACCTTCCAGTTTTCTGTACCCAGACGTTTGCCAATATGATTGGGACAGGAGAAAAGTTGCTCCACGGGTGGGCACACCACTACGTCATTATTAATTCCCCCGTTTGTCACATTAGAAAGGTGCCTTTACTGCCACCGCGCCACCGCCATCATCTAGCAACGACACATGTCTCTTTCCAAAGCAATAAAAAATAGTCGCTTTACACTGGCCAGTGTTTTGTATTTGTATTGAACCCCCGCACTTAGTGGTAATACACGTGGTCCTTTAGATATATTATTTTGTATTGGTTTGATTTAGAACCCCGGCACTTAGTGGTAATATACGTGGTTCTTTAATCATTTCCCCCAGATCCCATCCTGGATTCGAACTCCGGCCGTTGTGGTAATATACGTAGTTGGAACCTCCCAGGGCACTTTAACGCGACTATAATATTCAGGTTGGAAAGCAAGAATATGACCAGAGGCGGCCTTTGCCAAATTCCAGCGAAAAGGACGGGCGATGATGGTGGCACATTCGGGCTGGCTCTTCTATCTGTGCACATTCTGACGGCAGATGTCTCTGCCGCACCTGCGTCCACACTCTACCGCGCGACTTCCTATCGCCGCTGCACCTGTCGCTGCTTATCGAAAGCAAGCCGATCTGCCGTCAGTGGACCCAACGCTCCAGGTCCGTCGTTTACCGACACCCCGAATCGCCATGGCTCAGTGCCGTGTAGTTGAGATACTGGCACTAATGACAGCGCTGAGTGTCCACGCCACTGGTTACTCCCCCACACAGCCTTCCGTCCACGCAGAAGCAATGCCATGCACCATGAATAGTCCTACCCCTCTACCTCTACGCTACCCCTAGCCCATTACAATCATAGTCCTACCCTACCCCTCCCCTTCCCTTCCGCCACTCCCGGCTCTTAAGCTGCCGCCGCGCTGTCGGCCTTGGCCCGCGCGTCCACCTCGACCAGCTCGTCAAACTTGACGCCGCTGCCGCCAAAGATATCCAGGCTCGAGCCAAACGTCAGGTCGACCTTGCCGTGGCTGAGGCGGTCGACGAGGGGGAGGTCGCCAATGTCCTTGGCGCCGCCGGCATACGTGCACGGGATGGACACCCACTCGCCGAGGCCTGGTGTGTGTGTCAGCAGATGTGTGTGGCGGGCGGTGGGTGTCGACACAGCCCCGTACTCACGCTCGACAAGTTCCTCGTCAATGCCCTGGCACAGACCCTCGACGTCGGCGGCGTGGATGAGCAGCTCGGAGCAGTATCCCTCGATGAGCTTGACGCTCTCGGCCGTCACGGCCAGGTCGGTGAGCGTCTTCCAGCCGTTCATGGCGACGATCCACCCGGCTTCGCGCTTACGGCAGCTGGAGGATGTGTTAGCTGTGGAAGGAAGGAAGACCAGAGGCCAGAGGCCAGAGGCCGTGTTTTCAGTCAGAGGCAGCTGCGGTCCCGGTTTGGCACAGCTGCCCAACTGCCCCAGCCGCCAGTGTCGCACCCACCTAATGTCCACGACAAGCCTGTCCCGGCCCACGACCTCACACATCTCCCGCAACACGCCTTCGTCAAACTTGCCGCCGGGGAACAGCGCGCTGGTGACAATCACTTTACTCGCGCCGGCCTCGAGCCACTCCTGGGCATTCTTGACGCTGATCCCGCCGCCGACCTGCAGGCCCCCCGTCCACGCCGCGAGGGCTTCCCGCGCCGCGGCGTCGTTGTTTGGGCCCAGCTTGATGACGTGGCCGCCCACAAGAGCGTGTTGCTTGTACAGCGCGGCGTAGTATGATGGCGGGTTGCTGGGAGCGTCAGCAGGGAGCCGAGGGGAGGAGAGGGGAGGGCGTGGGGGTGGTGGGGGTTGGGCAGGTGTGAGAGGGTGAGTGAACGGCTGTATCTTGAGTTGGTAGCCTGGTCTCATCCCAACTTCGTATATTCAAATGGATACCGCGTCGAAGCTGGCGCACGACAGCCTTGGCAGCGATGGGAGGAAGGCGGGAGGGAGGGAGAGGAAGGGAGGGCTGCCGGAGCTTGGGCGACTGGCATGGGTGCACAGCGAGGAGCTAAGCGTTCGAGGCGTAGCTCTACTTCGTCCAGCTTCTTGTCCATCCTGGAAGCTGGCACATGGCAGCCATGTCTAGCAGCACAGCAGCACAGCGGCGACGGAGAACGCAGCTTGACACAGCTCGACACCCACCTCGCGACAAAGTTCTCCTTGGGCCCAGCGGCCGCGCTGTCCGTCAGGTCGAGCGTGCCGCCCACAATCTGCTTGACGACGCCGCCGTGCAGGTCAATACACGGGCGGAACTGCGAGTGTCGCCGGGGAACGTCGGTGGCCATGGTGGTTGGGGAGGGTTGCAGCGAGAGGAGGGTGGGTGTGGTAAGTAAGTCGGTTGTGATCAAGGGCTGGGCTGACTTTTTCGGCAATTCATGACGGCGACTGGCCGACTGGATAAACAAATGTCATTACCGTTGCTCGCCCTAATGACCCCACCCGTTTTCCTAATCCGCTAAACTGCGCCGTTCGATCAAACCGCTCAAGATGTGCATGCAACACCACGGATCACGCCTAATACAGCTAGCTATCTCTATCCCACGCTCCGCTCCACTCTACATTCTACACATCGCTCGCACGCGGCGCCTTGCGTTTCTTGCTCTTGGACTTTTTGCCGTCGTCGTCGGGCGTGCTGGCGGCAGACACCTTGCCCGACTTGGACGGGGTCGAGACGGAACGCGAGTGGCCGTTGGCGTGGCCGTTGGGCACGCCCAGGCCATTGAGCTGCTTGTTCTTCTTCTTGTCCTTGCCGCCCTGCGGGGTCGACACCTTGGGCGTAGCAGGCGCGGCCTTTGGCTTGGCGGGCACGCTGGCCATGAGCTCCTTGAAGAAGACTTCGAGCTGGGCGACATCGTCGTCGCGCACCACGCGGACAGCGTCGGCCGCAAGCGACAGCGGCGCGGCGCCGAGGTTGGGCAGCTCGTCGATCTCGATCGCCTCGCCCTCAGCGGCACCCTGCTCGTCCTTGGCCGAACCGAGGAACTCGTCCATGAACGCGTCGAACAGCAGGCCGACGGGAGGAAGGGTGTGCGACGGGCCGTCAAAGACCTGCTCCGGGTGGCCGGCGGCGCGGCGCTGCAGCGCCGAGACGGCGACAGCAGCAGCCTCAGGCTCAGGGGCAAGGTCAATGTCGTCGAGGAAGGCGTCCTTGCCAAACATTTCCTGCCAGATGGAGGTGGCACGGCGGGCAGGGGCAGCGGCCGACGACACGGAGCGCGCAGCGGGGGCAGCGGCAGTCTGGAGGTCGCCGAAACGCGAAATCTCACCCGAGGGCGCAATGCCCACGAGGTGGACAGCCGAGCCAGTGGCGGGGAGAGTGGTCATGACGGTAAAGCCAGACTTGAGGTTGGCGGAGCGGGCGAGGGTGCCGTTGGGGTTGAAGAAGGCAAGGGTGGTGGCGGTGGCGCTAGACTGAGCGGCAATGAAGCCTGAAGGGGTAGGGAGGAGGACGTCGACGGCCTGCGAGGGCAGCGTGTTGACGACCTCACACGAGAGGAGGTCCCAGACGGTCACACCCTTGTAGGCAGCGCCCGCAACAAGGTAGCGACCCTCTGATCCGGAGAAGGCGACCTTGCGAGCATCAACGCCGCTCACAAGAGGGCGGAGCAGCAGGTTGGTCTGCGCATCCCAGAGGGTGACAACCGAGCCGTGCGCGAGGGCCACAAGAGTGGCATCGGGCGAGAAGGCAGCGGCGTACACGCCGAGCGAGCGGTACGAAAACGTAGAGCGCGTCGACCAGTAGTCTGTAGATTGTCAGCAACTTGTCTTTCGAAAGAAGAAAGAAGTTGTTGTCGTGGATGGTGCCCTCAGAAATATAGAAGAGTGGGTTTATCATCAAACAAAATTATGATTGTTGAGCTTGAAAATTGTGTTCATCACAGGGCACCAACCCCAGAACGGTCCGGAAGAGAGAAAAGGAAAACGGTACTCACACTCTGCAACAGCGGGCTTCTTGGCGGAGGTCTTGCCTGAGGGGTATCGTCAGCGGACATTCACAAAACGAAATAAGGGTTTGTAAATGTGTCTCCTCAGTATTGCAGAACATTGGTTCCTCAGCGCCGAAGCTTTGGAGAAGAAATAGTAATGTGTTGTTGTTTATCATCACCGGAGACGGTGGGCGGGGTAGGGATGGAATCGTCAACGTACCTTGCTGGGTCTTCTTGACCTGGCGGACGTGCCAGAGCTTGACGGAGCCGCTCGAGCCGGCAGTGAGGGCGAAGGGCTCACCGCCCTGGCTGGCAGCGGGGCCGAACGAGAGCGAAGTGACGTCGTCGGTGCCATGAGGACGGGGGTACTGGGTGTTGACGACGTAGCGGTCGCCGTTCCAGCGCCAGAAGGTGAGGGTCTTGACAAAGCCGCCACCTTCCTCCTCGTCGGCACGGCGGCCAACGACAGTGGCCATCCACTCGGAGCGGCCATCCTTGGGTTCGGAGAAAGCAACCTTCTCCACAGCCACGGGGATGAGCTCCTTGTCCTCTCGCCTGCTCACGCGGTTCGAGGGAGCGACCTCGAGGTCGAAGAGGACAGTCGACGCAAGAGGGTCGATGAACTGCAGAGTCGAAGGGTGCGACGAGGGCACAACGAGTGCCTTGGTGGCAGGGTGGACAGCGAGCGGGTAGGGGCCCTTCGAGGTGGGACGCAATGGGTCGAGGCGGACACCCTGGCCGACGGCCGAGACGTGACCGGTCGAGGCACCAACGCGCATGAGAGCACCATCGGCAAAGCCCATCCAATACTCCTCCTCGACACCACGGCTGCCGGGGCGGACAGCGACGCTGAGAATCGGCCTGCCGCCGAGACGAGGGATGTACTCCCTCTTGCCGGAAGCAAGGTGCCACTGGACAAGCACACTCTCCTCACCGACGGAGAGAATCTGCGCGCCGGCCGAAGTGAACGCAATGGCAGCAACGGCATGTGCGTGCCAGTGGAGCGAGGTTGTTGGCAGACGCTTCTCCGTGTCGGCGTACAGAGGCTTTTCGGCAAGCTCGGCCTGCTGAGCCTCAATGGCCGCAGCATCGAGTTGGCGGAAGGCGGCACCGAGGCCGTGCCACAGACGAATGACACCGCGCTCGTCACCGGTAGCAAACCACTCCTCCTGGACCGAGCCGGTGCGCGACTTGCGGTCGGGCGCAAACGCACCACAGGTGAAGGTCTCGTCGGAAACAAACTTGACGCAATTCAGCTTCCACTTGTCATCGGCAACGGTGGCTGGCAGGCGATAGACGTATGCCTTGGCACCGGCGAGGGCGACGACATAGTTTGAGCGGGGCGACATCATGATCGCGGCCGGCTGAGAGCGGAGCTTGCCCACGAGGTACTGGTAGGGAATATGCTTTTCGCCAGCGGGCACGACCTGGGGGAGGAGCGGCACACGCATAAGACGGTGCTGGAGGTGACCGTTGTCATCGCGGACCTTCTTGCCAGGCTTGGGGTTGGTGACGGTCGCGAAGATCCACCACTTGTCAGCCACCTGGCCGACGCAAATCTGATTCACGCGGCCGTCGTCGGCGAGCAGGACGGTGCGAACGTGACGACCCTCAACCCAGTCCCAAATTTTCACAGTGCCGTCCTCGGACGCGGTCACGAGCTGCAGCGGGTTGGTTGGGTGGAGAAGGAGAGCGGTAATGGGCTTGCGGTGGCCGTGAGGGTCGGTCGAGGACAGGGTCGAGAGGCGCGCAAAGTTTGCCGTGGTCGAAGAGTGCACGAACACGGACGTGTTGGCGGCGGTGAAGTAGAACCTGGTTTGTTAGCTATGCCCACAGCGTTCGCAGCTACAACTCACCTGCCATCCTTGGACCACACTGGGGGGATCGCAGAGACCTCGCTGCGTGCGACGGGGACACAGTCCCAACCGGTCACTTGAGGCTGGTGCTGCTTTTTGGGCTTTGGCTTTGAGGGCCCAGCCTTGGAGGGGTTGGAGAGCTCAGCGAGCGGGTCGCGAGCACGCTCCTTGCCCTTGGCGCTTCGTCGCGGACGAACATGGTGTTCCACGGGCAGGGTAGTGAATGATTCGCCCATGGTGAGGCGGGGGGGAGAGAAGAACAGAAGAGATGTTATATCTCTTCGATGGGTGCGAGAGCCAGTCTTGCAAAAGTTGGACGGGTGGGGGGGGTACGAGCACATTCAGGCGCAAGAAATTACAAACGGGGAGGGCAAAATAAACATACATACCAGTGGCAGCTAAACGGGGCGGCTCATATAACACAAATTGTCGTCGACGGAGACAATCCTCAGTTTGATGGAAAAGAATCAGCGCGTGAGCAGCCACGACCCAGGCAGCAGCAGCGCAGGCAGCGAGCACGCTCATCCTGTCGACGTACAGACACACCTTGCTCTCTCCACCACTCCCCAAAACATCCAAAATGGCACTCGACTTTGTGCTCCCCCCTATCCACGACAACGAGGACGGCTCGTGGGGCCCTTCGTCCTCGACCCTCGCCGCTCCCTTCAAGGAGTAAGTTAATGGTCGGGGTCCTCATCCCACCACCACCATCATAATCACATTTGCCACGCATCACAGGTCACTGACCCCCTTCTAGCATCCCCTATGCCCCCTTCTCCAAGTCGGACAAGCTCACCCGCATTGCCGACTGGCACGACCCCGCTCTTGAGGGCGCTGCTTCGTCGACTGCCCGCGGTGGCCGCCAGACCACCACCGCCAACCGCCGCCCCGGCCGTGAGGCCTACGGCGCCTCCGAGGTCAACGCCTTTGGCTACGTTCACGACGAGGACGAGAAGAGCTTCTCGCTCGTCGACTCCACCCGCCCTACCCGCGGCCGTACCTCGGCTCTCCGTGGCCGTCCCGCTCGCGGTGGTCTCGCTCCCGGTCCCCGTGGCGCCGCCGGCCGTGCTGGCGCTGCCCGCCCCGCTGCTCCTGCTCGCGGCGGCGCTCGCTACAGCACTAGCTCGCGTGGTGGCCGTGGCGGTTACGGCTACGACAAGCCTACCCGTACGCGTGACTGGTCGGTGACCCCGGCTCAGGACTGGGAGCTGCTCGAGGAGATTGAGTTCAACCGCCTGAACAAGCTCTCGCTCGGTGTCGACGCTCCCGAGGACCTCGAGGCCCACGGTACCCTCAAGGGCTACGACCGCGCCGTGTTTGACCGTGTCAACACCCGTGCCGAGAAGCCCCTCGAGATCACCGAGCGTGCCCGCTACAACATTACCACCTCGGAGGACCCCGTCATTGCCGAGCTCGCCGAGAAGAAGAAGGCCACCATCTTTGCCACCGACTCGATCCTCTCGGTCCTCATGTGCGCTCCCCGTTCGGTCAACTCGTGGGACATGGTCCTCGAGCGCCGTGGCGACCAGCTCTTCTTTGACAAGCGTGACGGCGGTGCCTTTGACTTTGTCACCGTCAACGAGAACGCTGCCGACCCTCCCGCCGACTCGGACGACGCCCTCAACGGCGCCGCCTCGCTCTCGCTCGAGGCCACCTACATCAACCAGAACTTCCGTTCGCAGATCATCCAGGACAAGTCCAAGGCCTACACCCCTCACCCCAACCCCTTCTACTCGCCCGAGGAGACCGAGCCCCTCGCTCCCGTCCTCTACCGTTACCGCAAGTTCGACATCTCCGTCGGCGAGGAGGAGGAGCTCGACCTCATTGTCCGTACCGAGGTCGACGCCTTCCTCGGCAAGAAGGACACCCCTATCACCGTCAAGGCTCTCAACGAGTACGACTCGCGTGCCCAGGGCGCCGGCAAGGCGCTCGACTGGCGCAAGAACCTCGACACCCAGAAGGGTGCCATTGTCGCCAACGAGATGAAGAACAACTCGGCCAAGCTCGCTCGCTGGGCTCTCCAGTCGTACCTCGCCGGCGCCGAGCAGATGAAGATGGGCTACATCTCGCGTGTCAACCCCCGCGACAACCAGCGCCACGTTATCGTCGGCATCCAGTCGTACAAGCCCGTCGACTTTGCCCGCCAGATGAACGTCTCGCTCGCCAACGGTTGGGGTATCGTCCGCACCATTGCCGACCTCGTCCTCAAGCAGCCCGAGGGCAAGTACGTCCTCGTCAAGGACCCCAACAACCCCACTATCCGCCTCTACGCCGTCCCCGAGGACGCGTTTGAGCCCGTCGAGGAGGAGGAGGAGCTTATCATCCACGAGCAGGACGAGTAGTAGACTAGGTAGAAATGGCTGCATGTATCTTGTCTGGATTAGGGCTAGAAATTATGACTGCACCACAGGCAGGGGAAGCAGCGAAACAGCGGGCGGGTGCTGGCTCACCCGACCAGGCTAATGATGTCCTGAGCGACCGTCACGCCCGGGAGAGGTTCGTCTAACAAAGGGTACCAGTATAGGCTCATGGTGGACTGCACCTGCATTCACCAACTGCCTTACACTCGTTTGGCAGCTGGTTGTGTAGGTATCATCTCGCCATGAACCTGCTCATGCGCGCCTTGTCAGCGGAAGACCGTCTGTAAGGAATCTGCAATGACATGTCCTGCCACAAGGACATGAGGGGCTGAACAGGCATCCACGGGCACGATTGAGGTCGAAAGGAATAGTCGAAGGTGCCGACAACATGGCTGCGATGTCGCTGCAATCGTGGAGGTCGCTGCGCTCGCTCTCAACTGAACAACACGGGGGCCCGCGCTCATATCACTCTGTGGTGCGTCTTGTAGGAGGGGGCCGGGTCGAGTTGCAGCTGGACAGCGCCGAGAGCAAGTGTGTACGGCCATATCCTAGGCGTAGCGGAAGAACTGCCAGCCAACCCAGTTGGCAATGACGAACCACGCCGTGACGGGGACGAGGATTGGGAGGAGGTACTTGTAGTGGTTGTCCGAGCAGAGGACGGCGAGAAGAGGGGACTGGGCGTGAGCTTAAGCGGGGAAGGACCATTAGCTTACGTCTGAGGGGCACCCGATGCCAATGTACAACCCCGCGAGAGCCACTGTTGCCGCTGTACCGAGGACAAACGAGACGGAAAGCGCGTACATCTGCCCCGCTGTGGACGCGACCAGTGCGCGCGCCGGCGGGGGGTTCGCGTAGTCGTCCTCTTCCAGTACGAGGTTGGTCTTGGTCGACGAGGGCACGGTCGGCGTCGCGGTACCCGAGCTTGCTGCTGGAGCTGTCTTGGACATTGTCTTTGGTGTCGCTGTCGTGTCGTTGTTCGACTGGGGTGCGGGTTTTTGGACCCTCTTTGTCTCCTCTCCTCCGTCGGGAGCCGTTTCGTCGTTATCGCGAGGCACTGCGTGAGAGGGAAGCGGCGGTGTCGAGGTGCACGATGAAACAAGCGCGCAGTTGCAGGACCAGACGTCGATGCGAAAGAGGAAGAAGATGTGAAACGACGTGGGAGAGAGAGGGTGAGAGACGAGCCGGGGATTTAGTGTCGTCACCATCAACAAGCGCGCTGGCCCATTTGGCCACTTCTTGCTTTCATACCTTCCTCCGTCATTGAGTCTTTATTAATCACCAACACCCACCTCCATCGTGCAGCGCACTCTTGCACTCCCCGCGCTATGCACATTATTGCCCGGCGCGGGCACAACAAGACCAGAGGTACGTAGTCCCCTCTCAGCGCGTCGCGATAGCGATTGGCGAGAGACGCTTTCAGAGGCACGCTTCTGACGGTACAGAATGACCGCCGTGCCCCAACCTTTTGCGCAGGCGCCGACGCCGACGTCGGCACTGCTGATGCCTGTCGCCGAAGCTCCACCACCACTGCCTCCCAAGGATACCAGCGGCGCCGCACTGCTTGACAGCAGCATTGACGCCCGGCGCAGCATGACGGCCGACCCGTCCACTCCGCCGGGCTTGGGCGCGGCGACTACCCCGACAGCTACCCTGCCGCCCAACGCCAACGTCCATGCCAACACCCTCGCCGAGCCGACGCTTGCCCTGCCGCAATCGCAATCACTACTGTACCCTCACCAACAACAACATCATCCCAATCTCACATCGCGCCTCAGCGCGCTCTTCCACGCCGGACCAGGACAACACGCGGTGCCCGCCATGTCCAGCACGACGGTGCCCGACTCGCCAGGCCCCGTCGTACCCGGAGTGGACGGTCTGGACATGGTGACCTTCAAGGACCGGAACGCACTCAAGGTTCTCGTCGTTACGTGGAACATGGGCGATGCCTTGGTACGTCTCGGACTGGGTCTGTCAGCAGCGCGCGCGCTGTGCGAACAGCTTTGGTGCCAGAGAAGCTGCAGCTCGCAGCGCACGCAGTCGGCTTCCGCTGCGGCAGACGTCGTCATACCAACCCCTCCCCCAACAACCTTGATGACAGCTGACGCGCTCCGCAGCCCAAAGGCGATTTGAGTGTCCTCCTCGGCGACGTCCCGACATACGTAGCGGATGAGTACCAGGCCGATCCATCGTCGGGTCTGCCTCTGCTTCCTATCGAGAACGTGCACCCCTACCACGTTATCGTGTTCGCCGCGCAGGAATGTCCCACGCCCAGCGGTGTTCCCCGCGGTCTCGGCGCCGGACTTATGAAGGGCAAGGGCGTTGGTTTGCAGTGGAACGACCAAGCGATCAAGAAGGAAGGAGTCGGAGCCAAAGAGGGGTCCAAGGAGGTGTTGAAGGACGCCAAGGAAGGAGACAAGGACGAGAAGAAGAGGGAAGGGACGGGCGACGAGGTCACGAGACCCAAGCCGCTACGACAAGATTCTGAAAAAGACTTGCGACAGAACAGCAAGGAGGGCAAGGTGACTGGCGTCCTTGACAGTCTCAAGGTCAAGGAGGGTCTCAAGGAGAGCTTGAAGCAGAGTCTCGGGACGCTGGACACACTCGGCCTCACGGACAGGAAGGACGACAATGGAAGCCCCGCTCCCTTGAGCGACCGCAAAAAGCTCGAACGGCTCCGCGAGACGTATGACATGGGATCGAGCTCGCCTATCCGTATGACCTCGCCACTGTCGGATGAGCGCCTGTTCTCACCCGCTACAGTGGAGCACAGGGTGCCAGCAGGACCCAAGGGCTGGAGTGCGATGCTCGAAGGTGAGCTTTGAGAATGGCGTAGCAGCTGACATTTAGAATGGCTCTGTGCTGGACCTCCAAGACCCGCAACACCAGAAACCTCGCCCGGCTCATCTGATCAGACCCCTGCCGCCCCTACCTCCCCCAGCAAGCAGCCCAAGCCCTTACACAAGACGTCGGGCGGCTCCAAGCCGATCGGCATCCCCATGCCCCCGGTCGCGGCGCTGGTGACCCCCTCACCCATCCACACAATGCACGCGCGTGCCACGCCCGTGGCCCGCTCGTTTGAGCCGAGCAGCATTGCCACCAACAGCGTGTTCGGGACCAGTGCGGCAACAGACTCCTCCTTTGGCGCACCGTCCGCTGCACCACCCGGTACCAGTGTGATGAGCAGCAATGGCGGCTTCCTCGCCCCGCCCGCCGACTTTAACCATCCGGGTCTGACGAGGTCGCTGAGCCAGCGGAGTATCACCCGCTCACCGAGCGACCAAGGGCTCGAATTGCCCGCCCCTCCGAAGTGCATCCGCGAGCCTGGTGCAGGCCCATACGTCAATGTTGCCAAGGAGCGTCTTTTGGGCCTTTACATGAGCGTGTTTGTGCACAAGGGGTGCGAGAACCTGGTGAGAGGCGTGGACAAGGACTTTGTCACTACTGGTCTCGCCGGCGGCCGGTTTGGCAACAAGGGCGGAATGTGAGTTTCCGGTCCCTTCGACGTTAAGCTGACATGCAGTGGTATCAGTCTCCATCTGGGCGAGAAACGACTTCTCTTCATCAACGCACATCTCGCAGCGCACACGGACAGGAATGATGCTCGCCTTGCCAACATTGCAAAGATCAAGGGTTCGCTCGACCTCAACTGCTTCCTGCCGGCCGAGGACCCACGCGCGACCATGCCAGATCTGACCGACCGGTTCGACAGCAGCTTCTGGTGTGGTGACCTCAACTTCCGCGTGGACATTACGCGACAGCACGCCGATTGGCTCTTGAAACAGAACAAGTACCAAGAAGCTCTGGCTTGGGACCAGCTGCGTAAAGCAATGGAGGACCCGCGCCACACACCCTTGCCAGGCTTTTACGAGGCTCCCATCACGTTCATGCCTACGTTCAAGTACGACGTGTGGAAGTCTGTGCGCGCTACGAACCGCGACATGCGTCGGTCCATCCGTCGCCGCAAGGCTGTGGACCGGCACGAACGGTCGTCGTCGGAGATCAACCCAGCCACCTTGCAAGGTGTGCCCGAGGGAGCCGAGTGCGACTTGCTAGAAGAACCAGAGTATTCGGGTTCCGACGTCGGCGACGTGACCCATGACCATGGAGCACCGCCGTGCATGCCGGGCGTCTCACCCGAGATGGGGACAAACGAACTGCCACAACATGAAATGTTCCCTGACGCAGAGTCGGTTCGCTCCAGCGTGTACCTCGACGATCCACCCTTTTCGCAGGACGGAGGCGACGAGCTTGCACCCAGCGGTCAAAGTATCCGGTCGACCGCTTCTGCCAGTGCCCTGCGGTCACCGGCCTCGACAGCAACCGTGGCCACGACTGGGACAGGAGTTAGCACTGGCCGTCCCAAGCCCTCACTGAAGGAGAAGAGCAGGAAACTGCTCAACATTCTGAGACTGGGCAATGGGCGACCACTGTCGCGCTCTGCCCCACGGACTGGGACGCCGGCGGATTCTGCCCGACGCACATCTACATCATCGTTCCGGTCGTTTGTGTTGTCCGAGGACGGTGTGTCGACCGTTCTGAGCGACGATGCGACCCCGCCTGTCCATCCCCTCGACGATCCCTTGGGCGCTGTTGTGGGGCTGGGGCTCGGCGAAGGTAGCCCACAAGGTGTAACCAATGTTGCCAACGGCCACGCGCACTTTGTTCCCGGGGCCGACGCCAACGGCCACACCCATGTCCCCGGCTCTCACCCGCACCACCTGATGCCGGGTGCTCCAAACGGCAGTGCACTGGGTACGTCTGTGAAAAGCGAGCACAGCGGCGGCGGCCACGCCCGTCGACCGTCGTCGTCGTCTGTCCGCCTTCTTTCATCCCCACCGCGACGCCACATTTCCCTCCGCCGCCGCAGCCCATCTATGCGGAGCAACCACACTGAGAACGAAGAGGCGGACGACTTTGACGACACCAAAGACAACCGCGTGGGCGTGTACGATTCGAGCAAGAAGCAACGAATCCCCAGCTGGTGTGACCGTGTACTGTTCAAGAGTCACATTATCCCCGACGACGACGTGATTCTGGACGAGGACGACGAGGACGACGATGATGACTCGTCAAGGGGCAACGGACGGTTGTATCGCCTGACACATGTGTTTTCCAACTTTGGGTCAACACTCCGCAAGCGGTCAATGACATGGGACGAGTCGTTGCCGCGACCCGACCTGCCCCCAGCACCAGACACGCCACCCACTGCACCACCCACATCCGTCCTCATCAATCCCGACTCGGTGCCCCCCACGCCCGTCCCCAACGCGCGCGCAACGTTTGTCAGCGAATCGCCAGACCGGATCCCCAACTATGGTCCACTCAATAACGGCGGCGACTCACTATCCCAGTCTCCCCCCGGCCCGGCCGCGAGCCAGTTCCCCAACCGGTCCCGCAGCGTCACCTTTGACGGCCCCCAGCCGAGCACGCCGCAGCGCACGCCCATCGAGGGCAACAACGACGTCCCCTCGCCGCTCATGAGGCCACGCGTGGGCACCAGCGTCTCGATTGATTCCGCCGCATCACGATCGCCCACGGCAGCCACGGGCACCAGTCCGTCGGCAACCAGCGTGCTCGGCTTGAACCGCCGCGTCTCGTCTGCCAGCCGCCGAGGCTCCGTGTCGTCGCGCCGGGGATCTATCGGGTCGCGCAGGAAGAGCGCCGACCCGGCCCACCCAACGGCATACATGCCCCAGCTGACCCACGCGCGCACCACCGGCCACTCGCTCGACGACTACCACCAGCACCGGTTCACCGACCCGAACCTGCACGCTGTCCCGACCGGCCCGCGCGCGCAGGGCTCGGGCTTGTTCTCCAAGCTGCTCCGCAACCTGCCTGGAAAGCTGGCCTCGCGCGTGTCCCTCTTCCACGGCAGCGACGCGGGCCACGGCGCCGACGGCGGGGACCTCCTCGCGCCGCGCAGGCACCTCGCAGGCGAAGTGCGCGTGCTGCACTACGGCACGATCGACGACGCGGGCATGCGGCAGTTGGAGGGACGGAGTGATCACCGTCCAGCGATTTTCGCGGCTGCAGTGTATGTGTGAGAGGGGGAAGGATGGGACGGTGACGAGGGAGTGGGGTGTATACTGGGGAGAGGAGTGGGGAGGGACAGGAAGAAGGAGTCTCGGGATGTAACCACATAGACATATAGCCCACTTATTAACCATAATTTGCGAACAACGCCCACAGCACACAGCACACAGCACACAACGGCCTGTCATGACGTATCTTTATCATGCATATCATGCACGGCTACAGCTACTGCTTTGTGGCTCATTTTGGCTATTTTGGACGGGTTTGCAGGCTATATAGACTGGGGTAGGCCCACAGCGTCCTTTCGAGAGGTTGGAGGAGTCGGTTAGGGGTGTGGTGGTAGACAAAAGGGATTAACGTGGTATGTGGTAGAGTGTTGTAACGGGGTATCAATAGTATGTTTTTGACCTGCGCGTTGTCGCGTCTGGGCCTTTGACAAGGAGGAGGAGAGGTCGGATGGGGTGGGGTTGAGGATAGGACATGTCGGTGAGGAGGGTAGGGGGTGACGCGGGAGACGATCTCGGTGTAACGCAAGGACAATCGCAATCGACAATAATTTCGACAATCGCGGGGTCCGACCTACCTGGGCGTACGAGAACGCTCGGGGGCGGGCCTCACAAGAATGGGCTCAAGAGAGGGAGGGACAAGGATAGGGACAGTCGTGAACGGTGTGTCGTAGACGAGGGGTTCGTAAAGAGTCGTAGAACGAGGACATGGAGAGATCGTGAAGGTTGCTATTCACAGGCGGTTCTCCTTTGTTCGTGTGTTGTGGCAACGCCCGCCGTTATGGTTTGTGCTTGGCAATCACTCCTACAAGGCCTTTGATTGTCAGCACCGACCGCTACTCCACTCCCCGGCCGCCCCAAGCAAACATCAAAACAAAACGCACCTCGAGAGCCCCATTGTTGCCCTGGTCGTCCGTGGTCGCGTCGCGGAAGCCGGCCGGCTCGTCCTCCCTGGTCGCGCCGTACGCCACACTCACGTCCGAGAGAGGCATGTCGGGGTCGACACGGCGCAGAGCTGTACGCTTGGCTGATGGCTTCTTGTCGAGGACAGCGGTCTTGGGCGCGAGAGCGCGGGTCGGCGCGGCCTTGCTGCTGTGGACCTTGGACCTCGTACGGGACGCGGGGGAGTCGAGGATACCGCTGTTCTCCTTGTCAACCATACCGGTTGGCGTAGGCGCGCGCTCGCGCTTGCGACCCGGAGTGGATGGGCCGGCGGTGGACGACAATGTCGAGGGGCCAGGGGCGGCGCCGCGGAGGGTGGTGTGTTGCTTGACAGCCGCCGGCTTGACGGGGTCGGTGAAGATGGTGAACGACGATGAGGTGGCCTTCGGCTTGGCTCGAGTGCTGCTGGCACTGGCTGGGGGGTTGCTCGAGTCGGAGAAGATCTCAAATGCGCGCTTGGACGCGGGAGCGGCGTTGGTGGAGCGGCGCTGCTTGGGGTCACCGCTCTTGAGTCCGAGGGTAGTCTTGGTGCCGAGCGCATTCTCGCGGTCAAGCTTGGTGCGCACCGACGGCTGCTGTGCGGGCTTTGATGACAGGGGCTTTTTGGTCGTTCCGCTGCTACCGAGCGACGCCTTGCCGCCGTCGGCACCACCAGCAGGAACGTCCTTGGCCCCCAGGGAGCGGGGCTTGTCGGCCAACGGGCCCTTGGCGCTGGGGAAACCTGTGCGGGACGGCTGGAGCGAGCCGAGTGCTGTTCGGTGCGCGGTGGACCGCTTGGTGGTGGGAGAGGAAGGTGCGCGGAGGGGGAGGAGGTTGCTGCTGGCTGCCGCAGAAGAAGAAGACGAGGCGGCGGCGGAGGCTCCGGACTTTGGTGGGGAGTCTGCGTAGATTGCAAAGATGGCCCCCTTCTTCTTTGTGACGGGCATGGTGGGGATAGGAGTGGTAGGAGTATGGACAAGAGGGGGGAGGATGAAGCAGACGAGGACGCGCTCCAAGTGCTGGCGCGAGGAGAGACACGGAGGAGAGTGTGGGCTCACTGGGTCGCCGTTTTGCTTCTTGTGGTATGGGTGAGGAGTGTTTTGAGGCATATCAGAATCCAGCAAACATCAGAGCAGGGTGTGGGCGGAGATGCAGGCGGAGGCAAAAACACACTACGGCGTGTAAACAGAAGGAAGTCATGCGCGTAATGAGTTTACATAATGTGGGATTATTTTATTTGATCCCCCCCAAGATTCCGTGATCACACGGATCTCGTTGCGGCGACTTGCGGGGCCGCCGGCGTCCTCTCCGGCTGTGGACGGGTCATCGGTCCGGCGGTTCAATATAATGGCGTGGTCTCAGTCCAGCACACCTTGCACAGTCAGCACACAGGCTGGCGACCTAATATAGATCACTGCCTCTTCAGTCCTCTTCCACACTAACCACCACACTCACACACCATGGCCCTCTCCCGCGTCATCCTCGTCACAGGAGCGTCCTCTGGTATCGGTCGCGCGACTGCCATCACTCTCTCCAAGTCGTTCCCTTCCCCAACGCACCCAGAGCCTCTCGTCCTCGCGCTCGTCGGACGCCGCAAGGAGGAGCTCGAGGAAACCGCCAAGCTCTGCCGCGAGGGTACCACTGCCGAGGTCCTCCAGGGCGACGTCAGTGTCGACGCCGACGTGGAGCGCATCTTCAAGACGGTAAAGGACAAGTATGGCCGCTTGGACTTGCTCTTCAACGTGAGTTGAGGTCAGTCCTGGTCAGACTCAACTGACAACAGAACGCGGGCGTCAACCTCCTCAAGGGCAACCCCCTTGAGGACCAGGACATGTCGCTGTTCCGCAAGATGATTGACATCAACGTCATTGGCGCAGTCTTGGTGCGTGCTTAACGGCTTGCAGCTGCCTGACCCATTCCTCTCAGTGCACCCGCGAAGCCATCAAGATCATGAAGGACCAGTCTCCCCAAGGCGGCAGGATCATCAACAACGGCTCCATCTCGGCGTGGTCGCCGCGTCCCAACTCGGCGGCCTACACAGTTTCCAAGCACGCCATCCTGGGTCTGACGAGGAGCACGTCCCTTGACGGACGCAAGTTTGGTATCATGGCCACTGAGCTGGACATTGGAAACGCGTCCACGGTCCTCGCTTCCCAGCAGACGACTGGTACCCCGCAAGCGGACGGCAGCATCAAGATTGAGCCAATGATGAACGTCGACAACGTGGGCAAGAGCGTTGCGTTCATCGCGGGACTGGACAAGGATGCCGACGTGCTGCAGTTTACCATCACGTGAGTGTATAGGAGAGTTCCGGGGACTTGTGGGATGTGCTATTCCTTGCAGAAGCGCAGGGATCAGGGAGAGATATGACGCCTCAACTCTCACGGGATTCGTACTGGACACTTTGCCATCTGCAGCTCACCTGCGAACTTGAAGCTGACATTTCACAGTGCCCCAGGCATGCCGTTCGTGGGACGTGGTTAAGCGTATGCAGGAGAAGCAGTTTTATAGGTTGTCACTTGGAATGCGTTGTCTGTACTGTGATGCATAGGTGCGATGGAAGCCATGGGAACAGCAGAGCGTTTGGTCTTTGGCTGGACGTGTCTCGTCGCACATGAGCCTGACCGATATCACGCGGGGTGGAGGTGCAAAGGGAACGGCCCGATCTGAACTCAAGTTGACTGCTTTGTCCACTGTCCCGTCCGTCGTCGCCACCATGACCGGTAAGCAACCACCCCATAGACAGCCCTCGCTCACTGTCTCGCAGGATTCCAAAATGCTGGGGTCACAAAAGGTATAGCTTGACAGCTGTTGCCACGCTGACGATGCAGGCATCATGCTGCTCTTGGGCATCACCTCCCTGGTGACGAGTCTCACCGACTCCAAGCCATACATCCACCTCCAGCTCGTGCCCCACATTACAAAGTACCACCAGGTGAGCATCTGTGCGCATGGTTCAATGGTCACTGATGCTTTCAGTTCTGGCGCGTGCTGATACACCCGTTCGCGTTCGCCAACTCGACCGAACTGCTCATGGCTGAGCTGCTGTTGTACGACGTCGGCGTGCGGATTGAGCGGTACGTACCAAGTGTGACTCCGTCGTGCTCATATATCAAAGCTCGTTTGGGTCAAGGAAATATGCCGTGAGTTGCATATGGAGTGATGGAAAGCTCACACCCAGTCCTTCATCGTTGTCTCAACAGTTCTCTCCACCGTCCTCGCGTGCGCGGCCATCATCCTCGGTCACAAGTTTGGCCTCAACGTGATCCCCGCCGGGCCTTATGGAATCATCTTTAGCTTGTGAGCTGTCCTCCAGGAATTACATCTCTGACTCCAGGCTATGGCAATACCACCGCACCGTGCCGAGCCTGTACGCCTTCCGCTTCCTGGGCTTCCCTTTCTCGTCCAAGACCATGTCGTACATCCTTGCCTCCCAGCTCGTCCTCTCCCAGCTGCCAGGCAGCGCCCTCGCGTCGGCCTGCGGTCTGGTGACGGGCTACCTCTATCGCACAGACACACCCTTCTTGCTCCCCTCGGTGTCGCGCCCGCGACGTCTCTGGCGCCCGCTCAAGGCCTACCGCGTCCCCCTCAGTGTGCACAACCTCCTCGCGCGCATCTTCACCCCTCTGCTTGGCAACTCGGCGCCACCCCGCAGGTCCACGCGCGTGCTGCCCGGTCAAATTCGGGACGCGGCAGACGACGCGGCGGTGGCCCCGCCCCCCACGGGTCTGCGTGGGTTGGCCGCGCGCGCCGGCCTCGCCACAGCGGCGCCCACTCGCCGTCCCACAGCAGTGACCACTGCCGCCGCCGCCGGTGGCGAGGTGACGCCGGCCGGCAACGGCAACGGCGAGCCAGGCGCCCGTGCTGCGATGGGCGAGTGGGTCAACGAGATGACCGGTAGGGGCGGGACGCGTGCCCCGACCGAGCAGGAGATTGCAGCGTGGGTTAAAAACGGCAACGACAAGCTGACCCCCACACAGGCTCTCCAACATGTTCCCCAATCTCTCCCGCGAGACCGTCGTCCGTGCTCTGCAACGTAGCGACTTCAACACAGCGCTCGCTATCGAGGCGCTCCTCGTGCAGGGCTCATAGGGTGTTTTGTACACTTGTTTAAACACCACTGGTGCACTGGTGTTCGTATAGAGTAGGACTATGTACAGGTATCTCTCTTATGCGGGGTATCGGCGATGGCGAGGAGGTGGGGCAGGTGCGCCGGCGCGTGTCGTTGGTGTCGTTGTTTCGCGCCGGCAAACTGGCCCAGAATCGCTGGTGCCGTCGTTTGCTCGGTTATAGTGTGTCCAAAGGCGGCCTACTTGCTATCCTTCTTGTCCTCCTGGCCAGCCTCCATCTCGCCCAGAATGGTCATGAGCGCGTCCAACCGGCCCTCAAGCTTATCAGCGACGGTGTCCGCGGCGTCCATCTGCTTGAGGATGTCCTCGAGATCGACGTCTTCGCCCTCCTCAGATGCCTTGAGGGCGTCGATGATGGGCTGCAGGGCGGCACGGTCGGCGGGGGAGAGCTGGGACATGTCCAGGCCGGCGAGGGGGTCATCGGCGGACTCGGTTGAGTCAGAGGTGGAGGTTGTGGTGGTGTTTGTGGTACCGTTGGCAGCGCGGGTCTGGGTCTGCGCGCCAGGCTCGGTGGGCGCCATGGCCTGAGCAACGAGTTCGAGGTCGGAGAGCGACATTTGTGGGATGGGTTGGTTACTGGGAGAGTGGAACGTCCGAGACCACTGTCGAGCGTGGAAACGTCAGAACAGTGACGACGCCGGAGGGTAATGACTGGCGATTACAAAGCGGATACTTGTGTAATGTCCGTGTTCAAACCACCCGATTAGTTGACTGGACTAATGATTTGTGGGACCCTACACACGTCATCTGCCCCGGCGCGTCCGTTCAAAACGCGGGGGACGGGCGCGGGGAAGGGCCGCCAGGTGCGCAAGTGCATCAAGCGTGCACGAGTGGTCTGTTGACATTGCTCTTACCACCTCCCCCCAACCACTCCCACATTCACCATGGCCGCACGCGGAGGATACTCTGTCGTGGTCTTCCTGCTCGACATCTCGCCCTCCATGGGCGAGGCGCAGGCTGACCCGGGTGGGTCGGGCGTCAAGAAGAGCCGCCTCCACTGGGCAAAGGAGTACATGGCCCGCATTTGTGAGGACAAGGTATGTGGGCGGGGTTGCCGCCAGCGCTCACACGTTACAGGTACACGCTGCACGCAAGACTGATCACGTCGGTGTGGTCACATTCGGTGGTAGTGAGTAGCTGATGCTTTGTTACTGAAGCTAAACACCACAGACACGAACAACGACACTCACAACAACTGGGTCAAGAACAACCCCGACGACGACCAAGTCTACAACAACATTGCGAGCGAGGTGGCTATCCAGAGCACCAAGCCCAAGCTCCTCGAGGCGATCATGAATGCCCAGGTCGGACAGAACGACGGCAATCGTGAGGTTAAAGGACTTGGAATGTGCTAACCAAGCCAGCCGTGGAGGCTCTCCTCGTCGCCCTCGACATGATTCAGAATCACAAGCACAGCAAGATGTGGACGCTCGATATCGTCCTCCTTACCGATGGCGAGACGGCGTTTGAGCAAGACTCGTTTGACGTTGCCATGGATCTGATCGACAAGTTGGGCGTCAGGCTTACTCTGCTGTGGGTGGTTGTGGCAACATTGGCCGCCCATAACTGACCACCCAGCGGCCTTGGTTTTGAAGCCCCACCCGCCCCCGTTTCCAAGGACAAGTCACGCAACAAGCGCTTGTCTGAGAAATTCTGGCGCACGTTTATCAAGACGCTGCACGACAACGTCAGCAAGACGACCGAATCGGACAGCTTCCTCCCCAAGCTCCACCCCTTTGAGCCCAAGCTCATCACGGCACGTCGCCCCAGGCCAGCCACTGTCAACGGCACGCTGTCCCAATCCACACTGTGGATTGGCTCGGAGCAGGTCAACGACCAGGAGGTCGTCAAGATTCCCTTCAAGTTCTCCAAGGCGACCATGAAAGCCCGTCCGCCTTCCTTGTCGAAAGCGTGGAAGGCCGCTGTCGAGATGCAGAACCCCAACGCCAATGCCCGTCGTGGTGCCGAGGCAAGCCAGATGATGTCTTCCATTGCAGAGATGCAATCCCAGGCCCAGTCACAGCACCAGTCCATCCCGCAGGCAGGCGACTTGGCATCCATGCTCTCCGCCGAGGTCAAACGCCATCCGACGTACTTTATCAAGCGCACAGCTCCAGAGGCCGCCCCGGCCACCCAGGGAACCCAGACGCAACTGTCCCAGGCTCCTCCCGTCACCCAGAAGGGCGAGCTAGAGGAGGAGGAGGAGGAAGAAGAGGACGGAGACTTCCCAATGGGCGAGGAAGATGAGGTGGTTGACAAGGAGGATATTGTCAAGGCCTATCGTTTCGGCTCGAGCTGGATTCCCATGGAGGCCGACACATTCGATCCTCTGCGTACCCAAAAGGGCGTCGAGGTCATTGGCTTTATCCCCCAGAAGAATGTAAGCTAACAGGGTTTTGATCGTAGCTGACATTCAGATTCGCAGGTACATGCTCATGGGCGAGGTGCGCTACATGTGGCCCGACCAAAGCCAGCCCAAGGTGCAGATCCAGTTTTCGTCCTTTGTCGAGGCCCTCATGACGACGGGTATGGCCGCCATCACGCGCTGGGTGTATAGGGACGGCTCCGACCCCGATATTGGTGTCGCTGTTCCCGACCAGACCTTCCCCGGTGAGGGCAAGAAGCTCGATCTCATGTACTGGGCTCGCCTGCCGTATGCCGACGACGAGCACAAGTTCTACTTCCCCAGCTTGACAAAACTCAAGACGGCACAGGGTAAAGACATCACGGAACACCCGTATATACCTACCAAGCAGCAGTGTGACTTGATGGACGAGCTCGTCAAGCAGATGGACCTCGACACGGTCAAGCCGCCCAAGGTACCCGGAGAGGAGAGCGAAGAGGAGGAAGAGGACGAAGACTTGGACGAAGACTCGGACATGGAGGATGCCGACAAGGACAACGGTCCCAAGAACACTTGGTTCAACCCAGCTCGATCTGTCAACCCTTCTCTCCACCGCATCAAGGAGGCCATTTTCCACTCAGCCTTGACACCAGACCTTGACGCCAACCCACTTCCTCCACCACACCCGGAGCTCACCCAGTACATGAAGACACCCGAGGAGCTGGGTATCAAGGTCGAAAAGATCACGGAGCAGCTCAAGGCCGCGCTGGATATCAAAAAGGTTCCTCCCCGTACCCGCAAGCGTGCCGCCAAGGAGGGCATGCGTGAGGACGAGGGATTGTGAGTTGTATACGCACAACGTTTTGGTCACAGCTAACGCGCTTCAGCATTGACCTCGACGAGCTCTTTGCCGGTCCAAGTGGCACCTTTGTGCCTCCCAACATTCCCGATACCCAGGTCAAGAACGAGCTTTTATCACCTAGCAAGCCAGACCGCAAGCTGGATGTCGAGGACGACAAGCCCGTCACAGACGAAAAGCCCGACTATGAGAATGATCCCGATTTCCTCCCCAGCAAGATGCCAAAGTCCAGGCCCAAGCCCGGAAGGCTGATCAGCAACGAGCAGCCTCTCCAGGACTTTAGACGCCTGGTCGATGGCGATGGAGATGTGTTCCGCAAGGCCGTGAGCTGCATATTTTGGTTGCGTCGGCTGACATCCAGATCCAGGACCTCGGCGTTGTGGTCAAGGAGAATGTCGCTGCGTCATTCTCCCACTCGGCCTTTCCCCTGGCACTCAAGTGTCTCGAAGAGATGCGTTCCACGGCTTTGACGTACGAGGAAACCGAGACGTACAACGAGTAGGTTGGCTTCCAATTGCGAGATATTAACCGCACAGCGCCATTGATGACCTGGAAAGGACGGTCAAGGGTGCCGGCTTTAAACACCCCGATTTCTGGGACCGTGCGTGAACATTACGAGGAAACCCAACTAACCCTTACAGACTTTGACAAGGCCGGCAAGACCGTGGCCAAAATCACCCCGGACGAGGCAATGGAGGCGCTCGAGGATTATGACGAGTAGTACATGACCAGAGGAGACGGGGGCTGGCTGAGCCTTTGTACATGCAGCACAATGTATCATAATTTCAGCGCACTTGGATACTTACTTGACGTAACTGGTTTTAATTGGATGTGCTCGTTGATAGCAAGAGGGCCAAGTCCAGCTGGGAGAGAGGACGAATGAGATATCATTGTGGATCTCGCCACTGATCAGTCTGACCACCGGCTGAGCCAGGTTCCTGTACCTCTGTGGGTCGTGGTACATGGCGCAGAATTTCTGCGTCTCGTTCAGTCTCCTGTCCTGCCGACGTCGCCCTCTCTGTGCTATGCACCTCATCGCCACCCAATGCCTGCGGGTTTCCAGCTTTGTCCTCTGTTGCCCGCCAAAAGTGCCCGATTGGAGACCCCGCATTCCGCGTGGCCAGTGACGTGTTTTGCGACGCTTTCCATCGCCATCTCGACGTTGTCCACCGCAGCACCCACCCCAAAGTCAACCATCATGTGGCTCGCCGGTGCCGTCCTCACGGCTCTCGCGGGCACCAGTGCCGTCTCGGCATCGCTCTCGCCCCCCTTCAGCGTCACCGTCGAGACTTCGTGGGCCGCGCCTCCCCTGCTCCTCGAGATTCTGTAAGCAGACAACCGCTGGCGGCCCAATACCCTTGGCTAACGTCTGCAGCGAGGTGGCCCACGATGAAGACCCATCAGCATACTTCCCTCTCCTCAAGCTGCTTACAAAGCACTCACTCACCCTCGGTCCTTCCCCCACTCCGCAAAAGGTCCTCGAGACAGCTCTTGATGTGGTCCACTCGCACGACATCCTCCCCAAGCCCGGCTCGAGGAGCACGTTCGAGCTCGCCCTCGCGCTGCACACCGCCGCTCCCCGCATTGCCGCCGCTTATGCAGACTATACCGTCGACGAAGCCAAGCTCGATGTCGCCGGTTGCGCGTCCTGGGTAGAGTGGCGCGGCAAGGGATTCTGCGATGCCGAGCAGCTTCAGCGTGATGTCGAGAGGAGTATTGACGAGCGTGGCCGTGCTCCGTGAGTTATGTCTCTATTGAGCCATAGCTGACATTAACAGTGACCCGCGCACTCCCTCTCGCCCGTTTGACCGCGTCTCTCACTCGCCTCTCGGGGACGGACCCCAAGCTGTCCTCTACTATTCCCCGTCGCCCGAAGCGCTGCCTCTCCTCGAGTACCTCGACACCCACGCGCGCGCGTACCCTGCCTTCCAGTATGTGGTGCGGTACCGCCCTTTCCCGGCCGACGAGTCGTCGGATGCCCCTCGCGCTCCTCGCACCCCTTTGGCCGGTTACAGCGTCGAGATGGCGCTCAAGAACACGGATTACCTTGTCGTCGACGACCGCATCACCGCGGGTGGAGACGGCGCGCAGACTGCATTCAAGGACTCCAAGGACGCATCCAGATCCAACCCCTTTAGCGAGATTCTCGGTGAAGACCCATGGTCTGAGAGCGCCATTCCTCTCGCCAAGGAGGAGATCCTAGACCTGGGTCTGAAGGCTGTGGCTCTCATCAAGGCTGCCGACAAGCCTCTGGACGCGTTCATTGAGTTGTCCCAGGATCTGCCAAAGTACTCTGCTGCTCTGGCCAGGCATGTTGAGGTCCCCGAGGACATTCGCAAGACTTCCCAGAGGCTGGCAGTTAGGCATCCTCTGGGTCCTGCGGCCTTCCTCAACGGTCGAGTGCTCAAGGACACGGAAATGAATGCATTTGGGTGAGCCCAGAAATGGCAAGTATCGAGCTGACCATCTAGTCTCCTCAAGGCCGTCCGCCGCGAGCGCGATATCATGACCTCTCTCCTCGCCATTGGCTACACTCCCAAGCAGGCCTTCCAACTCGTCTCGGACGAGCTGATCGGCCACGCTGAGACGGAACATGACCCTCTGGAGGGACTTGTTGATGTCTCTGACCGCATTGAGGGCGGCGGTGTCATCACCTATGTCAACGACATTGAAAAGGATCGCCAGTACGCTCGTTGGTCGCCGTACATGCAGGAATACCTGCGCCAGATCTACCCGGGCCAGCTGCACCTTGTGCGCAAGAATACCTGGAACACGGTTTTGGTTGTCGACCTCGCTACCGCCCGCGGCATTGAGGCAATCGCTTCCACGGCTGGATCTATGCTGCAGCGTAATGTGCCTATCCGCTTTGGTGTGGTGCCGCTCTTTGGCCACGTCAATGAAGATTGTGAGTTGTTTGCTAAGCCCCTGAGCTGACGTGCAGCGGGACAAATTGCACGTCTCGTGCTCTACATCTCTGGCAAGTGGGGCGCGATGAAGACTCGCGAGTTCCTCAACATTGTGAGTCTGCTCGTCTTGCAGCGCTGAACCCTCAGATCCACGCCTCGGTCCCCAAGGGATCGTCCCCCATGATCCGTGTTCACCCACAGGTTATGCAGGGGGCCTACGAGCGTGTCGCCCGCGGTGAGGGTCTCACCTTTGAGGAGGTTATGGAGAGCCCCGAGTTGGCCACCCAACTTGAGGTGACCTTGAAATACCTTAACCGTATCGGTGCGTCCAGGGATGACTCGCCACTGGGTTCAGTCTACGTCAATGGAAAGTACGCCGCCTTTAGTGGAACCTGGACACAGCACCTCACTGGCACGCTGTCCCAGCATCTCAACCACATTCAGGAGATGGTAGCTAGCGGCGTCGATTTTGAGGAAGGCGACGGCGAGGTGGCAACCTACTTCTACGATCTCCCCACTACCGCCAAGCACCGTAACCGCCACATTGTGCCAACTGAGGAATCAACACTCCGTATATTCAACCTCATGGATATCTTCCCCGACAACACCGAATATATTGACACCGAGTTTATGTACCCTGATGCTGAGGACGCCGGTACGCCCCTCACGACTTGGATCGTCGGCGACCTTGACAGCGACGATGGCCGCTCTCTCGTCCTCGACGCCGTTAAACACATCCAGGGTCCTGAAGCGTCTTCTCGTCTCGGCTTCATCCACGTTCCCAGCCCCGAGAGCTCCAACGTCCAAGGATACCGTCTCTCGACCCTTCTCTTCCAGTTTTATGAGTCTGGCGCATTTAGCCTGGTCAAGCCAGACCAGTTCCAGTCTATCCTCGAGGAGATTGAGACGAAGGGTAACGTCATTGACGGTGGCGACATTTCTGCCCAGTCCAACACCGACCCCCTCAACGTCCTCACCGCCGACGGGTGGAACGTCGCCGACGCCGCCCGTGCTGCCGAGTTCTGGAAGCTCGGCACCGCCGTTGCCGATTCGCTTGGACTGCAGAGCACCAAGCCGCATATTCTGATGAATGGCCGCGTGCGTACCTCGTGTTGATGGAGTTCCGCTGACCCGCCAGCTTGTTGGTCCCCTCACTGCTGACGAGTTCTCGGAGGTCGACTTTGACACTCTCGAGGTGTACGAGCTCCGCAAGCGCGTGCACCCCGTCATCAACCTCGTCCAGACTTTCTGGGAGGATCCCAAGGAGCTCAGCCGGTGGGTTTAATTGGCGACCCAGTCTAACTCTCTCCAGTGACACAGTCGCGGGCATCGTCTCGCTCACGTCGTCTGTTATTGCGTGGGCATACCAGGCCACTGGTGCTGAGGGCATCTTTATCCAGGCCCCCGGTCCCCGTAGCCGCGGATACGAGCAGATTGACGATGGCGAGGTGTCGTTCACTATCGGCGACTCGTCGACGGCCCTCTTCCACGTCGCGGCCATCATTGACCCCCTGTCCGAGTTGGCTCAGCGCTGGACTCCTCTTCTCAAGGTGGGTGTTATCTATCGAGCGCCACTGACTCAGCAGCTCCTGGCCAACATTGACCATGTGGCCGTTACCGTCTACCTTGACCCCAACACAAAGGCCACCGACTTCAACGTCAAGCGCTTCTACCGCTCTGCCGTCCCGTCGACTCTGCACTTTGACGTGGACGGCTACGAGGTCGCGCCGGCCGTGACCTTTAGCGACCTTCCCTCGACGCCCATCTTCACGCTTGCCCTTGACACCCCCGGCTCGTGGGTTGTCCGTCCCAAGGATTCGCCCCTGGACCTGGACAACCTCCTCCTCGGTCGCCTGTACGAGCCCACTCATGTCCAATTCGACCTCTACCAGCTTGTCCTGGACGGCCACGGTCGTGAGGGGGGTAACGTGCCCCCACGCGGTCTCCAGCTGCAGCTCAAGGACGGCGACGACGTCGTCTCAGACACCCAGGTCATGGCCAACCTCGGCTACTTCCAGTTCAAGGCCACTCCTGGAGTGTACAACCTCGCGATCCGCCCTGGACGCGGTGAGGAGGTGTATGACGTTGAGAGCGTTGGTGGCGACGGATGGGACTCGCCTACTGTCAACATCACCGGTCCCTCTGTTACCGTTGACGCGTTGGACGGCACGACAATCTACCCCCGCTTTGCCCGTCAGCCAGGCATGGAGAACGCCGACGTGCTCGCCGAGAGCGTAGTGCCCGAGTCGTTTTCCAGTTCGGTCCTTTCCCGCATGAAGTCGATGGTGGGCCTCAACGAGGTCAAGCCCAAGTCGCGCCATGCCGATATCAACATTTTCACCGTTGCCAGTGGTCTCCTTTATGAGCGTTTCGCGTCAATCATGATTCTCTCGGTCATGAAGCACACGGACAGCACGGTCAAGTTTTGGTTTATTGAAAACTTCCTCTCGCCCACGTTCATCAAGTTCATTCCCCACTTGGCCGAGGAGTATGGCTTTGAGTATGAGCTCGTGACATACAAGTGGCCTTCGTGGCTGCGTGCGCAGACTGAGAAGCAGCGCATCATTTGGGCGTGAGTAGAGCTGCATGTTCCACACATATCGTAGCTCACGAAGTCTCTCCTCAGGTATAAGATTCTCTTCCTTGACGTCCTCTTCCCCATGGACCTCGACAAGGTCATCTTTGTGGATGCCGACCAGATCGTCCGCGTGGATATGAAGGAGCTCGTCGACGTCGACCTCCACGGCCACGTATACGGCTATCCGCCGATGGGCAACGACCGCGTCGAGATGGAGGGCTTCCGGTTCTGGAAGACTGGATATTGGAAGGAGGAACTGCGCGGCCTGCCGTACCACATTTCGGCCCTGTACGTCGTGGACCTCAAGCGGTTCCGTCAGCTGGCGACTGGCGACCGTCTTCGCGGCCAGTACCAGGCCCTCAGCGCCGACCCGAATAGTCTCGCCAACCTGGACCAGGACCTGCCCAATTCCATGCAGCGCCAGATCCCAATCTTTACCCTCGACCAGGACTGGCTGTGGTGCCAGACGTGGTGTTCGGACGAGAGCCTCGCGACAGCCAAGACGAGTGAGCTATGCGTGCTGGGACTTCAGCTGACGTTTTCCCCAGTCGACCTTTGCCAAAACCCTCTCACCAAGGAACCCAAACTGGTGCGCGCGCGCCAGATTCCCGAGTGGGACGTGTATGATCGCGAGATTGCTGCCTTTGCAGCGACCCTCGGCAGCGGCGAGAGTGGTGCGCTGGCGGCCAACGTAGACGACCTCGCTGCTGGGCCCGGTTCGGCTGCGGCCAAGCACCAGGAGAAGGAGGCCGCTCTGGAACCAGAGCCTCACGCAGACGCAGACATCGAGGGTGCGCCCCATGATGAACTGTAGGACGACGATCATAAGCATCGAGCATGAGGATGCGAGCATGAAGATGAAATGCAACAAAGTACAGCAGCAGCAGCAGCGGTGATTAAGAAACTCGTGAAACTCGTCACATCAACCCCTATATATCGTGGACAGCTAGCACGGCCTGAATACAAGCAGAAAGCGGGGGTATGATGGGGGTGGCTGTCGGTGAAGAAACTAGGAACGCTATTATCAAAGGAAGAGGCAGGAGGGAGGGTCTTTAACGACGCACAGTCGAGAGGATGGAGCTCGCGCGTGAGCGGATAGACGGGGTCTGCGCGCGCATGGGGGTTGTGGGAGTGGGAGGGACCGATGATCCCTGGTTGCTGTTACTGCTGTGGCCGTGGTGGTGGCCGTGGCCGACGAGGTGTTTGCCATCGCAGCAGGCACGGACATTATCCAATCCCTCAAACGACGCGTCCGGGTCGTCATCGTCGAGGTGGCTGGCCATGTCGTAGTCGGGGTCAAGGTCGGTCGCGATGGGCGCACCCTTGTACGCGCCCTTGTAGCGGTGGCCGCCAAAGTGGGGCTGTGGGACCTGGTGACGGCGCATGTAAGTGTCGGCAACGGTGCCACCGCGCTTGCGCGAGTGGGTGGACATGGATGAAGCGGGGCGGGGGTAAGACGATGCCTTGGGGGTGGCACTGTTGGAGCCCAGGCTGCGGATGCTCATACGCGACGTGGGCGAGCGCAGCTTGCCATGCTCATCGGGAATGACGGACAGGCGACGGTTACGGGTGCTCGCCATGTTGCTGACATTGCTAGCCTTTGTCGACGAGGTGGCAAAGTTGTCCGTGTTGGCGGTATTTTGGCCCTGGTGCTGGAGAAGGAAGCCGAGAGCGTTCATCCACAACTCGTGGCGCTCCCTGGTAGGCGCGGTGAACTGGATCTCGCGCCCGTTGGTCGAGACAACAATCGACTTCATGTACAGGCCAGGAGGAGCTGCGTTGAAGTCGTCGACGACGCGAATGCCCGAGATGAAGACGCTCTTGGCCTTTGACTCGTTGGTGGCGCTGCTACCAGGGTCCTGAGACGACCAGTAGAGGGTCTTGGTGTACGGGTGCACCCAGAAGAAGCGCTTGTGGCGGTTCTCGGACATGCCGCGGCCAATGGTGCGGCGAGTGTACTTGTACAGGTACTCGCCAATCATGGTCTGTGTAATGGCCTGGATGGTCACGGGGTCGGTCGCAGCGTTCGGTGCTGAGCGACGGGCGGGCTTGCTGGCCGCCACGCTGTCGACGGACGAGTACGACGCGTTGCGCTGGTGAAGGTCTGAAACGCTCGAGTTGGCCGACGTGTAGCCGGGGCGCCCATTTTCGTTGATGACCGTGGTGGCACGGCGCCTCACGTTGTCGCGCGACTGTTCCCAAGTACCTGCGTCGCGGCCAGCAATGGGCGTCTGGGCAGAGCGGAGGCTAGTGCCAGAGGGCTGGCGACCCAGGATAGTGGGAGGACCCATGATGGTCGCGGTGCCGAGAGGAGCGCGCACGGCATGGCCAGCCGACGGGATGGACCGCTGCGTGCCCGAGCGGCGAACGCTGCTCATGCTCACAGGCGAGGTGGCACGAACGAGGAAATCGTCGGGGACAGGCGAAGTGGGGCGGTTGGGGCCCGTCGACATCTTCTTGACGACAGTGCCAGCGGGTGGGGGCATGGGAGGTGGAGGAGGAAGGTGCATCATGGGAGGGCGCGTCTTGTCTGGCACCTCTGGTGTGAGAGGCAGGCCCGACGGCAGCAGGGACGTCGGTGACGAAGGAGCCGCAGTAGGCGATGGAGGGGGGAGGCCATCGACGTTGGCTGAAGCCAAGTCGCGGGAGCGGGGCTGAGCAGCAGCGATGTCTGCCTCAAGGACGTGGCGAGGAGGCGAGTTGCGGCGGTTGCCATGAGGAGGAGGCGGGGCCTTGAGGAAGTCGTAGTTGGCGCCGGGCGCGACGCGGAAGAAGCCGATGTCGGGAGAGCGGGGTGAGGCAGCAGCAGAGAGAGTCGAGGGCCCGTTGGGTGGGGTCATTGGCTCGCCGGTCGCGTCGAGGGTGCGCGTGATGGCGGGCACCTCGACGACCTTTTCGATAATGACCTCCTTGGGCACCTCGACCACCCTCTCCACAATCTTCTCCACCTCAACAATTTTCTCCACCTCAACAATTTTCTCCACCTCGACGATCCGGTCCACTGGGACTTCGACCGTCTTGGTGACGATGCGCTCCACCTCGACGATCCGGTCCACTGGGACCTCGACCGTCTTGGTGACGATGCGCTCCACCTCGACGATCCGGTCCACTGGGACCTCGACCGTCTTGGTGACGATGCGCTCCACCTCCACGGGGATCTCGATGGTCTTGGTGACGATGCGCTCCACTTCCACGGGGCGGTCGACAAAGACTTGAACGGGGATTTCGACCTTGGTCTCGACGATCTTTTCAATGATCTTTTCGACCTCGACGATCCGGTCGACAGGGATCTCCTTGATTACTTCGCGCTCAATGACCTTTTCGACGTCGACGTTGACGGGGACTTCGATAATGCGCTCCACAATTTTCTCGATCGGGACCTCCTTGATGACCTCAATTTCGCGTTCGACGACCTTTTCGATCTCGATAATCTTGGGAATTTCGATAACCTTTTCGACGATCCTGTCGACGGGGATCTCCTTGATGACCTCCCGGTCGACGAAGATTTCCTTGGTGACAATCTTCTCGACGGGGATCTCGATAATCTTGTCGACGAAGATTTCCTTGGTAACAATCTTCTCGACGGGGACTTCACGGTCGATAATCTTGTCGATAAAGATTTCCTTGGTGACAATTTTGTCGACGGGGACCTCGCGATCGATGATCTTGTCGACAAAGATCTCCTTGATGACCTCCCGGTCGACGAAGATTTCCTTGGTGACAATCTTCTCGACGGGCACCTCGATAATCTTGTCGATAAAGACTTCCTTGGTGACAATTTTCTCGATGGGAACCTCACGGTCGATGATCTTGTCGACAAAGATCTCCTTGATAACCTCGCGGTCCACGGGAATTTCCTTGATAACCTCGCGGTCGACGTAGACAATCTTCTCGACGGGGACCTCGCGGTCAATGATCTTGTCGACAAAGATCTCCTTGATAACCTCGCGGTCCACGGGAATTTCCTTGATAACCTCGCGGTCCACGGGAATTTCCTTGATAACCTCGCGGTCGACGTAGACAATCTTCTCGACGGGGACCTCGCGGTCGATGATCTTGTCGACAAAGACCTCCTTGATGACTTCCACCGGGATCTCTTTGATCACTTCGCGGTCGACGAAGATTTCCTTGGTGACAATCTTCTCGACGGGCACCTCGACGATGCGCTCGCGGGTCTCCTTGCTCGGCTTGCGAGACAAGCGGCGGGCACCAGCCCAACCGCCAGCCGCGGCAGCAGCGCCGAGGCCGAGACCGAGAGGGGCAAAGCCGAGGTTGCGCTTGGTGGAGATGGGGTGGTCGCTGTCCTCGTCGGCGCTTGAGTCGCCAGCGGCGGTGGCATAGGCCTCGGTGTCGGTGGGGAGTTCCGAGGTAAGCTGTTGAGGCGTGAGGGTGCCCACAGTCTCGCGGGCGTCCTCAAAGTCGGTCTCGCCCTCGGTGTCGGTGCGGACGTCGCCGGTGCGGTTGTTGGCAGAAGTAAGGTCGGGAAGAATAAGGGTGCGACGCGAAGGGGTGATCTCGCCGTCGTCGTCGTTGCGGGCAAAAGTAGGGACGACCTGCGAGGGAGACGATGCCGGGGACCAGTCATCGGTCATGACCGAAGCATCGGCGTAAGAGGAAGGGGCAACAAGCTCGTCGCTGAGAGCCAATGTCTGGCCAACGCCTGCGTGGTTGACGTCTTCGTGGTCCGAGGTGGCAGTGTCATAATCGTCCGAGAAATCAGAGTGGCCCGACTCCGTGCTAGTGGTGTTGGAAATGGTGCGGGTGGGGCCCGGGGTGTAAATGTCTTGGGACAGAGCATCGCCGAGCGACTCGCCAGCGCCCATGGGAGAACCGGACTGAGCAAACTCGCGGATGCGGAGCATGTCGGGGGTGCCAGCAGACGACGCCGAGTTGAAGCTCTGGTCGGCAACGTTGCCAGAACCAGCAGTGGCAAAGCCCATCTTGCGAGTAATCGTTGCAACGACGCGACCACCGCGGCCACGGCGGCCGCGGGTGGATCCCTTGCCGTCGCGAATACCCTTGACGGTCTCCTCGTGGAAGCCATTGCCACCAGCGCCAAACTCGTCGACGGCCTGGGGCTGCTCGACGCTGCGGGAACGCTCAGCGTCCTCCTTGAGCTGGGCAATCTCGGCCTGCGCCTGGGCAAGCGAGTCACGGAGCTCGTCAACCTCGTTGATGTACATTTCGCCGAGGGGCGAGCGCGAGAAGGACTTGGAGGGCGTGTTATCGGGCGACTCAAAGTCGGAAGCGTAGAGCTGCGAGGGAGAAAGAGCATTGTCGTTGGCGTCAAAGCCGGGACCGCGCTTGCGGGGGCTGAGCGCGTCGCCAAAGACGTCGTCCTCGTCAATGTCCTCCTCCATGCTGCCAATGCGGATGGCAGGGCTGCCGCCACGCGTGGCACGAGACTTGAGGGCAGCGACATGGCGGTTGCGCTCGACGGTGAGCTCGGAGAGGAGGTCGCTCTTGTCACGAGCGAGACCAGCAGAGGCCTTACGAGCCTGAGCCATCTCAGTCTCGTGCTTGGCCTTGATCTCCTCAAGGGCCTGGGCATGCCTGTCGGCCTCGGACTTGTGGGTCTCGGCAGCCTCGCGCACCGCGGCAAGAGTCTTGGTGAGACGCGCCTGCTCGGCGGTGGATTTGGTGAACTGTCCCTGGACATCGGCATGGGTCGAGCGCAGCTCCTGCAGGTTGACTTCCAGGTTCCAGTTGTCGTCCTTGTAGCGCTCTGTTTACAAAGTTAGCAACATGTTTGGCTCAGAGTTCTTGCAATCCCTTACCGGCAGTGCCCTCTGCGGTTTTAACAGCAGCGACGAGGTCGTGGCGTTCCACTTCCCAGCCATCTTTCTCCTCTGAGAATTGGGAAAGAGCACGGTCCCGTTCGTTTAGCAAGGCTTGCAGCCGGCGAACTTCGACCAAAAGGTTCTGCCCGATCTCCGTCGCAAATTCCATGTCGAGTGCTCTGTGCTGCGCCGTGTTGCGCTGTCGGCGGGTAAGGGTGCTGGGTGCGGCGGCGTCGGCACCCAGCTTTCCTGGGGTAGCAACTGAGGTATCCAAGAACTGTCCGGTGCGTCAACACGCCGCCTCGTTCGATCACATATTGTCCTCCACTCACCTTGGGCACCTGGAGCTCCCTCATGATCCCCTGGTTGTCGTCTTCCCAACCCTTCATCGCCTCCTGCAGCTCGAGCAGCTTGCCACGAGTGTCGTCGTCAATCTCGTCCGCGTCCGAGTCCATGTCGCCGAGAGATTGGATCCTCTCCTCAAGCTCAGCTTGCTGGGAAAGGATCTTTTGGCCCATAGTGCCAACCATTTCAAGCTGGCCAGACTTGTGCTCCAAAAGCTCCTGGAGGTGTGTGCGGAGAGAACTAGCATTGAGGTCCGGGGTCAGGAGCTCGGGCGAAGGGGTGCGCTCAAGCTGCGCCGAAATCGAGTTGGACGATGGCGGCGCAGGTAGCTGGTGCATCAGGTCGGGGCGAGACCGCGACTTGCGCAGCCCCACCCCAGAGACGGGGGTGGACTGAAATGGGTCGTCCATGGCCCAGTACCAGAGGGCGAGGTCGAAGAGAAAAGGCGCAGGCGCCGGTGTGTTTATCGCCTATGCGATTCGAAGAGTGGCGTGATGGCCTGATGCAGTAGAATAGTGGTCTACCCCTCGCTGTTGTTGATGGGTAAACAATCAAGCACCGCAATGAGCGCTGTATGCATTTAGGTGTCAGCAGGTTGCCTCTTTGAATGAAGAGTGAGGGCAGCGGCATAAAGTGGGACGGGACGTCCCGAGTAACGTTGATAGAGTTGTTGGGCGGCACCAGCTCTGCCGCTTGGGCCGTGCGCGCGGTGGAAACAACGGAGTTCCGCGGTCCAGCGGGGAGCACTCACGCTACCTGGGGCTGTCGCTTGTGCAGTTGTGCGGGCGACTGAAGGGGAGGGGAGGCGGTGAAGGGGCAGAAAATAGAAAGACGAGGGGGGGGACAAGTTGAATGTGAATGGAAACGGACGACTGGTGAAGAGTTAGAGAGAGAGAGCAGCAAGTCAGGAAGGCTTCTCAGTGTTTGGTCTTGAAACCGGAGGCGACCGTGCCATGCAGCGCTGCGAGACAGGCGCGTGTGTACACCAGTCAGGCACCAACAGTCCTCATGCCTCTGGGTAACGGGGATGTGCATTTAAAGAAGTCACTTCTTGACATCTTATTGAGTTACGTAATCAGATCTAAGGACTGTGCGATGTTAGCCTCCAGCAGTGGAGGGACGCTGGGGCTGCGCCTGTAGCGGGGGTTTCGGATGAACTCCGGCTCGTATTGCTGCTGAGGGTGGTGGTGCGGCTGGTACTGTTGCTGGTGCTGGTGCTGGTGCTGGTGCTGGTGCTGGTGCTGGTGCTGCTGCTGGTGCTGGCGGTAATCAGGGGGGGGGGGGGGCAGGTCGAAGTACTCGACCGCCCTTGCACGACGAGGTGCGAGAGGGCGGGGCCTCTCGTACTCCTCGTCGTACGGCATGCTGAGACAGGGTTAGTCACCACCTCGGCTCAGAAAAGGAGTGGCACTCACTTGGCGGTGGGGGGGGAGGTGGATGCGAGGTGGATGGGTGGTGATGAACGAGTGTGTAATGTCAAAGGAGGGAAGATGCGTTGATCCATTAAAGTACTGTCAGCGCCCAGGCTGGCCGCAGGAGGGAAGGCAAGGTCGTCTTCCTCGCAGGAGGGAAGGCAAAGACTGGCCTGCCTCGCCGTCCACTTGGAGGGAAGGCGACCTCACGGGAGGTCGCCTTCCCTCATGATGTATCAACGACAGCACTGCTCTGATTGCCTACAGCAGCAAGCAACATCATGGCCATGCCCAACGCCCCACTCGGCCGCCACGCTGGTCGCCAGCCAGGTGGATACCTCATCCGTGCGCAACCAGGCCTCCACCCCGCCACGAACACCTTCCCCCGCCCCGAGCCGTTTTCCTGGGGCGACTGCTACCTCGCCATGGCCTGCCTGAGGGCGGCATCGGGGGGCACCCATCGTGCGGTTCGCGTCGCGTCCCAGCACGCGTCTGACCTCGAACTGGCCTCGATCCGCTACCCCTTTGCCGCATCTCTCCGCTGGGTTCGAAAGACGTTCGAGATCTTCCAGCAGGGTGGGGCGCGCGGTCAACTGGCTCCTCTCGCGATCGGCACACTCTGGCGCCTCTGTGACCCCGCTCTCCTCGTCGCCTACTTTGACGCTGGAAACGGTGCGACTGGCATCCCGGCTACCTAGGCGGCAGCTCGGTGGCCATGACACTTTCACGCCACAAGGACCACGACCTGGCGAACGGCAAGGCCTTTTATCACGCTCTCCTCGGTACCCTCCCAGTCACCCCCCCCCTTTTCTTCTCCTCTGGGCAGCACCCATAGCTCCGCTGGTCCGCTGGGCCTACTTCGATCTCGGCGTCACCGACATCAGCACAATCGTTGACGTCATTGAGGGCCTCGCCCGCATCAACGAGCAGGCCAACCTCCTCATGTTCCGTCTTCACGAGTCGCTCCGTCCCTGGGGCAAGCACTTTGGCTTTGGCCTGGCCACCGTGCCAACCAACAACCCCGCCAACACAAACCTCGTGTTCGGCATCAACCCCCCCGGTCCGCCCTTCCCGACGTCTCACACGTCCCCCCTCACCCGTCGACGATCTGCCACGAGAATGCGCACCTGGGTGTGGGCGGCAACGACGGCAAGGATGACGACGACGTCGACGAGATGGCAGGCGGAGACATCCTGAGGCGCAACGACGTGTTCCACGAGTTTGAGGAGCTCGTCTATAACTTCCAGGACTGAGAGGAGTGCTCAGGACCGGACATTTGGGAGAGAGGTAGCGCGGAGAGCACAGCGCAGGGTGCGGAGAACCGAGAACAGACAGACACTACTTCATGTATCATTAGACTCTCACACGTTCCCCACGCTTCCCAATTCCAAGATTTTTTTCAGCCTTCCTCAACCACAGCGTCCTCCGTTTAATCAGTTACCATGGCCACTGGTGCGAGGAACCTGGTACCAGGTGTCGCGTCGCCACGAGACCCTTTGTTCGCCACTTTCACTCTCTACCTGCTCTCCCACGGTCGCGCCCCAATGCCAAGACTTGTAATGCGGGGTGACCCCGCATTCTCACGCGTGCTCTGGCCCCTCGGCTGTTGTGCTTCTGAGCCCCGTTGCACAGCACCCAGCGGCCAGCGGGCGTGGCGCGCGCGTATCAGAAGACACGACACGCCGACGAGACACAAGGCGCGATCATCTCCCACTGGCCACTTAACCCATCTCCTTCAACCCCCACTCCACCCACTACCCCCACCTCTCTTTGCCACTGCATCGCCTCGGGGCTCACATTGAAGAAAAGGCGCCCTCTGCACAGAGTCACCACGTCCCAGGCAGCTTCCCACCGCACTTGTTTTCATCCTACCGTTCCAAACAGCCGCTTCGGCCTGTAATCACAATGGCTCGCTCGGCTCTCTTCTTCATTGTCGTGGCCGTCGTGGCCCTCTCCTTTGCCCCCAAGGCATATGCCTTTGGCGCTGGTGAGTGCCTACGCTGCTGCTGTCTGTATTCAGCTCACCCCTCTCAGGTAACATTCCTAGCTACTCGTACCTCGAGGACAAGGCCTTCCGTCATGGTGACATTGAGGACATCCTCGCCAACATGGCAAAGGCCGCCAGCGGTGGCTTCCTTGGCCGTAGCGTCAAGTTCACCGGTCTTGATGTGAAGCGTACTTACTTTGTGAGTGGGCAACGTGAACCCCGTGCGACGAGCACGGCCGACGCACGACGACGGGCAATCCGGCAGTGATAAACAGCGCTGACGGCCTCTAGGGCAACTGGCTTCGTGACTACTCTCAGGTGAGGACTCCATCCTGTTCCTCCCACATGGATCTAACCATCTCAGGCGGTCGATGTCGGTGCGCTCAAGAAGGCTCCTCTTCAGACGATCATCAACGTCGTCATGGTTCTGGGCTTCCTGGGTGAGTGATGGGCGGCGATCAACGTACAGACGCTGACCCATTCTCAGCCCACGGCTACGTCACTGGCGAGTTTGAAGTTACCAAAGAGCGTCTCGGCTGCTACCTCCCCACCGAGCACATTGACAACCCCAAGGGCTACGCCGATGGCGAGGACGCCCGTAAAATCGACCCTCGCCTCCGTGGCCCCATCGACCCGCGCGAGCTCGAGATTGACCCCCAGACGGGTATGAAGAACTACATTGCCAACGAGGGTGGCAACTGGGACACTTCCAAGGCTCTTGTCCGTCGCACCCTCCTGGGCTGTATCGACATGGGTCGCCGCTACGCGTCGTCGCACAGGACAGAGGACCAGTACGAGGCGATGCGTCTCCTCGGCCAGGCCCTTCACACTCTGTGAGCTAACACAATCCTTCAAAGCTGACACTGCAGTGAGGACTTTAGCGCCCACTCAAACTTCTGTGAACTTGGTAGGTCTGGCTTTGGATACCATTGGCCATATGCTTACCAACCCCAGCTCTCATCTCGATGGGTAACCAGAACGTCTTCCCCCACGTTGGCCGCAACGTCAAGATCCGTGCCCCGAACGGTCGCGATGTCCACCCTCTCGTCACCGGCACGTTTGGTGGTTCCGACTTTATCCACTCGCTCATGGGCGAGGCCACGGACCATCTCTCTCAGGTGAGAGTTGCCTGCTGTTGATCCGCTAACCTTCAGGCATCCGTGTCGGACCTTTCCAAGGCGCTGTCCAACTCCAGGTCCATCTCCGAGGGCCAGTCCGCGTCGTCGAACACCCTCCGCACGCTCTTCTTTGACCTTCCCGGCAGCGATGGTCACGAGCTCTCGCGCGAGATGGACGACATTAACACTATGCGTGCGAGCAGCCAGGACCCAAGCACGATGAGCCCCCAAGAGCTCCACGCCGTCATGTGGAAGATTCTCAGCTTCCGCGACTCGGTCATGAAGAGGATTGAGGTATGTTTTCTACCTTGTATATCGTGCTTACCTATGAGAACACCCTCGAGAAGATTCCCGGCCTTGGCTCTCTCGTTGACAAGATCGGCAACTCGGTTGCCGTCTTTGTCATGACCACCCTCGAGCCCTTTGTCAAGCCCCTCCTCGGCACGGCCACCTCGGCCCTCAGCTCGTCGTCGCAAGCCGTCATCGACACTGTCGACCAGTACGAGGTCTGGAACGACTGGAACGCGTCGGACCCCACCCACTCGTTCCTCTCCAAGGACCACTTTGGTCTTATCCTCAACGAGCCCGCCGGGCAGATTGCCAAGATTATCGTCCAGTTCTCGGTCGAGCGCATTGTCCAGGCCTGGGGCAACACCAACGCCAACGCCAACCAGCTCGTCGACGAGATTCTCCAGTGTCTCTTCCACCCGGACTTTGTCAACCGCCAGTCCCAGATCCAGACCCTCATGCTTGAGCACATGCGCAAGTGGCTTGACAGCCAGGGTAAGGACAGGAATGAGATTCTCAACCGTCTCACTTCGGACAATGTCAAGGCCGGCAAGAACCGTCGCATTGGTGACACGTCGCCTGAAGGCCACGTCCACAACTCGATGCTCCCTGAGGGTGGTCTCCAGGAGGTTTTCCAGCAGCACAACGTTCACGTGGTAGGTGCACCCCTCGCATCACGTTACCTATGCTCACTCCCAGCCCGGCTCTCAGGTCCTCAACGCCGGCCAGGACATTCTCGGCGGCAAGATGGTGAGTTGTCTTCGTGTCGTTCTCACCTAACAAATCCAGCCGTGGCAGCAGGGCTTTGGCACCGGCACTGCCGGAGGTGCCCACGCTTGGCGTGAGATTGACCCCAACGACGCCGCTGCCGCTGCCGCGGCCTCCCAGGGCCAGCACTACGGCATGAACACGCAGCAGGGCCACTACAACACCCAAAACATGCCGGCGCAGAACGTCAACATGCAGGGAGGCTTCAACCAGGGAGGCTACAACCAAGGAGGCTACAACCAGGGAGGCTACAACCAACCTCCTCCCCAGCAGCAGCAGCACTACGGCGGTGGCTTTGACCCCAACCAGCACCAGCAGGGCCAGCACCAGCAGGGCTACTACGGCAACCAACCTCCTCACGGCCATGGCCACGGTCACCAGGGTGACCAGTACGGCGGCAACCAGGGCTGGTAAGCGACGTTATGTACCCCGTACACGAGAGGGGTATGTCCTGCCAGTTGTTATTAGATGTGAGAAGCCAAGTGGTGAATTCGAGTTTGACCCCTTTACGACACGTACACCCGTAACCCCGTAACCGCCCCGTATGAACCGTACATATATACCGCTGTGCACTGCCAGAGGAACAGGCAACTGCTTGCATGCTACAGATGGAGAGTCTAAACCTCAGTGGCGCCATACTGCCTCTCGCCTTCCGAGCTCTCACGCTCCTGACCCGCGACCTTGTTCTTCTTCTGATGTCTCCTCCAACCCCACTTGACAACATGGTATCCCGCGAGAATAGCCACAAAGCACCCAACAATGGCGGCACCGACGTACCCGCTCGCATCGTTGGCGCGGGCCCATGCGCGCCACCACGACCCGGCCAGTCCGCCGCCGTCGGGGTCGTCCGCGGCCGCACTGCACTGGGTGCAGTTTTCGCCAATTAGGCCCATGATCTCAATCAGCGAGATGCTGGAGGCACATGTCAGTTGGGTGGTACTAAACGTCGCCGCTGGGAACATACCTGAGCGCCACGAGGATCGAGAGGAGGGTGAGGCTGATGGACAGGCTGGACATTGTGGCCGTCTTGGCAGCCACGAGACGCTGGGCGCGCTCGGTACGCGCCTCCGTCTCGGGGTCGACCTCGACCGTCGCGGCCGTGCCGTCACTTTCCGGGGAGGCCGGCTTGAGCATGTCCTTGCCAGCTTCCAGCGAGTTGGCGGCAGCTGCGCCGCCCTCGACATCTTGCTCAAATGCCTCGGCGCCCTCTGGCGCAGTGAGTGGCGCAAGTGTCTCGGTCGACAGCGTCTGGTCGTACCGGCTGAACAGGCGGATCTTGCGGTCGGGTCCCGAGCGCAGGTCTGGCTGTGCGTAGGCGTACAGCATGAGAACCGAGTCGAGCGAGTCGACGAGGGACATGCCGGCGGTAAACTATATGTTTGGTCAGTGGGTGCTTTCCAGCTAGCTTGGAGTGTTACTAACGAGGAACTGTGGGTGTCAGTTTTGACCACATGGCAGGTGGCCTGCAACTCACTGGAAGGATGATGATCTTGCCATGGCTGATGGCCTCGCCGTTAGGACCACGCGTGGCGATGGCCGAGATGGCGAGGAGAGCGATGGAGGAGGCAGTGTCAAAGCCCTATAGAGTCAGCACAGTCGCGTCGTGGGTACACTCACAAAGCCAAAGAGGATTCCGACCGGATACATTTTCCACGGGCGGTCGACAACACGGAGGATGGGCGCAATGACGCGCACGAGGCATCCGCCGCCGTGGATCTTGGCCGGGTCCACCTCATCGGGTGGCAAACCGGCCGCCTCCCTGGCCTTGGCCCGTCGACGGTCCTTGATGGCACCAATAAGGAAGAACGTGTTGATCGAGGCCACGAGGAAGAGGAACGACGCCGAAACGGACGTGCCGACAATGCCGCCGACGGAGCCTACTTTGCCGAGCTTGTCGTAGATGTCGACGCTGACGGCAATGGCAATGTTGACGGCGATGACGATGGTCGAGTGGCCCAGGCTAAAGAACAGGCCGCAAGTCAAGGGCTGGCGGCCGAGACTGACCATCTGGCGGGTAGCATTGTCAATGGCCGAGATGTGGTCTGCGTCCAGGCCGTGTCGCAAGCCGAGTGTCTGTAGTGGTGTGAGTGCAAGAACCAGGTTTTGGAGACGGGAGAAATGTGTCGACTTACCCAAGCCAGCAGTGCGAGTCCTATCAGGCCATCTGCCTGGCTCAGACAGATACCTGCTGCGATCCAGCATGCGGCGTTGGCGAGGAGCTCGGCGCCGATAAGCACGACCGCGCGGCCGAGGAGTGTTGGGCGGGGCAGGCGATGGATGCGCCGTGACAATGTCGACATGTCTCTCTCTAGAATGTGTAGAAGCACCGTGCCAGCTCTCAAGTCATGTCCCGGGGGGGACCAGGACGGCGCCGACTCTTTAACCACTTGCGGGGTTCGGCTACCAAGACCTAAAGGGTGCGAGCTGACTGGCGCCCTGCTTCTGACGGGGCTTGGCTAGTGGGAGATGAGAGAGAGTGTCGAATGGAATGACTGGAATGCGCCGAGAGAACAGGGAGATCTAGGACATGACATGGTGTCCGTCACTGTCGGCGCAACGGTCAATGGTCTTGTGGACGGCAAGCGGTCGAATGGGAGAGCGGACAGACACCGACGTCAGGACCCAACCATTGATTCAAAAGATAAGGACCGGGAGCAGACGGAGCTACCCGAGGAGGGGGCTTTGTATATCCTAACAGGGGGGATGATATACGCAGTGTCGCCGCTCATCTCGTTCGAATGTCCACCTGCAACTCTCCTGGCAATAACAAACGTATCACCCAACACTCGCCTTCCCGCCAGACCCATGCCGCCCAAATTCTGGAAGCCAGGGACAGTCGCTCCAGGTGAGTTCCATTTCCCTCGAAGTAGTCACTGAAACTCTCAGGCAGCGCGCTCGACCGCGAGTCCGAAGCCGAGGGCTCGTTCGTCTCCACTTCCTCGCAGAGGGCCAACCTCAGCCTCGACGCGCAGCGTCAGCGCTTGCCAATCTACAAGCACAAGAGCAAGCTGCTTTGGTGTGTTGAGAGGTATCAGGTTGTCATTGTCGTGGGCCAGACGGGTAGCGGAAAGTCGACTCGTGAGTTTACAGGCGATCGTTGACTTCAGCTCACACATTAGAAATACCCCAGTACCTCCATGAGGCTGGATGGTCCTCGGACAACCGAGTAGTGGCATGCACCCAGCCTCGACGAGTTGCCGCCACTAGCGTAGCCACACGTGTTGCCGAGGAGGTCGGAACGATCCTCGGAGATGAAGTCGGCTACTCGATCCGCTTCGAGGACCTGTCTTCTCCGACCCGCACGAGGATAAAGTATCTCACAGACGGCATGCTGTTCCGCGAGTGTATGGTCGACCCGCTGTTGAGCCGGTATAGCGTCATTATGGTGAGCTTGTGCTTTTCCTTCATGGACGAAAGCACGCTGACTTGCAGATCGACGAAGCGCACGAGCGAGGAGCCTACACCGACCTCCTACTTGGCCTGCTCAAGAAGGTTATGAAGAAGCGACCAGAGCTGCGCGTTATCATTTCTTCGGCTACCATTGACGCGTAGGTAATTTGTTACTTCTCATTGCTCACCTACTTCACAGCGAGGACTTTCTCGAGTACTTCAACACCAACGCCGACGGCTCAGACCGCTCCAAGGACGACGCCATCAGTGGGTTCCTTAAGGCGTCCTGCCCGCTAACCGCTCAGTCGTCAGTCTGGAAGGCCGCATGTTCCCCGTGGAGGTGTGCTACCTCAAGGACCCCGCTGTCGACTATGTGCAGATGGCTGTGGACACGGTGTTCAACATTCATCTGAAGGTGGGTCACGGCCTTTGCCCCTGTCTGACCCAACAGGAACCGGCGGGCGACGTGCTGGTCTTTTTGACAGGGCGCGACGAGATTGACAATGCGATTCAACAAGTGGCGGACAGGACGCAATCGTGAGCTGAGAGTTATCGGTGAATACCTAGCTGACATACAGAATGCCCCGAGGAGCTCCCCAGATCCTCGCGCTCCCGCTGTACGCCACTTTGCCACCCGAGGAGCAGGAGATCATCTTTGACCCGCCGCCACGAGACACTCGCAAGGTCATCTTCTCGACCAACATTGCAGAGGCAAGTGTAACCATTGATGGTATCAAATATGTGGTCGACTCTGGCTTTGTAAAGGTAGGTTGACGCATGTGCGACGGCGATTGACCTAGACAGTTGAAAACGTACAATCCGCGTACCGCCATGGACGTCCTCACAGTCACCCCTTGCTCACTGGCGTCTGCGAACCAGAGGGCCGGTCGTGCTGGTCGTACCTCTGCCGGCAAGTGCTTCCGCCTCTATCCGTCCGCGATTCTCCCGACTCGCAACCCAATGTCGCCCATGCCGATCATGACACCGCCCGAGCTGGTGCGGTCTGACATTAGCATGTTTGTTCTCCAGCTCAAGGCGCTGGGTATTGACAATGTCGCCAAATTCGACTTTATGAGCCCACCACCGAGCGACATGATGATTCGTGCGCTCGAGTTTCTGTTCTGCCTCAAGGCCATTGACGAGGAAGGGCGGTTGACCAAGCCGCTCGGGGAACGGATGGCCGAAGTGCCCCTGGATCCCATGATGGCCGCTATCCTCTTGAACTCGTACGAGTTTGGGTGCAGCGAGGAGATTCTCTCCATTGCGGCCATGACGTCGGTCCAGAACGTCTTCAACATGTCCGACGGCGGCCTGCGCGGCGCCATGTCCGAGGTCGAGCGGCGCAAGTTTACCGCTGAGGAAGGCGACCACCTCACCCTCCTAAACGCGTACAATGCGTTCATCAAGCATGGCCACCGGGACAAGAGCTGGTGCGGCAACCACCGGATCAACTTCAAGGCCCTGTCGCGCGCCGTGGCGATCCGCAAGCAGCTGAAAAAGTACCTCGAGCGGTTCAGCATCCCCATTGTGTCGTGCGACGGCGATGCCGTGCGGTTGCGGAAATGTCTCGTGTCGGGATACTTTAAGAATGCGGCCCGTATGTTGCCCGACGGCACGTACAGGAGTGCGCGTGAGGGAGCAGTGAGTTGCGGCAAGCATGGATTTGACGTTAATCAACTCTCTCAGATTCTTCATGTCCACCCATCCTCGGTCATGTTTACGCGCCAGCCAAGCACCGGCTGGGTCATTTTCCACGAGGTTGTGGAGACAACCAAGAGCTTTATGCGCGACCTGACGGTTGTAGACGAGGAGTGGCTCGTCGAGCTCGCGCCACACTACTATCAGTTCAAGGGCGGAGGTATCAAGCAGCATCAGTAGCGCCAGCATGTCATGTAACATTGAGTGGACACGTGCAGATGCGGCCTGGGGGACGTTACTGGTTCATACAAGGAAATAAAGACTATAAGGTACGTATCTAGACACAAGACAACAGTCCCACTCCACAACCGCCTACTCCCACTCGCCGCTCTGCATGAGCTTTGCAAACACGCCACCGCGCCTGATGAGATCCTCGTACGGTCCATCCTCGGCAACGCGCCCGCTGTCGAGGACGACGACACGGTCGCAGCGGCGCATCGCCTCGGTCGAGTGGGTGATGAACAAGGTCGTCGCGTTGGCCTTGACTTTCTCGATGGTATCCAGCACTGCGCGCTGGTTATCCACGTCCAGCGCCGACGTGCACTCGTCCAGGATGAGCAAGGGCGAGCGGCGCACGAGCGCGCGCGCAATCTGCAGGCGCTGCGCCTGGCCGCCCGAGATGAGGCCCGCGTTCTCGCCCAGCGCCGTCTCATACCCCTCGGGGAGGGACTGGACAAAGTCGTGGATGTTGGCGTCGATGCACGCCGCCACAATGTCCGAGCGCGCCGCGTCGGTCCCGTACGCAATGTTGTCGGCGACGCTCGCGTCGAAGAGGTTGGCAGACTGCGACACGACGGCAATGTTGCTGCGCAGCCATGGAACGTTGGCCGCCGTGAGCGGGTACGTGCCTTCGACGGTGATGCGGCCGGCCGTGGGTTCGTACAGCCGCTGCAGGAGGGCGGCGACGGTCGACTTGCCGCAGCCCGAGGGGCCCACAATGGCGACGCTTTCACCCGGGTGGAGCTTGAGCGAAAAGTCGCGTAGGACGGGCATGTCTGGGCGTGTCGGGTAGGCAAAGTTGACGCGGTCAAACGCAATCGTGCCCTTGATGGGAAACCTGGCGTGGCCCTTGGACTCGTTGGTGCGCAGGGAGAGCGAGAGGAAGCGGTCAAAGTCGCGAGACGCGACCTTGGTCTTGGTGAGAAGGTTCACTGGGCAGGTCAGGGTTGCGTGTGCAGAGAATGACCTACTAAAGCTGAGCATCTGGGAGGCAAACGTCAAGCTGAACAGGACGAGCGTGTACACCTCGAGCATTGTGGCGTACGTCATTGTGCCCTGCTTGACAAAGATGGCACCGACATAGTTCATGAGAGCTGCCCGTCAGTGACAGTTTGCAGCACGTTACTCACCTTGCACAAAGAGGGGCATGCCAGTGGCAAAGGCAATGGCGACGGCGGTCCGGAGCACCGCGTCAACGGCGCAAGCGCGTGTCTCGCGGATCTCCTTGTTAAACTTTGCGCTAAAGCTCGTCTCCAGGGCCATGGCACGGATACCGCGGATGTTGGCGATACTCTGCCCATGTCAGCTTCAGACTCTGTAGCAGGCCAGCTCACCTCGTAGAACGTGCGGGCAACGGCCTCGCGGTGGAGCTTGTTCTTGGCCTCTGCCACCTGCGCCACGCGGTTGGACATGACCATGAGGAAGGCGAAGAAGGGTGCGATACCCAGCCCCACCAGCGTGAGCTGCCACCCGACAGCCATGGCCCAGATCATGCCCAGGCCAATCATGACCACGACCACGACCATGCGCGGCAGAATCGTCGCGACGAGGTATCGGATATCGTCAACGTCCTTGACGAGACTCTGGACGAGGCGCGCAGGCGCGTTGCGCGGCTCGTCAAACCACCCCTTGTCCTGGTCGAGGACACGCTCAAACGCCCGCGTACGCAGCGACGCCGTCCATGTGGCCGCGACGCGCTGGAGGCAGAACTCTTGCAGGAAGACGGCAAAGCCCTGCGCAAAGCAGATACCCAGCAGGGCGCCGCCCTTCTTGGCCACGAGGCTGGTGTTGCCCGTGCCCACGAGCGTGATGAGCTTGGAGATGAACGACGACCAGATGGGCGTGAGTGCACCGGAACCAATGGCGCCGACGAGACCCAGGAGGAGCATGGGCTTGCCCGGAATGGTCGGGAGAAAGTACCACACCAAGCTGAAAACACCCCGGATGGGCGCCTTGGGCGGTTCCTCGTCGGCGATGGAAACTGTGACAGTGTTATCCGACGACGAGCTCGCCGACTTGCGCTCGGTGCCGACGACGGTGGCCTCGCTGTCCGTGTCGGAGGTGGTCCTGACAATGGTCGACGGACGCTGGATCACAGTCATGGGGCGCGGGTACTGCTGGGCCTGGGCCACGGACAAGGGACGCGGGAACGATCCCTGGACGCTGGAACGAAGCTGGACGCCGCCAGTGACACTCTGGCGGTACGCACCGTTCCCCAGGTCACGGGGAGCCCAGCTGAGCCGACGCTGCGCCTGGGTCAGGGGACCGGCACGGACGGGCGGCGCAGCAAAGTTGATGCGGCTCGTGAGGGACGAGGTGGATTCACCTGCCATGGTCTTGGTCACGTTGACGGACTGCCACGGCTGGAGAATGCTCGTGCGGGAAGCGTTGGCTTGCTGGGGTATGCTAGCCGCAGAAATGTTGGGCTGCTGGTAGAGTCCAGAGGAGGCGCTGGCGTTGCGGGTGTGCTGGAAGATGGAACTGCGTGATGCATTGGCGTTGGGCAGCACCGCGCTGCTGCGTGAGGCGTTGGGAAACCGGAAGACGCTGCTTTGGGACGCGTTGGCCCCGTGGAAGATGCGGCGTTGCGAGTCGTTGCCACCAAAGAGGGAGCTCCTGCCGCCGACCTTGGCCCGGATGGGCAGCTGGACCGAACTGCGCGAGTTGTTGCCGTATATACCAAGAGATGCGCTGCTGCCGAGGTTGCCCGTGCTCAAATTGCGCGAGTGGAAGAGCATCGAAACACCTCGCGACTCCGGATGGTTGCCTTCGGCGAACACGGTCCCGGCCCTCTTGTCGGGCATGTACGACGCGCGGACCGACGTACGGCGGTGAAAGTCCTCAAAGTTGTCATAGTACCCGCTGAGGGCCGGCGCCCGCACGCGCTCAACTTGTGGCTCCTCGGTGTCCTCGGCCTCGAGAAGGTCGTGCACGACGCCGCCATCTTGCCACTGTTCGTCCTCGCGAATCGGGAGCGGCTGGACTGCCTGCTCAGCCGCCATGGCAGTAAACACGCCGTCGGAGAGACCCATGAGGTCGAAGCGGAATCCTTGTTCGGCCACCACGCCGTTCTTCATGACATAGACAAAGTCCTCGGGCCCAATCTGCGACAGGTCGTGGGTAATGACAATGGTGGTGCGGTTGGCGCGCCATTCCTTCATGGCGTCAAAGACGACCACGCGCGACGTCGCGTCAAGGGCAGAAGTAGCCTCGTCTGGTTGTCAGTTTTGCATCAGGACGTGCGAAACTTACCGAGAATGAGCACTGTCGGGTCACGGATACGGGCGCGCGCAATGGCCAGTCGCTGGCGCTGTCCGCCACTCAACAGGGAGCCACCCGTGCCGAGCTTTGTGTCGTAGCCGTTGGGCAAGGACATGATAAAGTCGTGTATAAAGGCCATCTTGCACGCCTCGATCACCTCGTCGCGCGAAATGTCCGTGTGGTCGCGATACCTGCCGAGCCAGTTCCTGCCTGCGCCGACGACGCCCATGGCGACGTTGTCATGGACAGACATGTCGAACAGGATACAGCCCTGCTGGACCGCGGCAATGTGCTCGCGGGTAAAGTCCTCGGGGATGTTGTCGAGTGATTTGGTGTCGAGCACAATCTCGCCCGAGTTGGGCTTGTACAGGCGTAACAGGAGCTGAGCGACAGTCGACTTGCCCGAGCCCGACCCGCCAACGATAAAGGTCGTCTCTCCCGCAGGTAGGAACAGCGTGATACCCCGCAGGACACGGACGTCGGGGCGCGATGGGTACGCAAAGCGCACGTCGCGGAAGTCAAACTCGCCACGGCAGCGTGCGGGGCGGTTGCGCACCTTTGCCGTGACGCTCGACACGGTGGAGATGCGGGTGGTGCCAAAGAACTTGTTGTTGCTGGAACGGCTGCCGCCAACCGAATCATCCGTCTCCTCGTCCTGGATGACGGTCAGAAGGGACGCGAGGGACATTTTGCCCTTTGTGATGAACGACAGCTGCGGGACGATCGACTGCAGGTTGCCGCTGGCGAGAAGCGTAGCCCAAAACACTGTCATGACGGTCGCCACGCTCGTGGTGCCGTCTGCAACGAGCTTGGAGCCGTACCAGAACCCAATGACGAACATGGACAGCATAATCGCCTGGCTGCCGCCAAGGCACACGGCCCAGACGGTAGCCTGCCTGCGGAGAGAGTCGCACGCGGCTGTGGTGAGCCTGTAGAACCGCCCGAGCTCAATGTCCTGCGCGTTGAAGGCCTTGACGGTGGAGATGGCCGAGGTGGAACGCTCGACCTCGGTGGATGCCTCGGCAAACGCCCGGCGCTCGACAGAGTACATCGGGTGCACGAGCGCCTGCGTGACCACGTTCAGGAGCACCATGAGCGGCACCGCCGACAGTGTCACGAGCGTGAGGGCCCACTGCTTGTACAGCGCCAGACCGAGACAGAAGCAGAACGTGGCGATGGACTGGACAACGGTGCCAGAGGGCACACCGGTGGCCATGCGAACGTCGTCGGTTTCGCTGTGCGCCGTCAGCACTGACCTCTGCAGCCTACATTTCACGCAACTCACCGAGCAAACTTTGCCATGAGGCCACTGGCCCCGATAGTCTCTGACGTCCCGTTGTCGTTCTCCTTCATGCCCATGCCGAGGTCGAACCATTCCAGGGGCTTGCACGCCACCCCTTCAAACACCATGAGGCGGAGCGTGACCGCCACGCTCTCGCTGAACCGCACCCACATCACCTGCTTGATGTATCCGAGAATGATGCTCACCAGCCCCGCCACTGTAAACTTGATGGACGTGGTGCCCACGGCGGACATGAGGGCGTGGGCCTGCTCGGCGGTGGCGCCAGAGGATGGGTACGCGGCGAGCGCGCTGAAGGCGTCACCGATCATGAGGGTCATGTACGGCGGCACGACGGACCCGCCGAGCGCACTGATCACGGCTGGCAGGAGGAAGAGACTGCGGTCCTTCCACGATGTCAGCGTGAAGAGCCTCTTGAACGACGGGCGGACGGGCGGTGGCGGTGGTCGCGGCAGCTGCACAAAGGACGGAAACTGCGGCACGTTGTCTGAAGGGGGCGACAGCTGTGGGATGTCGTAGAACCCAGCAGGCGGGTACATGGAGCGCCTGTACTCGGACACTGGGCGGGCCGCGTTGTCGCCGCCAGGGAGAAGGTCGATATAGTCGAACCCGCTGTCCTCGACAGACGCGAGGCTCTGGTCGGTCGACTTGAGGGATGAAAGCGTGCTGATGTAGCCGGGCTTGGTAGCCTCGCGACTGATGCGGCGGGTGGGTGGCATTGGCGAATCCAACAGCATCTCCTCCTCCTCCTCTTCCACTTCGACGCTGGCATGGTTTTCAAATGGGTTGAGATGGATGGAGCTTGTGCTGGATTTCCATCAGTGGTCTGTTTTTCGGCACCCGAGTGACAAACAACATACGCATAACCTAGTGGCTCGAGCTCGATGGCATCTTGAGGCGCGGGGTGGATGGTGTCTGCGTGAGACGCTTGCAGTTGTGATGACGATTCTCGCAAGATAGGTCGACCGATGGACTCGACATGCACGACTGTCCGGCGAGCTGGCCTCGGTGGTGCAGGGGACACTGCTCGATGGCTCGAGGACGAAGAAGTCATCGCGAATGTTGATCTCACTGATGCGTGTTGTGCCCGGCAACAATGCGTGGCATAAAGGCTGTGGCAGGTCTCCCACTGTTAGATGGCGTTCATTGCGACTGGGAGCAGACTCACAGATATGAGCTTCAGGAATCCCGTGTGGTAGATGTGTGTAGATGGGTCTTGATGTATGTTTCGAAAGGACGTTCTCGATGTCTAGATCCTAGAGTAGGTCAGTAGTTCGTCGCAGTGACCGCGGGGGGGTGAGTTGTGGCATGTATTGTTTTGTTGCTTGCAGCCAAAGGGGCGTTGAGCAGATCTGTTACTGGAGCCAGGGGACTGTGCGCTGTTGACTGGGGCATGCTGCAGCATATGGGATCTGGGTATTGTCTTTGACGTGCGTCTCTTGTTGGCAGTACTGGTGGGTGAGAGCTGAGAGAGAGCGACCATGTGGTGGCAAGGACAGATGACAGATGACACACGAGAGAGAGAGCGAGATGCCGGGGTGAGCGGTCTGTGCGCACAGATACAACACAAAAGCCACTGGACGGCGTGGCGTGTGTGTAATGTTCCACCTGAGCAGCCACGCGTGTGTGGATGTTCCTCCGGTCTCCGGTCCTCTCAGCCTCCAGCCTCACATACCACGCAGGCAGCAGGCAGCATGCCATGCGCTGCCCATGATGGTCAACTCGTGCAGGCGGTTCTCAGAAGCAGACCATTCCAAGGGTTCGTGTGTGCATTTACGCCAGCTGGTGCCGCTCACGGTCTGCGGGCCAGTTAACCAGTTGGTCACAAGGAACGTGGGGTCACCAGGGCAACGACATTGTCAAGGCCCTGTTCCAGTGCGCGGGGAAGCTGGAGTCGGAGGCCGTGCATCAATAAAGAGTGACGGATTGGGTATCCACGGACGGAGAGCTAAGCTGGAGGCAGGCATTGGCCATTGGAGAAGTGTGGTTGAAAGGGACAATAAGAAGGACAATAGGGTTGCAACAACGCGGCGTCATCGATTGAGATTGCTGGAACCAGTCACGTGACATAACAACACTGCCTCGTCGATCTATAGGATCCGTGGCCGCCCTGCTCAGAGACATACGCACGATACATATCGCCTCATTCTCCAGTCTGCAGCTCACGACACGCCCCTCACGCCAGGTGACGGACCTGTGCCCGTGCGGTTCACTAAACGATATTATTTTGAGTAACTAACTATACATGGTTTCGGGGAGCCCATGACCATCACCTAGTCGCGGACGTGGCCCACAAGGAGGGGCATCTGCGAGCCGACGTGCTCCTCGCCAACAACCCACGGGAGCATGACGATGCTACAAAGCAGTGTCAGCAGGCCGTTACCCGCATTGAAAATACCCCCCAACTCACAAGTTCTTGCGCGTGATCTCGGGCTTGGAGGGCAGGATGTCAAACGTAAAGTTGCGCAGGAGAATGAAGAGCACAACCTTCATCTCCAGCAGGGCGAAACGGTAGCCACTGGCACAGTCAGCGGGCGATTCATGACGATTGGCATGCCTGCCACACTTACATGCAGTTGCGGGCGCCGCCGTTGAAAGAGAGGAGGTTGCCGTAGCTGCCGGGCACCTTCATGGCGGGGCAGTTGGGGCGGTCGAAGCGGTCCGGGTTGAACACCTCGGCGTCGTCGCCCCAGATCTTCGTGTTGGAGTGGACGGCCAGGAAGGGCTCCACGATAAACGTGCCCTTCCTGATGGGGATAGAGGTCATGACGGTGCCGTCGACGCCGGTGATGGGCTCGGCGAGTGGAAGCATGGTGTCTGCCGTGGCCTCGCGGATGGTCTCGGGGACGGGCGAGTCGATACGCAGGGTCTCACGGACGACGTTTTCGAGCAAGTGGAGCTCGTTAAGCTCGTCAAGCGACGGCTCGGGGTTTCCCACAGAGGACAGTTCCTCGCGCAGGCGGCGCTGCAGGTCCGGGTTCTGGGCCAGGCGCCAGAGCACCCACGAAAGACCGTTTGACGTCGTCTCGGAACCGGCGAGGAGGAACGTGGACACTTGGTAAATAATCTCCTCGTCCGAGAGACGCTGGTTCTCGGGAAGGTCCTGGGCCATGTTGGCCTTGACGATGAGCGAGAGAAGGTCCTTGCCCGTCTCGGTAGACTTTTCGATACCACCCTCGGCGGCGAGCAGCTCGCGACGCTTCTGGGCTACAAGTTCCTAAACGACGTCAGCACGCTGTGGCCATTTTCCATGTGGCACTCACCCTGCCGACGTCGGTGGTCCTCTTGAGGCTGGCCGCGACCTCCAGGTTACGCTTGGTAGGGATGACTTCGAGGGCGGGCCAAAAGTGCTGAGCGACGGCGAGCGCGTTGATGCGCATCAGAGCCGAAAGGGCCCCACGGAAGCCCGAGACGATGGGGTTGGACGTCTGCTGGCACCTAAAGTCATAGTCGAAGCCTGCCATGCCAATGACATCAAACGCCAGCTCGGTCAGGTACTTGCCCATGTCGAGCTTGCGGGACCCTGGGACAATGTCCTCGGGCTTGGGCGGGGTCGGCGACGCGTCGTGCTTGGGGTCGTCGTCGATAACGGTTGCGATCCGCTCGCGGAGCTCCTCTGCCTTTGCGTAGAAGACGGGGGTCATGTCCCTGATTGCTGCGGGGGAGAAGGCGGGGTTCAAGATACGGCGCTGGCGTCTGTGCGAGTGGAACTCGGCCATGAGCACGCCGTCTCCTGCAAGGGCGCGGAGCGCGCGAGACTGCTTGGGCGGCTTGATAAAGAGGTCCGGGTTGCGCTGGAGGTAGCCGAGCGCAGTCAAGTCTGAAGTAATGATTCCGGGCGGTGAAAACATGCCAGTGCTCGTGCGGATGGTGTGGCCGTGCTTGTTGATGTAGCGCTTCTGGAGCACACCGGTTGGCTCAGAGAGCATGTGGGGAAAGTCGCCAACGATCCAGTTGTGCGATGGCTCGCCGGGAACATTGTACAGAGGTGAGCGTGAGGCGCGGAAGACCTTGACGGCGAGGTGGACGAAGAGGCCGAGGAAGAGCAGGCCAACGACATTGAGCGGGGTGAGGGCCGGCAGGCTCAACCCTGCGGGGAGGCCTGCCGACGCTGTGGAGGTGAGCTGGGGGGCCATGGTGCTGGATGGAGCGGTGGGTAAGAGGGTGCCAGCGGTGTGTCTAAGATAGCGTGTTATATATCTGAGACTACACGCACATGCGGCCCAGAGCAATAAGCGGGCACCCAAGACCATGCCGTCTCCATTCGCACTGACAGCAACTGGGCACAAACGGTCATCCATCGGCGTCCTTGGTGGCCGCCTCGGGCCCATTGCGGAACCTTTTATTGGCTCACACCTGCACGCCGGCGGTCACAACAGAGAGGCGTGTGCGCTGTGCGGCAGATGTGCACCATTGCTGCATTGCTGGCGATGTGTCATGCCAAGCGACGCTGGCCATGAAAACTGACACCTAGTCCCCGGTAACCTCGGCACAGCAACTCGCCAGCTCGCCAGCCTGCGCTAACCCGACCAGGGATCCGAGAGGATCCAAGAGATGGCCGTCGGTGGATGGTGATAACCAAGTCACGTGACGCCCACCGCTGTGACTGATGACCGTCTTGGAAAGGCACTCGGAAATCGAACGCAATGGCGAACAGTCGTACAGTACAGTCGTGGCAGAGGTCGCGTGTTCACATCGCCTGGTCCTGCCACACGGAAGGCTCCACTTGCCACTGGCCACTGGCCACCTCACGCTCGTCGAAGTGAGTGTGGCGCTGCGGAGGGGTCATTGAGAAACACACTAGTGAGGCGACAGCGGCCCCCGCAGCGCCCGCCGCCAGAAGTGTATGTGTTTCGCGCGGGGTGATTTGAAAACACATTAATAATGATCATTAGGGTCAGCTTTGGTCATTTAGGTCAGCTGTTAATGAGGTAATGTGGTCTCTAAAAATCATGTGTGTGTTTGTTGGGCCATCCAGCTCATGTGGCCATGTGGAAGGTGCTCACGACGACGTTCAAGAACAACTGCAACAGATAGCAACATGCCAGTCGTCAATGTCATACTGTGTGTTTTCAACACCATGAAGCCCCCGCGGCGCGGACTTCTCCTCCGTGCAACTCGCGCGCGTCAACGGTGACCTATATTTTTGTTGCTCTGGACACCGCCCACAGCCGGTTCAGAAGCTTTCCTGCCTCCCCTTGCGCTTTGCGTTCCCGCCGCGATGAGCACACCCACATGTCTCCACGGCGCGTTTATGGGGGATAATTGGGATAACCAGGCCGTGCATAGCCAATCCTGCAAGCAGAGCACGGGTCATCCGGGCCGGACTGCCACGTTTTCAGGGTCCGGATGCATCCCGGCTGACCGGCAAGGAGCGGCACAGGCGGCCCGGCGGGTGTGTAGCGTTTTTTGCCTGTGGTGGTGGTGCGTCGTGGTGGTTGCAGCCGGGAAGGGGCTATTCTTATATAACCAACACTCTCTGCTGCACGAGCACTGCATCTATCCCCTCCCTTCCTCCCTCTCCTCCCCCTACCCCTCTACAAGACTGTACACCATGTCTGGCAAGATCAGCTCTTTCTCGGTCCACGGTTAGTAGCGCCTTTTACCGCCGCCCCACGGGGCATTCGAAGCCGAACTCGAGCGCTGACGGCTACCACAGACCTCCGTTTCCCACCGTGAGCCAGCAGCGCGGTCCCGTGACCACGGCTGGGAGCACCTTACTGACATCCCGCAGAACGTCACTGGTGATGGCACCGACGCCATGAACAAGGAGTGC